CGACAGGCGCGTTCCACAGCTGCGATTAGCTGTGTCTCGCTGAGATATGATGGGCCGAAGGCGCGTTGACAAAGCTGCAGCTTGTCAAGTAATGCCTTGAGGACGTCCATATTGGACTTGTTGGCATTCTCGAGTCGTGCCTTCAAATTGCCGTAGGTAATTGCAGACCAATCACGATGATACTGCGTCCTGTTGACCTCTGTGTCAAAATGTATCTTAAGACGATTATACATGTCAAAAAACATAGAGTGACGGCTAACATGGTGCATGAAATATATTCGGGCTGCGCCAGTAAGCACTTGAGGGAATACCGCGTGGAATTGACCAGGTTTGATGCCAATGGTAGAATACGTGTTCAGGAAATAACGCATCTTGTCGTCCAGAATATCATACGGTCTTCCGGAGTAACAGTCTTCCTTTGTCCATATCTTAGCGAACGTAGCGATGGTTGCAGAAGCAAGATCTTTGTTCGCTAGCGGGGCAGGGGGAATCTGTGTATATGGGTCAGGTGGCTGGTTCTGAAGCCATTAATTGTACTGCTGGTAGGTCTTGAAACCGGGGTCCAGTGTAACAGTAACATGTCGAGGACCGGGGACGAAGCTGTCAATTGAGTATGCCATCGGGGTTTGTCCGGGTATGAATCTGGCTTGCGGAGTCTGTGAGAGATTCTGATATTGGGGACGTATCGGAGCAGGTGTTTGTAAAGTATCTCTCGACTGGTTGCTGTCAATGCTCTGGAACGCGATATGGCTCTGTGAAACATGCTGCTTAGTAGGTTCGAGGTTAGCAGTATTAGCAGGAGGGGGGTTATTTTCGTCTTGAAGATCGAAACCAGGTGTGTTGGTATTGGATGAATTAGCGTTATCGCTGTTTTTTTGTGCTTGGATAGCCATGTAACCTTTAACTATTTTCCACAGGTCAGGGTTTGGATATAACAGTTTCGTCCTGTCAAGCGTGATCTTGTCCCAGACAGGAAGGTCTTCTGCGGTTATAAGGTTGGCAAGTGCGTCCGCGATAGAGTGGTTTGCCTTGCCTAGATAGATTCCTTGGGAAATAAGGCATTTTCGGAAGATGCCTCGGATGGTTTGTTCAATCTTCTCGAAGTTGTCTCTTGTCCATTCTTCAAAGTCCATTCGGAAGCTCTCAAAGATGTCGTAAGGGACAGGCTTCTCATTGCCATTATAGCGGTCAATGCAGGCTAGGGTGTACGAGTTGATGTGAATAGTGTCGTCATCTCTCAGATCGACTGGATGGATCATATCGAGGTCGATGGAGTCGACAAGGTTGGCATGTAGATTGTGCTTGCCAAGGTATCGTAGCTTCTTATCTCTCAGGATGTCAGCGGGGTCTTGAGCGACTTGGATTTTGCTGTTGCCATTGCTGGAGGCCATCTTGTCGGATGTACTCGTGTCGGATGTACTTGTGTTGGATATGGGCGTGTTGGATGGACGTGTCGGATGGACGTGTCAGATGGGCACGTGTCGTATGGGCGTGTGGGATAGGCGTGTGGGATGGGCGTGTCGGATGGATGTGTGTCAGGGGGTTCTGTCAACAATCTGGCATGTGTCGGATGGGCGTGTGTCGGACGGGCGCGTCAGATGGATGTGTGGGGGAGGGTTCTGTCAACAGTCTGTGCTGCTGCGCGGGATGTAAGTATTGCTGTGATTGCAGCATAATCTATTGCCTTGAGTCGCCTCTAGAGGAATGTTTGCAGTAGAAAACCTCGGATCTCGTGCTGTGCCTCAAATCGCCTCTTGAGGAACGTTTGCGACAGAAGATCCAGATCTTTGGCTGTATCCCGAGTCTCGTGTCAGGAACGTTGATACAGTAAGACCTCTTCTTTTCCTTGCTTATCTGTGTTGCCTTGCGAGACAACACTGATCAGTGTTGGAACAGGCTTGAACAATCAATCATAATACTCAAGTATGGGGTCAAGGTCATGATATTGCTGATGGTTGGATTGGGAGGTCTAGCTGGACCTGAAGGTCTGGCTAAGTAACCTCGCAATCCGGTATCTATCTCTTATCTAATCATACATGTGGGTCTTGGTATAGATGGTTTGCAGGCTGAAATTGCATAGATCTAACATTATTACTATTATTATTATTATTATTATTATTATTATTATTATTATTATTATTATTATTATTATTATTATTATTATTATTATTATTATTATTATTATAGCGTTTGGTATTATAAAAACGATGAGAAAAAAGTTAATATAAAAAGCTTACTAATTATATAATTTTTTAATAATTTCTTTTCATATTAGATATTATAAGTAAACGAAACATTATATAAATAACCATTCATTCATAATTAAGACGTAAATATAAAATAAACTAAAATAAAAGGTACGATTAAATCACGTTATTAAAAAATAACGTATTTATAATAGTAAATGAATATAGGCGTTATTGAAAGATTTCATTCGCTTAAAAACGTGCTAGTTATAATACTTTACCGTTAAAGCTTTAAAGATCTAGTTCCAATAATATAAAAACTCGAAAGTAACTGAGTTAAAATCGTGTTTTCAATATATAATAAGGTATAATTGAAATATTACTAGCGTATAACATTTATTGTGTAACGCCTTAAATCATTTCTCCGTTTGAAACCATTAAGTTTCTAATATTAAATTTTACCGTAAAGTAATATATAACCAAACATACTTATTAAAAATATAAGTTAAAGGGCGCGAGATTACTTAATTAATTTTAATTATGAATAAATACTTATTAAGTTTCACTTATTAAGGTATGTATTACTTGTTAAATCTAAATTATTAAAATAATATATTAATAAGATCGATTTCAAATATTTATAACTAGCAAATCTTTTTTTACAACGTATTAATTATTAAATCCAGTATTATATATATTAAACTGACTAATAATGATATTAAAACTCGAGAAAGATGATATTATACAAAGTATATAAATCGAAAAATATTAAAATATAGGTGCGGGTTAGATATCTTAAATTAAAAAGATTAAAATATCATATATTCAAAATATTATACGGCCTTACTAGCCCTAATCTAATCTATTTAGTTATTAGAATAGGTCTCTTTTATTACTGGCTTTTAATAATACGTATTACTTTATAATGTATAATAATTTAAGCTTTTATTAAATATATTACGTTTAATTTAATACAATCCTTACTTTTACCGCTTTAAATGTTTTATTATTGTCGTGATTAAACAACGACAACGAGGTTTAATCAAACGCAATGATAACGATAATAACGACGGTCGCTTAAACGTATAAAATAATAATATTATTATCGCGTTTAATTAAACCTCGTTATTACGTTGAATTTATATTAACGGTAATATACCTATTATATACCGGTTATATCATATCGTGCAGGGCTTTTAAAATCGTATTTTAATAATTATTACACTTATAATAAACGTAACTAACTTTACCTTGAAGTTAGTTATAAAAATAAGCGTTATAACAATTAAAAAGAAAAGAGTTAAAACTATTTTATCTTATTGAAAAACTAAATAGTTATATCCCAAAAAAAAGTATATTACTTACAAAAAACTTATAACGCGTTTTAAGCTTTATATAAAAAATAAAGCCTTATATTTTACTTTTTTTGATTAAATATTAAAAAGTGTCAGATGTTGGATTCCAGATATGGTGCCCTTAGGTGCAGTACCCATTAGGGGGCTGTCAAGGGAATAGTGGATACACCCTGGCATGGTGCAGTATGGTATTTAGCTGTAGATTAGCCCTGCGGAGCACACTTAAGAATGACAACAACATTTGCAGCGACCGCTCACACCCCCAAGGCTTGTGACCCTTCTAGAATCTCACAAAAAGTTATAAATATATAGCAACTTATAACCCTTGCTTTTATTTATAAAAAGGGGTTTGTAAGAGTTACCAATCACGCCTTATAACAACTAACTACTTGTTACGTATAAGGCCTTATACTCGTAATGCTGTGGCGCTAGTACAACGCAGCCAGCTGCGACAATAAGCTAAAGTACTTTACCTGGGTATAGGTAAGCAAGATCACCAACTACCTACGCGGCAAAAGGCCCAGACAGGGCGTCATGTTGTGTGACACGGGTGCACCATCGAACCGAGATCTGCTCTGGGACGGGTAGGCAGCGATTCTGTCAGATTTGAGCCAATTGTCAGAGTGAAGTGTGTGTGTGTATTCTGAGTGTCTCTGCGACCGTGGCAGTTTTGTGCCAGAGGGGGCTGGATCGGGACGGAACAACTAGGTTCCGTTGTCTACCTGTCAAGGTGCCTTCTAGGCATACCTTTAATCCAACAGATTCAATGTCAGTATAGGTAGGTCACATCTAAGGGTGGGCGGACGGGATGCGACGGGAGCAGGCAGCCTACCTTACTGCGCAGCGCCCGACAAAATACGTGCGGTATCGCTTCCGCCCTCTCGGATGGTCAGCCGCTGGTATGCGAATGTGCGGTAACGGTTAGAGGAGGTCACAATTTCGAGGGGTAACATTGGAGTAGGTAGATCACCATTGGAAGTCCGCACACTCAGGGGCGGGCGTTGAAACTCGACCGCGATCCGATACCAACTTGAAGTACATACATATACGCAACTCGTACAGACAGTCAGATCACTCTTGCTTATGCCTCACATAGTGTTCGATGTGCCAGTCTACGCGTCTGCTTTAATATGTATATGGTGGTAATTATTTTCTCCGGGCTGGGTTGAGATAGGTATCGGAGGTGCACGTGCATATATGTATTTTGTGTTTCCGTGTTGTTTGAGGTCTTAATGCATATCATATTACTTGAGGCTCTGCCGGTTACCGAGATGCTCCCAAGCCCAACCCGAAACCTACCTACACACACACGCACACACACAGACACACATGTTTGTTTCGCTGCTTGTATCAACCTCGTGCGCCGATCGTACACAGCAACTTGCGAGCTAGTCAAGAGCCAGCTCCATCAGCTCAGAGTTGTCAGGAAAAGCATCGCAGATAGGGCCAGCTCGGATCATCAATCCTCGGAATTCTCGTCCTCGCTCAGATTCGTGATAACATCCTCGGCGTCCTCGTACAACAGCTCCCCGACCTCAACGCTGTCCTGCATGGTCTGTCTGGCAGCCAGCTCTGTGACACTCATGTCCTCCATGATCAGGCGGACGGTCAGTTCGGGCACGAGGACCGCCTGCACGTATCCCGTGTAACCTCTCGCGGAAACGAGCCTGTCCTCAACCGCACGCTTCCGGACCACAGACGACAGGGTACGCATGATATACTCTGTCATGATGCGCAGCCCTCGAGGTCCGTAGTATCCTGGAATGAGACTGTCGTCGGTTTTCAACAAGGTCCGATTCTTTCCAGAGTGGACCTTTTCCTTCAAAACGTCACGGTAATACGATGACTGCGTTCCTTCAAGGATGCTCCTTAGGAAGTCTTGATGTCGGCTGCAACGGTCGGCCATCGTGTCCCAGTCAATCTCGGGATATCCCTTATCAGTCCCAGAACTCATTGCCGCCTTCCGTTTGTGCAGTCGGCAGAACGCAGCTTGCTTCTTGATGTTCATCCGGCCATGGTCGGAATGCTTTTCGAGCAGCTCACGGTCAACCACTTGATGACACATTGGACAAAAAGCCTCGGTGACCAATTGACTGTCCTCGAAGTCATCCTCCTCGCCCGCGTTGGTTTGTGCTTCAATATGTGACGCAACGAGATCCTTCGCACCGTCGTCAGCCAGATCATCCAGTTCGTCAAAGTCTAGCTTCTTGAACACTGGTGTCTGGGAGAACTTTTCTACCCGTGATTCCGATGATTCCACGTGGTTTCTTGCCTTGGCTGCTCGTGACTTGTTTGCTCTCGTTGGTCGGGAAGGCCGTAGACCATTGAAATTTGCATCCTCGTCTTCCGAGCCATACTTCTTCATCCTCGGTGTTGGCTTTCCAGGAGAATCATCCCACCGCGCACTTGAAGGCTTGAACTTGGGCTTTTCTGGACTCGACATTGGAGATGAGCCTGGAACGCCCCTGAAAGCGGCCTTCCGAGGAGAACGCCCATCTTCCATGTCCGAAGTGAAGCTGTCGACATTCTTGAATGCTGTTTTGGCGGGAGACTGGGACAGCGACGGGTCCTGGTCACTATCCTCGTGCCTCACGAACGTCTTCTTTCGAGATCCCTTGGTCGCTAGAGTGAACATGTCAGCAGTCGCAAGCATGATACTGGCCCAAATATACTCACAATCCGGCCGTGGAGCTGAAGATCTCTGTGTAGACTTTTGGGAAGATCTCGGCTGTGAAGATCTGGGCTGTGATCCGTAGCCAACGGTACGCGCTCTTTTCCCCTTCGATTTGTTTGTGAAGCCGAATTCGTCTTTCAGATGGCTGTCCATCTGTCCCAGTGCTTCATCGGCGGACCTCTTTGAACCCGCAGAACTGGCAGGTTCCTCAGCTTGTGTATCGCTTCTAGTTTTCCTGCCTGAAGCCGGCTTCGACTTTTCCTGCTCGCCTTTTCGCGTATTGCTTGCTTGAGAATTCCGGCCCGTCTGAAATACTGTTCCTCGGATATTCCCTCGAGGAGGAGCATCATCACTATCTGAGTCAATCGGATCATGTTTTGCCGGTCTGAACAGTGGTCGATTTTCCCGGTCTTCCTCTTCATCATCCGTGCTTGACAGAGGGGCTGCGTTGATTGAAGGGTCGTCCTCCAGCTTTATCGTGGAACTCATCTTGCCAGATGAAGGGGGCTTCTGGGGCGCTGTTGGCTTCGGGGCCTGTACTTGTGTCCCGCCAATTTGCTTCAGAAGAGACTCAGGTCGTTGATGCCTGCTCAGTCCCACGCGTAGTTTTGCTTGTGCCGGGTGTCTCCCATGTCTATTCATTGAAGTTGTCCGTTTGGGGCGAACCAGCGATGGATTCAGTTGATTAAAGATGAATTCCATCGACTTGGGCCTTCTGCAGCCGGAAAGAGTGAGTCTTGTTGGGTAGCCGCTGAAACGAAGAGGAGCTGCTCAGCTGCGGTGTGATGAAAATGGAAGTCGCAATGAAGGTATATAAGCCACGACGCGCAGAACTCATAGCTTCTCACAAAGCATAACCAGAAGGAGGGAGTAGATCTCAAAGAGATGTGCGGGTAGCATTGTGGACCAACAATGCCTCAGGACCGCGAGTGCTTAATTCTGGTCCATTGAGGTGGTGACTGTGAGACAGATTGTGAGCGTGAACGCGTGTTGGATATTTCCAGAGGTAGACGCGTCTGGTCTAAGCTCTGGTCTAAGCGGTACTACCGCCACGCCTCAGCCACAGGGGGGCAGTACAGTGCGGGTACCTGCCTGCACCCTGCTGGTACCTGCATTATGCGATGTCAACGGTTCAATGTTTGTACTCCAACAGCTGCCCTGAATGCCCACGTAGACCTCGAAGTTTGAGCTTCTGTCCTCTAGAATAGGTGACTGAGATCACTCTACGCCTGACTGTCCAATGGCTATCAATCGGAAATATGCCGAGTTGCCAGACTTGGTGCGTGCTGGGTACCGATGATCTGTTTACAGTTGCTAACTTTACCCAAGGACTCTGCGCCCGACATCTACGAGACCCCTGATTTGACAGATGACAACTCTACTATTCCTGTGAGTTCTTGGTGGTGTTGTATTCTGGCTTAATTGGGGGGTAGGTAGACTGACTATGGGGTTCAGACCACCGTGGGACGCTCGCAATCGGAAAATGAGTTCGACGAGGACGAGGATGAGGATGCCCCTGGAGTCTCCCATTCCCGACTACGACTAGACCAAGCTCGATCGCGTTTCCTACCAGCCCAGGTCGACGCTCGCGATGTCGACTTCTCCGATCGATTGAACAGCAAGCGGAAATCCTACCGAGCATCGAGCCGCAGACAGAAAATCCTTGAAGATGGCACACAAGAGCTTGGCGATCTAAGTGATGAGGAACTTGGCGAAACTCTGGGCGTAAAGATTGCCCGTCTAAAGCACGAGATTGGAGAAGCCCAGGACGAATATACCAAGCAACAAGCCGAATCGAAGGAAGATGAATCACAGCAGGGCTTCCAGCTTGCCTCACTCAGCGAGGTATTGGACGAGATGCTACGCAGGCCGGAACGACGCATGCTATCCAGACCCCGAGCTTCCAAACCTACAGGCCTACCCGTGGAGCAACGAGGAGGGGACTTGATCCCGCCGGGAGACGAAGCGACGTACACTGTCACCTACGCGCCGAACTATGAGCAAAGCCATGCCCTTGCTAAAGCTGCCGACTTCGATCGTCGACTTGTAATGCTAGAGAAGGCGATCGGTGTAACGTCGTCAGCCACATCCGGAATAGAGGGCAATGGCTTGCCTCGAGCGATCATGCCTACGCTCGACACACTCCAGAAGCAGATCTTAACACTGTCGGACGCGTCTACCTCGTCGCTCGATAGCATCAGCCGCCGAGTCCGCACTTTGACACAGGAGGCCGAGCAGCTCGAGAAGTCAAGGAAGGCCGCGAAGGTGGCGCAGGAGAACCTCGCGTCCTCAGGTGGTCCTCCGGCGGAGGCAGATGACTTGGAACAGATAACCAAGGTCAACGCGCTCTATGGGACGTTACCGACAATCGAGAATCTGGCCCCTCTTCTGCCGCCGTTGCTGGATAGGCTCCGTTCGTTGAGGGCTATCCATGCCGATGCAGCAACAGCGAACGAGACATTGGAGCGCATAGAGAAGTCACAGACCGAGATGGCGTCTAGTATCAAAGAATGGAGAGAGGGGTTGGAGAAGATTGAAACAGCTATGGACAAGGGAGACACTGCCATGACTGAGCAGTTGAAACAGGCTGAGGGATGGGTGAAGGAGCTCGAGGCAAAGATGGCGAATCTGTCGTAGATGGCCTGATCCTCTAACATGTGTATGGAAGTGCCTTTGCTTTATACCGATACCCCGACATAGATGATGATAATGACTCTGGAAATCAGAACGTGAGCAGCATAGCAAATAATCAAGCCTATAAATGGCCTAGGTACCGAAGCAACGGGAAATGTCTCTGAAGCTCGTCAAGGTCACCCTCATCCTAAGCCGAACCGATCTGACTCCCTAAGAGCATACGAACAGGGAGCTTTGTCGTGTGCTTGGATGCAGAAGAGATGTCACTGGGTAGCGCGTGCAGGATTACGTGGAGGCATCACCCCAAGTCCGCGTCGAGTTCATGGACGACCCGACCCGACCCGAAGCACAGTCTGCAACGTCAAGGGACCAGATACGAAGCGCCATACACACTCACCTCCCTACGAGGCAATATCATATGGAAGTAGTCGTCCTTATTGCATGGATTCAGTTCGCTGGACGCGTTCTCTGCTTTCTCGAGTCGGAGCGCGAGGCCAGACAGATGGGATAGAGCTGAGTCTCCTTTCTGGGGCAGTGGGAGCATGGCAGGTATGGGATGGCCGTTGCTAAGTTGGGACTCAGGGGAACGATGACTGAGTCACTGTTACTTCTGCATCAATGTTTGATATGACAATACCTTACGAACAGGAGCATCGGGAGTACAGGCGCCGGCATTGATGGACAAATTATACCAAACACACAAGCTCAAGCGTCAGGTATTTCGGTGTCCTTGACTTTGTATGAGTTTTCCAACGAGCGTCTACACTGGTCAGCCGACTCATCTGAAATGATAGACACGGGAGATGCTTCTACACAGCAGGTCTAAAATGGCCGACCTCAGGGGCTGAGGGGACAAGGGGACGAGGGGACTAAGCTCGCGATTGGCTATGCGAGGTGGGCTGACTAACTAGCGACAAGTGGGGCAGCCGTCTATTAAACAAAATCTCCCGCCATATATTTTCCTGCGAACAAACCTTTTCCTCTTCCAGAACCATTCTCGCAACACAACAGCAGCGCATCCTACCAGTACCTGGTGGTAAGTATTTCTCCTCCTTCCTGCCACCACAAGTTGAAATGATGTACAAAAATAGCATGTATTACCTGATCACCAATGATGTACTTTTATCACCAAGATCTCTGACTCAACACCCACTTCACCTCACATGCCGAACTCTCGTGGGCAGACATAGAAGCTAACGACGACGACGCATTCAGGATTACCCTACTCTACCGTAGTGACCACTTGACCTGCCCTCGCCATCGTCGCGATGGGGGCCGTGCCCAAGGCACCCAAGGGTTCCTTCAACGTGCTCTACTTCGCAAGTGCAAGCTCCTTCACCTCGAGAGAATATGAGACCCTGCCGGCGCCCCTCCCGCTGCACAAGTTGTTCGAGGTTCTGGAGGAGCGGTACACGGGCATTAGGGAGAAGATCCTGAGCTCTTGCCTCGTGACTGTCAACCTCGACTATGTCGATGTGTCCGAGATCGGTGATGGGGAAGACGAATCAGCGCAGGTCATGATCAAGGAGGGCGACGAGGTCGCCATCATTCCTCCGGTCAGCTCTGGCTGAAGATGCACATGAATACACATATATATATATATACACACTTGGGAGACGCAAGAAATACAATGATTTTATCTAACTTGGCAACACCGGGAGTTTGTGATCCATTGCATCTAGTGTCATGATGCCTCTCTGGGCCAAGAACCAGGCAGCAGCGGCTCGGTCTCTCCTCCACCCCATGTTCTCCGCCAACCCGACACCCGACTCCAACCGCGCCTCCACATCTTCTTCATCCAACCAGGATTCTTCGCCCTATACGCCCCGACCTTCCGTACCGCCCAAACGACCAGCACAACAAGAAGCCCAACAAGCACCGTCGACGCAATCGTAACAAGCGACGTCAGCGTCGTGATAGTCGAGACCTGGCACCCCAGCGGCCGCGTGCGCACCTCCCAGCGCTCGGCCCAGTGCGGACAGGTATAGTCGCCGTCCCAGGCTGGCGCGAGGAACTGGACGGTGTGGGTGTTGGGGACGCATGTGCTGCGTGTACGTTAACATACTGTCTTTAAACCCGGATAGCAGATCTATAGATGAAGAAGGAAAGGGAACAACAAAGCCTGTTCTCGAATACAAGGCCCAGGGTCTCGGGGTGGGATGTTTCAATACGTACGAGGACTATGTGTATGGCGTGGGGGTAGAAATTAGTTGCGTGTTGACACATGAAATACATCTCTGGGAAGACGAGCAAAAACGAGGCGAGGCAAGAGGGGTAGCGAGCAGCACGTACAAACGGACACCAGCTGCAGTCCGGCTGCACCAGACAACCCTTGCAGTCCTGTATCTTCCAGCAGCGCTGCAGGTGCGCGTCGTCTCCACCGTCGGAGAGGAGCGCGGGGACGGTGATGGCGCTTTGGGTCATGTTATTCATTGTGTGTATGTCTGGTAGATCAGGAGGTAGTTTGTATAGGTATAGGTGCATGAGAAGCAGAATCGACTGGAAGGATTGCAACCAGATCAGAGCGATTCGGCAAAACGGTGGAAATTTCTTGGAATGACCTGCAAGTTGACGGATGCTCTTCCCGTTTTTATGAATCTAGGTACTCCTCGAAACAACCCTTGGGGGCAGGACATGCATGTGAAGACGCGTGACTGCCCTCACTGCTTTGCGGGCATCTTGCCCACCACTGAGAGAATTGATAACATTTTCCAGAGCCGCGCTACGTGCGCGAGGGAAGCTTGAACTTTGCTGGGCTTGGGCCAGATGAAGCGGTGCGGGGAATAATCAACTTTAGCTGGAGCTCTGAACTTTACCATCGGTGGTATCACTCCTGTCAAGGGACATCATTCTCAACTTCACAGGTTCCGAGGAATTATCATCGAGACGTGTCTATACAGTTTTTCCTTGAGTGTTCTCTACAGCGCGTATGCTCGTGTCATGCTATCAACGAATGCTGAGAAGAGGCAGCCTAACTCATCTCCTCATATCGCCAAGGTCGGGACGTCGTTTCATACGAACGTCTTACCAAACTTGTTGGCATTTCCCGGTCGTCGTGCATGATGATCTGGTCTTCCGCAATCAAAATCTCAAAAGCCAAAACGCCTTGTGCCTGCTTCCACCTCAAAGCTCTGAGATCTCGGTGGTCGCGAGGATGATGCTTCTTCTTCTCCTTCTCAAGGTCACGTCAATCCAGTGACAGGACGATGGATTTCTCCAATGGCCTCCAGTTGATATCCAGAGCAGCAAAGCTCGCCTTCAAGACGAGCCGTCGAATTAGGCCGTGTTCGAAAGCTGCATCAGTCGATCTCCAGCACGATGGTTTGCGTAGTCATAGGCCTTGGAACCAGGGGGGAAAGTACCATTGGACGCCCAGAGGTCGATCAACGGCTGCATCGGCTCCAGCTCGTGCGGCTTCAGCATGTCAAGCGCACAAGCGGTTAGCACGAAGTGACTGAAGCAACTGTTCAGTTGCTTCTCGAGGTTCAGGTGGTAGAAGGGGTCGACGAAGTGAGCCCAGTAGAGATGAGCATAAACCCGGAACATCTGGCGGAAGATGGTCTGGCAGACTTCCATGAACTTCTCCGGGAAGCCACTTCGCTTGCCGAGCCAGTCCTTGTCGCCCGGGTTGGACAGCTGGGAGAGAGGGGTGGTCGTGATCGCCGGGTTGTGTGAGAAAGCGACGCCGTTGGTGTCCGTGGGGAAGATAGTTGTGTTGTCAATCTTGCCAGAGATCCAGCGCTGCATAAGCGTGATATACTCGTAGGCCGGAAGCTCGACAGGCTCCCGCTCCGCGTTGAGCCACGTGAAAGAATGATTACTATCGGAGTCAGTCTCGTCCGGCGAATCGCGGGTCTGAGATTTCACTTACGCGCCAGCGGACATTCGGGGGCAGGTAGACGGGTTGCATATAGTGCTTCTATCTTCCTCCTTCTCGTGGATAACTCGTACGAAGTTCCACAGGTTACGGTAGTGCTCGACAACTGAAGGGGAGTTAGATTTAATAACTGCACGTGGCTAAGAACAGAGCTTACCCTGGTGTGCGATCCACTCTCCTTGGTCCACGGTCTTCGGTCTCGCACTCAGCGTCATGAAGTTGCCCTTGACGATGTGCTTGGCGTAGGCCGAATTCAACCAGAGAGGCAAGGGTCGAGGGAGGTGGTAAGAGTTGAGGACCTCATCTCCGTTGGCGTTGGACAGCATACCGTTGCTGTCATCCATGCCAATATTTTGAGCTAAGGACGGTGAGTTAGGGAGCGGAGGAATTTTCGGTGCAAGACTGATGGATGACTGGCTGCCTTGGGATTGCTCGGTGGGAGAGTTGGGTTGGCCGCTGCTGGTTGAGACGGGGCTCTTATTCTGACCTGGGGCCCTGGTCGACGTTCCTCTGAACCGAGCGTTACTATAGTCCGGTCAGCAGCTGTGTCATGGGTGTATTGTGTCGAGGTTGCGAAGCAGAGCTATTGTAGGCAGCTGGGTAGTGCCTAGGAGAAACATGAATTGCGACTTGCAAGTGACGCCGAAAGCAGTAAAACAGGCTCAGCCCTGCAGCGCAGCTATACCAGGTGGGCTATACCCGGGCGGCGAATCTGAAACCTAGGTGACAGCAATCAAGCAATAATGCACTTGCACGTCGCCGATGCCTAGTCTTCCTACACTTGCCAATTGCTTCAGCAAGGCAGGTTGTGCTCGGAGAAGATCACAGCCAGGTATGTTTGTTTGCCTCGACCACCCCATGGTAGAGAACGCACAAAGACAAGGTCCAAACACCCTAGCCCAAGTCGCGAAGGGTTAGGGATATGCACGGGGAGGGTGAATATATGTCTCGAAGCCTCGTTTGTCCAGGGGCCTAGAGTGCAACACCCGGCTGCCTGTGCCTCTCAGCAACGCGGGGAACAGCACATATGCCTCAGGTATCAGTGAATCGATCGTTGTCCAAACAGGCCTCCTACCAACCCAGGTGCTTGATGTGCATGGAGAACCAAGCGTGAGAGTAGGCTGTGGATATCCTTTTGTCATGCATAACCAAAGCATTGCTCTCATATTGGGCAAGCTGGGCTGCACTCTCCCACCAGTCGAATTTATCATGAGATTTCAGCAGCCTCTCCATGTAGAGCGGCCAAACCCCGCCCAGGTCTTAGGACAATGCAGAGTGAGCCTTTGCCTGAACTCGTCCTGTCGTTTCTCATCCCGGGTATGCCTATGGACGATCATAACTGGAGATCAAGGTAGCCGTCTTCATAGGACAATCCCATGCTTGTGCAGTGACTCCTCATGAGGGGAATGCAGACGAAGAATACAAAGCAGAATTTCAAGCAATGGGGAGAAAGTGATGTTTTTCAGACGGAAGCAGTGAACCACAGGACTAAGGAAGCATGGTCGCTTACATCCCAGAGAATAAGTTCGACATGGTCGTTCGAGGTCGGCGGGGGTCGGGCAAAGGTCGAGTGCTCGAGGGTAGCGAAGTACCAAGCCGCAGACAGATTCTGGAGGCGACGAGGAGGCCTGTCCTTTCGATATTCGGCCTTGCAGTGATATTTGTGTTGCGTTGTCGGGCTCACCAATGTCCAAGTCAGAATTGCCGTTGCCGGTGCTTCTGCTTGGAAAGGGGCGAAGGGATGTTTTTCTTGGAGATGTTTCCAATGAGATGGGATGGCCCAATGAATCTCAGGCGCCGTCCAGGAGGAGCAGGTCATGGCGTCCGCCGCTAAGGCCTTTCGGGCACCAGCATTGCGATATCGATAGCGATAAGAACAACGATAACGTTTTAGCAGCAGTTGTTCCATTATCGATACCAGACACGAGGTACCTAGGTACAGGTTGGTTGTCAGTGGGAAGCTTTCGCCAAGCATTCCCATCCACCTCCGGCCTCCAGCCTCCAACCTCGCGCCGAAGAATTCCATCACAACTTGGCGCGCGAATCCCCAGGCAGCTTTTGCAGGTAGCTGCCCTTGCTGACAACTTCGTTATATACACAACTGATACCCGCCTCACTTTCAACCTCCTTCTACAGTCTACGTTCTACAACATTCGTCGTCTCCCACCATGTCCGACTCTGATCTCCCCGAGGATGGTGGTGGTGCCGACCTGTTTGGCGAGGTGGACAACGAAGCTCAATCAGAGCCCGACCGCGTACTGAGCGATAGAGAGCTGTCATTGAACCAAGATGACGGCCAACAGTACGCGCGTGATGACGACGAGGCCATGGAGGATCAGCAGGTCAAGGAGAAGACTATCATGGATGTCGCGATGTACCGACACAAAATACCCAGGGCCAAGGATGGAATGGTAGGCTACACCATCATGGAGCTCAAATGGCTCTTGGCTGACAATCTCTGTCCTGCAGCTGCAATCTCTCAAAGTCCCTCCCTTCCTGAAGTGGATGGCTGAGGAGTACAAACCCGACACATTTGAGCCTACCGAATGGGACAGAGAGAACCTCCGGTCCGAGAATCCCAAGGCGACGGTGCGATATCAGAAGGACCCCGAGACGGACGAGTTGAAGAGCAATACGCTGGTTTACAAATGGAGTGACGGGTCGATGAGCATCTCTGTGGGCGGAGACCATTACGAGATACAGAAGAGGAGCATGGCGCCACCTCCCCACAAGCCCTACCAAGAACGAGACGATGCACACTACTACGCGGCCGCCGCGCATCTGACCAGCGATCTGCTCTTAACGGTTGGCCATATCTCAGAGCAGTACACGGTGAACTTGAACCGCAACCTGCAAGACGAGGCACGGATCAAGTTTGCAAACGACATGGCCGCAGCTGCCCGTGGCAAGAGACCGAATGAAGGGGACATGATCATTACGGCTACACGCGATCCCGAACTACAGAAGAAAGAAGCCGAGTTGGCCGAAAAGGAGCGTGCGAAGGCCCAACGACGACGGGAGAATGCTTCAGCTCGTCTCGATTCCTCCCGTGCGGGTAATTACCGAAGTGGTGGTCTTTCGATTGGCGACTTGGAGGGTGGGCGAAGAGGTCCCGGTGGTGCGCGAAAGCGGGGTGCACCTGGCGCATCGAGAGCGAAGCGTCGGCGGCCAGAGTATGATTCTGACGATGACCTTCCCGAAGGCCGAGGTCGCCAGGACGAGTACGATCACGAGGACGACTTCATTGCACCTAGCGATGAAGACCAGATGAGCGGTGTTGACGATGACGACGAGGAGGATATCTTGGACGACGATGAGGAAGAGGAAGAGGCACCTCGGAGGAAGCGACAGAAGACTGTTGAAGCCGATGATGACGCCGATGCCGATGCTGATGCCGATCTGGATGATTTAGATGCGGCTGCTCCTGCCGAGTCTTCCCGATCAAGAAGACGCAACATCGTCGCTGATGAAGATGACGACGATGATGAATAGGGGAAAGTTACCCCCTATCTAGGTCGATTTCGTCTAGCTAAACAGGTTACCTCTCTTCTAAGACGGTGCCCGCTATGTACGATTCATTTGCTTCTGGGCTGGGAATTTGGCGGCTTCTAAATCATCGCGAGGCAATGGACTTCGTTACCCGCGTAGGTAGGCCACGCTATTAGTATTTACCCATTTCTTACGCACGAATGGTTTTCGCAATGTGGACAGCCCATCATCCCCTCGTAAATGATTGCATTGTATTTCATCTCAGCATATCATACCCGGTCGTTGAGGCCATTCATGAGTGGCAACCTCTCCTACGGCCACATGACGAGATACACTTACCAAAAAGCAATGCCTACGGTAGATAATAATAGGTAGACCAGATAGCTGTGTGTTTGGTATGATTGAACACGTACATAATATACCGGTACTCCTGTATGTGTTCCATCATATGACCTTCACATCGTGGTAGTCGTGACTATCTAGTATCGGGCCGCGGCAGACAGCAGGAACGGACAGGGATGATGGGACAGGCTGCAGGCGCGGGGCAGTCAAAGAAAGTGTTGGGACGACCTGGGGAAGCTGGGGAAGCTCTTTCACATGCAATGATGCAACCTCGACCTGCTCAACCTCATCCGAGATTGTGTGGAGGAAGCTCTACCTGACCTCAACTGCAGGTGCTTGGGGGACGACGACCTCGATGTGTATGCACAGCTGAGGGAGGTATCTCAACTAAGGTATCCAAGCCCCGAATCCAAGACACATTGGAAGCGTAACGTTTACCTACCTAGGTACTACCGTACATTAGCACGCCCACACGTCAGAACTACATGCGTGCACTGCACCAGCTGACTTGTCGCGTCGTATCACCGCTTTGGACTGCATACTATGCAATATACCACACACGTCCACCATGGCGACTCCTCTCCATCGTCGTTGATCCCTTCATTATAGCTCGATGGTAGCGGACAAGCCGTCGGTATCGGAATGGCATCGATATTTGGAGTCGTCGCAGCGGTCTGCTCCCTGTTCGCCGAGGTCTTCTTGTTCTGGTACAAGGTGCGTTCTCGTTCTCGAGGTTAAGTAGACTCCGCCCTGGCAGCCAACTCATGCCTATGTCGCAGAAAATCCTTGGGCGCTGGCAAACGAAAAGCCCTGCCGATGAGTGGCTCGACGCGTTGCGCGGTGTACACGTCTTCGAGGACTGGGAGCACGCGGCTCTGCAGCTGGACAACCTGAAAGAACTGAATCTATGGTCAGTCGCGGCTTCTATCGCGCTCGCTCTATATTCCCTGGCCCGTCGCTGACTGGCGTTCCTGACAAGGCGCAACGATCCCTCCTCCCACTCCTACGACTGGTCCATGATCAGCGACCGCCTCAACTCCATCCTCACCGCCCGCGACGACAACGATCTACAGTCCCTCGTCGACCTCGTTCGATCCGGCCTGGTCCGCAATCTGGGTAACATCACATCCCCTAAGCTTTACAATAGAGCCTTCGCCGGCACAAAATACCTCATCGAAGAATACATCGCCCAGGTGGCCACGGCGGTTGAAGACATCAGTGCCCAGACGGCAACAACCCCCGGAGACAGGTATACGCGCGACTACCCTCTGTCAACACAACAGAAGCTCGACTTCCTCCACGACTCGAGACAAGCTTTCGGACGTAGCACTCTCGTGTTGCAGGGTGGTGCTATCTTCGGTCTTTGTCATTTGGGTGTTGTCAAGGCCTTATTCCTGCGAGGCCTCCTACCTCGCATTATTACCGGCACGGCTACTGGTGCGCTGATCGCGAGTCTGGTAGCGATCCATACCGAAGACGAATTGCCTGGCGTGCTCAGGGGCGATGGCATCGACCTGTCGGCCTTTGAAACCCACGAGCAGCAGGTGCACAACAACTGCGTATGGACGCCGTTCTCTGGGTTGGAGACACTGGTCCGCAGGTTCCTACGGTTCTGGCGTGAAGGCTACTTCCTCGATGTGAAGGTACTGGAAGAATGTGTCAAGGCCAACGTCGGTGACTTGACTTTTGAGGAGGCGTTCAACAGGAGCAAACGAATCTTGAACATCACAGTAGCTACTGCAGCGCAAGATGGGGTCCCTACCCTGTTGAACTACATCACTGCTCCCAACGTCGTAAGTGGTTGTCGATCGTCGATCTGACTCACCTTGAGGATGTGTACTGACGACAATTGCAGTTGATCTGGACTGCGGCAGTGGCATCCAACGCTTCGACCCCTTCGCTCTACGGGAGCAGACAGACAACCGTACTCTGCAAAGATGTCAACGGCAATATTGTTCCCTGGGCACCTGCTAACACCTTCCGCCCTTGGACGCACGCATCAGACAAGGATCGCAAGTCACCACTTTCGCGTATTGCCCAACTCTTCAACGTCAACCACTTCGTGGTCAGCCAGGCTCGTCCATACCTCATCCCTTTCCTCGAGTCTGACATGCATGGACCATCAATGTACACAGCTCGGCACAAGCGAGCGCAGATCACTGGTCACATCTTTAGGATTATAGGGTTGGAGCTGCGTCATCGTTTGAGACAGCTGGACACATTGGCCCTTTTGCCCGCCAGCATACGCAGGTTCCTGGTAGATGAGGAGGTCCCCGGTGCGAGTATGATGCTGGTGCCCACCTTTACGGCCTGGGACTTTGTGCGCCTACTCGAGACCCCGACTCGCGAAACGCTCGACTACTGGATCGTCCGTGGCGAAAGGAGTGTGTGGCCTGCCGTATGTGCATTGACAGTCAGATGCGCAGTCGAGTATGATATTGAAAGAGCATACCAAAGAGCGCGAAGCCTGAAGGCGGGCGGTCTGAGGAGGAAAGCAAGTACGGCAGCTGCTCCCGACCTGGCCGAGGCAAAGGAATCAGGGCTTCTACAGAAAGGGGTCCTCGACGGTTCGGCGGTGAGCTAGGCGCATCGCCACCCTGCGATCAGGGAGGAAGCATGGGACGCTGCGACTTATTGGTACTCCAATGCCCGCGTAGATAAGACAGTCAACTCGGACTGTGGACAATTAGGCGACTACACCCACGCTCATCCGCAGGACACAGCGTCACGCAGGTGGAGCGCGCCACTAACACAATACAACTGGATGTAAGCAGGACATACACACATTACTGCAAAGGGTCGGAATCATTATCAGTGTGGATCCATGTGCAGTAATGGGCTGCGCTGCTGCAGGTGTGTAGCATCGGCAGCATCATCGTCTATGGAATGCATGGAAGCATTCGTATGACCTTCGAGAAACCTGCCGCTTTTTGACGTGCCCCCCTGCCCCCCTGCCCTCTTGTACGTATTCAAGGATTCATATTGGCCACGCGGCTACCAGCAAGGTAGAAATATCAAGATTACGCCGATCTTTCCGCTCTGTTTGGCAGCGTGCATCGGACTTCACCCTCACGCGTCGTCTCGGATGGAACGCTCAGAGCCTCGTCGGGGCGGTGAACCAGCTCCTCCATGGCCCCTGCCGCCCATGCGCCCTGGTTCATGGATCTGCTGGATCTGGTGATCATGCCAGGGCGATCCCATCCATCGTCACAATGCATCGCAGGCAAGTCCGTGTGCGCGACGTGATGTCCGTGGTACATCCAGCTGTCACCACAGAGTTTTGATTGGCGCCGTTGTCGTGCATCTCTTATCTCTATCTCGTACTCGTCCAGTAACCGACGAAGTTTGGTGGAACAGTTGTAGGGGAAGGGGCTTTGCCGACTCAGCCCTGCCATGGAATACTTCTCGAAGCCTGCCTCTTTGGGGACCCTGGTATATCCTCACGAGTCACTGCCGCACCCACTGACTCTTTTCTTATTACCGTAGCGTTCATCATACCCACCCCTTCGTGGCTTTGCCCATCCATCATGTACGGAAGCCCTTCCTATTCGACGCCAGCTCACTTTAGCCGGCCGGCGTTGCTGTGTGCGGTGTGATAACTACTAATAAACTTACCGCGTAAGCGATGGGGACGCTGCGCTTTGCGAGTTCATTAAACTCTGAACCCTGAAACATTGATGGCTACGTCTGTGATATGATGTGATGTGGCGTGTGATGTACGGCGACTGGCACAGCAAAATCTCTGACTGTCAGCTCGGCTCGAGATCGACAAAGGAGGAGTTTCTGCGAAGTGGAAAAACGGAGTCATAGCTCACTGGGGAGCCAGATAGAGATGGCGGCGCTTGCATGTGGGAAGAGGTTTGGTGTGCGCGAGTCTTGGGGTTGGATCGGATTCCGGTGATGGGCCACTGACTGGCCACTGGCCTGCTTGCTGTCTGATATAAATCGACTTCTAGGGAGAATGGATGGGATTGGGGATTCGTTCTATGTACCTATTTGGCTCGAATGCAGGAAGGCCCCTTGGGACTCTCTCTACATAGCACCACCTCCCGCGAATATTCTGCCAACGGGTGGTATCCTTCTGTCACTACCTAGATAGTGGACCGCTTGTCACGTCCCACCGCCCCTGAGGCCATGGCGGATGCTGCTTCGCAGCATCCAGCAGACCTTGAACACTGCAACCAACCAACCAACCATCCTTCTGTCACATGGGCGTGAGCAGGGCAATGTCGATCAGATCATCGATTCACTGTGACACCGCGCTTCGCCCTCCGAGGCGTCCACCTTGCCAAGATCGAAGGCTTCTAGAAGGCTTCTGGAAAGCTTCTAGCGCTGTCGCACATGCAGCCTTGGCGGCCTGACGCTGACCTGTTCCTTGCAGGGCTCGGGCTGATCGGCAGCTTTGCTACTGTACTGGTACTGTGTGCGGTAGGACTCAAAGTGACGTCGGGACGGTTCGTCTTGTGTTCCGTGGCTCTCGATGCCTAATAAGTGTGGGGTGAGTGCTACAGCATAGTAATTGGGGGTTCAGTGGCCAGGTGTCATCAAGCTACCTTAGGTGCTCTGTACGACATGTGTGTCACACTTGCTGGCGAGTTGGAGTCCGGATTCGTTACTGGTGCGTGCCAGATGAAGGTGCGATTGACTGCCCATGTCACTGTGAGTGACCTGGCCGACGATCACTTCATACTGACGACGGCAACTAGGTAGGTACGGGGGAACGGGGGAACGGGGGGTGAAGAGTGGGGTTCCCCATATCGCACGCATTCTGTGTAAACTGCAGGGCAGGTGTACGTTTAAATCTTTAGCAAGTGACGACTGCGTCGCTCGTACCCGACATTTCCCGACTTCCGCCTCGATTTACTCTAGTCAGTCTCACTTCTTCAGCTGGCAACAACATACCAGCATCCGACCCCATCATCGTTTCGGAGGCGGAGTTACACCACCGTCTTCATCGTGCAACCTGCATGTTGGCAAAGGAAACTTCCGGATCGTCTTCAGCTGAACGCTGAACGCTAGACCCGCCACGGGCGCCGTTGAGTCGACTCTTGACAGCTTCGGTGGGGTGGACAATGGACATGGATGATGGGACTCGGCTCCGGCAGGGGAGCGATCATCAACATCTTCATCACCTCCCCCTTTGTACTGATGGACGGAGCCGCGTAGCGAGTGCTACTGTACACAGCCTCTTTTCGCTATCACGGAGGAGCTCTTTGCATCTACTGCAGCCTCCAGAACGCCGTGGACCACTCAATTCCACAGAACGTGTTTCGGATGCTCTGAAGATCCTGTGGTGCTGCTGCTGTTGCCGTGATTCCAGCAGCATCCAGTAGCATCATTGCTGAATTTCAGCATGTGTGTGTGGGCAAGGCCCGGATTGCTCAGCTTGCTGTGTCTGTCGGTGAGCCCAATCGTCCTTCGGCCAGGCAGCATGCTTGATTCACCCACACGCCCATTATCCATTCGCTTTCGACTCTCGACACCAGCATTGCATCACAACAAAGCACCGTCTCAGTCTAGCTGCCAGACCGAGCTGTTGGAGGAAGCGCACGCAAATGGAAAGCCACTCCGTCATGTTGAAGTCCTACAAATATGTTGCTCGCCCTGTCTGCTCGTTGGGTCACAGGTGGCGAGTAACGCCCATACGAACTCTCGTTACGTGACCTTGAGAGGCCCCAATCGGGAGCTGTGCTAGCTTCGGGGAATGAAACTGCTACAGGGATCCAGCTTCATCGAGTATTACGCCTAACGGTGACGAGGGTGCAAGCTGATCTGTCTCTTGAATGCAGTCCTGTCAAACAGTCCTGTCGACGACCGAGCGGTCAAGACAAAGCAGACGCCCTGTCCACTCAGCGCCGTCCTTAAACGATACTTCCATGTATAGTGACGATGTCGCTTCCTCGAACGCCACAGCAGGGCGAGACAAAAGACCTGATTAAAGGTAGTGAGAAGCTACCATCAGTCAGTCATCTGCCACCATCCCTCGGGCCTCAGATGCTGCGGTTTCGGCCTCGACCCGGCTACGGAGTACTTGGCCAGAGACTGTGGAACAAAGCTGTCTCACCCATGTCTTACCCGTTGATTTCGTGCCTGGCCGGGTACCACTCGAGCTGACCGTAGGAAGGGGAGGGTGACATCGTGGGATGGCAGTCGCCTCACTGCCTCGCGCTTGCCCTGCAGTGCAATGCCATCTGTGAGCTGTAGAAGCGACATGGTAGGTGCCGAGTCGCGTTACGCGGACTGAAAGAAATTGTATGGCAAGTGACTCGCCAGCCGGGGTGCTACTGCAAATACCAGAATACATGCCAGGCACTTGTGTGTGAGCTGCATTGCACTGCGTTGCACTGCGTTGCATTGCGTGCGCAGGTGGTCAGCTTGGTGCCTTACACAGTACACGAAAGGACCCCCATCCCCGAAATGTTTACGGTTGCATTTAAGCTTGATTGCAGTCTGCAGAGCATCATGAAACGGATCGCCAAGGCTAAGTGGTCACATTGTCTGCCGGCTATGCTGACTAGGACCTGTATACAGTACTTTGAGTAATTGCCGGCAAAGGAAGCGTTTCCCAGGTATCTTCTACGATCCCACAGCCAAACAAATCGCTCACTTGATGGCCGTTTGAAGATCCATCTCCATTCGTCGACTCATGAGAGTGAGGCTACAGCACGGATCGCGAGATCTGTTCTAAAGGAATGTCTTGGCCTTGCTTGGGCTCTTCGTCACTCCCACGTCGGACGTCTATCGGTCCACCGGCTGCCACAACGACCGCGGCTCTTGCAGAACAGCTTGAGGTGTTCATTGGCCCCCATGCATTCAAGCCGCGCCAGCTTTCCCCAGGCCCAGTCCAGACCACCCTGCATGGCGAATGTACCTTCAGCGCCGCCATCCACGGCGAGCAACGAATGACGTGTGGACGTGTCTCATCCCAGTAACTGGAGAATGAAAAGCTGTTCATCTGCTAACAAGTACCTAGGTATGTGATGGTCGGGCAGTAATAGGATAGCCTGAAGGACATAAGATACAGGCTTTCCCACCAGCATTTTTCAAGTCGGATATCCATCACCAACACACTTATACAGCTTTGGATGCCACTTGATTGTGAAGATAAGAGATACATCATTCTATTATTTTCTGTACCACTCTTCAGAGGTTTCGTTGGAGGAAAGCTCAAAACACTGCGGCCACCCAATTCCGGTAGCACATCCACGACATGAGCGTTACGGTGCCCAAGCCTTCTTATTGACACGTTCGCTGGCAACACATTTCCCCAGTTCCTCCTCTGTAATACTTCTTTCATATACAGTGAGCCCATCGTTCGTCAGATAGTCTCCTGTTGCCATATTGTTGCATACAGCTGCAACCTTAACAGCTCCTTGAGGTTTCCATCGGCACCCCACACCATCAACATGCCTCTCACAGACAACTTCAGCGCCCAGCGTCCACCGCATCTCAACCTGACCAACATCCCGTCAGCCTCTATAGCCGGGTCCGCTGCCGAGCCGCGAACCCCTGGCGATCTCGACGTTGACCTCCAGCACACGCACCCCGACGCCGAAGATTCATACGAGCCTCAGCACTATGCCCACTCGTCTCCCTCATGCTACACCGAGAGCACGGTGACTGTCACGGGTGACACTGCCGTCCCACGCGGTGACCTCTTGTACTTCATAAACCGCGACTACGACGGTGCGGCCCAGCCCCTGACTCAGCATGCCATCGAGGCCCTCAACCACACATACAACACTGGCGCGTACACTGGTGACATCCGCGAATGGGTTCACGGCGGACAGTTCGCAGGTCACGAGCAGACCGAGCTGAGCGCTAGCATGATGGTCACCAAAGGCCCGCGAAGCCATGCCACCACGCAGACCACTGGCTCGTCCTGGACCATCGTATCGTCGGTGCCCTCGCGCTCGCACGACGACCGCACTGCCGACGCCGTGTGTGCCACGGGCTGCAAATTCGATGATATCGCGGCTCACCCATCCGGCTCGAGCATCCTGGATGAGGACTTCTACTGAGCGGCGGTCTTCCATAAAAGCCTGGAGGGAGGACGAAGACGGCGACGATAATTGCACTGATTGTACGATGATGCTAAACGGCCGTCGTTAGAGGCGTACGGCCTGGACTGGATTTGGCGAAGGATTCGGCGGCGGGAGGCGTTACCTTACCTTATGTTTGTCATTCACCTAAGTATTGGGCACTCGGCTTGGGCTTTTTCCCCTTTCCCAAAAGAAAACAACATCATCCCGGCGGAATTTTCCATGCATTTTCAAGTCCATCTTTCATGTACCGGCGGCCGCAAAAGAAACATGAGAAGGGAGGCACCAGTTCGGATGGCATTCTGATCGAAGACGTGGTCTTTGCCCACGCAGCACTTGCTTTTTACTTCCTGTTTAGATATTACGAGCATGACTCGGTCCCCATAGCTGCAATGAACTGATCTCATTTATGCACTTCACTTCACCAGCCCATGCCTTCCACTCGAAGATGACGACGACTGGGCTCGAGTCGGGACATACGGGCACGTGGGATGATCTAGACCTTGTCCAACGACTTCGCCTCACCCACCCCGCGCTGCTACCCTGTCGATCTCTTTTAGGAGCCATCTCCATCAGCGTCTTGCTGTCACGCCACAGCTCGTGGTGGTGTGTCATTCCCTCTGCTACATTCACGACGCCCAGACCTGGGAAGATATATAGTATGTGTGGGACACGATGAAAGCTTAGCATGCATACGTACCTGATCTCACCTCAGCTCGGTTCGCTTGCACCCATCATATACCACACATTCAATCACCCACCCACTCTTGTTACCCCAACTCTTCCGCTCAATCTTTGGACCCAGGTAATCTACCACATCCGGGGTTACTGCAGCCAAGGTCGTATTCGCTTCGCCCACACCTTGCGAGCGAGCGGGGAGCTCTCTTCTCCATTTTGCACTCTCATTCTAGCCTCCATTCTCAGCCTCCATTCTCCAACGATAACCGGAGCCCAGCGAATATTTCATTCCATCCGCTCGGCAAGCCGCACGGTCGGGCCCCACAGATGCGCGTAAACCTGGTTCCGTCTGGCCTTATAGTAGCAGACGTTCAGAGCATGGATTTTGGATTGCAGATTCTCCCTCGTGGGGGTAATTGCGGTTCAGCCTGTTATCGCCAGCTAGCCTGGCTGGCTGGTGGTTCGATGATGCCGACGCACGCTGACGCCGGTCGATGTCGATGGAGCTTCTTCTCCAAGTCTGCAAACCCGGAAGCCTGGTTAGCGATTGGGCGCGACTACACGGTACTGTAGACCGTGTTTGCGATATATGAGAACGGCACCCACTTCATGTTGCAGGACGGCACTGGCGCTGCAGCAACTGTACCTGCACCTGCAGCGAACGTAGGGGGATGGGCGAGCAGCATATCTACTCCGTAGTATCTGATGGGAATGCCGAGTTCTTGGGTGTCGTCGTCCATTGTTCCATCTGCCTTGCCCGTGAGAAGGTTTTCCCGTCCCGCGGTACATAGCCGCGATGTACAGCAAGCGAGGACCCAACACCGCGGCTCCGCACCGTCATGGCGCCCGCCACTTCTCCTTCTTCTGCTCAACTGCGCCCAAACCCTCGCCGACAACGCCACAGGAAAAGGGAAGAGGGAAGAGGCACTGAGTCGACAGTGGGGCCACGATGCCGCCGCGGCGATCGTGGGTGACAAGCATCATGCACGGGCGCGGGTCGACGAGCAACCTGCATAACCGCTGGACCGACGTCCTGGCGGCTGGGCTGCGGTTGCGTGCTGAAAAAGGCGGCGGATGGCCGTCGGGTTATGCATGATGGGTTGGGGCCTAATGCTCGTGAGTATTGCGTCTCCTGTTTCATCACATCCCCTTTGCCAGCCCTGTCAATAAGACTGACGCCGTTCCCTGTCTGGCTATTCCTGAGTCTTCGTAATCTGGTTCGGGAGATGGACTGGACTGTGCTGGACCCTTCCTTCCTGGGTGAGTGTCTACCAGCTAATTAATTCAAGAGCCCGCTCGTAGTGAGCCGGGTCGAGCGAGATAGTCATTTCGCAGCCGGGGCGTGCGCTTCGCGATGGTGTATGAAGGCGTCAACAATATCGGGACGCGGCTCATCGCGGCGATCGAGCAGATGATCACGCGGATGCAGGCCTTCGGCATCCCCGTGTTCAGGTGTACGAGTATGTGATTTCCCTCCTAGTGGGCTCTTGAGGTTCTTCTTTCCGGCCTTCTTCCGTCTTATACTGTTCTACCAGCTTGTCGAGGATGTCGTTGTAGCAAACCCGGCGGAGGGCCCAAGGGGTTTCGAAGGAGCATGGTCCGGCTTCGAAGGGGTTCGTTGCACCCGGTGCTGCCTCGTATCCCCAGGTGTTGCACGAGAATCTCCTGGCTCCTGTCCTGCAATCACCACTTTCAGCGAATCCGGCCAGGCCAGACCTACACAAACGCTGAGCGCGACCGAACCCACCAGAACGTCAATGCATGGATCCGCTCCAGCGGCCGCTTCGACGGCGTCGTCGACTTCGACGCCGCGGTGTGGAACAGCTCGCAGCCGGACATGCTGCGGACCGAGTATGACTCGGCGACTATCTGCACCTAAACCCGGCGGGCTACGTCGTCATGGGCGAGGCGGTCGACCTGGGGCCGTTCGAGCGATTTGCCGCCGGCGTGGACAGCATGGAATAGTGAAGATAAGAGGTGGTGAGCAAAGAGATATTTCGTATCGTGATGAGGTCTTGTCAACAAGGCTCAGTCGATCGGAGCAGACGTATGCAGCGTGCCATATTTGCAGAATGGGGGACCTAGCGATGAATGAGGAGAATTTAACATCAAGGAAAGGGGGAAGGAATGACACAGAACTGATAGTTAGGCAGTAATGGGCGAAGTTGGCCTGCGGGCGAGGCACTTTCATGTGAGCTGGCCATTCAGGCTAGACCTCGCCGCAGCTCCCAACGAATAAACGGCCAGCAGCAATCAAGAACAAGCAGGTTGATTGGGCTGAAGAAGGAATGACATGGCACCATTCATACCAACAGTGGATCCTGGGCATACATATCAGCTCGATTGGTGGAAGATCAGCAGCATGACACTTTAAAATTGGTTCAGGATGACAATAGACCTTAGGCCTGTTTTTCTCTCAGGCGCCGTCGCTATATGACTACATTATCCGAGGGAAGAGAAGCTCGGTGAAGGGCTCAAGCCTCTCTTTCGCTCACCGATATCAAGCTCATGTCCACAAACGAATGCTGCCATCGGCACCGGCGCTGACGATCCACTGCAAATTTGGTCAGTATACCTAACTACACGAAAAATGAAGACACGTGAGGGTGGTGCTGTGAGTAAAAACCGCAGACAGGGTGTTTACAGGAAGGACCAAAGTGCATATTCGAACTGGAAATGGAAGGGGGGTGCAAATGAGGTATTAAGCATTGCTTACTGGGTTTTTAGGATGCCAATCAATATCTGTGACACCGAGCCTTTGTTTGACCTTATGCCCAGAAAGAGTCTTCAATGGCACGATCTGTGGCGCTTCCATGAGATCATTGACGACCTTGCCATGGTATATCTGAATTGTGCCGTCATCGCTGGAATCGGCCCAGATAGGATATGATCGCTGGAGTATTGGAGTCAGAACGAGATGTCTAGACAGTTCGTGTGGTAGAGGGCTGTTCCACGAAAACGTGACAGACAGATACAGGTAGGCGATCCAGAGTCTGAGGCAGAGTTGCTGTAAAGCAATAGGCGTGGGAACTTGCTTACATGGAATTTGACAGATCGAATAGCTTGTTCGTGGAACCGCATTGTTTTGTATGGCTTTGGTGACATTTCGAGGTCATGCCAGAGTAGGCGACGATCATACGATCCGACAACGAGATTGTCACCGGCTGAGCAAAGTTAGTCGGTGAATCCATGATGTGAAGGGCAGCAGGTGGTCCGTATTCTTACCAGGATGTATGTCAAAGGAAGATATCCACCGGCAGCCAGGTTGAACCGTCTTAACCAGCTCCTGCCTCTGAAGATCATAGACGCGGATAGACCGCTGAAGGGCAACGAATAAAAGTGGCTTTGATGGTGAAAAGGCGGCAGCTTGGGGTACTATCACATTCAGGTCAGCAAATGTTCATCTTACATGGTGCCATTTTTAGGAGCAGCCAAGAGACCCTCTCGTGGGTAAGAGGCCAAGGAATGTCCGCCCTCAGATAGCATGAGGATGTACTTGTGGTGTTGCTTACTTCCTGGTAGTTTCCGGAACGGGATCTGCGTTTGGTGCTTCGACAACTAGCGAGATCAAGAGTCAGCGATATCTCTTCTAGCTTGCTTCGGAACTTTGACACCGGAGAGCCGGGCAGAAGTTTCAGACAACGTACTGTATGTATGGCCACCGCACTCCTTTGGCCACTGGGCGAGACCGTGGTGAAGAAATCACCCCGTCTATGCCAATGTATGGTCTTGATCGACGACCGCACAGTAGCCTTCAACAAGACGCCCTCGTCCTCCAGGCGGCCGCCAGGCCTTGACCACTTTGCCGGCCCATCTTTTCTGGCTCCAGCTGCAGTCGTCTGCTGCTTCGCATTCGCAGCATAACCAAAACCGGCGTCCAGCACATCTCTGCTGGCTTGTTCGACTTCCGGGTTTTCGATAGATGGAATCATGAAGAAAATGTCCTCGCCAACAGCTGCGGATAGTATCGTGGCTTCGTGACCTGGGCGCCATCTCACCACATCCACAGGGTCTTCGCTACTGAGCTTCACTTGCCATTGCTGTTTGCCATCTGTGAGGCCCCATACTCTCACAGTACCGTCGTCGCCACCACTGGCAAGCCATTGTCCGGAAGGATCGATAGACACCGATCTTACTCGGCCATCATGGCCTAGATATTCGACACTCGCTATAGAAGGGAACGGCCGCAGCTCTTCCGGGCGTGGCAATTTAGGAAGCAGCGATGCCGGGTCGATGTGGAGTCTCATCTTGCGAACACGAGGCGCAAGATATAGATCCAGAGACCTAGAGAACCTCTCATATATCAACCGATCGTACGCCGGCTGCAAATTAACGTCAGTAAATGCAGAGCATTGCTAGCAAGGGCAATACTAACAGTGCGCCTCAACGATCCGTGGCTTTGGGGGAGATACTCCTTTTCTCGTTCTTCTGGATCCGCATCTTCCCACGCCTGGCGTTCAGCCTTTGTGGGGAGATATTCAGGTGGAGGGTTGTAGGACTCATCGTATCCTGGAGGGGCGGGCTTTGGAGCAGGTATATGCATGACGTTGGGTGGTCGTGGTGTCTCCTCAGCCCACAGGTCGTAATGAATTTCTTCCTCCTCCTCTCGCTCTCTCTCCCTCTCCTCCGGGGGTTTGTACGGGAGGATACGACCCTCGCGGATTGCTTTGACCAACTTCATCACTCGCTTAGCCTCGTGTTTGGAGGGCAGGAAGCGCCTCTTGGGTTCCGGAGCTGCGCTCAACGGCATTGTCTCCTCCATGCTAGTAAACCACTCGACAGTGTCGGGATAAGGATCGTAGTCCTCTTCTGGAAGCTCATTCATCTGGACTCGCTTCAGTAGCTCCAGTTGCTCTCGACTTAGATTCAAAGCCTTCCCAGTTTCCGGGTCTGTAAGGCCGGTCCAGCCTTCAGGCACTTCGATACTTTCGAGCAAAGCATCAAGCGCTTCGCCAGTTGCTGGGCGCATAATCTTCTTGCCATTGATATCATATCCTATGTGAGGGTAGGAGTCGTAGAAGGAGAGAGGAATATTTCCGATCTATAACACATATGAGTTAGTTGACGTTTGCACCGACGATATTGGTGTTTGAACATTCCAATCGGGCGCGTCTGCTCCCAGAGACTGAACATGATAGTGTAGGGTGGGCTCGCGAGTACCTACCGTGTTCACAGGTTCCTGGGCATCGGAATCGTCCGTGTCGTATACCGCTGGATCGATCTCGTCGTAGATGTACCGAGTGCCTCCGTTGGCATCAGTCTCAATGCGGTAATTGGGGCCGTCATCTTCCTCTGCGTTGCCAAATCCGTTTGTGAGCTTCTTCTCCAAATCTTCACCGTCTGTTGGTATGTCGTCGCTTTCTAGGTCGTCGTCCTCGGCACTGCTGTCCCCACTGCCAGCTTCAGCGTCATCGTCGAAGTCGGCGTCGGATTCGTCATCGGAGTCGTCTTCCAGCAGACCCTCCAGGAGCCCGTCTCCAAACTCGTCGTCCGACTGAGCGTGATCCTCAGCAGCTGCGGCAGCGGCCTCGACAATGGAAGCTTTGCGCTTCAGACTGGACTTTGTCGGAGCCATTGGCTTGGTGATAGTCGCCGAGCGACTCGTAGTCCTGCTTCAGATAGTTTCGCCGTTATTGTCGATGTGTTGGCCTGTTTGAATAAGCAGTTCACCGAGGGGATCTTGAATGCCCGGGCCGAATATGTCTACGGGGTCAGCTGAAGTCTTCGAAGATGTAAGCAAAATCGACTTTTTTTTTGCTGGGAAGATCTGAGGTGGGGTGGCAGAATCTTGAAAAAAGTTGACCGCCTTCCCTTATCGCTCAGCCAGCTTATCCCGACCCACATCAGCTCCGGGCCACCCCTTCTCTCCCTTCTCGAGGATCCGACAATCCAACTTCTTCCCGAGGTTATCCTCGTTTCAAAAAGAATGGCGAACAATACATATTCATTCTGATGATGGGTCTTGCTCTGAATGAAGGCGCAATTATCTGTTGCAGTGTCCAACCAGGCATCGTCTGCACTGCTTACGTATCTCTTCTTCGCTTGTTACTTGGACGCCTACTTCAAACTCAACCTTGAAGCCACTTCCATTAGGTATGGAGTTTGGGGTAGCCGTATCGATTGCGATACCCAATTACCCTGACAGGACCTGATACTCTGATCCTCGTATTCAAGGGGCATGTCTGGAACATCAATCAAGGTATCACCTTGAGTTCGAAGCGGTCGTACTACTCCAGTGAAGTAGGGCAAGGCAAACATGAAGTCACATATCCTTGGACACACTTTTGAGTTCCCTAATGACTACTATCACTCAGTCATTCCTATGCAGAGTTGTTGCGGATGTTGAAGCCGCATACGCTCGACTGGCGTCCGCGGCTTCGTCATCCGTACGCAGCTGCCATGAAGATTCGCAAAGCGGCCACTGCACGTTTGGTGTAAGGCCGCCTTCTGTCCTCGAATCCAGCCTCAGAGAAGTGTATCTTTATTCTTATGATCGGGGGGCAGTCAAAGCTCGCCCTTATCCCTCCTAATGATGGTTTCACTAGTCACCACAATCCGCCGTACCGAGCTATCATCGCCCATCTTGAGGTCGACCGAGCTGTCGTCCAGCGATAGACGTTTCCCCACTGTCACCTCCGTGTGCTGCTTGGCCCGGTGGGCCCCCATATTGCCCAGCTCCAGATCTTCCCGCGGCTCTCGCATCTGGGTGAAGCCTTGCTTGCGGCTCCCGCCATCGACAGTGCCAAATAAGGAATCGTCGCTCTTCTCCCGCCGACGTGCCATTGGGAGCAGCGCCTCAACTATTCGGTCAAACACGGGCCCTAGCAGAAAGCTGCTTGAGACCATTATTGCCAAGCCGACTTCAACTGCGCCATAAATGGTGATCGCAACCACATTATATGCTGTATCGGTGGGTTCGGTTTGCAGTGAAGTGTACAGTCGGACTGCAGCAAGTACCGTGATTCTGTCCCGTGGATGTCAGTCGATATATCTCAGCCATGCCGGCAGTATCTACTTACAGGATACCACCACTGAACAGGCACACGATGCCGACTCTATACCGCCACTGCATCCTGAACCTCCATAACATACGAACGGGAAACGTGAGGACCAACAGGTTCTTTATAATGTCAGTTATTTCCACCGCTGCAAGGACGGCAACATGGTCGCCGCATGCACCATCGGCGGTACGAGGACTCCAGTTCATCTCGGTCGGTCGACAGATAAGAAGGCTGGTGAGTATGGCGGGAATCATCCAAATAATATAAAAGCCCATGACGCAGTACGCATTGAGCCTGAAGCGACGGCCAGGAAAGGTGGGTATCAATGTCCGTAGAATACTGAAATTGACCAGACCCAGTATGGTGACGTGTAAGAACTGGTTGGCGTAAGCAGCCTGTTGTTCAACACCTTGCAGTTAGTCTCAGTCAACCAGTCAAGCGCGTATCAGATGACTGACCCTCGAGAGCCGAACGAGATGCCACGGCTGCAACTCGCTTGTAGGATGGCCCATTCCGCCTGCCAGCACCATTACGATGTTCGAAGCTACCAGCCCATAGAATAGCACCGTGGCCGTGATGTTCAAGCCATCCTCCGCGAAGAAGGCGCGGCTGTCACGCTTGAGACTCCAACCCCGCATGAACGTCCACAGTGCCGTTACGACGACGAGAACCAGTCCAGAAGCAATAACGGCCCATCCCTCTGTTGTTGGCGGCACCAGTTCGGTCCCGATGACTGGGATGAGTGCCGTGGTGTCGTTCGTCATGATCTCAAGTCGGGCTTGGAGGGACATTTCGGATGCCCGCGAAGGTTTACCGCGCAAGGCGTATCGCTACGCTAAGGAAATACTCAGATCTATCTGTCCTCGGAATGAAACATCGATGAGAAAGCATCATGATCAGAATCCTGCCGGGACTCCACGATCAGATATATTATATAAATTACAAAGGAAGAGACACAGGAGCCGGCACGCGTTTCCAGGGATGGGATCTGCATCATGCATGCAGGCCGGGGTCCGTTTCGAGGCACAGCCAGGGATCTCCAGCTTGGGGTCAGCTGAACAGCCGGCAGGGGATGAGATGGCCCATGACCCGGGGCCATGGGTGAACTACTGTGCAATGAAATTTACCAACCTGAAACCCATTTCTTCTTTTACCGATGATTCGGGCTAGTATAGTTCTCACATTAGTAGGCGACGCCTCTCGGCTATGCCGACTGAGCTTCCAAGGCGGCGACGAATTGCTTCTGGAGTTGCTGAACCTACCATTGCCAAACTCAGTCTTTGCTCGGCACTCAGCTGAGGTTAGCTGAACCTCAGCTACCTGATTAGTGGTTACTATCGTGTTTACTGATGCTCATGAGTCTGCTGGCGTGTACCTGGGCCGATACACGGTGACTGCGGTCCCTTTACATGCACTTGGAATATGGAATCAGGTTTGGGTGCTTTAGCGACGAGAAGCACACACAGCGCAAACCCAGAACGAGTGAAGCCCCATGGGTCTTGTCTCATGCCATCGAGATGATATCTGGTATTCCTTTAGATACATTGCCATGCCTTCTCAGTATACAGATTTGCCAGTATTCACCACCGTCTGCAGCCCGTCGATAGCCCCCGACTCTGCCATATCCACCACGAGATCAGCGAGCATTCCCTCGCAATGCGCTGCAGCGATGATACCGATAGTCACGAGTAGCTCCTTGTTCTGCCTGGTGATGCGGGAATAACACCTCAGGACACCGGTCGGCACCGTGTAGTCGGGAATGCCGGCGTATACAGCCTGTAACGTGGCTGCATAGGTGGCACCGAAGCGGTCAGGGTACTCGACGTATGTCTACGCTCTCGTGAGTCATCCATTTCGCGGAGTGAGTTCTTCAGTAGGAGAAGGCTTACATCGCGGTAGTCAATGGTTGCCCGGCCTCATGGGATAGACAACCAGGGACTCCTCGCGGGAGGGCACGATCTCCGACTGGTACCACGCGTTGTACGCCAGCACGCGGTCGATGGCTGAGTTGTACCCGTCCGGTCACCGTGATCGAGACACCGTTGGGCTGATAAGTCCTAATCCTTGGTTGCGTAAATTTGGTACAACTTCAACGCATAGAAGCGCGTCTCTTCGCATTATAATACGCTGGTAAGGTGAGACGTCTCTCATTGCCCTCTCCTCCTTTGCCTTGTAGTCGAGCACTCACTAGTACGAAACTGATCGTCTCGAATTCGTTATATGCATAGCTGATCTATACATCAACTAATCTTGTAGCCATGTTCAGGCAAGCTCCAGCTCGATCAGCGAGTCCAGACTATGAGGATGCCGCCATATGCCGGTTATCTTCAAGCCCACAACTTCATACACCTTTGTTTGCGTGTCCCGCTTCCGTCCGGTGACGCGCGCCCAAGCTCGCCATGAGTTCCCAGTCGAGACAAGCTACTATGCGTCAGTGGTATCCCTTAGTAGAGGCCTTTAGCTTTGTTTCACGTACTCTGTGCCCAATGCGCGCCCTGGTTCGGCACTACGAAGTCGTTGATGAGTATCTTGGAGTAGCCGCGCTTCATGGCCGGTACTATGGCTCTCAAGATTTGTGAGTTGACTTCGTCGTTCCAGTCTTGGATGATAGAATGGAGGTAGTATGCTCGGGCACCTTGATTGGTCATGTCAGCCATGCCGATAATATATCACTCTAAGCTGTGACGCTCACCTTTAACCGGTTGCTCGGTCAGAAAATCGTGACTCATCTTCTCAATTGAAGAGTCCAGCTGCGCCAACTCAACGATTTCGTGCCTGTCCTGCAGCACAAGCTTGCCTGGTATATCGGCGCCAAATGCCTGCTTCAGACCTTCGATGTCGTGCCCGGTGCCGCCTCCGACGTCGACTAGGAAGGGGGCACTGTTGTCCGCACCGCTTATCAGCCGCTCTTTGACTGGGTAGTACTCCGAGTCGAACCATCTCGGCCTCCCCTTGCTCCAAGCTTCCATCACGCTGGCGAACCGTCTGCCCATCTCCGGATCCCGCTGCTGGAAGTACTCGAAAAGGTGGAGGCCTTTGCAATCGAACGCATGTTGGAACTGACAGTCTACGCCCGAGTCTGGACACTTGAAGCCGTTTTGGCGGAAATATGAAGGCATCCCGTTGAGAGCGGGCTGGAAGTCGTCCACGATGAACAGCACGGAATCTTCGTACGCGGGTTCGGCAAAAGCATTTGAGGTAGGAGTGGGAGCAAAGGTGTCGGGACCAGTCCCACGGACGGTCCCCATGGCGGCGAGGTGACGGAGCATGCGTCCTGTCTTACGCCTTAGCTGTCGTTCATGCATATGAGCTTCGGAGTCATACCGACGAGAAGTGGCTCTGCTTGTGGTTCGCATTTTGAAGCGATCTCTGTAGGCGTCTCTCCGGCTGGCTCGACATCAATCATGGCCCGGAACAGCTTCATCTCCACGCCCGTTCGGATGATGGAGAGGTGAGTTGGCTGAGACCAGAGCAGGGCTAGCATCGTTTCTGAGGGGTGGCTGAGCTCTGCAACGAGCTTCGAACAGGCGCCCAGGAGGCCTTCTCGCGCGCCCTGCTGGCCATTTTTCAAGCCGTCGCTGAACTTTGAGATCTGGTAGAGGAGGGAGAGGGCCTACTTGGACGGGGTGTCGGTAGCCATTGTTGCGGATAATCGATATCGGTAAGAATACGCAGATATAATCGAGCTCCTCTGCAGTCAGCAGGAAATGGACTCGTACTATACCATTACGGGCGGCACCGCCTCATCCCGTCCACCCCAGAATACCCGTCTAATTGGCCAAAAGACACTGCATCGACCTGCAGGCTGCGCGGACATAGCCGTCGGCTTCCTCTGGCAAGTAAGCGCCATCGCTTCTCGTGTATGTATACTTCAACCGCTTGATCTCCCGCGTCGAGCACATCAACATGGATTGTATTCTTCAGCTCGTGGGGCCATCCATGGGCACCCAAAGGTCCCAAAACTGGCGTATCTTCACGATGTGATCACGTATATGTAGCCACTGAGATACACCACTCATGCTCAAGACACAGACCCTGGATGGAGGTGGCCCCCGGCAGACGCTGGAGGAACTTGATCTGCTAACGCGACAACGGACATGGTCTGATTCACCGTGTTGCAAGGCCGATCGACAGGCACAAGTGTGTACCATAGAGAAGGACAAGATTGCGCGGGAGTATACTTGACTGAAAGACAGGAGAGCGAGGCTTCAATCATCGATCAATCAAGACGCGTTCCACCGTGGCTGACAATAGGAGGCCACTGCCATTATGACAGACAAGCACTAAGCCAACTGAGGCTTAGTGTACGGAACTGCACTAGGCTTATTGGGGATTAGTGTACGCGTACACTAACAAGCTCCACATTTTCCCATATCCCTACAGCCGAGTGGAGGCGGGATGATTGACGGCGATCCAACCTCTCAGCCTCTGTGACGCCATGTCTACGGTGAACTATGACCTTGGGCCCCAGAGGTCTGTACGGCGACGGTCTTTGGGCTCACAAAGTAATGTTTATGTCTAGGTTTAGACACTGCCTATGATACGCCTCATTGTTCGTCTTGAGTCATGATCGAGCTGAGGCTTCAGTCATGGATGAAAGGGGGCTCCGGTCATGGCGTCGATGACATTCGCATCTTGAATACTGAATCTCAGTATCAGCCCTGTCAACCCGGAAAGCCTGGCCCTTCATTTGTACATGACACAATGGGGCTCAGCTCTTGGCTATCCGCTGTCGTATCCTCTCGTTGGGCGCAAGGGTCTAGCTGTGAGCTGAGACGCAGCGGACAGGCAGCCCACCGGCTCATTACGGCACAAACGCCTGGGTCGTGGGAGGAGATTATATATACCTACTTCCTTCCGTCTACATTCAGAGAGCAGTACTGGATCATTAACCCAACTATCCTTCCACTTTCCCCTCCACCATTACCGCGCTTGTTGATCTAGCTCACGATGGGGGACAACGGACAGCCCGGTAAGACGACTCATACTCCCACTCGCCATCTTTCCACTGACATGTACTAGTTTTAGGAAGCCTTTACGTCTACGCTCCCAACAAGGGAGCACCCGTCTTCTTCGCGATCGCGTTCGCTGCCTCGGCCGTCGGTCACATTTGGCAATGCTAGTGAGTTTACTATGGTCGCCGTCATGCTGGAACCTGACCTTCTGACATCCATCGTCAGTCGCTACCGGTGCTTCAAGATGATCGGGCTGCACCCTGTCTGCGCAGTGCTCTTTGCCGCTGGCTATGCTTTGCGGGAATATGGATCGTTCAACTTCATGTACAGCCCTGAGAACCCGAGCTTGATCATCTTCATCCTCAGCCAAGTTTGCATATACGTGTGCCCGTGAGTGACGCCATGTTCGACAGAGACTGCACATGGGGATGTCGCTGAAAATGTGGCACTATACAGCCCTCTCCTCGAACTCGCCAACTACCACGTCCTCGGCCGAGTCCTCTACTATGTACCATACTTAGCACCTCTCCCTCCGGGCCGAGTTCTGTCGACCTTTGGTGGTCTGATGGCACTCATAGAACTCTTGAACTCTTTAGGGGTGGCCCTCTCCGCCAACCCGTCGTCGTCGCACTCGCAGCAAGAGCTGGGCAGCCACTTGACGATAGCCGCCCTGACATTGCAATTCGGCGTCATCATCACGTTCATGATCATCGCCGTCACCTTCCATCGACGGTGCGCCAACGCCAACATCCGCGTCAAGGCCGTCTCGACGCCCCTGATCACGCTATACATCAGCATGGGCTTGATCTTGTTACGGTGCATATACCGCCTAGTCGAACATGTCACAGGTAGCACAACGGTCGATTTGAACAGCGTCGAAGCCCTTAACGCCTTGAGTCCCATCCTGCGGTACGAGTGGTACTTCTACGTCTTCGAGGCCACTCTCATGCTCATCAACTCGGTCTTGTGGAACGTGTGGAACCCGGGCCGCTATCTTCCTAGGAACCACCACGTCTATCTGGCAAAAGATGGCACCACGGAGATACAAGGCGAAGAAGCGCCTGACGAACGGTCGTTTGCGAACAAGGCTGGACATGTGCTGACTTTCGGCATCCTCTTCCGCAGGAAGGAGGCGCGTCGGGGGTTTCAGGAGCTCGAGGAGCTTTCGGATGCTCGTCCGTTAGTAGCTGGCCGGGCTACACTTGATCGACCTGTATACTGATACACGCGAGTACAGCATTGAGCCAGGACCATCGTCCACCGTTCTAGGCCCGACTACCTCGACATCCAACCACTAGGGGTGTGGGTTACGTGTCTGCTCGGGAAAGGAACGAGTTCCAAATGAGTCGAGTCTCCCGAAGACTCAAAGTGGATAACAGCTACAGGAGGCGAGCAAGGAGGGTGATTTGAGTTGGGTCAGGGGTTGTAATGCCTGTCATGTTAGATAGTTTCTTATGTTCACTAATGTGTTAAAATCTCGTACCGCGTCATACTTATTCTGAGGAGTAGAAGTATCAATGTATTAATCGTACAGTTCTCATGCTCTGAATCATTGTAAGCCGACAGGACTATTTGAGTCTTCTGAGTATTGGAAGGCTCAACGTGAAGCCCCTATGTCAACAAGCCACACACAGCAGCCACATCCAGATGCCAAGCCTCATTCCTTCTTCCCTAGTTACTTACCTACGAGCAGAAACATCAATTCTCTTCCTCTCTCCTATCAAATCCAACGACAATTCACCCTATCGCTGCAACCATTCAATTTTGTGGGCTCAGTCCGTGACACATTTACGTGAACTTGCGCGAAACTTTCAGCGAAAAGAAGAAGGAGGACACGCTCGCTATCAGTCAGATCCCGCGACGAGCCCACTGCTGTTTCAACATCTCTCTCACCTGGAGTGAATCCGACTTGAAGCTTCTATCAATACAGTACATGTCTCGCCGTCCTCACAAGAAGTCTAGAAACGGGTGCGTCGAGTGCAAGAAGCGGCATATCAGGGTATGTGATACCGTCCAGTCTTCATATCATCAGCTCTAGACCCTCGTTACTGAACCAGTTTCTGAAAGTGCGACGGAGGCCAGCCGGGATGCGGCAACTGTGGTGCGGCAGAGAAAAGATGCTCGTTCCTAGGTGATGACCCGCCTAAAGTCGTGCCAGGTCTGTCTTATGCCAATGGCCGTTCGCAGCCTGCAGCAACATCGAGCACTCTCTTGACAGCTGCTCCAATTCCGGCCCAAACACCAGGGCCCGGGAATCCCATGAGCAACCACGCACCGCCTGACCCATATAGCGTAAACATGACCCATGTCGCGCTTTTCAATAATCTTCTCAGCAAAGAATTCCTATCTATGGAGGAATCTGGGCACCCGGATGTTATCCCCTCAGCGCTGTACATACAATGTGGGCTGGAGACACCATATATGATGCATCAGCTCCTCGCAGCGTCAGCATTGCACCTCAGCATCAAGACACCCGAGTCACGAGGTCATTACCGCGAATATGCCACTGGCTTGCAAACTCGTGCATTATCACTCTTCAACCAAAGCAACCCGATCCTAGAGGTAACCTCGAGCAATTGTGTCCAGATGTTCATGTTCTCGTCCATGATTGGTGTCCATCTACTGTGCGACACATTATACTATCAAAGAGACAGTCTAGAGGGCTTCGTCGACAGTTTCACGCACTGCCTTGCTGCCAATCGGGGGATCTTGACTGTCATCGACCAAAGCCGGAATTTGCTGCACGAGACGGAGCTGGGACCGCATCTCAGACTGCCCGAAGTCCTCATGCAGTCGACCGACGGCAGCGGATCGGAATGCGCCGCACTCTGGGATCTGGCCAATGCTGCAGACATAACGCCATCGGCGCGAAAGGCGTATCGAGATGCGATATTCTATCTTCAGCGTTTGTTCGATGCGCAGCAATCAAGCTCTGGAGACAGGACTCGCATGCCCATGGTTTTCGTCTGGCAGGCAATTGTCCCGCTTGACTACGTGGGCTTGCTGCGTCAGCGGCAACCGATAGCCCTGGTCATCCTCGCCCACTATGCCGTGCTACTACATCGTGGGCGCGGGCTGTGGCTGATCGGCCAAGGCGGTCGGTTCTTGATTGAGTCGATCTATGGAAGCCTACCGGATTGGCAGCCATGGCTGAAGTTTCCCATTACAGCTCTGCGGGATGAGTCGACTGCAACTTGATGATGAGGTCTGGAGGATACTTAGCCGCAAGTTTCTCGGAGGCCTTCTGCCCTTTCGACTTCCACGAGCTTGCATGAAAGGCGACACTATCGTTCCTCCACATTTCCCCTGAAGACAAGTCTCGTTGATTACGAGGGCTTGTGTGGTACGCATGTGTACGGATATTGTCATACCTGGGCACTGGAGAGCCTATGGCCCCCCTCATGAGGCTCAACCAACACGCCACTGTTGACAGTGTCCGTGAGTTCTCCAAGGCACCGGGTAGGGCCGAAGATGGTCCTACTGAATTTCGTGTGAACACGTCACATACTGTGAGTGGCTTGCATTGTATGCTGCAGCTGTAGGATGCCGACCACCACGTTGATGACTGGCTATGATTGACTTGGAGTGACACAGCTGATGCGCGCCTTGATAGCTGTGTTCCCTCGGGAAACAACCTGTCAGCCTGTGCCGACTGGCTCGCATCGGAGCCGTGTGAAGCCCCCGCACCTACCTATATGAGCTTCCCCCCTCCCTCGTCGTGGAGGGCCTGGCCTGGAGTGTCTACACCAGCATTGAGAGTCCCAAAGCCAAGACAAGCCTACTCATCTAACATTCTTGAACATCCCATCATGGCTGCTGGTGACCCAGACCACTTCTTCTTTGTTCTTCGTGATCTCCACCTTCTAAGGAGTTATGAAAGATCAGAAAGCCCCTTCCTCGACCGCAATCTCAAGCAGCCCTCGCCCTCATTCTACGGAGAGAACGAGTTTCGGTTCAACGAGCCCTTGCACGGCTTGAAGTGGCTGCAGGCAATGGATCACAGCAACATCGCCGCATTGAAAACCATGTCGTTTTTCATTGACCCCATCTACGAGGACGCCCTCGCACCGGCCAAGAAGCGATCAAGCGAGCTTTGGCATGCCATCCTAAAGATTCTCGCAAGGCATGCCCAGAGCTTGCAGTCGTTGGACATCTACTGGGATGCAGACATTCCGGGCAGATTTGGAGGGGGTGTTGACAAAGTCTTCGTACGGGCGCTGGGCAAGCTCCGCAGCCTGAAGGTCCTCAAGCTCGACGGGTACTATGCTAAGGAGTGGCCGACATACCTCCAGGAAAGCTTGGGTGCGGATGCGCTGATCGTGAGCCCTCGCGCTGGAGACAAAGGGTACAGGAAGGGCCTACGGGGCTATCAGAGGCGACTGAAGCCCCTCGACCCCCGAACCTTGGACTAAGTTGCTGTTACATGGTTGTTGTCTCGCGCAGGAGCCATGGCGCTCGTTGTGGCAATCCCAGGTTGGAATCGAAAGGCGAGTCTGGGGCAGGTGGCAGGCGGACAGGTAACTTCAAAAGTACGGATAGCATAGGAACTATGCAGCTCTTGTTACAAGTTACGAAGCTTCAACACCACAAAACCATCAGCGACAGCTCGGCATGACACACAGCTGACTAAGGTATCACCTTCGTTGGAGTTGATACAGGCACCTACACTACTGGCAGTTGTAAGTAAGTGCTCCAAGTGGGGTATCCGAGCGCATGACTCCGGCGTCGGTATCCGATGGTGATCCGCCTGGAACGCCGACGTATCTCCACCTCATCACATAACAAAGTGACCAGAACTGAATATCTAGAACCCGATACCACTTATATATCATTGCGGTATTACTGGAGAACATATCTCTCTCTTTTCCAGCCTAGCCTCTCTACTTCCCCCATCGCAACCATGCCCGCATTCTCCGTAAGTCCCCGCCCTCGGCCCCGGACCTCCCCGTCCGTCTGCCCCGACCACCGCTGACGCGACAACAGCGACTCGTCCGCTTCCTCGCCAGGAACGGCAAGGTGTACTACGGCGACGCCATCCTGCCCCAGGGCGTGACGGATATCGCCCAAACGAAGAAAGCCCGCATCATGACCGGCGACATCTTCGGGAAGCACGAAGTGACAGAGCAGGTCGCCGACGTCCGACTACTGCTTGCACCTTTTGCGTTGGAGGACGTTAAGACCGTTAGATGTCTGGGACTGAACTACGAGCTGCATGCGAAAGAGGTGATTACCTGAATGCCGTTGCAAGCAGTTTCCCGAGGGCAAATAATGAACTGACGTTGAGCACCCGCGTAGTCCGGGCTTCCGATACCCAAGTATCCTGTGCTCTTTGTAAGTGACCTTCATAATCCCTATAGCGCAAGACATAATGATTGAACAAATCTACACCTTAGTACAAGCCCGTCACCTCATTAGCCGGCCCCAGTGACCCCATCCCCGTGCACCAGCAGGCGCAGCAAGAGCAAGGGCTCGACTACGAGTGCGAGCTCGTCGCCGTCATCGGCAAGACGTGCGCCGACGTCTCCGAGGCCGACGCCCTGAAGTACGTGCTGGGCTACGCCGTCGGCAACGACGTCTCCCACCGCGACTGGCAGCTCGCCCGCGGCGGCGGGCAGTGGTCGCTCGGCAAGGGCTTCGATGGCTGGGCGCCGTACGGGCCTGGCATCGTCTCGAGTGAGGTCATCAGAGACCCGCAGACGCTGAAGATCAGCACGCGGTTGAATGGGAAGACCGTCCAGGTAAGCTCACTTGTTCCGCGGGATGATGGAAGTGTGACTCGGTATGGGTCTAAGCTGATGCTGACGGATCCCAGGAGAGCAACACGTCGGATATGATCTTTGACGTGAAGAAAACCATCTCGTTTCTGAGCAAGGGACATACGCTACTGCCTGGCGACTTGATCTTCACGGGAACGCCCTCGGGGGTGGGCATGGGTCGTACCCCGAAGCTTTGGTTGAAGGATGGCGATGTGGTCGAGGTTGAGCTGGAGGGCGTGGGTGTTTGCACTAACAAGGTTGAGTTCGCGAAGGAGAGCGCCAAGTTGTGAAGGAGCTGCTGCTGGATGACAAGTGGCCGTACATACGAAGGGGCTTCACAGGTCTAAGTTCCACCATATGGGAAAGAGCCACGAGGATGGAGAGCGGTGTGATCATTGTTGTGATGAGTTACAGTAAGCCAATCCCATAATTGCTAAGCCCTGTGTTGAATGAGACACTCGCCCAAGGCCAGAGCTCCGAGCTCTGGGTCCTAACATGCTGCCGAAATGCGTGATGCCACAGTGCCCACGGAGTATTGAGCCATACTTGTTTCTGAGGCGATTTGCCTCCAACACTGACAGACCTGGAGATTCAAGCGACCATCCCACCATGCGGCGCCCAACTCCATGATAAGCGACGTAGACCGACAGAACGCCAACCGTTTCGTCGCTAAGCACACCAGCCAGAACAAGGTGTTGAGCGAGTCGCAATACCTCCATCCAGCAGCCCATCCCCTTCCAGGCGCCCAGATCAGAATATCAACTATCATCCCAAAGACACAATTAATCAACCCGCCCAACAAGTCACCGACGCTCGGAGCAGCCAGCCATCCGTCCCATCCCATCAAATCCGTCCACTACCTATAGCCTATCAACCTACCAAGCGAATCCCAAAGGCATCATCATCGGACGGTCACGCCCGGCATTTTTGCCCGCCAGATACACGACTGCCCAGGCCATCAGGAACATCAACCCCAAAAAGCCGACGAAGAAGACCGTACCGCCCGCGGCGCACGCGTGCAGGCCGGCGAGGATGCGCGCGAGGATGGAGCGGCGGCCGCCGGGAAGCTCGGGCGGCGGGAAGGTGCTGTAGCGTTCATGGGCGGCTTGCTGTTGGTGCCAGGTTAGCAGAGCGGCGCTGGCGCTGGTGCTGGCGGGACTGTTGCGGTGGGGTTCGGCTTCGTCGATGGTGAGGTCGTGGGCTTCTTGGTCCTGGGGTGTTGTTAGTGATTGCTGTTGCTGTTTATTCGTTTGTGGTCTGGTCTTCTTGGGGGAGGGAAGGGGAGAGAAAGGAAGGCTTACGGCCGTGGCTGGCGTGTCGTACGCGTAGTCTCTTGGTATGATGATACTTCTAAAAGGAGCTATTCCAAGGGGGGGTGCTGGGCTGGCCATTTTTTCTTGACTGTGACAGATATAATATGGCCTGGAAGGAAAAAAAGGGGAGAGGTGATGGGTTGGTATTGCTGAGAGTGTCGTTTTCAAGGTGTAGAGGAAAGAGAAAGGTTGGACTGAGAGGTACTCTTCTTAATGGCGACATTGTCTATAAAGTTCGTTACTAGCAGACCCAGAACGTGGATCATAACAACTCTAGCGAGAGAACATGAGGGCATTTCCTAAAAGCATGTGAGAGTTTGCGGCGGACAATTTTCGACACGTCAAAACAGCACTGGTGGACATCCCATCGATTGAGAGAGATTTTGAGGCTTCGGTGGTATGGGATCAACCTTAAATCTTCCGCTATAGTTGGTATCTAATCACCTATGTAGGGACTTGAACTCGGCATGGAGCCGGACTGACAGGCCCTTCTCTGCGATTGATATAAATCACATGTCTACAAGACCGTTGAGTACTAGTGTCCCCAACCGCGACGGCAACGTCCCTCGACGATGGCAACCGGAAAAGCGTTGGTCTTACTTATTCGAACCGTGGCAGCACCATTGTGGGCTGGGTGCTGTACCCGAGAGTCAGGACCCCGCGCAGCAGCTTTGAACGACAACATGATCGCGAGTGAAAGTACCTGCCTGCACTGGAGAAGCGGGAATGGAGGATAACCCGCGTGGACGGGTGTAAGACGCATAAGATTTGTAGTCGAAAGTGAGTGAGAGTACCTGAGTGGCTATATCTCTGGCATCCGGATAGATGGCGGCGTGCTGAGCAGTGCGTATAACGTCAAAGCCAGGAAAATGTGTCATGGCAGTATCGTGTTCAACCTGGTAATGAGTTCACACTCATTATGATATTGCGCCGTGTAGGTATCTCACACTGTAGTCTGTGCCGAGACGAAGCTCACAGGGGCTGAAGCACCACGCAACACTGGTAAAGCATCGAAGCAAAGAGTCACGGGACGCGATGACCTCGGTATTGTGTGGTAAGCAACTCAGTATATCCTCGAATGTGTGACATTGAATGGCTTGTAGTGTTTGCAAATCCCCAGGCTAACGGTCAGGACATGGCGAAGGTTGGAAGGATTTCATCATTATCGTGAAGACGCCACTCGTCCTATGTGGCCGTGGGGCGTCCTTCACCCAGTACCTCCAACAAACAAACAAACCACGACTATGTCGCGTAATCATCACGCGTAAAGCAAGTGCCCCGAGTGGTATCGTACAAGCTGGAAATACTTCAGACGGAACAATAAGAAACATAATGACGCGACAACGGGCTGATGAGTCTGGAGCGCCGGGTGATATCTTCTCCAATGACGCGTCGCGGCCCCCCTCAGGCGTTCCTGGTCCTGCTGTTCTTGCCGTCGGTTCCGCGCATCTTCTTGGTGCCGGCGGCCTTCTTGCCCGGCTTGCGCGTGATCTTGCCGACCACCTTCTCGGCGGCACCCTCGATCTTCGCGTGTACGTTAACATCCTGTCTCTAAACCCGTATCGCAAATTTCTAGATGAAGAAGGAAGGGGAACAACAAAGCTTGTTCTCGAAAGCAAGGCTCAGGGTCTGGTGACGGGATGTTTTTATGTACCTTGTCGCTGAGGTGCGGCTTTCGCTTGTGGTGGTGGGCGGCGGCCATGGGCGGTTGGCCTCGAGGCTTCTTGACACCGGCGCTGGTGCCTGCTGTCTTCTTGGGCGCGGTGGTGCGCTTGGTAGCCCCAGTGGTGGTTCCGCGCTTTTGGCGCTCCGGACCAGTGCTAACGGTCATGTGGACGCGTGGCTTGGAGTTGCCGGTGGTGGCACGCGTTGAGGCCATATTGAGGGGTTTATCGCGTGTAATCGAGGGAATATAAGGATGAATGTGGTAGATGGCGGGGTATGGAGAAAGCGTTGTGTTTTGTTTACAATGCAGCGTGTCTTAAGATTCAAGAAGCAGTTTGTGTCGATGCTTTGGCCAAAAATCAGTAGCGTCCTTGGGGCTTAATAAGTCGGAATAAGTTGGATATGGGTGAGAAGGTTAGAAATGGCGGCATGTGTCCAACAACAACATTCCAAGGGCAGTGTGGATGGATGTCTTCCGCGCAGCAGATCAGCTGGTGGCTATGCGGTACATGAGAAATGATGTCAATCATGACAGGCTACAGCGCAGGGCCAAGGCGCCCCGAAGACGCCCAGGAACCCCCAAGACGCGCCTACACTGCGGCCAAGAGCCTAACCCCTTTTAGCCTATACTGCCAAGCCTCAGTGCGGATCTCGTGATCGTCTCGACCAGCCACAGAACGGACTGAGCCTCATTCATTCCATCCCGATTCCCTAGGACACACATGTTGCAGGCGGGCAGAGCCTCCTCCTCATGATCCTCTTCAGGTCAGGTCCTCCCATCTCAGGTACACACCTTTGAAAGAGCATCAAGTCGCGAGAATATCCGTCTTTCTCGATGTCTTTTCCAATGTATTTTACAAGTGTCTCGCAAGTCCGCGGGTCAAACCTCGGGTACCTGGTATCCAGAAGTTAATCGATCCGATCCGCCCGAGAAATCGAACTCTATGCTCCTCGCCTGAGAATGCGAATTTTACTTGCAGCGATACTCTCTAGTTCCCGGCCCTTTAAACCTTCACACACCGCTGCCAAGATGTTGGACGGCGAATGTCCTTGGCTCCGGCACGCTCATGCCGGGTTGTACGAGAGAATGGGATATGCTGAGAAGAACCATCGCGACTTAGTGCAGTGTAGTCAAGACGAAAGCCTCTTGTGGGCCGATTTGCATACACTTGCCAACCCCGCCACCCGACAATGATGATGACGGGATGTTTTCTTGCATCTGCGGTATCAAATACTTAAGTGTACCAATAGTCCGCGGCTTTCTGTTTGGGAAAAGCTTCTCGTTCCTTGTAACTATCCTACATACCCTACATTCTGATCTTGTCGTGTTACCCATGCCGAAAAGCTTGGGTCCATCTTCAGTAACACCATGGGCAAGCCAGATCCTCTCGAAGGCCATGTCTCCGGCCAATCGAACAAGCCAATCTCCAAGCCCGCCCACAGGCTGACCTTCGAGGATGTCGTCAAGGAGCTGGGCGGCAGCGGCATCGATGGCATCTCAGCTTCCGATGCAGAAAGTCGACTCCAAGAGTTTGGACCCAACGAGCTCGACAATGGTCCTGGTGTCAACCCAACTAAGATCCTGATCAAACAGGTCGCCAATGCCATGATGTTGGTTCTGATAATGGCTATGGCAGTATCATTCGGAATCAGGTCTTGGATTGAAGGCGGTGTCATTGCTGCCATCATCGCCTTGAATATTGTGATTGGGTAAGTCTATGTCTGGTTCGGGTGGGCGATGTCTGTCACAAGAACCACTACTAACAAGGGTATACAGCTTTAAGCAGGAGTATTCGGCCGAAAAGACCATGGTAGGTGATAATTTGCGCTTATTATTTGGCCTTCAGTCGTGTTTCTCACCTCATGACATGTCATCGGGTCGTGTTTATTTCCAATGGTGACTTTGGGCTACTTGACAGCATCTTCATACACGGGCCTGCTAACTCTGAGCCTTGCTAGGATTCCCTACGCTCGCTGTCCTCGCCGACTTCACACGTTATTCGTGGAGGTCAGAATGAGACTGTACCCACAATCCACGTCGTACCCGGCGACATGGTCGAGCTGAAGACTGGAGACACAGTCCCAGCCGACATTCGACTCATGGAGGTCATGAACTTTGAGACTGATGAGGCTCTCTTGACCGGAGAATCGCTACCCGTCACGAAGGTCGCCGACGAGACACATGCCGAAGATATGGGTCCTGGTGACAGACTGAATATCGCCTACTCTTCCAGCACAGTCACCAAAGGCCGAGCAAAAGGTGTCGTGTTTGCTACCGGCATGCACACCGAGATTGGAACCATTGCAGCAGCGCTCAGGGGGAAGAACTCACGGATCAGAGAACCGAAGAAGACACCCGACGGAAAAGTCAAGCCACATCGTCAAGCCGAAGCCTGGGCAAAGACTTTCGGGGACCTGGTTGGGCATTTCCTCGGTGTCAACGTGGGAACACCTCTCCAGCGCAAACTGTCACAGTTAGCTATCGGTTTGTTCTTCATAGCTGTCGTGTTCGCCATCATTGTGCTGGCTGCCAACGATTTCGCCGACCAGCAAGAAGTCATCATTTACGCTGTTGCCACGGGCCTATCCATGCTGCCGGCGTCATTGATCGTCGTTCTGACAATTACAATGGCTGCCGGTACCAAGAGGATGGTCGAGCGTCATGTTATTGTCCGCAAGCTAAACGCACTGGAAGCTCTAGGAGCTGTCACTGACATCTGCTCCGACAAGACCGGCACTCTGACACAAGGAAAGATGGTTGCTCGGAAGGCTTGGATCCCAGGCCGCGGTACATACTCTGTTGGGGAGAGTGGCGAGCCGTTCAATCCGACGCTGGGTGCCCTATACCACAGCTCCGATGCGCCAAGGGACGAGCTCTCAGATGACGAGGTTTCGCCTGATCAAGATGATCGGAAATCCAAGGAAGAACTTCTCAAAGACAACACCCCACTCTTGGAATTTCTCAAAGTCGCCTCTTTGGCTAACCTTGCAACTGTCTACAAGTCTACCGAGAGTGACGGCTGGACTGCTAGAGGCGACCCCACCGAGATTGCTATCCAAGTTTTCGCTTCCCGGTTCGACTGGAACAGGCGCGAATTTACTGATGGAGACGATCCGGAATGGAGGCTGATTACAGAATATCCGTTTTCGAGTGACGTCAAGAAGATGTCTGTCATCTACCAGCAGAGAGGCAGCGACACCAAATACGCTTTAAGCAAAGGTGCCGTTGAGCGCGTGCTGGATGCTTGCATCAACGTTGACCCTGAAGGCAAGGGTCAAACAACCGAACTCACCGACGACATCAAGGAAGGCGTGCTTGCGAATATGGAATCACTGGCCTCCATCGGACTTCGTGTGCTTGCTCTTGCTTCCAAGCCATACGATGGTCCCACTGGCACCGACGACAACGATCGAGAACAAGTCGAAAGCAATCTGACCCTTCGCGGCCTCGTTGGACTGTTCGATCCTCCCCGACCAGAATCTAAGAATGCTGTCAAGGACTGCCACCGCGCAGGCATTGGCGTTCATATGCTTACTGGTGACCACCCTGGCACGGCTCTCGCCATCGCGAAACAGATCGGTATCGTCCCAGACAGGCTGAGCAATGTCAGCAAAAAGATGGAAGACTGCATGGTTACGACTGCATCCCGTTTCGACAAGCTTTCTGACCAAGAAATCGATGATCTCCCCGTACTGCCGCTCGTGATCGCTCGCTGCGCACCGAACACGAAGGTCCGCATGATCCAGGCACTTCACCGACGCAAGCAGTTCGCTGCGATGACCGGTGATGGAGTCAATGACTCCCCGTCGCTCAAGCAGTCTGATGTTGGCATTGCCATGGGTCAGGCAGGGTCAGACGTCGCCAAAGACGCCTCGGATATTATACTTACAGATGACAACTTTGCTTCAATCTTGAACGCTGTTGAGGAAGGCCGCCGAATTTTCGACAACATAAAGAAATTTGTGCTGCATCTACTGAGTCAGAACATCGCGCAAGCCTGCACGTTATTAATTGGTCTCGCTTTCAAGGACGACAATGGCCTGTCTGTCTTTCCACTCTCACCTGTAAGTCCTCAGACTTATGCCGTATCTTTCGATTGAGACACAATACTTACCTTAACTGTTCCTAGGTTGAGATCATGTGGATTATCATGGTTACTTCTGGTTTGCCCGACATGGGTCTTGGGCTTGAAATCGCGGCTCCAGATATTCTGTCGCGACCCCCGCAGAATCTCAAGCGTGGCATCTTTACTACTGAGCTATTGGTAGACATGATGGTCTATGGACTTTGGATGGCGGCACTTTGCTTGTCGGTACGCATTCCCCAGGTCATTGGAAACCCCGTACCCGCCCTCACCCTACTCCTCCTTCCTTCCCGCTCTTCGTCCCTTCTAGTGGAAGTCATGTTTCTGCTTTCTATAGACGTGCAATGGAATTGGAAGGGCTAATTCGATCGACAGTCATTCTCCCTGGTCACATACCGCTGGGGCAACGGTATCGAGGGTACCAACTGCAATGATGCATACTCAGCCGAATGTGATACTGTCTTCAGAGCGCGTGCCACGACGTTCGTCTCCATGACCTGGTTTTCCCTGTTTCTAGCATGGGAGCTTATCAACTTCCGACGCTCGTTCTTCCGCATGCAGCTCAAGAGCACAAGGTACTTCACGCAGTGGATGGTCGACGTATGGCGCAACAAGTTCTTGTTCTGGTCGGTACTGTTCGGCTTCGCTTCCGTCTTTGTCATCCTGTATGTGCCTGTTATCAACACGGTCGTTTTCAAGCACACGGGAATCTCCTGGGAATGGGGCATCGTCATCGTAGAGGCAGTCCTATTCTTCGGTGGCATTGAGTCGTGGAAGTGGGCCAAACGTGTCTTCTTCCGCCACCGGGCTAGGAAGCAGGGCGGTGGCAGAGCGAGGCGCCTGAGCAATACCGTCTTTGAGGGTTATCTCGGTATCGAGCCTGGCGAGCACGACACGCACACTTCGAGCGCCTCTCAAGTGGAAGTTGAAGCCCCTTCTGACGAGGAGGAGCGGGCTGTTGCTGAGAACAGGGTATGAACGGGCATCATGAGATGGCTCCAGTGAGGAAGTGCTGGTTCGAGAGGAACACGCATGTCGCCTGACGATGACAGGTGTCTGAGTTGGATTTTGCCAGGCTCGCATCGTGTCTGCACTCACATGAAGCGAGCTGCGAGCATTTTGCGTTGCCAATTGCTATTGTGAAGCGGCACAGCGAAGTCGAGCGTTCATCAACCCTCATTGTTGGGCCGCGAGACGAAGGCGCCGTGAATGCAGTCGGCACGACTTGGGAGGAGACAGAGAATGATGAACCGTCAGATACCCCGTCATTGGTAGGAGAACAGTCCATCAGCTGCAGTGGAGGGCACTTAGGTGGTGCTGAGATACTGTCAAGAAAAGAAGCCATGATAGTGATAGAGATAGAGGCGGGTAGACTTACAGTTCTTGCTGGAGTTTATAATGATCAAATCCTTCAGGTATACAGCTGATGCACAGTGTTTGCAACTTCGAACTCCATGCTGACTTCCGCTATAGCAGTCGCCACGTAGCTGCAGTGATCAACATGTACTCTTTGCTAGCTTGGACAGCGGTAGCCCAGGGATCACGACACACTTTTCTCTAACCAAGTCTCAGAGTCTGTTCGGTCAGTGGAATTCTCTACCGAACTACCAAAACATATGCCTCCTAAGAAATCAGAGCGCCGCCGTATCATACACCACACCTCCTGGCCATAGTCCCGTCACCCCCCTTTCCCAACGAAAACAGAGCACATCGGCCCCTGGCCATCCAAAAAAGGTCTGATACTCATCCCCGTCCTAGAGACTCCTTTTGTCCCCATCACAGACGCGCCGGCAATCTGGGAGGGGGGCTCGACGGAGCGGGGGCCGGGGCCGGGGAGAAGAGCAGGCCGGGGGCTCCCGACCCCGGCAGGGAAGACCCCGGGGGAGACGTGTCGGGTGCTGGCGTCTGGCCGGACATGGTGGTCTTGATGCAGTTGGGCCGCGGCTGTGGTGAACTAAGGGTGAGAGGGTAGGTAAGCACTGGTATGTGAAAGGAAGCCAGCCGGAGGTAATACAGTACTCGATTGCTTGAACTCACTTTTGAATTCTTTGGCTTGCTTGATGCGAGGGGCTTGGGCGCCTGTGAGTGTGATTCTGGCTAGCGTTTATGTGTGCGCGTAATTGATAAATATGTGTGCGTGTGTGTAGGGAAGCATGTGTTCGTGTGTGTTGAAAAGTGTGTTCGTGTGTGTATGTGTTGAGGAGTGCTGGCTCTTCTCGGTATGTCTTGATCGTGTCTGCTTCAAAGAAAGCCCATAGGAAGAGGGAAGCACCCGGGGCTTTATGCGTATTGCCATCGTGGAAATCCGAGTTGGTCATGCTTGAGAGGAAGTCAATGGACATGGAGGTATGACAGCGCGTGAGGGAATGAAGACAGATTCCGTACGCTATCCTTCCGATGGTCTCGTCACTCAAGCTGGGTGAATGGGTGTGGCCTGGTTTCAACGTGCGTAGAGTGAGCAACAGAGGAGGGCATCGTCATCTCGTCTGGCCATGAGACTTCCGTGTGTAGTGAATCAAGCCAGTGGCCACGAGCTGGTGAATGGAAGAATACTTGATGGATCGGATTCACCTTCTGGCTCAAGACGCCCACGACCTGCGATTCCTGAACTCGGCATTTCTTCTCTGTGATCGTAAGATGTCGCCTGGATCTTGAAAGCCGCTCTAGATATAAGAGCTACTCATCACCATTCGAGAAGTGCCCCAAAGCAAGCCATAGCAAAGCCGAGAGTATACAACCGTATTCTCGGCTTCATCATAATCCAGTGAATGCCTTGAATTATTCTGAAATGCCATCATTCTCTGCCTGAGGACGATTTCTTCCATAATCATTGCAATGAACTTCTCCTAGAAGATGTATGTAATTCATTCTAGGCTATAGCGCTGTGACACAATCATTGGATCGGTCGAGTGATCGCTACACGTCGTCTCAGAGCCATCTTGAATTGGTCACCAGCTGTTACTGTGTTCCTTAACAACGAAAATAACTCGGCTCATCAAGACAGGACGACGAAAACACGAGACGGTAGTTGCAATTGACGGCACGACCACACTTATCAACCACTTGCTGCGCCATGGCAAGCAGCGGCCGTCAGCGCCGGCATCCGGTGGTGTTAGCCATGCTCTCCTCCCATTCCTTCAACACAACCCCTGACGCCATCCGCGACCGACTCCGCCCCGAAATCAGCCGCTCTCCCAGACTCATCCTGCCTATTAGTGGTGGCACAGCGCACCTGGGACTCTGCCTGGTCAGCAGGCTGTATGCAATAGCTTCCGCAGGAGTCTTGGTCCTCGGTGACCAGGGCTGAAGAGTGAAGGGTCAGACTGCGCGCCAGCGCCCTGCTCAACCTTGCGTAGCGCCTTGGATACGGGCAGTCCACGAGCAGAAGAATCTATGATCCTATTACTTCTTGTCTCTTGTTTTTAATCGAGTGATCTCCTGTGTAACTGCTTACGCTTTCGCCTAGAGAGACCGGAAGTCTGGGTGTTGATTGCTATCACCAACACGCGGCTACTACTCATTCGCGACGTCACACAACATCGCGAGCCCCACATGCATACAACTCAACATCACGGCGCTTGAAACGTGGGAAGCCAGAAACTGGATCTGGTCGACGACGAGTGCCGGCCCGCTGCTGATCTCACACTGGTCTTGATCGTCGTGATCAAACTGTCCTATTGCTTCAGTTCGCATGAGCACAGCCAACCCCATATCCTCCATCGCGGAGGAATCATCCGAAGCACCAACCCAACAGGACGGTGGGGATGGGAATGTGACTCCTAAGTGGAAGGGCAAGGGGAAGGCCGTCATACTGGAGAGCAAGGATGCATCTGCACCGGCACCGGCATTGGCATTGGCATCGTCCATCTTGGCTAGTGGTGAAGAGGCTGTCGATTAGACCAAATATGAACCTCCGGCAGGCTTGCGGGACACGGCAGATGATGAGTCGTACATCATTACGAAGATCATACAGGAGTCTATTGACAAGGTCAAAGCACGGATAGCTGAGGAAGCGGAAGCTCTCGAGGCGGAGGCCGGAGCCGAGAAGCGGAGACAAGACGAAGAGGTCCGGAAGGGCATTGCGGAGGGAAAGCAAGGCGAAAGATCGGATCGCCTCGTAGAGGAGAAGATTACGGAAGAGAGTATAGATCACATCCCACCAAGCCCGAACGATGATCCTTACGGCTATGCCATGTCCAAGAGCATTCTAAGGACAGACCCCCTCGGACTCCTCACGGCAGAACCATCCGGCAGGTCGAAGAAACGCTCATTGATGACTCTCTTCCGCCGTCTCAACGTGAGCGGGGTGAAGGCAGAGTCCAGCGCGGCCGGATCAACTCGCCACAAGTTCCACGTCTTCTCGACCAGCCTCGACGGAACCGCCTATGGCGCTCGAAAGCGACTCGTCGTCACGAAGAAGAGCACAGCGGATAACAACAGCAGTCTCCCGTTCTCAGTCCACGAGCTGGAAGTGTAAGCCCTGCCATTCACCAGTAGTACATGTACGTACTAATGCCAGCCCAGCGAATGCGTCTCCTGCCTCGACGACTTTCACCCCAGCACCATGGTCCAAGCCCCATGCCACAGCTACTGCAGCCCCTGCTTCCGGCGGCTCGTCGCCTCAGTATGCCATAACGAACAGCACTGGCCGCCCAAGTGCTGTCTCAACACCCTGCCTGCATCCCTAATCCTGCCACACCTCGACAACGCCCTCAAGACGACATACCGTGCCCGCGAGGTCGAGTGGGACACCCCAGTCGACAAGCGCGTCTACTGCAGCCGGCCGGACTGCAGCCTCTTCGTGCCGCCGGGAGGCCCTCCGTCACATAAGGCCCGAGGTGTCGCGCGCTGTTCCGATGGCCACTGGACGTGCGTGCGGTGCCGCGCCCCGCAGCACGACGGCGACGCATGCCCGCTCGACCGCGACTTGCAGCGCACGAGCGCGCTCGCCGAGGAGGAGGGCTGGAAGCAGTGCTACGGGTGCGGAGCCCTGGTAGAGCACCGCGACGCCTGCCAGCACATGACTTGCCGGTGCGGCACACAGTTCTGCTACGTCTGCGGTGCGCGCTGGCGCACTTGCGCCTGTACCATGGAGCAACTGGCCGCGCTGAAGACGGATGTCGCGGGCAGGAGGCGGGCGCGCATGGAGCGCGAAGAGCGTGAGGAGGCCGAGATTAGGGAGGCGCTGCGGCTCGTGGCGGAGTTTGAGCGCGAGGAGGAGCTCAAAGCAGAGTTATTGCGCCAGGTGCAGGGGCGCGTTGAGGAGGAAAGGCGGCGAAGGGAGCTGGAGGAGCGGATACGGAGGGAGGGCGAGAGGAGGCGGGAAGCGGAGGCAAGGTGGAAGGAGGTGAGGGGAGTGCTGGAGGGAGTGCATGAGCGACAGCGGATTCTTGTGCGGGAGAACCACGAGAGGGAGGAGATGGACCTTTTGAGTAGGAATACGACGGCTCTGGAGGCGCTGCGCGAGAAAAAGACACGGGACCGTGAGGCCCTTCTTGCGACGAGTGAATCAAAAGTCAACAAGCGCGAGACGGCGCTCCGCAACGAATATGCTGCCCGAGTCGCCGAGGAGCGCCGCATCGAGGAGCACTACCACACGCAACTGAAGACGTATTGGACAGGCAAGATCGACGGCGAGGCGAAGGCGGAGGCAGGGCTGCGCAAGCTGAGGAGGCGGATGGATAGGGGTTTCCAGGAGTGGAAGAAGTGGTCGGACCATGAGCTTAGCAACTACCGGTATAGACGGGAAGAGGAACGCGCAATCCAGGAGGAGCTGATGCAGGAGGCGGAGCGCCAGCTCGAAGACAGCGCACAGGGAGAGAAAGATGAGTTCATAAAGCGCAGAGCTGCGGAGCTGAGGTGGGTGAGTGTGAGCGCGAGCACATGCTTGCTGATTTGGAGGCGGACGAGATTGAGAACGGCGATGATATCGACGCTTGGTTTGCAGACTGCGCTGGACGATGTGACGATCCCGGATGTTGTATTGGACGTTTTGGACACGCAGCAGGAGTATCGTGTTCCGGGAGCATTTGCATAGCATCGAAACGCAGCGAAATTCTTTAGTTTGTTGCGACTGTCTAGTTTATACGTTTCTCACGCGTGAGAAGGCCCATCTGAAGGCGATGGTTCGTGTCGAGCTTACACTCCTTAGAGGCTGGATATCAGCTGTCCCAGAGAAACAGAATTGACCCAGTCGGCGCCCTCGTCGACTTTGAAGACACCTGGAATGGACTGACAGTGGCGGCCGTGTCAATCCATATAATTAGAGATTTGCTGGTATCCCCAGAAGGCTATCCATGGCGAGTCATGGGTCGGTAACTCCTTGTCGACTTGCAAGATATGAATGCGGATCGCCGTGTGTACCAGCCAGTCTATAGGCGCAAGGACAAGCCTTCAGAATGCGTTGTGTACATTTAGAAGTATGATCTGGCACTGCCACTTCGGTACTCCTCATGAGTACCTGGGAAGGCTCCAACTGGCGTGCCAACCGCAGTTCTCTCGTCGTCATCAGAGCTCAGTTGCTCTCCGCCATAATCGTCGGTCCGGTCAGGAGGGGCACGCATTGCTTCAAGTGCTTCCCTGCCGAGCTCAGCCAGCTGATATGGCTTGACTGTATGCATATTTCTGCCCGACGGGAGCCCCGACAAGAGTGTCGCAGGCGGTGGCACGGTCTGTGTAAGCATCTGTAAAGATGTGAGCAACAGCTGCACCTCTGGTCTGGACCAGCACTTACTGTGTCGTTGATCTTGGTCCATTTTGCCTCCAGCAACTCGATCACTCTGGTTTCTTCAAGCTTGCCTGCATCTGCTCCCCAATTCGTGCCGCGTTCGACCTTTTTGTCTTCTCTCTTTTCAGACCAGTCTTTTTTCATGCGGGTGAGGCTGAGGCCCTTCTTCGCCTCCTTGGGCTCGATCCCAAGCTCTTGGAGGCCGCAGCGTAACCAGCCGAGAGCGCTGCCTGTCTGGCCCGACAACTCGGCATCAATGCCAAAAAAGCGGCAGGCCTTGGCACGACTGGTCTTCCTGAAATCCTCCAGATACCGTACTAGCCCATCATTCAGCTTCGACACACCCTTCCCCTGTGTTTGGCACAAGGCTGACGCCTGGGCGGCATGGTCGGCAGCAGCCAGACAGAGGCGAGCGAACAGATGAGCTCGAACCTTCGGAATCTCTGGAGCTTTGTACATCCACTCCCGGTCATTATCATTGCGATCCTGGATAACAGCAGCGGGATATGGATCATCTTTCAAGACAGCTAATAGTGTTGCCTCAGCCAAAGCGAGTGAGGACATAGCTCTGGTGGTGGGTTGTGCAATATCAGCGCAAGGGGGAGTAGCTGACAGAGTTTCGGCGCGACGAGCAAGATAGTCATGGACCGAAGCAGCGTCCATTAGGTGTTTGGTCGCAGTCGTGATTGCAGCTGTCCGCTCTTGAGTGGTGATTGGATTCCCAGACGTGACGTAGAGAGAGTGTAAGGCAGCACGAGCGAGCAAAGTGTGAGCATAGCCCAATGCCGACAGAACGAAGGAAATCTCATATTCCAGGGACTGGACCTTGACTCGAGCCGTTTCCCGGCCAGGAACAGCTTTGTCCGATAGAGTTGGGCGCCATTCAATCACTGGTGTGGTTTTCAAGACGACGTTGATCTCTTCCCCAAGCAATGATTGGTTGCTCAAGCCGGCGTCAACAGCAAGGAGATACGGAAGATAGCTATTCAGGCTGGAAACTATCGAGGGTAGATTCGATCCTTGCGAGGCAACGGGAAGCCGTTTATGCTTTTTTAGTGTGTCTCTCACAACACCCCGGTGGGTACTGGCATTGAGGGGCAGAGAGGGGTGGGATTCGCAGTTGAAGCTCGAAGAAAAGGAGAAGGTTGATGTGGTTGGAATAGTAAATGGATACGGCATCCTGATGATTGAGCTTGGACGTGGCGGCCCAAGGCTGGGTTTCTCAATTGAAAAAGTAGGCTTGAAACCCGAGAAACATGATGGATTGAAGAACCTTAAGCTCGAGCACTCACTGCCCTGCCCACCAAAATACCAAGAGCAAGGTATACGTCAGTGAAGCCTGTTGCTTGGCATTCCAGGTGCTTGAATATGTCGGGCCGGAGGTTGGAGAGAGGCGTGGGGCGCCACAGAGGCACAGAGCCACAAATGGACGCCACGGCCCATTGGGAGTTGCTCTGTAGGTACCTAGGTACTCAACTGACGCGCTGGCGTCTCGACTTCAATGCACGAATCTTGCCCCAAAAAGTGCGACCACAACATTTCACAAGTCGAGCGGTTCCGGCGCATGCACCTCCACGCGTGCGACTCAATGAAGCTGCCAGTGAACCTGTGTCCCAAGAACAAGCGGTGACCATGGCCTCCGCCTCCCCCTCACCGCACAAGCCGCGCCGCAAGACCAAGAAGACAATAACCCACTTCGCGAACAACCTCAGACCCGAACCTCTCGTCCGGTCGCCCGCCTTCCCTCTAGCAGCTTTCCTGTGGCCCGCCCGCAGCTCGCTGTCACAATGGGAGGTTCTGCCGCTGATACTCATGGTCGTCGGCCTCTTCAGATGGGCTGCTGGTCTCTGGGGCTATTCCGGTTGGTCAATCCTCTCGCTGCTGCTCATTTGCAGCCCCGATGCCTGAGCTTGACTAACATGAACATGCTTGTTGCGCCAGGTTTGCATAAGCCTCCCATCTTTGGCGACTATGAAGCACAACGACACTGGATGGAGATCACCACGCAACTGCCCATATCGCAATGGTACTTCCACGACCTCCAGTGGTGGGGCCTCGACTATCCTCCCTTGACTGCGTATCACAGCTGGCTCCTGGGCAAAATCGGATCCTACATCGACCCTACGTGGTTCGCTCTCTACACCTCCCGAGGCTTCGACGACCCTATTCTCAAGGTCTTCATGAGGGCAACCGTCATAGTCTCCGAGTACTTGATCTACATCCCCGCCATGGTGGTCTTCGTCAGGAGGTTCAGCAGGCTCTTTGGGGTTGCCCAGTGGACTGCATCGGTTGCTCTTGTCGCAATTCTTATGCAACCTGCCACCATCCTCATCGATCATGTCCACTTCCAGTACAACACGGTCATGCTAGGCTTCGTCGTGGCAAGCATGTCTAGCCTGGTCGCAGCTCGATACATGTGGGCATCCATCTTCTTTGTTGCTGCCCTCGGGTTCAAGCAGATGGCTCTCTACTACGCCCCTGCGGTCTTTGCCTTCCTGCTAGGAAGCTGTACATTTCCCCGATTCAACACCGGCCGGTTCTTTGGAATCGCTGCTGTCACTCTCGCATCGTTTGCCGTCCTCATCCTACCACTTGTCGTGGGTGCATTGTTCGATGCCAGCAGAGGGATTGATTCACGCCCTGATCTCGATGGTCCGCGCGCTCCTCTCCCGATTTTCGCATTTCTCGGCACGTATCTAGACACAGAGGCTTTCTACTACCCAGTAGTCGAGCAAATGGTCCAGTTGATCCACCGAGTTTTCCCGTTCGCAAGAGGGTTGTTCGAGGACAAGGTTGCCAACTTCTGGTGTGCGGCGAATGTTGTCATCAAACTCCGACACTACCCGACTGAACTCCTTCAACGGATATCCCTCCTGGCAACACTTGGTTCAATAGCACCTCCCTGTGCGATTGTCTTTTTCAAGCCGAACAAGGGGCTTCTGCCATATGCATTCGGCGCTACTGCCTGGGGCTTCTTCCTTTTCAGCTATCAGGTACATGAGAAAAGCGTCCTTCTCCCGCTTCTACCCATGACCGTTCTCCTTGCCGGGAAGCAAGGACTCGGAAAGGACATGAGATCGTGGGTGGGTTTTGCCAACATTCTGGGAGTGTGGACAATGTTTCCTCTGCTTCAAAGAGTCGGCCTGCGTGTACCTTATGCCGTATTGACGCTTCTCTGGGCCTACCTACTGGGGCTACCACCGACATCGACGAGCGCATACTTCCAGGAAGGGCAGAGCAAGTCGGTCCAGTGGGCAACAGCTCTTCTTCACGGAGCCTTTTATCTCGCCATGGCGGTCTGGCACGTGGTAGAACGTTTCGTCGACCCGCCTTTCGACAAGCCAGATCTCTGGGTTGTCGCCAACGTCGGTATTGGGTTTGCTGGGTTTGCCCTTTGCTATTTATGGTGTCTGTGGAAATTGGTCGAGGAGAGCGGAATCGCGTCCCAAATGCTTCGAGGGTCCGGTAAGACCAAAGTTAAGACTAGATGATTTTGCAAGATACCCAAGTGCTAGGTCACAAATGCTGCTTCAATGCTGATAGAATTTCAAGACCCAAATCTTCTTGCCTGAATTGACGGACTGTGGCTGTCTGAGAATATACGGTGCGTACCATTACCGTCATCACGTTCGCGACCCGGACAAGGTGCTCGTGCAGTGGCCAAGTCACTGGTCCCTGGCTTATAACAGCTCTCCATGCTTGACTTCCGCATTCAGAGGCCGCATGCTGCTCGGACCTTATAGTCGCCATACATATAGATCGGCTTAATGTTAGTGCACTTGGCCATTAACGCGGGACGCCGTATTGTACACCTTCTGCAGGTGGTTACACAACATGCCAAGTTTGCCATCCATTTAGACCGCTCACGTGGGGAGCGGGGTGTGCGCACCCGTTTCTCAAGTGTGATATGGGAGGAGAACAACGTTGTGGTGTCGCCAGTCTTGTACTTCTTGAGCTAAGCCTTGTTTCCTATCCTCTAATGGAAAAGCAGCCGGATGGCCCTGTATGCTGGATGTTTACATGGGCCCCTTGATCAAGGATGGATCCTCTGGTGTCGCGAGCGCATGATTTCGCTATTCTGGGGGAGAATGCGATGAGGCTCGTGAGAAAGCTAACCCAGTGATAGCACCAGCTCATCTTGGTTTCGGCGGGTCGTCCCATGAGAGGCAAGGCGCGCCAGCCCGCATTGCCTTTGCTTGTCTGTAGCAAACATCTGCTGCACTGATTCACCGTGACACCGCTTCACTTGCGAGTTACAGTGTAACTTGCTCCTCACCGTGTGACGCGAGGGGATCCGCCATGTTCGTTGAGTTGAGCGATCTTCCCTACGTTTAAAGCCGACGACGATATGGGGTTCTAACTTACCTCTATCTACAGTGACCAAGTCAAGGTCCAGACTCCGCCTCCGCCTCACCAGGTGCCCGTTGCGCCGGCTGAGCTGGCGGGGGTTGTTGTATCTGAGCCTACATCAAGTCCCGCTGGAATTCAGGCATCGCCGACGCTTGGAGTCTCCTCCGACGGGGCAGATAACGGGAGCAGAGGCCCAACCGAAAAACCCAGCAATGAGACCGTGGTGAAATGAGCTGATTAGGAGCTTATGTAGGAGGCATTGCACTGCTATTACTCTAGCCTGCAGACATTCTGGGTAATAAAGTTCGTTCGGCTGTATCGTTTATGCGCGAGGCGTATCTTCAGGGCGGGTCTTTTTGGTGGCCGGCATACTTATTTCGGCGCGTGGTGCTTTATTGACGGAGTGTTATGATTGATTGATTGATTGATTGATTGTATTTAACGTGGGGGGTAGCTCCTCAGTAGTGCAAACCACGCCTCCCAGAGCCTCTGTATCGCAGGGTTGTGGAGGTCTCAAGATAATAAGTACAGTCAGTTCCGCTCACGGGCCCATCCCCGTTGTTGCGGCGGTACGACCTTGGGGTCATCCATCTGGTCCTTTAAGAAAAGCTATCTATCGGGGGCAGATTGTTGAAAAGAACTTGCTCTTCTCCACGAATTTTGCCCATTCTGTGCTCCTCTCCCCTAAGTATTGTAAACAAGCTGTCCTAGGCGAGTACCTAGGCAGCAGCCGGTTTTTCCCCAGCCTCTTACAAAAGAAAATGTGTTATGGTGTTTTCTTCTCACCATAGCTGCAGTGATCATTCGAGTCTGTATGCCCAAAGCGTTCATAGTATCTGGCAAAGTCGCCATGTCCAGATCTGGCCGCTAGAAGTCTGTGTAAAGTACTCTTCTTAAAAGATATAAGGTCTCTTTTAGTTACTGTATATGAGTATACTTCTTGATATCTAGGTTCTGATTGGTCTTTTTACCATTAATTGAACTCTTTTTTGCCCTTTTTTTTGAGATCTTTCTTAACCCAAGAGATTATAGGAAGATTTGTTGTGTCTGTTTCTAGCATGGCACCCTCTTTTGCTAGTGTGTTGGCAGCTTTGTTGTCATCAATATCTCTGTGTCCAGGAATCCACTTGACGGTCACTCCAGGATTGTGTGCTGTGGCAAGTTCTTGAAATCATAGAAAAATGTTCTGTGATGTCTCAGATGGAGTCCCATTGAGCCTATCTACCACTGACGTGTTGTCCAGGCAGACATATAACTGTTTTCCGTGTCCAATTACCCTGGCTGTTACAAGACCTTGGAGAGCACCATGGACTTTAGCATCTACTACTTCTGCTTGGAGAAGTCTGCCCTTTTCCCGGTATACTTTTTGTGTAGTGCCGCCTTTCCTGATGGTATAACCCCATCCAGTGCGGGTTGTGTCTTGGTCGTCCAACTGTGATCCATCTGAATAGATGACAAGGTCAATGTTCACGTTTCTTTCCTGTAACCATTGCTTGAAGAGCTCTGTTTTTTTGTCTTTGTTTTTGCGGATTGGGGGCTTCTTCCATGATGGCCTGGTAAGTGTTGGTCTCTGGAAGTCAGGGACTAGCTGGAAGCTCCTTTATAGCCTTATTAGATTCTTGCGAGCTTGTATATGGAGCCTGCCAACAAGAGGGTGTCTTTGGTCTATTCGTCCCAGTCAGAGGCCGTGACGTCGTCTTATTAACTCTGCAAGAACTCCCGCTGGGGGAATCTGTGATTTAAAGTATAGGATATGTCTAGGGTGTGTTTTCCAGACCGGCAAGATAGCCCTGATTGCCGTTCGTAGTACAGCATCTATTGTTTTAAGAAGCCCCTTAATACGACATGCTGATGTCCCACCTAAGCTCTTAATTTTTTCGATTCCTGGGTACCAGGCCTCTAGGCCGTGTGTAAGAATAGGAATAACACAAGCTTTCACAGCCCTCTTGGTTGACTTTACTGGAAGTCCTTTGACTGTGTTGCATAGTCCTCGAAGGTGATTTGCTACCTTATTAGTTTTCTTGGCCCAGTAAGAAACGTGATTTTTGAAGTTTAGTTTTCTATCCAGGAAGACACCCAGCCATCGCATGGAGTCCTTTGCTGTTTTGTTCATTGTTCTGTGGCGGACCGGAGGATTGTCTGAGTTCTTTTTCCGCGAGAAGTGTATGATCTTGGTTTTGTCAGGGTCAAATTCAATAGCGTTGTTATGTCCCTATTGATTAAGCAGATAAAGATTTTTAAAAGTCTTTGTGGCTGTTTTTTTGAGATTCTTTCCAATGCAGAGAGTCGCTAGGTCGTCTGCATATCCAAAACGTCTCCTTTTCATACTGAGTCGGGCACAGATTGGCTCTGTATACAGCATGTAAAGGATTGGACAGACCTTCCCACATGACAAGCGGATACTTCCCAATAGGGGAAGGATCTGACCAGAGGATCCCCTTAAAGGGGCAACCTCCCACTGTACCTATCTCTCTCTCTCTCTTCCTTTCCTCTCTAGTCTTGATATTCTCGTCAATAGAGTAATAGCTGCTTGCTGCCGGCCATGTCCCAGCTCCTCAGTACGCTCGCCGTGACATGCCTTGGCAAAGATAGTCAGTTACTGAGAGAAGTGCCTGCTTTAGCGCAGATATCGAGGTTGCGCCCTAACAGCGGGGCGCCAAGAAAAATAGTTGTATGGGATGAATGTGCGCTCCGCTCTATGTTCTTTCCACTCACTTGTTGTTTGGTTCTATGTAGTTGTCATGGAACGATCTGGAATAGTTTGGAAGCACGCGTAGAACATCGTGGAACGAGATGGAATCTCTGTCCGAGATTCTATATAGTTGGCTCGTGAAACGTCTCTTTGCTTGTTTCCTCTTTTTTCTCTTCGTCTCTCGTCTTGTACTCTACCACTAGTACATAGGATAGCAATATCAGTGTCAATCTACCCACCGGCCAATCTTTGTTCGTCTAAGCCTTGACAGTAGTATTATTCTATCTAATTAGGTAGTTCTATTGTCATTACGTATCACTGTCAATGTTTGAACTGGTTCACTTCGTTCACGCGTTACGGGGCGGGCCCCCCGTACCCCCCTCTTTTCCGGAATATAATGGGAGGGTGGTGAGTTGATAAATCGTCTCAATTGTGAGGGTCATTGTCTAGTATCACCAAGTTGAAGTCTATAGAGAGCGGGCATCAGTCGTGCATCAGTCACACATCATCCAGGTGTTCCATTCGGTTTGTCACTAAAGCCAACTCTGTCAATTATTACAGAGAACGAGTACTACAAGTCAGGTCCGTTCCTCTACAACAATGTCCACATCACCACGTTCGTACCTGTCATCCAACCTACCTGGTTTCAAGTAGACACAGTCCCTTTGTCCCACCAAGAAGACAAGACAACTCGACCCAGTCTCTCTCAAGTAGAAGTGGCATTCTCTTCAGAGTCCCTCCGTCCAACCCTGTCCCATCAATCCAGTCAATCCATTCAACCCATGAGGTTCTATCACTCCCGTTCCTACCAAGTAAAGTCATCACCAACTCCAGTCTACTATCACCAGAATACCTACCTCAGTCCCACCCTCTGGTTGATCTTGCCCGAGCGCTAGGAGCGACCCCTTTCGCGAGAGCGGCAGCGAACATCACACAAGCCTCCTCTGTCTATCAATGGAATGTGCCTCATCCCAGTATCATTCATCTTGCCCCCAAGAAAAGAAGAAAAAGAAAAGAGAACAGTCCACCATCCTCCCTCTCTTCACCACTCCCCTTCGTCTGTATCGGTCGTCCCTCCCTCTGTCGGGTTGGTATGGGTGGTTCTAGTCCCCGGTCGCAGTGCGTGGTCTCATCCTGTTCCAATTCGTTCGTCAGTCTATCACTTGGTCATTCTATTAGTGTCACTGTATTCAATCACATCCATGGATACACTCTCGTGTCAAACGGACAGAGTCCAGTGCGTCAGCACGGGATGAGGGGAGAGATGACCCTGTCGATAGCAACCCAGGTTGAATAAATGAGTTCGGGCCCGCAGCCCAGTTGTTCAGCAGAAGCGGTGTTTCTACGCAATAGAAAAGAGAAGAGGAAGAAAAGGAGGAACACCAAATGTTGGGGCATCACTGCTAGTTGTATTCCATTCAAGGTTTGTACAGGACTGTCCTGTACCGTTGGAGGGGGTGACTCACTGCGTTCGTTTAATTGGTCTGTCGGTCCCGGCCACAAGTGACCACCCCCTCCGACTAGTAGAGCGGGCTGTGTCATTGGTCTGTCGTTCCCTCCTTCATTCCTATCCAGTCATCCATGGGGTTCCGTGCCGTCCCCTTCCCTCACTGCGTTCGGTCATTCGTCGACAGTCCCTCCGCTACACTCTGGGTGTCACTTTGTACACAGTTTGCCATCATAGTGTCGCGAGTGTTATCACACGGCTTTTGCTAGATGCTCAAGCTATGAAGTAAATTATATAGAGATGAGCGTCCCACTCATAATAGCTTGAGTCCTTACCATTAAAATGGTCTTTGTCATCCACTGCTCCAACGCAGTTAATCCGTCGTCCCTCCGAGAAGATGATCCGATCCAATCGGCTTCCCATCCCCCCGGTCTTCTACAGCCACTCCATGTCTGCTACAGTCACTCCGTTCCTTTGCCCTCTCTCCGATCGGGTGCATCCCTGGCTGCTGTTGGGAGTGTGTGTGTTGCAGTATCGTCACTTTGATTTGTATTTGGTTTGGATGAAGTGACTCAAGTTGCAGTGTAGTACGATGGTTGTCTAGTGTACGGTCACTATGCTCCCTCTGTCTATCTCACTTTGTTCGATGGTCACTCTGTTCCCTAGTCGTCACGCTGTTCCTCTATCCATCTCACGATGACCGTTCCACTGTACTCCTCCGTCGTAGTTCACTCTGTTCACAGTTTGTTGCAATTCTTTATTATTCTACTAGTTTAGTTCTATTGTTTGTGCTAGTGACGCACATGTTTTGAACTGGTTCACTTCGTTCACGCGTTACGGGGCGGGCCCCCCGTACCCCCCTCTTTCCACAATTAAATGGGAGGTTGTGTTGTTGGTAGTCCTGGGAGTAAGAAGAAGAGTCTCTATCATAGTCCAGGTCTACAAATGGCATTCTATTTATCGTCACTCCATTCCTCCCCTCTATTAATCAGAGAAGGCTATCACAGGGTCTCTATTTGTGTATCTCATTATCCAAGAGTGCTACCAGGGTTATTATTATACAAGGCAGTGCAGAGTCAGGGTCGCTACACCATTCCTCCTAGTTCTATTAGAAAGAAGCGATCACCAAGTTCATCTCACCAAGTTTATCAAAGAGGGAAGGCACACGCCCTGTGTCCTAAGCCATGTCCTAAACAGTGCAGTCGAGAGGGCAGGCACGCCATGGTTAGTCTCCCACTAGTCCAACCTTATTTCAAACCTTGTTTTGACCTTATATCAACGATGGATCCATCCATCAACTGTACCCTGTGTAGTCTTGACTCTCCCAGTGAGGCCATCGTCAAGTCAAGGTTGTCGTATCTAAGTTGGCCCCCTCGAGGGTACCATCGTGTACAAGAGAGATGCGCGACAACGAATCTACCATCATACAACATGCCGTCCCACGACACTCCGTCGCCTCTGACAGTCCATCCAAGAGTCACCTCAAACGAGGCTCATTATCCCACTGTCACCCAGCAAGATACACTTGGTCCTACTGTCCCAACAAGAAGAGAAGAGAAGACAAGTGACCTCCCCAGTCTCTGTCGAGCGCTCACCTTAGGATCCCACTCCGTTTCGTGGCGCCTCCTCTGTCAGGTCGTTATCTATTCCATCAGTTCGTCATTCCATCCAGTCAGCCATGCATCCATGGATTCAAAATAAAACAAATCCATTCTTGTTCTACCTACACTCTCTGGTCAAACGGAAGGAGTCTAGTGCCTCAGCACGGGACGAGAGGAGATGTTTGTTTGTTTTGTATTTAACGTGGGGGTAGCTCCTCAGTAGTGCAGACCACGCCTCCCAGAGCCTCTGCATCGCAGGGTTGTGGAGGTCTCAAGAAAATAAGTACAGTCAGTCCCGCTCACGGGCCCATCCCCGTTGTTGCGGCGGTATGACCTTGGGGTCATCCATCTTGGACGAGAGGAGAGAAGACATCATGGTCTACAGCAACCCAGTACTCACTCAAAAGGTTCGGGCCCGCAACCCAGTTGTATGAAGAAGTGGTGTTTATATTCCATAGAAAAGTGAATAGAGAGAAAGAAAGGAAGAACAATCCTTGTGTCTGTCGAGTGGGCAATGCCAGCATCTTATCATTCCATTGTGTCCTGTACGGATGTCCTGTACCGTCAGAGGGTGTGACTCTACCTTTCTCACGGCTTACTATTTGGTGTACTGGGATGAGATGTTTGTGTGTAAGCTAGATATGCCGTAGTTTCATCGTTGTGAACTGGCACAAGGCCATTACATTCCTTGGTAATAGATGCACTGACTGGTAGACTTCCACTTACATAGTCGACTCCTCTCCTTTAAGAGATACGATTTATCACCTTCTTCCCCCGAGATTTAATTATGAATCAAGGGGGGTACGGGGGGCCCGCCCCGTAACGCGTGAACGAAGTGAACCAGTTCAGAACATTGACATAGATAAACATAATCAACTGAACTACCTAATAAACTAGATAGAATAATACATACAACCAAACATAGATCGAATGGAATGAGATACACCTGGAAGGTGGTGACGGAGTCATAAGGACCGAAGGGACGACTGATGGACCGGAGGGACAATACGACCGTGAGGGAGGATAGAATCAATAGGGAGTGGCAGCGACCGTACAACATACACTTGACATACTACACCAGTGCACCCAACTGAGTCGCTTTCTAACTAAACAACAATCCAAAAGTAACGATCCCCTCACTGCACTACAACACACGGGAACCCAACAGGAACCAGGGATACGGGACGAACGGAGTGAGGCTGAAGGAACGGAGTGACGATAGAGAGACGGAGTCGAGACCAATCGGAGGGACGACGGAACATCTGAAGGGGGGAGCCCGGATTAACTGCGTTGGAGCAGCGGATGACAAAGACCATTTTAATGGTAAGGACTCAAGCTATTATGAGTGGGACGCTCATCTCTATATACAGCTTAAGCAACGAGCGTAAACCGTATAATAATACTAGTCCTATTGTTCTTGTTTAACTGTGTGGATAGACCACCAGACGACCGCAGGGAGGGAGGTCGGACGAATGAACGAACGCAGTGAGGGAAGGTGACGGCACGGAACCAATGGATGAGTGGGAACGAATGAAGGAGGGACCGACAGACCAATGACACAGCTGCTTGCCTAAACGGACTTGTCCGGTACAAATAAGCGAGTCCAACGAGCCCACACTTGACTGTCCTGTACAGATGTCCTGTACGAACAACCGATGGAATAGATAAAGACTAGGAGTCGACCACTTTTGGAGTGTTCCTCTCCTCTCAGAGAGGAGAGGAAGAACTTCAAAAGTGGTCGATGGTGTGCGTGGCATTCGTATCTCCCAATGTCAAAAGCAAGTTAATGCCTAGCAGTGTTGCTGTGGCACCGGCCCCCTGGGGGTAGATATGAACCCGGACTGTTATAGCTGTGGAAAGACGCGCTGCTCATATTGCACCATCGAGACAGTGAAGGTCAAATCGGGGCGTTGAGAGCCGACAGCCGACAGCCACTACAGCACTGTTCGGAGGGCCAGCATGGATGGTATCGGGCATTCATATCCGCCAAGGAGGGTGGAAACATGCTCCTGGGACACTGAGTTCGCGAGCCGAAAACCTGCACACACATATCTCTTGGAAAACCGTGCCTATTTCAGGTACAAATATGAGTTGTCTGGTCAACATTCATCCTTCATCCGCACGTCTATGGAAGACTCAAGGGCATCTCAGCGGTTTCTTTGCCGGTCCGACCACCTAGAGAGCTTCTGCGGGGATGCCGATCTAAACACCTTGATTAACGGATCCGACGAACGAGCAAGACTCCCTGTCGCCTTGCTCGATGACAGGCAAGCAGATCTCATCGCTAGAATCAGCGAGACTGGCATCTGTCGCAGCCGTAAAGGCCCACTTACCCCCCAGCAACTACACCTTGAGTTAAGCAGGCCAGTGAGTAAACACACCAAAACTGTCCACCAACTCGTCCATAAGCTCACATCTGGCAGCGATATAGTAATGGAACACCCATACCACCAACCACGGCATCAAGTGGACAGAACGAAGTAGATGCAGAAAGACGTCTCATGTGAGCATCGCCCAGACTACACCAGAGGAATGGGTCTCATATCCAGCCCCAGCTATATCACAGACTTGAATCCATTCTCGGCCCTTGCTCTCCTCGATACTGCTTCATTCCATCAAGCGCACTTTCTTCGCGACTTCGTTTACAGTCATCTGATATTCACGCCATCGTTGAACGTTACAATACCGGTGTGTGATTTGAGCTGTTTCAACGCTGTACGACTGGCTAATGCTCTTCATTAGATCGGTTTCAAGAAGTTTTCCTTGGAATTCCATCTTCCATATTATGCGTGGAGAAAAGGTTCAAGCTGTATTGAAGATACTCGTCGAATGGCTGATGGGCGCCCGCTACGACGAGGACAATACCTTGGCTTTCTTGACGTGGCTCCTTCGGGCGTCGAAGGCTCACCTGGCGATGACTGTATTTACGAGGCTCAGATATCGTGTTGTGTGGCAGGACTGGACGACTCTTCCTGGATCGGCTACGCTTGTGTCGATACATACCACGACGGCTGCCAGAACGATGAGAGAGTCACCGAATACGATGCCCGAGCAAGCATTCCAGGCCAGGCACCCATGGACCCGTTGAGTGGAGGAGTACTTCCAGCAGACCGCCCGCTATGGAGTCCAAGGATGTACTTCCTCCGAGTGTTGGAGTCGCGGGTTGAGCAAGTCAAGCATGAGTGGTTCAACGTGGTGACCAGGATTCAAAGGAAGACTTGTCCATATGTGAGACCGACCCCTATTTTATACAACACGTCGCGCCGACTCCTAGTAGCAACCTGCCCGTTCAATCTGGTCAGCTGGGTACAGTGTCAAGAGGACCATCCCTCTCAGTCCTGACTAGTTTATCCCGACTCATCGAACCCAAGGGCATCCACCAGTTTTCTGACAGAGATCGAGTTCTAATCCGCACCCACTTCCACCTCCATACAATGATCCCTTATGAGGCTATACTAAACGATGAACTCAGACCCAGGACTATCAGGTCTCCAAGCATGTATATCTCTCACCCAACGCTGAGAACAGAGGGGAACGGTTGAAGCGATTTCACGATTGGACAGGAAGCACGATTCGCCTGCTTCTGGAACTTATACACGCCCTATCAAAGACAGTCCACGCACTGGATCGGTTCCTGAATCGCGATGTCGGGTACTTCCTAGATGCCAATGTTCCTAAGGATGTACCATCGCCAGTTCTGTGTCTATCGGCCATAACCAAGCACGTTGAGGAGATGAGAGATCAGTTGCGAGCTCTTGAGTACCAGGAGAAGGTCTGCAACAACATCTCCAGGGAGGTACGATTTCGGCGAGACGTAATTGAATCCATGGTTGAACATCGCTGACAAGCCCTCCAGCTTGAGTCATACCTCGCGCTCGAGGATCGCAACTCAACTGTGATCCAGCTTCGGACGAACGAGAACGTCAAAGCCATCACAATCCTGGCACTGGTAAGACCCCTCCACGTCTTCACACCTGCTGCATGCCTTTCTTGACTGACCAGTCTCGCGCAGCTTGTCACGCCTCCTGCCGTCGCCGCGGCCATCTTCAGCATGCAGGCCGGCGTGCTTCCCTGGCAGCCTAGTATGCTCGGCTGGGGAATAACGACGGCAATACTGTATGTCATAGTCGGCCTGGTACTCCGCTTCCTCCTGGACTGGTCGCTTGCGAAAACAGACCGAGCACTTCAAGCACAGTCGAATTTATCGAACAGAGGTGGTCGAAGATCATGCGACTGGTGGCCGTGGCGCAAGCGCAGGCGCAGGGGATTCGGTATTGACCCGTCGATTTCTGTTCGCAGAAGTAGTGTGGGAAGCTATAACGATGGTATGGAATTGAGTCAAATTGGGAGTCGTGCAGAGGCCGCGAGCTTTGCCTAGTCTAGGTGGCACGGAGGAGCATGTGCTTTGAGGAGAAAGAGCTGTATCTGGACCGTATAACATACTATCAGGAGACCGCTAGATCCACGAATACCCCAGATAAGTCTTTATTTAAATCATGATGCAGTTAACCATTGCAGAAATGTCGACCAATACACGCAGGTGCCAGCCCGAGGTGGACGAACCCCCTGGGCCCCTTTCTCGCCTCTCAACGTCTGCCCCACATAACAGACCACAAACCTCAAAGTCCACCGGATCCAAGCCATAGACCGAAGCGTACATCACATCAGGAAAGCCCAGATAGACTGACGCGACATTGCAATACCTCCAGGCTCGACATGGACCATGTAATTCTCTATCATCCAGCCGTCACTTTCCAAGCTTCTCCACACGAAACCAGACCCCTCCCCACACTGGCCCGGACTACAACACGCCATGCAGCCAGCCCAATGACTCATCAAGCTCATGCATACTTCACGATATTGAGGGCAAACCGATCCACACACCCACTATTACCTACCCACAGCGCCAAACACAGCGCAAAGCTATATATACTAGAAAATTTTGCGAACTTTCATCAGCAGTCAATCTGCTACGCCCTGAATCCTCACCAGCCAGGGTATGGTCCTATAGCTCAGTTGGTTAGAGCGTCGTACTAATACTATACTCCGTTATAGCACAAAGTAAATGCGAAGGTCGGCGGTTCAACCCCGCCTGGGACCATGTTCTTTTGCTTGGATGCCTGTTAGACAGACTTTATCAATACTTTTTGTTTTGCCTCTAGATCTTCTGAACGAACCATTGCGATGCAGGCGTCTTACGGCAACCCTGGAAGCTACCTCCTAATTCTTAATGCTTTTTGTTTTGCCTCTGGAATATCTAGATCTCTTGAATTATTTGCGGCTCCGGCGCCGGCCGGGCCCGGGGCACGGATGCGGTTTGCGGGTCTGGCCGATCAAAAACGTACTTTGGCAGGAACGAGGGCTCGAACCTGCCGAGAGCCCCGCGACTGCCACTTTTCGTGTCGTATGAGTGAATGAGCTGGTTGGGTGTCGATTTTCTGCCCTGGTTGTGCGTCAAGTTTTTTTCTCTTATGATCTTTAGACGGTAAGAAGGCCACCCTCCTCGTGTAGGAATTGTACTAGAGGGACCTACCTACATACTGGTGCGTCTTTCCTGGCTAGAAATGTTAACTTACGACTTCGAATATTATACTTGCAGAATAGGTTTCTGCTATCCAACCTATAACCTCCGAGTCGAACAATCGTATGACATAGTCACTTTTATTCAGGTCCGAGTAAGCTTCGGCCACCTGAGACGGTGTCAGACACGATTTAGGGACACGGCCGTTCCCTCGAAACGCGTATACGGTGGATGGCATATGAATAATCTGTGCGGAGGAGACTGGTTCCGTATTGTTGTAAGGCTACACGTTATGAGTGCATACATGCCGTCCTACTTCTTCCCACAAGGCTGTATCAGCTGTTCGTTCCCACAACCAATTCCCTGGCCGATTAGCGCATAGCTGCGCCAGTCCAACTCATCCTCCCAAGTAGGTTGTAAAACCGCTCCATGCCCGTTACGCCATATGATGCGTTGCCTTTCTGTATCGACTTTTTGGTGATGGTTGGCCACTTAGGCTCATGCGACCGTCGCACTGGATGTCCTTGTACTTTCGCAGCCAGGGTCTAGTATACCTTCTTCTTCTCGTCGATGCTGAATTGCCCGGGTCCGCTGTTAACGAGCAAGAGAAGACCGCCAACAATCGACAAGATTTGGAAGAAGTCGTACTTGGCGAAGTCCTTGTGTGGGTGGTGCTCGTGGAGCTGGGGAAACAGTTAGTTACTCGCGCCCATTTGTGTCATGAATGGGGAAACTCACAGTCCAGAAGTTGTTTACTAGCAGGTTGAAGACGCTCAATATGACAACCAAAAGAGTGGCGCTGAACTTGGCCTTGAACCCGACAACAACCATGACGCAAGCCAGCAGACCAATGGCAGAGACGATGATTCGCCAGATAGTCCACTCGCCGCTGAAGACAAAGCCGATGAACAGGAAGATCAGGAGCACACGGCCAGCCAGTTGGAAGTACATCTTTCGGTCCTTCTCGTCAAGCTGGGGCAGCCCAGCAAATGCCTTGGTCTTCCTCACCCACGAGTCGGACAGAACCATGATGAGGCCACCGATGACGGAGAGGTTTCGTAGGAAGAAGTTGAGGTCGAAGATCAGGCCGTATCCAAGCGCCTGGGTGACGACAACACCCATGAGACCGGCGACGGCATAGTCAGAGTACTTTCGGATGATGACGAGAGTTGAGCAGGAGACCATAGCGACGACGTTGACGATGAGGAAAAGATGCGTAAGGCCAGTAGGAACTGTTGGGCTCGGTTAGCCATAGCAGTTCGATGCCATTAATGCGCGGTCGCTTCTTACTGTGCCTGTACGAATTCAAGTAGACTAACTGGTCGCTCCATTGTGTTATGATTCTGAGGGCGTCCTCGAGGAATGTGACGACGATCAGAAAGCGGCCAATCGCGGGAAGATACCTAGAGCACAACCAACAAGTCAGCATGTCAAGCTCTCAACGGCAAGTGCAGGAGGGTGCGGCGAGCGCATAAAGATTCGTTCAAGACTCGTGTGACGGTGTTGCTGGGAGCTGACGTACGGCTTGATCGGCTCGCTGACGGAGTCCAGGATATCCTCGATCTTGCTGGTCTGCTCCCTTATGGCATCGAGGGGACTTGGGTCGCCGCCCTCGGCCTTGGAACCGCCGAATGGGTTCTGGCTGTTAAGCTGGTAGCCGGCTGTGCCTCTGATCTGTGCCATCTTGTCCTGATCGGTAAGGTTGTGCGGGCAGGCCTGCTGTTCCACGGGAAAGGAAGTGTGGAGGAGGGTGAGGCGGGCGGCGGGAGGTTGGGAGATTCGGCTTCGGTACGGTGCGACGAGGGTCGAGGACGAGTCTGCGAGTCGAGCTTTAGCAGCGAGCGATGCGCGACAGAAAGGAAAAAAAGAGAGCAGGTGAATAAAGTAAGTATCGGAGTCAAAGTCAATGGAGAAAGAGTCGAGCTGCGAATAGTGGCAGTGCCCCGTAATTATCGACCTGAATGGGTGGAAGCTTTTGTCCTGTGCCAGACAACCGTGTCCTCAATTGACCTCAGTGCGCTGAATGATGCAGGCCAAGGTTTGGCCTGTGGGTGTACATTCCGAGATGCCAGATTGGCCGGACTCTCCGTACAACTTACAAGGGCCAGACTTGTGGCTGCTACTGTCCCGCTTTGTGGCTGGACCCTCTCATGGAGCTTGGGCCACCTGTATAAGGTAGGTAGGTAAGTACATGTATGTAACCTCAAACCTTTGGAACCTTTCGCTTCAGTTCAAATGCTTATGAGGTTCTCAACTCCCATTCTCCAGTGTCAATCATGTCGTCAACTTGGAACATCAACCAACATGACTCGACTTACTATCGGTCCCATATCCCACTGTCTTGATGCCACAACGCAATTGCCATACTACAGCGTACCTACAGCAGCACGAGCTATAGGTGCCCTTGAATTCTTACCCTAGCTCGCATCCACTAGCTACATGTGGACTCGCAGACACGCTTATCATGAATCGTCCAAGAATAACCACACGCTGCCCCGTCCGCATGTTCTTGACGTAATTCTCACCCCGTAATAGACATTGAAATCCACCACAACTACAAACCCAGAAGATCCAATATGAACGGCAAACTCCATACGTCATCCAGACTCGGTGTAGCACTACACTACATAATAACAGCTTGCGCAACTCGACAGCTCGACCGATGTCTGAATCCGTTCAACGGCAGAGCCACCTCTTCCTTCGCCATGCGGACTCCCCGAGACGTCATTCAAGATCCTTCTTAATCTAGACCCTGAGAGTGTACAGCTAGCTGGACCCCGAGTCGCTCGCTGGCTGACCGAACTACGTATGGTCGGCCACTGACGTACTTACTAAAGGTCGGCGTTTGAGGGCCAGACTCTTCCATCAACTCTGTTATGGGATGTACATATACCATACACCATGGCTCGCCCGAGTCCGCCAAATGTATGTCCATATGCGCTCAGGCTCAGTACCAGTGATTTGTTGCAAATAGTTTAAATTTTACTATTCTTCATTAGCAGTTTTTTTAAGTATTAGACATCTCATTATCCTTCTTGGTAACCGAACGGCCATGTACTCGTGGCCGGTGAGCGACGAAGTTGCGCAATTTGACCCGGTGCTCCAGCTCATAGCTCCTATAGCATTAGCATCTGTCAAGGATCGAGGGCCTCATTGGTCTGAAGTCGTTCGCTGGCAAGAGCCCTGTTTGGGAGGGCCTCGAACGTATTACGGCTCTGATCAGCCAGCCCATTGCATAGTAACCCTCGTTTTGATATCGACGGAAAGCTGAGAGACACGTCTCAAGACCGTCATCTCCACGTGGCGATGGTAGATCAGCGGAAACGCGGGTGCGTCCTTCGAACAATAGTAGGGAGTAACTTGCTGTCTTGTATGGTACCCCAGCACGTTCCTCGTGCGAGACACCGGGCTAGTGTTGCTGTATGTGTGCCCGCTTCAAGGGTTCACGATCGAAAGAGGATACAGATAAAACACTACCTTCCCAACCGTGACAAAGAAGACCTGCTAGGATTATACTGTTCAGACAGACTCCAAGGCGACTGATAACCCAACCCCCAACCAAGCAAGTCCTACACAACAACGGCCTAGAGCAGAGCTTCCCAGCCCTCCAAGCTCCCACCTCATCAAGCTCCCAGGTCTCCAAGCTCGCAATTCTCCACTTGCTCCCGCAGTCGGCGAGCTCAGCCTGCTGGAGAGCACCTTGAAACGGATTACAGATGCCGAGTGCGTCAGTCAACCTCGGGAAATCGCGCATCGAGTGGGACACCGCCACGAACGCGGAAGACGTCCAGGCCACGGCTGCGTTTCGGGAGGCAGCGCAGCGCTCTCCGCTGACTGACTCTGATGAAAAGGGAACATTTGAAAGACCGTGCAGTGAGGGCTTCCACCAGCCATCGGACGCGGGGGTGGTGCTCGAGCGGGTGGCCTACGACAACGAGGGCCTCGACGAGAAGATCATGACCCACGGCGGCCCAAGGACCTCGCGCGCATGATGCACTCGGCCATCGACCGGCACCCGGATCTGCACACAATAGACCACTTGGTGTATATGGAAAACGCGGCGATGAGCAAGTATGGTCTTCTTGTTTATAAGGGACGGCGGCGTCATACCTGACGCTGCATTCGCTGATGCCCCGCGGCAACCTCAAGATGCCGGGATCTAGTCAGACTGGCGCGAAAACCCTGGCGGTGGCGCTGTGGTCGTTGAATTCGAGGGACTAGCTGCACAACTCCCCGTTGCCCAAGTTATCCTGTTCTTCCGATCTGCCGTCTCGCCCACGGCTAACCAGGCCACTTCCGGTGTCGCGACGTTGCGGATGCCAAACATCTGCTCGCCATTACCAGTGAGCATCGATGCCACGCGGCCGAGGCCAGACAGAGAGAGGTCCATTTCTTCGCCAAATTATCAATCCTAGACGTACACCGTCGTCCAAAATCCCCGAGTGGACACTCGCGGAACCGGTACTGCAACAGTTGCGACATCTACGGCGTCCGGTTAGTTCATCCCAAGATCAGGTCGTCGAAGAAGGCCCTACAGACCTATCCTGAACCCGCAATGTTCCGCGGAGCGCTAGCATGACGAGGCCATTCTGACGGTGCTAGCTAGTACCGGGTTTTGGCAACAAGACAGGTGGACCATGCCTATCGCCTGGTTATGGAGAGGGTTGTTTGACAAACCCTAGATAAAATTGCGGGCGAAGAGGCAGACCAGCCGATGGAGAAATCGTCTCGTCGGCAGCCCTGAAGCATAAAGGTCTTAGATGAGAGGCTAGATGCCCCTGTAAACAGAGCAATCGCTTCTGCCGCACGCATCCAGCAGGCTCAAGCAATGACAAGCTGGTCCACCGACGATCTGGCGATCGCAATGATCCTCTGGCACTGCGGCGGCTCGTCCTTCTTGTTCAGTTGAAACGTGCAATCCGGTAGCTGCCAGGCGCCGGCGGCGATCATGGCATCCATCAGCACGTGCCGGGCCTTTGACTTGTTCTCCATGAGGAGGACGATGTCCTTCAGACCGAGGTGGAACGGGTCGCGTTGCCACGCCGAGCTGTCGTTTGTCGGGCACCCTCCCGATATGCCGTAGACGTCGACCTTCAGCAATGCCCTGACGGTGAGTCGCCACATGGCGGGCTCCATTTCGCGTTGACCAAAGGCCGCCCGCGTCCCGCACGGATCGCCCGCCCCTAGACTGCCCCAGATGCCGCCCAGGCCGCCCAGTTTGAATATTACCTTGCGGCGTTCCGCCACGGATCTGTTTGTTTCTTGGTCGACAATGGCGAGGATGCGCTCGTAGGCGTGCACGATGCTGGGGATCAACGTGGCAAGCAGCATGAGGTTCTGGAAGTTCTGCATCATCTGCGGAGAAGACCGTGGGGCACCGGGATTATCTACCGTGGAGGAGCAGACAGGGCAGTTGACTACTTCGTAGGCTGTCTTGGCGGCCATTCTGGCTTGTCTGATGGCCGGTTCGACCTCTGTGGAAAGCTTTTGCATCGAGTCGAGCGCGAGGTAAAGGCTCGCGGTGCAGGCACACTTTTGCGCAGGCGTAGTGTAGTTGCTCGCGTTGCTCTGAGGGGTACTGGCGGAGTTGGGCGACAGAGCCGGAACCGGGTCCGCTGGCGGCGCCTCTGCCGATGGGGCGACGAACAGGGCCGGGTCGATGTTCGACGGCGAGAACGACTGTGTATGATTTGCCGGCATCGGATCGAAATTGACGTCTCCGAAAGCATTTCCTGTGAAGCCAAAGTTCCACGACTCGCCTCTCGGCTGTTGCGAATCGTCCGTTGTAGTATCCGTATGCATCTGTGCCCCAAAGTCGACATCCTCCCCCATTAGCAGGTTGATGAATTCCAGCCCGACATCCATTGTGTCCGGAGGGACCTCGGCCATGGGAGATTTGTTCGTCGCCACAACGTCTGGCGTGTCGTGCTCTTCGTCTCGCAGTCGTTTCCGGGGCCGGCCCATGGGCTTCTGGGGCGAGTAGTGGCAGGCGATGCCCTCGCGCTTACACCGAGAGCAGCCGTCGGGCTCTTTGGTGCAGGCCAGCTTCCGCGTCCCTGTGGCATTGTAAGTCAGAGACGCCCACGTTCGCTCTGCTAGAGGAGTCTCCCAACATACGGCATTCATCGCAAGCGCGGTGTTTGTTGGCGGCGCCGTTCTGGCCCTGGGCCTGGGCCTGGCCCGTTGAACTTGACTGCATAATGGACGACCAGTTCAGTGCTGTAGTGATGTCTCTCGGAGATTTCAAATTCGCTTATGGGTTGCCTCGACGAGGTTTGTTGTCGTTGTTGTCGACAACGGAGGAGCGCAAACCATGTTGACTCCTGAATTCCTGGTTTCAGCTGCATTCGTCAGCACCTGTTCGCTCGCTCAGCCCCTGTCAGTCTGTCAGTCTGTCAACTGCGAACTAACGTCCCCACCCTTCTAGCCCCTGGTAGGGCTGAGGGGGCCAGCTGCGTCACAGCTGCGTCTCAGATCGGGATCACCAAGACCGTGTGCCAGCATCCAGCATGCAGCAGTTTCTGGATGAAGCCACATGGTTATTACTACCTCTGTGTATATTACAGTCCATTATTGACTCACACTCCATGTAAGTCTTTTTCTCATCTCTCCTCTTTCGCACCCCGGGACTTACAGCAAGCCGATGAATGATCCAGGGCTCCTACTACCTTCATCGCTTGACTTTCCGGTCCTTTATGCGCTGGAGCCTCCTGTACTCCGTGCGGCGCTGTCTAGCTGCCTGATCTGCAGCAGCTTCTATTTTAACCTCGTCAACTGCCTTCAGATCTGCCAAAAACCGCCGTATCCTCAGTCCGGTTTTGTGCCTTATATACGCGTCGTACGAGTCGTCTGCCGCTGCATGAACGGCTACATGGAGCCCCTTGATGACATCCCTGTCCTTGATGTCCACATCCTCGTTGTCAAAGAACACGTCCAAGTCCTGCAGAATCTCCTCTGTCCGGGACTGGTCCGACTTCGTGTCTTCATGCAGCTCCTCGTCCGCCTGTGGAGTGTGTGGTGCGGATGGAGGCTGACGAATGGGTGAGGGGGGCAGTGGCTTAGAGTTCAGGGGGAGCGACTCCACTGGGGGCATTAATCGATCTACGTATATGAATTTCTCGTTTCGGTGTGGTTGACGGGAAAGGCGGTGTTGTGATGTTCGGTAACCAGATTCACCTTGCCGACTTGATTTCGTGTGCTGGTTCGTCGTCTCTGCAAGAGCCGGATGGTGAGTGCGTACATGTGTTTGCTTGTCTACTTGCTGCTCTCGCTCATCAAGGTCTCGAGATACAGCGTCCAATGCTCGTTCCAAAGATGAGGCAGTGCTAACTGCATGCTTCGCGGCGTATGGCAAAGAGGGAATAGAAGAATCACGGCTCTCTGGGGAGACAGGGGCGGAGTCTTGGCGAGTACCTTTAGCCGCGACTGCCTTACCCTGACGTTTGCGTATCGCTTGGTGGTTTGCGGCCTGTTGACCACGACTAGGTGTGGCCTCTTTTTCTTCCTGGATCGTCTCGATAGTCGCCGGGTGAGGCCGCGGCGGACGGGCTTGCGTCATTTCTCTCTTCCCTTGTGGGCCATCCGGAACGGACCATCTCGGATCAAAATATCCGGGAGATCGCACCGTTTGAGGTTCAAAGTGAGGGCCTCGATCACGTTGCTCAATGCCACTGGGCGATAGTGCGACGAATGCATTTTTCTTTGGGGTCCTAAGCAACTTCGGCCGAACATTCCCGGGAGGTCGCTCGGCTCGAGGTTCAAAGTGAGGGCCTCGATCTCGTTGTTCAATGCCACTGGGTGTCAATACGACGGATGCCTCTTTGCTTGGGGTCATGACACTCCTAAGCAACTTCGGCTGAACATTCCCGGGAGGTTGCACCGTTCGAGATTCAAAGTGAGGACCTCGATCTCGTTGCTCAATGCCACTGGGTGTTAGTGCGACCAATGCCTCTTTTTTGGGGGTGATGGCCCTCTTTGGCAATGGCCGCCGGGGTGCACGTGGCACAGATTGTTCTGCCTGAATTTCCTGGCCCGTTCGATATTGAGCATCTTGATACTCTCTTCGATCAGGTAAAGGGGGCAGTGTCATCTTGGTCTGAACTGGGCCATGCTCGATATATTGGGGGGTTTTCTGCGCCTCGGGATGATGAGCACCACCTGCTTTGGTCCAAGGCGACTTCTTTCTGAACCAAGGAAAGAATTTTCGCTTCTCCTGGGTTCCGGATTTCCGGTTGTTCTTGAGTTGTGGCGTGGGCAACGGTACGTATGGGTGTGTTATGTGGCCATTTGGCGGAGTGGACCGCACGAAAGACCCCGTGCTGGAAATTGATGAGCCGCTTCGCGCAACCTCGTTCTGGCCATCGACTCTGACGGTAGGCAGCCCGGATACACTAGCCCTTGCACTCCGACCCGCGTGGCGTAAATCCACGGCCGCTTTTCGAGGTGAACGCTCTCTCTGCTCCGCGGATGTGACTGCTAAACCAGCAGCTTGAAACTCCTCGCGATAGGGCATTAATGGCTGTACGGTGTGGTACGATACTTTCGACTCGGATGTGGTTGGTGTCATGATTGCTGCCCTGCCTGCTGCCCCAGCCACATCCGCATACTTCTCCAGGGCTCTCGCGAAGCGGTTCAAAGCACGATTTTGGCTGGAAGTCCGTGAAGGAACCTCAAATTGCTGGACAGGTTCCCGTTCGTGGTCATCTTTGGCAATGAAGGAGGACAAACGCTGCTGCTGCATGAGCGATCGGCTGAACTCGTCCCACTTGGCCGGATCGGCAATGCCGTACCGCTTTTCCAATTGTGCTGTGCTCCGGTGTTGTCTCGTACGACGTTGTGGTCCCGGATCACTATCCAAATTAGTGTTCGTGAGGAACGTCTCGTCTTCAACTGCCCCAGCATGGGCATGCTCATTATGACGTTGGTGACCTTTGGCAGCGCCAGTTGCCCAGGATTGCGTGTAAGCTGCCCGTGCTTGCGGCGTAGTACCCCGATATGGAAGATCCGGTCCATCTGAAACTTGCATGAGCGAATGCCGAGTATCGCGAGTAGTCGATGATCGACTGCCACGGGCGGGCAGGCGCCTACTGACTCGGACGCCATGCTTGCTGCGGCTGATCCTTCGTTGCTGTTGTAAATGTTGTTGTTGTTGTCGTCGTCTTGCTGTAGTCAATGATTCGGGTAGAGGGCTTCGAAATGCTGCTTTGGCTGCTTGATGTGGGAGGTTCTCTGCAGAGTCCGACGACGAAGGATAGTTGATTTTCGGCCGACGATGAGGTTTCCCTTTCTAAGGTAAATTGAGCTTAGGCATCGTCTGTATTCCAAAAAGCGTCCAAAAAGAAGGTTATGTTGCCGGAAAGCTGTACTCCGTGACCTTGTGTAGCAGATAAGTAAGAATTGTCTGTTGCTGTTGGGAGTTGGGAGTTGGAGCTACAGGACGTTTCGCTCTGTCCTCTCAATGATCGGGAGTCTGGGACCTGGTTCGTCATCGGCACGTGGATCCCACCGGTAGTAACTTCCTACGAATGGACACAGAACATGTGATTTATCATGCCGCTTTCCTTCCAAGCCTCCAGGTTGACATTGTGCAACCCATCCCCGTCGTGAGTGCCTCGATAATAAGAGGCGGCAAGAAGTCGGGTAGGGCTCTTGCGGGCGCCATCGCGGAGAAGGAGCTCAATGGATATCCTTGATACCAGGCGCAGAGTAGACTTCCAATTGACGCCGTCCCTTACGGACCAGGAATTCGATAGCACCAAAGTCCCGTTTATCAAGACCGACACTCTTATTGAACTCGGTCCTACCATCCAGTCAGTCTCACATCGCAGAAGTTGCGTTCAGTCTTGGGTTCTTACCTGGCGTACGCTTCGAAATGCGATCGCGTTGCCTGTGATTGATGCCACCGAGTCAGCAACATTGAACACGGTAAGGTAGGTATTAAGTAGGTTTTGGTTGATTCCCGCGATGCGTGTGATTGGTAGACTCACAGCTGGTTTCTTGCGGCTTTCGCGCAGGCAGGTCCTGTACAGAGCCAACACCTCCTTCTGCAACCCCGACAAACGCATTCTGAGAACAAGCTGGTATAATAGAAGTCTAACGATGTCACAAAACTCTGATGGGCCGATTGTAATTGTACTGACCAGATGGGATTGACCAAAGTGGAATGCTGTTGTGAGTTGAACCTGAAGTGAACAAGTCTGCCGGCAATCCGCGGCCGTCTTTTGCTTCGTTGATTTGCCCCAGTCAATCATACACAGGCGGGCCGTGCCACCTGGCTGCAGGTGCCAATGGTCATTGCGATGAATCACTACTCGTGGGACGAGATCGGAGAGGTACGGACTGGTAAAGAGGTTCATAATAATGGACTTAATAAGTATTTCAAACGACACCCCTGTGAGAAGTGTCACCTATTGGATAATTTTCGAGTATATGTGTCTCTAGCGAGCATGTCATGTCCTGATCTAAGTAAAACGTTGCCACCGGTAGATTTCTCAGAGTCCCTTCCTCATCACACGAGCAAGCCGTTCAACCTCGCAAAATTTCAAACCAGCTCTTAGAACAACAACTTGAAAGCTCCCAAAGCCCCCAACCCTCAAGCCGACCCAGCCGCCCGTCCATACCTCGCCCCCAGCACCGCCCGCAGCCCCGTCACGGCGACCCAGCCCACCACCACGACCGTCACGGCCAGCCGCAGCTCGCGCGCCACGGCGACGGCCGACGCGTCGACGTGGATGGCGTGGAGGTGTTTGATGGCGCCGGAGTGCTGCGCCGCGAGCGAGAAGGACTCCATCTCTCTACCGGATACGTCTTGATCAGTTCGGTCCCGCAGGTGAGTTTGTATGTGTGGGTTTGCTTTAGACGTGTTGATTGATGATGCTGTGGGTTATTATGGAGAGGTGTAAGGCTGGTCACCGGTGTATGAGGTATGTTGCGCTTGATATTGTTGTCAGCTGTTGGTAGGTTGGTGACGAAATGTTTGTAATTGGTGGGAGGTGGGACCATCCAAGCGATGTGGCTGGAAATTAGATCCAAACTTTGTCACTTGTCGCATTGAAGCGTCATGGAAAACCTGTTGACGGCCGACGCACAACACATGAAGTCACAGTTGTTACAAATCACGAGAATCGGGTGAAAGACTGTTGGAAGTAATAGGAAGATTGCAAATTACTATTCAGGCATTAGACGAGGGCAATTAGCTCATGAAGACCACCCATTGCCCCGACCATCCCACAACGAGAGAAGACGCCATAACCCATGCAAACTTGCCATTCCAGAGAGGACATCGAGGGAAGCACACTTTTATTGTGGTTTTAGAGACCGATCATTCCCGCTCGCTCGCTCTAGACCTTGTGGGGAACGTCGTGGGTCTCGATCGCGACCTCCTTCTCGACCTGCTCGAGGTCGAGGTGGGCGACCTTGGCGTCCTCGCCGTCGATGACCTTGGCCAGCTCCTCGAGCGTGGGGCCGCGGGTCTCGACGTACATGAAGTAGACGAAGCACAGCTCGATGAAGATCCAGAACGTGTAGATGATGTACAGCTTCCACGAGTGGTCCTGGCCGAACGCCTTGAACGCCACGGGGTTGGCGTACTCATTCAAACACAGCGCCGCCTGGATCATGATGTTGAGGATCATGAGGCCCTTGGCGCGCAGCTTGTACGGCAGGATCTCGATCGCGTACCCGACCAGCAGACCCGACCACGCGATCGAGTAGAAGAAGCCGAAGAGCCAGATGAAGAAGATCATGGCGTAGTTGGCCCCGTGGGTCCGGTGCTCGCCGTACAGGCCCGCGCACAGCGTCCAGAAGACGAACACCACGAACATACCCCCGGTCGAGATGAGGAACATCGGTCGTCGACCCCACCTGTCGACGAGTGTGGCCATGGATACGGAGACGATGAGGGCGAGGATGGTTTGACCACCAGCAAGCTGCAGTGACAAGTCAGGCATAGCTCAATAGTCTCGGACCACGGAGAGAACTTACACCGAACTTGGAGTTCGAGTCTGTGACACCGGCCTGCTCATACAGGACGCTTGAGTAGTTGGAAATGATGGCATTGCCAGACCATTGGGAAAAGAGACCAAGAGACAGCAGGACCGCTAGTCGGTAACGGTTTCCCTTTGTCTTGAGGAAATCGGCATAGCTGCTGTTGTTCTTGCTTTCCATCTCCAGCCTAATGGTTTCCTTGATCTCGCGGTACTCGAACTGAACGGTAGGGTGGTTGACGTTGCCGTTGGCGTGGTAGCGAGCAAGAATCTCGAGCGCTTTCTCATGCTTGTCCTTGGCCATAAGGTACCGCGGCGACTCGGGAACCCACCAGATGAAGATGATCTGGATTACAGAGGGGAAGGCCTGAAGGATGGCCGGGATACGCCATGACCAGTTGTTGGGAATGTAGTTGGTGCCGAATGATAGCCATGTGACAACTGCTCAAGGGTCAGCACTGCCTGCTCTACAGGCCGGAATCTCAAGGTGTTCAACGTACAGATGGCACCGACATTCCACAGGCAGTTGTAGACGGCCGTGAGACGACCACGGTGTTGGGGGTGTGCGACCTCGGTCAGCAACATGGGAGAGGCAACCTGAGCCAAGCTGTTTCCGACACCCATCAAAACACGGCCGCCCATGAATGCTCCAAGGCCCGTTGCAGTACCTTGGACAATGGCACCCACGATCATGATAACGCATCCAATTATGATTGGTATCTTTCGCCCAAATCTGTCGGCAATCACAGGTCTGCTGCGGTGTTAGAGCAAGTGAACTTCGTGTACGGCGGCGTGGAGAGTTGTGGGCTTACACGATGGGGATCGAGACAATGCTACCAATCTGGTACAGAGCAACCAGAAGACCCAACTGAGAGCCCGTGGGGTTGCCGAAGTAGCCCTTCCATGTCTCGAAGACCTGTACGGAGTTGAGGAACGAGCTGTGTGGTTGTTTAGCAATGCTGTTCTACTCGGCCAGGCTTCCGTAGCGCTGGGACGTACCCATCGTATCCAGTGGTGGCAGAAGCGATGCAAAGTACGAAAGCGTAGAAGTAGAGCTTCCTCAAGCCGGGATCCCTCGTCCAGCTGACTCTCTCGAATGCTGGCGCCTCCTCAGCGGCTAGGATAGCCTCCTCCTTCTTCGGCGCCGACTTCGTCAAATTGCCAAGAGCCATGTTGACAGGGGCTTACAGCTCCAGCCACGCGGCGAGATACCACGGATTGTGTCGAAGAGGAACTTAAAGAAAGACAACTACCCTCCAGAGACTTGCTGGAGAGGGTCTGCAATTGGTCTCTCAGCAGTGGTGAGTGTGAAGAAGACGAGGTGTGATCGACCGAGAGCGCAGGAACCAAGGTTGCGAGGCCAGCAGTCCAGATATAGGAGAAGCCATGGCTTAAGACAGGGTGCACCGAGGCGGACGAGCGGACCGGTAGAAAAGTTCACCTTGGAGCAGGTGTACGATGGGCCACTCGCGCTCTGTCGAGTGGGTGGAAGATCTCGAACGGACGGCTCGTGGCAAGGTGGCTCACTGTACTCCCGAGTCACATGGGGGTGGGCATGCAGGGCCGTCTTACCCCATCCCAATCCCCCGTCCCCCATGTTCCCCCATGTCCCCCAGACGGGGGCCGGAGGGTACTGTTGGGGATTGGATCCGCGGATCTCACATTTCGGTTGAAGGGTCGTGTTCTGGATTCACCACAGCGACCGTCTAGAGCTCACATGCCCATCGATGGACGGGCCGGCCAAGGTGATTGACTGGATCGCTGCCCGTCTTGTCGCTGCTGGCGCTGCTTCCGAGTCGGTCTAGTAAGCCGTCGCCTGTCAGCGCTCCATGCGAGCATACCTAGTCGACCTCGAAGATCTTCTACCCTCAGCGGGATAATTCTGCAAGCTGTCAATCGTCGCTGTAGGAGCATCAGATCGTCCGGAGACACTGCCGGGCCAGCTAGAAGCACTGTAATTGTTCCATGAAAGCGGCTGTGGGGTTGGATATTGTCGACGGTCGTCGACTGCGGGGAAATACCTCCAGTAACACCGAAATGTTGGCGCGATTCTATGCCGTGCACGCGAACGATCCAATAACGGAATATTAATGAATAAGTTCAACGGCTTCGCTCCCATTGGCGTCGGCAACGCTGCCAGGGCGACAGTCCATCAGGCGTGTTCATCAAATCCAACCTACCGCACTGCCAGTCCGATATCCGTCTTGGGGTTCTGATGATCTGTTCTGATTCTTGCCCGACATGGCGGTTCCAGAGCATCGGAGACGGCGCAGCATATGTTGCCCTTATTCTGGATTAGGCAGTAATACTGATGAAAGTCATGCGCGTCAAAATTCGGGGACTACCGCATTCCCTGTGCAAGTTCAGCCCAAGTCCCATGTATATGAGAGCAGGGGGTTGATATTGTTCCGGTTCCAGAACCAGAATGATGTCGGTTCGCACTAGCCACCAAACAAGACGATCTGCCGACGGCATGTTGGAGGTCGCAGTGTAGGTAGCAACAGCAAGAGCATTGTTCGACTTCATGTAGCCACGGACCTGACCACATGGATGGAGCATCGCGATTTGCTACTAGCTTCTCAATTGAGACTTGGGGACTCGGAGAACCGACCACCACAGAGTTCGTGAAATGGCTGTCCATGATCTGTCTCTCTTCCCATGGTGTGGTCTGCCAAAAGGGTCTCTTGCCCAATTTGGACAAGATAGGTGTTGTGCCTAGCGAACCAGCAAGTCGGGCTGACTTGGGTGTTCATGATTCATCTCATCACAGCTTCAGACAGCTGAGAAGCCGAGACCAGGGGGGCCACATGAGCTGTTGACAAGCAATAGGCGACTCGAGATGAGCTGTGCGCCGACTCCAGGGTCCGAAGGGTTCGGGTCAGGTGGCAGGGCTGGTCGGGTAGGCTATTCGTCTCCGGAGAGGCGTTCCGAACTGCCGCCTACCTGATGACCATTGACCACAGCTAGATACGAGTCTCACGAGCCTCACGACGGCCCAGCCGCCAGCCAGCCGCCCCAGATGCAGTGGCTGGCCCCCCTCAACGGATGTGAGCATGTGGTAACATTGACGGGAGCCAATTCCAAAAACATGCCAGCAAGCCACAAAGCTACAGTACCAGTCTACCAGACAGTACGCCTTTGCCTTTGGCCTCTTCATGGACACGCCGCTGACGAGAACGTCAAGTTGACGATGCCCAAAGAAACACGGTGCGCATGACCTTTACCCAGGTTGGTCTAGTCGTTCACCACTGGCGCTTGCCCCAGCTGGAGAATCTGGGGACTGGAGATGCTCTTTGCGGGACACCCAGACTCTGATCAAGGGTGATCCATCCATACCCACGGAGGGCCTATTGTTGGCCAGCAAATCCCGCGGCGTAGGACAACTATAACCAGTAGGCGACCACCAACTAGCATCGTTAGGATGATCCCCCTTGACAATCAGATGGCGACTAGCGAATCCTGAAAGCCTGATCTGTTCGAAAACCGTTGGCGTGATCTGTGTGTGTTGATCCTGCGGCGTAGATGGCCGTGGCATGAGGATCCCTTGAATGCAGTTATTTAGCCTGAATCCGGCACAATGCGAAGCTGGGAACACCAACCTGCCAACCTGCATGTACCCCTGGAAACCACAGGATTATGAGTCTTGTGCCGCGTGGCAGCCTTGTGCGCAATTCCTGTGTCGGAGGTCCAGCTGTAGCGCGTCGAAGGGGCTGGCAACAAAAGTGCCTGCAGGACTGGCGGCTCACAATGGCGTTCCTGCCGGTAGGATTCAATATGTAGTTGACAGCCACCCTTCTCGGACGAGCGCATGTTGGGAATAACATTGATGGTGTGCTAGATACATGTCGAATTGTGTAGTAAGGTAGCAAAGCATTCAATGGGAAGCACGTCTTGCCAGCCCTGGAGCTGAGCCATTTCGTGACTCGCCAACTTTGATACTCTGAAGGCTAGCGCAAAGCCTCACTGCCGGCTTATCCTCGTTTCTATCCTCATTAACCAAACTGTCACTATGAACTCTCCAAAGAATTGAGCCCTCAGCTTGACCTTTGTATGGTATCACGCACCTGGAGGCTTCTAACTCACACTGAGACAACTTAGTATCGGAGGTAACACACGGCAATGCTCGAAAAAGTAGCCAATACAGCTGATTGACTAGGTTGGGCAAGTCACGATGCGCCGATAGTTGCTACTGGTTCGGTTGCGAAGCTCGGTTCTTCTGCACCCAGTGTAGTTGCCAGCGTAGACGGAGCTACCTGGTTGCCAGAGCACACTCATGCCATCCAAAAAAACACACATACTGTTGAAGGAGAGGTGAATTACGACATTAATCGAACGCCGCCCAATGCAATGCAACCAGTAGCCTGTACAGCCGTCTACCCATCCCGGAACGCCAGGTGTCTGTGAGCAAACCACGTCGATAGTATACACTGCTCTTTCCACAAGATCATTCTGTCTCCTGCAACGTCCGTCCCCGTCTAGACCTGGAACCCGAATCCAGCCATGCAACTCCGGTACTGGTCGATGGTGCTCCTGCAATCGCTAGCCGGGTCGTTCGATTTCGAGAACAGCATGCATTCGTCGCGGGTCGCTTTCTCGTCTTTGCACACGCAGCACGGCTGTTCGGAGAGTTCCGGTCAGTTACCGCACGAGAAAGGTTCAATGTTGTAGGCGGGTGGTTTGGACGAACCTTGGGCTTTGCCGCTGCTGTGTTGGAGCTCGCGGTCGTGACGGGCGCCGCTTCGGGTTTTGATGAGAGGGAAGCTGCGGACGGGTCAGCGAGGCTGTTGGGATCGAAGAGAAGTGATTTTCTCACGCATGGAAACACTTTGCGAAGCCATTGTGACTGTAAGCAGGCGATAATGAACGTTGCGACAACTACTCGTCTAGGTGAATGAGATGCTCAAATATTTCCAAAGCTCTAGCTGATTTGTAAGGAGCTGCGAAGTCGGGATGCGACCAGACCGGACCCGTTTTGCCACAGTGAGCCACAAGCACTAGTGAGCTCGATATATCTAATCTTAACTCCGACATATGTCGTGGCGCATCTCCCAAGCTCCTCCTGAGCCGCTTCAGGGGAATTGGTCGGTTGTACGATGGACTATGTAACGAAGTCATTGGTAGATGGGCAATTGGCAGGAACTTCGTGTAAGCTTGAACTCGGTGTGTGAGGGCCCCCCTATTTTGATCTGTCATCTAGGTGGTAACCACATGTAAGTAGATGCTTGGTTGTGCGCAACTTTTCGTATGGCCCAGTTGCTGCTCCTGAAGGTACGGTGCAGAGCGTCCCTTCGAGCCTGCCCGCTCCATCTCAATATTACTAGAGGATGCTCGAACCATGTGCACCCTCTTCGCTGCCGCTCAGAGGGCCTAAAAACCAAGACTTAGTTAAAACTCTGACTTGGTTGTTTTATATGTAAAACCTTACTTTTTCTACCTTCAATAACTCAACCAGCTTGGTTTTTGGGCTCTCTGAACGCTTGCGTTCAGAGGGGGCACTTGGTCCGAGCATCCTCTAGTATCAAAGTTCATGTTAGAATAACGTCCAGGAGGAAAGACGATGATGAGTGCGGGATGTAAGTTGGAAGCCTCAAGGTGCATCCCCGTTTAAGCACATACCCTCCGCGAAATTTACCCCGCCAACCCCACCAGAACATATTTCTCGTTTGGGCGAGTGAGAAGCGCATCAACCCACAGTCAGTCAGTTAGTTAGGCAGCTGTTTAACAATATCAACATCATACCTACCTCAAAAGAAACAGTCCTACATACAATCTGTCCATCTCCTCCGAGCAAGGAACCAACAAACCATTCCCGAAACCGAAAGCCCAGGAGCTACAATCAACAGCCAAGATGCCCGCCCCGTCCCCCCTTGCCATCGCGACGCAGTCGGTCCAGCGCCTCGTCAAGGAGCAGAAGTACTACGAGAAGGAGCTGGCCTCGCAGACGGAGCGCGTGCAGAAGCTCGAGGCGGACCAGGAGCAGAAGAGCAAGGCCCAGACCAACGGCAACAGTACTACTACAACCACAACGGCGGACGGCAATGCCGAGTATGTGATTAAGCAGGAGGTTCGTTTTGCTTTTCTTTCGCCCTTACTACTTCCCTCTCGAACTCCTACCTCGGACTGTTGGTTGTTCATATACGTCTGGGGTACTATGTTCGTCTGCGGGTTTGCGGATTTACGTTATAAAAGCTGACATGAGTTGTATCTCCTCCGACAGAAGCAGGCAATGGAAGAGACCAAGGCCGTCTTCGCCCCGCTGAAGACGCGCATCGAGGAGGCCGTCCAGAGACTCGAGGAGCAGATCGCGACGGCCGAGGAGAACGCCCCCACGGACGAGATGACCAAGGCGAACGAGGCGTTGAGTCTGAGCAAGGGTGTCGAAGCTGCATGAAGGCGTGTCTGCCCGTTGTAATGCATGATCAGGAGCAAGCGGGAATGGATGGATGGATGGTGTATGATACGAGACGAGACGATACCATACGGACGAGACTGAATGATACCACGAGAGCATGGCGAGGAATAGGACACATAGAAGTAGTCTTAGATGAAATGAAGTCTTCTAACGTAGCTGACAAGCGAGTTGACATTACAAGCGAGTTGGCACTCGTCATGAACTCTCCAACTGCCATGTCAAATAACTTCACCACAATGCATTCAGTTCAATTCAATCAATTGGATTCCTCTTCCTCAGAGGTTTCTATCTCTATTGTACAAGTTCGCGCATTATGGCCAGTATTGCCGCAAACGCCACACCGTCGCCCACGCGCTGCCGCCCGCCTTGGACGACGATTACCTTCACCCATTTCCTGTTTTGCCAGCTCAGCACCATCCTTTGCAGCCTGAAGATCTACTGCATCTTCAACGGAAAGTACTCCTCTTTTCACTAGACGTTTGTTTTTTGTTCTCTGGCGTTTACTTAATAGGTGATTGGCCTCTTCTAGTTCGCGGACCCAGGAATCAACCAAAGCGACCTTATGCATAAGACCGTATGTAGCCTTCGAAAACGAGCTCAACGCATCAACTATTAATGTAGGTGAGCTTCCCTGGTGGTTTCTGACTCGGTTTCGGATATAAACCGATTGGTTTACCGCTTCATTAATGGTGGTAGGCGTCTTCGAAGTCCAAGTAGTGGGTGGCAGATTGGGGTCTGGCGACGGTGTTCGTATGACAGCGACAGCATCCAGCTTTGAAATGACACTTTCTGGGTCAAAAGGAACAAACCCAGTGGCACTGAAACCTGCTCGAATGTTTCCTGGCGTCATAGCAGCGTTGTGTGCTTCATAAAACGCTGCAAGGAAGTCCTCCTTCGAAACGTGGGTTATATGACGCCGGATGAGATCCTCAATCATGCGACCGTAAGCTCGTTTGAGCGGGCTAAAACAGCCGACATCTAGAGGCTGGAGCCTGTGTGACGAGTGGACAGGCATACAAAGGGTGATAATGCCATTGTTCTGACAATAATCCTCAAAGACCTGGGAATGGTGGCTTTCATGACCATCTAGGATGAGGAGGCGTTTACCGGCAGTCATACGCGGTCTGGTATACTTGTCGAAATGCTGAATCCATTCCAAACCAATCTCATTCGTGGTCCACCCGTTGTCGGACACGGCCACCTTCCAATCGCGTGGTAATATCGTGTCGCGATACCATGACGCGAGGTGGGTTTTGCCCTGTAGAATGATGAACGGCGGGACCACCCAACAATTAGCATTAACAGCAGAGATTGCTATAGACCATTCCCTGTTGCCTTGCTGAGCTTGTCTAGGCCTGCCACGTCTTTCGGCGTTTGTAACGACCATGCCGGACCCAATAATGCCCATCATAAACCCAGTCTCGTCGAAGTTATAAATATCCGCGTCTTGGATACCATGTTTCGCGACTGCTGCTGCAACTTGGCGAAACCACGCGCGATACGCGTCTGGATCCTCGTTCAAGACCCTCTGGTAGTCTATCTTCCGATGAAAACGCGTCCGGAGGCCTGGTATACGTTTGATGAAGTTCCGCGTCCAGTTCTTTCCAACGCGTCCAGCCCCACGCGCCGCCAACAATTGATTCGCCATATCTTCAACATAACTGTACCGGGGCGGAAATGCTCGCACATCCAGGTCGAGAATAAAGGAACAAATGGCATTCTCTTCGGAAACCATAAGTTTCAAAGTATTGGGCATGCTGTCGCGTCGTGATGGCATTCCTTTGACTCTATTACTCAAAGTGGAACGAGGGACGTTGAAGAGTTTCGCAAGCTGAAATATAGGAATATGAGGGTCACGTCGTTTAGCTTGAACAGCTAGCTGCAAGTCTGATTCGTTATAACGCGGTGCCATTGTTGTTGGTGGAGATATGATGGTTTGAATCGTATTGGTTGGAAAGTTCATGACGAGTGCCAACTCGCTTGTAATGTCAACTCGCTTGTCAGCTACGTTATAGGAGCATGACGGTCTGGCCAGCAGACAGACCAGACCAGTGGAATTCATTGGGTATAATGCGTGCCTATCAAACTGCTACCTCAGCTTCGCATGTGCTTCCAGATACCTCACGTAGTATCCATCGCATCGTCGGGGCCCGTCGGGGCATCGACCGTGATCTGCGGTGTCTCTGCCATAGGTGTATCAGCTGCCTGCTGCGTCGCCTGCGACTCGTTCATCTCGACATCCTCGCCCTCCTCCGGACCCTCATCCGCCGGCGGCGGCTGCTGACTTCCCGCCCTCGGGCTCGGGGCCTGGCTCCCAGCTCGCGAGAAGCTCCTACTAGCATCCGGTCTCGGCTTCAGGCTCTCTCCTCCATTTGTCGTAGCCGCACCAGGACTATCCGGCCTCGGGGTCCGCTCATCTCGGCCGCTGTTCGAGATGGGCGTGGCGTTACCCTCAACCTTGGACGACGACACGATGTGATTTTCGCCATGATGCGGCGTGGCATTCCCATTTACCGCCTTGGGCGTCGATCCCGCCGCCCCAGCCTCCCCATCCTCCGCGTCGGAATCCATGCCCTCGCGGCGCTCAACCTCCTCCTTCTCGTCGCGGATCAGCGCGCGCAGACGCTTGCCCTCGTCGACGAGGCGCTCGAACTGCTCGCGGCGCTCGCGCCAGGTATCGCCGTAGGTCTCGCTCTCGCGGCGCAGCTCGTCGCACTCCTCGGCCAGCTTGGCGAGGTTGACGGCCTGCTCCGCGCGCGTGCGCAGCATGCGGTTGGCCGTGATCTTGTCGGCGAGCTCGTCGAACGTGCGGCGCCGTGCCAGCGTCTCGCGCGCCGTCTCGAGCGAGGTCTTCAGCACGTTGTTGGACTCGCGCACCGACTCCATCGTCCCCAGGATGCGCAGCCGATCCGCCGCGTACCGCTCGCGCTCGGCCGCGTTGGCCGTCGCGAGGAACTGCAGCCGCGCGATGGCCGAGTCAAAGGCTGCGAAATCGAGCGTGATGTCTTCTTTGAGAGCCGTGACGTCGGTCGATTCTTGGGACGCATTTTGTGCTTCGGCGCTGCTGGCGTCGGGTGGTGGTGAGGGGAGCTTGCTGGTCGGGTTCGTGAAGGCTCCTGGGGCGACGAGGCGTTTGGCGAGGCGCTTGAAGGGCTTTTCTTCCACGTTAAGAAGGCGGGTTTTGTGTAGTTCGGTCTCCTCGCGCTCCTCGAGGAGGCCGAAATGTTGTGTTGCCATGGTCGATGCAGTGAGATGTGATGCAAAGGTAGTTCCGGTTGGGAAGTAGCTGATTGACAATTCGAGGTTGGAGTTGTTGTAAAAAGGCGCTGTCTGAACTTGGGAGGTTCAGCCGCGAATTGAACGGCAAGGCGCGTAACCTCAGGTTGTTCAATGTTCCTTTAGATGCAGATCGGTTAGTTGCATGGCAGATCCCTCGAAATTTACCTCTGGTTGTGGATCCAGCTGATTCCAGCTGTCAGGTGTCTTGTCGGTTGGGCCGGACTGTTGCCCAAGGGACGAGGTACCGTTTGCACTGTATCTAGACTAAAGAGACCTTTCGGATGGGACAAGCTCCCATCCTTCTAGACAGCAAGCAGAACATCCAGAATACTAGTCATCGTAACATGGTATTCTGGGCCCCTGCCAGAAGGCACATGGTTGTCTCCAGAGCGGCTGCCCAGCGCAGCTTCCAAATGAATGAACTCACATGTGTACGTCTGATGCACAATGGAGACTTTCGTTGCATCTACTCTACTTTCTAGTAGCCTGGGTATCTATGGTCGCAATGGAGAAGGACTAAAGCTGTGTTCCACCTCACTCTCGATGACAACCAAAGTGTGCAGTCATCCAAGGTATCAACATTGAATTGTTTAAATTCCTCTACCACATTTCAGAAGAGACTAGATCGCATGCTACGCTATGCTAGGTATGGCAGAGATTGGATCTGGGTATTCATTCCCTGATCAGATTCCTGGCACGGCGTCTTTCATCCTCACTCAGCACCCATTGAATGCCATCCTCTTCGCCTCCCTCGCCTAGTTCTTCCCACTCTTCCTCTTCCATGTTGGCGATCATGAGGATCTGCGAGACTCTCGCAAACAGTTCCCGCACACTATAGTTGCCTCTCGCAACCGTGCTGATGATACCAGAAAAGTCCCTTTCCATCCGTATAGCTCCGTATGCATTCGTCTTCCCGGTGTAACTCCATATGCGTTTCTCGAGTATTTGACGAGAGAGATGCGCGGCCGTGATATCCATCAGCATGGCGAAAGTCTTGGGCGTCATAAGTCGTGCTATTGGTTTCATCAGCGCGTCCCAACCCTGCTCGAAACGCCGTTGGACCCGATCCAACATTTCTTCTTCGTCTTCATCAATCTGCTGAGCAATCTCGGCCAGCTCCTCCTCTGTTCGCCAATAATCCGCATCGCGGAAGGTATCGGCGATAACAGGTCGTAATCGTAGCTTGACAACTTTCTGGAACAGCACCTGCAGGCCTTCTGACAGAAGCTCGGTTGTCTTTGCGGAGAATGAAGAGTTTAGGGTCTTCAAGCTCGAGGTCACGAATGTGACATCATGCTCAAAGGGGAACGAGGCGACAAGCGGATTGGAGTGAGATACTCCATTGGGCTGTTCTGGTGACGTTCCAAGGCGGGTGGCTATGACGCGTGCCAGGTAGTCGTTTGATACATCGAGACTGTTGATCAGCACAATGAATGCTATGATCTTGTCCTCTGGTGGAAAGCCGCCCTGTATGACGGGATTCGGATACGATTCATCGCGCATCTTCCGCTGAATCATACCAATAAAGTCTGAACCTAGTACCCTCCCGACTGTTGGAATGACTGAGGCCACCACATCTCGCTGTGATGTAGATAAAGACTTCTGAACAACCGCGCTGACAATGTACATGACATCGTCAACAGCAGAGATGATGTAAGGTGCATTGCCGTCAATCAGCCTGTTGGGGTTTAGAGACAGCCCTGAAGGCGTTTCTTCGAGTTGGAATGCCTTCTCGACGGACCTCCGGAAGAAAAAGGTCGACATGAGGTTGTAAGGTTCCGTGAGCTTGGCAGAGATTTTTCTTCTCATGTTCGAATTAGTGAGAACTCCCGGTATTGACAGGCTGACGTCCTCAGGGGTATTAGGGTCCTGATATATATTAGCTTCCGCTGCTTTCTCAAAGGCCATGTACCCTTACCTTGCATTTCCCAGCAAGAAATTTTGAGTATAATGACCACCGACCAAGCATGACGGAGATCTCGCTAAGAAGCCCGTCTACTTCCTTCATGTTGACACCTTCATCCTCGCTATTCCGAGCGCTGGTCCCACCACCTAACGCGGGCGAATTTATGCGAGGAGTCCCAGTGAGTGTCCTCTGCTGGGGCAGGAAGCTCTGCACCAGGAAAGAAAAGGGGTAACTTTTCGCCTCTGTGAGCTTCCTTCCGACACCTCTGTCATCACTCCACGAGTCCAATATTATACCACCCTGCACATCGGCTTCCATTTGGAGCCTCTCAATGACCCTGACCATCTTTCCCTCGCCGTAATGCCTCTCGACGAGCCCGCCATGACCTTCGACAATCTGGGCAATATGCTCAAACAGCTTCGTAAGCGCAGTAGCATAGAAAAACCCGTCCTTTCTCCCCGGACCGCCGGGGAGTTCTTTGAGAGTTGCTCTGGCTGTGCCGGCTACTCCTTGGCAAACGTATCGGCCATAGACATCTAATCCAACGTCGCCCCTTCCTATGAGCGGGAATAGCTTGAAGAACCTCGTCACCTTGGCCCCATCGCCTTCCGCGGCTGCCTTTTCAAACTCGCGTAGAAACAGCCCACACAAGCTTTCCTTGGAATTCTCCAGTGTCACCCAAGGAGCGTCAGGCACCTCCACACTCGGCACGATGGCTGCCGCAAAGCCGCCACATATTATGGGCTCCGGGACCTTGCTTGCGCGAGAGATATAACCGGCGGCGGCTTCCCAATCCTGGGGTGCGCCCATGCTGCCCACGACTCCATGAACACACGCTTTCAGCTCAGCCACCTGCTCAACGACCTTCAGCGTCTGCTGTACCCTGTCCTTTTCCAAGTCCAGCTCTTTCACCCGGTTGGAGAGCCGTCCGGCAGTGTCTGCTGCCGAAGATAGCATGCCATTGCTAATGGACCTTGTTGCAATGACTTGGGACCCGAGATTCGCGCGTAGAAGATCGAGTCGGCCTAGTTCGCGGGAGAGATCTGCTTGCGACGAGAGTAAGGTGTTTAACCGAGTCGTTATGGAGGTCTCGCGGGTGTGCAGCGCAGCCAGGGCGGCGCAGACGTCGGAGAGCGACGACGCATCGTGGATGGAGGGGCCAGACACGGTTGCTGCATGGTTCAGCTTGTCCGAGGACTTGTGCGCCGGTCGGGCTGGAGAGTCGCCATTGGGGTGATTGTTGGCGGACATTGGGACATTGGTTTCGAGAGGCGCATAGCGGCGCAAGAGGTCAAGCCGGAAGTCAGGTCTTGAACGACTCTTTTGTAGCGTGCTGGAACAAAGTTGGCGATTTCAATGTCCAAATCGAATGTCGTTCGTGCAGGTGGCCAGCGATGTGGTGTCTTAATCGATAAGGCCATTTCAGTTCCAGCCCAAGCTGGAGGTGCAGGTGATGTGTTTTAGCGCCCTGGAGTGCCCTGGACACCCCTGAATGAAACCCCTGGGAAAATCACTTGAAAAAGTGCTTTGGCAATTCGCCGAAGTCGATATCGGCTTCATACAGCAACTTTTTCGTGAGTCATCGAGAAGACAATCACCAAAACACAACTCACCGGATTCAAGTGTGCTTATATAATTGACACCTCGAAATAATTGCAAGGACTCACAGTACTCACCCAAATATTTACATTCGCATGTCAGAAGTCAACCGCTCTCATATTTGCCGAATTCATCAAACAAGTTGGCGCATCGAGCTGCGAGGATCGGACTTAAGACTGTTCGAGCTGCCTTCGACTCTTACAGCACAATGTCGCAAGACTTGCCAGCGGAGGCAGCGAAGCAGCGCACTCGCCTTCTGAGAGTGACTGGAAAAGACTTGGGGAACTTCAGAGATGGCCCTGCACAGGAGGAACTGGGAAGATGGGATGTTTCCGCCGAGGAATCAGCGAGTATCAAGACGCTGCGTGTGGCGGCTGACTATTTGAAGAAGCACGACATACCAGTCGCATTTCCCACCGAGACGGTCTATGGCCTCGGCGCAGATGCGACACGGAGCGCCGCTGTCAAGGGCATCTACGCCGCGAAGGGAAGGCCGTCGGACAATCCTCTCATCATACACGTCTCAGACCTCGAGATGCTCCGAGATATCTTGAGTCCCCCGACCGAGACCAACGGGACAGGAAACGGCAGTCGGGAGGAGCGCATACCTCCGATATACAAACCGCTCATCGAGCGTTTCTGGCCCGGGCCCCTGACGATATTACTCCCCAACCCGACTCCGTCAAAACTAGCCCCTGAGGTCACGGCCGGACTCCCGAGCTTCGGCGCACGCATGCCGGCTTCACCTCTCGCCTTGTCGCTCATCAAACTGACAGGCGCTCCGTTGGCTGCCCCTTCCGCCAACGCTTCTACCAAGCCGTCGCCCACTACGGCGGAGCATGTGCTGGAGGATCTGGATGGGCGCATCGAGCTGATACTGGACGGTGGATCATGTCAGGTCGGAGTCGAGAGCACGGTCGTCGACGGACTCTGCGACCCGCCCGTGATCCTCCGGCCGGGGGGCGTGGGCATAGACGAGCTGCGAAGATGTCCCGGGTGGGAGAACGTCGGGAAGGCGTACAAGGACCAGAGCGAAGCCGGCAAGTCTGCGCCGAGAGCGCCTGGGATGAAGTATAAGCACTACAGTCCGAAGGCAAGGGTCGTCCTGTACGAGGCTACGATGGAGGGGTGCCAAAAAGGGGTTCGGCTACAGGATATCGACGATCATGTCCAAGGACAGAGTGCAGCACAGACGGATGGAACAGGGGTATCGGCAGTGCAAGTCGGCATTATACGGACCCGGCACTGGCAACCGGCCGGCGGGTTGCGCTGCAGCGAGTTCAAGAAAAGGGAGACGGTGAACGTGGGACGCAGCCTCGAGAAACAAGGGGACATCGAGCTCGACGTTCAAGAAGCAGAGCTCTACGGCAGTGCGGAAGGGGCTTGCATTAGGAAGGTCATGGACGTGAGCATTGGCAAGGATACCAGGAGCATAGCACAGGGACTCTTTTCGGCGTTACGGGAGCTGGATAGACGGGGTGCGGACATCATCTTTGTAGAGGGCACGGTAGACGACAAGGACATCGGCGCAGCGGTCATGAACAGGTTGCGCAAGGCGGCCTCTCAGATTAGGTCGTAGACTCTTTCCCAGCAACACTCAATGACACCGCTCAAAGATACCCCTTTCAACATAAGGAAGTACCGGCTTTTTTGCCAGCACTCAAGCGCGCAGCCTACCGTAGTTTGTCCCATTTCCCTCACCCGCTTGGCCGAACAACACCATCCTACAAGCCTTGCCTCAGCCAGTCTGTCAGTTTGGCCCTTCCTAGCTGCGCGAGGTTGTTCACGCCCTGCTCGCTGAAGTCGACCCGGCTCAGGTTGACGTCCTGCGTGGGCGCCTTGCTGACTCTCTGTACTATGATGGTCGGGTCCGTCTCCAGGATGATGCCGTCGTCCACGATCTCGTCGATGGCCAGCGAGACCAGGTCGTAGTTCTCGATGATGGAGCGCTTGTCCACGGATTGCCTGCACCCATCCAGTCAGTTCAGTCAGCGTGTCCCGTGTGTCTGGGTCTAGGCCCCGGAAGTCTGGGTTGACGCACTTGAACAGCAGCGTGAGCGTGTCCCGCAGCGCCAGGATGACGTTGTAGAGCAGGACCTCGTTCTCGTCGACGCCGCCGACGACGTACATCATGACGTCAGACTCCATCTTGTATAGGCATATCTTGCTGTCGTAGAGGATGATGTCGCCGGTCTGCTTGACCGTCTTCTCAAGGAGGCCCTTCTCGAACGTCTTCTGCGCCTTCACGTCGGCGTACGGGGAGCTGGAGGCGTTGGAGGCTGCGCACACTCTGTCAGTAGCTGCGCATACAGGTCATCGTGGTCTCAGTCGTATATCTCCCGCTGTGGCCCTTGGAAATGGAGCTTACGGGCGTTCGGCGCATGATGGGGGTTGTTGTAGTATTTCGCATATATCCTCGAGCCGTCGGTGTTGAGGATGATGATGGCGATGACCGACTGTAGGGACATTCCGGGAGCCATGATGCCGGTAGGGGGTATGGAGACGTCGGGGAGAGGCTGCTGGGATCGCTCGTGGGAATATCGACGTGCTGGTTAGGTTGAATGCGTCTTTCACACTTGTTCGAGTCGGCTTCAAACAGCACGGCGTACGTATCAATGCTCCGTCGATTGGATGGTCTGCCAGCTGCCAGGCTGTCAAGTCCAAGATCGAGGTGGCATTTGATGGAGGGACAGATTTAGCGGACCCCACTTCGGACTTTCATGCTTCAAACCCCTGGCTGGGCCCTGTATCCCCTGCAGCAACTGGATCCCCTCTTATCGACCTTCAATATCCAATCAGGAGCTGTCATTTTCCACTTTACGCGACCCGGTCGCGCTTTTCTCACTTTCCCCTTTTACGCGTCTCTCTGGGCTGGTTTTACGTGATTTCACCCGTCGACATCCACATCCCACCTTTCTTGGATCTCCTGTCTACGATCCACATTCTTCCACGAGCCTCAACTTCCCCTTCCGCCTTTACAGAGAACACATTGTCTGGAGTTGGAATTACAGTACCTGATCCATCATGTCTTCTCCTTCTCAGCGTCGCCAGCGAAGCTCGCAGTCTGGCACCCCGAGCCGGAACACACGAAGTTCTCAAGCCCCGCGCAGTAGCCCTGGAAACGCTGGCGCATCACAAGGTGGTTCGCAGAACGGCAACAGCAACACTCCGCGCAACAATCGCTCGTCGCAACTGGCGTCGAGCCCTCTATTCTTCCAGTCATCGCCGGCGAATGGAAACAATGGGAACAACGCTCCCTCGTCCCCCGACGATGGCGCTCCTCCCAGCTCACCTTTGCGTCATATGACACATACACAGTCGACAGACAACGATGGTGATAGGACACCACGTGCCGCAAGTGGGCTCATTGGTGGTTAGTAGACCATGATTGTCACAGTCTAAAGCAACCCAGATACTGATACGCAGTCTAGAATCATCTCCCATTCGATATGAGCCAAGCTCAAGTCCTGGCCGGGCACTGCACCCTGAGACCGACCTTCGAAGTGAGAGCAGTAACCTGTTTGTTGGCGCATCCGGAACCCTTCGAGCCAGGACGAATCGACGAGGTGATATCAACTCGGAAATATTCAGCGTTGGTGCTCGAAGTAGCAGCCGGGTCATCCTAGATGACGCGGGTCGCGTTGTTCGCGAGATCCATTCCGACGCCGCAACCTTCTCCAACCTAAACCCGGGGACCTCAGATGCGGATGTCCTGGGAGGACAAGATAACGCTACCATTTGGGGTACCACAGTCTCTATCGATGATACATACGCTTCGTTCAAGGACTTCCTAAAGAACTTCACCAAGAAATACCGGATGTGGAATGAAGGCATGTCGACCGAAGAGACCGACGCCGACCCAACGGCTACGTCGAAACCGTACCGGGACGAGCTTCAGAATATGTTGATTCTTGGCCAGCGAATCCTCTACGTGGACATTCGAGATTTCCAATTATACCCGCCCACCAGGAAGATGTGGCACCAGATCCAACACTACCCGCAGGAGATTGTGCCACTGATGGACCAGTCTGTACACGATGTCATGATTGAGCTGGCACAAACCGAGATGGCCAGGGAAAAAAGTCAAAGTAACGGAGCCTCTGCCACCCAGCGAAGCTCGGCGCCCAGCTCTGACATGCAGTTCCCAAGCTCGGAACGAAGCGAGGAGCCCCAACCTTCTCAACGACCGCAGCAAGGCCCAAATCTAGAAGAAAAGGTCATGGATCAGACTTACATGACTCGTCCCTGGGGATTGGATGAAATCACAAACCTGAGAGATCTCAACCCATCCGACATGGACAAGCTCATCTGCATCAAGGGTCTCGTGATCCGCACGACCCCTGTCATCCCAGATATGAGACAGGCTTTCTTCAGGTGTAATGTTTGCAGTCATTCACTCCTTGTTGGTCTGGATCGCGGCAAGATTCGTGAACCCACTGAGTGCCCTCGACCCATGTGCAACTCCAAGAACTCGATGCAAATCGTCCACAACAGATGTGAGTTCGAAGACAAGCAGGTGATCAAATTGCAGGAGACGCCCGATGCTGTGCCTGCTGGTCAGACGCCTCATTCTGTCTCTATCTGCGTTTACAACGAACTGGTGGACTTCTGCAAGGCCGGTGATCGCGTCCGCATTACTGGAATCTACCGTGTTAGTCCGGTCAGAGTCAACCCACGCATGCGATCAGTGAAGAGTATCTTCAAGACTTTCGTCGACGTGGTACACGTAGCCAAGGTTGACGACAAGCGCTTAGACGCTGACACCTCTACTCTCGACCCCGGAACCAACGACGAGGAAAACAACATCGAGGAGACCCGAACCATCAGCCCCGAGGAGGAAGAGAAGATCAAGGCCACTGCTGCTCGGCCGGATATTTACGAGCTCCTTTCTCGGTCGTTGGCCCCATCTATTTACGAGTTGGACGACGTGAAGAAGGGAATTCTCCTCCAGATGTTCGGAGGCACGAACAAAACTTTCGAGAAAGGGGGTAGCCCCAAGTACCGTGGGGACATCAATGTTTTACTATGTGGTGATCCATCGACTTCAAAATCCCAGTTGCTGAAGTACATCCACAAGATCGCCCCCCGTGGTGTGTACACAAGCGGCAAGGGATCTTCGGCGGTCGGTCTTACTGCCTATGTCAGTAGAGATCCTGAGACTCGGCAACTGGTGCTTGAGTCGGGCGCCCTGGTTCTATCTGATGGCGGTGTCTGCTGTATTGATGAGTTTGACAAGATGTCTGACTCGACACGTTCGGTGCTTCACGAAGTTATGGAGCAGCAGACGGTTTCGGTAGCAAAGGCAGGCATTATCACCACCTTGAACGCCAGAACCAGTATATTGGCATCAGCCAATCCCATTGGTTCCCGATACAACCCTGATCTTCCTGTTCCTCAGAACATCGATCTACCTCCGACACTACTGTCTCGATTTGATCTTGTTTACCTGATCCTTGACCGCGTCAACGAGTCGAATGACCGCAGGTTGGCACGTCACTTGCTGTCCATGTACCTTGAGGATACTCCGCAGTCAGCGAACTCGAACAATGAGATCTTGGTAAGCGTGTATCGAATCCCACGTGGAACTCTCCGACTAACTTGAGGTTTAGCCTGTCGAATTCCTAACAACATATATCTCATATGCCCGTGCTCACGTTCATCCGACGCTGACGCAAGATGCCTCTCAGGCGCTTGTCGAAGCCTACGTGAAGATGCGTAAGCTAGGTCAAGACGTTCGCGCAGCGGAAAAGCGTATTACTGCCACTACCCGTCAACTTGAATCGATGATTCGTCTTGCCGAAGCGCACGCCAAGATGCGACTGGCGCCGACTGTCACCAAGGCCGACGTTTTGGAAGCTGAGCGTCTGATCCAGTCTGCGCTCAAGACGGCAGCGACTGATTCTCAGGGTCGCATTGATATGAGTCTTCTGACAGATGGTACAAGTACTGCAGATCGGAAGCGCAAGTCGGAGCTGAAGGAGGCCGTGCTGCGTCTCTTGGATGAACTAACCAGCGGCGGGCAAAGCGTGAAGTTCAGCGAAGTGAGCAGAAGACTTAGTGAAGGAGCGAGCGTTCCGGTTGAGCCGGCCGACTTTGCGGAGACGATGAGAGCGCTGGAGATGGAGGGCGCAGTAACGATCAGCGGCGAGGGTGCGAGAAAGAGTGTGAGACGTGTCACGGGTGTTGCTTGAAGTGATCAAGACCTTGAATGTGAAAAGGTGGCTAGACGCAGTCCTTGTACTGATCTTTGGGCACTTGGCGGAAGGTTGATGGGGCATTCCCCTTAGTACTGGTGTCAAGGAGATGGCTACTGTTTAGAGTTCCTGGGATGGTATATGCGATGTTCAAACGAGCTGATGACGGAGCATGGTAATGAAGGTTTTACATCACGGTTGTATATACGCATATGGCTATTCTCGAGTGATTTTGTGTAACACTTGACGCCCTGATTGGCAGCCGGACAACTAAGTACACCTACACGGTCCCCCCTTAATGGAGGCGCACACTTCGGACCTCTCCACACGTTATTATCTTAGCGCTGTGAACTTGAACTTCTAGACAAGCACCAAGCCACAGCCACACAAGTTTCAAACATCAAGGCCCGAAATAGGCAACACTAATATCGATAGCGAAACGTTCGTTGGAATAGCCGCAGTCAGTGCCCATTTTTCGAATCCTAGAGCTACTTCTAAGTGGTGCAGGATGACGTCAACCTCTCCCCGCGTTTCGTAGAAATGGACCGCAATGGACCTCCACACGTAGCCATCTCCAGAGCATGACTTTCAGGGTCCAGCGATCCCCTACCTCTATCTGTTCAAGGTGCATTTTCAACATCTTGAAGTCACACATGTTCCCGACCTAGCTGCTTGAACGTGAACCACACCCTCCTTCACAACCCATAACACTCACTCAACACACTCAACACACTCACACTCAACACCACACTCAAGCTGGCATAGAAACATGGCCTACCAATCCAAAGACTCGTACCCGCGCCCAGACTTCGTCCACACCAACCACCGCTGGACGCCCATAAACGACAAGTGGACGCTCCTCTTCGACGATGAGGACGTCGGGCTCAAGGACGCCTGGCACATCAATGGCGTGCCGGACAAGGTCTCCGTAACCTCGGCTCCCAGCCCCGAAGACAGCGAGGCCGAGGCCAAGCGGCTGGAGGCCTTCCCGGAGCTGCGGGCGAAGGGCTTCCAGGCCGCCAAGAGCAAGGACCGTGAGAACGTCAAGAAGCCAATCAACGTGCCCTTTGTGTTCCAGGCGCCGGCGTCCGGCGCCCACGACAAGGATGCGCATGAGGTCATGTGGTACGAGCGGCCTGTGTCCGACCCCCGGGCTAAACCGGAGATCGACGCCGGCGATAGGGTCTTGGTCCGCTTCGGCGCCGTCGATTACGATGTGACGGTGTGGGCGTCGGGGCATCCTGTGGGCAAGCACCGGGGCGGCCATGTGCCGTTCGATATCGACATCACGGATGCGCTGGCGAACGCCTGGAAGAGCACCGGTAAGGGGGACCTACAGCTCTTGCTACGCGTGCAGGACTCGCCCTATGACTTGGCGCAGCCGCGTGGGAAGCAATACTGGGCGCCGCAGCCCGAGAGCATTTTCTACACCCCAACTAGCGGGATCTGGCAGCCCGTGTGGTTGGAAGTCCTGCCGGCCGCGCGTTTGGGGAACAGCAGCGCGGGCACCGTCCTGAAGTCCAACGATATCTACAAGGGGGCTCTGGAGGCTGAAGTTGCCGTCTTGGGCCGCAGGGCGGGCCACGGTTACAGCGTCGAGATTGAGGGCAGCCTTCACGGATTCGCAATTGGGAAGAAGAAGGAGAACCTGCCGAAAGACAAAGATTTCGCCCTGATCACGCTGCCGCTAGCTCTGAGTGACGAGCAGAAGGAGGAGGCGCCGAAGGCAGTCACGGAGATTGCATCGTTCGATGACACGGACTGCTGGCACAAGGGCCTGGCCCTGTGGTCTCCAGAATACCCCACCCTTTACGATCTGCTTATCCGGCTCTACGACGCCGAAGGCAAGGTCGTCGACGAAGTCAAGACATACACCGGCTTCCGCCACCTCGACTGGACCCGGGGCGACGGCACCTTCCGGCTCAACGGCAAGCCGCTCTTCCAGGCGCTGAATCTGGACCAGGGCTACTGGCCGGAAACAGGACTCACGCCGCCATCCCCGGAGAGCCTGAAGAAGGACATAGAGATCGCGAAGAAGATGGGCTTCAACGGCTGCCGCAAGCACCAGAAAGTCGAGGACCCGGTATTTCATTATTGGGCCGATAAGCTGGGCTACCTTGTCTGGGGCGAGATGGCAAACGCGTATGAGTTCAGCGCCGAGTACAAGTCTCGCTTTGATCAGGAGTGGACTGAGGCTGTGAAGAGAGATATCAATCACCCCTGTGTCGTTGCTTGGACGCCGGTCAATGAGAGCTGGGCATATCCTGATTTGAAGGGTAGTGTCGAGCAGCGGAACCACATTCGCTCATTATACTACATGACGAAGTAAGCCCCTGAACTCGGAACTCCCCACCCGTCCTTCCCTACTCTCGATATCATTTGGAGAAATATGCTAATGCGGACGCGACTACAGGAGTCTGGACCCCACGCGCCCCGTCAACGACAACTGCGGCTGGGAACACGTGCTGACGGACCTGAGCACCTTCCACGACTACTCCGACGCGCCCCAGCTCTCGGAGTCTTGCGCGACGCTCGAGCGGACGCTGGACCGCAGCTGGTGCGGGCGCGGCATGTGGGTCGGCGCTATCGACGACGGCAAGGGCGGCGAGAGGGACCAGGCGACGAAGCACCGCCCCGGCGCTCCTGTTATTAACACCGAGTTCGCTGGCGTGAACATCGCCACCGCCGGCGCTGATGGCAAAGATATCATGCCCCAGGGCGGTGGCGGCGATTGGGGGTACACGACCGCCAAGGACTCGCGGGATTTGTTGGACCGCATCCAGGCGCTGGTGAAGGCCGTTATCGTGCCCGGGAATAACTGCTCGGGGTTTGTTTATACGCAGCTGTGAGTCTTCTCTTCTTCCTGGTGTAGAGGGCGTAGAGCACTTGCTTGAACTTGAGGTGGGTTGGGTAGGATTGGATGCAGTGTTGCTGACTAGAGAGAACCAGGTCCGATATCGAGCAGGAGGTCAACGGCGTCTACGCTTTCGATAGGCGGGAGAAGATCCCGGCCGCGGAGGTTAAGAAGATCTTTGATGCGGCGAAGAAGTCGTATTTAGATAATCTTCCCAAGGAGGTTTGAGGTTTGAGATTTGGAAGGGTACTTCTGGGTTGGGGTGGTTGCGGTCTTGCGGGGGGAGAGGTAGGCAAGGGGGAGAGGATGTAATGGACCGGCTGCTTACATGTCGGATAGTGAAGCTGTGGGAGGATTGATGACGGTGTCGCGAGAAAAATTTGCGGCGTTGAGTCCTGATGAATGCGGTTGGAAGACACGGTAGCTCTTTGATGACCATTGCGAGGGCTCGGAGAAGGTGATGATAAGATGTTAGATAGCTCTAGTAAGTACCAGGTTACATATGATCAATGTTGCGAGAGCCCTGCCGCGCGCCGCTTTGGCAGGTGGCTAAGAGGTATATATCAGAAGGCACAGGTTATCTGGATTGTTGATTTGGTATATAGAATCACCAACCGGTCACACCGCCGGGGTTTCTATGTGTCTGTATGCAAGGGGCTACCAATAATGTATTTATGAGCCAGCAACGGTATGTTCTGGTTTTAGCACTTCCTCTGGGACTGGTATTATTCGCTCCTCTCGACAGCCGCTGGGAAGTGGTGCGTAGAAAGTCTCTTATGAAGGGTAAAACGGCATGGAATTCCTAGAAGATTTTCGGTGTGGGCGAGTTTATAGGTTAAATAGTTTTCTCACAATTCTTCCCCTTTGTGAACTACAGTAGCTACTTCAGCTATTTCATGCTGGTGTCTTTCATCTAGAATATGAAGTAAGGCCGTTACCATTGCCTACCAGGTCGGGTTGAAGTAGCGCCCCTTACGCTCCATCGAGGAAGGATATATCACGTAGCGGTACCGTATTCCGCCCCTTTACACACTTATTCGCCGTAGACATATCTGTTGCTTCCAGAGAGCGGAAGAAAGCTGTTTTGGAGGGGTATAGTTGCTTCCTATGAATCAGAGGCTTGCGAAAGCTCGTGGTTTAGGGGCCTATGAAAGCTGACCGGCTGCTATGATCACTTGATTATTAGTGGACTGTCGTATGCCATGTTCGATAACGTACCGACTATCACATGGACGCCGTCTCTAAAAGGAGGAGAATTATCTATGTTCAATACTGAGTACGCATATAAGGGACCAGAGTCCGCTGCTCTGACGAGAAACTCTACTGGAAGGAGCTGGACCCGTCTTCACACGGCTTCGTAGACACAGGCGGAGGGCAGTCTGGATGGTTCAGGCCATGGACTTTCTAATTAGTTTTATAGGCATTGATTCTTTGATTTTAGATAGTTCTGTTACTAAGAAGGCCTTCTTAAAAAAGCTCTCAAAGCCATAACTGGACCTCCTTTATCGAGGCCATCTCTGTAACTAGAAAAATCCCCAAACCAGGTATTATCTTTAAGGGGAAGGACCTCCAGGCCCAGTGGTTCATTAAGGAGTTTCGAAAGAACGCCAATTAGCATTATATATGCTCAGAAAATGGCTGGACTTTGAATAATATAGCCTGCCTGTTGGAACAGGCTTGAACGATCAATCATAATACTCGAGTATGGGGTCAAGGTCATGATGTTGCTGATGGTTGGATTGAGAGGAATCTAGCTGGACTCGAAGGTCTGGCCAAGTGCCCTCTCAATCCACTATCTTATCTTATCTAATCATACATGTGGGTCCTGGTATAGATGGTTTGCAGTCTGGAATCGCATGGATCCAACACTGCCAGTGGCTAAAAGATGTCTTCAGCCCGCAAATAAACAAGATATGAGGAAAAGATCAGACTGAGCCTATTCTTTTAATACTAGATGGCCATGGTAGCCATACCTCTCTCCGTATGTATGTGATTTTTCTTATCTAATATAGACTTCCTTTATTTCTTTCCTGATTTAATAAGGGCTAACATGTGTTGTAAGGATGAATTCATGATTATTTGTTATTTCGTTAATATATTGCTCTATTTCTTCCCTGCGCATACTAGTCATGGCATACAACCCCTAAATAACGGGCCCTATAACGCCCTAAAGGCTCACTACCAGAAATTCCTTTCTTAGCTAAATTCTCTGACGGATACCTCGCCTGTTGATAAGATCAACTTTATTCGGTGCTATAACCAGGCCAGAACTGCTGCTTTTATTAAGGCAAACATCCTCTCTGATTTCAGAGCAACTGGATGTTATCCTATCAGCCGTAAGAAGTACTTAGCGCACCCAGAAATCCAGGAAGAGAAGCAGAAGATCCCTGAACCTGAGACCCCTGAAAGCTCTAAATCAGAGGACCAATAGACCCCTATTACAAGCCGCCAGATCATGAATTTCGACAAAAATAAGTCTCCTGGCACCCGGCTGAAGTACAGGAAGATAACCACTACGTTCAAGGCTAAGGAGACCGATCTTGTTATTAAAGACAGGAAGATCAAGGCCCTGGAGGCTGAAGTGGAACAGCTATGGCCAAAAAAGCGGCAGAAGATCCCTAATTCTAACAAGAAGTTCAGAACAGTCACGGAGGTACTAAGTACAGGTGGTACCATCACCCCTGGTGCCTCTGCGGATGTACCAGAAGTTGTGGTTAATGATGACAAGGAAGAAGAAGCAGAAGACGAAGACTCGGCTGAAGAGGCCGCTTTGGAGGCCATACAGGAGCCTAGGCAGACCCATTCGGGGCGATCCATTCGGGCGCCCACTAGATATTACGAATGAGCAGCTTCTGCGCTCTCGAATGATAATTTTGCTGAATTCCTCTGACCTGAATGACTTCTTTTACATGTGGGTTAATAAGGGGGTGTCTTGGTGGTGTTGGTGGGGTTTGGCTGTACGAGATGTGGGGGTGTACGAGATGTGGGGGGAGGGGGGGAATGGTAACTTAGTGGACTCGATAGCAGTGTAGAAACCAGGACTGACCGATGCTTCGCAGCTCTCGACCACGCCGCCGAAGGCATACGAGTCAACGCCGTTTGCCCGACCTGGGTGCGCACACCCCTGCTGGACGTCGAGCTGCAGAAGAACCCCCAGGTCCAGGGCATGATCTCGGCCATCGTGCCCATCAAGCGTGCCGCGGAATGCGAGGAGGTATCTGACACGATTGCCTTCCTGTGCAGCCCGGCTGCGAGCTACATCAATGGCGTCGGCCTGTTCATTGATGATGCGGTGACCACCACGGTGCGTCTTCTCTAATAGGAGAGACTGTAGCCATTATCAGCGCAGGGTGCGCATAGGTAGCCTGACTGCATGATCTGTCTTTGAGTGCTACTATGAATTACGAAGGCCAAATTGGAACTGCTCATCGCCTATGATACTATAAATCTGGGTTTGAAAGCCGTTCCTGTAGACAGCTAGTACATCCATGTGCAAGGGCGGTCTGTCACGGGCCCCTATTCTCTCCTGTGCTCCCTATTGGTGCCCAGAGAGCCGTTATACACCTAACAAGCCGTCGTGGGCACGCCTAGCGACAAAATCTGTACTATAAACCCGCGATGCGTTCCAATTACTATGATACACGTGTTCAAGTGGTACGACGCAAATGGCCCCATCAATTAGATGCTGAACACCCAGTCTCCGGCCCAAGTCAAAGGCACACGCAGTCTAAAGGAGCAGCAGACTTACAGAAGCTGTTGATGCCTAAACAACCGTTCTGATCACACCGCGCGTAACGAAGACTTGACAGACTGGGTGCATTGACGGTTAGCGGCTACTACTAGCCACCTCGAAGTTTCAGGGCGGAATTCGCCTGGTATGTATATACACCCGAAGGTTGAAAAACACCAACTCAAGAATCAGTCCCAGGGTGAAATTCGTTTGGTACCTATATACACCGGAATGTTGAAGAACACCTACTCAAGTGTCAAGAACAAGTCAGCGCGCGTGATGTGCGTCCTATAGTCACCTGGTGCGAGCTGACCGAGTGCCTATCAAAGGTGAAATTAGACAGTAGCCTCGGGAAGCGGCTGAAATCTCGCCATTGCATCAACGGCAGCAATTAGACGGCTGAATGAAAGAGCAAGATCTGTTTTAATAACGAAAGGACGCTGACGCGAGTCTAATTCAATAACAAAAAACAAACATGGCGAAACGGATGTAAACCAAGCTACAGCCCAAGCAGCCCGACTACCAGCCCGAAGCCCCGTAAACGCCAGAACAAGGGAGGTAAGCACCCTCGAAATGATACCCCAACGTAGCGCAACGGCGATGGGCAGTATGCGGCTCGCTCACGTCGTCGCCAGTACGGTCCGGTGACTGGAGCTGCCCCCTAAGAGGCTGCGACCGAAATGACCAGGGCAGGTATTCCCACCACGATGCCGAGCACTACATACAACACGATCAGGATGGCGTAGAGGGCCGCCCCGAGGGCAATGTTGATTACTTGGAAGACCCCCAGAAAACCGGCAAACGTCCCCTTGGCCAGTCGCTTCGACCACTTCTTCGCGAACTTCTTCGCCCCGTTGGGACCCTCGTATTTGGTAGTGATCGACTGGGCGTAGTCTGTCAATTCGTCTCCAAGCTGCTCGCGCATCCTAGCGGCGGTTTTCTGCATCTCCGCCTGCCCTTCCGGATCCTGCGGCGTCTTCTTTTCCTTTAGTATGCGGATGAAGGTCTTGGGCTTCAGGAGGCCCTTGAGTGCGAGGAGCAGCTTCGTCATCTTCTTTTCTTCCTCCTCCTCGTCGGTGGCATTGGGGCTGGGAAGTTCTCCGGGATCCAGTTGACAGGCATCGAAGGTGTTCCTCACGCAGTGGTCGTCCACGCGCCGGAATTTGGAGCTTGTAGTTGATACGAGAGGACAAACGCCGCCTTGCCTGGCAAGATCAATGCACTGTTCCGGAATACCATCGTCGCGTTGGTCTAGTGACTTTCCCAGAGAACTGCTTGCGGGGGTTGGCTAGAGCTCCGAGGCTGTTCAGGAGAGGGAGTCCAGCGAGAAGAACGGATGTGAACTTCATGTTGACTGTTGGATAGTTCAGTCTATTTCGAACTCGATGGGTGTTTTTATAAGATTCTGGAGGGTCGGAAACGGTAATGAGAAAGGCCCTGGAAGAGCGGAACTGGCTTTCAAGTTGGAGCGATATCAGGTTGCTTTGGAATGATTATCAAACAGTAATCGGACACCATCTATCGAAGCTCAAGGCATGTTTATATACAGATATGCTCCTGCGTATGAACATTGTTGATTTCTCTGTCGTCATCGAACTTGCTATCCCAGAACGTAGGAAGGGGGTGCCGTCCTTTCATCATATGAGTAGCCGATGTGCTATTAGAAGAAACATACCCATAGATAAGGCATGGATCGATAGATAGCTGTTCTTGAAGGACCAGATGGATGACCCCAAGGTCATACCGCCGCAACAACGGGGATGGGCCCGTGAGCGGGACTGACTGTACTTATTTTCTTGAGACCTCCACAACCCTGCGATGCAGAGGCTCTGGGAGGCGTGGTCTGCACTACTGAGGAGCTACCCCCCACGTTAAATACAAAACAAACAAACAAACAAGATAAGGCATGGATCAACGTCAAGTCCTAATCCCCGGGACCATCACATACGCGTAAATTGGTGCTTCAGAATGTGAATGCAACGTTCTCTATGATTAGCGGAGAGAGCTCCAGGGGGTAGCTAGAGCCGTGTGTGCCCCCTATTGACCCCTGAATGTAGCCACGTAGTTAAAGGCACGTCGGCGCTCGGGGCCTCATCCTTCCGTCGGGTGGATAGTGCTCCACGTATCTAGACATCCACTATTGTTGTATCCACTATAAGACCCAGATTAACCTGGTAAGCAATCACAGGGGTCCTCGTTTTTGCAACAACTATCATATGGTCGGCGACAAGGCTGCTAGGTTTTGATCTCCTTGCTGGCGGCACAGCCCTACCCCAACCATACACCTGGGCCCTAGTATAAGCTTGCCAGCTTGCTTCCTTTACCGGTGCCCAGCATCCACCTCATACATAGGAATCGTGGCAAAACGGTGTTGCGCCAGAGGATCGTTGGATTGCTCAAAGCAAGAAGAATAAAACCTCTTTACCGACTTGTGTATGCTAATAACAGTGGGGCGAACGGACACCGGGTTCTATGGTCCCGCACTGCGGCGAATGCAATAAATAGAACAACATGACAACCTTCGCCTATCTTAGGAAGACAACAACATTCCGCAAGGAGATACCCAACGCTGGCCGTTGACGATGTCGCCGTCGCTCAGTGTCTTGCCCTGGTTGCAGCAGACGCCGTCGGCTGGGCCGTCTTCTCGCGCGGCGGGCAGCCTGGTGCCGTCTCGCTTCGCCGCTTCGAGAGCCGTGTCGTTGCTGAAGTCCATAACGATTGCCGCCGGGCCCGAGCGGGGCCCTCGAATCGAGTCCCATGTGCCGGGTCGTGATGGTGCTGGCCTTGTCAACGTGCCCGATGTAGAAACCGTCGGGAGCATTGGCTGGGATCATGGCCCCAACATGATAGGCAGCCGAGATGGAAGAAAGAATGAAGGCTTGAGTGTACAACATGGTAGCTGTGTTGGAGTGAAGATGAATGGTAGGTGGCAGAAGTATGCAAGAAAATTTGAACTCTGAGAGGTTTTTGACTATTGTATGAGTTGTGGAAAGGTTGAAGCCTGCTGGTGCAGATGTCTACTGGGGATGGCAGAGCATCCTGTTCTCGGAATACCGAGCAATGGCGGCGCAGAACGACCGAGGTGAGGGAGTTGGCGACTCAATGGGCCTTTCGCGGCCCGCTGGGAGCGCAGACAGCTTTACGGTGGCCATCCAGGGAAATCGAAGGTGCATGTCAAGATGAACGTTGATGTGCCAGATGTACGTTGCTGTTGTGGAATTCGCATGGGCTAAATAGAGTGGGAGAGCGTGCTGCCTTACATGTATGGGAGGATGTATGTGGGAAAGATCTCTCGTTATTCCTGTTTTCCAGTCGTTCGTTTTACTCAACTCATCGAGCAATATGAATCGGTTCACCGGCTTGCCGTACCTATCCGATGCGATATTAGAGTGACAACGGCTGCGAAGAGAGACACTATGGTGTTCAACACAGCAGCCCGAGCGACGAGCGATTAGATCATTGATCTCATCAATCCAGAATCAGCCGTGACTTTGACCAGAGTGTCGATATTTATTCTCTTGGCTCATGCCTGAACGTCTGTGGGAACCTCGTGAGTGATAGGACCAGTCATATGCGACAGTGGTCTTGGTAGATACTAGATAGGGGGGCGGCCTTCTCGAGCGCTCGGACCATCTTAAAAGTATCACTGCGGCGATAAGATCCAAAGTGGATCCGGATCATCTAAGCGCCGGTCCAATGACGAGCACACTAATTGGATTGACCTCCAGTACGTCGAACATCTCAAAGTACCTCGTTGCCACCGACCTAGATGAACCTTTCCATCCCCAATTGACCTTCACACACTGCAGATGGCGTCGCTCTATCGTATGGCCGGCTGCGGCGCCAGGCGCCTGCACCTCGCAAAGCCCTCGATACGTGCTTTCTCCCAGACAGCACTGCGATCTGCCACCCCCAGCGAGACTCCCCAGCGCACCACCCTCCAGCCCGTCGACCCCGACTGGACTCATCCCTCCGACCCCTATGGCATGACCCGCCTCCAGAACCAAGCCGGCAGCACCGAAGGCTCGCGAGAAGGAAGCATTCACAACCGGAAGATCCGCCACTACACCGTCAACTTTGGTCCTCAGCATCCTGCCGCCCACGGCGTGTTGCGGTTGATTCTCGAGCTGAGCGGAGAGGAAATCGTTCGCGCCGATCCTCACGTCGGCCTGCTGCACCGAGGAACCGAGAAGTTGATCGAGTACAAGACCTACCTACAGGCGCTGCCCTACTTCGACCGACTGGACTACGTCTCGATGATGACCAACGAGCAATGTTTCTCGCTGGCAGTTGAGAAGCTGCTGAACGTGGAAATTCCCGACCGAGCGAAGTGGATTCGGACACTGTTTGGAGAGATCACGCGCATTCTTAACCATCTCATGTCTGTATTGTCTCACGCCATGGATGTTGGCGCGTTGACGCCCTTCCTGTGGGGTTTCGAAGAACGAGAAAAGTTGATGGTAAGCCTGTTCCACGAACGGGGAGGAACGTTGATACGACAGGACTACCGGAAGATAGCATGATGGACGCACAATGCTAACTAATCCCGCAGGAATTCTATGAACGCGTCTCGGGAGCTCGACTTCACGCAGCCTATGTCAGACCCGGCGGTGTTCACCAAGACATACCAGTAGGACTGCTGGATGATATCTACCAATGGGCCACGCAATTTGGAGACCGAATCGACGAAACCGAAGAGATGCTCACAGATAACCGTATCTGGATCCAACGGTTACAGGGTGTAGGTGTCGTGCCCGCCACCGAGGCCCTCAACTTGTCGTTCTCTGGTGTCATGTTGCGAGGATCTGGTGTCCCCTGGGACATCCGTAAGAGCCAGCCATACGACGCTTACGACCAAGTCGAGTTCGACGTCCCCGTTGGTGTGAACGGCGACTGCTACGACAGATATCTGTGCCGTATGGAAGAGTTCCGCCAGTCGCTCCGTATCATCCACCAATGCCTAAACAAGATGCCCGCCGGCCCTGTCCGCGTGGAAGACTACAAGGTCTCGCCTCCTCCGCGTGCCGCCATGAAAGAAAACATGGAGGCCCTGATCCACCACTTCCTTCTGTACACCAAGGGTTACGCCGTACCACCAGGTGAGACGTACTCGGCCATCGAAGCACCGAAGGGAGAGATGGGTGTGTACGTTGTCAGTGACGGCAGTGAGAGGCCGTACCGGTGTCACATTCGTGCCCCCGGATTTGCTCACTTGGGTGGATTTGACCACGTCTGCAAGGGTCACCTGTTGGCTGATGCCGTGGCCGTCATCGGTACAATGGATCTGGTGTTCGGTAAGTGCAATTCCTTGAGACAGTCACAGACGTCATACTAACTACTTTTCAGGTGAGGTGGATAGATGATCCAGGAGTACAACCCAAATAGAAATAAGATGCATTTTAGGAGTTGACCTTTCATATGTACAATAGCCCCAGTGGCAAACCCGCGTATGTGGACCAGAGCACGATGCCGCATGCTGCTCCGCTACTGACGTCTCCTTCGCCATTATTGGCAAGGGGAACACGTCAGCACGTATATACAATCAAGATTCATCGCAAACCTTGTTCAGAAAAGCAGTTGCGAGTGGGTCGCGACTGATTAAGGCGCCATGTCCGATGTCGAGTGACCTCCAACCACTGCACTCTTTTCAACATTCATAATGACAGCATGCTTGACCGTTCCAAGCCTCCCGACCCAACCATTGGTCGTAGCCACGCTTCCAAGACTCAACGGAGCCAGAAGCAAGGGAAGCGGAGGCGAGGGAAATCACGAAAGAATATGGCACGGCTCGATGAAATCTAAGAGGATGTGTAGGTAAGAACCGTGTGGTCAGATTGTCTATCTAACTGCTTCTACGAGTACATGACCGCCAGATGCTGTCGTGAAGGCATCGCCTAACCAAATCAGAGAAATATCAGGTAGTCAGTCCTCTACCATCTCCCAACCAGATCAAGGAAATATCAAGTAGTTTCTCTACCACCGCCGCACCAAATCATGATAAATCAAGAGTCCTCCGACATAACCCGGGAACTTAATCACCGACTTCTCTGTCACATCCTCAAATCAACCGGAGAGATAGATGATCAATGCAGTCAGTGGAGAGATTGTCGCAAGATGGGAAGCTAGTCGAGATTGGCGGACAGATGCTTCGAAGACGTCGCAAAGTCGAAGATGGCTTTGAGCTCGGTTGAGGAGGGTCGATAGTGAGAAGGGATTGTTGTCGTCGAGGAAAGAATCAGAGTGCGAAGAGGATGAGGCGTCGGTTGCTGGTCTGGGTAGTGGTGCTGATTGTGTCGAGTGCGTTGTCGGGTGAGTCGAGTTGCTGTCGGATTAAGACCACAGCCCAGGGGCTGTTGAACTGGGTGAGAAGAAAAGAAGATGTTGTGTTGACAGGGTGGCGAGAGCTCCAGTAGGAATATGATCTGTGCCAAGCTTGTTGTAGAAAGAACGTCTCTTTTCGTCGCTGCGAGTCCACACCGAAGCATTCTCTGAGGCTGCCTTCGTAGCAACTTCGACGCCTCACCACAATCAGTCCCCAGCACGCAGCAGCCAAGACCTAAGTTACAGCTCGGAGGAATACCTGCGCTTCCGAACGGGCGGCTCGTCGCTCTCCAAGGTCTCCAGGCTCAGCGCGCTCAACTCGCACCCCTCGCTCCCCAGCTCCAGGCTCAGCGCGCTCAGGCTCAGCTCACACTCGTCGAACGAGCCGGCGTGGGACTCGCCCTCGGGGCCGGCCCCGACGGGAAACCCGGCGATGGGGGTGTCCAGCGGCTGAAACTGGACCATGGACGGGATCTCGCTCTTGGCCTCTGCTATAACGGCGAGCGGGGCCCCGACGATGAGCGTCTCCTGCGGCAGGTGCATGAGCTGCGTCGTCTGCAGGTCGACCGGGGATGGGTTGATGGGGCCGAGGATCATGTCCAGCGGCCGCAGGTCGGGCGGGCTGCAGGTCCAGCGCGCGGGCGTGCCGATGGCGGGTTTGTTGTGGGGGAATTCGGGACTGGTGGTGTTTTGCTCGGAGCGGTGGGTCTCGGATTTCAGGCGGGTGGAGGGTCCAGCGGGGGTGGTGGTGGTGGTGGTGTTGTTGTTGGGATCGTAGGTGTTGTGGCCAAACTGGTTGGGGTGGAATCCGGCCTTGTAGTAGTCTTGATTGCCGCTACCGGCGGTGGAGAGAAAGGGGGCGGTCGCAATGGGGGTTTGCTGAGGGTAAAGGGGGAGCGCTGATCTGAGGTTGGCCTTCTTCTTGCTGCCCTTGTTCTTGCCCTTTCCCTTGGGCATCGGGAGGGTGTTCGTGCTGGGTGCTTTCTCGTGGTGGCCGTGCTTGACCTCATCACCGGCTCCTTTCTCGTGATGGCCGTACTTGATCTCATCACCAAACTCCTTCATGGTCTGGGGCTCATACTTCGCGAAGCTGACGGGACACTTGCATTTGCCGTTCTCGTGGTGCTTGGCGTGGTCCTTGGTCCACTCGGCGGCGTACAGGCTGGACAGTCGCAACGAGACCTGCAGCGTGCTGTCTACCTCGGTCTCCTTGTATAGGGGCGGCGCGATGTCGGCGGCCAGACCTTGGTTGGTACTGCTGGTCTGGTCATTAGCCCGAGTGACCTGTCGCGGCTGCTGCAGGTACGGGAAGACCGTGCCGCAATTGCAAGCGCCACGTTCGTGCATCCAACGATGCTCGATGTCGAGGATGTCAAAGTAGCGACCGTGAAGGATCCGTGAGCATGCTGGACACATGCCCTCCGATAGGAATGGGCGCACGGCAGGGCCGGGACAGCATGGGTTCGTGTGAAGATGGGTGGTCATGGGGCAGGGGCGGTTGATCGGGGTGCTGCTGTGCCCGCAGGTGTAGGCGATGAACTCCTTGAAGCACATGGTGACTTGGCTGTCTGCTGGACTGCAGTGAATGCTTCAATGGTGATATGTAGGCAAGCGTGCGTTGTTGCTCAGTTCAAAGAAACTTGTTTCTGCCAAAGGGATGGTTGTTAGTGGAAGAAGAGGAAGAATGTAGATCATCTGGGGTGCGGATGGTAAGGTGTGCGGTGTGACCTACCAGTAGGCGCCAATGGATGTATTTGCGATAATGCCAGGGTGGAGGGAAGTTGGAGTATTGCGATACTCGAGGACTGTAATGGATCAGCTTGGGTGATGACTGGAGGCTGTGGAGTCCAAACACCAGGACGTTGTTCAATATCTCTCTGGCGTGTTGTCAGTACCAGACTTGGATTTTCAGAGCTAGCTGCCTAGAGAAGGAACGACTGGGGGGTATCAATGGCGAAAGGCTCCAATAGGACCGGACTGCATACTCCTTACTGGTAGGGGGCACCAAGGGGCAAGCGACTGTGAAGTTGTCGCTGCGGAGGCCCTTGAGGAAGAGTCGACTCTGTGATTGTTACAGACCAAGTGATGTATGTCAATCACTACGTAGTGACTACTTTCCCTATACTATCAGCGAGTAGCTGAAGAGACGTGGTGATTGCAGGTGCGACCGGAGCAGGATCTTGACGGGGTCGCAGGGAGGTGGAGGCGAGAGAGTTGTAGAGGAACCGGGAGAAGGTCAGTCAAACCTGCCCTCTGGCGTTAGAGCCAAGATTACGTATATGATTGTAGTAGATAATGTGCTAGTACTTGCCTGGGCGGGATCAGAGAATGTCCTTGGGGGTAGGGACTTCGAGTCAACCCTAGGGGTGGTCGATCGGGAGGGCCGTCGTAATGTCACTTTGCAGCTGTGGAAATATAGGCCAGTGTGTTTCTAAGCTTGACATAGTACATACGATGGTCTCTGCGAACGATATACATTTGGCCCCATGGTGACCTGATCGCCGAGCACATTTGGCAGTCATCTCTAGCCGTTGTTTGCCGTGGGCACAGGCCTGGAAGAGGTACTAGTGAGCATTTCAGGCCTGATTGGAAACTGAGAGGGGCTTTATATGAAATTGATGACATTTTATCTTAGTGTCCCCGTTCCGTGACTTACAGATTGCCATATGTGTCACGCTGCCATGTAAGAGTCTTGGAAAAGGGCCGTAGCGTCATCCCCTCTCAAAGGCCTACAGAAGAAGCTTCATAAAGCTGGCCATCAATGGTCCATTGACGAATCACTACTTGGAGGAAGCTTTTCTTGCTGCCAGAACTGTACCAACAGCGGCGGCAAGCAGTTGGTGAAGCAAAGCCCCTTTTGACAAATGTAAAAGGCAAGAAAGAACTTGTGAAGTTTGCCTTGAGGGACTTTGCCAATGCCTAAGGTGCAAGAGATCCATCATTCTTATGTAACTTCCATGTCACTTGGGGAGGTAGTGTGAAAAACAAAGCGCAATGCCTAAGCAGGGAAGCATAGGCCGGAAATTTTCACCTTACTAATCGGTTCTTCATGGTATGGTCACCTGGCAGACCTGCATATTGACACGGACACCTTGTAATCAACATGCCCATATGCTTTGTGTGATGCTTGGGAGCATTCGCACGGCTCCAATGAGCGCTAGGGTGTTTGCCATAATGAAGCACTCTAGAGCATGGCTCCTGTTCACAGGACATGGACCGGTTCGCCCATATCGAGAAAAGCACTTAGCTTCAAAGGGTTTGAAGGGGTTATGGTCAGAAGTGAACCCGTGCCGTGTTACTGCGCCTTGTTTAGTACATTGGCTCTTTGATTTGGGGCGCAACCCCCTATTTGGAGCGGCTGGACTGTGCGTTGAAGGAGCTCGTTCTCTTACCATATGAGCTTGCAGAGAGGATTTGTCACTTTGTTGGAAGGACGATGCCAGCATGTTAATACAGCATCAGAGTCACACTACCAGGTTGCTATTATTAGTGAGCGTGTCAGCGTCACTCTTAAGGAACCAACTACCTTGTAATCACTGCTACGGTTGGTAGAAACATAAGCCTTCGGGCTTGGGAGGTAGGTCTAGCGATGAACATAGCTATTAGTGATGAGAGGAGCCCCATCCCAAGGCGTAATCCAGTCCCATATCTAGTGCGGGACGAGTATCATCTCAACTTGTTCTCCTGCTTTGCGTTGTAAGGTTACTACATGTCGAGACTTCGCTAGCCACTACATCTTGACTATGTTCCCAGCCAAGGGTTGGTCATTTGCTCTACTGCGGGCGTATAGTTAAGTCTTTGTTAAACACTGTCAAGAGGATTGGGATATCTTATAAAGACGCTTCACTGGATTCGCTTGAGGCCTTGTGATGTCATGCTAGGCCTTGCTCCAATGGTATGTACCGGGCAGTCCGGTGTTCCTACGGGGCATAATGTGACTAGGTACGACCAACGTCTTGTCGACCCAATTTGCTCCGCCGTTATGGAATACGGTGATCTTCCACAGGAGCGGCCTAGTTTTGCCCATTATAAGGCTGACTGCTGTACCTATGTAACTAGAAACATGCACGTCTACGTATTCTATTAATAAAGTGAATCTAGATCTGGAAACTACCGGTGGCGAATCTCTGACGTTCAAGGGAGCAGAATCCAAAGTGCCTCAATGCCACCTGTCCCCTTGGCCCCCTGAACACCGAGCGGACGAAGCGACGAGGCCCTGCCAATGCCACTGCCAATCGTTGACTTGATTTTATTCTCATGTATATTTAACCCGCCGTTCTCGCATCACTGGCCGCATATCATTTGTCGTTTTATCATTCATTCTCACATCTCACATTACTCGACACCAACATCTTCCAAATGGCATCGATTGTCACCCTATCACAAGAGTCTCTCATCTGCATCATCCAACATCATGCGCTTTTCCGGCAGCATTTTCGGCCTCATGGCACTCTTTGCGATCGGAGCAAGGAGCGCGGCCCTCGACCCCAAGTCAATGCCCGAAGGCACACAGCTCAGGGCTAGAAGCGAGGCACCGGGCTACGGAGCCGAAGGCGGCTTCGGTCTCACAGGGACGACACCAAGCCCAGCCGCAGCTGCAGACGAGTCTGGGCAGAAGAGATCTGGCGGCACACAGTGCGCGTCGTCCCGAGCACCTAGTGACCGGCTTGGAGAGCGGCGCAAACAATCGACTTGCCGAAGCCGGAGGAGGCGCCCGTGACCAGCCAGTCCCGTGGCGTTGAGGCGGCTGCTACCGCCATGGACCATCGTGACTGGCGCGGTTGGTGCTCGCGTGTATTGGGCGGTCAATGATGTCGAGATAGACTTGATGAGCTCGGCTAGTTGTAGAGCAATCTGCAAACAGGACAAGACAATGAACCAAATGTCAACCTTCACCGCTGTTGGTAATACCGCATATTTTGTCAATAACAAGGCACACCATAGCCAATGATTCCAACTCAGCTTTCCGTCCCCTGAAAACCAAGGATTGGAATACTTCTAGTAGGAGCTGAAAGTCTGTAGCAAACTGTGGCATACATGTACCTTGTACTTCTACCTGGAAGTTTGTTTGCTATCATGGGGAATCTTTCGTCCGCCAATCTGAACTATGACTCAAGCGTGCCAGCCACAGCACGCCAGGGGGAGCCTGCACAATTATGAAGCTGTTCAGATTCTCCGTCCAGACTCTTTTAAATAGCAGGGTTTTGTCTTTAACTTCCTCGTGCTTCAACCTTATAGTCTCTACAGTCAGAGCCACTACCTATCACGATTTGGGGTTTTCTTTATTTAAGCTTTTCGACCGAAAGGAAAAGCCAAACCTAAATACCCTAAAAGATAACAAAAAGCAAAGCCCTCATGCTATACGCTAAATTTATTAAAATAAAACGCTACAAATTATCTCAATCTACTAAAATCTTAACCACTAATAGCGTCCACAGGCTCAAGCCGATGCGTTACACGCCGAACGGCATGCGCCCAAAGCCTCGCCTATAAAGCCAGACCCTGCTCGAGACACCTTGTTCCCTCCTTCATCCTCCCCCATACATCCGACTCGAAACATCGCCAGAGCGCGCGGAACATCGCACCACGTCACGAGCACTACCCATCCTTCTAAGACCGGGTCGATCATCTCATCATAACCCTATCTTCCCTCTACAATCAACTGTGTTGTAGCTATGGCCGAAGGATCTGCAGGCCCTTCCCGGCTTGCTGGTGCCGTCAGATCTTCCCGCAGAGCCTCTGGTCTTTCCCAACGCGTTGTGTCCGGCGGTTCTGATCAATACACCCGGGATGCCTCACTTGATATTGCTATGCAGGAAAGCCTGAGCCTCGAAAGAGAAGCTCATTCGAGAGTTAGACAAGGACGGTCCCGCGGTCAGCTTGCAACGATACCTCTCCCTCAGTGCCAAGAACCCTGTTTTGACATCGTCTTCGTTTGCGGAGAGATACACCGAAGCTTCCAAGTCTGGTAACAATTCGCAGTTCCGCGATATCGGTGCTGGTTATTTCGGCAAAGTCTTCGAACATCCGGGTACACTCTTCGTGTACAAGCTCAACAACCCAGGCAGGGAGCTTGACCTGTGGAACAACTATCTCATGCACAAGAAGGCGGAGGACAGTCTCACGGCTATCCCGCAAGCCTCTGGATACGAAGTGCAGATCCCGCGCTGCTATTGGTACACCAACAAGGATACCATATTGTTCTGGGACGACAATCTCGCGAGATTTCCAGATACCACGAAGTTCCCACGACAGCGTAGAGACGTCATGTGCATGGAACGCGTCTTCCCCCTGCCTTTCCCGGTACGCAGAAGCTTGGCGATGCTCTACATTCCTGAAGACAAATGACAAGCCGTTCTCACGGACCCTGCGAACAAAGACTGTCTGATTCGCCCTCTTCTGGGAAAACGAGATGTGACCAGACAGAGCGGCGCTCCGAGACTTGGAGCATGTTCTCTGCGGAACTACGGCCTGTCTCTCGATGCCATCAAAGCACTCAAGCTCGAAGCTCCAACCATAGCAAGATCTATGGGCCACGCCCTCGCTGTCATGCATTGGCATGCTGAAATCGACGCCGATGATGTTGAGTTCATTCTCGGAAGCTAGCCGCACCAGGATCAGGTTGTCCGACGGGATGTCTCGTACCAAGCTATCAAGGCCATGGAATCCGGCACCAACACATAAGAGCGAGCAGTCCACGCGGGCGCCAACTTCTACAAGCAAACCACCAGCTTGTGGCTCCTCGACTTCAACCTATGCAAGGATTTGAAGCTGACTCCAGCCGGGATCCAGGACGCTGCTCGGTAATTCTTCCAGAATGCGCCCTACTATCCGCGTCCTATCAAGGGCGATGCGGATATGATGGCTCTGTGGACCATGTTTGCGAGGGAATACCTTGATATCAGCATGAAGATTCTGAATGGAGCCAAGAAGCCGGAGAACGCGAAGGTTCTCGACCTCCCAGCTCTGTTCATTCGAGGAGTTGAGGAGAAACAAGCCATGGCCAGTGGGAAGTCCTAGCAAGGGACCGAACAGTCCTCCTCGATATGGGTTATCAGGGGAAATGAGGGATGGGCTGGGTGTGTGGAGCGAGTATAGGAATCCTGGCTACAGCCTAGGATTTCTGCGAGGAATTGACATCAAGCATGTATATATAGGCAGCGAACGTTTCTCAAGTGCGATGAATTATCGAGCGTATCTTGGGTTTCAATGAAATGGCAACTTGCCACAAACATAAGAGAAAGGCGTAAGATAAATTCACTTCCGTATCTCTTTAGCCAATGTTCCACATTCCGAGAACGCCTGGGGCTCTGGTGTCCTTCACAGAACTCCCGAAATGCATAGAAAGCAAAACACATCCGCTATAAAGCGCCATGCACAACGTCGTCACTCTAGAAGGTATAGACCATATTCGTGACCTGCGGCTTGAGCACCGAGCACTTCCTCTTCATCGTCTTGACGGCCTCGAGGAAGAGCTCGTCGCTGTCCCACTGGCCGCTACTCTCGATCGAGAAGATGAAGTGGTCCCTCCGCCGCCCCAGCTTGACCTTGCCCTCGAACTCGGGATGCCGCAGCACCTCGCGACTGACCGTGTCGCGCATGGCATCCTTGACCACCACCTTGAGCTCGCCTTCATGGCCCTCGTAGCCGCTGTCGGGAGTCCGCGCCTCCTGCCTCGTGACCTTCTCGACGCCGGCGACGCCCGGCATGAAGCACTGCACGAACTTCTTCGCGTCCTCGCCCAGGATCGGCTGCGTGATCTTTATGGTCGGCATAAGTCTGTAGCTGGCGGTCGCGACAGGCGAGTACTTGGAGTGGTCCCAGCCGTAGCCCTTGTGCATATGCATCTCGATGTCGAGCTCCTGGCCCGGCCGCAGCTTCGCAATCAGGATATCCGGGTTGACGGGCCTGATCTTGTCGTCCTCCGTAAACCACTCGGACTGGCCACCGAGGGGGTCGAACGTAATATCCTTGGCGTAGATGTGCGCGTTGTGGTACAGCACCTTGGGGTCCTTCGAGTCCTGCGGTGCATCCTTGTTGTGCGTGCACTTGGCCTTCAGACTCAAGCCGACAGTATTGGTGTCGAAAGTCGTAGACCAGGTGTCCTCGCCCTCGGCCGGTTTCTGCCAGAAACCCATAACGTCGCAAATGACCTTCTTGCTCCCCGTAAATGGAATGAGACCGAGTCTATGGGCAAGAACTTCGTCCTGGATCACCGAGGTGTTGTTGTTGACGAAGACGGTCTCGATGGCCAGCGTGGGGATCTCGGCAATCAGAATGCGCCGGAAGGCATTGGCGATGGAAGCATCGATGCCGATGAGCGAGAATTGAGCTTCGAATTGCTGATTGTCGTGCCATTGCACCTTGAAGGACCGACGAAAATCGTCCTTGTCCCAAGCATGCTCTTCGTTTGCATAGTTGTCGGGGTAGTCGTTCGAGGTGGTATTCGTGACTGTCTCCTTGTTGACTCCCACCATCTTTTTGCCCAGTGTTAGACGCGCTCTGCAAAAAAGAGTGACGAAAACGTACATTCCGCTCGTCTATCTCCTCGGCGGTGGGCGGCGCCCTCTTCTTTCCAGCCGACGGTGCCATGATGCTGGTGCGACTGATTGCTTGGTGGGGTGAGGTGAATTGGATGGTTTGAAGATCGCCCAGCAAAAAAAGTTGACGGTTACGAGGAGAGGCGCTTATCGATAAGCCAAGCTGAGCTCTCCCAAAGTTCAGACCTACCCGTTGGTTCATGCGCATCCTTTAAGGGAGACGCGTTGGATACACAGTAGAAGTCAGAGTACACTTCGTCGTGGCATTGTGTAAGGCAAAAAGGAGACATCACCATATATATATGTAATTTGATAATCATGTGCCTTTGTGGTAGCGGAACCAGAACAGAGATCTATCACAAGTCTTGGTTGGGATGATCTGTATTCTGGTTGGTGCTTGGTTACGTTCGGTTAGGAAGGGATCCCATCCGCGAAGTATCTAAATACCTAAATTACAGTGGGTTGGTACCCGTCACCTGGGGCAGCCATCCCAGGTAACCTTATCGCAGAACGCCCTGGATGACAGGAGATCCGATAAAGTACTGGTGGCTGGATCCAGTGGCTGGGATCCACAATCATGTACACTTGCTGTTACAGTATTGTACACATACCTATCAGGACAACCATACCATATACACAGCAACCCAGCAGTCCGTCCCTCAGAACAACTTCCCCCCACTCCCCGCAGCCTGCCGCATAAAGAAGCCCTTCACGGGCGCCAGCGCATTCACAGCGCTCAGCCCCAGCGATCTTAGGGGCACCAGCGGCCCGCTCTCCACAGAATACAGCTTGTGCAGCTTGTCGACGACGCCCATGAGGACGTGGTTGGCGGCGTAGCGCCGGGCGAGGTACGGCTCGAGCGACATGCGCGCGCCGAGATCCTGGCCATGCGCCACGGCGTACTCGATCGTGCCGGCCAGCGCCTCGACGTCGCCCTGGCCCTGGTTGAGCCCCTGGCCCGCGAGCGGGTGCGTCGTGTGCGCGGCGTCGCCGACGAGCGCCACGCGCTCGCCGATGTACGTGTCGGCGTGCCGGAACTTGAGCGGGAACGAAGCGACGGTGCCGTCCTGGACGCCAATGACGGGCTGGGGAGTGGCTTGTGGCGCGCTGACGGGCGTGTGCTGGAGGCGCCAGGATACCTCGTCTTCTTGGCCGGAGCTCATGGTGTGCATGAACTGCAGGTCGACCGGGCTGAGCCGGAAAGCGGCGTTGACGAGGGCGACTAAGTCCTTGGCCGGCAGGCTCTTCAGCAGAGCAGCGTTGGCAGGCGTGGTGGACCATACGAGCGTAGAGTAATTCCCCGGCATCGGCAGCATAGCCACCGGGCCCGTAGGCAGGAATCTCTGATACGCGATCTTCGAATCGTCTCCTCCGCCCCAGCCGTGTCCCTCCAGCTCCAACGTCGCGACGACGCCGTGGCGCTCGTAGTCCCAGCCCTTGCTATCGATGCCCGCGAAGGTGCGCACAGGGCTGTTCGCCCCATCGGCACCAACCAGCAGCCGTGCCGCCAACTGCTTCCCGCCAGCCAGCTGCACGACGGGCCACTCGCGCAGATCAAGCGCATCCGTCTCCCCGCCAAACGTGATGTCCTCGACCTTGGCGCCCTCGAAGCTCGTGACGCCGCCCAGCTCGTCGATCCGCCGCAGGAGTCCCGCGGTCAGGTTCAGGTTCTCGATCATGTACGCGATCTTCCGGCCGGCCGGTGCCCGTCCCGCATCCTGATCCAGCGCCCAGTCGAACTCGATGCGCGCGTCCGACACGCCGTCCCAGACCTGCATCTCGTGGTACGGCTGCACGCGGGCGCGGTCGACGTGGGCCCACGCGCCGATGCGGTCGAGGAACTTGGCCGACGACGGGGTCAGCGAGCTGCAGCGGTTCGAGAAGCGGTCGGGCGGCGGCTGCCACGAGCGCAGTTTCCGCAGGTCCTGCGCTTCGACGAGGGCTACGCGCAGGCCGGCCGTGGTGGGATTCGCCTCTGTAGGTTCTACATTAGCGCCACTTGTTGCATTGACAGAAACAGGAGAGGAGGCAGTGCCACTGACTGAGTGCTGCGAGCAGACTCAGACCGGCTGGTCCGCCGCCGACGCAGACGACATCGTAGATGTCTGGTTGGGACGTGCTTGTGCTGGCGGTGCTTGTGCTTGAGTAGGATCTTGTCGCCCGCAGCTTGAGTCGACGGCTGCAGCTCCTGCAAATGTTCCCAGCTGGCCTCCGCAACTGGCGGCTGGACAACATAAACGCTTCCATCCTTCCAAGGAGGTATTGTCGAGGATTAAACGGGCGATGAGCTGGTCTCAAGACTTTGTGACATGGGTCGTGGTCGAAGCGTCGTCTTTCGGGACTTGAAGCTTCAAGCTCCAGCAGGGGCTGTGATTGGCCAGCCCTCCTCATGCCGACCCGCTGCTGATCGAGTACGGTAAGTACCTAAGTACCTATCTTATTTACCCAAGACCAGGAGTGCTTTCCGGAGACTGAACATCTCCTATTCACGTTTTGCTCAACCAAAGAAATCATGGAAGTGTCCGGGACTTGTAACAATATCATTCTTGCGGGCATAGCCCATAACCAGACCTAAACCACACCGGCGCGTATTCCATTTCATACAAGGTTCAGTGCAACGACCTGATTATCCATAAGACTTGATTTCCCGTCCCCTCCCTCCGACGTTAAGACCTAACAAAGATAGATGGTATACCAAAACAGTAAAAAGACCCCAATACCGCCGTGTCTTACTATTCCTTCCCACTTTGAGCAGAAACCAAACACCCGGTGCCCCATCCGTCTCCTTCAGGTTTTCCCTGCTTTCGTCGAAGCGCGGTACAATTTCTATTTGACCAGCTCGACATTTTCCATCTCGCGCGCAGCGGCTATGGTGGGGTTTACATTCTCATCATCTGCTTGGGCACCGCTGTTAGCAGAGTACCCAAGAGCCCCCGCCATAGTAGGCGCCTCACCAGGCTCACCTCCCTCAGCACAGTGGTTTCCAATATGAGCCTTACCAACGATTTGATCTGTCTCGCCATAGTCGCTGCTGACTGGTCTCCCGCCGTCGTTGACTGATCTCACGCGGTCGTTGACTGGTCTCCCGCCGTCGTCGTATCTCGAGCCGTCGTTGGCTGATCTCACGCTGTCGTCGCGACCCTTGCCCCACGCTCTGTGGTCGTCGTCACGGTTCTTATCCCATGCCTTTAAGTCGTCTTCGGCATCATTGAGGACCTGGCGGGCCGTGCCTCCGTGCTCGTATGCGCGACGCGAGTCACCGGGCGTGACGGGCGTGTCGTCCAGGAGGTCGAGCAGACGACGCCCGTGCTTAGCGAGGATGATCTGCTTCTCGGCGCGCTCGATGACCGATAGGAACTCGGCGTCGTAAGCTTCCTTCAGCTTCTTGCGTGTCTGTCACACAATCACAGGTACGCGTTAGCTTGTGTGCTTATAACAATCTCCGGTCTCCAGAATATTCATATCTGGCCGACCAAGTGGTCCGTCGTGGGAAGTAGAGAGGGGGGGGGGGAAGGGAGAGGTATGCGTACGACGTTCGTCAACTGCGCCTCGGCAACCAGGTTCTCGGCCTCGGCCCGCACGAGCTCCTGCTCGAGCACGACCAGGCGCGTGCTCTGGGGCTCCTTGATCTTGAGCTTCTGGATCTCGTCGGCGATCTTGCCCTTGTTGTCGCGGCTGGGCTGGACGCTCTTCTCCGTGTTACGGATGGTCTTGAGCACGCCGCGGGCCTCGTCGATGCCGTGGGCGTAGTTCTCCTCCTGCACGCCCAGCTCCGACAGGATCACGCCGACCTTGTCGCTGACGTCGGACACGCCGTCGTCCTGCGTCTGCTCGCCCCACTCGGACAGCTCGCGCGCGATGGTGTCGCGCTCCTTGCCCGCCGCCTCGTGCGACGACACCAGGTTGTTGGTCGACTTGATCAGCCGGTACAGCCGCTTGCTAAGCTCGGGCTGGGTCGACCCGCGGAGGGAGGCGAAGGAGAAGCCCTTGCGGCCGTGCGTCGACGACGGCGGCCCGGGTGTGGACTTGCCGGAGCGGATGGAGAGGGAGCGATTCCTGGACGTCGCAAGTTGTTAGCCTTCTCAGTCCTGGCGCTGAACACTGAAGGAATTGGGAGCGAGGCAGGTACACGTAGGGCGAGCCGAACGATGATCGACTGCTGTGGTGTCGGGGAGTGGACTCCATCGATAGCCTCTCGAGGTCTGCCACGCCCTTCGAATTGCTGAAGAAGAAAGCCATATTGAGTCAACAGCGAAGACAGGTCGACCTACATGGTGTTCTAGAGCTTCAGCTCCGCGGTAGTTCAAATATACTCTTCTTGTTTGACTATAGGTAGGTAAGTAGTAGCTACTACCCAGTCAGTTCTTGTTCCTTCCTTCTCCATGAGCCATCATGACACCTTCCCAGGTAATCGCGGTGGCTTATAGCATTTGCAACACAGGAAACCACGGGCGCCAGGTTGCGACAAGGTATTCATATGGACCACGACTCACAATGCGGTTCGAAATCCACGGGTCGAGTACGAGTGTATGGGACGGGATCGGGTGGAGAAGAGTAGTAGATCAGACGGGTCGAGTTACTCCACCAGGGATAATGGCAGACAAGCAGAACAAGGCTCGTAAACAGTTAACGCATGTCTCAAGCAGGCCAAGGTGACCTTATTACACAAAGAATGAAGAAAAGCACCTACCTCTACCCCTCAAGCACGCTGGTGCGTCATTGCCAGCTATCATACATATCACGCTTGCATGTCAGCATGATCACCTCACAAAGCACTAATGTCCGCTACAAAGATACTATTGGAACGTAAGCAGGCGAGGGAAGTTCTCGGCGACAGGATTTGGGCATGCAACATCGTGTCAAAGACCACCATGAGGGCGAATAGGTTCTTGGTGATGTCATATTATTGAAGCCAGCCGTGCAGGTGCAGGTGGACCCTGTACCCCGCTTGGTCCATGCGCGGACCTCAACGATGACGCCGGCGTCCAATGACTCCAATCCCGGCCCCAGATATCCTGTCATTCGCCAGCTTCCCATCGTCCCAATGTGACTCCCGCGACAATCGGACGAGTACAGAAGAACACTTGTAAAGGTACGGTGAGACGATTAAGATTACGTATTAAAAGATGTATATTGCGTTATGATAGACGCCTTGAAACTCCAGTCATAAGCCCCACGAGCCCACCTCCGGTAGGTTTGTCGTGACAGCCCAGAAGGTTACGCATTGAAGTGAAGCCCAGGATGAAATACGGCGTTGAATGGGCCTTGCTATATATTACAAGCCCCATCGTACAAAGGCCGAACCAAACCCTCTAGCGGAGATACCGCGTCTGGCTCGTCCGCTGATACACGACCGGCTCGCACACGCTCGGACGGTAACTAGAACCGCCGTACGAGCTCTTCGAGCTGCCGTAGTAGGCGACGCTCGGCACCGAAGACCGGTTGGAGTGATGATGCCCGTGGTGATGGTGGCCGCCGTGGTGCTGCCGCACGGGGATGACCTTCTCGTGGTAGTAGTACTTCTTTGACGGCTCGGCGCGGAAACACATCTTGGTCTCTTCCACTTCCGTGTGGCGGATGTATGTGGTCGAGGTCTTGTTGGTCGTGTAGCACGGCATTGGATATTGCTTTACTGAGAGCAAGACTTGGGTGGGTATTGCGTTATGGAGAGCGAGGCTTGGGGTTGTTGTTATAGTTGAGTAGGTATATGGAGATGTGTGTATTCGGGGTGTAGTTGTTGGTCAAGAGTCGAGACTGTTTGAGCCTTGTTCTAGTCGTAAGTGTTACCGATACATTCAGTACAGTTGAGTGGGATACGGTAATAAGCAGAATAGAAGACGTTGGTCAAACTGGCGGTAAACCAGGTATTTATTGCATTTCCATCACCGGAAGGATTCAAGGTCAGTCCGTTTGATCTGATCTGTCAAGGATCAGGACCCCAGCTTGGGCATACATCCAGCCTCGCTTCACACCGAAGGACGCTATCCATATCATATCCTCAACGAGTCAGCAGACCGAAAGGCGCTTCCGCCTCGAACTTTATCTAGTGCCGTTCCACAATTCCAGAACATCCAGGTCTCGCCGCGGACCCTGTCCGTAGCGGCCGTTGGAAGAAACCGGAACTTGCAACCCTGTCAACAGCCGCAGTCGAAGGCTCTTGAGTCGTGAACGCCGGAGCTACGACGATATGGGAGTCCACTTCCACTTGAGCAAATCCATGGCAAGGCAAACACGAGATGGTGTCACTAGATTGGGAAACCTGCAACCAGATTCCAGACGTCAATTCGAGATCATCGCCCGCCAACGAAGCACTTGTTACAACGGCCTTCCTTGACTATCCAGCATGCATCCTATGGCGATGCGCAGACGTCAGCACGCAGCTCCGCCGCCGTTGCAGTCATCCTGTCATATTAACTAGATCACCACTAGGCAGGGCCGTAACACCCTGAGACCCTGCATACTCTGTACTTTCGTATCCAGTTAGATCGTGAGCTCGCTTGAGAAGTTACCTGGCATCCCATACGCGCATGTTTCCGCGAGACGGTGAGTACATATATGTCCTTCTTGATCTACAGACGGTCACTGCATTGCATCCGAGACCTGATTTCTTCTACACAGAAATGCCCAAACAACAGCAAATACCGAAGCTGAAATAATACACTGACCGACCACCACGGTCATCACAAGGCTTTCCTTTTACTTACTCTGTATTCAGCGTTTCATCTAGGACTCCCAGGCCAAATCGTTATCTTTTTTATTTTGTACAAAGCATTCAGGATGCTTGTTGCGTGCCCTGAAAGCATCGATGGAGAGATGCGGGTTCATTTCGTCGAAAACTACAAATCCACCTTCGAGATTGCCCAGATTCCCACGAATATTGATATCATGCTCGAGAAGATGATGAGCGGCTTGCGCAACCCCGCCATGGTTGAGTAGTCGTAAGAAACGATTAACTCTCGGTCACGAAAGTCGTCTACCAGATTCCTCGCCTTGATCGTAAGTACGGTCCGGCCAACAGTGTCTAGGTAGGTTCTTTCCAGATCCACACTATGTCCGGTAATGGAGGATTCTGGAGCGGTGGTATAGAACTTGACGTTGCTAAAAACAACAGTTAGCGTGATAGAAAGCGTGACCTCACATTGCAACTTACTCGGCGCCTTCAGGTAGCAGGACGCGAACCTGAACCTGCCCGTACTCGACACCCTCCGCCTGCTTAGGGCCCTCCAGTAGAGGCACGTTCAACAGGTAGTTGCTAGCCGACTTCTTCAAGAAGAACTTGGTGTCGGCGTTCCACCCGATTGTGAAGGGGTATTTCCAGCCCCCGAAAACGGGGTAACGAGGCTTGAGCTCGAGCACCGCCTCGCGCTTGTTGCTGCGGAAGCGCGAGGTCGACACGTTACCAATAACATCGGTAAAGTAGGCGTCCTTGCTTCCAACTCGAAGGGGGATCTTCATCTCCTTCAACGCGTATGTCTGAGGGTTGAAGTACTGAGACTGGGCCCATTTCACTCGGTTGAACTGGGCAGATAGGTTTGCGCCGTGGTTGAACAGAGTGTAACGCTCCTCAAACGCGACATTGCCGCCCCAGTGGCTGACCTCGATATCGCGCTCCAGGTGGGACACGTGAGTGACGGGCTTGGTGGACTCGAATCGCACTTTGATGGCAGATACCGCGCCGGCTGGGACCTCGGGGAATGGACCGTAGATGAGCTTCGATCCTTGCTTGACCGGGAACTCCTTAACATCGCCACTGCCAGCAATCGTAGTGTAGTCTGGGATATCCGCGGACGGAAGCTTGACTTCGGTCTTCTGCTTCAACGTAGGGTAAGCCGAGGGGCAGTAGGCCGAGAAAGCATAGAGGAGGTACTGCTTGTCGGCCTGTTCAATGGCAGCGGGAAGCGGCGAGAGTGCCCTGAGGTAGTGGAAGGAGATGCCCAGGGTCTGCTGGCTCTTAGGAGATAGGGGTGCAGGCAGTCGGATTCGGTAGTATTGAGTGTCACTGCCAGTCGGTGCTATTAGAGACAGGTACTGCAAAACCCAATGCAGGAGACGTTGACTTATTACCTCAATGGGTCAAACTCGACTGCTTCTACGGTGAAGCCGACAACATCGGCACTCTTCCGGTCCTTTACCTCGATACCTCCCACCTTCTCCATTTGCTCGCTGGTGAAAGGCAGGAAGTACTCATCCTGAGGTTCCGGCGACACATTCTCGATGAGGACGTTGATGGACTCCTTGGCGAAGTTCTTCTCTAACGAGACGACATGCACCAGATTGGCGTTCTTGAAGACCTGCGGCGGCTTGAAAGTGGACGGCAGGGCGACCTTGGACGACGACGGCGCAGTAATGTTGGCATCGGCAGCCACTGACGAGAGTAAAGAGAGGCACGCCCCTGCAATTGCAGTGAACTTCATGGTGAAGGGAGACCGGATGGCGCTCTCATCAAGGGAGCAACTCGAGGATGGCGGTCAGTGGCAGGTGTAGTGCTGAAGAGGAATGCTGAGCAGGAAACGGGCCTGATCAGTGCAGTTCGTGATGCTCGCTGCTGTCCTTGGCGTGGTGTACTGACTGGCTTCAATAGAGACAGCTAGCCTCCAGCTCCAAGTTAGGTCCCGACACCTTTCAAAAGTTACAGCTTACGTATCCATGTTACCGGCCCGCCGGGGCTGGACGCAGCTGGGAATGGTCCGTGCATCCCATCGGAGGGGGCCTATCGAGGATGGGCGGCGGGCAGCACGTTAATCCGGCCATAAGCCCGCAGAGCCCTGTGCGCTAACCCATACGGGTTTTTGGGGACCCCTGACAGGTCGAGCCATGGATGCCTGCCGGCTGAAGCTTGTGATTCCATGGATGTTGATGAACTCCAGTCCCAAGTCATGATGCGCCGGCTCCAAGCCTCCAACGTGCCTGTTCTCAACAACAAACAACCGCCAGACTGTGGGACACTGCATGTCTTATCTCCTTATGCGCCCCAATCTCGTTGAAGGAAGTCTCAATTCCAGGTTTCGGCAAGATACAACATGGAGATGCTGCAATTCATCTCGACCTTGATATTATTCGATGCTCTGACATCCCTCCTCACACCGCCGTTGTGACCCGCTCAGCCAGCTCAGAGGTGTGACAGCCGGCTATCTCGTTTGGAACCTACCTGTATGGCCCATGGATTACCTAAATGCACCTTCAGCTAAAAAGGTGTTCGATTGCATCCACACAACGCTACTAACGACCTATAATTCTTTCCATCTTTCTGCCGTTTGTAGCTATTAGCAGCTTATCTTTATCAAAAAAACACGCTAGATCTACTTTAAATAACCTACGTATATATATTAATTATAAGTCGTATATAAATCTACTTTTTGTCACGGGCTCCGGTACGGGCAGTATAGGCGATCGTATGACAGTCTATTCTCTATGGTTCTGGCAGGGTTACAGGTAACTCTATTGACAGGACGTAGCTCGAAGAGCTACAGTTCAGGTTCGGGCGGGAACAGTGAAGATATCGTCAGTTCTCAGGTCCACATTGGTCCACCCGGGCCGCCGACAGCTGGCGCCCGGGGTCCCTCCACTTCCTGCCCATAGGCAGGGTCCAGCGCCGTGACACTTTTTTATTAGTATTAAAAGCATTGTTTTACAGACTAATATTATTAACAAGTTTCGTTTAAAACCGTTAATTAACTATTTTAAACTTTATAACTTTATTAAAAGTCTATCACCCTTAAGTGCTTTTAAGCTTGGTGAAGCGAAAAATACTTATTATTAAACTATTATAAAAATGTTAATGTTACAAATAAATGGACGATAAAAACGACAGCAAGTTATTATTATAGTTATTATAATGACTTTAAAGGCTTTTAAAAAGCGTTTTATTCAAGAAAAACCTTTATAATAAATCTTTAATCGAATAATGATAAATTTTTATGCATTTTTCGTAGAAAAATAATTATATATAACGCATTTTATGTTTAACTTTTTAATATATTAGATTAAGCTATAAAAACTCTTTATTAGCAAAAAAACGATTTTTATATATATTATAATATAAAACTTTGTTATATAAATGATTATCAATACAATTAAAACGATATAATAAGCGTATATATACCGCTTTTTATAAAATACTAAATATTTTAATAACGTTCGTATACTAAAATATAAAACTAACGGCGTTAGAAACTTATTTAAAAACTGGACCGTCACAAACTAGAAGAGATTTTATAATTTTTAACTTAAAAGTATTTAAATTTCAAAACTATATTAAAAGCATATTGATAATAAAAAGTTATAATATCGCGATAAAAAGTACGGGTATTATTAAAGTTAAAATATTAAATATTTTATATAAAAAAGAAATAATTAAGTTGGTAAAAAGAATTATTTTTATTAATAATGGTAATAATTGATATTATATATGATAATAAATATCATTATAAGTAGACATTGATTAGTAAAAAAGTTACTTTTATATAAAATATAAACTATCCGTATCTTTATAAATAAACAAATATTAGTAAAGAAATCTTATATATTATTAGAGCTATATTAAAAAATCCCTTACATGTTAACGGGGATAATATCAAATTATCTAACGATTAACCGTACTCAAAATATAAATGTTAAAATATTATTATAAATATTTTCTTTTTATAAAAAATACCGTTAAAATTAATAATATTATTAGCTTTATTATTTAAACGGCGCGATATACTAACGATTAAAGGCTTAATTATTATTAATAAGGCTGCTAGTAGAAAATATCGTATTAAGGTTCTTCTGATTCATAAAGGTGGCACGCGGCATAAGCATAAGCCCGTTAATAACAATCGAACACCGCTTAAAGTCCGTGTCGGAGCAGTTGCATCACCACTATAAGTGTGTAATTGCCCGACCACCCGCAGCACCCGGCATACCTGGCGTCTGGAACTATGATGCTAGACTAGATCCATCCTGTAAAACTCGAATTCAACCAATTAGGTCATTTTTATGGGCCGTGTCATGGAGGGGCACGACCACCTGCAGTGACGACTGACGAGGGGCAGCACCCGACCTTTCTCACGACCACAACCTTAACCATCACTGCCCCTCACCCAACACAGATACAAACCACAACCACTTTCACCTCGTGGTTTTCGATTCTTTCACCACCTGCATTCTTATCACACAGGCTGATTGATACCTTAGCCATCTTGGAGCTGAGTAAGTGACACTTCAGCTTAACTGCGCTCTCCCCGCCATCAACTATCAACTAACTCTCTACCAGCCTTTTGGAATATCCCGCATCTCGTGCTACTTATCATCCCTATATATCAGACTGATTAGCCTTGACTACTTGCATTTCTACCTTTCTACTGCTATTTACTGTCCCTCGGCTTCGATATCTTGGACACAAGCTCAAAGCCTGTGCATCAAGTATCTCGCCTCTCGAGTTCCCACTTGGGCACTTTTAAACGAAGACAAACTTCAAAATGGTTGGTGTCGGTCCTCGAAGACCACCCTCCCGAAGGGGTACGTACAACACAATCTTTGGATTTTCACATACTATGCCAGGTGATCAGATGATCAGATGAAAGCGGAGGTCCATGTACCTCGAAGTGCCTGATGTTGTCGAGTTTGGCGGTGACCATCTGTGCAACCAAACACCAATCAAGGGCTTGATTGTGCCGTCGCTGCTTCCTTCCGCCAGAGCCTCAGGCCTCTTGCGCGCCACTATTCATTCCACGTGCAAACATCTGCACCGGACATTCTTTCCCGCTGTTTGTTCCATTCCCCCGGCTCCATTGTGCGCCAGAGTTTCTACTCAGTGCTTGCAATTGTCACGAGAGCTTGTGTCACAAACAATTTCCCCCACCAACCTGATCATCGACACCTACATTGATGCAAACTCGTCTTCCAGTATTCACTACTTCTATGTCCTCTCAATGCTTCCTTCCCTCAGGCTGAGACACACATACCTTCGTTCTTTGATTTGAGCTTTTCCCCTTCTACCGCCCCCGTACTTCAGAGCTAGTCAACATGGTCTCTGGGCATCGATCCTCAGCTTCTGCTGAAACCACGAGACGCCATACCTACCATCACCATCACCACAACCATGGTCATTCAACTCGTTTCTGACATGAAATCGTTCGTTACTGACAGGGGTTGTACAGGATCCATGGCCGACGTGCCCAAAGATCTTCTTTCAGAGATCAAGAAGCTCGAGGAAATCTTCGCTGTCGATACGGAGAAGCTGAAGGCAATCACCAAGCACTTCATCACCGAGCTTGACAAGGGTAGGTGGTCCTTCCTGTCCGCAAGTATAGCTGCTAATAAACCCTAGGTCTCAGTGTTGAAGGTGGTGACATTGTAGGTCTTACACGAGACTGAGCCGGACTAAGCACGCAAACTGACAAGCATCTTGATAGCCTATGAACCCTACCTGGGTTATGGACTTCCCAGATGGGTACGAGACAGGCACATACTTGGCGTTGGACATGGGCGGCACAAACCTGCGTGTCTGCGAGATCACACTGACGGATAAGAAGTCGGAGTTCGACATCATCCAGTCCAAGTATCGTATGCCTGAGGAGCTGAAGACCGGAGAGTCTGACGAACTCTGGGAGTACATCGCCGACTGTCTGCAACAATTCGTTGAGACTCACCATGGCGACACTGTCCCCGTCGATGGGAAGCTGCCCATGGGTTTCACCTTCTCGTACCCTGCCACCCAGAACTACATCGACGAGGGCATTTTGCAACGATGGACCAAAGGCTTCGATATTAACGGAGTCGAGGGCGAAAATGTCGTCCCGATGCTCGAAGCTGCCCTGGACCAACGAGTAAGCTGCACTCCCGACTACTACTAGAACGGTACTGACCTGTATTTAGGGTGTCCCGATCAAAGTTTCCGCCTTGATCAATGATACCACTGGTACATTGATTGCTTCTGCCTACACCGACACCCAGATGAAGATCGGCTGTATCTTCGGAACGGGTTGCAACGCCGCCTACATGGAGCACTGTGGCAACATCCCTAAACTGGCTCACTTGAACCTGCCTGCCGACATGCCGATGGCCATCAACTGCGAGTGGGGTGCCTTCGACAACGAACACAAGGTCCTCCCATTTACTCCGTACGATGTCCTCATCGACAAGCAATCCCCGCGCCCTGGCCAGCAAGCCTTTGAGAAGTGTATTGCCGGACTGTACCTTGGTGAAATCTTCCGGTTGATCTTGGTAGACCTTCATGACAACAAGGATATCCATATTTTCGAGGGCCAGGACATCAAGCATCTGCGTAAGGCGTACTCTCTCGATGCGTCCTTCCTCTCAGCTATCGAGGAGTAAGTCACCAGACGCCGCCCTGCATACTGTTGTCCTGAATGTATGCTGACTTTTTACAGTGACCCGTTCGAGAACTTGCAGGAAACCGCGGACCTTTTCAAGGATAAGCTCCACCTCTCTTGCACTCGTCCCGAGCTGGAGCTCATTCGCCGAGCTGCCGAGCTAATCGGTACGCGCGCCGCTCGTCTCTCGGCCTGTGGTGTCGCTGCCATCTGCACCAAGAAGAACCTGCAGCCGTGCCACGTCGGTGCTGACGGCTCCGTGTTCAACAAATACCCGCACTTCAAGGCTCGTGGCGCACAGGCTCTACGCGAGATTCTGGACTGGCCCGCCAAGAAGAACACCAGGGAGGAAGACCCCATCGAGATCCTGGCTGCCGAAGACGGAAGCGGTGTCGGTGCCGCCCTGATCGCTGCTCTGACCCTTAAGAGATTCCAGAAGGGCAATGTCGCCGGCATCTTGCACCCCAAGAACTTCCATTGAAGTGGCACAGTTCACCAGATAGAGACAAGGGGCTGGGTATTTTGACAAAAGTCCTCGGGTGTCCATTAGAAGGCGGATAGATATAGATGTGGCGGCCCAGACGCGGAGGCTCAAGGCTCGGAACTGGAGTGTAGCTCTTGGTGTGGTTTACACCTGATTCTAACGTATCTTTCTAACCCATGAAAGTGCAGGTAGGAAGCCGATACTCTGTCACCAGTTCGTTAGCTTTGACAGGAATCAATATAGCATCCTGATGAAACTTACTGTCTAAAGTCCAATACCGTCTCTTGACCCCTTGCCATTCACCCTTGCCCTCCTCCTCCAGGCCCCCCATATCTACGTCCATCTCCTGCCATTCCACATCCATGCCCGCGTCGCTCAAATGCATCTCTACGACCTTGGTGTAGACATCGTAGCAGACCTTGCGGTCAGCGCCTAGCCCGTTGAAGAAACCAAACACCCCGTTCTCGTCCAGCAGGCCCGGCACGTACTCGGTGAAGAAATTGCGCAGCTGCGCGTAGTCCTCTCCGAAGGTGTCGAAGTATATCGCGTCATACAACTCGCCCTGCTCCAGCAGGTTTGGTATCACGTCCTGCCACCTGCCCGCGTGGACCTTGTACGCGCCCTCGCTCGGCGCGCTCGCCTCCCACTCCTTCCCGAACGTGCAGTCGGGGCCGTTCATGTGCTCCAGCACCGCCGGGTGCGCCTCGATGATGTGGTGCTTCGACGGGTGCGCCTCGCGGAACATGCCGTCGATGATGCCCATGCCGAAGCCGATGTTCAGCACGCGGGTGCGGCCGGCGGCGGGGAGTTTCTCGCCGGGGGTGAGCAGCGCGTCGACCGAGGCGCGCATGATGGAGGTCTCCCAGGCCATCATGACGCCGTTCTGGGAGTCGTCGACCAGCTTGCCGGCGTCGTAGGTCAGCTGCGAGCGCAGGTACTCGTCGCTGTTGACGTCGGGGTCGGCGGCGGCGGGCTGGGGCGGCGCGAAGGCGAAGGCGCGGTCGGGGTCAGATTCTAGGACGATGTCGATGGGCTCGTCTGCGTTTTCTGTGTTGTCCTTGTTCTCTCCGTCTTCGTCGCCTTCCTCCTCCTCTTCCTCGTCCTCGGATTCTAGCTCCTCATACCCGTCACCGCCCAGCAACCCGAAGAGCAGCTCCGCCCTCACGCCGGCCTCTACGCACAGCGCGTACAGCGCCTCCTGTCCCAGCCGGGCCGCCAGACACCCGGGCGTCTCGTTGTTGCTGTCGACGTCGTTCCAGATCGCGCCGCTGAGGAAGAGCTCGTGGACAACGGCCTTGGCGGCGTCAAGGTCGGGGTCGGGGTCGGCGTTGGCGGAGGTGGAGGTGGAGGCGCAAGACCGGATCGCGGCGTGCAGCGGCGTCTCACCCGTGGTCGGCTCTTGCACGCTGGCGCGGCCCGGGACGGCGAGGAGAGGCTTCAGGGCGGCGAGGTCGTGGCGCCAGGCGTGGTGGAGGAGCTCGGCGATGGAGGCGGGGCAGGTCGGCGGGATGCGCGTAGTGAGCGCGTCGTCGGGCGGTGGAGGAGGCATGGTGGGTGGTGGTGAGGAAATGGCTGTAACAGGCGATGAAAGGAGTGCAATGCTGAATGCCGGACTGGTGTCACCCTCGTACTGTATCGTCAACTGCCCAGCTCAGTGTCACTGGATTATTCGATCTCAGGTACAGTACGGGACGCGGGGCATTGGAACGTGCAGGTGGTGGGGAAAAGATAAAAATTACCGGGATTGGGCTATGGACTGCGGAATGCATTCCACACAGTTTCATAGATTTGGATACAGACTTTACATTTACCACCAAACTTGGAGCCTTGGGTACCGTGTGGTGCACAGTGTATGCGCTGAAGCGGCTTTCCGCTTTGAGACGACCCACCAAAGCTCCCAAAAGTTGGAATTGAGGCGCTGTGACACGTGGCGGCAGCTTCTGTCCCATTGGACAATCGCATGGCGTCACAGTGGGGGTTCCGATCTGCAGGTGGGGATCAAAAGAGAGCTAGGTCGTCACCTTGAGCAACGGACGAGACTTCATTTTCTGTACGACAATCAGACCGTGGTCCGTATCTGTACAGTACGCCGGCGTGGTAGGTAATTGCACATCTTTTATACTGAGTCCCGGGTTCGAGAAGCTGCTTGAGAGCTTTTGATGTGGGGTTTCCTTCTCTGTTGTGGCTTCATCCTACGGTAGTTGTCCCTTGCTTTCTCGTGTTCTGCTCAACTCCGAGCTTCGTACGTACGCGCATGCTGATAATTCAAGACTTGAAGACTAGGGCGACCTCTTGGATATCTACTCGCAACCACCGTCCCACCGTCGCAGCACAGAGTGGCACGCCCGCCCGGGCCTGATCATCATGAAGTTCGGAGAGCAGCTGCGTTCCAGCGTTATTCGCGAGTATCAATGGTACTACATCAATTACGATGGACTCAAAGACGAGCTCAAGACCGCCACCGGGCCCGTCGTAGATGCCGACAACAACGAAGCCGGTCCCTCGGATACCTCTAAGAAGAGTAAGGCGCGGCACAAGAATAGGTGGTCAGAAGAGGACGAGCAGAGGTTCATCTCAAGGCTATACGCCGAATTGGACAAGGTGTACACCAAGACCAAAGTCAAGCAATCCGAGATTCAACGCCGCATAGCAGTCAGCGATCGGGAGGTCAAGGAGGTCGTGGCCAAGGTGACGGAGCGAGGTCTGGCAGAGCAGGGTCCCTCTGAAGAAGACTTCATGCTGCTCGAGGAAGACCTGAGCGACATTATTGCCGACGTCCACGACCTCGCCAAGTATGTCCAGCTGAATTATACGGGCTTTTATAAGATAATCAAGAAACACGATGTTCGTACTCCAGATGACCCGAGTCTTGTTGCGTGATAGCTGATCAATGTTACAGAAAATGACCAACTGGAGCCTACGGCCGTCGTTCGATGCTGCACTCAAGAAGAAGCCATTCTACAACGAAGACTTTGACGCTGAAGTCGTGAAACTCTCCAACATGTACAACAACGTACGAACGAGGGGCAATCCCATAAAGGGGGATAGCTCCGCTGGTGGAACACAAGGCAGCTTTGTCCGCCAGACCACCAAGTACTGGGTACACCCGGACAATATTACCGAACTCAAGCTTGTTATTCTCAAGCATCTTCCAGTGTTGGTCTTCAATCCGAACAAAGAGTTTGAGCAGGCCGATTCGGCTATCAGCTCCATATACTACGACAACCCCGACAAGTGGGACTTATACGCCGGGCGCTTGAAGAAGACCGAAGGTGCAGAAGCCGTCCGTCTACGATGGTACGGTGGAATGCAGACCGACAACATATTCATAGAACGGAAGACTCACCGCGAGGACTGGACTGGCGAGAAATCCGTCAAAGCTCGGTTCTCCGTGAAGGAGAAGAATGTGAACGCTTTTATGAGAGGCGACCTGCTTCCAGCTGCGTTCTTCGAAAAAGCTCGAAAAGATGGCAAAAGATCAGAGAAGGCTATTGCTGAGGATGAGAGCCTAGCCAGAGAGGTGCAATACTCGGTCATCAAGAACCGCTATGTACCCGTCTGTAGGTCCTTCTACAACCGCACCGCATTTCAGCTTCCAGCGGATGCACGTGTCCGGGTTTCCCTCGATACGGAGCTTACCATGGTGCGTGAGGATAACCTGGACGGCGTCAAGCGGTCTGGAGACAACTGGAGGCGGATGGATATCGGCATTGACTGGCCTTTCTCACAACTCCCGCCCGGCGATGTCCTGCGCTTCCCTTATGCCGTCTTGGAAGTGAAACTCCAGACACAACATGGGCAAGAACCCCCTGAGTGGATTCGCCAGCTCATCTCCAGCCACCTTGTTGAGGCCGTTCCAAAGTTTTCCAAGTTCATTCATGGCACAGCTGCCCTATTTCCCGACCGCATTAACCTGCTTCCGTACTGGATGCCTCAAATGGATGTAGACATTCGCAAGCCAGTAACACACAACTTCGGCATTAAGCGCCCGGGGCAGTCACACAGTGGTACGACATCAGACGATGAAGATGAGGACGACATGGACTCGGACGAGGAAGAGATGGAGGCGAGAACGCCATCAGCCCCCTCCCGCGGCAGAAATGGCCTGTCTCGCGGCGCTCAAGCTATGGCTCTGGGGGATATGGAGGGCCAGACTACAGAGGAGATCGCTTCGAACGAGGATTATCCCCTTTACGACTCAGATGATGAGTCAGACGAGGACGACAGGATAGAGGAGGCCAGGCGAGTTGGCGGCTGGACATACTACTCAACGTTGGCCAAGAGCTACGCAAAAGCAACGGGTCGCGGAGCGCTGGCAGTGGTGCAGACGCTCACGCCACGACCACGAGCTACAACAGTGCCGCGCAGTAATCGAACACAGATGTTCTTTGGCGACCAGGACGTCCAGACCAAGAGGTTCAAGGCGCCCAAGGGCAAGAAGATCTACGTGCCTGTCAGAGTGGAACCCAAGGTCTTCTTTGCGGCAGAGAGAACGTATCTCGGCTGGGTAAGTCTCCGTCTGAACTCTTATCTGCCAAACCTGCTTGTCGACTAACCCATGAATTGCAGCTCGAGTTCTCGATCTACATCGGAGCCATCGCCGTCACGTTACTCAACTTTGGCAGCAAGCCCAACAAGCTCTCGTTTATCGTCGCCGGCATCTTTACCCTCCTCGCCATCTTGGCTCTCTGCTACTCGGTTGCTATCTACTTATACCGAAGCAAGGGCATCCGGGAGCGGCAGGTGATCAAATACTACGACAGGCTTGGACCTACTATTCTGTGCGGTGCCCTGTTTATGGGTGTTGCTCTTAACTTTGCATTCGAGGGGCGGGACAGGCAGCTGTGGTAGAGATGTGATGTGTTTATGGTGCGAGATGTTAGTCAGATGGTAGAGTGGATTACGCGAACATCAATGTTCAGCTGCATTTTCGGGCGTCGTGTATCAGGAACTCGTTTACTGTACATTATAGGGGCGAGTATAGCAGCTTCGAGCTCTTGCTTGAGCACTTCTAAACTAGCGGGTACGTGTGCACATCACACCCAAGTGCTTACTTACATATGTTCTGCGCTAGGGGCTGCCGAGTAATCCTCCAGTTGTATGAAATCTGCTGCATACGGTAGCATCAAGGACCCTCCTATCGCTTACGAGGTTAGTTAGTTCGGCTGATAGAGGATCAACTTAGCGTTGCTTATATCTATCCACCAAAAAGTTCCAAAGATGCTTGCAAGTTGCTGCCTGTCGAACCTCGGGGATACCCAACTTCATGCCAGATACTGCGGGCTAGGACCCTTGCATACGAGTTGGTTCCAACCAGCGCTGACAAGTAACATGGATCGGTGATACACCGCCGTTATAACCAAGCCCGCACCTGTTGCTATTCCTCTGGACAACAACAACAACAACAACAACCTTCTTCTCCTGTTTCTTCCCACATTCTGAAGGCATAGATAGGTCAAGAGGGAAAGCAACCATCGCAATGTCGTTTCCCGATCCGTCGCAACCCGAGTTTGGGCAGTCGATCCCACCCCATGGCCCCCATGCCATCACCACCCAGGGCCACGGCTGGGAGATCATGACGAGGTTCCGCGACGGCGACTTGTCGCTTGTCTCGCAAATGAAGTCGATGTACCCGCGTTTCGGGCCCTTTGGGCATTCGAGCGCTGTAAGCTTCATGCTTTCCACCCTCATGGCACTCACTCACCACTATTCACACGGACTTCACTTGGCTGTCCACTCTACTCACCCCCAACCCCTTCCCGTATGACATGGGGACCGCAGTGCTAACAAAAAGTCGCACACATAGCTCTGCGTCGCAATCGGCCAGAAGCTGGCCCTGCCCCCAGGCCACACGTGCCCACGCCACGTCGGCGCACCGCAAGGACAAAGATCGCCTCGAGGCCAACGAGCTGCGCTACCACGCCGTCGACATCCACGGCGTGCGTTTGTATTTGGTTGTCTTCCCCATGGCCAAGATGATGGGCGCGCTGTTCATGTGGCAGCACGCCGGGCTGGGCTTTAGCACGCGCTTCGCCGAGAGCCTGCTGCCGCACGTCGACGCCCTGACGCACCTCGGGGAGTTTTCCCTGGGTGGTAGTCCGCCGCCGCCGACGTACCTGCCCGAGGGCGAGAGCCACGCGTTGCTGCGTAAGCGCATCGCCGGGCTGATGATGCGCGCGTGCGTGAGAGAGTATGAGAGGCCCGTCGTGGAGGACGATGTGTTTCTCTACCAGACGGGCATGGCGGCCATCACGCGGTTCCACCACGCCGTAACCACAACACGGTCTGGGCCGGTCGTGGTTTTCGGGGCCGTGTTTCACAGCACGTATCATCTGTTCGAGGAGAGCGCGGGAGGTGTCAAGCACTATGGCAAGTGCGACGGTGCAGAGGTGGACGACTTTGAGAAGTATCTCGAGGGGGGTGGGGAGTGCAGTTATGTGTTCACCGAGTTCCCGAGTAACCCGATTATGGTCTGCGTGAACCTGATGAGGTTGAGGAAGCTGGTGAGTGATTTCCTTAACTACCTGTTAACCGCTTGGAGAGACAACAGGGGATGATGCTTCCATCATAATCGAGGAAAGTGTGGGCTGACTGAGACACGCAACCCCCTAGGCCGACAAACACGGCTTCCTCCTCGCCGCCGACGACACCTGCGCCAGCTTCTGCAACATCGACCTGCTGCCGGCGGCCGACGCCGTCATCACGTCGCTGACGAAGTCCTTCTCGGGCTACGCGGACGTCATGGCCGGCTCCGTGGTAGTGAACCCCAACACACCGCAGCGCGCAACCCTGAAACACACCCTCGCCTCGCGCTTCCACAACCAGCTCTTCGACGGCGACGCCGCGCACCTGCTCAAGAACAGCGACGACTACCTGCCGCGCTCCAGAATCCACAACCGCAACGCCGCCGCGCTGGCCGCGTACTTCGCCGAGCTGGCCGCCGACCCGGCCGTCCCCGTGTCGCGCGTCTGGTACCCGCCGCACAGCCCGGGCTCGGATACGTACCTCGCGGCGTTCCGGCGGAAGGCGACGCCCGACTTCCCGGCGCCGGGCTACGGATGCCTGCTGAGCGTCGAGTTCGACACGGTGGATTGTGCTATTGCCTTCTACGATGGGCTGAACTTCTACCAGGGCCCGCACCTGGGCGCGCACTTGAGTATTGCGCTGGCTTATACTGCTATGGCGTATGGTAAAGATAACTCCGAGTACCACGCTTCGTACGGGCTGAGGCCGCAGCAGATCCGCCTGTCGGTGGGGTTGGAGGACGAGGCGCTGCTGCTAAGGCGGTGCGAGGAGGCCGTGGCGAAGATGGTCGTGAAGATGGGGAAGAAGGGGGATGGGGAGGCGCTGGCGGCGGAGGTCGAGCGCAGGGTCGCGGACGACGGGGATGTGAAGACGGGGTTTGATCCCATTGGCGGCACGGGTGCTTAAGCTGTTTGCGGATCTGTTTGCGGGGTGGGTGCTGTTACCCGGGTACGTGGGATCGTGGAGGATTGGGAAGAGGCCAGGTAGCGAATGTTGGAACTGAAACTTGAGACCAACTTGCAGCGTAGCAACTGTGAACATTTCTGTGCCACTTTCTCTTTCCCCGCTGTCGTTCTCCGGCTTTCGTATTTTGTCGCATCATGGTCGAATACTCAGAAGTTGGCAGTCGCTTCAATAGCACGCACAGGTCTGGGCGATCTGTAGTGGTTTAGGAGACGCATCTAGAACCCGGGTTTCTTCTCATGGATTGACATACATTAGTACTAGATGATATAAATGTATGTGGAATTATATAGCACATGCCCGGAACTGGGGCGCCTATCCATGCATAGCCGCTTATCGTTCCATAACATCGATACCATCTCTCAATCTGCTGGGTCGGGAACACGAAGACGAAGTCTTTAGTGGTACTGCACATGTTGTCGAAACGGGGGACCGATAAACGGATGTACCTAGCACCACTGCTGACTATAAGCATATTGACAAAATAGTTGGCCCTCATCCCGGGTAGACAGGATCGCACGGCGCGCAGGGGCCCCCAAAAGTTGACCTCCATCTATTCGCGGACTTCCTCCTCGCTGCGCCCAATCAACCAATGAGTAGCACACCCCAGTAAACCACTGTAAGTGGTCTCAAAGTGAGGGTATGCCGACCACCTTCGATGGTGAGAAGGACCTCACGGAGACCAAATCCACCACGTTATGCCGTCGTATCCCTTATTCCTTCATCTGCAGCGATTCCTCCTCCAACAACGGAATTGTCTGTGTCGATGTCCTTCTCAATCTCTTGTCCTTTTCCTTCTCTTCTTCCTAGTGCTTGACTGCGTGATCGAGTGATGGAGTGCGCGATTTTGAGATGGTCACGTCCTCAGGTCATCGACACAAACTGGTGTGAGTTTGTGTGTTGAGGTGTCGAACGTTTGAGTTGCAGTTCGCGCTGCTGAGTAGCGACGGCCGGCAACCCACCAACGGCCATGCTTCAAAGGGAAGCTTCCAGAGTCGTTGATCATTCGGCTGGGTCCTGCCTGGACGGGGGTAATAAGGGTCGTTTCTCAAGAAAGCACGGGCTGCCTACTCGATCCCATCTCCGTCCATCGTCATCCTGTGGCATCCATCGAAGTCTAGGATCCAAAGAGCGTGGTCACCTAACGATGCTGAGTGGAAAGACTTTGTGGTGTCATCAGGGGAGGTTCTCCGAGGTGCGAGGACAAACTCAACGTCCTCTGCGTCGATTTCCGCCGCCCAGTGTAGGAATGCTAGGCTTTCTGCTAACCCCTGGGTGTAGCCATCCATATCAACCCCGAGCTCTTCCATCTGATCTGCACACAATCCAAAGTTGCGCAACCTGAAGAAGGCAGAGGGTCTTTCTCGGCGACGGCCCAGGTACGGCCGGACAAGCCAATTTGGATCGGTTGGTTTGATGGCTGATTTCTTTGATTCAGGGCAATATTGCTCGGTAAGACATTCCTGCGCGGGCTGGGGTAGAGAAGGGATTTTTCCTGTTATCAGAGTGTCGTAAGGTTCAGGGAACAGTGCCAGTATTCGGCCAGGCAGTCCTTGACTCTTCGCCATCTTGGCGTCGATGAATTCGTAGCATCTAGGGATTGCAAATCTTGGCTTCTGGAAGTGGTCTTCGGCTGATGCTGATAGGAGGGTTCGATGCATGAGATGGTCGTTGCGCAAGGATCTGGCTGGGTCGCCGTCGCCTCTTTTGAGCACGACTGTAGGTGGTTCTCTTTGGCCCATCTTGACGGTGACTGGGGCGTATATGGTGCCGCAAGCTCCTGCTCCCATCTTATGGGGACTGTCGTCCGACAGTGTAGATGCTAAGACCTCACACAGAGACATGATTTCTCTGAGTGTTTGATATTCGAGTATCTGGGTCGATTTCTCTTCGTAGAGTGTAGTACTGATGCTCTGTGTTGTTGGTGTCAGTTTCAGTTGTTGGTTGTGAGATTGTTGTTGGTGATTGTTGTTGGGAAAGAAGATGACTGAAAAGATTAAAGAACTGGTTATCATTTAGGGAGAAATAAAGTCTCTGGCAATGCTCTACCGGGCGGAAACGAACCTTAGGGTATGTACTAGAGGGTCCTCGAGACCTTTTCGGCGCGCGTGAGCTCTTTAGAGGGTGCAGCGTCGGGGTTTGTGTTTAATTGGTGGACCGGCAATGGTCGGATCGCGTTTTGGTGTATCTGGAAAGTTGTCTGGGTGATATGTGATTTGTGGAGGAAAAGGTTATCGCGGGATTCCCGTGCGAGAGATGTACGTCTTAAATAGGGTTCTCGTGACTCATCGGATGGAAGGTTTTAAGGTAGGCGAAGTTTGTTGTTTGTTTGTTTTGTATTTAACGTGGGGGGTAGCTCCTCAGTAGTGCAAACCACGCCTCCCAGAGCCTCTGTATCGCAGGGTTGTAGAGGTCTCAAGATAATAAGTACAGTCAGTCCCGCTCACGGGCCCATCCCCGTTGTTGCGGCGGTATGACCTTGGGGTCATCCATCTGGTCCTTTAAGAAAAGCTATCTATCGGGGGCAGATTGTTGAAAAGAACTTGCTCTTCTCCACGAATTTTGCCCATTCTATGCTCCTCTCCCCTAAGTATTATAAACAAGCTGTCCTAGGCGGGTACCTAGGCAGCAGCCAGTTTTTCCCCAGCCTCTTACAAAAGAAAATGTGTTGTGGTGTTTTCTTCTCACCACAGCTGCAGTGATCATCCGAGTCTGTATGCCCAAAGCGTTCATGGTATCTGGCAAAGTCGCCATGTCCAGATCTGGCTGCTAGAAGTCTGTGTAAAGTACTCCTCTTAAAAGATATAAGGTCTCTTTTAGTTGCTGCATGTGAGTATACTTCTTGATATCTAGGTTCTGATTGGTCTTTCCACCATTGGTTGAACTCTTTTTTGCCCTTTCTTTTGAGATCTCTCTTGACCCAAGAGATAAGGTAGGCGAAGGTTTCGCTGGAACCATGACTACCTACCTATCTAGCAGTGGCGTTAAGGCTGAGGGGAAGATTGCATGTGATAGGGCTCAGCCATAAGCCACAAAAGACTCGTCAATGGGCTCAAGGTTACGATAGCCTGCTTTGATTTCAAAAGAGAATTGTTATTTCAATAGTAGTCACATTTCAATAGTACCTCTCTGCCGGCTGCCAGTGCCACCAGTATATCACACAAAAGGAACTCCCACCAAAGACATATACTACACGCATTGTGCGCGCGGCGCAGTTTACCTACTCAGACAAGCAGTCAAATTAATAACCTCGTTATCGAGTAGGTCCTTACTATCAGGCCTTGGTCACTTTTAGCTCGCAGCAGCTCGATATTACGCGAGCATATGTTATTCTTGCTGTTGCTCTTTAATCTGTGCTTCTACAACCATTACTTGCCCCGCGAGTGATACCTCCTCCGCTGCAAGTAGTGCCTCCTTTGCGAATGATGCCTCCGCGAAGTATGCGTTTACCGCAAATGATGCCTCTGCGAGTGATACATCTACGAAAGCGCCGGCATGGTCGTGGCAGTTGGCAGGCGCGTGGCAGATACAGCTCGCGGGGATGTAGCAGCTGGCAGAGGGGTGCTATTGAAATCGGACTATTATGAATAATAATTCTCTTCATTTATACTGCCGGAAAACCTGTCTTGTCGGTTTGTCCTGTCGACTAAATGAATTGATCAGCGTCCTACAGGAAACTTTGCTGGGAACGTCGGATGCAGATTTTTGCGCACATTGGGATATATATATTCGTATCTATCCGTCATCCCCTTGTATTTCCTGATTGGGCATGCTTCTGCATGCGCCGTAACCTTGTTGTCCTCAAGTCCGACAATGTACTTGGCTGTGTTCTTGTCGATACGTCCGAGCCGGAGAACGACGCTTATACCACACAAGCCGAAACGCTCTGCAGTCTGCTGCTGTTCCTCCGACAGATGGAGAAAGATTACTGGCCTTAGGACCGAACGCGGAAGAAGCAGCTTTCGACCCCCGTTAGGTAATCTCCATGTCTCCCAACACCGTCGTGTTCTCGAAGCGAACCAACCCTGTCCGTTGTTGATGGCTCCCGCAAGGTCACCGTCTTCCGTCACGCATCGTTCTACATCTACACCCCAATGGATTTTGAATGATAGTCAAGACTTGACCTGAATACCGACATTGGATTGGACTGGTGGAACCCAGTACTGTGCTGGGCCATGTTCGTCGAGATTGCAAGCTTGGGAGCATCGTCGGAGGAAGAGCTCGAAACTGTAGTCACCGTTATCGACAAGATGGCTGATACCTGGAATCAGCTGAATCGACAACTCGACCTATAACTGCCAATGAGCACATAATGAATTGTCACAGTAATAGCAGCTGGGCCTGGCAAAAGCGTTGTAAAACCCATGTAATTATAGAAACATTACTAAGTCAAGTGCTTGCTACCTGGCGACTGACATTTTCCAGACCGTTTACCTCTCCCGATAATCAACCAATTCTAGCCCTCGCTGTAGATATCAACTGTCACCCTAAAACCGGCGAGTGACAGAAACATGCGCCCCCAGACCTATTCGCCATATCCATGCCCGCATTGCCAAAAGGAACGCCTTCCAGGCAGCCAGTACCGCAAGCCTTACCGCTAGCGCAGTAACAACCTTCTATACCCATATGAGCTACCCATTTAAGAATCACAATCGCCTGCCTCATCTTCTCGCGATAATGGCCATGATACTCGTCTTGCTGATGTAGTAGAGAAAGCCGACGAAGCGGATGGTGGAGAGTAACGCCGTCGAATAGAGAAGCCATCGGAAGTATTCGGGAGTCCGATCCACGGATGCTTGCTGTAAGTGTTGTTAGCGCCGAGCTGAAAGACCTCTCCAGAGACAATATGGGGCAAGTCTTCATACCTTGACGCCCAAGAAGGAGAAGTTGTTGGTAGTAATGCCCTCGATCAATACCAGATTGGATACGATCCAGGTGATGACCAGACGGGTTCTGAAGGATTTGTACGAATCCTCTGTGTCAGGCTTCTCGTCTTCCACCGGTTCCTCGAAGGGGGCCAGCGCCCTGTACACGGTCTTCTTGAACTCGGTATCGATGTCTTCCTGCTCCCTCTCGACCTCCTCGATGACCTTGGCGTTGGTCTCCTTGTCCTTCATGACGTGGACAGATGGCAAGACAGTCGTGTCACTCGAGCCCTTGGTGCCCCAGGAGACGTCATGCCAGTTGTTGAAGGCATACACCATGAGGATGTTAATGTAGGAGGAAGCCAGGACCATATACTGCGGGAATGAGTGGAACATATGCCATGGGTCCAGGTAGAGGAACGAGGCCACGTAGTTGAGGCCGTAGATCGTGATGATGGCAAGCAGAATAACACCAGCAACACTGTCATCGCCGAACATGCTCTGGAAGAACGCTTCGGCTGAACTGGTGTCGATCTCTTCGCCTAAGGGCTTCTGAAGTGCACGGTATACCAGGTAAAACGACAGCACGATGACATATGCCTGAATGACACCGAACACTGCGAAAGAGGCGATGTAGCTCTTCTTGGAGCCCTTGGGTCGATTGCCGAGAGCGAGAACGAACTGTGATAGCAGTGTGATCTCATAGACATACTGGAGGATTTGATTGATGATAGGGGTGGCCGTATTACCGAAAGGCCAGCCACGGTAGCCACTTTCGGGAACAGGTGTACTGTGTCAAGCGTCAGCCATTGTTTTTCCAAGCAGCTGGGCGGCAGAAGGGGCAAAAGCCCATGTTTTGACTCTCAACGCTTGTTCAACACAGCGCGTTGAAGGCAGAAGGGGAAGAATCTCTTGGCTGTACTCACCCGACGAGGTCCATGATAATCTTGGTGGTGAGCCAATAGGATGCCAGGGAAAACCAGCTGAAGAACATGTTGGCAAAGGTGTACAGAAGCTGCACATGAAGCCAAAACATCCGCACTATGCTGTGGCTTGACCTATAGATTCGAGAGAAATGCATCAAGGAATACAAGCCAGCCGCAAAGGAACCGTTCAGCCAACGACGCCGTTGGCCTAGGAATTCGGCAGGTCCCTCAGGAACGTCCGTCTCGCCCTTAGCAGCCTTGATATAGGACAAGTGCCACTTCTGGCCTGCTTTTGCTACTACTTCGAAGCAGAGAATCCGATCTTCAGCAAGAAACATGTTCTTCTTGAAGATGTTCATGTTGTCAATGCCTTTCTTGCCCAGGATCTTCGATAACGTGTGATCGCCGTGGAAATACTGCTCCAAGGGTCGACCCATAATAGCTCGAAAGCGATATGCCGAAAAGGCTCCAGGAAGAACGGTGACATAACCAAAGGCGCTCTCCAGGGGTTTGTCCAAGACATTCGATATTTTGTATTCGAAGTTTTGAACAGCCACGATAGGGTTCAGCAACTTCTTCCCTCGTTTGCCTGGACGATATGTCAGCATTGATCAAGGGAACGAACCGGCGTTTCAAACCCACCGAGCATAGCATGGATCTCGCCACACGCGCCGCCGAGGTGCTTGTCATTGTAGAAGCCTTCCCAGAGTGAGAGCAACGCGCGAGGACCAGGTTTTGTGCCAGCATCGATTAGGATCACGACCTCAGGATTCAGGACTGCAAGATCTTCAGTCAGCAATTGCCCTCTATCATTACGTAGGCGGGTGGGTATTCAGGATTCCTTCAAGGCTGAGTCGTTTCGCAGGAGTGAATCCGTCCTGGACGGGAGAAACCTCCCGAGACATGACAAAAAGGGAAATAATAAACAAGTGGAGAAGCTACTCACTGCGACCAAACGCGTTGAACAGCCAACGGTGAGAGTTGATTTTCTTGCTGTTCTTTTGCTTCAGGCAGAATATCATCTGTGCGGGTGGCAGGCACTTCGGGTCGTCAGCCTTCGCGGTGGGCTGTACAAGCTGCTGTTCGGGCGTGATTGAGAGTTGGGTCGTAAATTCGAAGACGTGGGCTGTTGCGTCTTTGCCGTCTACATCCTTCTTGAGAACACCGTCCTGGTACACGCCGAGTGTTCCAAGAACATCCAGGACATTCTTGTCGGCCTTCTCCACGCCGTCAAAGATCATACACACGACGATCTTCTCCCAAGGTAAACCGTTTTTGTTCCAGAAGGTCGACTTTCGCAGGTTGACGATATCACGAATATTTTGCATCACTCCGTGCATCGTCCGAGCAAATAGGACCTTATCCTCGTTGTAGTACGTGATGGCGATCAGAAGCTCAGTATGACGGTTGTACATGCGCGGGCGCAAGTCATATCCGTTGAGTAGGGTGAAGTCGTTGGGGTCGCAAGTGGCCGTCGTGTACCGCATCTGTGAGAATTCCTCCAGGCCGCGGTACTGGGGCTGCGTGGCATTGCGAACGGCCGAGGGAACCGGGTAGTCGACGCTGAGAACTGAGCCTTGGGGACCCTGGGCGAGCTTGATCTTGCGGGTAGGGCGGCGCTTGAGGCCTCCACCGCTGAGATCGTTCACTTGAGGCTGCTGTCTCTGTTCCCAAGTCTCGTTTGCGTTTGAATCGAAAAAGCCACTCGGGGGTCTGCTGAAGCGGAAGTTGTCGTTGTAGCTACCTGACGAATAGCTAGGGTGGTCAAACTCGTCATGGCCCTCAGTCACAGACTCATCAGTGGGCAGGCCATAGGCCGCGTGAGTTGGGGCATTCAAGCTGTAGTCAGACGGGGAAGTAAGATTTGAACGAATGGCGGCCCCGTCGTGATCGTAGGGCGGTTGCGACGCATCGTGCTCATCGTACGAGTGACGACTTGTGAGAGTGAGACGGTCCTGTACAGGTCAGCTCAGCTCGGCGCCTCACTTGATGATGGCAACAGTGGCCAAGCTGGACGGACTCACAGTCGATGCTCTGGAGACGTCTCGCAGCTCGTAGCCTCTGGCGTACGGCTGGCCTTTGTCGGTAGGGTCCATTCTGTACTGTTACTTTCGGTGGTCCCTCTCTCTTTGTCTCTCTCACCTAAGGGCGTGTGGGTCTTGGGATTCCCTCTGGTTGTGAGAAAGCGACGCAGAAATACCTCGCTGCCGGAATGGTGTTTACAGAAAGGAAGATGCGAAAGACCAAACAGACATGTGAAAGTAGCACATGAGCGGGGGCAGCAGGCTAAAGAACAGATTGGAGACTGGGAAAGAGGGCGAGAAACAAAAATAGAAGGGCAAAAAGACAGGATGAAACGACGGTCGAAGGATGTGTGAGCTGGCCCATCGGAACATCTGGGAACAACAGGAATCGGGAATGACGACACAGCCAACACGAGACCCGAAACCGTGGCTCAGGTGGCTACAGTGCCTACCACTGCCTAGTCGACCCACGCAGCGCATGATCCAATCCTTGTGATATGAAAATCAATTAAATTCTGTGGTCTGCCCAGTGCCAGACTATGCCAGACTCCAGAGTAATGCCAGCGCATGGGGCCATGGGCAGGTCGTGGACCCCGTGGTAGGCTCGGACAACGCGGGTTCTGGACAAGCACTGTCCTGTCACGCCTCTGACGCCTCTGACGCCTGCCGCGGGAATGCATACACGACTGACACGACTCGTGGCAGTGTGGAAACCTGCAGACATTGCAGACATGCAGGCAGACATGGAACTTGCTGGTAGGCTATTGCGGCTGTGAGCGCCGTGCGACCGCGATGATCCTGTTTCTGATCTTCCCTGTCATAGAATGAGTGGCAGACTGTGGCAGAACTGCCCAGGTGAGCAGGTGAGAATTTGAAAAAAAGCAAGGAGCAAATACGGGGTCACCCAAGTCACCCAAGGGCCAAATACGAGATCGAGAATAGAAAAAGAGCGGGCTCGGATACGCGGCGCCCCAACGGCATCCCGGCCAAAAGCAGGCTAAGCAAGCCAAGCCCAAACGGCCAGCCAGTGCCAGCCACTCAGCTGCCACCCAGCTAGCGCCCCAAGCACGGATTCCGCTGATCTCTTCCCGCTCCCCCCATGCCCCCAACGCGATCGCCTCGTTTTTATTACCAACCTGAACTATTACATAATGAATAAACCGCCAAGATTTAAGTACCCGGGTTATGCGAGCTAGAAACCTGCATTAAACGCCCCCTACCATAATACCATCGGGTCGGAAAGCGTGTTGGCCTTTTCATTGGAGAAGGGGTTTATGTGCGGGGACCTTGGGAATGCCATGGTGAACCTTAACCTCACAGTCGGAGACCCGTGGACGACGGACAACTTGTTCAGAGGGATTCAATGCCAGCGGAATCTCATGATGGCGTCGGCAGAGATGGAATCCCGGGACCTGGAAGAGCCCAAGCAGCTTCTCCAGGGTGACATATGTGCGACGAACGTGGAAATATAACCTCCGGGGGGCAACGTTCGAAATGCCTAGATCCTATCTGACAGCAGTCCGTCCTCTTCGAAGCCCGAGAGTGGGCTATGCACGACAACAACAAAAACAAAAACCACCCGCAGAAACCAGAAGCCACCTTCTAAACCCCCCGTCAAAGCGCGGCGGCTTGAGTCGCTCCGGTAGCCTCTCGACCACGTCGACGACCATGAGGTCTTCATCGACCCACCGTCCGCCTTCGACTACGGCTACGGCTACAACATCGGGTTCGTAGGGCGGTGGTTCTACGCCACCTTGCACCTGACGATTCTGGACTACGCGCTCGTCATGTTCCGGCGACGACGACTGATGGATCGTCAGACATGTGGTCGGTCATCCATCCTGCCCGGCGCGACGATCGACGAGGGCACCACCGTCGCGGTCAGCTCGGTCTTGACGAGGGACATCCTGGCTTGTAGTGTCGATATCGGGGCCCCCGGCCCGGGTTTAGTGATTCGAGATTTGGGATGCAGATCCGATCATCGACCTGGTAGGTATCCGTACGTCCAGAACTCGAAGCCGCAACATCGCGGGCGGTTGGCAATTCCAAGACCAGCATTGGCTTATCGACCAGGCCATGGAAAAGCATGCATGGGAAGGAGGGAGTGTATCTGTCGAGAAGTCTTGATGGCCAATACTCCGTCCGTGGGTCTCTTTAACAGCAAGCATCTCTAAATCCCGATCAAGTCTTGGTTGCTCGGACCTGAAAGAAAGTCAACGATCCAGGGGCCTTGGGTATTTCACGGTATATTACTCGGCCGAGTAGTTCATATCTGATCGGTACTTAATAGTTTGCTTTCGAAGTCATTTCAGGCATCAGTTGATCTGTAGGTCGTAGACAGGCGCCTCTCTGGCTTCTATTTGTGTGTCGTACTACCCCCAACGAAACAAGTCATATCTAATAATACATGGCCGAAGTGAATTATTTCCATAGGTTCCTTCCATTTTTCGAGTACCGCATGAAAAATCGAAAGAGTGTAAAGTCATCGTGTTCGCGGCACCGTGTTTTGTAAGGGGTAGGGGGTGTAGTGTGTGCATTGTGAAGGTGAAGCAATCCAAAATCCAAAATTCTCGCCCATCATCGTCCTATCTTCCCGGCCCCGACCCATCTCAATCCAGGCTCATCACCTCGCCAGTCTCAATGGCCCGTTGATGCTTATCGAGTGCTTCGCTAAAATTCTTGATAGCATTGATGATCTGGCGTGTCACATCTCTGAGCTCTCCAGAAGATGGCAAGACCTTGACAGTGGCCCAAAGCTTATGGACATCCATGTGCAACTCAGCGGCGCGGCCTTTTGCGAGACCCACGGTTTTCTTCCAATCATCGTCGTCTGTCGTCGGGGGACCTGTGTCCTTGTTCGTATCCTTGTGACTGGTACCCTTAGATGGGCCCGAGGCTTGGAGTGGCGTCGTCATGTTATGGACCGCGGCGTCGTCATCAGAACTGTGAAGATGGTATCAGCCAAATGGGGTGCAGACAGCAGAACATTTCTGTCTGGGTTCGGACAGAATCAAATGGAAACAACATATACTTACTCTGTTTTGACTTTCTTCAAGCCTGTCGTATAATTCGAGGCCACAGCATATAGCTTGCGCTTTACCTTGATGTCCACAATGCGGCCGAAGTTGGCCCCGTCGTTCGTAAGAACGTTATCGTACCCATCAAGGTTCAATGCCTTGAGGAGGGACGCGATTTCCTTGCGGTTTTCAGGGCCGTGTGTCTTGACATGTTTCTTAAACAGGTCATTTTGCTCTTCGGTGAACTAAAACCGCGGGGAGTTCGGGGTATGCTCCTTCACCGGCACCCCAAATACCACGTCGCTTCCCTTTCCGGCCTTGTTCGCCTTGGGTTTGCTAGGAGGCATTGTTCAGGCAGCGTGTCGCTTTTAGTGACCGGAGAGCGCGATGTTGGTTGTAGTTTTGTAGTTTTGTAGTTTTGGGTTTGTCGTCTTGCCCCTGGCACATTAAGGGGAGGTGTGTGCAAAGTGGGAGGTTCAATACTAAGATTTGATTGATATTTGAAGATGAGAAGACAAGAAATATTGAGAAGCAAGAGAGCTATACTTATATACTGAGAGCCTGGCCCCGGTTCCCTCCATGCAGCTTCTGGATATCTCAGCGAACGCAGATGCCAGGCTCAAGAACTTTCCATCATCTGAAACTCCGTACCACGAAGGAACACACTCTGTAGTTCCATGTAGACCATGCGAATGTTCTTGGTCAGTCTAAGAGACTCATATATTGCACACTGGATGGGTCGTTTGGCCATCGATGGTAGATCGCAAGACTTGACAACATCACGCAACAAAGATGTTGCACCACTCCCAACTTTGGTGCTGCCCATAGTGGACTGGGCGAAACAGCAGAGTAATAAGAAGTTCACGCTGAGAAATTGCTCTAGTGGAAAACACTAGACGCCATCAGATGGGTAGATCAGCCAAGATCATTGGACCCAAGCCCTTTCTATGATGTTCGGTATCGTCTGCCGTAGCTGCAGAACTTCAAACAAAGCTCAAGATGAATCTAAAAGTCAGTGTAGGGAAAGCAGGATCGGTCACAACCACTTCATGGCCGACATCCAGTCCCAGGTCTTGTTGTAATGTCTTCTCCAAGTTTGGTCGTGTCTGCTCCTCAATACTTGGAGGGAATTGCATGTAGAGTGTCTTGCCCTCTGCTCGAATTGACGGCTTCTTTAGTTGCAAATCTGCCTTTAGTGCAAAAGAATCTAGAAGTTCTTTCAGAGTCATCTTGGGGTCTACCTGCAAGGGCTTGGCGACCTCCCCACACACGGTGCAGTCGGGTTTCTTGTCGTACTTGAATGTGGAGGTGTAGATGCTGTCATCGCCAGAGTACATCATGTAACTCTCTTCGAAACCAAGAGCTGGGGCGGCAGTTGTGGCGATTTTCAGAGCCTCATTGCAACAACTTGCGGCGATGATAGCATTGGTTGAGGCAATAGCGGGGATGATGTTCTTGACCACGCCTTGTGTGAGTGAGTAGGTCACCCCAGATATTCCAAACTCCTGCGCCCGCGCAGAGGCCTTCTGGTATAGCCAGGTGATGTGCTCCGGGTCGTCTTTGTCCAGGTTCGGGAATGGTTTCTGCTCTTCCCATGCGATGATATGGGCCCATTCTATGCAGTGCTCTGGTTGTCGCGGAATGGTCGCCAGAGTACAGAGAGGTACCGCGGCTCTCGGAGTGTAGAGATCTAGTTGACACTCAATGCATGGTGTCAAGGTGGGAAAGATGACACGGGTCTGTCCCTTGAAACCTGTATTTAGTCAATCGACTGAACCTCCCCCGGGGCCAGATGCAATCAGAATGCTCACCTTCGGTACCTCCGTCAATCAGAGGCTTCAAGGAGTCTTGGTCCTCCATGTCCACCATGTTGACCAACATGGCATTGATCCATCGCCGTGCTTCGATGCTGTCGAGACCGCAAACGACAATCTGGAATTGCATGTAGAAATCCTCGTTGAAGTCTTGTATCCGGCCGTTATGTGCGGTGATCTTGGTACCTTTGACTCGCTTTTCGACGAAGGCCGCGGCGACTTCGGCCTTGAACTTTCCCACATCGTCTTGTCGGAAGAGGAACTGTCGGTTGAGGTTCGAAATGTCAATGGTATCTGGCGAAGAGGGCAAGTGGGTTAGTCGCAGAGGATCGACGGAGAGGGTGCATCCTAAGACGTACCCATATCAATGACATGAATGTCTTTGAACCTGGAGAGGGCCAGATCCTTGAGGATCTCACAGCCTAGGCCACCAGCGCCGATGACCAGTATCTTGGCCTTGTCCTGGGCGGCCAGGGCCTCGTCACCAACGTCGGAGTCCTGGTTGAAGGGACCTGGATTCCGACGTATCTTGTCCAAATACTGCCATCGCGAAGGCCCGGTACTGGCTGCCGTGGTCGCCATTTTGCGGGATCTCTTCGTGCGCAAGTCGCTGCGGGTTGGTTGTCGTTGGTTTGGAGGTTATGACAGTGGAAGGAAGCAGCAGCTACAAACAAACAGCTGGTGACGTTGGCTCGCAGCCCCACGTAGATGGAAAGCACCCCATATCTATCGGATATATGTATCGACCGCGGCGCTAATGGTGGGGTGTATGTACATAGGCAGCTAGCTGTTCGAGCTGCTAAGCTCGTTGAATGCATATCCGATTGATCGTCGCGACTCACATACCTTATTAGGTACATGTAGTACCTCCAGCTTGAAGCTTCAAATCATTCCCTCCTGCCCTCAAGCGTATGCCTCCCAGCCTGACGACCAAAACGCAAGGGAACTTGAGAAGCCCACATCGATCCTACATTGGTCATGTGAGGATCAGTTATTATTTTAAGACTGCCAGGAAGTTTATCAAGTCTGACGGGCGCCTCGTCTGGCCAGCATGGCAGACTTACTCACCCCTGTGAGCCAAACATACCGCAAACAAGCCCACAACGAGGAATTCTTGAGCGTTTCCAAGCCCGCCGAGCCTGCTACAGCACCGACGCTTGAGTTCAATGGTACATCACCTGAGGAAGCGCTTGAAGTACTCAAGAGCCAACCGAGCTATGATACACTCTTGTGTGTCTTGAAGTACCTGCAAAAAGGGACGAGGGGCAAGCAAGCATTCGACATCCGGATACCAGGACCCCGCTGTGCTCAAATTATACACGTCTTGGTTACAGAGATCGTCCCAAATTACTCGACGCTTCTGAGGGAATCTTCAGAGGGCCAGAGCGGAGGCGCTCTCGATGTGCTGCTGGCATGTCTAACGAGCCTGACAGGTATCAATGCCGCGCTTACATACATACGAGCTCTGACACGTGAGGCAAAGTCGGATCCCAAGGGTTTCAAGAACCCCCATGTTGTCTTCAACTTGAGCTTTACTTTAGATTTGCTCGGCAGGCTTCTGCAAGCTGACGGGGGTTTGAAGCAATTGTGGAGCAGCATCAGCCCAGTAGACAACGCCGTTCAAGTTCGGCCTATGCGACAGGAGTTCATTTCGTTACTGGCAAGTGGGAGAATCTCATCGTTCTCCGCAGAGGCCGAAGACCTGTGTCGGCAACAAAGCAAGCTCGACGAGGAAGTCTGGGTGGCTAACGGCAAGCGGTACGTTGACTGGCTTGGTCACGGTCTAGTCACATGGATTCGACATGGGGTCAGCGAGGAAGACATCAAGCTAGCTGCAGAAGTTGCAGCGCGGGCAATGAGGCTGCCCCATTCTGGTAACACCCTTACGCCTTGTGTGGTACACGTTTGGTGACTTCTGCTAACAGGGTGTAGAAAACTTGATCAAGACGCTGTTCACTGAACTACTTCTCCGAGGTGCAGGTAACCAGACGACATTTGGGGAGCTTCTTGGCTACTTCCCGCCACTACAACAGAGAAAGGTTCTCCTCATAATATTGAAACTGCTTTCCAATTTATACCTCGGCTCCGCGGATAGCAGTGAAGGGACAGATGATGATCCCATTATATCAGCTGTAGCTGGTGCATTGAGAGACGTGATAGCCAAGGACGAGAATCAGAAGGATTACCTCATTAGTTGGCTCACCGGCGCCTCCGGGGCTGGACTAGGAGAGAGCTGTGGTATTCGACGGGCGGCCGTTGCTGTCTTGGCAGATGACAAAGTGGCCATCTCAACGGTTCTTGAGAAAAGCCTGAACCAGTTTGGCGATCAGCTGTATATTAGGCATTCTCCAATGCTTCAGCAAGAGGGTAAGCGGTGGGTGTCGTCCCCAAATCATGACTCTGAAGCTAATTGTAATCACAGCCCATGCGCAAGTGCTACTGCTCAGCGCTGGATATACTCACAGGATTGCACCAATAAAGCTTACAGTTCTGCTGCGGTCCAGCGCATATCTCAATACGGTCTCCAATCGGATCGCTGCATCCCAAGGCCGTGGCCGCTTTCTCGGAATGGTGGTTGGCGAAGCGCTATCGGGACTCGTTCACGGAAAGGAGACGAAACTAGACTTCAAGATGGACGAGCTCGATACCTCAGAAGCGAAGTGGTACAAGGCTTTGGTTCATGTGTCTGACAAGATTGGACCACTAAATCCTCTCCGGGCATTGCTTTCCCCGTCAACCACGAGCAAGGCACCTAGACCAGCTAAGCAGGCTGAGAAAGTAGCACCAAAACTCAGCAGAGCCCCTCGACAGTCGGGTTTCGCCATTGAAGAAATCAAAGATGATGAAGAGCAGGATGACCCAGAACTAATACCATACGCAAAGCCCGACTCCGATGCAGAAGATTCAGATGACGACCCTACTCTAATAAGTCGAGATAAGCCTAAGGCCCCTGTGTACATCAGGGATCTCATCAGCTATCTACGAGACACAGAGACGTACGACAAGCAGAAACTGGCTCTAGCAACAGCGCCTACTCTTATCCGTCGCAAAGCCACATATGGCACTGAAGTTACTTCACATGCGGAAGAGCTTGCAGCACTGCTCGTGGGTCTTCAAGACAAATTTGACCTCGATGCATTCCATGATCAGCGCTTACAAGGTATGATTGCCATCGTCGTCGCGCAGCCAAAGAAAATGGGTCAGTGGTTTGCCAAAACATTCTTCGACGGCGATTACTCGTTCTCGCAGCGAGCATCCATCCTCATCGTCCTTGGCCTGAGCGGCAGGGAGATAGCTGGCTTCGAGACTTCAGAGTACGCCACCGCTGCCCAGTTCCCTTCCAAGGCACTTCCGACTAGAGTCGAAAAGCATTACATACCACCCTCCTCATCATCCACAGGCAGGCTCCAAACGCCGGGCTCCAACTTGAAAGCCCTCCCACCCAATGCGGTAGACAAGCTTGCGCAGTCGCTCTCGCAGACTTTCCTTGCGCCCCTCGCAGCTGAAGCAGCCGATGCAGCAACAGGACCCGACGCGCTGAAGCTCTCCTCCTTCACCTCGCGTCTGAACGCCCAGTCTTCGAATTCTTCTAAGGGAGGCAGCAAAGCAAGAACCCGTGGCGTCCGCTCCATTCCCAACACGACAGCCTCGCTGATCGCATCCTCTTTCTTCTTCCCGCTGACATCGCGGTTCCAGGCCGCCATGGCGTCCTCGTCGCGTGAGATTATCTTCCAACCATATCTCTTGGCTGTCTACCTCAAGACGCTGGCCCTCCTCCTGCATGCCGCAGGCCCCAGCACGCTAGCACTCCCTCAGATGACAGCCGAGCTCTGGGACCTGCTGCTGGGTGTACGGGCGCAGTGCCTCGGCGAGCAGGGCGTCACGCAGGCTGTGCTGTTCGCACTGATCGCGTTGTTAGATGTCAACGAGGGTGACATGCGCGGGCTGTGCGAGAGGCAGGGCCGTGAGGTGGTCGAGAGTATGGAGTGGGTTGGTGGCGTGTTCAACAACACCCGCGGAGGCGACGCTGGCGGTGATGGAGAGGAAAATGAGGTCAAGATGCTGGCGGCTGGCGTGCTGATCCGACTGCGCGAGGCGGTCGACAAGTACCAGGCTGTGCTTATGGGCGACCTGATCGGCCTCACTTAGTCGCGTCGTTGAGGAGCCATGGGGAAAAGGTATATGGGCGCACTTCGATATGATGGACCCTTTGGTACCGAGGCCTTTCGTCTCCTATGTAGAGATCAAAAGTTTGCCTGACGCTGACCTTCTTCCTCGTCGAGGTGCCTGCCTGCCTCACCCTCGTTCTGCTGTTTCTTTCGTCGTTCTGCTGCGGCAAGTAGGTGCGTTGCTTTACTACTCAGTCGTGGACAATACATCTAATGTTGTATGTGACCAATAGTAAGCCGTACCTGTACTCATGCGTTAAGCACAACGCTTGCACATGTAAAAGTAGGTACTCCAGGGTATAGTCAGGAGTGCTATGCGAAAGCAGGGCGTGTGCGGGATGGAACCCCTATTTCCGTGATGTCAAATCGCACTCCCAGCCAGCCACGAATCAATCACAGCTTTAAACCATCGGGGTCCCCAAGTCTGCGATCCCTTCTTACCAAAGCTATCCCGACCTCGTTGACCGCCCAGCATACGCAGCACCAATCACACCGGTCACCCTGGTGGTAGCAGCAACAGCAGCAGCAGCACGGTGTCACCCAAGCACATATGGCTATGTCTCATAGGCCGTATCGTATACGACTAGATATTGACTGGTAGCCACAAGTTTTTGCTGCATCTGCGGTAGCTTGGTTTCCATCCGGCTTGGCTGTGAAAGTGTCATCTGGTTGGCCGAGCTCAGTCAGCACAGTAACATGGAGAAGCCGATCATATGTTGTCAAAACTATAAGCAACAAATCGCGCGGGCATAAACTCCCATTGGCTCGCTGGTTTTCACCTTTGTTCTTGACGGCTAACCACCACACACCTGGCTGGTCACGGGCGCCTCCTCGAGCTTCGGCAAGTTCGATTACTTGCGCGGCTCTCCAAGAGGGGCCCCATTACGCGCTGATTATGCCTTGCCGGCGCTTTTCTGGTTGCCGTTCAACAAGCCTTGCCTCATATTCAGAGATGGACCCGGCGATGGTTGGCGTCGAGAATTCGTTGGCTAGCCATTTGACACAGCTTCTTCTGCAGCGCTGCTTGTGACCCTACCGAAGTTTTGCAATGGGCATGACGGGTCCAAAAAAATCGAGCCGAGGGAAGTCTTCGGTTGGAACTGTGAAACCCCATTTCAGGAATGATGATGGAACCTATCCACCTTATGTCTCGTTGATGGCACGGAGGGCTCACGATCCAGTAAAGCTCGTCCCTCTCTTATTCCCCTTCTCTCTCTTTTTTATTACCTTTTCTGAATTAGCGCTTCCACAGGTCTCGGATCTCCGGTCCGCCATTCGAAAGGCGCGGGTGGTAAGACATACCGAGAAAAGTGGTGGCGTCGGGTAGTTGTAAGCCTACGCACGAAGCTGAGTCAAAGTGGCAGCCCTCATTCAGGTGGCTTTTTCAACGCTATACCCAATACGAATCCGTAATCACGCAAAGATCGAAGACTCGAAGCCCCTTGGCATACACTCGGCGGCTATAAAAGCCCCATAAGGCATGAGAAAATGGGATTTTAGGGAATCTGCTGAATCTCCCATCCAAGGGAAGGAGCATATACTAACCAGCGACTTATCGTTCAATTGTGACGCGTATCAGCAAGTCATAAGCTGTACCAGCGCTCAACGAGCAAGGTTCACCCTTGGAATGTCAAGGATATGGCGAGATGTACGGCAGTAAGAATGTGTCCTTGGCAGATGAATCACGGCTTTCCAGTGAGAGTACGTATGTGAGCGGCAATCGCTGGAGACTTTCAGCTTGCCTGTGTTATTATTATCCAGGTCTTCGACCGCAAGGGAGGAGCCAAATCCAAATGCCCCAAAATATAACAACAAGCAGAGCCCCCGTACTGTACGCAAAGTCGAACGGAATAGAACGCCACAAATCATCGCCATTCACAATCTGCCACGTACTTGGCTGAATACAGGATGGGACCCTTCTACTTCATTGCCGCGTTGGGCGCCGGTGTCCTATCCCACCTTGCCTTTTTCCGCGTTGGCGAGCATCACCTTCACGGCATGCAATATGCCCTGACGACTATTGCAGCTTGCATCGTTTCTATCTATGTACCACACTACTTCTTCCATACCTCCATCTCGACCTCCGCTTCCAGCACCCTGGCTCTAGCATCTTGCTACTTCACTGGTCTCTATGCTAGCCTTATCATATTTCGGATCTTCTTCCACCCGCTCAAGAATTTTCCGGGTCCTCTGGGATGCAAGATCTCCAGTGCGTGGTTTGCAACCTACCTGTTAAAGCTGGACGCGTTCCGTCAACTCCAAAAACTGCATCAGAAGAACGGCCCCTTCCTACGAATCGGCTCCAATGACTTGTCCATTGCTCACCCTCAGGCTATCCAGGCTGTGTACGGTCTCGGTACCAGATGCCGCAAGGCAGCCTGGTACGATCTGTCATATCCAATGGTGTCACTGCAAACCACACGGGACAACGCCTTGCACGGGAGACGACGGCGGCTTTGGAGCTCAGCCTTTGGCGAAAGGAACCTGCGAGACTATGAAAAGCGCACCAGTCATTACCGGGAGCTTCTAATCAATGCCATCGAGAAGTCAGAAAGTCGACCCATGGACGTGGCCAAGTGGTTCAACCTATTCACCTTCGACGTCATGGGCGACTTGGCCTTTGGGAACTCATTCCAGATGCTTGAGACCAGCAAGGAACACCGAGCAATCAAGCTGCTCAACTCGGGCCTCACAGGTCTGGGCTTCAAGTTGCCCATGTGGTTCTTCCGCGTCATGATTGGCATCCCCGGTTTGGCCAGGGACTGGTGGGGGTTTATGAAATACTGTGTTCAGCAGCTTGAAAATCGCATGAAGGTTAGTTGGACCAGAACACACCTCTGCCAGCCTTTCACCATCTGACAGAACCCAAAGACAAAGGTGGACACGCCAGACATAATGAGCTGCCTTCTGAAGCCTTCGCGAAATAAGAGACCAACTGGTCTTGATCGTACCTTGCTCGAGGGCGACTCGCAGCTCATCGTAGTTGCTGGAAGGTAAGCAACGCGCCACCATCCTGCCGCAGAGTCTAGTCTAACGGGCCGCGTCACCGCGCATTAGTGACACGACATCTACCACGCTGACGAATATCTTCCGGTACCTGGCAGAGCAACCTGATCAGGTCGATCATCTACGCGCCGAGATTGACAAGCTGCCACGGTCAGAGCTTGGGGACTATGTTCCCACCGACTTGGCGGATCTGAAGCATCTCAATGGAACGGTCAACGAGTCTCTGCGACTCTATCCACCTGTGCCAACAGCACTTCCACGCCTCACTCCTCTAGAGGGCCTGACTATAGACGGCACCTTCATTCCGGGCAACGTTACCGTGTACTGTCCTCAATATGTCCTCGGTCGAAGTAGGTCACCCTACTCTCTCTTCCTTTTTCCGCTCGGACGTAGCTAAAGATGATCCAAGGCCCGGAATGCTATATCCGCCCCGACGAATTAATCCCCGAGCGATGGTATTCACTCCCCGAGCTGCTCAAGGACGACGCGGGCTTCGCTCCGTTTTCTGCAGGCCACTACGGCTGTATTGCCAAGCCTCTAGCTCTGCTCAATGTCCGAGGGACGGTTGCGCGGATTGTCGCCGATTACGACGTTCAAGTCGCACCAGGCCAGAGCCTGGCAGAGTATGACCTGGGGATGACGGAACACTTTACTCTGGCGCCTCCGCCACTGAACCTTTGCTTTACCAAGCGCGTACGATCAGAATGATAGGACCATCCTGGATCATAGGTAATCTGGCATGTTCACAAGAGCCGTTCAAACGGGAGTGATGCGAGAAGCGGGCTCCTAAGCTGTGAGAAAGTGATGTATTAGAGCATGGATTGGGGGTTAGCACTGTGGGTGCTGTAGTGAAGGCCACAGTGCGCTGAACAATGGATAGGGGTCAAGATAGGAGGTGGCATTAGCTGCCCCTGCACCAAAAAGAGCCATTCAAGTCGTCGCCTCGGCTAGTTCCGCCTATGTAGGTAGGGTTCCTCTCTGCTTCCACTTCAGCACAGATCAAGGCAACATCTCTATAGAAGACGATGGCCATACTTGTTAGCGATATCATGGAGCGACTGTGGGCCGTGATCATGTTTCCAGGCAGAACATCGAAGCGGGCCAGCAATCAATCATAGCCAACCTTATTTATGGCAGCAAGCATTAGCGCCATGTTTTAGTATGGTTCGACCTCTAGTTATATGAGGCGACTGCTCGCCGCCTCTCATTTCCAGGGGTCATTTCCCCACCCACTTTACACTTATAAGTTATGATACGACTACCGTCTCTCCCACAGCTGCCTGACGTTATCAATTTGCCGGTTGGAGTACAGGACTACCTATATATTATCAGTCGGTACCATCTAGATAGCAGTGAACCCGAACTTCCAATGTCATCGAAGAGACTCGAGGCACGTTGAAGATGGTCAAGGTGCTCTTCGGCAGATGTTGAATAAATGACGATATCGTTAATATACGCGGTCGCGAAGTTAGCGAACTTTGCCAACTTCCTGTCCATAATATTCGAGCGTGGCCTGGGCTGTTTCTGAAGCCCACGGGGCTACGTGGACACCCCGAGGCCTCGTGGAGATATGATGACCATTCGCTTCCTATGTACCACGACGGCAGATATCACCCCGTCGCCAGCACCTCTCTCCCTCTCGAAGATATTCACAGCCGAGATTGAGCCTTCCAAAGCAACGACCGAAGTACCGCCGCCCCCTGCTCGTACGGCGGTCACCAAGCGCAAGGAGGTCGTCACACCCGCTTCCCACCAACAGACTGCCTTTGGGAACAATTCACGCAAAGCACGACTCATCAGAGAGCATCTGGGGCCAATGGCCAGCGAGACGAAGCCTCTGTCGAAGTCTCCGTCGAAGCCGGTGTCGAAGCCTCTATCGGAGCCTGTGCGTGGATAAACTGGAAGTTGTTGGAAGAACTTGGAGCCATCGACGACGGTGATATGCATGCACCTGTGTAGCTTCGCGATGGCAGTTTCCTGCGTAGGTACCATCCCCCCCCCCTACACCTCGTACACCCCCACATCTCGTACAGCAAAACCCCACCACCACCACCTAAACACTATATGTTCACTTATACGCTTTCAGCCCGACATTGAAGCTATTCAGAATGTATTTAGTGCTCTAGGTAGCCCTGATCCTAAGGTTTAATCCAATATAGAATTTACCCCGCGCGACCTACGTGGTTGGCTGTCTATTACTCCGCGTTTCCTACCCCGAATAGAGATTTTCGGGTGCTGGAGCCTTGTCTGAAGCCTTATTCTGTATGCACCGCAGCATCGTATAGCCGCCTAAAATGCCTCCCAAACCGTATACAGAGGATCAGGTGGCAAATGCCATCTTAGATATCACGAATAAGGGCCTTTCACTGCGAAAAAGCGCTCAAAAACACGGCGTCCCTGTTACAACGCTCTCTGACTGACTTAACGGCAAGCCCTCAAAAAGCGAAGGCCATATACACCAACAGAGACTCTCCCCTGCTCAACAAAGCACTATAGTCAACTGGATTTTGCGTTAGGAGAAGCTAGGACTAGCCCCTTCGCACTCCCTGGTGCGTGAGATCATCGTGAAGGTGTTGAAAAAGAACGGAGATTCAGGCCCCCTTGGAGACCATTTCATAACCAGCTTCAAGCGCCACAACTCCCAAATAAAGACCAAAATTGGCAAAAGGATGTATTCAGCGCGCTTTAAGGGCTTCACGCCAAAGGCAGTTAACTGGTTCTTTGAAATCTTAGAGGATTACGGCTGGGTCAAGCCAGAAAATACGTATAATATCGATAAGGGCGGCATCATGGCGGGTTTTGGTAACTATAACTAACCCTTTAAGTATACAGAAATTCTAATTAGCTTTATAAGCATTGATTTTTTGATTTTAGGTAGTTCTGTTACTAAGAAGGCCTTCTTAAAAAGCCCTCAAAGCCGTAGCTGGACCTCCTTTATCGAGGCCATTTCTGCAACTGGAAAAATCCCCAAACCAGGTATTATTTTCAAGGGGAAGGACCTCCAGGCCCAGTGGTTCATTGAGGAGTTTCGGAAGACCGCCAATTAGTATTATATAGGCACAGAAAACGGCTGGACTTCGAATAACATAGCCTGCCAGTGACTAGAAGATGTCTTCATCCCATAAATAGACGAGATATGAGGAAAAGATCAGACTGAGCCTATTCTTTGAATACTAGATGGCCATGGTAGCCATACCTCCCTCTGTACGTATATGATTTTTCTTATCTAATATAGACTTTCTTTATTTCTTTCTTGATTTAATAAGGGCTAACATATGTTGTAAGGACGAATTCATGACTACTTGTTATTTTGCCAATATATTGCTCTGTTTCTTCCCTGCGCACACTAGTCACAACATGCAACCCCTAGATAACGGGCCCTATAACGCCTTGAAGGCTCACTACCAGAAATTCCTCTCAGCTAAATCCTCTAATGGATGCCTCGCCTGTTAACAAGATCAATTTTATTCGGTGCTATAGCCAGGCCAGAACTACTGCTTTTATTAAGGTAAACATCCTCTCTGGCTTCAGAACGACTGGATATTATCTTATCAGCCGCAGGAAGTGCTTAGCGCATCCATAAATCCAGGAAGAGAAGCAGAAGACCCCTGAGCCTGAGACCCCTGAAAGCTCTGAACCAGAGGACCAACGGACCCCTATTACGAGCCGCCAGATCATGAATTTTGGCAAAAATAAGTCTCTTGGCACCCGGCTGAAGTACAGGAAGATAGCCACTGCGTTCGAGACTAAGAAGACTGACCTTGTTATCAAGGACAGGAAGATCAAGGCCCTGAAGGCTGAACTGGAGCGGCTACAGCCAAAGAAGCGGCAAAAGATCCCTAATCCTAACAAGAAGTTCAGAATAGTCACGGAGGTACTAAGTATGGGTGGTAACATCACCCCTGGTGCCTCTGCGAATGTACCAGACGTTGTGGTTGATAATGACGAGGAAGAAGAAGAAGAAGACGAAGACTCGGCTGAAGAGGCCGCTTTGGAGGCCATATATGAGCTTAGGCAGACCCATTCGGGACGATCCATTCGGGCGCCCACTAGATATTACGAATGAGCAGCTTCTGCGCTCTCGAATGATAATTTTGCTGAATTCCTCTGACCTGAATGACTTCTTTTACATGTGGGTGAAGAAGGGGTGGTTTTGGTGGTGGTGGTGGGGTTTTGCCGTACGAGATGTGGGGGTGTACGAGATGTGGGGGGGGGGGGGGGGGGGGGGGGGGGGATGGTAAAGGAAATGGCAAACCGTTACCGCGCCAAGCTGAGCGGGCATGAGGTACACCGAATCAAGACCGCTCAACGACAGTCATGCAGGTTTTGGAACTGCCAATGGCATGGCAGAAGGAAACAGTGACAATTTGTATGTCCCACGTTATGATCTTGAGGCTTCTCCCACTGTCGATTGCGACCTTCTGGCTCATTTCTGGCCTGGTGGAAGTTGCTGGGTAGGGAAAGGAGGCGCAGCCTCGACCACACGTTTGAGTTCTTCGTGGGATGGTGGGCACTACCTAATACAAGGGAAAAGTAACCTTGTTCACATCACTGAGATCGTACTGAAAGTAACCAGTGGTAAAAGCACCTCTTCTTCCATTATTCCGCCTCCTAGGTTGCTTATTACCCCAGTTTAAATCATGCTTATACTGTTTTTTATTTTTGCCCCATTTTCAACTTAGTGGGCTCCGTCGCTCATCTGTTCCCAGCGCCAAAGGGCCAATACCCGTAGGGCAGGAAGAAACCGACACCAGGCCGAATCTTCGTGGAAGGGGACGATGGGGAGTGCATATCTTACGAGATACAGGTGCTGCTGCAACGACGCATCTCGACCTAGCACATCCACAGCTGCGATACTGATCTGGTAAAGTCCTTGCTACCTTAGTGTGAAGTGCTCCCTCGCTCCTCCTCTTGCTTCGCTATTCTCTTGCGTTGATTTCTCTTGCCCTGTTTTTTTCTCGTTAACCATTCCTATAATACCTTGTGCAATTGAAGGACTATTCACCGAAAGACGACCAGCAGTATACGAGACTGCTCTAATAGGTAGAGAAAATCCTCGCAGCTAAAACCTACCAGTGGCATAATCACTCCTCCCGGTGTCATTCCACCCTTCGAAGCGCTTATCACACCTGTCAAAGACGTGCTTATACCGTTTTGTTCTAGTAGGCTAGGTCTCTGACGATATTTGGAACCCGATCACCTTGTCGATAAGGCATGTTTGCTATTGCATTACTTCTGCGACTGACAGGCAAAGCGGGATCGTCCTGATCAGGAGCCGTAACGAAGGTTGGTCTTATTGCTTCCATCCAGAGATACCATCTCAAACCACGCTGGTGAAGTTCCTCCTCAATTTCCCGGGGCATCCGTCCCAGCTGATGACATCGTAGAAGTAAGGAGAATCAGCTCGACGGTGCTCCCGATCTCTTCGGCCGGCAGCGTTCTTGGTCCATGCCTTGATCTGTTGGTGTCCAGCCTGTCGCGATCAGCAGTCAAGAATCGACCCAGACCAACCAATCTCCAAACGATCAATCTTCCCGCTCTCGCAGCCGGGATAGTCTTGGATGGTCGGATTGTCGTCTGTCGTGTTCCGATGCCAATAGACTTCTTTTTGGCTGGCCTGTCTTATTTTTTCGCCCATTTTAAACTTAGAGAATATCTCCCAGCTAAAACCTATCAGTGGCATAAGCACTCCTCCCGGTGTTATTCCACCCTTCGCAGCGCTTATTACCACAGCCGAAAACGTGTTTATACAATTTTTCGATTTCTACCTACCTTTAACTTAGAGAAAACTTCGCAGCTAGAACTTACCCGTGGTATAAGTGTGCCTTGTGGTAGCGGTATCCAGAATAAGGACCAGGGTCACGATAGGTGGCTATTGGTCTGGATTCTGGAAGTTGCTTGATTGAAAGAAGGGATGGGTGGTGTCCCCATCCCAGAAGTAGCTATCATCCCAGTTGGGTACAAATCAGGTACAAACGGGTACCCGTTGGGCTCCAAGGTACCTTGTATCCTGGTCCGTGACCCATCCGTCATTGTGGCTGGAAACTGGGTTGAGGAGCCACATAAGCACTCCTCCCGTTATTATTCCACCCTTCGTAGTGCTTATTACCCCCGGTAAAAACATGCTTATACCGTTTTTCAATTCTTGTTTAATTCTAACTTGGAGAAAAATTTGCAGCAAAACCTACTAATGGTATAAGCACTCGTCCCGTTCTTATTTCACGGGCCAAAACGTTTATTACCCCAGCCAAAGACGTGCTTATACCGTTTTTTACTTTTCAGTCACATTGCATCAACACATCAATTCAGCAAGCAAAACTCCCATTTGGTGGTATCTCGAGCTCCTATACTCCGTACAAAAAGCCAATCACTTATTCAGGCGGAGGGAACCTTCCTCCAGCCCGCCGTGGCTCCATTTCGGCAACTTGCTCCCCAATGAGAGCCAGATGCTCTCCTAGACTCCCAATGAGTCTTCTCATCTCGTCCGCCACTTCCTGGCCCGATGCCCGGGCCTCTAACACGTGCGAGGCCGGCGGAGCAACGTGAGGGAGCCCCTGGCTCCCGTTTTGAGCTATTGGGGCCTTTGTGGCTGGATGGGAGACTTCAGGGACAGCTGGAGCGTCTCTAGCAAGGTCTTGGGCGAATTCTGAGTCTGCGGAGACGTAGATGGACGGCTCTCGGTTGGTGAAGGGCAAATCTGCGTATACAGAGGCGTGCCGTTCCAAATCGAAGGGCCCAGCGCCCCCCATTTCGGATCCTGTGATAGATCCGACGTCAGAGTGCGAGGTAGAAGGTCGTGTGAGCAGCTCGGGGATCGTTGGTTCCGGCATGCTCATATCCAGGTCTATGAGACTGCTGACTGACATCCTGTTACTGGCTTCGCGCTGCCCTGAGGGCTCATAACCCTGCGAGGGCAGTCCGATCGGCGCTGTCTCCATGTGCTGCAGCCTGGGACGGCCTTCATTGAAAGGGAAGTATGATACTTCAGGGTTTGCGGATGCAGGAGGAATGCTAGTGGGCCAAGACCAGTCAGGGGCATGACGCCCGTTATCATGGTCCGCTGGATCGCTCAAAGGCGCTCGGCTAGTAGTAGGGGACTCGCTGGCGGCCGAGAACGACCAGTTATTGTCCATCGACGCTCTTGGGCCTGGTCTTGCGACCGGACCTGGTCTGATAGTGCTCAAATCCGCAAAGCTCGAAAGCTCTGCACCACCGAGAGACGCGTCCAGGTCGATGAGAGACTCTCTGACGCCAGCATGAGCAGTGTCGTCTCGCAAAGGAAGGTCTGATGTAGGCGGTTCTGTGACTGGAGCCAACATTGGACGGCCGTAGTACATCCTGGAGTTCTCATCGTAGTTGGAGATGGTGTTCGGATCAAAAACTTTCTCGAGTGGAGCCTTCATCGCAGCAAGCGCCTGGGGAGGGGGTCGTCGACGTCCCCTAGGCTTCGGCCGAGCTGTATCCTCACCACCAAAGCTCGTGGGAAACTCAATGCCAGTACCGTAAACCTCTCGTACTGCTTCAATTTCGGATTGGCCATCCGCGTCGTTGTGTATCTGCTCATCAAACGCAAGAGTTGTTGAGAAGTTCCACTCATCCGCTGCAAGGGAGGTTGAGCCAACGTCTGCCGGTCCTTGTGCTCCAAATCCTGCAAAGAGAGACTTCCTGCTTCCACCACGGTCTTCCCAGAGCTTGTATGCCGTGACGAGGTTTGAGAGAGATGATGTCGGGTAGTTAGAGCTGGTGTTGAAGAGGTAAGGGTGCTGCTGAATCTGTTCGATGGACGGACGTTTAGAAGGGTCATCTTCGAGGCAGAAAGCGACCAGGTTCTTGAGATTTTCCGAGTACTGGTCTCCATTGAGGCGAGGTAGGTGTTCTCGTAAGTAGTTACCAAACTGATGCATTCCGACATTCGCGCGGACGTTAGGTGGCAATCCTGAAGCAATCTCGTAGACCATTGACCCAAACGCCCAAATGTCGACCTCTGTTCCGTATTGTGCGTTCTGGTCAAAGAGTTCCGGGGCCATCCAGTGCAGGGTTCCGATGAACGTTGATCGCTTGTCCACCTTTGTCTCCATCATCCCTGCGACACCGAAATCACAGAGCTGAACAGCTCCCACCTCGGTGATCAAGACGTTTGCGCACTTGATGTCGCGATGAATGATCCCCTGCTTGTGAACCCAGTGAATGGCCAGTGCAACTTCGCGTAGAATAGGGATGATCCATTTCTCCTGCAAACCGCCCGGTGCTGTCGGTTTCATGAGAGTCGCCACGCTGCCACCAGCACAGTACTCTGTTACCATCCACATAGATTGGCCGACGGGCAACGCTTCAATGACTGTGTTTATGTTCTCTGCACCGCCTTCACTCAAGAGTCTTAGTGCATTAATCTCCTTGAGGAACTCACTGTATGTGTCTTGCAGCTTTGGGTTGAGTGTATCCTGCTCGTCGACATCGATGATCTTGACGGACACCACGTTGGAAGTCTTCAAGTCGTTGGCTTTATAGACGCGACCAAAGCTTCCCTTTCCAATGAGCTCAGTTAGGCGATACGAGGGAACGGGCTTGTTCGCTCTGGTGCACTCTTCTTGAACAGCCGCTTGCATTTTCTGGGCATCTGCGACAGCCTTTTGCTTCGCTGCCGTACCGCCCGCCCCATAGACTTGCAGTGACGCCATATCGTCTGGTAGTAGAACTCCGGAGGAGATTCGTTGCTGGTGGATGGTTAGTATGAGTCTCGTCATAGAACAAGTTCACTTCCAGGGTCAGTCAACATTTGCAGGGACGAAACAGATGTGAATGAAAAAAACAGCAAAAAGTCAGGGATAATAAGCACAAAAGGCAGTGGGATAAACAGCCGTGATGTGATTCTTACATGCCTGGTCATCGGGATTGTCATGACTATGGGCACCGTGTATGCCGGCGGCGGGATGACCCCTTCACTTCTGCGATCGCATAGGGCCCCGCGAACCCTCGGATTCGGTTCGAGGAAGTTCGAGTCCATTGCGGCGGCGCTCTCCCATCTCAAGCTCTTTGAACGGCGTGGAAACAAGCAGGCGGGCGGACAGGCGAACGCAGATAAGAGGAAAAGAAAGGTGGAAGTTGGAGAAATCATACTCACAGCAGGTCGGCGACGAGCCGTAGACCAAGACGAATCCCTCGTGGGTGCTCAGCTTGATACCCCAGGCTCACACCGTTGTGAACTTGCTCCTCAAGTCCGGGCGTATGAAAACGAAGCTCCCAGCTCGACACTGTCGAGTGTCAACACGCCGGAGCCCGCAACCGCACTCCTCGACGCTGGAGCCGGCCAAAAGCGTCGGAGTTTTTCGGTGATCTCCAATTACCATGTACTTCGTCTGTATACGAGCGCTGGTATAGATGCAGCCTCTTGATGTTGTTCGACAGATGGCCGGAGCTGATGCTGGTGGATGAGCCGTGATGAAGTTGTCTGGAGTTTGGATTGTAGTTTTGGAGCTGGCTGGCTGAGCTCCCAATTGATATTTGAGGAATGCCTTGGGGCTACTGGGGTACTAATCGCGGCCCGTGCCCACGCTAGGCCCGACGTGGGGAGCTATGACCTGGTAGTCGGGCCAATCAACATCGGGTGTCTGACCTCACCCGAAACGCAAGGTTGAGGCTGGTCTCTCCTATTCAGCCACGGCACTGTAATTCCATGTCAAAGCTGGGACAATGGCAAGCCACGATCTCATGGACGCCTTGGTCATGCGGGTGTTGGGTAAATATGTTGGGGCCTTTATTTGGCTCATTTAATTTCGTCTGCAACTTTCTCCATGCGTCTCTTCAAATGCTACAACCCCACCAAGGCCGTGGGTCCGCTCATGATTCAACCGTGTGTGTATTGGTAGTCATGTCAAGGTACAGCATCTCATGAAGCTGGGCAATCAGACCATGGGATATTGAGGTCGATACAGTGGCACATAGTTAGATCTCCAGCATCGTTCGGAACCGTGTGTTACTTGGGATGCCAGCCCTTCCGGTGTAAGAAGTCAGGGGCATTTACCAGGATCAGTTAAGTATACCATTGGTACCCATGGCGCCAGAATGAGCATGATTTGGTGAATGTCTTTCATGATTATGCAGCATCGGCGATGCTGACGTGCTTACATGAGGCTGCTCCGTCCGCCAATCTCCATGCTGCCCTGACCGTCTCGCATCTCGCCGCTTCGCCCAACTACGAATTCTCGGTAGATGCGCTCAAGTCGGGTTCGCTCCTGGGAGCTGATGCTGGCCCGAGTGCTGTCAAGTGCCTTCATCATATGCTTCCAGCCGATGAGCACTTCGGTATCGTTGTCCGCTTTCTCCTTACTGCTGTGGTCCTCACCATTGAGACTTGGACCTTTTTGTCCCAGCTTCGCGCGCTTCCTAGCCTGCTTAATTTCCGCGAGCTTGGCCGCGATGGCAGCATTTTCAGCGAGTTCGGCCGAATTGTTATAGCCCTTCTTCGCTCGCTCCTCAGCATCGAGTGCGGATGCCTCGGTGCCGTAACGGAATTGCATGAAATTCCTTGCACGAGCAAGGGCACCGGACTTATCCCGCGTGTCGCCCTGGCTGCGTTTGTTGCCAGACGGCTGAAGCTCCAGGTCACCAAGCACATCGTGTATGGCCTCCAGCTGAGCATTTGACATGAGAGCCTGTAGATCAGCACCCGAGTAACCTTCGGTGCGCTCCGCCAATTTGTGAAAGGCCACCGTAGATGATGAAATCTCGTCCTCCAGCTTCACTTTCTTGCCTAAAGCTTGCAAAATATCCACGCGATCATCAAGATTGGGAAAGTCGCATAGCAAGCTCTTGTCTAGACGTCCAGGACGAAGCAAGGCGGGATCAATGAGGTCGGGCCTGGATGTCGCGGCTAAGACATAGACTCCTGACAGCCCTTCTGCGCCATCCATCTGCGTTAGGAGCTGGTTGACAACCCTGTCTGTGACACCAGTTGAGTCATGCCCACGCTTCGGCGCGATGGAGTCGAACTCGTCGAAAAACAACACGCAGGGTTTTGCAGCCGATGCACGCTCGAAAAGGTCCCGCACGCTCTTCTCGCTGGCGCCAATGTACTTGTTCAGGATCTCGGGACCCTTGACGGAGATGAAGTTGAGGCCACATTCTCCAGCGACAGCGCTCGCTAGAAGTGTTTTGCCACAACCCGGGAAGCCATACAAGAGAAGCCCGGAGCGAAGCCTCAGAGGGCATTGAGCGAAGATGGGAGCGTACTTGGTAGGGTATTGTAAGGTTTCGAGCAAGATCTTCCGTGTCTCCTTAAGGCCTCCAATGGAGTCAAATGTCGCAGTAGACGTCTGCAGCGTGACGTTGCGCAGAGATGCTGGGGTAAAGTCTTCCAGAGCATTGTCGAAGTCGACACGGCTAAGTTGAATGATGTCTAGGGATTGGCTGGATGATGTCTCGCTAACCGAACGTATGAGAGCTTCATTACGAGCTCTCGAAACAAGTAGAAGGAGGTCACCAGGCATGTAGCCATCAGTCTCCCCTGCGAGGTCCAGAAAGTCGAGTCCAGTGTCAAAGAGAAACCCGTCAGCCTTTGATTTGGCAACTGAGTTGCTTCGGCTTCGGCTTGGTTGGCTTTCTCCATCCATCCAGGTGCCACCATCTTGCACTTCAATGCTACCGTCAGCTGTCGTGAGCCGGCTTGCATCAGAAGCGGAAGCCTGAATGTGTTTCGGCGACATAGTATGTTGTCTTACAACCATCTCCATCACCCTTCTTCGTCCTTCCTTGTCTGGTGCTCTCAGTTCTATGATTTCGCGGACGACGTGACCGCCAATAATCACGTTGTTAAGTGAGTCTTTGCCCTGAGCGGTCGCGAGAAGTACCACGCCACTGTCCCGACCACAGTGCTGACGCGCAATTGCACATATGGTTTCACTGACCTGCCGGCTTCGCCCGTTGTCGTTTCCCACCTGCAACTCTGTCTCGACCGGACACAGTTTGTCCAAATCGTCGAGAATGACAATTGCTCGACCCCCAAGTCTCGCGCCCCAGCTTGCGGTCATGAACACACGTGTGAGGGTCTCCCGGATTGTGGATATCCTGCTTTCGTCATTTACTAGCTTTCGACACGGGAAATAGGTGGTGTGGAACAAGAAATCATCGCGTAGCTTCTGGGCTAGAGACTGCGCCACGGCTGTCTTTCCCGATCCTAGGGCTCCGGTAAGCAGAACCGAAGACATGTGGGAAATATGCGATTTTAGGTCAGTTAGAAGTGAATCAATCCCCACTAGGACCGAATCGCTAGAAAGAAAACCCTCGTCAGTTGCTTTCTCTTCTAGCCATGTTGGTCGGCCGATTGCTGTTTGCACTTCAATCGGAAAGGGGCGTTCGGATGCGAGACACCATTTCAAGGAGTCCCCTTGGCCAGAATTGGTACCCGACGCGTCAAGTTTGATGATGCCGCCTTCCCAGCCCTGCGGCGTCTCAAGACCATCATATGTCCCCAATATCATCCCGTCGGTCAGGGGTCCATGCAAAAGCCCATTAGCGACGCCTTTTTGGCCGTAGATATGGGAGATCCGTTTACCAGCCTCCTCTTTCTCTGCTTTTGACTCCCCACCAAACCTAAGACCATTTGAAGCCTTTTGGCTTAGGGTTGAGAATGGGAAGACCCGCAAGCGTTCAACTGTGCTGCGTGAGAGAGGCTGTGGAGCCGGCTCAATCTTCACAATCCCTCCTACGACCTCCTGACACCCCAATGCCGCACACAAGGGTGTGGAGAGGGCAATCGTCTGGCTATTCGGGGCATCCTCCCAATGGCGAAGCTGCGCAATGACTCTTTCTGCGCGTTTCGCCATTTCGGCACCGGCCGTATCCTGCTGTTGCTGTTGGGGATCTAGTGGAGGCTGCAATCCAGCTGGCTTAACAATGTTGACGGCAACCCAGTTGACACCCCGGAAGTCCTTGGAGAATAACTGGTCTCTGTCGACCCAAACGCTCAAGTCCTGTGGCGCTGCTTCGTCCTCGAACCATTCATGACAAAGCCTCCGGTCCACACCCCTGAGAAATAAAGCCGGTTTTCGTTCTTCGCGGCCGTTCTTTCTGCGGACGGTACTGGCGGAGCTCTTCCCGCTCCTCCTTGACGTGCCTCCGACACTGCGGTTCTCACGACTACCCTTGGAAAGCTTCGACCGCGTCTTCGGCGCAACGATAACTTCGGCATCGGGAGCTATCTTGACAAATGCGACATCGGCCGAGGGAGCCGGTTCAAGAGACAGGATTCTGATGTTGGCTGTCGATGTAGGCGACAGATGAAGAGTCAACGGATGCGAGCTCGGTGGTTGATCCTGTCCTGGTGTATAGGCGGGATTTGGCAACGCGCGAATTTGCGAAAGCAGGTTGAGCTCCAAGAATGTTGCATGCAACTCGATGATTTCCCAATCTTCCGGCGTTAGAGGTTCGATATTGACCGTATGCGCGAGAGGAGGATCAACGTGTATAGTCGCTAAGACCTTCTGGCCGTCTGATAGTCCCAGAGTAGCTGCTAGTGTAGCATCGAGCTCGACGGAGGCAACTTCTTGGTCCTTGCCACCGCCGCGCGCTGCGGTGATCCCGTCGCGGTCGACTATGGGAGCTAACTTTCGCTTACTGGGCATCCCCGTCCATCCAACATATATCGATCGCTGCGCCGGCGAACCATTAGCCTTCGTGGAGCCATTCGCGGTGGAGGGGGGACGGTAGTTAAGCTCGACAATGACATTCTGGGCGGGCTATTGCTAGTATGTGCTTAGCAAGATGATCAGAGCAAGAGGATAACCAGATGAGTTCAGCTTACAGTATTGACATTGACAAGCAAGTTGACAAGCGACGAGGGAAGATTAACTAGACAGTTCTTCAGGTGTACAAGAGAAATCTCGGCGGCGGTTGATTGTGCATTCTTTCGGGGAGCCATGTTCGGCTATGCGATGGCACTAGGACCCGAAGCATTGGTGGCGCAATGGAGCGAATAGAATAGGAACACAATATCTACAACGTTTGACGCACAGCTCGAGACGATATAGCCGTCCCTTTGCGTCGTGTATAGGACAAACTTGTCGACTTGTCAGAGCTGGGGGGCAGGGGGACATGAGGGACTCGAGGAGAATGGTAGCTCGGTCGCATGTGCCGAGGCACTTCCTATTGGAGCTGGGATGATTTCATTGGCTCATTTAATCCCCGAACTTGGAGTACGCGGACCCACCACCAGCCACCGGGCCAGTCTTCAATGTTGGCACTGCGCCTGGCTGCATGAGGCTTGACAGCGGCTTCCGACTTAAATGGCTGTGGCGGTGCAGAGGCGCGAATAGTCGCGTTAACGTTGACCGCGTTTCGATTTCCGACCAGGTTCAGAAGCCCGCCTTCTAGCCCGGCAACCTCACTTTGCGACAACACCCGCCCAATTCTGTCGCATTCCTGTTCTTCTGATATCACACTCGTGCGTGCCGCAATAAGACAGGATCAGGCACTGTCGCAATGGCGCTTTTACAATACCGGAATATTGTAGACTATGAGGCGCAACAAGGTACGCTGGAGCCCGATGTTTACCTCTCGCTTGCCGTTGTCGAGCTGACCACATCGCGATGCAGCCGCTTTCGAGGAGTTCCTCGAGCACTTCAAGACGTCGCCCGAGCAGAATCTGACACATGCGATCGGTCAGATCAACATTGACGAGGACGACCTGAGCGACGAGGATGATTTCATGGACGACGAGGAGACGCTCGACCGACGCCGGAAAGAGAAGGCGGCTTCGAAGTTGCCAAAACATAAATACGCCGATGCGATACAGAAGCTTGCAGACAGATCACTTGACGAGGTCCTGATAGAGCTGGACGATGTCGCTTCCGTAAGCATCATGTCTGCCGTGATGCTGTTTTTCTGCGGGCTGCACTGACTGGTTGGTTGAAGTGGGAAGAAGATACGAACGAGGGGCTGAAGCTTGTCGACTCAATTGAGACCAACACCAAGCACTATGTGGAGGTAGTGTCGAGGGCAATCGACAAGAAGATGCCCGCTCCGACGACGGGTGTCACGTAAGGCCATCTCGTACTTGCGAGTGTTACCCGGCGCACCTTTGCTGACTCTTGTGTTAGATTCAAGGACGATGTGCTGGATGTTATTATGGAAAGGAGGCAGGCCCGGAATCGTGACCTGGCTGAAACGGCGGCGAACACCAACAACCCCGACCTTCTCGAGTCGACGTTTCCAGCTCAGCTTACCCGACGGTACACGCTGGTCTTCAAGCCAAGGTCGTCGACCGCGGACAGACCCGTCAAGGCACTTGCCGTGAGACAAGTACGAGGAGAGAACCTCGGCCACCTCATCACAATTCGTGGTATTGCGACTAGAGTGTCCGACGTAAAGCCGATTGTACAAGTGGGCGCATATACTTGTGATCGTTGTGGATGCGAGATCTTCCAGCCCGTCGCTGACAGATCTTATTCACCCCTCACCAACTGTCCGTCGGAAGAGTGCAAGCAGAACCAATCGAAGGGTCAGCTGTTCCAGTCCTCTCGAGCATCTAAGTTCCTGCCCTTCCAGGAGGTCAAGGTTCAGGAGATGGCGGAGCAAGTACCTATTGGTCAGATCCCTCGCACACTCACCGTCATGTGCTATGGGAGTGCAGTGCGGCAAATCAACCCAGGTGATGTAGTGGATGTCTCTGGAATATTCCTTCCGACACCTTACACCGGCTTCAAGGCGATGCGCGCTGGACTATTGACAGACACATACATCGAGGCCCATCATATAGTCCAGCACAAGAAGGCATACGAAGAGATGGTCATCGATGAGAAACTGCTGCGACGCATTGGCACTTTCAGCCAGTCCGGTGCAGTGTACGAGATGTTAGCCAAGTCGATCGCCCCTGAGATTTTCGGTCACCTCGATGTGAAGAAGGCCTTACTATTGCTTCTTGTGGGAGGTGTTACGAAGACGATGGGTGATGGTATGCGCATCCGTGGAGACATCAACATGTGCTTGATGGGTGATCCTGGTGTGGCCAAGTCCCAGTTGTTGAAGTACATCTCAAAGGTGGCCCCGCGTGGAGTGTATACGTCTGGTCGTGGCTCCAGTGGCGTCGGTCTGACCGCCGCCGTCATGCGCGATCCAGTAACCGACGAGATGGTATTGGAAGGTGGTGCTTTGGTTTTGGCCGACAACGGCATTTGTTGTATCGATGAGTTCGACAAGATGGACGAGAACGACCGGACAGCCATCCACGAAGTCATGGAGCAGCAGACAATCTCCATTTCCAAGGCTGGAATCTCAACAACCTTGAACGCCAGGACATCGATCCTCGCCGCAGCCAACCCCATTTACGGCCGCTACAACCCCCGCATCTCCCCCGTCGAGAACATTAACCTGCCAGCAGCGCTGCTTTCACGTTTTGATGTACTGTTCTTACTACTTGACACGCCAACCCGCGATGGCGACGCGCAGCTGGCCAAGCACGTAGCATACGTCCACATGCATGGCAAGCATCCCGACCTCTACGCCAACAACACCAGCGTCGACGCAGACGGCAATGCTTCGGCCTCGCCCAACGTGGTCTTTACACCCCACGAGGTGCGTGCCTACGTTGCCCAGGCGCGAACCTACCGGCCGACAGTCCCGGCCTCGGTGACCGAATACCTAACGAAGACATACGTGCGGCTACGAGAGGCGCAGCGCCGTGCCGAGAAAAAGAACAAGCAGTTCAGTCATACAACACCCCGTACCCTACTCGGTGTGGTCCGTCTCGCCCAGGCGCTGGCTCGATTACGGTTCGCCACCGAGGTCAGCCAGGATGACGTAGACGAGGCGCTGCGGCTCATCGAGGCCTCCAAGGAGAGTCTGGCCGCACACGAGGGCGCCGGCGGTCGCCGTGCCCTCAATGCCGCATCCCGCATTTACAACCTCGTCAAGGCGCTCGCAGACGGCGGCGCGTGTCGCGCGGGAGACGACGAGGATGACGAGGAGGGCACGGTTGAGTTGAGCATGCGCAAGGTGCGCGAGCGCGTGCTGGCGAAGGGGTTCACGGAGGACCAGTGGCTGGGTGCTTTGGACGAGTACACGAACCTGGATGTGAGTTTTCCTTCCCCCTACCTATCCCTAATTCCTCTCTACCTCAAGTAGATTGCTGATTGGTACATGCAGGTCTGGCAAACGGCCGGCAATGGCAGCAGGCTGGTATTCATCACCGCAAACGACAACGCGGGTGACGATGATATGGAGTAATCTGGTCTACTCAACCCTGTCGTCTCAAGCAATGAGATAGATACTAGAACTGAGGAGAGTAGAGATGTTAGTTAGTATTGCCACGGCGTTATGGGATGATGTATGTATGTCAATGAATTCCGGATCGAGAGTTCAAGTGAGATAGGTACAGATACAATGTGGAGATTGATGATGAAATTCGTATGAAACTCGGCTGGTAGTCTCGGTTATGTATTGTGTATACAGAGCTCGCTCGTTCTTGATCTACCTACTAGTATTTCAGGAATTGGGGTGGAGATGTGATGAACTGTTTCTGAAAATGCATCGCTTCCATTGATTTGAAGTGTATGTCATCTGCCAGAGTTAAACGCGCTGGGAACGATTATCTGGACCAGTCATTTCAGGCACCACAACACCTCAACATTCGTCCTAGAGATGGTCGAGTGAACAGATGCAATCGAATTGTACACTCTACAGGTCTCGGTATATTTACGATTGACATATTGTACATCATGATACAACACTTTCTGCTTAACTCATCTTCCCCCTCCCATACCTGGTCTGGGCATGCGACAACCACAGCCAGGGCACCCCTTTCTTTCCCACTCTCTCCAGTCATATCCCGATTCATCTCGTCTGTCTACACAGTGGCCCGAATATCATACAACGACACGCGCTCCATCTCAGCCAGCACGCCGCCGCCTGCGAGCGTCCAGCGATCGCTCACGTTCTTCTCGTCGACGCGCAGGCGCAGCACGCCGCTGGCGGCCCAGTACTCCATCAGCGAGCGGGCCTCGTGCTTCGTGACGCCGCGGACGTCGAGCACGCGGACGCCGCGGAGGGCCTCGAAGACGCGCTCGTCGTACTTGCGGTAGAAGGCGTCGCGCAGCGGGACTTCCTCGGCCTTGGCGCCGGCCTGGATGGCCGCAGCTTGTTCAAGCGCCTTGTCCATGGACGGCAGGATGGGCGCGTTGCCGCGCGAGCAGACGGCGAGGACGGCGGCGCCGTTGGGGAAGGGCGTCTTGCCGCCGAGGGCCTCGGCGAACATGCGCACGAGGCCGAGATCGTGGCTGTGGATCAGCTCGAAGGCCGGCGAGCGGTAGTCGCTGACGCGCATGATGTGGGCGAGGCCGTCGAGCGCGAACATGATCGGGGGACGCCCCGGGCGCAGCAGCTCCTTCCAGAAGGCCTGGAAGACGGGCCAGGCGAACTCGGGCTCCTTGGTGGCGTTGATGAGCGCGGCCAGACTCATGTTGCGCGTCACCGAGATGGGCAGCTGCATGTGGTCCAGCTCGACCCTGCACTGCGACAGGATGGGCCCGTTGGCCTTGTGGATGGCCTGCATCAGCTTGACGATGTAGACCGGTTGTGAGAACATGTCCGAGTTGTGTACCGTGGAATATTCGGTCGCGGCGGTGGTCAGTTCCTGGGCTGCACACAAAGTTAGTTCGAGCTATCTCGAGATCAGGCACGGTGGATAGGGGTAGGAGTAGTACGCACCTTCGGGGATGTTGATGACCACCCATTTATTCAAAAACCCAGTCGCCAAAGCCTGTAGACCAAGTATGCTCTTCCCCGACCCCCTATCCCCCGTGACGACCATCCGCAGCGTCTCCTTCTTGGCCACGGCATCTGTGAGCTGCTGCGCCATGTCGACGGTCTCCTTGCGAATGAGCATGTGCGGCGAGCGGAACAGACCCCAGTTCTGCGTGGACTTGAAGGCCTCGCAGGTGCGAAGCTGATCGACCACATCCACGGGAATACCCACGACCTGACCGACAGCGCCCGGGTCCACGACGTTCTGCGCCGTCAGCTCGGCCAGTCCGGGCACCACCAAGGCGTTGTCGTTGCTGAGCTGGATACGCTTCCGGAAGGCCTTGCGCTCGCCCGGCCCCGGGGTCTTGTGTTTGTCGCCTTGGCGCTTCTTCTTTCCCAGGATTAAGCGCTTGCCGGTCCGGATGTGGCGCGACATGCCCGTGTCTCCCGAGGTGCTTCGTGCAGCCAGCTGTGTAGAGGTCGAGAAGGCGGCGGACGTCGGGTTGGAGGAGGCGGCGGTCATGGAAGCAGGAGCGAGCAGCAGGCGCTGTGATGGCCTCGCGAGGCACCTCCAGCAATTTGTGCTCGCCATTGCTAGTCGGTGTGGTCGATTGAGCCCGATTGGGAGGCAATGTCGAGGTTCGTCACGAGCAAGCTCTGCCCAAAGTGAAGCTCTCTCAGGTCGCTTTCAGGCCCAGAAATTTGTTAGGAGCCACCAGAGCAGCGGGTCCCGTCCATGGGCTTATCGATTCGGGGGCCCACCTAAATTTTAACCTTAATCGAGGTTTCCAACTCGATCTGCACTTTTCTGATCTGCCTTCAGCATACATTCACGATACCTCCCATCTTACGAGAGTTGACAGCAGGCCAACAGACTAGGGGCTTGAGCAACTGGAGTCTGCATCGAAGCATACATCTGCGACGACGACGACAAAATCCCAAGGAACCTCCATTCCTCGCCTCTTTCGACAGACCGCCCACCTGCAACCCCTCCACAAGTTCCCTCCGCAAAGTCTTCCGACCTCACAGACGACCGGTACAATGGCGACCCCAGCAGCGAAACCGAAGGCGAAGCTCGACGTCGACGTCACAAAGCCGACACCGTACACCTTTGACGCACGTCCCCCAACCGCCCTTCCTTCATCCACATATCCCTACTAACACCGCTCCCAGCTCGGCCTCCTCCTAGCCAACGACCCCAACCCCCTCACGACCTCGACCCCGTCCGCCGGCAGCACGCCCAGCACGACCAGCATGACCTCCTCCTCAGCTCTCGAAGCGCAACTAGCCGCCACAGCCCGCGACGGCGCACAAGCCCTAATAGCGCAATTCTTCCGCTCATGCCCCCTAACATCCACCCCATCAGGCGCGCTCTTCACCCTTCCCCCGATCTCGACCCCGCTGCCGCGCGAGAAGCCGCTCCCCGAAACCAAACAACCAACAACGTGGGAGAAGTTCGCGGCGCGGCGGGGCATCAAGCCCAAGACGCGCGAGCAGCGGCGCGCCAAGGGCACGCAGTACAACGAGGCGACGGGCGCGTGGGAGCGCACGTGGGGGTACGACAAGGGCGGCGCCGCCAAGCGCCGCGAGGAGGGCCACGTGCAGCAGGACTGGCTGGTTGAGGTCGACGACAAGGGCGACAAGACCGCCGGCGAGGTGCGCGAGAAGAACCGGAGCGGCGGCAGGAGCGGCGTCAAGAAGAGCGTCGGCACCAGTGGGAAGAAGCGAAGAACGGCGTGAGGAGGTTAGGTTGCCTGATGCAAGAAGGGTTATGGTTATGATGGGGTTAGAGAACCACAGTTGGACCCTGGCATTGTCTAGGTACCGAGTTTCGGATGATTCTATGTGCTGGTTGAAGACCTCGAGGGCTCAGAGGTATTCGATTATGAGAGATCCTGTCTGTCAATCGGCGGCCACTGGACCGCACGATGTCTATCTCGCTGGCGTGCTGGTAGGAGGAAGCCGCCAGCTTATCGGTGCATGCGAAAAACCAAAAGCTTCAGGGGTCGGATGCGACCTGGTAGTCAGTCAGATACTCCATGGAAAGGGGCACAGCGTTTTGCCGCAGCTGGTCATTCCACATGAAAAAGACTTGCCATCTAAGGGCTCCGCATTTGTAGGGGTAGGAAGACCATAGATTATATATTCTTCATCCCCTTGCCTCGCGTGTCCTGCACTGCTCGTCACATTTATAGTACAGACGCCGCATCTTCCTGCTCCACGGCGTGCTCATGTAGATTTCCCCAACTCCGTCGCTTTTTTTGCTGCATCCTCACCCACCCGCCCGGTGTGCACATTCAATCCGTGCTCATGGCGGGTGGGTTCTCGGCTCCTCCCTGCTATATTCTGTCCGCGTGGTCATTCCTACACTCACAGCCCAAACATTATAGCCAAAGCTCCTAGCCATGACTCAACAAGCAAGCAGCAGAAATGCAGAGCAACGCAGAGCAACCTCCCGGAGCGAACCGGGGGTGCTGGCTTGACCATTCATCTAAACCCCGTGCCTCCTATCTGCTCGGTTCGCCCTTCTCTCCATCACAACCAGCGCAACATGCCACTTCAAAGGGGTATACCAAGAAAAGCAATAAGGTATCAAAGTCGCAGAAACAGAATGGAGGAAAACTGGCGAGTTCCGGACCGACGGAAACGCCTGGCTGAGGTCGGAAGTTTCGATTCGAGGCTCGAAAAAAGCTTGTGGACTTGAGTACAAAAACTGGAATGTGCGATGCAAAAGCGCGACTTCCCTGTATATCCTGATTGACCCGAAAACTATACAGAACGAGTTCGAGTGCTTTGCGATCCTAGGATCATTGAGGTTCGAAACCGGCCAAGATATGGTGTGGAGCTGTCATGCCCAAAGCATCTCTCGCGGTGGGGTTCAACTCCAAGACCAACATGAGAACAGAAAGATGAGAGTCGTCAACGGAGCGTAACATCATCAACCGACCGCCGGAGCCAACACCGTCGTTCATACCGCGTAGCTTGCTCAGTCGAAGTCTTGCCCGCTGCGACGCAAGAAAGCTAGCTCAAAAGCAATGGGCACCGCCCCTTTCGATGCGACCATCCGAGGTAGATCAAAACCCAAGTGGAGACAGAGGTTTGATGGGTGATAATGGCCTTAGGTCTCCCGACCGCCGTGTATCGAGTTCATTATTCACGGTCAGGCTTGCCGAGACACTCGCGTAGTTCGGAGCCATGTTGCCGTTGGGCTGCCCCGTTGCCAATGGCTTTTTCCTCAGCATCCCGTTGTGCGGCGTTTCCTGAGTCGAGGCCCATTCCTTGCTGCTGTCCGAGGACGAAATATTGCGGTCGTCCTGAGATTCGCCTGCAAAATTGCTCCGACCATCGGCGCTCAGACCCCTGGGTAGCGGTTGGTCGAACAGCATGTATTCCTCTTCGATGAATCTGGCCTCGCTCTTGCAGCCCTGCCAGCATAATCGCCAGTCGCAAACCAGGAACTTGAAGCAGAACGCGTCTATCTTCATGCAAGGTTGGAAGCAGATACAGAGGTTGCGAAAATCCATCTTGTTCTTGTCGGAATGAGCGAGGAGTAAGCTGAGGTGGCAGGTGACGGCAAAGAGCAGGTAGTAGTTGAAGGGCGACAAATTCGATAGCTCATCTATCAACAACTGTGGTACTTCTTCGGCACCCATGCATTCTCGAGCGATCCGGTCTTGTGCTGCCTTGGGAAAGAGCTCGTCGGGAAGCTCACGCAGCCATGCTTTCAGCATGGAGCCAATAATGTTGATATCATACAAGTCGTCCTGGGCAAAGAGATCGACGTCGTGCTCTGTGAATAGTTTAGTAGAGAGAACAGGCAGACTGAAAGGAGTTGCATAGACTATACCTTCGTCGAATCTCCTTTGCCACTTCTTGATCTGGGGGCCACTACCAGGTACCCTGTAAAGACCTTCGACATCAGTCCCGTTGAAATTCAGATAGTCAATTGCCCGCCATGGGAAAGCGGGCATCCAGAACTCTGTCTTGTCGCGCGAATCCTCAAGCCTCTTGGATATCCTTGTCAATCGTGTTTGTTCGACCAGTGGACGGTTGATCACTTTCAAAACGTAGTGCTCATCGTCTATTGTCGGTTCCCTCTCATTCGCGCTGGCACTACGACCACCCTTTCCGAATAATCCCTTGCTGATCATGTCTGCTGCTCGACTGCCAGAACTTTTGAGGCCGCCGAAGAAGGTAGAGCCGTGGTTGTCTCTAAAGGAAGAAGGGTGGCTCCTGTAGTCTTTATCATGTCGATTCTCTTTGTTTGCGGACATATCCCGGGGGACAGCTCGATCCGCTGAATGGTTCCGCGCAGATGAGCTCATCATATGTCTGAAAGCCCTGTCATTTCTTTCAGGGTGGATTGGCGCCGTCTTCAAAGGCGCTTGCCCCGCGTGGGTTGCTGTTGATTCAGGTTCGGGCATATTGATCGTGACAGTGTCCTTTGGGCTATGGCCATCTTTATCCTTTGTAGATCTACTACGACCTAGCAAAGCGAAAGGCTTCGGTTTATTCCTCTTGGACGAAGTGGATTCGTGGTCGGCGGCAGAGACTAGTGATACCTCGGATCGGGAGGGCAACGACGGTGCGGACTTCTGGTGGGAGTGATCGACGGACGACTGGTCTATTTCATGGACCAAACAAAGACTTTAGCATCAAGAGACTAATGACTGGGACGAGTGGCGGCAACACTCCTGATTCAACGGGAGGTGACAGATAACATACCTGAGTTCTTGGATGTCTTGCTTGACACCTTATCTGTCATGACAGGGGCATACTCGGTGCCGCGAGACATAGCCTCACTATGGCTCTCAGTGTGACTGTGAGGGAGGTGTTGGTTTGACCTCGAGGCCTTTCCGAAGTTGAAGAAACGACTGCCGCTTCTCGAGTGCTTCTCTTCCTCGGGATGGCCGTACGCTTCTCGCAGAGTCGGTGTCGTGACAGATTGCTGGATGGGAGAGGTTACAGACGGATGCTCTGCATTCTGGTGGGGGTGTCGTCGCTGGCGTTGGACAGCATGCACGTCGTCGGCTATGCGCAGCGGCGGGGGTTGGTGGTGTACCTCGACAGGTTGCGTCTGCGCCAGGGGCTGCTCTCGTTGCGCCTGGGGTTTCCTCGCGGGATTGAACTTGCTGAAAGGGGAGCGAGGGGACTTTGGCGATTTGGAGGAGGCCGGCGAGGCGACCTGGAGAGTGGTTTGACTACTGAATGCAGGGCGTGGGCTTGGTCTGTCTGGAGCTCCCCGGACAATGGATTCGGGAGAAGGCAGTGTGCCAGTGCCAGCAGATAGAGCGCCAGCAGCCGAGTCGCCCTCAGCCAGGGACAGCGGCTGAGGAACGGGCTTACGTCCCATTATTGCTGGCGCGGTGGTCCGTCAAGTCACCCAACACCCAACGCACGCAGGACGGGACACACAGGACAGCCACAGTGGTGCTGTGGTCCTAGTCGGATATTACCGTCAGGCACGCACGCAGCGGGCAATGCGCAGTGACCAAGCTCCCAAGGGCGTGCGCCTGATTCGCGCGTCGCCTGGTGTCTCGTGCGTGACAGCGTGGGTGGAATGCTGGTATCAGGTCTCCGGAGGGGTATTAGCAGTGTCAAAGTGGTCGCAAAATAGGCAAAAAAGGCAAAATGTTGAAACCTGTGACAAGAAACACCACCAGGACGCCAGGACGGGGGCCCCTCGGGCTACAGGGGCAGATGGGGGCGGCCAATGGGGCCGGAATCACCGCCGTGGCAGGCAGGCGGCAGGAGACCGAGGTCATCGACCGTCCTAAAAGAGCCGAACAACCTCGAAGGGAGTGGATGTAGATTGGTAGAATAATAAGGACCACGGGAAGCGAAATGCCCCAGCAATGGTGTTCCAATGGCGCTCGGCAAGCGGAAGGGTGGAGGATTGAAAGTTTTGAAGGAACTGGGCAGCCGCTGGGATGCGGGATGGAATTGAAGCTGGCAACTGGAACTTGAAGGCAGTGAGCGGGATGGTCTTAGCGCCGTCAGTCTGTCCGTGCAGGTAGACAAGCTGATGGGGCAGCAGTTGCCAGTAACCACAGCAGGTCCGACGTTGACAGGGAATCGCTCAGGTACGGTACTTTCCAATGTCAGAGACTCAGAACGGCAGGCAGCAGGCAGTTCTTAAAGTAGAGTAGCTAAACTGTGTGGATGAAGCCGGGTAGTATAGAACATGAGGTGGTCCAGTTGCGCGTAATCCAGCCTTTTATCGTGCAGTCTCGTCTTCAAAACAAACTGCTATAATGCTCCTACACCTGGGGAATATTCTCAAAACGGACATGATGGTGGTCGCTACCTTACTCGGGTGCCAGTTGGGTCGCTTTTGGACTTGATGTTCTTGATACATCATCTTCAGCACCAACACCACCAACACCAACACCGAAAGGTGATCCCTCGACATGCTAACGGTAATGATAATAATAGCTCTCGGATGTCTTGTTACCTACCGTAGACTTCTTTCTCTGTCTCTTGACCTTAGCAGGGGTTATAACCTGTAACTTGTCGAAGCAGGTTGTAACTTGTTGAAGCAGGTAGGACAGGTAGGACAGGTAACTTAGGACATGGGTTGATGGTCGAGATGCATAGCGGAATTATTCTGAAACACGCTGGCCACGCACACTAGTGTAATCCACGACTGCCAACAACCTACCACGGCTAACCTAATCTGGCTCTAGACACATGTGGATGGACTAGCTCAAAGTTTGACCTGCCCCTCAGCACCCCTCTTTGACGCTACCGCTCGCCAAAGATCGGTGATAAGGGGGGGGGGGGCCTCGTTGGTGTCGGGTGTTGCTCGTGTAAGTCGGGCTATTTAAGCAAACTTCCATCGACAGTCACAACGTCTGCGAATATCAGACATACCTCCTTCGGATACATACGTGTATATGTACTGTTGGGTTGGGCTGCACAGAGACAGTAGCAGGCATGTGCTGTACCACCGCATGCATCTGCCATGTGGGTGGGTTGGAGGTTGGAGGTTGGAGATATTGAGCACCGGTTTGTTGGTAAGATTCGGTTCGGCTTCGAGTCAGGTTCAACTCTAGTCGCACCATTGGGTCGACTGGAGGACGAGTTCTATGACACTCCGATCAGACGAACCTCGCAGTGAAAGATGTAAGGTCTAGAGACTTGTCGATTCCTGACCTCATAGGGCGTGATGATGCCAGCAGCTTACTGAAGCTTCGCTTTCTGCCATGAGTCGACATCAATCTACTACATATATCCAACTGACAACTGCTCGCATCGCATGCAGCTCCGGCAGTTGACTAAAGTTACCTGCAGGACTCATGCTTTAAGGTTGAGCCGTCAAGCACCAACAAGGTCGATAACATGAATACCTGGGCATCTCCATGCTCCTTGGGTCTATGGATAGGCATGACGTCTGCGAACGACGAGACAGAATATATCAAACTTTGTGTTTCACTTTCGAGCCTCATGCGATTCAGTCATGGCATGGGTGTCTGACACTATGCGCCCTATACGTCGTCGTAGTATAGATTCATATCTGTGCGTGTCTCAGCGACACTCGACATCCATGGTTGTCTCGGAGTATTTGAGAAACAGCTTGTACCACCAGGATAGAGCACGCCAATCAATGACTGGGTGTTCGGTTGCAGTGACAGTGTCTTCCTCGCATCCCAAAGTCAATCTGAGATTGCAATTAAGGCGGCTAGGAGATAAGAGTTTCGCGTCACCTGGAGGCAGTGTAATACCAGGAACGCAGTGGGTGTCGACCATGTGGCGTGCACAGAGAGCCAACGCCCTTGAAGGCAAAAAATGGTATAATAAAAGAGATATCAGATATTAAACTGAAAAGAACAGATACTACACTTGATCTAAGCCAAAGACAAAGAAGAGCTAGGGGCAGGGAAGGGAAAGAAGTGAAGTGAAGGAGGTCGGTGGCAGTGCTTTATACATACTATGTACCCCTATACCCCTATTAGGTACCTAGACACGTCAGCTTGCCCGACTGTCAGCTGCCAAAGTGCCAGCAGGCTGCCAAGCTGCCACGTCTAGGCGGTTGAGTCACCCCGCAAAGGCTGCAGCCTACAGCCAAATCCTTCCAGGCTACAGGCTCCACATGAGCAACCAACACCCGCCCGCAATCCTATCATCCTTTCTCTGGAGTTACGAGCGTCAAACAGCAAACATCGCGATTCCTAATTTCTTGTTGGGAGGTTCTTTGTTCCCTGAACACGGGTCAGCTTGTTACAGTTCAGTGCTGCCGTTGGGCCGCTTTCGTCACCATGGCAGGGACGCAAACCGGAATCCTCCCGGACGAGCTTCAACTCGCGACCGCCAAACATGTCAAGTACATACAGAGTCTGGATACGAGGAAAGACGAATACGACTACTGGCTGACCGAACACCTTCGCCTGAACGGACTCTACTGGGGTCTGACTGCTCTTTACCTGCTCCGACATCCCGACGCCCTTCCTCGCGCCGAGACCATCGATTTCGTCCTTTCGTGCCAACATGAGAACGGGGGCTTTGGCGCTGCGCCTGGCCACGACGCCCACATGCTCTACACCGTCAGTGCCGTACAGCTCCTTGCCTTGGTTGATGCATTCGACGATCTCGAGAACCGTGGCAAGGGCAAGGGCAAGGCGCAGGTGGCTAAATGTGAGTCAACCATCGCGTTCAACTTGCTCCACTGCGACCTAGACTGACGTACCGTCCAGTCATAGCAGACCTCCAGGATCGAGAAACGGGCACCTTCGCTGGCGACGAGTGGGGCGAAGAAGACACCCGTTTCCTCTATGGAGCGCTGAACGCGCTCTCGCTCCTCGGTATGACGCATCTCGTCGATGTCGACAAGGCGGTCGAGCACATTGCTGCCTGCGCCAACTTCGACGGGGGCTATGGTGTCAGTCCTGGCGCCGAGTCACATTCCGGCCAGATTTTTACTTGCGTAGCGGCGCTTACCATTGCGGGACGGAAAGACCTGATCGATGTTGACAAGCTGGCTGGGTGGCTGAGCGAGCGGCAGCTTCCCAACGGTGGCCTCAACGGCAGGCCAGAGAAGGACGAAGACGTCTGCTACAGCTGGTGGGTGCTGAGTAGTCTTGATATGATCGGTCGGACACACTGGATCAATCGGGAGAAGCTCATCGGCTTCATCCTGAGGTGTCAGGATACCCAAGATGGCGGCCTCTCGGACAGACCTGGTAACATGGTCGACGTCTGGCACACTCTATTCGGACTTACTGGCCTGAGTCTTCTGGGATATCCTGGCCTCGATGCCATCGATCCTGTATACTGCCTCCCGAGGTCTACGACAGAGCGCGTCCTGGGCAAGTCAACGTAACTGATCAGCAATGCGCCTCCTAATCTAGGTATGCGACATTGACTGTCCTATCTCAGTCATCGTGATACATCTTGACTTCCGTCATGAAGGTACTGTGTCAGTGAAAAAGCGGTAGCTCGCTTATTCGTCCAAATGTCTCTTGCCATCTAATAACCTACTATCCAACCCCCGGTGGCAGATAGGATACAAGGCAAGAGTAGATTGATCACGTTAGTTTTCCTTCCTCCCCTATCACGCATCACACGTTGATGGGGGGATTAGGGTGATAAACGTACATGCCAATACATATGCTTTCGGACCACTTGCTTCATCACTCTTGGTCCAATTCCCCTTTGGCGTGAAGCTCGGGGTCATTTAATACATGACAATCACTGGCAACAGTCACAGAGTTCCGTGGAAAGTCGCAGCATCTTATGCCAGAGCCCTGTCATTGGCCAATAATTGTGAGGCATACTAAAGAGTTTCAGTTCCCGAGTTCCATCTCCGAGTCTCTTTGAAGCCCATCATGGGCGACGACAGGGCGGTCTGACTTGTTGTGACATAGACAGATCCGACATATCAGAGGAAGCGATGACCTAGTTATTTGCCCATCGTGCACCACGCCTTGGTCCCTTCGGAGTATAGAAGATCGGCATAAAGAGCCTTAGCCTTGATTGGTCAGAGATTGCGATGGTCACGCATTGTTGCGATATACAAGCGGGGGAGTTGCCCATTATCGTACGCCAAGCCATGCTATAGACCCCGACCCTCGTGATAGAGAAACAAACGTCCTCTAGTGTCACTCGTCCTCCACATACGTCTCTATCAGAGGCCTTTGATGGTAACCAGCTTATCTGACATGCCGAACGAAGTCCGTCCTAGGGAGTGCAATCACCAGATACACCCGCAGATCGTGGAGCGCACGATAATGCAGTATGCGTTGGACCGCCAGCCAACCACGATGGCCGACCCCGCCGTAAACGGGAAGCGCTGTCGCTATAGTCGTCCGCTGACCGTTCATTCGTCGGCTCGTCATGATCTGATGTGAGTGGATTAGACTATAGCGTGCAGGTAAGGCATGCCTGCCTACAGCGTGACCGGAGCTGTGCAGACGCGGCCGACCTCGGGGTTTGCTGTCGTGTAAGTGTGCGATAGTGGTGTATAGCTAAAGCGGCGATGCGAACTATGACGATGACGACGATGCCTCCACGTAGGTATACTGCCTAGGTATACCGGTCCCTCCTCCTGTATATAAACCCTCTCTCTCATCTCTCCGCTCAGGCTCTGCATATACTCTCCTGTATACCACTCCTCATCACCAGAACATCGTCAACCCAGTTCTATTCATATTTCTCAAGCTTCAAAGAGAAGAAGCTGGCTGTTTGTTCTTGGTGTTTTGTAAATGGGATCTTTCATCAGCAAGACGACGTCGAAGATGAGCAGCGGAGAGAAGACCACAGCCGGCCCCGTGGCCATGGCCTACTACGCCAAGGCGTCGAGCGTCAAGCCGCCGCTGATCGCCAACGAGAACGCGTTTCTGGGCGATGTGTCGTGCTCGTAAGACAGCCTCTCTCTCTCTCTGCTCCGTACACTCTCTGTTCCATACACTCTCTGTGGACTATATCTGTCTCGCGACCCTCGTCTCTCAACCGTTATTCATAACCTGATCCATACCACATCGCTCCTCACCCCTCACCCTCCATCCCAACCTATCATCCCAACTCAACACAACACAATACAACACAATAAACTAACCAGAACCCCCCGCACCAGCACCGACAGCGACAAGCCCATGTCGGCGGGCTTCTACCGCCTGGAGAAGGGCACGCCGCTCGTGTACGAGTACAACTACCATGAGATGAAGATCATCATCGAGGGCAGCTTCGATATCAGCGACGAGACCGGCACCAAGGCGCACGGCGTCGCCGGCGACGTCTTTTACTTCCCGGCTGGCTCCAAGATAACTTTTACGACGGAGGACTTTGGTCTGGCTTTTTACACGGGGCAGCGGGCTAGGGACTCGGCGTAGGTGGATAGGATGATGTGCTGTGGAGGAGGTAATGTTGGCTGAATGGGCTGGTTGGTGGGCTGGAAGTGGTGGCGGATGTGGTTGCGAATCTTCGGGTACTGATAGTGATGGGGGTTTGCTGTGTATTTGACTCGAGGATTAGCTGCGGATGAGCGATGTTAATGAGATATATCCTCCTTTTCAAGGTTATTCTTGGGCTTAGCGTGTTGATGCGAGGCTTGCGTGTTGAGTCCTCCACCCTGAATGGGCACCTATGCCCCGGTACATGCCCATCATATAGACATGTCCATGCGCCGACGATTTCTGAGCTCCCAACTTGAAAATCCATTTGTCGTTCTAAAGCCGAGCTAGACCTCTATTATGACTAAAACCTCGTTCATGTGATGGATTCTAGGGGTGTACTGTCTATGTGATACGAACCATGCCTGGGAATATCGATCCCTCGCATTGGCGGGTGGTTTCTGACGATCTTGATGTTTCCCTCTGGCATCCCGTACTAAACTACATGTATCCTAGGCCGGTCTGGCTTCGCTTCACCTTATGACACCCACAAAACAGGTACCGACATCATTAGGCCTTAACGATATCATAATATTGACGTTGGGTAGACACGCCCTTGAGGATCGGCGAGGAGCCCGCAAGGCGGCTCGTTAAGCTTGATATAGGTAACAGAATAACAAGGAAATTATCCTATGGGCTTCTAAGGTACCACAGCCGTTCCTGTTCGTGCATTGATCATGGATACATCCTCTTCCTACGTGGTTCCGGCTTTGTGGTTGGCCAGACTGCACGCGGCTGTGCGCGGCTGAAATCAACAAGAGACACTCCAAGGAATGTGGCGATAAGTAGACAATTCCAAGATGCATGTGTAACACTAGGGCTTTCAGACCTGCATTGTGGGACGAGGATTATGCTTCCATATTCTATTTCCTACTACCTTCCTCCTGTCTTTGTTGATGAGCAGGCCTCCCAGTCCCCTACATCTTCCGACTTTGACATGCGAGTCAGAGGGCGACCTTCCTATCCATGTTCACCCCAGAGTCGTGCCCTCGAGCAGCTGGTCTTGCTCAATCTGTAGGACTGACTGATCCGCAGGCTGAAGTTCGACGCATCACGCACTCTGTCAGAGGAGCCGTCCCCTAGGGTGGTTTAGGGCTTTGCCGACGACATCCTCAGTACCAGTACGGAATACATTGAGTCGAGCTAAAAACTAGGTGTGATTCAAAAGCAAAAGAAGAAAACGATCGTACCACCATCGAGGGCACTGCTCGATGAGACTGGTCAATGACATACGCACGCCTGGTACGAGATACGTTGGCTCGAAATGACATTTAGGGGGCGTCTCTAGACGAGAACATGATTTTGATCGTACTCCCACGGAGGCACACTCTGCTCAAGACGACTGATCGACGAGACTCTGGAAGAACCACTGGCCCACTCAACTGGTTCAGAGATCGACAGCCCGCTTGGGGTCACCTGAAAGCAGCCTCTGATGCCTCGACATACTTGGAAAGTAACAACAGTCGTGCTTCCGCTCACCTGAGCCGCCAACGTACTCTACTTACTCAAGAGACAAACAGGCCCAGCTACATCAAATCAAAACTCGCTTGCCGCGCCACCCTCCTGGATCTGGAATACTCGAACGAGGCTGTGTCGGCCCAACAACTCGCCGGCTCTTGCCTCATTTCCCTCTTCACCTCCACCAAGCGCAGCCCTTGCATATCTGAGCACCCGAGAATCATTTCCTGAGCACCTTGGGCCTTTCTGTACGATCTGGGTTCTCTCCGAAACTTCAAATATGGTGACATCTCTGGGACTAACTATACTATATTTCAGGCTTCGCGACAAGAGGGACCTCCTCACGGACACGACCCACCGTAGGGACCTCGCCCATCGTGAGGCTTACTCGCGACAGCCAACCCGCCTACGAACCTCAGACCCACGACCAACCTACATCGAAAGGGAGAAGGCGTCCGTCTCGGTACTTATCGGCCATGGCATAAGAATCATCCGTATCACATTCGCCTCGAGTCAGCCACCAGCATCGACGGCACAAAGTCGAGAACCACTGTAAGAAGGACGACCTACGTCCCACCGAACTCAAATTCCAGCTCATGGGGGCATTCATAAGCATTGATTTACTTCTGGGATGCCCGCGGAAGTTCATGGTCTTGAAAGTTCCAGACTGTACTATCCACTGAGAGGCCCTCGCCAGTTTGTTCCGAATAGCCACACAGGAGGGGAAGATTGGATAGGACTACCTTGTTGTCTCTTGCGCCCGCTATCCACGACAAGTACGAGTGATCAGCCCAATGAACAGTGGGGATGGTAGACCATGGCCTTCATGGGATGAGGACTCACATGAGAACGCATAGTGTGCGCTTCCACGATGTGTGTGCTCGCATGGGGTCACAGTGAGTCCTCACAGACTACATCGCGACCCTCCGCCAGGTCTTCTACCCCGAGCCGGGGCATTGGCATGTCAAGTGACTTCAAAAGTACGAAATTACGGTTCTCCACAAGGCGGCGTGGTATTAGCCCCTTTACCTTGTCCCACGGGCTTGTGTTGGGTGGACATCTTGCAGCTGGAGCTCATGGCAAGAGTGCCAGAGCCCTCAGGGGCACAGTGCTCGGCGAACTGTGGAACTTGGCGATTGATAATCGGCTACGACTTCCAATCCCTGCCGGCGTTACTAGTGTATTTGCAGCTTGTGTTCTGGAGTACTTTCCCCCAGATACTTGGCCAAAGTTTTGTCGGGTGTTGCCCAAAGTGCGTCAAAGTGCGTCAAAGTGGCACTCAAGCCCGGGCCTCCTATCACCCTGAAGTGGTTTGTACGCCCCTATGTACTTCATTGGGGTCCCGTCTATATAATTTCTTATACTCACCTGAGGAACCCGCATGGGCCGTTGTCGAACTAAGACCCAGCCTTCTTCGCCTCTTTAACTATGTTCCCTTGCACTGGAATGCCCTCCCATGCTTCATATTCCTCTCGGAGACATTACCCGGTCCCATATCCCCTCTCAGTCACCTGGCTTCTTCTACCCACACTTTTTCACCTCTTGATCATGTCTCCTCCTCCCGTTCACCCTTGTCATCCGCCTACTATTATTCCTCATCCTCCCCTCCCTCGCTATTGTAAGCATGATCGGTCGACCTCATGTCCTCCACTCTGTGCCGCATGGTTCGTCGTGGCTGGATCGTCGTCGCATGGTTTGTAACCGCATGATTCGTCGTGGCTGCGTCGTGGCTAGATCATCGTGGGCTGGGCCCTTGTCGGGTGACCTTTGTCTGGTCGGCGCATTCTGGTCTTTCCCATTCCTTGTCTGCCCTTCGCGTTCCTTCCGCCCACGTCCCTCCCTCCACTCTATATCTCGATTCCCTTCCGTATCGTCTTGTACCCCGGCCTATTATGTACTCCGTGCGCTTGCTCCGCATTCTTCCGTTGGTCGTCGGTCTGGCTTTCCTGGGCTCTTCTCCCTCGATCTTCAATTGGTTTGGTCGGTCGGTTCCTCTGGTCTGAGCGCTCTGCTTCTCGATGTATGGTTCTCGGGACTTGGTCTGTTTGTTCCCCTGGGCATCAGTTTGCGGATAATGCTCGAGCCGTCTCGGTCAGGGTGCCTTCTTCATCAAGCGATCGCCTAGGTGGCTGGGTCTAGAGGTCGTCGTGGGTAGATTGCCTGTCGCCATGGGCAGTTAGTGTCACTGCTGCGTGTTGGTCGTGAGAAATGAGACCCTCGTCAAGTGCCGCCTTCCTGAACCTTTGTGCATCACCTTCGGAGCCCATGGCCCGTTGTCGAGGTGGATAGCACGTCCACCCCAACATTGTGTCTCCCCTCCAGCTCTATGTTCTCCTAGGATGCGCACCAGCGCCCCGGCCACAATCTAGCTTAGGGCTCGCAACTAGCTGGCTGAGACCCTCGATGAAAACAATAATTTTTTTCCACCGAGTCAGTCAATGGAGTTGATATTTCCCCAACCTCCTCTTCCACCACCACATCAGTTTGCAGTGCTGAACACTACCACCATGTCACCTCTCCTCTACTTCGATCATACTACGATCCTTCCATTCATTCAACGTTCTTGTAAGTATTATCATCTTCTGTCTTTCCTTAAGCTTGCCTTTCTTTCACGCATCTTGCTCTATTCCACGCACCTGGGGCCATGCTCCAGTCCACGCATACGAGACTATTCCCACACGACTTGCCCTTCTCCCACATGACCTGGGTCTTTTACGCATCTTTCTCCCTTCGCACACATCTTAGCCTCTCCTACGCACCTTGACATTCTCCCGCGCATCCTGGAGTTTTCTCTCGCCCCCTGTCACTCCTCCTACGCTTCCTGCCCTTCTCCCAGGCATCCGAAATTCCCTTACGCATCTTGCTCCCTTACTCACATATTGCCCTTCTCCGAGCTTCTGTCTCGCACTTCGCTCTTCTCCCTCGCGCCTTGCCATTCTCCCACACATCATGGGTTTCTCCCAAGCACCCCGGGGCCTTTCCAACATACCCTGGGTTCCTTCCCACACGACTTATTCTTCTTCCAGGTATTCTCGAGTTCCTTTACGCACACTTTCCTCTCCTCGCCCCTCTTGGCCTCTTCCCAGGGGGTTTGGGCCTGGCCCAAGCCTCTTTCTCTCTCCCACCCATCTTGTTATGTCCACGCGCATCTTGCCTTTTTCCCAACGCATCATTGGCTTCTTCCCACATACCCCGAGTTTCTCTCGCACATCCTGATTCTCTCACACCAGTTTTCGGTTTCTCCCACACATCCCGTGTGTCTTCAAACACATATTACATTTCCCTACGCACCGTAGGGTTCTTCTCATACGAGCAATTCAAATCGGCTTTGGATTTGCAGGCATTTCATTAACAAGTCGGGACAGGACGATGCCCCTCATGACAATGCCGCCTTCCGGCCATGTCTATGTGGACAACAAGAAGCTACTCGTCTTTGACGAGCAGGGCGTCCAGCCTGAGACGATCACCTCCTCCCTAAAGCAGCATCCGAAAGCAAAGGCGGCAGTGTAGGTCACCACCACTGCATCGCAAGCAGCACCGACGGCTGACTTTGCCTGCAGATACCCTTTAAGGGAGCGCATTTGACAGCTCGGTAAGCCAAGGAACCTGTGCACCCGACCAACGCACACCCTTGGTACTGACCGACTGCTGTAGTTCTTCTGGATACCGATAGACGAAGCAAAGGCCGTCGACGCTCAGCAGCGATTCCTCCTCGAGGTCACTGCGCTGTTATGCACTGGATGACCTTTACGTACTGGGTGTCAAGGCCGTGCTCGACATCATCGAGGGCTACCTGCTCAGCAACACCGAGGTTGCCTGCCCCTACCACATGCACCCATCCTCTCCCACGCCCTCCAGTACGCCATCGACCAGATGCAAACCAACGAGCAGCTCAACTAGCCGCCGGTTCCCCAAACGCAGGCTGGACGCCCGCCCTCAGTCTGCCCAGGCTCCCAGAGCTGTATACGGCACCGCATCTCCTTGGCGGACACCAATTCCAACTGGACATTTCCAAGGCGCCAGTAGTCGCATGGTCCGCCAGGCCACCACCTCGCCCGGCACCAAGGCTCGCGTCGTCCATGTCGCCACACTCCGCCCAGCGCAAAGACGCTCGCGAGTAGAACTGGTGCGCTGAGTCGTGCGCTGTCTAGCTTTGCTCGCTTCAACCTGAATGCACCCCCGCAACCCTCCACCACGCCCACACCGGCAAGGAAGGAGCGGAACAAAACAGGGATCCTTGGACGTCGCCAAACCACCATCGCATACTGCTAGTTGGGTAGAGAAGCAGGCTATGAGCCTATAGTTGATATACGCGGTATCAAAATCAATGCGACTACGCGGGAAGGCGGCCCAATGAGCAAGATCATCAAGCAGTTGACCGATGCCGGGCCGCATCCCGAAGTCACCAGGTCGCCCACATCAAAAAGAAGGCCGCCGAGTTTGAGAGCAGTGGTGGCGCTCCAGGAAGGCAACTTCGGATCGATGGCGTATTACTCCAACAGCCAGGGTTTTGAAGCTTCGCCCATGGCTGCTGGTCCTGCGTTCCGCGCCGAAGAGGAACGAATCAGTGGTACTCCGACCAAGGAGAAGAGCGAGTACAGTGACAAGAACACTGAGTGCTTCTGGTGACGGCTCCGTACCTGCCACCGTGCCTCCATCTAGCGGCCAAGCAAGACTGGTACGGCGGTAGTCATTACTGCCAGGGCTGTTCGTACTCCTACCACAAGGCATGCATTGGCCAGCGGCCTCACGCGAGCATCGATCGAGCAAGATCGGCGACGACAGCTTCGTGCTCCAATGCAAGTTCTGTATCGGGATCTGCAAGAATAAGGACAAACGCGCTCCGGATCACTCCATGTGCCAGACCTGTAAGCTGCGTGGTGCCTCATGTGTTGAATTCTCCCCTAAGAAGACCACCAAGCAAGAAGCATCCGAAGCTTTGGATGGGAAAGCTGTCAGAAGGCCAACCATATTGGGGGCGGGCCGGGGTGGGACTGCGCAATGAAGAGGTTCCTTCATCCAGGTGGACAAGGGCAGAAAACGCCTCCCAGTAACTCTAGGGGGTAAATTGCTGGTCCGTTCTGAGGGTACCAGAACGCCTACAGAACATTACCAAGGAATTCTGGGTTTTGGATCGTGCGAAGGGCCACCCGTCACTCTCCGCCTGGCAATCACTCACTGGGAGCAGCACTAGAAGCTGTGAAGCGGCTACCACGGCTGCAACCAAACCTTCGCCGACTCGGCGACCCTGGGCAAGCACATGCTCACCCACACCACGGGCGACGGTCCCCCCCACCACTGCGCCTACGGCAGCTGCGATCGCAGCTACAGCCGCGAGGACACCCTGTCCGACCACATGCGGCAGCACTTGCTGCCTTAGGGTAGCGGAGGAGAATCCGTCGATGGCGGATAGGGCGGCGGGCAGGCCGACCCTTATCCTGCAGTCTCGGTGCTGGTTTTGTTGTTTGGTTTTGGCGTTGGGTTCGGCGTTGGGGTTCTGCGTGCGTTTTCGCACAGCAAAAATGGAATAAAATGTGTTTTCCATCCTTGCGCACCTGTGTACCCGAACATCCTGTGGCACGTAAACGAGAAAGGAGTTGCCGTTCCTAAGCGCGCAAAGCAGCAGCCACATTCGAACGTGCCATAAAGACACGTGCGTGGAGCTTCATGTTGATCCCAGGGTTAAAAGAGAGATTATCCTCATCGCAGGAGCTGGTGGGTTTGCTTTGGGGGTTAGCTACTAGGTGCTGGTCATTGGTATCAGCACTGGTATCAACTCTGGCTTCTACAGGGACTTATATAAGGGCTACAATAAGGGCTCCGGCGAGGGCATCAGTAAGGGTAGCATTATCATCATTGACGTGGTCGTGATCAATATCAGCTTCGGCGTCAGCATCATCATCGGCTTATCATGGGCATAGCTGTGGTATTGATCAGGCGTGGAAGCCCTGTATATATACATGAATGATTCCTTTGTTCCTTGTATGCTTCCTGACAGCAATTCTTCCCCCATCCAAAGCTTCGTATCTTAGACACGAAGCTTTGGATGGGAAATCACTAGCTTCTAGCACCAGAGGCAGCAGCTACAACAACGCAGTCTACAGCGCTCCTCCCAGCCAGTCCTATGGATCCTACATGTAACTGGATGCAGTAGGCGCCAAAAACAGCCTTTCTGGCCATTCATATCCACCAGGCACATGTGCTGGAAACGGTGGAGGTCGGAGGCACACATTCGCCGGTCTTAGCTTTCGTGTCGTCCCCTTTCCCGGCACTCTTGTTCACAGAATAAACAGGTACTGATTACCCTGCGCGACCATGAACCTTCGGGGGATACCAGTTCAACTCTTGCTGGACTGAACATGGCTCCGAAACCCGCCATCCTCGTCTTCGGTAAACTCAGGCTTGTCAGTCTGGAAGGAAAGACTCGGAGAAAGACCTAATGCCTGCCACCTCCAACATCAGGCCCTGCCTGTCAGAGAGGGACTCACTGGCTCCAGACATCTTTACTCTACCGGCCAAGTCATCCTTCCCCTAGCAGACTGCCTTCGAAGTCCGAACCACTCGGAGAATGTAAGATACCCTGGCAAGAATACCCGGGAACCTGAGGGCTAACTGTCTTCTAGGAAGGACCAGAATTCTGTAGTTATTCGAAGCTTGGCAAGAGCGCAACCATATACACGCGGAATCAACACATGCTTATTGTCCTCTTTCCCTTGCAAGGGTTGGACCAATCAACTTCGCCTAGAAGTAGCTGTCAATGACCCGTTGATCAACAGAACAGGGACTGTGCTTTGATATGGCTCTGCCACAACAAGAGCTGTACCTTAGTACCAGAGTCGCCTCAGACAAGGCAGTAATCCGTGAACGGAAAGAACTGGAAATCGCATGGTTTCCAAGACGCTGGTCATGTACTAGAATCGAGATGGGCAATCACGATGGAAGCAAGCGCCGATGATCGTGGGTATGCTTCAACTCTTTCGGCCAAAGAGAGCCCCGAAGGCGATCATATAGCTGGAGAACATTCCGAAGGAGGAGAAATTCAAGTTCAAGCCATAATCACAGGCCCTTGTGGACGAATGGAATATCCTTCTGGCGAGTGAAGGAGCAGCAGCTCCTAAATCTGGTACCGGGGCAGCTTCCGCAACAGCCAACGGCGTCAACGGCTTCAGGGACAGAAAGCTCGATGCCAACATGCAGGTCCTGAAGATGCTCACCTACAAGGCATGAGCTCAAACACCAAGAGCAGCAACAACACTGAAATCAATGTCCACAGCTCCAAGCCTCATAGAGTGATCACAACTGCGACGCCACTAGACGTAAGAGCTCGGTTCCCTTGGTGGATGATTTTTAGCAGCTTGGGCTGTTGCGACCTCTCCTGGAATGGGCTTCACGTTGACCTCACCTCCACCACACTTGGCCTTTCATGTCTGCTCGACAAAGGCGATGTAAAACATCCAAGCTCCCTCCTTTACCGGCTCGAAGCTTTAGCCCCTTTTATACCCACCTGGTCAATCGGCGACATCCATTCCAAGCGGACAGTGGCACAAATCGTCCAAGCTCCCCCCTTTTATGATAGGCGCTTTGACTCCAAGCAGACAGTGGAGCCCCCCCTTTTTACGATAGGCGCTTTGACCTTGACCCTGTCTTTCAAACCATCTGGACTGAGCAGGCTCTGATCTGAAAACTTTTCTCCTGGAACATACACCATTGTCGCAACGAAGAGTTCGCCGCGGTTGTCAACAGCGATAGTCCTCTGCGGATAGCATGTACCCAGTTGACAAGTAGGACATTCTCCTTGCTGAGATCACTGCTCTTCACACAAAAAACAGCCCTGTCCTTGACATACTTTTGGCGACCAACACATGCTGGTCACAGAGAGTGTCTTTCAACTAGGAATCAGCATGGTCAAAGCTTGCCGATATCCGAGCGCATGCACGGTCATTCGCAGTTGGCCACTGGCAAGGTAAGCCCCCTATTCTATCAACATGAACTTCGATATGTGGGGCAGACAGTGGATAAAGGGTGGCATCTCCAGACCTGTCACAATGAAAATCCTCCATCATTCTTACCACACACAATGCCAATCCTTTGAACCCTCCACCACTATGCAGTTGGCACGCTAACATTAACTTGTGCCAGACAGCCCTTCCCTTGCGATAAATTCACCGGTTTGATGTCTGCGACTCCAATCTCCGATGCTCTATACATGTCACGCCGCTAAGGATTTCTTCTTCACGTACAACAAGAAAAGTCATTCTGGAGTCACCAGCAGTCGAGCTGTGCTAATACATCCGTATCGAAAACTGACCTGAATATACAGACAAGTGAACACAAAGAGCATGCACGGGCATCTGGGTTGAACTCAACCCAGAGGCCGGTTCTTTTTTGGCGATTTTTGGTCGTCGGCGACCTACCTATAGGACATGTAAGGAGCTCACATGATCTCCTCTGCGCAAAGAGCCCATGTACTGTAGCCATGCTGCATACTAAGGGTGGTGCCCAAGGGGCCTTGTGCACAATAGGCTTGGCTCATACAGCCGTGCTGTCGTTTAAGGTCAAGGACGACATGTGTCGTCTTGATCTTAGCTGCAAGCCAGGCGACAAAGTTGTGTCTAGAGCAGAGGCAAACCTGGACTCACCTCAGCTTCAAATACCTTGGTACTCTCTTTGGAGGTAACTATTCGCGGTATCCTCTTCTTGGGACCCTTTAGTCATGTTGGCTGTTGCCTTCTTAGGGGTTGGAAGTTGGCTCCAATGACGATGGACAACTAGGAATTGATCATAACGATACGTGCGTATTAACGCAAGGCTGGGGTGTCCTGGGCCTGGCTCAGACACACAGCCGAGAAAAACAGCTGGCAGCTTGGCAACAGGAAATTCATCACGAAAGACTTCCTCAACCAGGCACGGCTTGTCTCTGCTGCGGGTGCGACTGTGCCTTCTGCTCTGCTACTAGGGAAGCACGGAAACAGCGTGATCAGGGCAAGCGTCGGGCTTCGGAGTACCGGGAAACGGAAACGTGATTTAGTGTCACCAAGCTCTGAATATGATGGTGACACCATTGTTGTCCTCCCCAGCCAGGCTGCCGCAGACCAGGAACAGTTGGACTACCCAAGAACGGGATCTCAGTCTCTGCCAGCAAAAGGCCTAGACCTTGAAATTCCTAGTGGAAACGAGATGTATTCCTGCGAAGTACGTGTTGATATGAATCGTACCTAGGTATCCAAATTGAATCGGGGGCGCCCAAGCTGGGTGCCCTCCCTTTTTGGCCTCACGCAATATCGCCGACGAGCATTTGTCGTACTACTATGCAAGCTGCGACAGGAATGTCGAGGCAGGACCTACCCAGGTTTCATACCCCTGCAACATCCCACACTGGAGGTAATCCCATACGGTTTCAAGAAGATCAACGAGCGTCACGTCGATGCAGCAGAACAGTATCTGAAGCGATATGAGATCGACCGTTGATCTATCTACATTGGCGGCCTGCACTCAGACATAAAGACCTCGGAGGAGATTATTTGAGTTGCTATCGGACAGCATGGCGTGATCAATGTTCTGCTGCGGTTATGAGTACGCCCTGTCTTGAGAATCATTCCCCCTCCCGGATCTTCAAGGGACGTCAGGGGCGCACCGGACCTGACAGAGGTTTTGGTCTCTTCCAGCCCATGGATTCTAGCTCCGCAGGTCATCATAAAGCCAATGCTTGGACGGCAAAGCCCATGAGCCGAAGAATCATATTTGAACTCGGACTTCCCAGCACGACATCGCAGATGACCTGCACCGGGAGAGACGGGCATGGTGCAAGGCTATTACTTGGGACCGTCAACTGGTGAGCCAGACCGTACCTCCAGTGCATTCGTATCAGCTAGATCAGCAGCTGTACCAGAGGGATCCCACTAGGCCTGCATAAACAACACAGGTCCAGTCAAGCGGTGGAAAACTGGCATAAGCAGTGGTTTGGTGGTTATTCGAGTCCATTACCCAGGGAGAACTGCTTATGCCAGGTTGCTTATGCAATTTATTGAGTTCCAGCAATATCAGTGTACCTAGGTACGGGCAGGGTGGAAAGAGCAACTGCAAGTTGGGAAGGTGCAGTTGCCGTTCTGGGCAAGAGGCAACAGCCAATTGGGTACGGGTCCTCCACTCGTATCCCGCCTTTCTTGCAGCTGACCCAACACCTCTCCCATCTCACACACCTTGCACCTCGCACTCCAGGCACAACCGTCGCCGAAACTGAACACATCCTGGTTCAAGGACTGTCGGTCATTCTCGCCCTCAATTTCACGGCATCTGTGCTCGGATCGAATTGACACCCTCGACGCCTTCTCCGACACGGCATCCGGTTTGCAATTGGGTTGGCAGAAGGTAGGTTGCTACTTGCACTCACCAATCCGTCGTGTCTGCCCTGCCCTGCACCTTTCGCCACCATCCCGACCACTACCGTCTTCAATGTCAAAGAAGTGTTCACTGGCACGCTTGAGAAAGACCATGCCCACATTCACAATCCACAAGCACCTGAGACCAGTTCCCCTGCACTTGGAGATATCATACATCTTCTCCACCTTTCCATGGAATGAGAACTACGTGCACTATCAACATATCTTTATGGTTCCGACCAAGAACCAGTTGCCAGAGTCGTCCGCAGTGTCATGGGAGCTTCCTCATGGGCTTTGAGACGCGTTCTGACCAGCTTCGAATTCTAGTCTCGAACCACTCAGCAACCCGACAGTGACCTTTCGAGCGTGTTCTTTCGGCTCAGTCTGTGAAATTCCGCACCCGAAATTGCACCCCAGAGTCTCGATACCTGCAGTCTAATTGAACACTGCCCTCTCCCACCCCGAAGGGAACGGCCTTACAACCAACAACCAACTGCTTATCTGCCAGCGTGCTCGTGGCCGTTATTCAAAGGACCAGTACAGCGAGAGTGTGTGAACCAACAGTGGTAAGGGTGTTCTCAACAGCCCCCCTTTCACATTCTATGGAGATCTGCGAGAACCCTTCCCTTTGTTGGTGAAGCTTTGATTACTGCTTCTGATGGTGCATGGTTGGTGACCCTGTACTGGGCTTACGTTGTGATGCTGTACGTTCCCGAGGCGGCGTATGTGTAACTGCCCCGTTCCATATGGTGATGACGCTATACTATCCGGTTATTGGATATATCCTGTATCCCCTTGGCGACGATGATATACCTCTTTGCATCACGTCGAAGAACGCTCGACTTGAAACCATCACCGATACAGAGTCAGACGTTGTTTATGACGTATACATACCCTTACTATACTGGCCGCGGACCCCCCCTGGATGGACGATGGAATGTTTTCAAGCGCCATCTCTTGCCTGCCCAATTGTACATCTGAGCAACGAGACGGCGGTCGCCGCTAACATTACCTACTTGCAGGCAATGGATCCTTACCCCAACATGGATCCCTCTTACGCCATGCCGGGCCACGACGAGAGCCTTCAAGGAACTCCTCTCACCGATACCCCTCTCCACCCGTCTCCGTATCCTCGGCAGCAACCCCAGATACCGCTGGTCTGCTCCATCTGCCCCAAGAACTCAAGTTTCTCCGACATCTCCCATCTATTGACCCACGTCAGCTCAAAGGGCCATCTGCACAACTACTTCCAATTGTCCATTTCTCGAGATATCGACGAAGACGCAGCTTTTTCCCTAACGGAATTCGATACATGGTTTGAGGAACATAATATCAACGCCTTGCTTCGAGTCAGAAAGACAGCAAGAGATCAGCGAGGTACCCGTCAGCATACTCGAGGCCAAACTCCGACAACCTATCGAGGCAGCGAAAGCTCCACTCGACGAGGCAATCGTGGTGGTCGAAACAATCGAGGCGGCCGAGCGCAAGCTGTCAGTCCCCCCCCACTCCACCTTTTCAGATCAATCTCATACCGAGCCAACAAACCTCTAACTTTGGATTTACCACAGCGTTCACGAGGACTCATTTCTCGAGAACCAGACCCCGAAGAAGTTGACGAGATCAAGGACGAATCCGAAGACGACAACGATATGGACTACGGACATTCCTACTCTGTCGGCCAAGCAAGCTACCCCTGGCAGACATTCGACGGCGTGATGTCTGCTGATCAACAGATTGGCTACGTGGGCTCTGGCGCGGGCCATTTCGAAGGCGGCTACGTGGATGATGATGATTCTTCCAAGTACGGACGTTCAGAGGGTATCAGTCCGTTCCCGTCTGAAGATACTGTCGAGCCCGATATCGTGGATGAAACGGGCACCCTGGTCCTGAAGGGTCTGGTATTACCAGGTATGGCTGGCTTCGATGCTGCTACTCGCGAAGCACGGAAGCAGCGAAATCAGCGAAAGCATCCGGTTGTCCTTCAGCGCCTTAAGATTTGCTCTGAGCAGATCGACAAGCGGGAAGAGGTCCTTAACCGCAATTTCGAACTCCAACGTGTTCGAGATGTCTACGACGAGCCATCGATTGATGGTAGTGCGGTAAGTTGGCCATCTACTGGATATTCCAGCCGGATATTGACCAAATCTTAGGACGAAGACGAGGTGAAGATTAAGAAATCGACGCGTCGAGGCCGAAAAGCCCCCAAGTCCGCGAAGAAGCCTCGGGCTGATACGACGTCGCATCGAGCTACACGCACTAACACTCGTGCTCCTCGGGCCTCTGCCCGCGCAACTCGTCACACCGCTCAACCAAGCGCACGAACGCATGTCCCCAGTGGCAGAGTAACGAGATCGGCTGCCAATCGCCAGGCTCAGATGCCGATACATGCTCATGGTCTACTATCAGAGACCGACATATTCGATGCTACGGGTCTGAACGGCGATGACGGTTGGCTGTCCCAAGACGACCTTGCCAACGACCCCTGGCTAACAAGTAACCTGCAGGACTCCTCAAATCTCCTCATGGACGTAGAGGACGACGGCAGTGAGTCTAATTGGTCTGATAACTAGGACTACGCACTCACTTTTAACTAGAAATGATAGCCTTCCAGGCCTTGCACTGAGACCAGGCAACCCAAACCTCGCGTTTGCATCGCCAATGTCGGGCCTCAGGAAAGCTTCCCCAGCGCAGTACACCGGCAAGGAGAACAGTCATCATGTACTAAAATCGCCATCATCTTCCTCTAACCCCTACTTGCAAACCGCGGGTGACCCGGTTGACAACAACAACTACAACCCCCTCTACGTCCAACCTCGAGATAGTCTCGGCTTCCGCGTGTATTCGCCTTACGACGAAGAAGCAAAGCCATCTACGACAGGGAGCTTCCACCCGATCAACACCCATACGGGTTTCGACTCCTTACACATGCCTGGTCAGAACAATGGTCCCTACCATCGAAGCCGGACTGGAGGCGACGATTACAATATCTAGGGATAACCAAGGTCGACTCGAGCTGCAGATGTAGAACCCCTTCACGAAGCACCAGCACCCATCAACACTTGATGGGACCTTACCCATACCGCAGGTGATATACCTTACCTGACCAGAGTCTCGGTAGGCCGTTCACTGTGAATCGTCTTGGCCATCACATCTTAACCTCGTCAGTTACAGGGCAACCAAGGTCACCTTTACGGCACGATCACCGACATAATCACAATGCCGCCGAGTTATTCAGTTTCCATTCACCAATTTTCCTTCTTCTGGTGAGTGGACAGACAAATTTGCGATCTGGCTTCACAGATCGTACTCCCCTTTCTTACAGAAAGCGTGTCGTTCGGGGCGTATTTCCTAGTCATCTTCGAGCAAGATTGCGTCTTACAATAACTTTGAGACTGATGCGGTGCTTTCATTTGTTTTCCCAGCAGGTTGATGACACGGCGATTCTTCCGCGGTGTCCCAATATCGCCGATTCCACTCACTTCATGACTTGAGCAACACGGCGACTTAGAGGGTTGCAATGAATTTCATCAGTTCTGCCTACTTCATCTCCATCAATCGGCGCATACACGGCCTTGTCACTATATACATCACATTTTCATCCGAATGCGACCTTGAACACCTCAATCGGGACACTCAACATCAGGTTCACCGTTGAATGCAATATTGCCACTCGACAAAGAACTCGAGCTGGTTCACCGTGATACTCTACCTGAATAGAGAAGCCAGTGCTTATATATCAGCAAGGTTCGCTGGTCTTATAGCGGACGACAGTCGCGTTTACAAATTCGACAATTGGCGGTACACCTGAGATATTCGACATGCCCGAATTTCTTACAACCCCAAACACGTCACATGGTATATCGGGACAATGGTCTGATGACCGAATTAGATCCCGAAGCTTGGGAACCTGGCTCTTCTCATCCGGTCTCGACGTTTCTCTCATGTTCGGATCATCTTCACTGATGAGACTCAACGGTGGGTTTTGCGGCCAGGGTGCCTAGTGTGGCGCGCCTCCCCCGATTATCCGCGCCCTCGGCTCTGAGCACAGCGTTGCAGATTTCTTGAAGCCAGACCGGCGAGAAGTAGGTTCCCCTGCTCCATCATGTGCCGTTGCCCGTGGTCGGGATGCTGACTCGCTCACCAGATGAATCCGTTCGCACAGACCGCGATGGCTGTTCCCAACGGACCGTCCAGGTACACTCGAGATTGAGCAACGGGATCAGGATAATGGCACTCGACCAGGGTAGGTATGATGGTTGGTTTTCTTACTATCTGATTCCTTATGGATCACAGATTCTATGCTCTGGAAGGCAGACATCTTAGACATATTCGGCGGATAAACCCTCTGTTAGACGCACATCGACGCCAACATGTATATTACAGTATAGCTCTCATAACTAACTCGCGATGCCTTCCCATAAACAAAGTTCTTGTTCCTCGTGACTCGCAATTCGTGATATTTTACACCGGCTGAATATGTTTACAGTTGCTCAATACTAGCTATGAGATGGTCCAGCTGATCAGGACCGTGTCCCAGTACATCCATCAGCAATCTCGCCGCGCCACCCAGCCTTCGTAGTTTCATCTCTTCCTCGAGCTCTCTTGACTTTTTCGAAGCCACGTCCAACACCTTGCGCGGGATGCGCGCCAGCCGCGCGACGTTGAGGCCGTAGGACCTGTGGGCCACGCCCTCGCCGACCTCGTATAGGAACGTGATCTCCTCATCCCCATCTGTGTCTCTCTCGTCCTCGTCCCCTTCCCCTTCGTCTCCCGAGCGGCCATCATTCCCATTCCCTCCTATCAGTCGCCTCCGACCGGACTTGCCCCCTTCCCTCCGGGTGGCGGTGAAGCGCATGTGGACGTTGCGGCAGCGGCCCCCGCCGAGGCCGTCGGCGACGCGTGCGAGGCTCTGGTAGTGCGTGATGAAGAGGGTGAGGCAGTGGGATTGGTCGACGACGTGGTGGAGGACGGCGTGGGCGATGGCGGCGCCGTCGTGGGTGCTGGTGCCGCGGCCGAGCTCGTCGAGGACGACGAGGGAGCGCGGGGTGGCGGCGCGCAGGATGCGGGCCGTCTCGGAGACCTCGACCATGAAGGTGGACTCGCCGGCGAAGAGGTTGTCGCGCGCGCCCATGCGCGTGTGGATGGCGTCGGTCAAGGTTAGCTGGAGGGAGGTGGCGGGCACGAAGGAGCCTGTTTGGGCGAGGAGGACTAGGAGCGCTACCGCGCGCACGAAGGAGGACTTGCCGCCCATGTTGGGGCCCGTGATCAGGTGCGCGAGGGGCGCGGGGGAGGCGAGTGTCGTGGTGAAGGGGATGTAGGACGTGGTGAGGGTCTGCTCGGCGATGGGGTGGCGGCCGCCCTCGACGGCGATGGTGGGCGGGCTGTCGGAGGGCAGGAAGGTCGGTTTCGTGTAGCCCGGCAGCGCGGCGACCTTGGAGAGCGAGAGCAGGCAGTCGAGCGTCGCGAGGGCCGAGACGGCGTCGCGAAGGGGCTGGTAGTCGGACGCGATGGAGTTCAGGAGCGCGACGAAGGCTGTGTCGCAGGCGGCTGAGAGGGCCTCCTTGTGCTGGTCGCGCTCCGAGACTAGGCGCACCACGTCGGGCGTGTGGAAGCGCGAGAGCTTCTTGGTGCCGCTGATCTTCATCCAGGATGCCGGCACGTGCTTCAGGTCTGTGTTGGGCACCTCGATCAGGTACTCGATGCCGGCGACTGTCACGTAGGTCACGGTGGACTTCTTGGTCAGCTTCGAGGCGGCGTCTTTGCGGTGGGCGTCGAGTTCCTGCTCTACGCATGCGATGCCTAGCTTGTGATCGGTGATTTCATCCGTCTCCTCGTTTTCTCGAAAGAACGCATACTTGTCGTCCTTGCGCGCGGCGTCGGCGTTGATGCGGTCGAGGTACGAAAGTACGGTTGGTAGAATCCTGGGCAAGGAGGCGATGGCATTGCTGACGGCGGCCGCTTTGAAGCCTGTGTCGGCAGGTGACTTGACGCCGGCGTATTCGGTAGCTATTTTCTGAAGGGTCTGAAGCACAGCTAGGAGTTCCGGCCGCGTACACTTGCCGTAGTAGATTCGAATGAGACTGCGTTCAAGGTCGGTCTTGGTGTTCCTCAGGAGGTGCTCGATTTGGTCAACGTTGACGGTCGAGGTATTTTCGAGTAGTTCCTCCACTGCGGCCACTCGCTCCTCGAGACTGTCTTTGTCGAGTAACGGGCGGCCTATCCATTTACGGAGAAGCCGTTGACCGAACCTAGTCACGGTCTTGTCCACGGCCCAGAACAGACTGCCCTTCTCGGTGTGGTCAGTCTGGTTGCGATACACCTCCAGACTCTCCAACGTTGTACCATTGATAAGCATGTGCTGACGGGCACTAAACGATTGAAAGTACTTGGTAAGGTCGAATATGTGCTCGAGACCGTACTCTTCCAGATGGTTGATCATTGACGATAGACATATTGTGACCGGCTCCGGCAGTTTCAGCACCTTGTCCAAAAGGGCACTGGCTGTCTCGTCGCCCTCGTTACCTTTGAGTTTATTGGAATAAAATTGGGTAACGCGTGAATACGCTTCGGCCGCTATTGTCTTGGACTTGGGTATTTTCTCCACTCGACTTCTGTCACCGAAGACGTTTGTAGAGCTGCCTGACAGATGCTGCAACAGCTTGTCGGATGCTTTCGAGAGCTCGCCCACAATTAGAAATTCGCATGGTGAGATGTGCAGAAGTCGAGTCTCGATCTCGCTCCGCATGAAGCCGTCCTCGAAGTTGTCGTATATAATGTCGCCAGTTGCGGGTTGTACTGCAATGATACCAACATCGACTCGCTCATCGGTGCCCCATCCTTTAGCTTTCGACTCAGTAATACATAGTAGATAACCGCCGGCTGGAGCACCTGAGTCCGGTTGCTGGTCGAGCTCTCCAATCTCATCGACATATGTGCCTTTGGTGTAGACATTGGTAAGCTTTCTCGTGAAGGGTGCGTTCCTGTTGTCTCCAACTTTCTTCAATGCCGCAGTCTCGACCTGTCGTACGACTCCGACTTTATGGCCGGCTGCCACCAGTCGCTTCGCATGTACAGGCAGTCGGTGAACGGGGATACTCGCAGAGGCAAAGCGATCGAGGTGCGCCTCTGAGGGATGCTCGTCGAAGCGATATTTCCCCGGTATGCAGACGATGCTCAGCTCCTTGGCAGCTACGCGGGCGTCCTCGCCAAAGAACTTGAACTTGTAGCCGACCTCGACGATCAATAGCGTATCCATGTGCTTCCTCTTGATGTCCAAGACCTGAATTTCCATGGGAGTAAGTTTCCCAGTCTTGGCCCCCTTTTTCTTTGTTTTGGCCGGCGGTTCTGGCTCTTCCTCGTCGCCATCTTCCCAATCCTCGTTCTCGGCGCCTTGTGTCTCGTCATCGCCTTGCCAGTTCCGCCGCTTAATCTGGGCTATGCTGTCGGGGCGGCCCAGCTTCTGGACGAACTTGCGATGCAGTTCCTCTTTCTTACTCTTTTCGAGCGCATCCTCTTTGTACCATTCCTCTGCAGCCACGGGCTCCCTGTCGTGCGAACTCGACTCGTCGTATCGGTATCGTTCTGTTCGGACGCCTGGCCTGCTGGGACTTGTTGGGGCAGGATCCGTCGCGGGCTTGCCGAAGAAGCTGCTCTGGCCATCGGGGAAACTCCCTTTCGACTTCTTCCTCAACGTTGTATCATTGCCATTGTCGGTGTCTTCGCCGAGTGGGCGTTTGCGGGAGCTCTCGAAGGAATCATTGGCATTGCCGGTGGGCGATTCGTCCTGGCTTTTATTCTGGGACCTCTGCAGACTTGCTGCTAGCCCATTGACGGTTGCCTTTGGGGTGAAGAAGGAGGTCAACGACTGCTGCTTTTTCTGCTTTGCTGGGCCAGACATGATGTTGTTGGATGCGTCGGCAATGCCGGTAGAGAGAAACGGTCCAGTCCCAGCGATGATCTAACCTTCCAATAGAGTCTTAGACGCGTCGTCGGCACCCACACGCGTTGAGTGTTCAGCACAGACCACCACCACCCGTAGCCCCGGTAGCCCCGGCTCTTTCTGCCAGCCGCCTCCCTCACCGCCTCTGAATCACCATAAATAAGTGTCCTCCCTTCCTCTCTCTCTTCTGTTTCCTTTCCTTCTTCATACTTACCTTGGAACGAGGGGGGGAGCTCAGAATTCCCTCCCCTCAGGGCAGGAAGCCTGCATTGCACATCGCGGCGCTGATTGCCCTGTATTATCCTTCGGGATCGTACGTTCCGCAATTTTTGCTCTCATTCCCAAATCTCTTTTTCGTTGTGTGCGGTGCTTGTGCATCGCCACGAGGAAGAAGTCTCTCGTCTCCCGTCGTGGCTTCCAAGGTTGCCGGTTCTAGTTTGCACGTGCGTGTTGGGTTGCAGCAGTTTTGGAAGGCTGATCCTGGAGATCCCACTCCACCATCATTACAACAACCAATTGACAACACCCGTACTCCCCTCACCTATCTAGGTATTCACGACGTTTCAATTAAGACAGCCGGCATTGCCTGAACAAGTCTGACTTGGTTTCTGCAATCAATAGCTCGTTGATGTCCTCTCCCAGTCATAATTCACGTCTGCTGGGGAGCTCGAGGCTTGGGTAGATCTTGATTGCAAGAGACTGGCCAAGTTACGAGGCTAGAATCACGTCGCTACGGTGGACTTCAGCTTACATTCCAGAGTGACGGTGTGACCTCACAGTGCCAGCTCCGCCGGGTTCCCGTTGAAGGCCAGGCGATTCGGGCTGCCATTCACATCCAGCAGCTTGTCCTTCGTAGCCAACGCCAAAATGCGCGTCCATACCTGCGCCGGCGTCGGCAGGTCCTCACGCGCCATCAGATACGCCGCAACACCGGCCACATGAGGCGCTGCCATGCTCGTCCCCATAAGCGTGGCGAACGCATTGTCATCATCATGCCAAGTACTCCTGATATTATTGCCCGGCGCGAATATGTCCACGCAAGCGCCCAAGTTTGAGTAGCCCGCCCGGTGGTCCGTCTCGTCGGTGGCCCCGACCGCGATGGCATCCAGTGCCGAAGCTGGCGAAAAGGAACAGGCGTCCGCTCCGTGGTTCCCGGCTGCCGCGACGACTGTCATGCCGGCGCTGTAGGCGGCCTCGATAACGTCCGTCAGCGCCGGGTCCACCCTGTCAACACCGAGGGACAGGTTGATCACGGAACGGGACAGGCTGCTGGCGTTTCGGGCGTGCTCCACCGCTGCGGTTGGTGTCAGTAAGGCGACGCCTGGTCGCGATTGCTGAGGAGCGCTACTCACCCCAATCCACGCCAGCAATCATGGAAGAGTCGCTTCCGACACCATTTGCGTCCAGCACCTTCAACGCGAATAGCAATGTGGTGTTGTCGACACCAACAGTGGCGCCCCCTACTGTTCCAGCGACGTGGGTGCCGTGCCCGTTGTCGTCCGTGTCCTGCAGTGGTGTAAGCTGCCGTTCGTCTAGACTTGAATCAGGTTGCTTACATCTGCGCCGTCTACAAAGGTCTTTCCCCAGGATGCGCGGTTGCCGAATTGCTGGCATTGATGAGCAAGATTACCTCTGTACGGCTTCGAGAACAACGATTTACCCTGTGCGAGGTGCGAATACCAGTGTCGATGATGTAGGCATGGCTTGGCAGAGCATCTGGGTTTACACCCGCGCCGACGTATCCTCCGATACCCGGTCCCCGATGGGAGACCCGGCCAAGACCCCAAGACCCCTGTTCCACTCCGGCTGGAACCATTCCCACCGTCTGGGGGAGGGGGACAGGCGCCTGGAGACTCACGCGGGCGTCCTGCGTGACGTAGTCGACCTGCCGCCGTCAGCACAACTCTTGCCCTTCACAGCAACATTCGCAATTACCATATCATGACCTCGAATAGCTTGAAGCATGTCATCGTCACATTCGATGTGGTACGCGTTGAAGTCGTGGACTTGGAACTTCCTCACGAACCCCTTCTTGCCCCCGACAAGCTTCAGGGACGAAGTTTGCATCGAGTTGTAGTGTGCCTGGATACCCTTCGCGTCGATGCCTTTCTTCATGACCACAATGTAATTGTCGTCAATCAGGTCCTTCTCGCCCCTCTTGATCAATGGTGCCGTGCCCAACGCCATCGGCGCCAGACCGACGAGGAGTAGGTTGATCAGCTTCATCATCGGTGCCCTTGGAGTAACGAAAGAGTGTGTGAAGGTTGGTTCTTGGTGGCAGTGAACGACCGGAAGAAACGAGTGAAGGGTGTGAACGAGTGTGCGTATGAGCGTGTAAGTGCGAAAGCTGACCTGGGATGGTCGAGTCCTGTAGAAGCTAGGAGTTGGAGGTCGAGTCTTGCTTTTGTAAATTTGCTGTCATTGCTGACGATGTCTGACAGAATATCCCGTCCTCTACGAGTTGTGACGAAAGATTCAGACTTGGAATCACAGCATACTGCGTCGACTTCAGATTGTGACCATCTGCTTGTTCTAGTGACTCATCCATGCGGAGAATTTGCCATTCCAGGAGGCCATGTGGTCATGTTTGTTACATTGGCCCGTCGCGACTGCATCCACACCATCCCGTACCACACATATTACACACGCTGAGAGATCATCTCAAGGGTCGAAGGTGTAAGTATGTGCAAACAACCAGATGTTTGTGCTGTACGACTCGAAGCGGTGCTATGTCCCGACAATATTCCTGTACGCCAATGTCTCGACAGACGCAATCCACTTGAGTCACGCCAGCACGTGGCTCTGTACGGTCAGGTGCATCGTGACCGTTGTTTGATGATTCATTTCCGGATGACGTCTGGCCTCCGTCGAGGTAGTCAGAATCCATAGATACGCAGCCTACTGCATCCAATTGGCTCTGCCCTGACCGCCCAAGAAGAGCGGTGGTTGTGCGTGTCGTCTCGAGTACAGCAATTGTCGTAGAGTCCCCATCCTAGAGTTGATGGTATCTTAGTTAGTGAAAGCAGTCATCGCGTGGACTCGGGCACAGCGTACGTGTACACGTATGCAGTTCAAGGGTGCCTTGACGTGGTCCCCTGAACACGACAGACTGAAGACTCACCAGGGCCAGGTCCGATGTATGGGTATGGACAGTTCGGGGGTACCTGCAGCGACTCTGCCACGTGCGAAGGTAACCAAGTCCCATACCCACCTCCTGTATCGGTGTATGTGTTTACATACCTCCTCGTTTCATCGTCCTCTCGCTGCGGGCGTCCGGTCGGTACATTTGCACAGGACTTCCTGACGTTTCGCAGCATTGTCGGAGGTACCTTGTGTTGTGGAATTCCTGGGGTTTGGTCGTACACATGTACTACCTTCATGTACTTCCTTCTGTGCGAGCGCCCCAGCCTGGGTATCACGAAAGCGACAATATCGGGGTACAACAACACACCCTAGAGCTGCGTATTTGAATATTCGGTCCTCAGCAACTCCTTGCTCTCAATTTGCCTTTTGACCACCAGCAACATGGCGGTGACTGGATCCTTGAGCGGGTAGAATTCAGCATAAGCCATGACCGTCAGCCACGTGCCAAGCCGCCACCGACGGTAATTCAGCGCAGCAAAGCAGACTAAGGTTAGCAGGTGAGTACTTATGGCAGTTTAGTCAAGAACTCCCTCAGCAAAGCAGCGGTAACTAACGACGGGGACTTATATCCTAACACTCACTCTGGCTCAGTCAAATGAGCCAGCTTTAAATTGCTTTTTGGCGTCCTAGAGTTCCACTACTTTCTCACCTCGAGGTCTGCTGTTCAGTTGTGGCTGTGAGCTTTGCCTCAGTTCCCCCTTTCCCCCACCTTTGCGCGAGTTATTTCTTGTAATCTTGTTCCACCCTCCAGAAAGCTTATTTTTTGATCAAAAGTTTACAACTTTTTTTGGGCTTGTTTTTTTGGTCGGTCTTCACTTTGAGGTTTGAAGACGAATCGTTCATGCATTCCTGATCATGGCCATGATAGTTTCATTTCAGCTGTTAAAGACCTTCTTCTCAATCCCATCTTGAAAAGTTCACAGCCTGTCAGTTAGCTGGAACTCTGCACTATGGAGGAGGATTTGTGCCTGTTTGAAAGGCGCAGTCTCTCCAATAGGAACACGAAGTTAAAAAACTCTCCCCTTTCTCCGTGGCTTTCCTTCAAACTCAAACCATGGATCGCAAAGTCTATTTCTCGTTGGTCTCGGAGAAAGCCATTGATTGCGATATTTAAGGTCCTGAAGATGTTCTTCTCAGTCCAATTCCATCTCTTTCGACTAACTTTCCACATCTTTTCTGGAATCGCATATGAGTCTCTCGCCACACTGAACATCACAATACTCATTGTTCAATAGATATCCGCGCCCTCCGTCGCCGACATCTCCATATCGTCATCATGTCTCTCCAACTTCAACTTCACGCCGAGCACTGCCGCTACTGTGGCACGAGAGATGACTTGACGCCCTGCTTGCGTTGCAAGCACGTCCACTTTTGCAAGCATCATCGTGGCTCCAAAGACCACAAAGTCGAGTGTTCTCGGCTATTCAACGGGTATCAGCAATTTATCGCCTTCGAGGCGATGCAACCCCTTAATCATCAAGGCGTCAAGGAATGGTCAATTCCGTTTGCCGCACTCCCAGAGGCTTCGAAATCCAGCTACATGGCTCACTGTCTCAACTATGCAACAAATCTCCTGCAGATCGACCAAGTACAACGCCAAGAGCTCGCGTTGGCGCTCCTCTCACGAGTGTGCAGCCAGCCAGACGGCCCCGAGCGACCGAGGAAGATTGGACGACTTGCAGCACGCATGCCGTGCCTGCTGCTGCGGCTGGGCAAAGACCAGGAATGCTACCACTTCTGCAAGTGGTGGAACACGCCCTCCACAAACTGGAGATCGAAGCAAGTGGCAGAGCTTTGGAACGAACCACCCGCCGATAGGCTTGAGTCTGTCGATTTCATGCTCGTCCAATGCTCCCGGGGCTATCTCGCGGAACTAGAGGCGCTCCGGTTAGCAGGCTGCGATATAGCTTACTACGCGTGCATCATCTTGGTCAAGATCCGCATCCTGGTCAAACTCGATAAGTTCGGGGCTGTGGACACACTGATGCCGAAGTACGCGACCCCCCAGGAGATCGCCGACATGATCAAGAACGAGATTCTAGACGACGACTCGATCCCCAATCGGCACCGGCTCTGGCCGCGAGAGGCATACACGACGCACATCGCGAATCTCAACTTGCAGATTCGACAGCTAGTCGAGGGAGTCAGCCGCTGCTTGCCCCATTTCTGGCCCGAGTTGCTGCGCATGGCGGACAGCCGCGATCCGATCACCTTACAGCAAGAGAAAAGCCAGAACGGTACGTGGGGCATTTCTGGAGGCTCCAGGGCCCTAAAACATACCTTTAGGGTGTGGCAGGAGACGCCTGGGGCTATCGAGATGGTTCGCAAGATCGTGTCAGCGCAACGATGCGAGCTCAAGGCAGTTGCAGGGGATTCTTAAGCAGCAGAACGTACGAATGGGTATACCGTATGCAGCTAATATAATAACCGCGCAGACCTTACTTCGAAGTCATTATCACTACAGCGTATACTATGTCGCTTTTTTCTTTAACACCTCGTGGACTCCTTGCAAATATGACGCCTGGGACCACACTTCATTCAGCGTGGACCTTTTTTCGTTGCTGTTTTTCCTTTTCGCTTCTGCGGGGTACCATTGCGATACTTGGGTCTCTTTTGATACTCATTTGGATCTCCCCACTTGCCAATGTATATGTTATGCGAGGAGCCGTGGCGTATGTGACGGTCATAACGTTAGAGCCTGTGTGGCATTGAAGAGACGGGTTCACCTTTCCCTGTCAATCAGGGCGCGGGAGCGATGTAGATGTGCACGAACGTGTTCCATTGTTCGCTTCCATGCTTGCGACACCGCGTTTTAGACGCCACGCTTCACGAAAGGCTGGTGCTGCTATACCAAAAACGAAAACTCCATAACCAGTCTATATATGACGCCGACGGCCAACTATCTTACAACTCCCAGACCCTTCGCCAAGTGCAGCTAGAGTCACTTGCAGGAGAGGATGTCGTCCAGGATCTTCTTCACGATCTTGGTCCTCTCCAGGCTCGCGTGTGCAATTGTGCGATACTTTTCCTCGTACTCTTTGCGATACTTTTCCTCGTCATACTCCTTCCTGTGGGGGGGTTCCGATGTCACGGGCGGCCCCACAAGCTCCATGTCGCTCCAGTCCACCTTTTCCTCCTTCTCGAAGGGCGAACCAGGCAAAAAGCCCGGCCCGTCCATATCTGACGTCCAGTCCCGGTTCAGATGTTTCTCGACTCGGCCCTCGAGGCTGTCGTTTATGCTGACGGAGACGAGGCAGCTGCCAGCGGGGGCATTCTTCAGGACCTCTTGCTCGATGGGCAGATCCTCCAGGTTGCACTTCTCGAGGTCCCTGCCTTCCGCCCCCTTCCTTATGATAGCCGATCTCCGTAATTCGGACAAGTTGTTCATGTCGATCTGGCTGAGGACCCATTTGAAGTCACCCGCTTTTGTGCACTTGCCTCCCACGTCAGGAAAGTTCACGTTTAGCCACTGCGGTTGTTCTTGTCAGTACTTGCCCTGGGAAGAGAAGTAGAGAAATGACCTGAGAACAAACCGACGATCTAGGACCGCACATGGGCTTTGATGCCTAGACCTTTCGTGCCGATAGACTGAAAATTTGCTTACCACGCCTTTGGGCCACTCCGAGAAGTCTTTCGACCCCAAGATCTGGCCCACGAGCTTCGTGCTCAACTCTGCGTATACAGGCCTAGCCTCGTCCCAGCTTTTAGCTTCAGGGGGATCGGGACGTTTAGCTGTAGGTACGCGAGCCACGCCGGAAAGGGCGACCGCGGGTATCCCCCTGCGCGAGGCAAAGACGGCGTTTTGGCACGTGCCGGAACTTGGCAGTTGCTCTCCCGTGTTTCTGTAGTCATTGATTCCCGACAGGACCAGCACGGGACTGTCGGAGCCCCAGGTCTTCCGGCCTAATATGTCCAAGCCGTATCGCGCCGACGTCACGGGGTAGGAACGGACCCAGTGGATTGCCGGGTCGTCCCGATCGACTCCGTTGGCTACGTCGGTCTTCGCATTAGGATCTAGGCCTCCTATAGCAAGAAGCGGATGGTTAGTTCTTGACAGATGGACTGATTTGTCTTGTGTGCAGTATACCTTTGCCAGACTGATCAGTTTCGGGCGCAGATATAACCGGCTTGACCTTGGACCCGTCCACCAAGAGCTTCTTCAAGGATTGGTACAGAGCAAGGATGTTTGGGTGCTTCCAGCCGTCGTCGTTCGTCAGCAAGAGTGGGGCGTCGGCACCCAGAGCCAGAGCGGTTGAGAGCGCGCCGGCTACGGCGAGGGCCGAGAGAGCGCGTCGGGTGTGCATTTCGAGTTTGGTGGAATGGACGTATGATATGCGACTAGTTCCTTTGGAGGTGTATGCTACCTCAGATAGATAGGAAGTCCGAGACGCTGGCAATGCAAAGTACTCTTTGGATGATGATAATACAATTCGGACCAAGACGGGACAAGCCACTGATATATATGTTCCCGCTGGCCCAATGTCCAGTGCTTCAGAGAAGGACTCCTTAAGGCGAGGCGAATACATCGTCATCTAACGGACCCTTTTTGCCTTCGCAGCAACTAATCCAGATTCCCCGTACAGGTGTCCAGGATGGTAATGGTTAGCGGTTCCACGTGAATCTATTAATGGTAATAGGTAGAACTTTACGCGATGGAACTCTTATAAGAATTGTCTTATAGGAACTTCCTCACAAGAACGTCCTTGTTGGGTATGCAAGGTTTCCCTTCAAGACACCGAGCGTAATTGGATCATCGTAGCGACTACCGGTATACCATCGCGGCTAGCTCAAACCCGGCAAGATGACCTCGGCGCGTCCATCCAGTCTCGGGGCCGCCGAAAGAACCCCTACCTGGCTGTGACTTGCACTGTGATGATCATATTTCCATGATATTGATTGTCACTGGTCCCGCGTCCATCAGGCGGCCGAGTCATATCAGGCTTGGCCCGTTTCTGCCTTAGCCGCATCGTCACCACACCCGCCACAGCCTAGAGACATCTTTGAGTCTTGATGAACATGGGTCCAAGAGACGTGCGACGGGCCGCGCTGCCTGCGCCCGCTGCGACGCCGGCCATGTGAGGTGTGGTTGCGGGACTGGCCCTTGCGCTGCCCGCGCTCTTGTAGGGGGCAGGGAGTCTTGTGTGTTGGTTGTAACACCTCCGGCTCGAGCCTCTAACACGATGGCGACGATGACGAGTGGGAAAAGGGGAGTCGAGGCCGACGTCGTAGAAATAGCCAGCATCTCTTGATGTAGCGACATGCACACGTCGAGTCCCAAACAAAACGCCGACAACGATGTCTAGGTATTGTTGATGAATCAGGGGGCTAATGGCGGGTAAGTTACGCCACGCGACAACCTTATTAATAGTTGTGACATACATATGCGAGATCCAAATCGTGGCGGGCGTTGGTGTCTTGTGTCTTGGTGAGATGCGAGATGCGAGATGACATAATGCCGTTGCTGCGCCCCACTACAAGCATGGACAATGGACACTGGACAGCTGTAGCCTTTAGCTCATGAGCGCCAGCTTGGCAGCCTGCACCTTTACATAGGTACCTAACGGTACTTGTGATCTTGTCTTGCGACAACAACAATGTTCGAATTTCCAAAGACCCCCGATCCCGACTGTCCCTAGTACCTGCTTCAACTCGGCCGCCGACTGCTGAGCGTCTGCGAAGATGGGGCCCTACGACGATGGCCCTGATGACTGCAATGGCGCCGACGCCGCCGCTCCCGGTAGCAAGGATATATACGTCCAGCTGGTCCTCTCCTTCGCCCTCGGCATCTCAGCCTTCATTGGCTTCTGCGTTAGTCTGCACCCAAGCGGGTACGCGTCGCTCTCATACTGACTGTTGACCCTTCGAAAAGATACTCCGCCCGCGATGGCAGACACTTTACGCTGCGAGGAAACGCCACACCAACGCCCAGATCGCCCTGCCCGTTCTCCCCGACAGCTTCCTGGGATGGATACCCGCGCTATACAAAGTCACCGAGGAGCAGGTTCTCGCATCTGCCGGCTTAGATGCCTTCGTGGTAGGCAACAACGTCTCCAAGACCCTTGAACAATGAAACAGGCGCTGATCGGGAAGCTACCAGTTTCTGTCATTCTTCAAAATGTCCCTCCGTCTATTCGCCACTATGCTCCTCTTCTCCGCCGCCGTCCTATTGCCTATACACCAAACCTTCGATAACCCCCGACAAGAACCGAATCCACCCAATAGCTCTTCGACTTACGAGGTACTCACGGTAGGTTACCAACCATACGACCCAGCCGATACCGTCTTTGTCTCAGAAGCCAAGGGCCTCAAGGATCAGAGCTGGAGTTACCTCGGGGCGTACCTTGTTTTCACCTGGTTTTTCTCCCTCCTCACAGTATACTTTATGAACTCGGAAACCCACAAGGTCATTCAGATACGGCAGGATTATCTGGGCACCCAGTCCACCATCACCGACCGGACGTTTAGGTTGACGGGGATCCCGGAAGATATTAGAACAGACGAAAAGATCAAGGAGTTCGTCGAGAACCTAGAAATCGGTCACGTCAGGAGTGTCACTCTATGCCGAGACTGGGCCGAGATCGATGGGCTCATGGCTGAGCGACGCTCTATTCTGCAGAAACTTGAGGAAGCTTGGAGTGCTTACATGGCGCAAACGCCAACCCTGTCTCGAGGCGCTGGTGGCCCACAACCGAACGGCGAAACGAACGATGACCGAGAGGATGGAGAGAGCTACGCAGAGGCGCATGAAAATGGTCGACTTCTTGCCGGGAACAACATTCAGAATCTCATTGCCGAAAGGGTACGGCCCAAAGTTCGTCTTCGGTTTGGTTTCCTTAAGATGCGAAATCGCAAGGTCGATGCGCTCGACTACTACGAGGAGAAACTGCAACGCCTTGATGGGAAAATCCGTGCAGCCAGAAAGAAGGCATATCCGCCTACCGACATTGCATTCGTGACAATGGACTCCATCGCAGCCTGCCAAATGGCAATCCAGGCCACGGTCGATCCAAGACCTGGGCAACTGTTATCCAAACCAGCGCCGTCTCCGTCCGACGTGATATGGAAGAACACTTATGCGCCAAGATGGCGACGTCGTCTGCAGTCCTGGGCAGTCACTGTCTTCATCACGTTCCTGTCAATTCTTTGGTTCTTCCCTGTTGCCATTCTAGCACAACTGCTCAGTATCTGCACCATTGAGCGGATTGCGCCGTCCTTGGCCGACACTCTCCAACGACACGACATCACCAAGGCCTTAGTCCGGACTGGTTTGCCTACCCTGGTGGTCTCTTTACTAAGCGTCCTGGTACCTTACCTCTACGACTATCTTTCTAACATCCAGGGCATGATATCACAAGGCGACGTCGAGCTCTCGGCCATATCGAAGAACTTCTTCTTCGTCTTCTTCAATATTTTCGTCGTGTATGCAGTATCGGGCAGTGCAGCGCTTGCCGACTTCTGGAAAATCATTCGAGACTCCTTGAGTGACACCAACACTATTGCCAGAAAGGTAGCCGAGTCGATACAGAACTTGAGCACCTTCTACCTCAACTTCATCATGCTTCAAGGCTTGGGTCTGTTCTCGTTTAAACTCCTCCAATTCGGCAGCGTGTCCATGTACCCGATTTATCGCATGGGAGCCAAAACCCCCCGAGACTTCGCTGAGCTTGTGCAACCTACTCTATTCAACTACGGATTCTACCTCCCCACCGCTCTGCTGGTGTTTATACTGTGCCTAGTGTACAGTGTTCTTCCAGGTTCAGAGCTGGTCCTACTCCTAGGTCTTTGCTATTTCGGACTCGGGTACTTCGCTTACAAATACCAACTACTATATTCCATGGACCAGCCTCAGCATGCCACTGGCGGGGCCTGGCCGATGATATGCCGGCGTATCATCGTTGGCCTCGTGGCATTCCAAGTTGTCATGATTGCTATTCTAGTATTGCGCAAGGCGTTCATCGCCGCTGTACTTGTCTTGCCTTTGGTGGTGCTTACCCTTTGGTATAACTTCTACTTCGCTAGGCGTTTCACACCACTCACCAAGTTCATCGCGCTTCGAAGCATTAAGCGAGATTCAGACCCCGGCTCTGAAAGTCACCCCGATCGACTCGAGTCCGAACAACCGGGACACCAAACCCGTCTTACCAGGCGAATGAGCACAGTGGACGAGGATAGGGAGAAGGGTATGAAGTTTATCAACCCGAGTCTTGCTGTCCCTCTGGAACAGCCTTGGATCTATAAAGATCCGCCGCCGCCGCTCTCTCCGGAAGAGGCCGTGGGTACCTCTATCGAAAGTCCACCGAGCTCTGAAGGGAGCCGTGACTCAACGCCAGAGGGTAATACACCGACCGGAAGTGTGTCGAGCGCTTTTAGTCTGGGGGACACGCACATATGGCGAGATAATGGCGACAATAACGTGTGATTGGGCAGCAGGGAGACAGACTGCCTCAGTGTGCATAGTGTTACGCAGTACTTTAATCAAGTCGTGGCCATCAATAATTGCGTCGTATGTCTGAAACTCTCATCTTACCAGCCCTCTCGGTGAAGGCCGATGCTTTAAGTGAAGTGAAGTATTCGAACAACAGAGCTTTTGAATATTCATATCCGGAGGTCCGCTCCGGGTTGTCATCGTGTGTAGAGCTCATGAACAGAACTGGCGAAAATTACCTAATCAGACACTACGGCCACATACCGTCAAACATGAAGAGCCAGTCGTCCCAGTATGCATCATACCTCCCAACAAGCCAGCTCCGCCCATCCCCCAAGCCCCCGACCCTCCACGGCCGGGTATTCAAGCCCTCCCTCTGCAGATGTCTCTTCAGGGCGACGTTGATACTGAAGCTACTAGGGCTGACCCCGACGAAGTAGTCCGCGCCGAGCAGCACAACGTAGTCAACCAGGGCCTGCTGGTCCCAGCTCATCGCCTTCAGCTGCTCGAGGGCCCGCCCTTCCAGCAAGTCGTACTTCGACCTGACCCTCAGCTGTAGACTAGCCTCCGCCTCGTCGGCGAACTTCCGCGCTTCCGTCTCGCTGCCGCACGCCAGATACGCAAGGCCCCCCCGGTACCCCTGCCGCTCGGCCTCGGTTATGTATCCAAGACTCTGATTCTCGTACGACGGCCACTGCGCCAGCGCATCCACCTCCGTGCGCAGATGGACCCCCAAGAAAGCGGAGGGCGACCGCCCACTCCCACTTACCCCCCTTTCTTCCGCCTCGCCGCTGCTGGCCCCCAGCGCCCCCATCGAAGGCACAATGCCATCCGCCAAATCCAGCACGTCGTCCCGGAACCTCAACAAACCACCAAAACTAGCCACGAACTCCGGCCCGTCGCGGTACACCGGCCAGTCCCACAGCTGCGTGTACGTTAACATCCTGTCTATAAACCCGTATGGCAAGTTTCGAGATGGAGAAGGAAAGAGAACAACAAAGCTTGTTCCCGAAACCAAGCCTCAGGGTCTTGTAATGAGATGTTTTTATACGTACGACGCCCCACGCCAGGCGGATTACCTTCGGATTCTCCGCCGCAGTCGGCTCGAGCCCCAGCTCCCGCGCCGAATCCGCCATCCAGGCCCGGAACGCCGCGCCGAACCGGTCCGTGTGCCGGTTCTGGTCGCGCGCGTCGCACCCGCCGCGGCCGCCGTCGAAGCCGTGCTTGGGCGTCACGGTCTGCACCATGCGCGCCACCCCGCCGTCCCCCAAACCTTCGCGGCGCGCCTTGGCCGCCACGCCCGGCACATCCTCCAGGCGCTCGTAGATTCGTAGCTGTGGGCAGGCGGCTGCGAGCGCATCACCGAAATGCGCCGCGTCGAACAAGTAGGCCAGCGGCTGGTGCCCGCGGAACAGGTCCCGCGGGTCGTCGGGGTTGCGGGTGCGGATTTGTGGGGTAATGAGCGCCGTGGCGCCCGCTTCGATGGCGTATCGCACGCACGTCAGGATGTAGTTGCGGATGTTGCCCGGGCCGCCGCTGTTGTTGTCGCAGAGGAACACGAGGCCCGGGACGGGAGTGGTCTCGGCGCAGAGGCGCTGCAGGGGCCAGGACACGAAGGGCGCGCGGGCGCTGGAGAGGTCGTCGACTATGGTGGTGGTGGTGGTGGTGGTGGTGGTGATTGTGTGGTCTGGGCCGGGTGTGGAGATGTTATTGTGCGTTATACGGGCCCATAGGAATACAAGTCCGACAGTGAGGATTGCGAGGATGCCTGCGCGCCGCACCACTTGTCGCTGCGCCATGGTCGTAGTTTGTTCGCATGATGCGCTTAGGAGGTAGCTAGTCCTCTGACTGTGAGGTCGCGACCAGTAGATGTTTCGCGGACGCCGAAGCCAGGTCAAGGAGGTAGAAGTTGCTCATCATTCCACGTGGTCGACGGTGGCTCGAACGCGGATAATTACGCCGGCTTCTCAATCGCTGCCTTTGGGAAGCGGAGGGTTGGTCCCGAGATTTGCTCCCTTTTTTTGGGTGTAAAACGGTGATCGCCATGCTCAGCGTTCCCAAGAACGGAAAATGATTCCATACACATTGAACCCAAACGTCAACCAGAAGACACTTGGATCTGCACTGTCACTCTCAGTTTGGCGCGTGTTGGGTGTATTTTTGTGGTGTTGAAGCGCTAACTTACAACACTCAGGGGAGCCACGACAATCGCGCTGTAGGCCTGTAAAACTCGAAAATCACGTAGAGAATCAACGGAAGCGTGTGTTAAAGGGTAGGCAGTGACTCCCAGGTTTGAGAATATCATAGTCACGACCGGCCTTTGGGTGCATTTCTGTGTATGCGATATGAGCATCTTACCTATATCGCCAAGCGCTCTATGTATAAGTCGACCCTTGGAATGATGAACCGTGGGTCGGTTTATACAGGGAGTTTGTCCCTCTCGACCTACATAGCACCTCCTGGCAAGGGGGTTTCAATGTTGTTAGTCTCTATGAGGAAGGCCTCCAGAGGGATCTCCAACTTCCCCGCTCATAGATATGCACCCTGTAACCCACGACAACCTGACATTGATACGTTACCTCCTACCTGCTCTACGGACCATGGTGCTGGCTCGGCCTTCTTTCACGAGCTCGTGATGATGATTCGATGCAAGCAGGTCGAGGCAGGCCGCTGCGATGGCTCCGAGGCCTGCAGGCTTGACGTCAACGGGACCCCTGGGCCATCACATGCCCGCATGCATACAGAACGCTCGTCTGGCAGTCATGTGCCTTCGATATCTTCAAGACATTCCCGCTCATTCTGCCGGTGCAAGTTGCCTGTCGTGGTTGTTCTCTTTATAGTCTTTGCGGTGCTGGTCTTGGTTCTCGTTCACTCAGAAGCCACCGCATTCACAACCGAGTCGGGATTGCAGGGACAAGTCAGGAAGATGTTCTCCTTCTTTGGGAGTCCCGCCGCCAGCTCAAGATCCATTCCCGGCCTTTGGCAGGGGCCGGGAATCGGGTCGTTGCTATCCAGGATTGTTGTTGGCCTCAAACTGTCGAGGATTGCGGACGCGATGCCGAGTGCGCGCCAAGCCACCCTCAACTACACCACGTCCGAGGCGGGGAACCCGTTCGTTGAGGGCTGGTATGCGGACCCGGACACTGAGATATACGACGGGCTTTACTGGGTGTATCCGACATCGTCATACGCGTACGACGAGCAGACATACCTCGACGCCTTCTCGAGTCCGGACCTCATCAACTGGACGAAGCACCCCAACATCTTGACCACGGCACATGTGACCTGGGCGACGAAAGCCGTATGGGCACCAGCGCCCATATCGAGGAACGGCAAGTACTTCATCTACTTCGGAGCCAACGATATTCAAGAAGACGAGGCGGCGGAAGGAGTGGTTGGCGGGATCGGCGTCGCGGTCGCGGACGCACCGGAGGGCCCGTACATCGACGCGATCGGCAAGCCGCTCATCGGGGACTACCACAACGGCGCGCAGCCGATCGACCAGGACGTCTTCATCGACGACGTGGACGGGCAGGCGTACATATACTACGGAGGCCACTCCCACGCCAACGTCGCCAAGCTCAATGGGGACATGATCTCCATTGGCACTTTCGACGACAACACCACGTTCAAGGAGATCACGCCGGAGAACTACGTCGAGGGCTCGCAGATGATCAAGCGGAACGGGGTGTACTACCTCATGTGGTCGGAAGGCGACTGGACTGGTCCAGATTACAGCGTCAGCTACGCCATGGCCGACAGCCCCCTGGGCCCTTTCGAGCGGGTGGCAAAGATTCTGCAGCAGGATAGCGCGGTCGCGAAGGGGAGCGGCCATAATGGAGTCTTTCACATTCCAGATACGGATATTTGGTACATCGTGTACCACCGCCGGCCGCTGAGCGAGTCGGACGGCAACCACCGCGTGCTCGCTTACGACCGCATGTACTTCAACGACGACGGCACCATAGTGCCGATCACGATGCTCGTCAAGGACGACTTCGCCGACGGCAACATGATCGGCTGGACGACTTATGGTGGCGGCAGTTGGTCCGTGGCAGATCGGAGACTCACGGTGGATAGCTCCAGCGACGGTATTGCCATGTTGGATACGAACTTCACGGAATTGGTCTTCGAGGCCACCGTCTCGGTCGGGGAAGGGACTGGCAATGCCGGCCTCGTATTCCGCGCGGCCAACCTCTCCGCTGCTCTTGACGAGTTCAATGGGTACTACGCGGGCATCTCGCCGGGTGGATCTGTCTCGCTTGAGAAGGCTGTCGACGGGACCTGGTCGTCACTGAAGGAGGTGACGATCGACTTGGTTCCGGGGACGGAGTACCCCATGAGAGTCACGGCGGTTGGGACTGATATCAATGTGTTTGTCAGCGACATGGACCTAGCCAAAATCACTGTTAGCGACGACTCGTTTGCTTTTGGGGCAGACGGCCTGGAGAGTTTTGAGGCCTCCGCTCAGTTTGGGCTCGTGTCTGTCGCTTATGCGTAACGCGGAGCTCAATTCACATACTGCGTATATGGTATCGTTATTTCGTAGCCGTATTTCCAATCACCCGCGGCATACTCGCCTTCTTATTGAGATATGCTTTGGTATCAGCAAGCCGATGGCGGTACTTTATAGATGAGTTCAACCCTGCTGGCTATTCACAGCTCAGGATAGATATGACAGATGAAAATATGAGAAAGTAAGCAGTCTCTGTTGCCCTCATATCGAGCCATTCGCGGGCCGGCAAAGAGGTGCATAGCATGTGAGTACCCATGAGATCGCCCGATAGGCCATGGGAGTACAGTAATTAGCAGTCATCGAGCTAGGAGACAGGTGGCTGCTTATTCGCATGAGTCCTAAAAAGGGGCCGAGCCTAATAACGATGATGCATACACCGGTTGCTATCTGACGATAACTTACTCGTGACATACCCCTGCCCAGACAGCCGACATGCAGCAGCTCAGCACAGCCCCCGCCTCAGTCTCGCTTGCCAAAGAGGCAGCAATGGTACCCCCGTGTCACTGGAGCCAACACACGGCGGAACCGTACATATGTCCGTGATCTTTCCCGCGTTGACACTGAATATGTGGCTATCCGTCATGGCCCGGTCCGCGACCGAACGCCCAGCTCTGGAAGCCCCAGACACATGTCCATGACGGGCACCTCCTTGTAACATGACACCTATGTTGAGATGACTTAGGAGACACAAACTACTCTACCGTATTGGTGTCTGCTTCTGACCACCTTGGAGTGTTCTCGTCACTCGTACGGGTGCACAGGGGCGAGTTTCGAGATATGTTAGATAGGGTGTCACTAGACAGGTGGTAAGTCCTGACTCCTGTAGGATTGTGTGGCACAAAAACGAGGACCCTCGTAATTGCTTACGAGGTTATACTTGGTCTTATGGTGGAGGCAACACATTGCGTGAAGGGCATACAAGACGTTGCGTCGGAAACCAAGAACATGAGGCAACTCAGCGGTTGTGAAATGTTGCACGAAGGTCCGGCACTGACAAGGAGGGGGATCTGAGGTCACATATCCCGGAACCGTTAGCTGTTGAATACACGGATGTTGATTGATGCTATTGATTGTTCTGCTCTGCGTGCAGAGATTGATCATCTGTCTTCTTGGTGGGTCAGATGCCCTGTGCATCTCTGCCCCACTGGAGATCTTCCGGTGTCTATCTCCGGCTCCCATTCAACAACTAGCGACCGTCTGCCCCACTGCTCAGCTGTTACGCTAGTGGGACGCGTGGGTACCGAATTTGCATACAAATTCGTCCACACCAGGTAGATGCAGAACCTTTAGATAATACACAACCGAATAAGAACGATAATCCGCACTGAGGTTTCACATTAATACTTTTAAATGAAAATTTAAGTATTAACTTTGAATAAATAATCTTTATTTTAAAAGATACATTTAAGTTATAAAACTTAATTGAACTTTAAACTGTGTGAGGATTGTGGTAGCAGTATGGTGGCAGTCAGGGAGGCTGCCAGCTGACAAGGGGTCAGGCAGGCACCTTGGCAGAATAAAGGGATAGAAGCACCAGGAAAGGTGGCTTTCATGGGTGATAGACAAAGGATCTTTGGCTGGAGGATCAATGGATGGGTACATCTTTGTATTTTGATGTGTATTTAGTACTAGATTGGTCCCCCAGACCCATGGATAAAACGCAACGCACTAGACCGATCATCACCCCCATATTCTGACTCTGATGATCCGATAAACTGCGTTTAAAAGCTTGACGTCTTTTATGTAGTAAATATTTCACTTTTAATATAATAAAAAAACTAAAACATTTACAATTACATTAATTACACCCAGATTTAATTCGTATAAAAATATTATAGCTCGTTAAGCATACTACTTTATAAATTACATCGAAATTTAAAGTAACTTTTATGAGAACGAAATAAAAATTACAGCTACAATAAAGCAATTTACTAGCATAATTTATAAACTATTGATTAATTATTAAATAAAAACCGTTAAACGTTATATTATAAACTGTATAATATAAATAAAAGTCAATTTTCTCAGTTAGTATATAATAGAATAATTGTTGGATCCATGCGATTCCAGACTGCAAACCATCTATACCAGGACCCACATGTATGATTAGATAAGATAAGATAGTGGATTGAGAGGGCACTTGGCCAGACCTTCAAGTCCAGCTAGATTCCTCTCAATCCAACCATCAGCAACATCATGACCTTGACCCCATACTCGAGTATTATGATTGATCGTTCAAGCCTGTTCCAACAATAATACTTATAAAAATAAAAATAAAACGCTGTTTTAAAGCTTAAACAAGGGCTAAAATAATAATAATAAACGATTAATGATGGCTTAACCTTATAGAGAAACGCTAAAAATCTTTAAAAGATTATTTAATTAAACTTTAACCGCGTAGAAGCCGAAAATAAATACTATTCTTTTAATTTTAACTTTTAATTTTATTCAATTACTTATTGTGAGAATATTAGTGCCTATCAGGTGTGCCGCAGCTGGAAGCAGGATGTATGGGTGGTGAAAGGGGTGAACAATGACCCAAAAGGGGTGAAAGGGGGAACATTCGGGCGTTGTCTGGCAGGTCTGTTGTCTGGTGTCGAGCAGACGGCCATCAAAGGGCTCCCACAGCTGTATTTATGTGGGAATATCCCTCATGGATGCATAGTTAAGACACCGAACCAGATCCATCCCATCTTGACCCTATCTAAACCCCTGAAGTTCATATTTAAAATAAGGTCTTTGTTTTTACTATTTTTTTAATCACTAACAAATAACCCTTGATATTATTTTAAAAAATTATTTTAAATTATTTAAATAAAATAGTATAATATAACATACACGTTAAATATAACCTTATTAAATTTAACGTTGATAAACCTTCATTTTAATATCACTACAAAATAAATTGTAATAAACTTAACTTATAAACTGTGACGGCTTGCACAGACCTTCCCACATGACAAGTGGATACTTCCTAATAGGGGAAGGATCTGACCAGAGGATCCCCTTAAAGGGGCAACCTCCCACTGTACCTATCTCTCTCTCTCTTCCTTTCCTCTCTAGTCTTGATATTCTCGTCAATTGAGTAATAGCTGCTTGCTGCCGGCTATGTCCCAGCTCCTCAGTACGCTTGCCGTGACATAAACGGAGTATTTAAATAATACTTATAATGAAGATTTTAATTCTATTACTCGACTTAATACTAAAATTATCAATAGATATGAATCAATTTACTACATTTTTCTTTAACGAAAATTTAATGAATAGGGGTTTTATGCCCCTTTCTTCCTTTGACCAGCTATTCTAGTCCATTCCAGCTGCCGCGCAGCTGGCGCCGCACATGCACGACACCTGCACGGCACCTGTATGCCAACAAATTCATTGAATTTTTATTACTTTAAAATTTTCTTTATCTTTTAGCTTATAACAGCCCTATTTTATTTAATACATTTGTTAAAACTTATCATTAGATATTATAACTACAATTATGGAAAAAAAAATTTTTTTTAACAATTTTGTTTTATTATTACGTTAAAGTATTACGACTAACATATAAGTAAGTTATTAAACAATATTTCAACTAATAAAGCTATTTATTACTTACCTAATTGCCACGGCGAGCGTACTGAGGAGCTGGGACATAGCCGGCAGCAAGCAGCTATTACTCCATTGACGAGAATATCAAGACTAGAGAGGAAAGGAAGAGAGAGAGAGATAGGTACAGTGGGAGGTTGCCCCTTTAAGGGGATCCTCTGGTCAGATCCTTCCCCTATTAGGAAGTATCCACTTGTCATATGGGAAGGTCTGTGCAGGCCGTCACAGTTCGTAATAAGTAAACACTTAAATACGTTTTAAAAGCTATTTAAAAGCGCAGTTGATTAATTAATTTACTATAACTTACGTCTCGTTAATATATTATTTATTATAACTAATAAATACTTTAAATACTTTATATATAACTAATTTTGTAATCTAATTAAACTATACTTAAACTTTTTTTAATAATAACTTTGAAAGCATCTATAATACGTAATCGAACTAAAAATTACCCGCTTATCTACGTAATATATATTAAAAAAGTTATAAAATAAATAATATTTTGTTACTTTGATTTTTAATTTTCATAATAATAACAATTATAAGTTAACTATCATAATTACGGTTTAAGCCCGCATTAAAAACGGCTTAAACAAGCGTTTAAACACGCCTTAAAAGCTACCTGAAAACGCGGCCAATCGGCTAACCTGCTACGGCTTACGCCCCGCTGATACAATACTTATCACAACCCACAAATGCCTTGCAGTGCTCTATAGATCGGCTTAAGTATGCGCCGCCCACAGCAATGCAAGTACTCAATTTGTGTGTGTCTCACCAAACCAAACGACGGTCCAAAACCGAACCTACGCCCACCTAGGAGAGCTGTAGTTCAAATAAATTAGCCGGGGGCTAGGGGTTTGGGGGCTACAACCATATGATCCTTTAAAGGAACCCGTGGAAAAGCTTGGCTTCGGCTCCCAGTTCGTCGGCCAGCCTCACTTTTCGTGGGGTCCAGGACTCCAGTCGAGCAGCACTGCGTATCATAATGCAGTCACTCCCTCCAAATGACTTCTTGGGGCTTTTGCGCTTGCAACTACTTCTGCTACACGTTGTTCGTCCCGATCGCCTGCAACCGAGCAGCCTGCTAACGTCGCCAGATCGGCCGCCATGATGTGGCCGGTCTTTCTCATATTGTCGGCTGGCCAGTTAGCATGCGCGAATCATTTCTACAACCCGGGTTCCACGATGCAGGTCTGGAATCTAGGAGAGAATCAGACAATAGCATGGGAGAATAATTACACTGATTTCACCAACGCTATTTGGCTGAGGGGTGTGCCCGAAGATGTGAGGATAGGGCCCATTCTATTCCGTGAGTACCGTACCAGAAGGTAACAAGCACCCTGTGGAATGGGCTAATCACCTCCCTGCTTAGAAACTGCCGTGGACGGGCACGCGTCGTCTTTCAACTGGACGGTACAGACCTATGAGCCGTGGTTCGACGAAGGGGTAAACTCGTTTTTTCTGTGGATGTCAGACGGTGTCGATGTAAAACGCCAGGGGGGCACGAGCGACAACGACGGTATCGCCTACATGGTATCGTCGGATTTCAACATTTCCAGGGACACTGCATCGACCGGCGGCAGCACGACGACCGGAGCTACATCCAGTATTTCAGCGACTCCAAGCATACCGATATCGACGTCGACTTCGAGCAACCCGACGTCGCCCACGGTCATAGAGAAGTCCAGTGGACTTCCCGATGCAGCGAAAGCGGGTATCGGAGCCAGCGCTGCTGTTGCGGGCGTGGCCATAATAGCGTGTATCTTCCTGTCAGTCTGGGGGCACCGAAGGATAAAGAATAGACAAGCTACCCAAGGACAAGCTACCCAAGGACAACAGGCCGGGCTTGGAGCCGGTGGTCAGGGCTATAATGGTTACCCCCACCAGCCCTACAGCGCAAGTTACGTGCAAACCAGTACGGATTACATGCCAACTCTGGGATCAACTCCCAAACCGGCAGAGATGGATGCGGTTCGAAATACCGCGGAATTGGAATCTTATCATTGATGCGGAGTTCTCGAGTGTCGGTGGTGTGGTCCTGTAATCGTCGCACTGGGAGCCAGATCAACCACTACCCCGATGTGGGCGAGCACCTCCGTCGACTCTATGGAACATCGGGATCTGGATAGTTATGTGGCCCATGTTGGTCTTTCCTGCCGGTTCGAGTGAGCTGGTAGCCTCGCTGTCATAACCCTTTTTTTCAAGAAGGCTTAACTATGGGACTGAGGCGATGCCGAGTACCTAGAGTGCGATGCTGATGAGCGGTACCGGCTTTCCCACGAACACAATGCTGATATAGGGTGTCAGTCGTATCTTATTCTTCGAATTACCATAAGGTCTGGTTACTGACCTGTAAACATCAACCAGAAACATGTTCTCGTTCGAGTTACAGTTACCCACACGTGCGAAAACCTTATTCGGGGAAGTGCCAAAGTAAAAGAGTTTCTCCGAAACAAGCTTTGATTTAACTCTATACACATTGGTCTAGAGAGAGGCTCTAGGCTTTCTCCGATACGCCCCCTTAGGTCTTATTAATATGCGCACTCGCTCCATGTGTCTATCGATCGAGAGTAGTTCCATTAAGATTCTCTTCGGCTACATTCTGACAACCTCGTACAAGTACGTCTCGCATAACAACACCAAAACACCCGTACCAGCTGTTCTCTGCCTCCCTACTACACCCAAACTACCTCAGACTCTCACAGTCGAGTATACTAGCATTGAGCAATCATGTGTAGAATCGTCCTACAGCCCATGGCGCAATTTCGCCCAAGCATGCCCTCGCGGTCCAATTCCCGCTCCAACTACAGCTCCGACACAGCACTCCCACGCAAGCCCAACTACGACTCAGATGAAAGCTCCGACTACGGCACCGTCCGCTACTCCATTAGTAATTCCGCCGCCAGCGGATCACTCGACGACAGCAGACCCAGGAGAACGATGAGCGCCGCGGCAGAGAAGAGGCGCTCCAGCACAAAGGAGGGTGCCAAGCTGTACCAGATCTCAAGCACTGGCCGCGAAGCCCTCAAGAACTGGCACGAAAGCATGCGTACGAGGCTCTACGGGACGACCTGGCCAAACAGTTCAGGAGCGACAAGACAGCGAGCGTCCTACAGTTGAACCACGAAATCGCCAGAATCGACAAGCAGGCCGCTGCCCCAGAGGCGCAGGGCTACCTCGGCCCGTGTGATGAGAGGGAAGAGTGGTGGAACTGCCCGCGCGCGATCGCGAAACTGGATCGGGATCACAAAGAGAGGATGGCCACACTGCGAGCTGTCAAGAAAGCTAGCGATTCCGCCAGCCAGAGCCCAGCGAAGAAGTTCAAGACCCTTGCGCGCCGCGTCGTCGGCAAGGCCATCAAGCTGGCTCGAGGGAACACGGTTCCTGATGGCTTGATCGTAAACGCAACTCCGGCGGACACAGGCTTGGAGGAGAAGCCGTTCAAAACTTGCACTGTGTGCTTCGAGTGCCAGCGCCAGTCGCAGCTCGTTGCGTACGAGCTGTACATGGAATACATGTACCTTACCCACAAGGCTCAGGCGTGGAACGCGTATCGCGAGACGGTGCGCGAGGTGGGTGAGGGCTACATCGAGTGGGCGAAGCCGTAGAGGGAGTCATCGGGAACGCACCACGCGAGCTTCAGCATGAGGTTCTCGATGGGTGACGCGCATGACGGAGGGGGGCGTCGAACTCCACTGTCGAAATTCGTGCTCGATACCAGTTGAGGTTGCCGGGCTGGATATGGGAAGGATGCTGCTGGCCCAAGGGGACATAGGTTTTGGGCGATTGTTCCTAGATATTTACCATCATTTGGATGTCATACCTGATTACAATGCTATGGCCGTGTACAAGAGGGAAAGTGACTTAGTGATAGGGCTTCGACTCAAAATTGTTTAATCACCTCTGTCCATCATGCACTCACTTTCCGGCTTCTTGTTCTTGGTACACTCAAATCCCACTCGCGTACTTCTGGAATGTCGTAAATATCCTTCCGCTGCAAACCCCTACTCCTTCAATCTTCTGCCAAGGCTTTCCTCTTCGAGGCTTCGTCTATCAGACTCAAATGAGGGTTCTCTAGTGGTTCGCCGTATGACTCAGACCGTAACGCCTACGCCTAACCTTCACGACCAGCATCGCACCACTACCTATTATTGCGGCAATTCTTGCTCGATTCTAACATCAGATACGTCAGTCCGGTGACTCAATTATGGCGAATGTAAATGTTATTCATGGCTACTGGCCAAGTAGGCCTATCATTGTGCTGCGGTCTGGAGTGGCGGCCAGGTACAGTACATTTGTACGGTCCCAGTGAACCTAAATGGCTCTCCAAAGAGCCCGAATGAGTCACTGAATGCAATTTGACAGGCTATAAGTTATCGTCTCGTCTCGTCTGCAAAGAGTTGTTGCAAAACGCATCAATCATCTTGCACAATACAACTACTTCTCATCCCGTATCAAACATCACCAATCAAACAACACAACATCAATCACCCACAATGCCAACCGACCCCCAGCTGGCTATCTCCTACGCAGCCCTCGTCCTCGCCGACGAGGGCGTGCCTCTCACGCCCGACAAGCTTCAGACCCTCCTGAAAGCCGCCGGCGTCGACGACGTCGAGGCCATCTGGAGCACCATCTTCACCAAGGCACTCAAGGACAAGGACATGACGGGGCTCTTGACCACGGTCCAGGCATCGCAGACTGCTCCCACCGGGCCCGCTGTCGGCGGGGAGGTCAAGGGTGGAGGACCTGAGGAAGACGGTTCCCAGTCCGGGGACGGCGGACACAGCGATGGAGATGACAGTGGCTCGGAGATGGGAATGGGTCTGTTCGATGACTGATTCTGATCTGTCGATGGGAAGGACACAGGGCGCCGCCAATTCGACCTTGGACGAAGGGGATGAAGATGCTTGGCAGTTGGCCATGCACTTTGCGCATTGTTAGCCGAAAGGGGCGGTTTGATCTCTTTAAGGACTGTCGCAAAGCTTCAACAATGCCGCGGTGGAAAAAAAGAAAAAACTAGTCCAATTTGAAAGATGAACTGTATACTGCATATGGTCATTCTAGACGGAGTTGATGCGACCAGTTGCTGTACTTTCTGTGCCACGCACCGAGCACCAGTCCAACGTCATCGCAGGGCAGTGTAGACAGACTCTTCGTGTCAATTTGCATTGTCAACACGCACACTCCCAATGTCGGCACCAGGCTTACTCGGGCATCTTGGCTTTTGTTGTCGTCTAGTAATAACATCAAGCACTTTGACCCCTATACAAAACTTTGTCGAGCTTCTTGTCGAGCTTCTTCCCAAAACCGCCTATGACCGAGATGCACGTCGCGAAGTATTAACACTGCCAACGAAAACATAGATAGCACTTAAAATGTATGCTTTCAAAATGGATACTGCCTAATTATACACATGGAACCAGCATCCTTTGCGGAAGCAATCAGGAATGAGCGCTTGGGGTGACGACTGCTGCTCACATCGTATATCATCAAGAGGAAGGAATGAATCTACTCTCTTCTTCGGGACTTCTTGGTGCATTCTTAATGCTGCCATGGTCCGACCAGCATGGTGATGCATTGTTGCTTCGACAAACTCATAATGTGAGAGCATCGAGGTATCTTTCGACTCTTACTTGAATAGTTTTAGGGCTTACTGCGACGCGTTAAGACCATCGCTGGCTTTTCCAGACGCCGGGAGTGCAAATGGCTATACAAAATAGTATTTGGCATACTCATATGTGGATCAGAGCTGGACTGGAGAGGCGGGGGGTAGTTTTGCAGCAGTGTGCGCTATCAAGGCGATGATGATTCACCAAACGACAGTAGCATTCACCAAACGACATTAGCGAGGGGTGACAAGAAGTACATGATTCCCAGGCGACTTCAGATGAAAATTGACAACGTCTACTCGTCACATCTAGATCTGTCCAGCTGTCTAATCGACATCGGGCTGCCCCTCGCCTTCAATTCCATCCATTCTGCTAATGAAGTCGCCCTGGAGTCTCCTGAGATAGCTCCCCAATGCAGCCCCATCCATATCAGAATCATGCAGCTGTGCAAGAGACTCGTGAAGGTTCATGATCAGCTTGCGTTGGCGGATCAGTTTTCGCGACTGTGAAGTCTGCTTCTTCTGTTCGATGCGGTCCGCCAGTGTTTGGGACACGTCTTCTGCGACTCGGAGAAATTGTTCAGGAAAGCCAATTGCACGTGCCAGGTACAGTCCATAGTTTTTAAGTTGAACAGGTCCAGAGGCAATCTTGTACAACATGGTCATCTTGGATTGTTCGTCCATATCACGGATTTCTGTGGCCAAATGTAGATTCAGAACGCCTGGTCGGTTGCCTAGAATAACGGCTGGTCACGATGTAAGTAGTCATTCACAGGTTCGGGTTTCTGTGACTCACCAAGCTCTTGGAAGTGTGTTGCAAACCACACTAGGGAGCCGCTCTGCACGAGGGCTTCGGATGTGGCGAGGGCTATAGCCAATCCATCTCTCGTGCTTGTTGCGCGACCAAGCTCGTCAATGATCACCAAGCTCTTGTCGTTGATGTTTCTGAAGAAAAGTAAGCGGAGTTGAAGGAAAGGCGGGACTGAAAATACCGAAGGATGAATGCCATATCCCTCATTTCAAGTGAGAATGTCGACATGTTCGCCTCAATGCTATCATCCGTAGACGTTCTTACGAAAAGCTGTTCTATGATGGGAAAGGCGGCGTATTGCGATGGAACAAAACTCCCAACCTGTGCCATTACCTGAAGGAGAGAAATCATCCGGATGTAGGTGCTCTTGCCGCTCATATTGCAACCAGTGATGATCTGAAACCGATGCTGTTCATTTGCGAAGACGTCATTTGGTACGAACCGCTCCGGGTGCATCTGGACTTGTCAGTCTGTACAGCCGCGACCGTTGTCAGGATGACCTACTCGTTCGCAAATTGGGTGACGCGCACCCTTTAGTGCCAAGCTATCGCTGTACTCGGGCCTCACGTAGTCTCGAGTGGTAGCAGACTGGCCGAAGGCTGCGACCATGTCGAGAAGAGCGATGCTTTCGCAGACACGGAAGAGGTCTGGAACATGCGCTCGAATCGAGTCAAGAAGCTCTTGGATGACCTTGTCACTAAGCATGACTGCTTCGTTGTGAGAGTCCGTAACGCGATTGTTGAGCTGGACCAGCATCAAAGTCTGACATTCAACCCAGTTGCCCTTGCGGACCTTGTTGATGAGGATAGCTGGCAGTGGTCGATCTTCAAAGTCACTCTGCCGCAGGCGTAGCCAAAACTTGCGCTGCTCGTCAAACTTCAAGTCTGAATCAATGTCATGATCCTCTGTACAGACCGTTTAGCATGCAATGAGGGATTGAGTTTGTCAACTCACTATTGATGTCCTCTACATGCTGGTGTACATCCTCTGTTGCCTCCTTGTATGTCTGACGAGCGACATCGAGGAGACCGTGGACTCCAGACTTCGAAGACTGTAAGCGTGGAGCCGTGGTAAATCCGTCGCACTCATGCTTACCTTGACGGCATATGTCCTTTGGTTTCGCATTTCCAAGGGCGTCCCCATAGCGGTCACATCGTCGTTGATTGTCGTTGCAATCAGATCTGTCACAGGCTGTACCAATTCTGGGCGACAGATGTCTCGAATCTTGACTAGAAGGTCCGATCGCGCAGCTCCCAAGGCTTCATGCAGCGATGGAACAGCAATCACAAATGCCTTCACATGCAGCACCTGATTAATGGCTTGCTTGGATATGTCGATGGATGACTGATTAGTCACCAGGACAAGCTTTGTAAAAATCAGCGACCTGGGATCTGGTTTCAAGGTCCAAGGAGGTATGGAAGCAACTCACAGCAGTCAAGAGCTTTTCCACATCGGTAAAATCCTTGAGGGCTTCTTCATGTAAGCAGATGCCATGAGTATGAAAGGCAGCTACTCACCTCGGCGAATCTCGAAGAACATATCTTCTTTGACTGTAAGTTCATCCAAGGCATCGAGGCGTGGACAAAGCGTATCGACCTGGCTGGATGGTTGAAGGATATTGCTTCGCAGGAATCTTGATCCCATAGGCGTCAAGGTCTCATTCAAGAGGCCAAAGAGGCAATCCTTGGACTTGGCGTTCTGCAGGTTCTGGATGAGTTCGAGGGAATGGATGGTAGATATGTCGATCATCATCGTATCCTCTGATGGTTGATATCTGACACGTAACGAGTGCGACATAATGGAAACACGACAAGAGAGCTCGACATACTTGATAGCCTAAAGAGAATGAGAGAAGGTCGAACGGAATGAAGAGAAATCGATACCTACCGCGGCAAAGGCGCAAGTAGCATAGAAATTACCCCCGATCGCCACCTTGATGGCTTCAAGATCTTCTCGGAAAGCCAGAGTCTGAATAGACTCGAGTCCAGCATGTTCGGACCAATACTTACGGTCGAGAGGCTCAATGGGCGTACCAGGGAGTTCCTCTTCGAAAATGGAAAGGAGATTGGACTGCTGGTTTGGCGGAAACGCCGTGGTGACCATCAAAATAGTCGATGGCTCATACAGCTGAATTTTGTGAATCGTCTTGACGTAGAATTGAGAGTCACATATCTGGCTGAGAATAGCCTCATTGGTAGTAATGTTCACGAAAGCGAGGCCGACTGCAGGGGAAACACCACGAGCTTCACTGACGGCGCACACGATCTCGTGCGAGTCGGACCCCCAAACGGAGGCGGTTGAGCGAGGCCTTCGCCCAGAAGCAGTACTGGCACGTCGACGCGGTGCCGAAGGGTGTGATGAACTAGTGACCGATCGGGTACCGCCGTAAGAGTAGGAGGAGTGTTGGCTGACAGAAGTACTGGGTCTCAGGGGAACGGCACTTGGGTGAGGGGTGGAAGAAGATGTTGTACGAGGGATTGATGACCTGGAAGGAAGGGTGCCCAGCTGTGAGCTTGACGCTGGTCTGGTGTAGGGAGAAGACTCCCTACGGATCGACGACTGAGGCCTTGCGGGAGGCATCCTGATACCATCCACTGACGGCTTGGTGTTTGGTAAGGTAGGTGCTTACCACCCTGGACCCTTGAGACGCAGCCAGCTACGCCGGAGGGTTAATTAGACAGGTGGAAGTGAAAGCGGTGATCTGAGAGTCTGAATGTCGTAGATAAAGTAGGTAGTGAAACAAGTCCCCTCACCAGCTGTTGAATATTGCCAAATGGGAAACGGACGAAGAGGAAATCTTCGTGACAAGACCGCCATGGGTCGGGTGCGCTTGCCCAGCACGACAGTAGCAGCTTCGTGTTGGCACTTTCCGTCGTTCCAGCTCAATCAGCCAAGCAGCTGCCACATGATTGAGGTATGATCCAAGCCACATAGGCCCAGCCAAGCCACCATCCATGTGCACCAGAAGATGGCAGTCAAGCCACAAAGCCATCCAGGTCCCCAATCGATAAGACAACGATAGTGGGCCTCTGACATTTTCATAACTTTTTTCGAGATCCGTCACCCCGCGATGACTGGATGCGCTGCGATATTTGATAGAAGCGCATTGCATCTTGCACATCGGGTTTTCTCTCGGTCAGTGTCGCCTGCCTGCTTCCCATACCCTGGATTGGTTCCCCAAACCCCTCTTCTGCAGTTTAACGCTATCAGGACTTGTTGCCGTTCACCCGAACGATATGGCGACGGTTCTCCCCCCACCTTCGAAGCGGCAGCGCCGCGAAGCTTTGGAGCGTACGCAGGTGCAGCAAGATGCCACGCCTGCGGCGATCCTGGCCGGGTCATTCAAGGCGCGCTTTGTGGACAAGGATGGAAATCAATTGGCCGATACCATCGAGGTACCCTTGGCCGACGCAACCGAGAAGAACGTCTCGTTACTACTCAACACCCTGCTGCAAAGAGTATGCCCGACTACTCTAAAGGCGGAATACCGAGCAATACCAAATGCTAATGTCTGATGAACACACAGGAACGAGAAGAGTTCACGCCCTATCGCTTTCGTATACAGCTGCCGAACTCGGATATCGTGATAGACAACTACCCAAGCCCTTCCGAGTTCCTCGAGGTCCTTCGGAAACATGGCATCGAGAACCCATTCGAAACCACAATCACGCTCAGTGCCGAGCCGCAGGCTGTTTTCAAGGTACAAGCTGTTACGCGAATGGCGCACAGGATACCTGGACACGGGCAACCAATACTAGCAGCTCAGTTTTCACCTAAGAGCGGCAGCCTCCTCGCTACTGGGTCTGGAGGGTGAGTCTTTGAAGCAACTTCCCATACCCCAACTCACGGGACAAACGCGTCCATGGCCCTTGAAAACGTACGGAATACTAACTGGTTATTTAGTGCGTAAACTGTACCCTGCCGGGTTGCTGGATATTGACGAATTGCAGATAACACAGCAAGGATATGGAATACGGACAGTGGCACACCCAAGTACACACTTTCGGGCCATACGGGTTGGGTACTAGCAGTCTCGGTAATACATTCCCTGCTCCATCAGCTTCTTCTCTGCAGTATACTCACACCTCAGCAAGTGGCGCCCAGACGGGCAAATACTGGCAACGGCCAGTATGGACAAAACTCTCCGTCTATTCGATCCCTCAACTGGCCAGGCTATTGGGAAGCCATTCACAGGACATTCCAAGTGGATAACTTCTATGTCATGGCAGCCTTTCCACTTATGGCGAGACGATAACCCACGCATTGCTTCGGCATCTAAGGATGGGACTATCAGGCTTTGGCTCACCAACTCGGGTACAATCGAACATGTATTGTCAGGGCACCGAGTAGGCTCTAATCCTGCACTCAGCTGCTTCTGTCAAAGCTAACCATCCCGTAGACCAGCGTAACTTGTGTACGATGGGGAGGTACTGACTTCCTCTACTCATGTAGCCAAGACAAGACAGTAAGCCATTTGTCCCACACTCCCGCCGTTGTCGATTGAAGAAAATACTGACAGTCTCCAGGTCAGAGTGTGGAATGCGGTTGATGGCACATTAAGGCACAAGCTTGAGTCACACGTACATTGGGTCAATAGTCTCAGTTTGTCCTCTGATGCTGTTCTGCGAACTGGTTTCTACGACCACACCAAGAAGATACCGGAGTCGATGGATGATCAGAGAGCAAAAGCGAAGGAACGGTTCGAAAAAGCAGCCAAGCACCAGGGCAAGATTGTTGAACGAATCATTTCGGCCAGGTCAGTCCCCGATTTTGTTTTCCCCTATCCGAGCCGTCTGGAGGAACTTTGGGTACTCTGCCTTGAAGCCTCACTGTCCTTGTTCACATCACATGATCCCCGTGCCCGGTCGATAGCTGCTCAGTCAGGCACCTGCTAACTACCTACTGTGGAAACAGTGACGACTGTACAATGTATCTTTGGGACCCAGAATCACATGGTACAAAGCCTCTGGCACGGCTACTTGGCCATCAGAAGGGCGTCAACCATTGCGTATTCAGTCCTGATGGCAACTATATCGCCTCGTGCGGGTTTGACAATCAGGTAAAGGTGTGGGATAGAGACGGGAAGTTTCTCGCCACGCTTCGAGGACACGTGAGTTGAGCGTAACCTCAACCCGCAGGTGATTGCTAACAAGTGATAGGTTGCTCCGGTATTTCAGTGTAGCTTTTCTGCGGACTCGGTATGCACCTCCCCCTATTATAGAATCGAAATCTCGGTCGGCTAACTTCTGGATTGTAGCGGCTACTTGTCACGTGCAGCAGAGATACCACTCTAAAGATCTGGAACATGCGCACTTTCAAGCTACAGGGCGACCTGCCAGGACACGACGACGAGGTCAGTATCTTGGATATGTCTTGCCACCCTTCAAAACGCCGTACTAACATGCCCGCGTGACTAGGTTTACGCCGTCGATTGGAGTCCTGACGGATCAGTAGTTGGTTCAGGAGGGAAAGACAAGGCAGTCAGAATCTGGAGGAATTAAAGCCAGCATGCGATATGGGCGAACACTGGTTGCAATCAATGAGGACTTGTTCGTTGCACACATCCAGTGCTCATCCGTCGATGAAACCTCCTAACCATGAATCCAGCGAGGCCATGTGTTCAGGCCTTCCTTGACTTGAAGCAATCATGTGAGGCACCCACAGAGTAGGAAGACCTACAGAATTACCCCAGGTCATGTGGATAAAGGGACGGGCCAGGCTGATCCGGGGTTTTCGGATCCTTCCTGTCCGCGTCCTCTGTCCCGCAGCATGGTAGGATCGAACAATGATGTCGTCTGACAGCTGACTTGGGAAGAAACCGCCTCATCCTGGGGGCTGAGCTGACACCTAAAGTATCGACCGGTTGGTCGCACGTGGCGTGCCAACGTAAGGTACCTAGCCAGGCCGGGGGTCTTGAATCTGAAACTTGGGAGGAATCCAGGTGGCACGGACAGCCTACGAGATCTGCTCAAATTGATCCCAAGCCGTGACCGTAGAACGGATTCTGGATCCCGCCATCGTGGTGCGAAACGCGTGGCTACTAATAATGGTGTTTTCGCCATCAGATGTCAGGATGCGTGACCGTCAAAGATGCAGGCGGCCCGTTCCTGCAGTGGGCGTTTGTGGGTCCCCGTCGGTCGGTCGCTGTAGCGGCAAGGGGAATGGCATGTGTAGTGTCGGTGGCAACTTCGGGATGCGCTGCCGGATGACGCAGCCCACCCAGACCGACGGTGTCAGGCCTGCAGGAGGAAAGGCCGATCTGATGATCGGTTGCATTGTACCACCGTATTGGCATGCAGGATGGAATATTTGCTCCTGACGATCTATGCGCAGCACAGCACATGCACGCGTGCCACGCCGCCACGACATCCTCCCAGGGGGAGGCTTCATCGTCAAAAAATGGCCACCGTTCGTTGGCTGCCTGTCGCCCGAGTGTGTGGGTGTTGTCAAAAATAAACAGGTTGTGCTACAATAGAAGATAAGGCCGGCGCCGGCACTTCCATCTCTTCCGCCCGTTGGTGCGGTTCCAGAATAGATAGCTAGCTATTGGATCTTGGAGGATTCGGGTTTCGACGGTTCGCTATTGTTCCCCAGCTAGGGAAGTACAGGCCAGATATTCTTGGTCTCTTATCAGAGTGCAACCATCCATTCCCATTGCCTCCCGGATCTCTCGGTCAGATGGATACATGCAGTCATATCGAGAGGAGAGAGGGGAATGACGAACGACTACCGCGATCAATGTGGGAGACAGCTCAGCTCATAGCTGTCAGTGGAGATCCTTGCAACGGCTCCGACGGGAGGACTAACAATAATCGCGATGGAGTGGTGCTAATTTAGACTTGTTGCGACCGGCCGGTGCCAGGCGGGAAGCCCAAGATTCCAGTCGAGACGCCGTTGAAGGTTGGGAAATTTGGTCATTATGATCGAAAGCGGCCTGTCAGGAGCGGGAATAGGGCAACGTAGAGACCTCGGACCTGTCTCCGAACTCCGAAGGGCTCAGATTGGCGATGCTGCGAGCCGGCTAGGTACCGGGCGGCCGCTGAGTATATAGTCGCGCGGGTGAAGTGTAAATAAGGGGCCTTATAAGTTATTATCTATGGGAGTCTTTCCATTCATTAGAATTCACCCCGTCGATTAATTAGGTAAGGTACTGTAGCTCAAGGACCCCGCGGCACAGTCGGCTAGGTGGCCATACGCAGAGCCGGTGTTGAATTGGGTTTGAAGCCATCGCCAGCTAAGTGACTAGTCCGTTAGGTTCTGCAATCACTCGTGGGCGACAGCTTCACAATTGCGGGGTGACAGCTTTGGAACTTCCCGTATTTGGGTTTGGTAGTACCTAGGAAGCAGCATAATGATAATAAATGAGGCTTGCCTGATCCGACATACCGAAGACCATAAGGTTGTCAACTCGCTGAGACACCTGGTGGATGTAAGGGATCCGATGCTCTTGAAAGAGTGACGACATTGCGGACGCATTAGAAGCTCTTCCACGGAGAAAACAACCTTCATTGCAATCATGATGGGCAATCATAGACACGGCAGCAAGCAGTTCAAGATACGCCATCCGAGGAAGGCTGTCAGAAGTCAGAACATGGATCCCCGTCGATTCTCGAAGCAGCACTGTGGGTGTGGATATGGGGAAACCGCGCTTGGTGAAGCTCGGGATGGAGACAACTTTGGACAAGAATCAAGTGCCGAGAGGAATCTGGCTCTAGCTGCCCGGCCAGCGGCTGGAGAGTTCAGCTACAGGAATCCGACGAATGCCGTTGATGATAACGATCGATCCCGCATACACACACACACGTGCATGTGTAGTAGAGAGTCGTACTGGCTGGAGAATGCAGCTCCCGTCGCCCGACTGCGAGGCCGATCAAGGTGGTGTCTTAGTACTGTATCTCTGCCAATCAACAGTCGATTGATCCTTCAACTTCAATTTGCACTGATTGAACTCGCCCTTCGCCCTTCGCCCTGTGATCAAGACCGAGCCAGACAGCCAGAGTTCTGTTTCGGTTGAGATTCCAACGGCGAGGGTTCTAGAATTTGTCAGGAGGGGCCCCGGGCGTGTTGCGCCAGACAACCACCGTGATCCCGCCATCATGACGCAATCTCGACGCCGAAGTCTCTCAAGGTTCCATTCTCGGGCATAAGACAGAAAATGCTGGAAGTACCAGCCCACAACATAAGGGTACATACAGTAATGGATGATGGAGGCATCCGTGATATCTGATCTATAACTGGATGATTTGCCGCATTGGCGCCTCATAATGCATGGGACAATCGTTGATGGTTGTTGAGGCTGTTTACTTATTTGCTCCGGACCAAACTCTCCCGTGACGACATAACAAGAGCGAGTGGAAACCGGAATAGAGCTCCATAGAAATAAGCAGGAGAGACCCGCCCGAACACACTGAACACCGATCTCCTCGCAAGGCTGTGATGTTTAGAGTTTTCTTGGACTACATGTACATGCAGACACGTCGGATGCGTTCCAATGATTCCCCAGCTCGGAGGATAACGTCCAGGACTCCAGAAGGCAGGCAAATGATTCAAGACTGGCAATAGTACTTAAAGAAGGAGGGACGGTACCTGTCAAGCCATTAGGGATCGGAACACATCAACATGAAGCCATACCAGCCGCTAATAATACGTGAGTATTTATAACACCTGAAGAATCCGCCATCCTGTCGAACCCTCGAACCCTCAAACCCTCAAACCCTCGACTCCCGCGCCTCATCCCAGAGGAGCTTGTACCTGAACTTCCCCCTTGGCCGTCCGTCCGCCCGTATCCAGCACGACCGAGCGACAATCAACCCAGCGAAAAGCCAATCCGAGAGGTCTTACGTACAACACACACCCGTGACGAGACCACAACCACAACCACAACAGACTTCAACTCAAGTCCAAGGCCATTCACAATCGTGTGGCTACACAAGCGGACAAGGCGCAGGTAAGGACATCGGAGGCTGATTTCTATTTTGATTGCGATTCGTCCGCTTGGAGGTGGTTCACAGTTGGCCTAGCTTGCAGGCTGTTCTGCAGGTGGCTGTCAGGCTGTTTCACGTTTCATCAATGCGATCCAAGGGGAGCTAGAGGGAGCTGACGGAGGAGCTGACAGGACGCCGCCGAATCCGCGTTGCGCCCCAGAAAAGGACCCATCCATTCCACCATTCCCGTCTGCCAGTCAAGGTTTGTCTGGCTGATGACGCACCTACGTCACTTTGTTCTCATCCACTAGCGCACGGCAGATCCCACTGTCCCAGCTGGCAGCTGGAAGCTTCGTTCCACGGTCCACCCACGCTCACAGCCTGAGCCCATGTGCTCGTCCCAATAGCGACGGTTGGTGTCCCTCGACCCCCTCAGCCCCTGTATGATTATTATCCATCATTCCCATGCCACACCCTTCCGAAGTTCCAAGATTGCGACTGCTGTACTGTGTACTGTGTAAAATTCGCAGTCACTCGGCCCAGGCACCCGACGGTACCCCCCTACCCCCTAGCCCCCATCTTGCCATACCAAACCAAACCCCGGGAGGGACACGCTTCGAAAATTCCAAGTTTATTATTAGTCCCAACACTGACGGTGCTTCTTATATTTTTGCACAACACCTTCGCTGACTGAGTTTCCACCACTTTATTAGACTTTCTGTCCATTGTCCACCACCTATCGACTCCCCTCTCAACGCTAGATACCACTCAGCACACCATCTTGCTTTACGACGGCACGAGCTACCAGGACCCTTCACAAGCGTTGCTCTTCCACGCCCAACGTCCATCGAGCCCCCGTCTGCCCAGCTTGCCGTCCCCCGTCCCTCCTACTTGACCTCGACCCTTACTGCAAGGACGCTCAACCCCTTCAGCTTCTTCGATACCTATCCGCCCCTGAGTGGCATTGCAAACAACAGACTGCCGAGCAGCAACAGTCGCCAACAGCCCACTCTATGCGCCTCGACCTATAGCATATATGAGCGCGTTAGGATACACCTAGCCCGGACACCACTCGTCACTCAACTGCGATTGCCGTGCAGTCAGACAGTCTCGGCGCATTCCCAGAAACACTTCACGCTCTCCGGGACCAGCCAATAGCTGCCCACCATGACTGTCTTTTTGGCTACGTTGTATGTGCATCATCTCTTCATTGCCTGAGCCACCTTCTCCAACCTCATCCTCTTCTCCAATTCGGTATATATGCAACACCCCCGGCTTCTGCATCGATAAAAATGTGCTTGGGGTAGCTTCAGCCCGCCTGGCATGAGCTCCAACAAGATCTGCCAACCTGCATTGAGATTATTCAACTCGGGAGTTGCTTCCGCCCAATTGGTGTACCGACATCCGCATGGGCTGAATCTGGTATGAGACTACTGACACTGTTTCCTTCCAGGTTCTTGCCGAAGACGGTTTACTTCAAGCTCCCAGACGCCCCTCCCGCTAAGGAGCGTCCCCCACGCCGGTCCAACAGCAAAAAGAAGCTGGAACGACCTCCCTTGACGCTTCGCACCAGTCTATTCGCGCCTCACCCCACGAACTCACCTCCTCTTACCCCAACGGATAGTGAAGGTGCGGTGGAAGATGACGACCTGTTTGTGAACGGAGACGGACTGCGTGCGAATGTTTCAGACGATGGAGAGTACAGGGCTCCGGCGGATAAAGAGAGCCCAACTTGGGGCAGCCGAGCATTTCAACCCAAATCACGCGCCAACTCGCCACCCCCATCCTCCATCCTAGAAGACGCCAAGACGTTGGAGAAGGCGAAGCAACTTGGGAGACAAGGCGTCTCCCAACCGCGAGCCACTCGCAGTGACAGCCATGACAGAGTCTTCGCAAACGCAAACTGGCGCATCGTGAATGCCGACCAGGGCAATAGCGGTCTCCGTAATGCGGCAGAAGCTGCGGCCCGCGATGGGTACACCGGAGAATATACCTGGGTTGGAACTTTGGGAATGCCCACCGATGCCCTCCAGGGAACGCAGCAGAAGCAGGACATTGACGACCGACTGGCGACAGAGTTCAACATGTACCCCGTCTTCTGCTCAGACAAGGACTTTGACGGACATTATTTGCATTTCTGCAAACAAATCCTGTGGCCTGTCTTCCACTACCAGATTCCCGACAACCCGAAGAGCAAAGCGTACGAAGACCACTCATGGAAGTTCTACGTCAACCTCAACCAAGCCTTTGCCGATAGGATTATCAAGAACTGGAAGCGGGGCGACACTATCTGGGTTCACGATTACCACTTGTTGTTGGTGCCTGGCATGGTCCGCAAGAAGCTTCCGGATGCCAAGATCGGCTTGTTCTTGCATGTCGCTTTCCCCTCTTCCGAAGTCTTCCGCTGCCTTGCGGTGCGAGACGAAATCCTCGAAGGCATGCTGGGCGCCAATCTTATCGGCTTCCAAATCCCCGAGTACAGCCGCCACTTCCTTCAGACTTGCAGCCGTCTCCTTGCTGTTGAGGCAAACAGTGAGGGTGTTCAGCTGGAAGATCGGTTTGTCAATGTCATGAGTCATGCCATTGGTATCGACCCAACAAATCTCGACCTTTACCGCCAGGACGCCGAGGTGATGAAGTGGATTGATATCATGCGAGACCGTTACAAGGATAAGAAGATCATTGTAGCGCGTGACAAGCTTGACCACGTTCGCGGTGTCCGTCAGAAACTTCTCTCATACGAGTTGTTTCTTAATAAGAACCCCTCGTGGAGAGACAAGGTCGTTCTGATCCAAGTCGCACTCTCGACAAGCGAGAAAAGTGACCTCGACGCCGCCGTCGGGGATATCGTTACAAGAGTGAACTCCTCATGGGCCAACCTTGCCTATTCACCCGTTGTTTATCTAAAGCAGGACATCCCTTACCCTCAGTATTTGGCGCTCTTGACGATAGCAGATGCTCTAATGATCACCAGTCAACGTGAAGGCATGAATCTCACGTCTCATGAGTTCGTCGTCTGTCAGGATGGCAGCCACTGTGAGAGCAAGCATGGTTCTCTTATCCTGTCAGAGTTCACGGGGACAGCGTCGCTTTTCGGTGGGAAGGAGCTATCCATCAATCCTTGGAGTTACAGGCAATGCGCCGAAGCCATCGAGAAAGCGATAACTATGCCCGACGATGAGAAAGCGTCACGGTGGTCATCACTACGAGAAGTGGTTGGTCACCACACAGGTTCGCATTGGTTCACGGGCTTCTTGTCACAGCTGGACCGGATCTACGATGAACAACATCGCCATGACCAGACTTCCGTGCCGCGCTTGAATCTTAGCACTCTCGGTCAGCAATACAGCAACAGCCAGCGACGGCTCTTCCTCCTGGATCTCGAGGGCACACTCATTCCCTTTGGTCCGATGAATGCCCTCATCCCCATGAATCCTCAGGTGAGTTGAGTTTATATGCAACGTTGTTATTCTGTACTAAACACTAACAACATCCCAGCGCACACTCGGCGTGCTGAACGATCTTGTTTATGACAGTCGCAATACCGTTTTCGTCATGTCCGCACGTAGGCCCGACGAGCTTGACCGACTCTTCCGTCTGGTCCCTAACCTGGGTCTCATTGCTGAGAATGGCTGCTTTGTCAAACACGTCGGTCGGAGTTCCTGGACCGAGATCGCCGATCGTCAGAAGGTCTCCGTTTGGAAGGAGTCCGTCAAAAGCATTCTCCAATACTATCTGGAACGGACTCCCGGATCAGAGATCGAGGACCGCAACTGCTCACTGATCTTCCACTACAAGAATGCTGAGGACTACGCCATGGCCGAGAGACAAGCAAGTGACTGGACTTCACATATCAATGAATCATGTGATAAGCAACGAGTTCATGCTACGCAGCTTGATGATTCTGTCGTTGTGGAGCCGATTGACTGGACCAAAGAAACTGCAGCTGGTCAGATCTACGAGGAGATGGTGAAATACGGATCAGGCGCCTCGAGCAATGGTGCGCCCGACTTCCTCATGGTCATTGGCGATGGCCGCGAAGACGAGAAGGTATTCAAATGGGCCAACCAGTTGAACACCGAGGGCAAGGTGAAGCAAGCGGTGACCGTGAGTCTCGGCAGCCGAAATACCGAAGCTTCCGCCACCTTGACTCAAGGTGTCAGTGGTAAGTAGCAAGCCACGTCCACAACTTGGGAGCTTACGACTAACATAAGCACTAGGGGTTCTCGTCACGCTGCAGAAGCTTGCCGGCCTTTCTTAGGAGAAACGCACAATCACACATAGGAGAAGTACTTGATGACCTTGCAGCAGCTGCCCGATAGTCGGCTTCTGCGATTGCTGCCTCTAGCTTGCAAGGATACGAGGATGATTCCGAGGTTTAGTCTGGCGTTCAGCGAAGTACCCCGCGTAAAGCATTATTCACGAGAAGGCGTATGGTGGTGTTTGTATCCTCAACGGAGTAGCATTATGTTTGTTGCCCCATCTTCGCTTCCTGATGCCCCTTTCACGTGTGAATGTATTCATTCTTTCGATGAAGAACCACGGCTGGACCCCATGCCCTTCCCCTCGCTCCGAGAGCTCATTTCACTAGATTGCTACCTCCTATTTTGTCCTATGGGTTTCGGTCTCAGTTTTCATGTCTCAAGACTAGCACCCTCGATGGGATCAACTCTACTTCATAGAACGGCGGGTCCTCGGGCTGGATGGGCCTGGGGGGCGATGATCTCAAGGAAGATTGGATCAGCAGGTGTGTGTACGAATAGGCTTATTGTCAATATTGTATCGCTACATGCTTACTTCCGTGTTATGCGTATGCATTGTGACGAGAATTCGGGTAATGAGCACTTCTAGGTGTACTCGAGCCGTGATAAAGTTGCGGATCTGCCAGTGGCACGCAACCATTTCACTGCGGCGTGTGTATTGAGAATTAGTTTAAGGTGCCAGAGGCCGGTGCATGGCTGGTCAGAGGAATGTTGACTTGGTGTTTGGAAATGGCAACACGCTACGCTACCCTGCAACTCTCTGGCCTCGATGTGAGGCATATGATCTTCATCTCGACTACTGAAGACATGGCCTTGTCCTTGTTCCAACCACTGAAAGACTGAAAACTGGTGTACCCAAGCATACGTGCACCACACCGTGTAGCAAACAGTCAGATTGACACTCTCACAGACGTCCAGAACCCCCGTCTCGTTTGTCCGGACCTCCGTCGTATGCGGTGGCGGTGAGATGTATGTCAGACTCGGGCCTTTTACGTGGCCAAGAGCATTGACATGCAACCACATCAAGGCCTCGATGGGAGTTAACACGGGGCTGTGCGTAAACATAAATCGTAAGGTAGGGAGGGCGGAGAGGGAAGCTCGTTTACCCCAGGTGTCCGTCCGTTCGGTCGGTCAATCTCGGTCGGTCGGTCTTTGCAGGTAGGTATCTTTCTTACTCTGCTGCGTGCTTCTGCTTTATGGATCGGGGTGCTGAGCAGTTGTAATCCACGGTCTGGCCTGGCGAGATCTCGTTGAGCCTTCTTCCCTTCTTCCCTTCTCCTCGCTCCTCACCCCTGTCATGAGCGCGAAAGCTCGGAACACTGCGAAGACGGGCAGCGACTATACTCGACCAGTAGCCAGCGTTCATTCGGTAACTACCGATTGACAAGACCGATCTCACCGAAACACAAACTATAGTATCAGTGTTCCGACTCTCCTAAGGGAGCATCGTCCGCAATCAATGGATTCAGGAGCAGGCAAACCCCCGTCGATGACGAGCGAGGCGGCGGATACGACGTGGTTCTGGGCTTGGGTGTCGACTTCATATCCGAACTGACCGACTCAATCCATGACCGTGGAAGGTGCAAGGACATTGTTTGAGAGCATTGCACATTCATATGGTCATGTCTGCGCGCTTGGCCGGACAAGAAGGGGGTGTCGAAGGTGTCGAAGGTGGGAATGGAGGACGTTCGCATGATTATGCTTGCCGCAATGATGCATCTGAGGCCACTCATCTCACATTATCGGATTGGGGAATAACTCATGAGAAGTTCTGTACATCCCAGACATTCCCCCAATTCAGGTGGACTCATGTCGTTTGCCTATGAACGTGTTGCCTCCTGAGCAACACGAGGCGTGGAGACGGCGATACTGTGCCATACAAAAAGTCGGGCAGCGGCAGATTAGGACAAGTATTGGACGGCGGCAACAGGAATGTCCTGGCTCCAAACTGAAGAAGAACGCCGGGATACCGACTTAAGTGTAGTGTGCGAGCTGAGAAGATAGCATTGGTATGGAAACCGGATCCAAGATGTCGGCTTGGATATGTATGATGTATGTCGCGTGAAGAAGGAGAAAGGAAGACATCGCCGCGAAGGCCTTTGATAAACTCAGTGTATTACGAACTTAGGCAGACGGTATCGAGTATCTATCTGTCTGGCCTGCGAGAAGGTCTTTGCCAATTAGCCTTAGCTTTCACACCATGCTCATCAACTCAATTGTCATCGCTGCATCATTCAGGTTTTCCAAAGTCCGGGGTTCATGGGTCGTCGTTGAGTGATAACATCTCCCACCCCCCTGCGGACCACCCCCCCGCGGACCAGCGCGTTCTGACCCACAGACGCGTAATTCACCAACCACCAGGATTATGGTGATCCACCATCTACACCATCACTTTTGCATCTTTTTTTTCACAAAGCACACTATTTGAATCCTTATCTACTGCTGAATCTCATGATGTCATTTTATAATCGTTAAATAAAAGCTGAAGCCGCCATTTTGGCCATCCAACGCGGAGCTCCAGTCCGCTCGTCAGCCCTCGAATGGCAAATCAGTCGCTCGTACATCAACCGACGAATCTCTGGCACCCCAACGCGGAATGAGACCAGCGCTCTCTAACAGGCTCTCTCACCGTATCTCAAACATAAATTGGCAAGCTGGGCCCTGGGGCAAGCACGGCTAGGGTATTCTCCGGCGGTCTCTAAATTCCGTCTCATGGCCCAGCGGATGCTCCATGCCACCGGGGATGCTCGAGAATTAGGGAAAAATTGGGCATCCAAGTTCCTATCTCGAAACCCGGAAGTCAAGATAATGAAGTCTCGTGTTATCGATTACAACCGAATGAATGGTACTATAGCAGCAAATATCAACATTTTTTTCGATCGGTATGACACCCCTGACGTGGTTAACCTCATGCCAGTACGCTAGTACAACGTCGACGAAATGGGAATCGCCCAGGGGGTTGGGGACTCCCATTGGGTGGTCTCCGAGGCCTCTGGTAACGTGGCTATGAAGAAAGGGGTCGAGAAGGGTGAATGGATAATTGCCCCAGAGTGTGTGAGCGGATCTGGTGAGACCTTGCCGCCGCTGGTGATTCTCAAGGGGATTAACGTACAAGCCCAGTAATTTAGCAACCAAAACGAGGGCAAATTCACTGACTGGAGGTTTATTACGTCGCCCAATGGATGGACCTCAAATTCTATTGTGTTAGAATGGCTTTAATGTATCTTTATTCCTCACATTTGGGAGGTCCACGGCAACACATGGGTGGTTTTGGTGTGTGATGGCCACGACTCCCACACGAATGACGAGTTCCTAGCCACTTGCTTGAGAAACAAAGTATGGTTGATCTTTTATGAACCTCACTGTTCCCATGTAGTCCAGGTATTAGATGTGGGAGTCTTCAATTTGGTGAAAAAGAGGTTAAAAACCTTACTCCAAGAGACGCCCAGCGGCCGTCTGGGACTCAGGCCATCTAAGGAGGAGGTTTTGGAGTGCTACGAGCAGGCCCGGAAGGACACAATGACGCTTCTTAACATCAGAATTGCCTGGAAAAAGACTGGGATTGTTCCTCGCAACAGAACGGAGGCATTGAAATCGAAATATGTGATTCTAAAGAACAAGGGGGTGGCCAGGGCACGCCAGAGGGACTCTAAGGCTTCCGAGCGAGCCACAACACCAGATTTTCTCGAGATAGTAGCTAAAACCATTGTCATAACACCCTCTGGAAGCCGGGCTTTGCAGGAGAGTGCTCAAAAGCTCGAAAGAAAGGACCCTTCCTTTGGGGGGCCCTTTGAGCGCTTGTTGGTGCAGAAGGCTGGCAAGGCCATGGATATTCAGGCTGCTATCATTGCAAATTTACGGGCCAAATGTGAGCTGCTTAAGGCTTAAATGGCTAAAAAAGCTAATACCACTCAAAAAGCAGTCAAACCAACACCAGGGGAACAATTCGTCACAATGGCTAACATAAGGGAGGCCAAAATAGAGATAAGAAACAGGAGGGTCTATAGGGACTCCGCTGCAGGCGAAGAGGTCCCATAAGAGGTCCCTAGTGAAGATTTAGGGTCAGAATCGGATTCTGGGAGCTGTATTATGGTTAGAACACCACGACCTTAGTGTATTTAGCAACTGTGGTGGTTGTAGATGGCTTCATCTGAATGAGAGTGGTGTGGTGTGGAGTGGTCCGTGGGGGGGTGGTCCGCAGGGGGGGGTGAGATGTTATGCGGTGACCAGGTCTATCTACGTGACAACTTCTCTGAATATCTCTAACAACGTTTCAGCAATACTTAATAGGTAGGTAGTCGGCTCTAGGCCATTCGTTATGCAACCAGTCTTGCCGATCGCTGGATACGATTCTATGATTAGCAAGGATTTTGTCAGATATCATAACAGTGGCGTATTCAGCTTGTTGTGATTGCTGTGAGCAGCATATGTGTCATCCTCTGGGATCACACGTAATAGCTATCAGAGGTACCTTTCCAACCTATTTAAGTAAGATAGTACCCCTATCAGCTATCGTTATTCCTCTTGTAATATAAAGCATTCTTAATGTTATAGATTCAAAAACAAGGGATACCATTGTGATCGATAAAACGCCGCGGCCTAATGCCTTTAGTATGAAAACCGTAGGTGCAATAAAGAGCGTCAAAGTAGATATCCGTTTAGTCGCTGTCGCTCGATCAAGCCGCATCTATATTGTTCTCGAATTTTATGATCTCCTGACCGAAAGCCTCGGGGTCAATCGGCCGATGAGCATACTGGAAATCAATGATGTAGCAGCTCCGATCTTTCACAAGGCTCCGGTCTTTTATAAGGAAGTTCCCCAGGTTGACATCAGAGTGAATGAGTCCCGTCTTGTGGAAAGCCTTTAGTGTCTCTACACAGTTGTCCTTGTCGTCCTTGGTAGGCTTCGACACGCCATCGAGCAACTCTATGAGGAAGCCAACCCGCCTGCCGTTCTCGTCGATAACGATTGCTTTGAACTCGGGGCCGATGGGGTTTCCTTCTATCTTTTCAATCTCTTGGTACGCTCTGATCTCGGCATTCAGGTACCGCGGTGAGTTTTGGTACTTGAGCCACACCTCGCCGAAGCCCGCCACGCTGGCTTTCCATACGCTGATGTCGTCTGAATCCAGGCGCCCATGGTATTCCTTGCTGATGACCTCCTGCTTGACGATCTTGTTCTTTTCGACTTGCGGTTTACTGTTCCAGTTCACACCTAGGCCGGAGAGTAAGGATCTGACCTCCCGGGCCCTAGTCGACTTCGTACCGGATAGTGTTCGGCCCTGGGTGCAAAGCGTCAGTCGTCTCCAGTTCTGGTGTTGGAATCTGCAATTGCCTTTGAGGTAGAGCCAGAATCGGTCTGGAAAGTGGCATGTCGAGGACTCGAGTATGAACGGATTAGGGTAACAAACCACGACAAGACTTTGTTCCGGGCTCCAGATGGGGCCTAATAGGCCTAGTAGGATCATGCCTATGACCGTCTGAATATGCATGTTGGCAGATGCTGAAAGTGCTACAGTATGTCAATCCAGTCTAGATGGAATGTGAGGAAACCCAGTGACCAGAACATATATGTGGTCTAGCGGTTACATGTGAGAGCCTCCATTACGCACATCACTAGACGTCATATTGTGAGATTTCAAAGTGTTCTATTAAGGAGAGGAATTCCAGCTACTCTGGAGCGGCCAGAATGGCCCTATATATCCAAGATACTAAAGGAAAGGATACGTGGCCTTATATTGGCCACGTATGTGACAGAGTCACAGATGAGAATGGTGATCCTGAAGAATGACTATGGATGGGCTAACGTAGCCCAGAGTCCAACACATATTCGCGTCCTTTCACCCTTGAGCCCACAGTTATCCATCCCCCCCCTTGGCAATGCCCCTCCGTTCACGATCCCATCAGCGGTCAACCCGAACCGCCATGGCCACCCATACATGGGGATCCCACTTGACTATTTCCAGCCCGCTACGGCCAAAAGACAGGGTATGATGCGGGGGCATACCTGCTCAGGATCATATCAGCACCATTTAAAGCACATCACATTCGGCATCCTTCAACTGAGCACCGACGAAGATAGCAGCATTGCTAAATGCGTCAGAGCAATCCTGGTATCCGGTGGGAAAGCTTTCGCTGAGTTGGTGTTCAGAACGGGGACTCTATCTTATTACATAGGTGTCAACACTCGGGCAGACAGCGTCTTTGTTTATTTCAATTGGTCAATTAGTTAAGAGACTTAATTTAGATGCGCTACCTTAGTCATGGCTCGATATTGATTTCAGACCTTCTCCGGACTTATTACATGTCTGTGGTGTTAGTCAGCACCGGAACAACAAAACTGGGCGTGCTGGCCTGAGAAAGAGATGAAGTGAGGAGATGCAGAACATGTGGAACATATTCGAGTCCAAATGGGTATGTACCTAGTTAAGGAAACGGCATTGTTCTATAACATGAGACTATGGATGTTCTTATGAAGCAGTTGCTTGTGTATAAACCAACTACCTACTAAGTAACTTGATGGTTCTTGGCAGGCCAGTTGACCCCACTAAGTACTGCCGTTCTCAATCGAAGTATCGCTCTCCGCTCTAAATGGCTGGCACCTCTTGACATTTTTGAAAACAGGCTTTTAAATAAAATAAGCCGTATTATAACCAATTGAAAAGATATTAAAAATGTTAACCTATAAAAAATGAACAATCTTATATATAGATTATATTAAAATAATTATTGTGACAGCCTATACGGACCTTCCCACATCACATGCCGATACCTCCCAATAAGGGAAGGATCTGACCAGAAGATCCCTTTTAAAGGGACAACCTCCAGCTGTACCTAGCTTTCTCTCTCTTCCTTTCCTCTCTAGTTTTGATATTCTCGTCAATAGAGTAATAGCTGCTTGCTGCTGGCCATGTCCCAGCTCCCCAGTACGCTCGCCGTGACAATTATTGTGAGAATTCATATACGGAAGTATTGGTGGTACGTTCGTTCGTGATTTTGTAACTATCTATTGCAGACAGATTTTCACTTAAGTACAGTTACAACGCGTCCAGCTAGCGTAGCGCTAGAGCTGTGGGGCAACGGTCGCTAATTGTTGAATACACGGATGTTGATGGATTGTGTTGATTGTTCTGCTCTGCTTCTTCAGTGTACAGAGATTGATCATCTGTCTTCTTGGTGGGTTGGATGCCCTGTGCGTCTCTGTCCCACTGGAGATCTTCCGGTGTCTATCTCCGGCTCCCATTCAACACTAGGACCACCACAAATCCACCTGGTCTGCGCACAGACCACTTGCAGCCACACCACCTGCACCACTCTATTCAACAATTATTGAATTATATTTAGTATTTCAATAAGTTCTCCTACATATATAACGTTATTATGAGCTTAATTTAAATTTTAGTAAACATAAATAACTTTTAATTTTGTATTTTTTTTTAAAAACTTTGTCAGATTTCAAGGGTTGACAAGCTTGTGGTCTTGAGCGGTAGCTGCAATCGTTGTTATCATTTCTCAGCTATCACAATTGAGTGGTATTTACACCTATTTATACAGCTCTGGAGATGCCGGAAACGATCCCTCGGCCCACCTTTTCCCGAGTCAACGTACGATTCACGATGCTAGTTATGGCAGCCTCCTTGACTAGCCACCTGACTAGCCAGCACTCCACAGGGCATACACCTCTGAAGATCCTTTGAATCTGACAATTTTTTAATAATACGCTTTTAAAATATATCTTTTTTTCTTTATAATACTTTAACCCACAAAGTTATTAATTTTTTACTTTGTAGTCTTATAACCCATCATTTTACCTCTCTATTACACTTCTATGCCTCGGCAACCAAAATCAATCTAGTTAACAGAAAGATAAAAGTACAGTATTCAAAGTTATAACTACTGTGACGACGTCGTATATATCAATCCGTACATGTGCTAATAGGTACGGCTTAAGGCTATGAGTGCATTAATATATGAATGTTTGCGACGTTAAATCGGGGGTAGCGACAGCTAAAAACGTACTTTTGTCGCCTTCGTAAACCAAGTCAGAAAAGTTGGGAGGTGGCAGCCATTCAGAGCGGGGCAGCGACACTTCGATTGAGAACGGCAGTACTAACCAGCGCCCGAGTGTGCCCCGCGTGTGCCTCTGACTGTGCCCCGCGCTTCCGCTAATCGGAGCTGATGCGCTCAGAAATTTCCCCATATGACATTCTCGTCATAGAACACGGCCTTTTGCTTACCAGCCAAGCGACAATCAGTCGTGTAATATAGTCGAGAGTCAATTGCTTCATCCTGCGGCCGTCGTGCACGAGAAAGCAATTCCATTTCTAAACACCAAGTCTCGTACCGTTTGGCAACAACAATCACAATGGCTCCGTTTCCTCCCCCACCGGTCAACACCATTGACTGGTCCAATGTCGGCTTCCGGGTGCGCGAAGGTGAGTTACAGGAGATGCGGTAGATGGCCTTTGGAAGCTGACACGGATAAGTGAATGGACACATTGAATCCCACTACTCTGTCAAGATGGGCAAGTGGTCACCGCCGCAGTTCGTCACCGACCCCTTCATCCGCATCCATGGCATGGCGCCCGCTCTCAACTACGGCCAACAAGCCTACGAGGGCATGAAGGCCATGCGCACCCCGTCAGGCGATATCCAAATCTTCCGCCCCGACCGCAACGCTGTCCGCATGCAACACTCGGCCGAGTTCATCTCGGTGCCCCCTGTCCCGACCGACCTGTTCCTCGATGCCGTCAAGGCCGCCGTTTCGCTGAACGCCGGGTTCGTGCCCCCTCACGAGACCGGTGCCGCCATGTACATCCGACCCCAGATCTACGGTTCCAGCGCGCAGCTGGGTCTGAACCCGCCCGAGGAGTACATGTTCTGCGTCTACGTGATGCCCACCGGTGTGTACCACGGCACGCACCCAGTCAACGCCCTGATCTTGGAAGACTTCGATCGCGCGGCGCCGAACGGGACTGGAAGCGCCAAGATTGGTGGCAACTACGCGCCGGTGTTGCGGTGGAGTGACAAGGCTAGGAACGAGGGCTACGGGATCACCCTCCACCTCGACAGCGCGACGCATTCCGAGGTCGATGAGTTCAGCACAAGTGGGTTCATCGGCGCGGTCGTGAAAGGGGACGACGTAACGCTGGTGGTGCCGGACTCGAAGAACGTGATCCAGAGCGTGACCGCGGACAGCATCCTTGATATTGGAGAGAGTTTCGGTTGGAAGGTGGAGCGACGATCTGTAAGTCGTGTGCCGCCCTCGGGGACTTTGAGTATACTGACACGGGGCAGATCAAATACACGGAACTGCCCAAGTTATCCGAGGTCATGGCTGCTGGAACAGCCGCAGCACTTGTGCCAATTCGGTCGATCGAGCGACGACTTGACCCTGCCTCACCTCAATCCATTTCATCGGCAGGAGGGGATCAATCTCGCTTCTCCGCTGGCAAGGATAGCGAAAAGGTCACTTACATAGCAGACGCGCAGGAAGATGCCGGCCCCATCTGCTTGCGGCTTTTGACTCAACTCAAGTCCATCCAGCTCGGCAAAGTCAAGGATGACTTCAATTGGTGTGCTCCTGTTACTCGGGAAGATGGCACCAAGGTGACTGGCGAGAACAAGGCGACAAACGGCAATGGGCAGACTGTTGACCAGCTGGACTAGGGAAGTCTCCCTCTGGCAAGTGCGTGGAGAGAAAGACGGCATATATCGGGGTGATTCAAAAGCCATATAGGCGTATCGGACCGGAAGACAAAAGTAAACAACATCTACAATGAAGAAGATTCACATCTAGCCTTTCGAGACTTACTCCAAGTCAGACTGCAGATGGGTTGTATTGGTGAACGGTAAACTACTAACGCATGCGACGTGCAATCCAATGGCAATGCATGGTGCTACTGTGATACGCTCTCTATCTCGCTCCCTTGGGTTGGATTGAGGCTGATGCGTCCCCATGCAATTGCCAAATCTGGCTGTTGGAGTGAAGCCATCCAAGCACTCGCAACCAACCAACCAACCAACCAACCGACTAGATGCACACACATGCGGTGCCAGCCTTACCTTATGTAGGTCTGCAGTGTTCTGGCCACAGCCCAGTGACATGCAAGCTAATCAATCAGATCTTTGTGGGTGTTATCGGAAGCCTTCTTATCAATATCTATTATCGACTCCAACACACCTACCAACTTCAACACCACCAAACATGAGGCGATCCCGTCTCGTGAGTCGTGGGACATCCATCACATGCGAACGGGCATCATGGACCGGAACAATCCGGGACCCTGCAGGTGCATTGAGGGGTTGCGCCATCGCCCCAGTCCCCTGGAGCTGCTGCTGACTGGACACACACACCGCTGATTAAATTCTGACCATGGATCTGGGGTGATCTGGGCGAGGCCTCCAACAACGAACCCCTCCCGGGCCCCCATCCCAATCCTCACCCATTCACAGTCAGTCCAGCCATCATGACAACCAACAGTTACCAACTGCGTCTCCGAACGAGCAGGTCGCGCCAGGATTCGTTGGAGATAGGGCGGATTCCCTATTCCGGCCTCTCAGTGACTGGCTGGCTCTGTGATATGTCCCTGTCCCGTCTAGCCTTTCTCTGCAGATGCTGTGACATCACATCCTAGGGTCGTTGCAGTCGTCGAGAATCGCGCGGCTGCATCGCTACCGCAGGACAGTAGAAGCCTTGTCTGCAGGAGAGGCAAGCTTCGACAACGAGGCAGGCAAGACTTTTCTCGCCCAGGCCCAGGCCCAGGCATCGCCCCTGTAAGGCCAATGGTAGAGCTTGGAAATGGCGCAGTCTTTGATATGGCTGACATGCATCCCGGTTGTGGGGGGAGCGTGGGGAGCAGAGGCTGCAAAGGTGCATTCTCTTTGGTTGGCGACCCTCTCACCAGAGTCACCACCGGAATGGGCTTTTGTTAGCGGCTTGTCGGAGCTTGCATTCCAATGGGCACTGGCCTTCTCCACCCACGTGCCCAAGCAGAAGCTGACGGGAAGCAAGGTGATGGCTTCGGCTTGATTTTGCAGGCTTGAGACAGACCTGGGTGCTCCAGGTCGTCATCTTGAGAGCTAGACCACCGGGGCAGGCAATCCTCCTACCCGACCCGACCCCGGTACCGCGTTCTTCATGGTCTGGTTCGGGGCCCACGCTATATGAACTGAGGTGCCTACCAGATTGCCTTGCCTTTCCGTACCCGAGTTTCTCAGCCTCCTCGTGTGGTTGCTGCTTGGGTCACCTCTCTGTTTCCGCCCTCGGTGCGCTACGTACACGATCCTTGCGATCATGGCGACTGCGACCATCACCATCACGGACGACCTCGGTCTCATCAAGCCCGAGTCGTCCGGCCATGTAGACCTCGGTGGCATCTACCACACGCGCAGCCGGTCGCGTGCCCGCCGAGCTGGCGACCGCCGCAGTACTTCTCAGGAGCGTCGCGGTGAGGAGGCCGAAGACCTCGACGACGGCGGGGAATGGCACCGCGACGACCACAAGAAGAAGCAGGTGTTCAAAGGGACGACGTTGCTTTGGTAGCGTAGCTCTATTCGCTTGCAGAACTTCCTGTGTCATTTGCTCCATGGCCTTTGCTGACTGGCTGCTTCAAGGCTGGCGTACCAGTCTACTGGTGCCATCTATGGTGATATTGGAACCAGGTGAGGCTTCATATGACCCAGAATCACCTGACCAGAGTACCGCTTTCATGATTCTGACGTTCCACATCAGTCCCCTCTACGTGTTTTCGAGTACCTTTACCGAGAATCCTACGCAGAATGACCTCCTGCAGGTTCTCTCCGTCATTATCTGGTCTCTCACTATTATGGTGACGCTGAAATACGTCCTCGTTGTTTTGCATGCCGATAACCAAGGCGAAGGAGGCACCTTCAGTTGTTACTCGCTGCTCGCACGCTATGTAAGCTTCGCAGTCGCCTGTACAGGCATTCACTGGATTGACGATTACAGGCCAACATCAGGGACCGTGACCCGCGCGAGCAAACCACAGTCAAGATGGAACGGCATAACACGCAGGATCTCAGACCTAGCAATCGGAAAGTCCGTCGGAGACTCGAGAAGAGTATGTTCACGCGCGGTTTACTGCAGATCATTGGGGTGCTCGCCGTGTGCATGGTCATCGCCGACGGCATCCTCACCCCGGCCCAGTCCGTCCTCGGTGCCGTACAGGGTCTATCGGTCGTCAGTCCAAATATCACCAGCCCAACAGTGGTAGGTACCAGCTGTGGGATCCTGATACTACTCTTTACCCTCCAGCCGTTAGGTCTCACCAAGCTCGCCAGTGTCTTCGCCCCCATCGTCATCCTCTGGCTGGCCTTCAACGCGGGATTCGGCATCTACAACCCTGGTCAAATTCGACCACTCCGTGCTGAAAGCGTTCTCGCCCTACTACGCCATCCACTTCTTCATGGACAAGAAGACGCAGGCTTGGAAGATGCTTGGCGGCATTCTGCTTGCTTTCACCGGCGTCGAGGCTCTGTTTGCGGATCTGGGCGCGTTCAGCATGCGGGCCATACAGATCAGCTGGCTCGGCTGGTGCTATCCGTCTTTGCTACTGGCCTATATCGGACAGGCTGCGTACATCAGTGTCCACCCTGATGCCTGGTCAAATCCTTTCTACAACTCTGTTCCTCCGGGAATGTTGTACCCTAGCCTCGTTGTTGGTATTCTGGCGGCCATTGTTGCATCTCAGGCTATGATCACGGCGGTCTTTCAGGTAAGTGATACCGGCAATCATGAAGTGTGAGAAGAAACGGCTCTGACTTCATTCCAGCTTATTAGCCAGCTCATGAAACTGTCGTACTGTCCACAGGTGAAGATTGTGCACACGTCAACCAAGTTCCATGGGCAGCTCTATGTGCCCTTCGTGAACTGGATTCTCATGCTTGGCACCATTCTGGTCACTGCCGTATACTCTAACACGACTCGTCTTGGAAACGCTTATGGGTATCGCCCAATCCATTGCACATTTTGAAGTCCATTACTAACAGGCACCAGCGTCTGCGTCATGTTCGTGACGTTCTTCGACACGTGCATGGTCACGCTCGTCGCCCTCATCGTCTGGCGCCTGCCGCCCTACCTCGTCTGCATCCCCTGGCTTATTTTTGCCACCGTAGACTGCCTTTACCTCTCCTCGGCGTTGACCAAAGTCCCCGACGGTGCCTGGTTCACCATCACCATCGCCGGGATCCTTGCGGGCATTTTCCTCCTCTGGCGCTTCGGCAAGGAGAACCAATGGCGCGCCGAGGCCGAGGACCGGTTCCGCCCCGCCCAGTTGGTGACAAAGGACGGACAGGGCCGGCTCGCGCTCACGTCACGCTGGGGAGGCGGTCTCGTGTCGCAGATTCGTGGCTTCGCTATCTACTTTGATAAGACGGGTGTGCTGACGCCGATGGTGTTCACCCAATTCGTCAGCAAGTTCGGCGCCGTGCCTGACGTAATGGTCTTCTTTCACCTGCACCCTGTCGAAGAACCGTCCGTGGCCCCGGACGAGCGGTATGCCATCTCGCGGCTGGGCGCTATCCCCGGCTGCTATCGTCTGATTATACGTCATGGATTTATGGACGAGGTTATCACGCCGGATCTGGCGGCCCTGATCTACGAGCAGTTGCGCAACTTTGTGATTCGCCAGGCTGGCGCACGCGGACTGCCCGAGCAGGTCAGGGGAGATGATGGGGATGGTGACGAGGCTAGGACCTCGGGACACGATGCGGAGACAGCGGGTCAGGACGGTCAACTGAAAACCACTGCCGCGGCCCTCTCGGCGCGCGAGAAGAGCGAGGGCGACAACAGCAGCGGCAGCGGGCACACCCCCGAGCCCAGCAGCAGCACCGACGTCGACGACCAGGAGAAAGGCAAGCAGCGCCAAGCGGCGCAGCTGCCGCCCGAGCTCTCGGACGCCAAAGTCAAGGCCGAGCTCGCGCGCCTCGACCGCGCCTTCGCGACAAAGGTCATGTACGTGGTCGGCAAGGAGCAGATGAAGATCAAGCTCGGCACGTCGCTGGTCCGCCGCTTCGTGCTGATGACGTTCCTGTGGATCCGCGACAACACGCGCGCCAAGATTGCGAACCTACGCCTGGCGATGGACAGGGTGGTCGAGGTGGGCTTTGTCAAGGAGATATAGCAGGACGCGGGTGGATGGGTTGGCGGATGGGAACTGGGGCTTAGGAGATGAATGAGGTGTGGAGATGGATGGAGTTGAGAGGAGAGGGTACATACAACTGCGAAGTGGGGATTTCACCAGCGATCTCGAGCATGGCGATGCATTTGTGGACTGCTCTGGATTACGAGTCCTGTCTACATATCATGAGACTTACAATTCATATTGGTCGCATTATCACGTACCGAAAGCTTCCTCACACCATGGCAGAGTGAAGAGTCTTTAGACTGAGCAACGTAGTTACTATCTGCAGGGTGACCTGCCGCAGATACCTAGGTCCACACTTAACCCCTATGTACACCTTTGTTCTGGGCTGACCTGTTTGCGGCACTCGAATGTGTGTATATTCTAGACAAAGATCATTGGTCGAGTGAACAGACCCGTAACATCGAATTTCCATAATAGTCTTTGTTCTCATCTAGTGAGACGTTAATACCTCGGTACATCTGAAGCTTCCGTGACGATACCTACTCCACGCATAATCATCCAGTCATCTCGCGCTTGCCCGGTGAGGCACAATACCTATCAAGCATGGCGGCGAACCTGCAGCCGAGCCCCAGGAGGCTCGCCACGTTCCGCAACTCGGTGTTCGACCGATTCCGCCACTACCGGCAGGGCACGCGCTGGGACCCCGTCGCGCGCGCCCGCGCCGCCTTCGGCAACCCGCAGCTGCCGCTCCAGGGCGAGCCCCCGCTACTCGAGACGCCTGGCCAGGGCTCGGCGGTACTAGTCCAGTACGCGCCGATGCTGCGCGACAGGGTGGACATCGACCTGCTCTCCAGGTCGGGCGCGAGAAAAGACAAGGTGCCGGCCAAGATCGTCGAGGCGTGGGAGAGTCTCCAGAGGCCGAAGAAGGAGTTTAGTCTTGCTGGTAATCGCGTGGTCAGGTATAATCGTTGTCTGGGCTGGGACGGGAACGGGCTGGCGGCTGCTTTTAGCGATGTTGATGGGAATAGGGTGACGGGCAGGTCGTGGGTTGCTAAGATGGCCTTTGGGGACTCGGAGGATGTGGGGTACTTGGAGGATGAGAAGGATATCAGTAAGCATACTCTGGTGTTGCTATGTTATATACCGCAAGAGGTGAGAGCCGACGGGGTCATGGGGAAGATGGCTGATTGCGTACTCCCACTTCGCGCTTGCAAGACTGACCGCCCGGTGCCGCAGTGCGTGTAAGTTGCTCCGGCGTCTATCATTTCTTGATAGTAGGCCCCGCGACCCCTGGGACTCGGCTCAAAATCAGTATAGGAGCTAGCGAAATCCGAGCACATCGTCCAGCTCGTCGACTTCAACGGCGACGAACCGGTCTCCGATGACGAGGACACGGAGATGCCGGACATGGGGAACACGGGGCGCAGGAGAAGCAGTGGTGCTGAGAAGCGCACGCGGGACGACAACGACAAACCGGCTGACCCGAAGAGACGGAGGACTGCTTCTGGGAAGCCGCCGTTGCCGGTCATTATTATGGAGATGCTCGAGCATGGAGACTTGCTGCACTTTATCTTCAAGGTGCGGGTGCATAACGAGACGGTTCCGAATACGGTGTTGTGGCGGTTTTTCGTTTGGTTATAGCGTCATGGTTTCATGCGCACCTGAGTCAGAGTTGAGTTAGCTGACGATGAACACGTTGCGAGATGCAGTGATCAGAATTTGCATCGCCATGGCATACAAGCCGGCGAGTCTGGCGGAGAACGAGAATAATCCCGGCCCTATCACAGAGACGGTACCGGATCGTCTGGAGGATACGCCATCTCGATTGATACATTTCGATTTTGACCCTGCCAATGGTACGGTACGAGTATTTCGAGAGGGGATAACCCGGCTAACAAGAGGCAGCATTCATCGGAGCCATAGGACCGACTCTCAGCGAGCATGGCTTGACGCCGATACTCAAGGTACCTCGCACGTCGGAGCCCCATTTATTGTCCCACTTACTCACTCGACCAGCTTGGTGATTTTGGACTGGCAGAGGAGGTAGAAGAGGATCAGAATGACTTGTGAGTGAGCGTTATTGAAACCACGGATGCACCACAGCTGACTCCGTGTTCGGTTACTACGACACTATCCGCCAGTTTGGAAAGGTCGGCTTCTTTGCCCCGGTGAGCAGAGCTAGCATGCTAGCGACGGGAAGAATAACTGACCATAAAACCACAGGAGCAAATCTGCAGTGACTGGGACTACATTCCCAGGGACGCAGGCCTTCTCAAGAACCACCAGATAGCCGAGAACTATCACGTTCATACCAACGTGTGGGCTATAGCACTCGTAAGCCATCTCCTTCGTCTGAACCCTACCGGTATCACATGTCCAACACTACCTTCAAAGATCGAAAAAACACTCATAACCCTCAGCCGCCCCCTACAGCCACCGACGCCGACCAAGACCACCATAAGACCCCCGGACAACAAGACAGAGTACCACACCTACGGCTTCCATCTGAACCGGGACGAGTACAACCACGTCGACCGCGATCTCCTGGCCGTGCTGCTCCGCTGCCAGGCCCATCTCCCCGAGGACCGCCCGAAACTGCACGAGTTGGAGCAGTACGTCGTTACGCAGGTGGGCGACAAGAGCTACCCTAACGAGACAGACGACCAGGTCCGGGCTGGGATGCAGAAGATACTGTATGATGCGCCGCCGCTGTTGACGCCGCCGCCGACGCCGCGGGCCGCGCAGCCGTTGGTGGGCACGGGGCCGGTCGTGCCTAATCCGGTCCATGTGTTTTCTCGTAAGTGGAAGATCTCACCAGTTGTGGAAAATCTGTCTTTGGCAGAGTTTTATGCTGATTGGCATCGTTTGGTAATTACAGCCCAGGGGAGCAAGGTCCCGCCAGGGGCGCCGGTGCCGGCCACTACGCCGCGGCCGCGTACGCCTACTCGTGCGGCTCGGGTGCTGGCGGTTGATGATGATTATGGCGATAGTGATGATGATGCTATGGATACTGGCTGAAGGGATACATTGAAAGACTCTTTTTCTGCTTGTTAGAGTGGGTTTAGGACATCCAAGCCTCGTTCATAGTGATAGAGGAGGCATTGAGCATAGTCAGTTGGGAACGAGTCTCTTTCGAGTCGGCTACGAGGAACAGATTGGGATGTTGCTCTACCACTTGAGATGGCTGCATGCACTTGGAAAGGGAGGTATATAGTAGGTTAGCAACACAAGTTGTAACCATCTCACGAGGAGCTCGTGATGGCATATTCGTGTCGCAGGAATGATGGCAGCTTTGCGAAACAAGAATAACTCGGGTGAAGCTGGCTTAGAATTCACGGCATGAGAAAACAACAAACAATGGTCTGTGGCAATCGAAAAGCAGCCTCCCACCTTGCGCCTCGCCATCCAACGCCAGCGCTACCTCCGTACTACAGAGCAGCTGGAAACATCAAACAAAAGGCGTCCGTCAGAGCTTGGTTCGGGGCGGGTCCCAGTATTCGCCCAACCCGAAGTCGACATCCGCGTTCTCCAGCTTGACGCCGACCTGCCACCGTCCCAGGCCCGGCCAGAAGTTCTCGTGCTCCACGGTGCTGGCCATGCTTCCCAGGTCGTCCCTCTGCGACATGTCGACCCAGCCCACCATGGCACGTCGCGTCGACTGCGCGGGCATGATCCTGGCCCAGCGGTCGGTGCCTGGCAGCTCGCCCTGGGCGCCGTCGCCTGCCGGCAACGGCGGCTGCACAAGGGAGGCGTCGAAGCCGATGTACTTCAGCCACGATAGCGAGAATGGGAATCTGGGCGCCCAGCGGATGGGCTGGAATGTCGCCTGGAAGAGCGGCCTGTCGCTCGCTTGCGCCTCTGATACGTCGCCCGAGGTGTCGTGCGGGTAGACCTTGACGCTGGTTGAGCCATCGGTGAGCTCGCCCCATTCGAACTTCGCGAGGTGCTTTGGGATGTTCCAATCTACGGTGTTGGCAAGTCAGCTGACCAGTACCTACTGCAGGTAAGCAAGAAGCGCATAGAGAGGGCGACCCACTCGTCCTCCCATTCCAGCACGTATACTTCTGCGATACGTAAATCCGCGTGATTCGCGCGTTCTTCTTCGTCGTCCGCCTGACCTTTTCATCCCCCTTTTCGTACGCGAAGGCGCCCGGACAGACGATGAGCTCGTCGTAGGGCCCGATGGGGCTCTCGGTGTAGCGGATGATCTGGATCTGGCCCAGCCCGCCGATGTGCCTGCCCGACGACTCGGGGGCGGCGAAGGGTGAGTCCCGCTCTAGCGGCGAGTAGGTTTGCTTTGGTAGGTTGCCGGCTTTGCACCAGAAGGACACCATGTATACGGTGCCCTTCAGCCTCCAGGGCGCGGGCACTGGTACGATGGGCTTATCGTCCATCTTTTGCTTGAATGTGGGTGTCGTGGTTCTGCTTCTTCTGGTGATGTAGGTTGCAAGTACACAGATGTAGGGTTGAGGGGATTGCTGGGATTGCTGGGAGTTTTTCGCTGAAGGAAGGCAAGCGGTTTGTGTAGGACAGCGGTGATCTCACTCGTTGGACAAACAGAGGTTGTAACCTTGTGACCTCCTGTGGATGTGAATGTAAGGGATGCAAGTGGGTCCTCTTCTCGGCAGGTCCCCCGAGATTATGCAGAGGTACATTATTTATGCAAGCCGCCGAGTGAGGGGAATTGGCCACCTCGCCCTCGGTACCTCGGATTGCAACGTCACGTCCAGCTGCCTACCATAAATCTTCGTGCGGCTTTCTCTTGTCCATGGAGGTTGAGATCATGCTGATGTCTGATGTTTGGTGCAGGCAGCATTCAGGAGGCGCTGCTCGTTGTACCGGGGTTATGTATCTAACATAACTAGGGGGAGACGCCAGACCAAATACGACCATCAGACCTCGTCACATTTCTCAACAGTTCATCGTCACTGTGTTCATTCGAAGTGTCCACCCATAGTTGCGAGGCCGCCATTGTTTGGCCAGTGGAAATGACAAGAACTGCGTGATCCGGTGTTTGAAATTGCATCGTTACTGGTCTAGATTGCATCTGTCTGTGTCGGAAGATGGCCAGAGCTGCGCACGTGGGTGCGGTGGACGGTCATTGACGGACGCATGTTCATCTGAAGCATGTCAGAAGACTGATTCGGTACTGTTTGCCTCCCCTCAGTGAATGCTGGCTTGCGATTCATTATCTCACCAGATACGCGGTGAATATCTCACGGCCTCCCGAACACGCCAGATGTCTATTTATCTCAAGGCTTCTCTGTTCACATTTGACTTCCAACTACCACCTGGGTTATCATCACACCAAAACCCAGTATGGAGGGTACTCAAAAGGCACTACCGCGACTGGGAAAGCCGGGCGATCCTATCGAGATCGAGTGGTGGTCCAAGGATCCGAAAGACCACACCATCGGAAAGCATCTCGAGAAAGCGTAAGCCGCCCAATCTGTCGCTCGATGAGTTACTCATGGACTTAGTTATTGGGGATCTAGCGACTTCAGCGATGCGAAGATCGTATGCCAGAAGAAAGAATGGGATGGCGGCATTCTCCCCTTTCTTCAAGAAGACCTTCTCGGGAAACTTCAAGGTCGGTGTGTCCAAACTTGAGTCTAGCGCACTTGTTGAACTTTTGACAGGAGGCTCGTGAGGGTTCTCTGGATCTGAGCGAAGAGGTGCCCCACATCGTCGAGGCAATTATTGCGTACATCTATCGTGGAAGTGAGTCAGGGCAGACTCCTGTGTTTCGGGGATAAGAAAGCTGACACCAGACGCAGGAATCCGACTGCAAGTTCCGTACACGAATGACCTTGGTTCTCGTGGCCCTTTCGTGCAGCTTGTCCAACTGCACAATCTTGCCGACTTCCTCATGATGGACAAGTTGAAGGCCCAGGTCCGCACCAGTATCCAGACATTGGCACGCCTCTATGGGCCCTTGGGAACACTCGTCGAACTCGGGTTCAGAACTGGGTTCAGCGTGTACCCAACCTCCACGACAGACCAGTTCTTCCAATATCTCCCCGCGCAAGACTTTCCCATGGCGCTTGGGATGGCCTACGCTCCCAACGCCCCCGAAGCCGAGGAGATGAAGCATCTCTTTGTGCGCATTGGGTTGGCTCTCTACACCGGTGGTGTCAAACAGTGCGTATTATGGTTGATCTTGTTGATAACGTGTATTCTCGTGATTCTGATGAGAGTGTGTGTATCTGAAGGATCTGCTGGTGTAAGCTACAGGGCCCGAAATTGCCCTAGAGCCCCTGTCGGTGCACTGCCACCTCCCTGACTCCACTGTGGCTTGCGTGCCATTTGACAGGTGGCAGATATCGAGTCAAGCTTACAAAGTCCATTTTCACGGACAATCCTCTGTTTGCAGCGGACATGTTGGAACTACTGACCAGACAGAGCGCGATTGACCGGCACGGCGGCGTAATCACGATCAACCATCGACTCGGCGTCGAGGGGGAGATGAATATGGCCATTGAAGGAGTCAAGCCACGGCCGACCGATATGATGGACTGCATGTGGGTATCTACTACAAGCGACTCTGAGGATCCTGATGGTGACTCTGAGGACCCTGATGATGTGGATAGCCCGGTCGCACGGGTTGATGCGCATCCAGTGGTTCTCAACACAACTACAAGTACACTTTATGGACCTCAAAGCTCACTGGCTCAAGGTAACAGAGGATGGAGAGGGCTCTTCGAGGGGCTGCCGTATAGCCCAGGCGTATAGCTCAGGCTCTCCATAGTGGTCCATGGCCTCACCCAATTACCGCTCCGATTAGCAGGTCTATCTAACTTGATCCGCTCCGTGATACTGATGGCAATAACCAGCTGTCCCCTAGCGAACGAGCCTTCCGTAGTATAGATCGCGATGTGGTCATGCGTCTCTCGGCCGTAAAGTCTGCGTTCTTGTTGGATTCTGGGCTACGTTAGCCCATCCATAGTCATCCTTCAGGATCACCATCCCCATTCGTGACTCTGTCACATACGTGGCCAACATAAGGCCACGTATCCTTTCCTTTAGTATCTTGGATATATATAGGGCCACTCTGGCCGCTCCAGAGTAGCTGGAATTCTTCTCCTTAATAGAACACTTTGAAATCTCACAGTTCTGTGCTATCCTTGTACGCTTACCGGCTGTCGGTGTTCGAGTCTTCGCCCTCGGAGTGAAAGATCCGCCGGTATCAAGGCCGATATGTCGGCACTGACACTGCCAGGATGGCCACTATAAGTTCCACGATGAACAACATCGCTTCCGGCGCACCGTCCACTGATTATATGCTGGTCAGGATCGTACAGGCCGCACTTGCCGGTTGACTCACACCTTCCATCGTTGGCCAGATATCGCAGGGAGAAAGTAAAATAGCTCACGATGCCGATGACACAAGATTAATTTTATTGTTATGCTTCCCGACCGCAAGGAAAGAGCGAAACCCAAATGCCTCAGAATACAACAAAAAAGAAAGCCCAGTACTTTACGCAAAGTCTAATAGATTGAAACGCCACAAATCATTTCCATCCACGAAAACATTAACCCATGGAGTCCATAGGCTCAGGCCGATGCCTCACACGCCGATGCCTCACACGCCGATGCCATAAGCGCTGGGGGCATGTCATGTTGGAGCCAACGAAGAAAAAAAACAACCAAAAAAATCTTAGTCCAGGCAAACTACATGACCAAACTTACCTGCTTCCTAAGGCGAGCGTGAGAGACAGCACGATCTTCGTCTTCCCAGGTAGCTGCAGCTTCCAGACCATTGGGGTGGCTATAATTACTAGATCTGAAACCATCGACATACAATCAGGGCTCCTAGTCGTGGACACCGGGCCCCAAAGCATCTATTATGAGCCAGGGTAGCCATTGCTGAGACTGCATGCTTGCTATGACCTCAGACTGGCCGTGGTAGTGGTGGTTGACTGATCAATTATCAGGGGCCTTTTGTCGAGACGACGACGCCAATGACTGGATCCCCAAGAGGTGTGAGGTCTGAGACTCAGCCTGTAGCCCCTCAGGAGCTCAAAACATAACGCCATGCATCATAAGCGTGTATAGTACGAGAATATGCGGATGGGAATAGGTGTTTGCGTTTGGATGGACGAGTCTGCGGTCAATCGCATCATCAGGAGCAAATATGTAGACAAGTGAGCGTCAGACAGGTCCGAAGTGCAAAACTATAAAGGGTCGAGAAGTTTCCGCCTCCAATATATCATCGCGGAATGATTGCCGCAAGCTCCGAGCACCGCACCTCGTAGGATTTCATCGCGGAATGATTGAAGTAAGATTTCGAGAGCCGCACCTCGGAGGCGTCGATTTCCAAGGTAGGGTTCTTGTTTCCAGCTAAGGATGCTTGACCAAATGGTTGAATGTTCTTCGGGTCATTCAACACACCGTGATGAGACGTGAACTTGTACTCAACCCAACATGTGTTTTCCATACGGCCAAGTGCCTTGAATATACCACTCACTATCCTACTGGAAGTTCCCAGTGCAAGGTCATCAGTGGCCTTTGCGTAAGTGCTCCATAAGGTACCCTAACTAGAGGCGTCAATTAGAGAATTTTCTCCTAGTAAGGAATGGTATCAAGCCCACATAGTCTCAAGGTTGGGGGATAACTGCACTAGTCTACGTGGCGATCTTTACGAATTGGCAAGATAGCGAAACTGAAGGATATTGCATCATGCAGGCTTCGAGGGACGTTTTCTTAACCCATAGAGGCTGTATTTCCTTCAAGTCATGAATCTGATAATTGTTGTTGTTTGTTTGTTTGTTTGTTTGTTTTGTATTTAACGTGGGGGGTAGCTCCTCAGTAGTGCAAACCACGCCTCCCAGAGCCATTACATCGCAAGGTTGTAGAGGTGTCAAATTAGATACATTCAGATCTGCGCACGAGCCTATCCTCGCTGTAGCGGTACCAATCTGGAGTGTTCAGATGGTTTTAGTCAATACCCAAGCACGATTCCGTCAGAAAAACCTCCTATCTAGTGACAAAGCGACCCAGTGAATCTCAGTTCTCTGGTGTACATATCGTTCCAGTAGCCGTTCGATATATGTCGCATTGGTGGGTGGAGTAGGTGTTTGGTATCTGCTGGCAAGGGAAACCACAAGGGGGAAAACCTCGCAGGAGTGGGTATTGTGGAGACAAGCTGCTTGGCTATCGGGCTCTGCAATAATGGGGCCTCTCCACTGTCGTGTGCTGGTTATCGACTCGCACAAGCCGGGTCAGAAAGGGGGCCATAGCAGGATTCGAACCCACTTGTTCTCGTCGCCCACCGCACAAACGAGAACACAACCAGGCGCATTTGATCATTGCGCCATACGGCCGAATCTGATAATATATACGGTCTTTGCTCATCATTGGTGGTGATGTCACGATTCTTGGCGCGTAAGCTCCCGCATTGGGCTTCATGTGCCTAACCCAGCAGATCGAGAGATGGTATCAATCTTAGAACCAATTTAGGCTCTGCCGCAACCTTGAGCAAATTGAGAATTTTTGGGTGGCTTATGGCTGAACCTTATTAATATTCTCCCTCAACCTCAACGCCAATATGGGTCCAGCGAAACCTTCATCTTTCTCCGATAAGTTACAAGAGCCCTATATGGACCCGTATCCTCGCGGGTCAGTAATCTGACTGCTACGAAAACACTGCAGTCTCTTCTCCAATCTCTTCTCCAACCAACTCCCATTCTCTCACCAACCCCCATACTCTCGCCATTCCCACTCTTCCACTATCTCCTTATCTCACCACGGCTTATTTTTCCGACACCTCTCATTTTCGAAAAAACTACAGTAGGGAATCGCTTCCCACTAGTGGTTATCCAGAAGACTCCGACAATCCAACCTAAATACTACGTTAACATACCCGCTACTCTATACGCTAACAGACTCGTACGTATTGCCCAAAACCCTATGAACGTGTTACGAACCAACGAGGCGTACAGGGAATGAGGCCCGCTGGCAGGCCCAACAAGATGGACAGTAACTGGAAGAACCCGGGAGAACGCACGGGCTAAGGAAACGTCTAGGTCACGTGATCAAGACATCACGTGATGGATAGCTTGGATAGCGAGGTTATCCAACATATCCAGGATAGCTTGGATAGCAAGGTTATCCAACATATCCACCCCATCAGTAAGGGAGAGATTGGATATATAAGGATACACTTCTTAGCTAGACAGATAAACAGTCTCTACCTCAGTGATCAATCTAAGCATCTTAGCCAACCCTAAGGTGGGAGAAATCTCCTGACGACTCGACTATTCAGTGAACCCAGTTCAGACCAAGCCCCAGCATCTGAGTGTCTTCTAGTTAACAGAAGCCTCTATCGTCTTTTGTGTTAACTTACCTCAGAACATAAACCCTATAGAACCCTTTAGCCTTATAGGTTAGACGGCTCGTCACAGAACGAAAAACCAATTGGACTGACGCCTCTTGGTACAAGATAACGCCCCGTTAAGAAGAATCTCCATCATGGCTCGCAAATTGGTCACAGTTCGACGAGTTTCTTCAATCCGCCCTATCCCAGCATCCTCAAATGTGTCAATCGCCTCAATCGACGGATGGAATTGCGGTGTACTGGCCGGCCAAGTCACTCAAGGCGACCTGGTGCTATTTTTCGAGGTTGATTCGTTTCTCCCGGACCCCAAGCATGATCCCCGCTTTGGTCACGGGAACAGCCCGATTCACCACACTGTTACCACTTGGCAGGGAAACAGAGGCATCCACGTCAAGTCTGTCACGATCGGGAGGAGCAGTGAGATTTCGCAGGGCGTTGCGCTCAATCTGAAAGAATTCCCCGAGGTCGAAGCTGGCTACGCAGAGGCAGTGCAGAAGTCGGGCCCCGTCGCCTGAGAGCTGCAAGTCATGGACATGTGCTTTGCTGAGATGCTTGGAGTCAAGAAGTGGGAGCTAGGTGAAAAGGAAGCTGTCCGCTGTCTCGGTACGCCACCTGTCTTCTTCCCGAATACCGGTTTAAACCGCGTACAAAACCTCAAGGACCTCTTTACAGAGAAATACTCGCAAGCAGTGTACCAGGAGTCCGTCAAGATGGACGGCTCAGCAATGACTGTCTATTTCATCAAGAAGACATCCCAGTTCTACCGATCAGTCCCCGTAATACCGGGGGGAACCAAGGCGGATCTGACCAACGGGCGATTCGGCGTCTGCAGCAAGAACATCGATCTGGCCGAGGGTGGAGGAAGCATTTTCTGGGAGGTCGCACTCAAGCATAGATTGCCCGACAAGCTGTCGAAGATCGACCGAAGCATTGCAATCCAGGGCGAGCTATGCGGCAGTTCGATCTAGCAGAATCGACACGGTTTCGGCAAGGGCTACCACGATTTTTTCGTCTTCAGCATGTTCGATATTGAAAGCCAGCAGCGTGTCTCTCCGGATGAGACATTGAAACAAGCAGAGCTTCTTGGCATTCAGCATGTCCCCGTTCTGGGAGAGGTAACTACAGCTGCATGACATCGCCTCAAACATCGAAGACTTGCTGAAGCGCGCCGAGGGAGAAGGCATCAATGGCAAGAAGCGGGAGGGACTTGTGTACAAGAGTCTACAAGGCGGTCACAGATTCAAGGCACTGGCAAACGACTACCTTCTCCAGCACGGGGAATAGCCAATCATCGATTCATTGCGAACGACCACGCGCGCTCAAGGTGCCGCCCACATCTCACTCCGCCGCGGCATATTCAGGATATCACCCCAGCTACTCAGGCGTGGGACGGCCTTGGATTCCCGATCATGGATAGAATATCGGCCATATTCGACAGTGTAGAGGCAGACGGAAAGGATCGCGACTAGACCCGACGATATAACCCGACGCTAAGAGCGACGAGCACGCTTACTCTCTACTCACAGAGGAGTGTCTGCCCTCCTCATGCCCACTACAACACTGCATCCGATTGGCCAGGTGAACACGCCTTTCACAATGCCGGGCGTCTCGGAATGGGACAGAAAGTGGACTTACTCATCGTCATGGAGAACGCGAATTCGTAAATGTGCCTCGGAGCTCGGGAAAGAGGTTATGCGTACCAGGCCTAAGAATTTATGCCTGACGATGGCTGGCGCGAAAGGCATTATGTAGTACGCAATAATGCAGGCTTATGCACGCGAGAGAAAGCAGTCGTCCGTGAGATGTTGAACCGGCGCTTTGAGTGAATACCTACGTGTACTGCTCTTAGGCTAGGCATTGCCTACCTAAGGAGCGGACTGCACATTCTTCATGGCTATATTTTGAGCATTCTTTCTGGAAGCTTCTGGCATGGCCCTCGGAAAGAAGCGCCCAGTCGTAGAGACATGAAATGAAGGTAAAGGGCAAGATCACATCCCCAAGCACAGGGGCTTATAATCAGGGGTCTTATAACCTTGGTTATGACTGTCGTCGGCCCGTCGTCATTTGCATAAGTACTGGAGCCTTGTAGATTCAGTGCCGTCGGCAATGGTTCCTATTGGATCGGACGGTCGGTGCGCGGAGGACCGGAGGGTCGGAGGGTCGGACGATCATCAATAACGACCAAGATTTGCCGCAGAGCTGAAGCTGACGACTGAGTCTGCGTTGGAAGGATGCTTCATTCAACAGCAAGCCGCTTGGGAGGTCTTCTCGACTAGGGCTCTCCGTTATCGCCTTCCAGCTAGACTATAGGCTTGATCCATCACGGAGGTCGGAGACAGTCCACTGCACGACTTGATACATACTTGTAACGCTATGCCTGGGAACTATGAGGACCCGCCCCTCGTACGGCCCAGACCGCCACCAAGCCGCCGTCGAGATAAGCCGCAACTAAGCTGCAGTCTTTGTCGACGTCGGAAGTAAGTCCTCAGTCCCGCCCCGGGACTGGATGCCGTATCTCACTGGAACTGGAACCGGTACTAACCATATCAAAAGATTGAAGTGTGATCGTTTGCATCCCTGCTCGAACTGTTCTGTACGTATCATGTATGATGTGTGCGGTGGTTGTTAGCATGTCTCTGAGACTCTGACCCAACAGAAACGCGGCCACGAGCTGTCATGTACCTATGCTGAGCCCCTAAACACGTCCGGCTCACCGAATAGCGTAAACAACCCCACACGCCCAACTGACGTGCAAGACCGTCTGAGACAGTTAGAAGACCTCGTTGTCTCTCTCATGCATCACCGGCCAGCATCAGAGCCCAGCCCTGGCCAGACTTCAAGTTCTACAACTACCGCCGTGAACTCCCCATCCCAATCCAGCACCCTCAATCGTGACGGGCCTGGCGCGGTGGGTGAAGAGACAGTTCCGGCCCAACCTGGACTCGGCACGTTGGAACTGAGCAACACTGAAGTGAGATACCAAGGTCCAAATCACTGGACTTCGGTTCTGGACGCCATCGCCGAACTCAAGGGAGATGTTCAGGAGACGGAACGTACTTGGCTCCCAGAAGCCGACCCGAAGCCTTCGACGCCCACGCCCCCGGACACTATTCTTCTCTTTTCTGGGTGCACGCAAAGCAGCAGAGAAGAAGTCATGGCAGCTTTACCTCCACGGCCTCTATCAGATTGCCTCGTATCTCAGTGTTTCGAAGCCCTCGACTTGGTATCGTGTCCGTGTCATGTTCCTGCTAGAGTACACATGGTGGCTGATCTCTTCAGCAGGTCTCATCAACAAAGATGGGTTCTGGAAAGAAGTAAGGTGATCCTGAGTCAGAGGCGAGCAAGACACAACTGACGACGCACAGTATAACTCATTCTGGAATGATCCTGACTCTGCCCCCATAGCATGGGTGGGGTTGCTGTTTAGCATGCTCTGCATAGCCGCACAGTATCGGGATAACGATTATGAACGCCTCAGGAGCTTGCAGCCAGAGGTGATTAGCCAGACAAGTCTACGGGTGCTCGCTCATGAGTATCACGAGAAGACTATTCAATGTCTGATGCTGGCCCGATATACAAAAGGCGGTCCTTACGTGATCGAAACACTGATCCAATACATCGCGGCAGTGTATGTGAGACAACGAGATGCCAACAATGACGTTTGGCTTGCCCTGGTTCATGCGATTCATCTTGCCAGTATGTCACCAGCTCCCGGGACAGGCATATTCTTCTCTTGCTGGCTCTTTTTGCACCCCATTTAGGGAATGGGGCGTCGGATATATTTACCCCTGACCTAAGCAATTGCTAATGAACTGATAATCTTATCTTTAGTGCGGATGGGATACCATCGGGATCCAAAGCATTTCAAGCACCTATCACCGTATGATGGAGAAATGAGGCGGCGGGTTTGGCTTATGCTTTACTACATGGACAACGGGCTTTCTTCTCAAATAGGCATGCCACGAACCATCAAAGATGTGAGCGGTACTCGTCCCCCAGACTCCCTTTTCTGGCCGGTCTGCAAACCACTGCTACCATTCCATGAGGGCCCGCAGCATTGTGGTTCAATCTACACACTCCCTTCAAATCCTACATACGACAGCGGTTACTGACATGTGGCAGTCTGTAATCGACGCAGCAGAACCTCGCAACCTTCTCGACAGCGATTTCGATGTTGAGACAATTGAGTTGCCCCCGTCTCGCCCAGAAACAGAGATGACACCCATGCTGGTGATCTTATCCAAGACTCGCATAGCCAGGATATATGCTACCGTTGCGGATTTAGCCACTGACACGAAACCGTGCCCGTACTCGGAGATATTGAGGATCGACGAACAACTCAAGAGGGCCTTCGCGAATCTTCCAAGTTATTTCGAAATGCGTCCCGTTTCGGAGTCGGTTATGGATCCGCCCACCATCATCGCCCAGAGAATCCATATCCAAATGTCATATCACAAGACGCAGATCGCCCTTCACCGGAGATACCTGGCCCTGGGGAGGGATGACGAGCGGTATTCCTACTCCCGCAGGACTGTCGTGCAGGCTGCTTTGCAGCTGCTGAAGTACCAACAGCTTATGGATCAAGAAATGCAGCCTTGCGGACGCCTTTATCCTGTTCGTTGGAGGATAACCTCTCTAATCAACAGTGACTACCTCCTTGCCACGGTCGTGATCTGCTTCTATCTGCAACATAGCGGCGAAGCCATCGACCCCGAAGAACTGGGTGAGATAAAGGAGGTTATGAGGAAGACACGTTCGATCTGGATTTGGGGGATCTCCACTTCAACGGAAGCGAAGAAGGCCGTCGAGGCCATCAACGCGGTCTTGCCAGATATCCCCGGCATTGACGAGGATGCAGTCCCGGGAGGAGCGTGGAATCATACGCCACCATCCGAAATGTCAGCGGAAAACTTCCTATTTCCTCCAAACCAGGGTGAGTACCGGACACTGGTTATTCAATGTTCTTAAGGACAGTACTGTACTAAGACTTGCTCATAGGAGACTCCATGGGCTTCCATATGCCCTACTTCATGAACTCCATATTTGGAGTGCCTTCGATAGGCTCTATCGACTTCAATAACATGGAAACACTCGATGGGCCTTTGCCATCAAGCTTCATTGATCCGTGGTTTCAGGTAAGCAAGGAGTACCATGGACCAAGATACCACGAAGCTAACACGTCACCCAAGCCTGTCGGTAATGGCTTCTCTTGATGAGCTTGCTGTCGTATCTTGTTTAAGTGAGGAGCTGGTACGCCCAACATTGATATCCAACATGTACATATATGAGTCTTTCCCCTCTCAGCTCCTCTGGGCCTTTCATCTATCCTTAATACATCTTGGTTGAACACCAAAGTCAACATATATGGGTACGAGAATTTTCATGGGTATGAAGGACGGCTTGTCGAAGGAGAGGTGGAGAAGTAGAAGCATAGCAGGGAGTGCATGATGGCTTTCTGGCTGGAGGGTATCAAGAAAGCACAGAGGTGATAGCATGGAAGGGCGCACAAGAGACTCGGATGCCGTTGGGTGTGGCTAGGCTGCTGGCATGAGCATTGATGCGTGGCGGTATGCTGGCCAATGCTGAAGTCAAAGCAAGCGCCTTGGGCAGATCAGCGTGTCGTGTGTGCTCAGAGATAGTCGGCCATGATACCCACCACTCCGGGTATGGCAACATCATTTACATCTCCTCTCACCATTCACATCTCCTCTGACCATGAAAATCGCTGTTGATCCAATGCAGGAGGATGCAGATGCTGAGCTGTCCCCAGTCCAACGCATGAAGGCTAACATAGTGCATGCCCACTCGGCCTTATCTTGTAGAAAGACTAGCGACTCAGCTATCATAGGTCCGGTACATGAGGTTGGAAGGAGCCAGAAGGCAGCATCATCCGGGTAGTATCGTCTCCTTTGCCGCAGCCGTTAACGGAGGCAACGACCTCGCGAGACCCTATGTGACTATAGTCGCTGATAAAGGGGCTATGCTCATTGGCTGCTTTCGAGCTTCATACAGACGATAGACCGACCAGGGTGCAGTGATAATGCACGTATACTCACATGTGTGTTCACTGGCAACCCTTCTTCTATCTCGATATTGTGCATTTCGCCCATAGTTACCGTCCCTACCGTCACCCAACATTCATTGCCACTCCAACGTTACTCCAATTTCCTAAGTATCAAACGCCTGACAAAGATGGTGGGAACAAAACAGGAGTGTATAGAGGTCCAGCTGATATTGGAGTTATGCTTACTCACTTCAGGTGTTTGTGTAGCACCATGTGTCCCCCCGCCTTCACCCCAGCCTGCTGCTGTGTGACCCAAGTTCTAGGCCGCGAGTATGCATGATTCCTTTACTTGAACCAACCTTTCTCGTGTCCTGCCTGCCTCTATTGGCTATAATGCCATGCGTGCACTCGTACCTTACAACAGCGTCATTCCCAACGTCGCAGCCAGGTTTCAGACCAGGAAGACAATGTGGAGGTCAGTAAGAACCTGCGGAAGGTAGTCACCGTTCGGATTTCGCCCAGGGACACACAGTAAAAACATTGTGACTGAGGACACACAGTGAGATACTTGCAATATCGTATTGAGACACATAGTGAGAGCATTATGATATCGTATTGACGAGATACCCGACGGCTGGCGCGTGACCAAGATGTTGGCGGGAGTGGCAGACGGAGATTCGAGTCCGGGCATCCCTTCCTTCGACGTCAGTATAGATTGCATTGAAGTAAGCTACCCGAGAACGCTTGCAGCCGCATTAGTTCATGGGGAAAGCGCTCCACGCCTGGCCTGCCCTCCCTCCCATAGCACTGATACCACTAGAGTTAGCCTGCCACAAGCTATCTGAGCACCGAGGGGCAGTCTGACAGCTGCAGATAGCAGAAGCTTAACGTTATTGCAGACGGGACCACGCCCCAAGGAGGATCCGAATTGAGCGAATGGAGTGGGAGGAAAGTTGGCACGCGACCTCGTTTCTAAACTTGTCACCTCTATGCAGGTCTGCAGATGCTGGCGACCCTCAGTATGCAGTGGGCCTATAGAACCTATAGGGAGAATCCGATATCTCCGCAGCGAGCGACGGCCAATCAGCCAGACCTCGAGAACTCAAGTCGGGAACATAACAACAGTCTGTGTCAAGGCGGTCGCCTGCCCCATGGATCCACACAGGTGGAGAATCTTCATGTGATTGATGATCAGCACGCACGCTGATCGAGTATACATGTATACGTGTGTGATAAGCAAAGGTTCAAAACTAAGGTTCCGGCCGCAGGTGTGTAGAGCTAGGGACGTAGTAGGCGCCGGGCTTTATCTCCGTTATCGGGTGTTGCACACGCCAGACAGCTCCTCCCTATACGTTACCACCAGATAACGCCACGCGGCGGTCTAATGGCAACACTGGTCGAAGTCTAATTCTTAAGTAATTCTGATATCATCAGAAGCTTCCCACGGAAGATATGCGACAGCAGTGACACCCCGGGCGGTCAGGTATGGGAGGTTACGGAATGTTCTTCGAGAGGGAGGGAGGTTGAAAGAAAAGACACAATGAAGGGAGGAAGTGGGAAAGGGGGAGGTCGGTATGCATACCGTGTAGTGGTTCTATAGAGATGTGTTGCGTACTGTATAGAGGTACGTATCTGCATACACATCTCTATAGATATCGACTCCAGCCAATGGTGGGGCTCGCCATAGTGACCCAAGCTGGTTTCGAAAGCCTTCACCGAGCCAATTGACCTGGTGCCCCATCCGATACGGTGACACTAATGCGCGATGACTGTCGGTATTCGGTTTCTCCTCCACATGGGTGCACCAGGAGACCAGGAGCTTCACCTGGCGGCTCATTCTCAGGCGACATCGCATTCAATAGTCTGGATGCCGCTTTAGGTATGTCCGGTAACGCTGCGCCCCTCCACACCTTTCAGACGGGGACGCTCTGCCTCGTCAAGTCGAACCACGTAGGCGCTGAGAGCTGGCACGTCGAGAGAGAGTCGATAAAGTCGACTGCGCACCGATTGGAGCCCCCATCGACAGGAGCGACGGATCGTCACCCGGCCCTTCGTTGGGTCGGGCCCGTCGTGCTGCTTTATCTATATGCCGGCATGCCTGACGATGGCAAACTCTCGCACTCGTCTACCCGTCTATCTGTTCTCCACGATGCCCAATGGTTGATTGGCATCGTCATCGATGGTTCTCGCGATGCATGCCGTGGCCTGGCCATTGGCGAGGCGGGACGAGCTAATACCCCAAGCAAAGGGTGGTCGAGATAAGGCCTCGAAAGGACCAGCACTTGGCCCCATGACAATATATGAGAGCTTCGTCGACGCCGTTTGGTTCCTGTCGTTCTCCCCCCATCAACCACTTCAGACTAGTCATAATAACATATTCACTGCAGACACTGCTCTACCTCGAGGCAGCTCCTCTTCCCTTCGCACTGCTACACCCCGCTCGATACCACCAATTTAAGATAACAGACATAATCATCATGGCAGCCGCAGCTGTGATGCCAGCCTCCATTCCAGCCCAGGCCAAGCCGGCCTGGAAACCCATCATCATGGAGCCCCAAGCTTCCAAGGCGGACGATGTTGAGTTTGACCCCGACCTGCACCTTTCCTTCAAGGAGGCTCCCAAGGTGCACACCATGACGGACCTTGGCCTGCCCGAGGACACAGGAATCTCACCGATTGCAGTCTCAGAGCCCTTCCCGCTCTTCACATTTGACGCCGTGATGCGGATGAGGCAGGAGATTCTGAGCCCGGAGGTGCTCGGCAACTGCCAGTACTCCAGCAATCTCGCTCAGTGCCAGCTGAGAGGATTTGTGAACAAGTACGCCCCATTCGTCTACGACGTATGGAAGAACCCCAAGACACTAGCGATCGTGTCCAAGATCGCGGGGATCGACCTGGTGCCCGAGATGGACTTCGAGCTCGCGCACGTCAACATCTCGGTCAAGTCGGAGGAAGAGCGGGAGGAGGAGCTTGCGGCCTTCGCCGAGCGGGCCGAGTTCGAGGCCGACGAGGGCATCGCGGGCTGTCCCTGGGAGGACGACAAGCCCATCGTCGACTGGCACACCGACAGCTACCCCTTTGTCTGCGTGACCATGCTCAGCGACTGTCGGACTATGATTGGCGGCGAGACTGCGCTTCGCACCGGGACCGGGGACATCATGAAAGTGCGCGGCCCGCAGATGGTGAGTTCCCTTAATATCCGACGCTTACGCAGCCTGAAAGCTGACAGACAACCAGGGCTGCGCCGTCATCCTGCAGGGCAGGTATATCGAGCACCAGGCCCTGCGCGCCCTGGGCGCCGCCGAGCGCATCAGCATGGTGACGTCGTTCCGGCCGCGCTGCCCTTCGGTGCGCGACGACACGGTGCTCACAACCGTGCGGCCCATCTCAATCGTGTCGGAGCTGTACAACCAGTTCGCCGAGTACCGGCTCGAGATCCTCGAGGAGCGGGTGCGGCAGCAGCTCCGGGAGCTGCGCGACGCGCACGCGGCCGGGCGGCGCGTGGCCACCAAGAAGCTCAAGGCCTTCCTCGATGAGCAGGAGCGCTTCCTCGCCCACATGAACCGCGAGATGGTCGACGACGAGCGCGTCGTTAGGGGTAGTATTGACGACAGCCACCTGCTCAATCCCAAGACCGAGTCCAAGGTCGAGCCCACGTCCAAGAAACGCATGCGGCGTATGTGAGAGCGGAGCCGCCGCAACGTGCAGCTTTTTTGCTGATGCTGACCCCCCCGGCGCATGGCTCACCCTCTATAATCCCCAAGCCCCCAATCCCCCAATCCCCAAACCCCAAGCCCCAAGCTCCCCTACTTCCGTTGATGAAATTGGTTATGATCCTGGAATCTCATGTGTTATGAAGTCGTCGTTCGTTTATGAGTGTTTGATATTCCCATGTACGGAGGAAGGCATCGTTTTCTTGACAGCCGTGGGCTGTTGTCTATCCTTCCGATTAGCGTGCTAGCGTTTCAGTGTTTACGACCAAATTGCAAACCCCTATCTATAATTTCCCTCCCGACAGTAATGTGAATCTTTGACAAGACTATTGGCCGTTTCAAGTCACTACGAGGCCATACACATGGATTACCGTGAAGTGTGATATGCTGTCGTGTCCGCACCATGGTTCTCATTGTGTCACCACGGCTAAGAGGGGTGCATGGTTCCAAAATCCATACTTCTCTAAATCATCATCCTCTGCGTCGCATCGCCCGTTGGTTCTTCATCTGCCGGTAGTTGCTAGGATGACATCACCCGTATCTTCAGACCGCCAGACGGATGGAGATCAGGGTAGACTGACCTACTGATACGGAGGCGGCGGATCGTCGGCGGATGTCTGCCCCTGGGGTACCGTCCCAACCTCACCACCGCTAATCCGCTCAAAGATGCGCTCTCTAGCCCTCTGCAGCTCCAACCGCGCATCCTTCAACGCCTGGGACTTCGCGCTCGTCTCCTGTTCGCAGGCGTGGTGTCGAGCCTGGGCGTTCGCCAACTGAGCCCGCAAGGCGCCGCCGCAGCGCTGGAGCTCGTCCTTGGACCCCTTGATCTTGTCGTGGAAGTCCATGTCGGTGAAGATGTTGTCGAAGAAGACGTCGCTCATGAGGCTGTCCTGGGCAATGCGCACCGGCGGCAGGGCCTGCACGTGCGGCGACATGCGCTGCGCCTGGCTGACCAGCGACATCATCTGGCTGACCTGGGTCTCGGCTTGGGAGAGGGCGTTGCGCTCCATCATGTCGGTGAGCGAGCCGCCGCCAGACATGTCCATGCGGCTGTAGTCCAGCGCCTCCTCGGTGGCTGTCGCCGCGGCGTTCAATCGCTGTTGGGCTTGGGCTAAGCTGCTCACGACCTGCGTCTCGGCCTCCGTCCTGAGGCGTGAGTCATGGTATGCCCGCGAAGCGTCCGCGGCGTTGCGCTCCGAGCTGTCCTCTTCCGGGAACTCTGGAGTCGGCCCTTGGAAGAGGCTGTCGTAGAGACTGTCGAGTTCCTGCTGCGCCTGCGTGTGGCGGCCCAGCCGGGCCTCGAGATCATTGCGCGCCGTCTGGGCCTCGGAGCGCATCTGCGTCAGGGAGTCCCTCTCCGCCTTCGCCTGGTGTTCCTTCTGCAGGGCGTCGAAGTAGTCGCGCTCCTCCTTTTCGGCCTTGGCGGCGAACTTCTCCGTCTTACCGCTCACGCGGTAGGCGAAGCGCTTCAGGACCGAGTCGCGGTACTTCTCGTGGTCATTGTGCTCTTTAAAGCGCTCATGGCCCAGGGTCGCGATCCGCTTCTCCAGGCTTGAGAGCTGCTTGTCGAGGTCGGCGATGTAGGCGTTTTGGTTCTCGAGATCTGGCGCGGCGTGGTCTGTCTCGAGGAGGATGCGCAGCAGCTCGCTGTTGCGGGCCGCTGCTTCTTGGACCTTGTTTGCCAGTGATGCCATTTGGGAGTGGGTAGAGAAATGAGTAAGGTTGAAGTTCAAGACGGTTGAGGTTGTGTGGTTATAAATCGAAACACGTTAGGTGTTGGTACGCATTCTCTATCATGGAATCCAGGATTCAGCCTTACTGTCGCGCCAACACGAAGTGGGAGCACTGCCACATCCAGGCTGCCGTGCGGCACTGCGTCTTGGCTGACGCCTTGTGGTACCATGACAAAGGAGCGAACAGTTTCGGGTGCCCAACCACTGTGGAGGCCTAGGGGCTAGTTTGAGGGCGAAGACGAGGTTGAATCCGTCTGTGCTGCAGGTCATGTCCCCAATCTGTTCGTGGCTATGTGGTTCAGCTGGACGGCTGAACCTCCGATCCTCACCCCTAAGATTGATGTCTCCCTCAGCAGCTGCGTCATTGAGTCACATCAAGCAAACAGCATCCAGAATACAGACCATCGCCCCTATTGTGACCTGGTCCCTTCTTCTGGAAGCTCTGCTGTCAAACAGTGCGTAGGTAATTGGTTCGTATGGTTGATAATTGTGTATTCAGTGCTGATTGTGTTGTTCTGAAGTTGTTGTTGTGGCCAGTTTGCCAAAAAAATGCCCTACTGTAATGGCCCTTGTTCGGTGCACTGCCACCTCCCTGATGCAACGGTGGCTTGCGTGCTATTCAACACCTGCCAATCTAATCCTTACGTGATGGGGCGTCAGTCACATCACCCTAATAGCCTCACTACCGTCGCACTGCGGGACGGTTTCCAACGCCTTGCCCTCGCCGCTAGTTGTTGTCTCATACTTATACCTCTCCACGTTGTTTCGACTGGTGGGTTTTACGACAGACTCCAGAGCTCGTGAGACAAAGAGGTGGGATACTTGTGTAGGTTATTGGGTACATCCTGAACTTTAAAACGATTGTATGGTTGGATGACAGGCAAAGGCTCGCTCTGGAAATGCATCATGATCATCGCACTGACTGCAGTGGTACCTCACATGGGTCTCTCAAAGTCCACATAGAATTCCTACTAATGAAATAAGCTGCATTCGGCGATGAAACTAACTAGGTTACGTGGCTACGAATGCGACTTCCGGTGTCATAGAGATGTTCGAACGACACGTGACGAGCTCAGACGAACAGCTTAAATCCACCGGGGCAGCCCTTCTGGAAGATGCCTTCAGGGTCGTACCGCTTACTGACACTCTGCAGCAGTGCTTTGTTCTCATCGCCGTAAGAGCCGATTGGGTCCTGAAACCCAAAGGCGTAGTTCATGTAAGTGTAAGGCACAGCCTGGCCTCTCGCGGCAGCTTCGGTCTTGGTCTTCTGGATCAGGTCTGTCGCCGCAGCAATGATGTGGCCGTCGTCTTGTGGGGTTTTCCAGTACATGAGCACGAGAACGGAAACCAACGGACCTTCATCAGGGGTCAGGCCTGTGACATTCCCAACGGCCGAAACACACTTCTCCAACAGAGACACCGGGTAGGGCTGCAACGTCAAAGAGAATGCAACGCCTTCGAACCCTTTGACGAGATCGAGAGTCGAGGCGAAAGCCTCGGCGACAGCCTTGAGAGTCGCGGCGTCTGATTTGACTGTGGTGTTCATGTAGGAGCATCTGTCAAGAGTCAGCATATCTCAGCCTTCAGCATATCTCAGCCTTCAGCATATCTCAGCCTTCAGCATAGGATGGTGATGAGGACGGTTTTAATGAGGCGAAGTAAAGGAGTGAAACATGTATACCTTATTCCCTCTGAGGACATGGCCGCTTGTTCGGCCGCTGCGTCTTTGAGGTTGATCATCCGCATCGAGTTGAGTTGTTCCATCTGTGGCTGTACCTTTGCGAATGGATCGAGGACGGGAGGGTTCTCCACTTCTCGAGTGTAATACAGCTGATTGAGACCCATTGTCTGGCCGAACTGAGCAGCAAAAAAGAGACTAATCATGACGTGGGTCTCGACATTGTGGCAAACAAAACCTTCGCGGGAGGAGAAGAAGGAGAGGCCGCCTAAAGTCACGTCTCATTATTATTGCTGTGGGATTAGAGATGCAACAGGTGGCGTTGTTGCTCCTACCTGACAATGCCAAACCTGCGATCCCTCCCTTGGCAGATCGTGAGCCTGTCACGCCAAGCCCGTGCTCAGCCAACCTTTCGTAGACTGCACCCCATCGTTCGCCGGCAGCGATCGATACGATCCCGGTGCCCAGGTCAAGGTCAATCCCGGTCAACAAGCGCAAGTCCAATGTGATACCTCCTTGTATATTGGCACATCCTGCCAAGAGCTGCTGGCCGGCTCCACGGACAGCAAAAGAGGTTTCGTCATTGAGTACGAAGGGGTTGATGACCGTCAAGAAGACAGACACGTCCTTCGCGCTTTTGGGAAGGTGGCGGCTGGGGTGAGGTCGCTTGCGAGTGCTGAAAGATATGACCCGTTGAGCGTGTCGAATTCCTCTGAGCCGCGGACGTGAAGTTGATCAGCCTCGAATCTCTGCTCGAGACCTTCGATGATGGTGGTGGCGGACATGATGAAAGTGACGTTGATGGCAGACAGTTGGTGGGAGGCAGAGGAGGAATCAAAGCTCTTACCTGCTCGCCTGATGACAGGCTACGTTTTGTAAAGTAGGTACACCCCGCACTTCTGTAACAAAATGTGGCAACCAATACCTTCAGGGACTGCACACTGATAGGATACCGGTAGTACCGGGGGGGGGGCAGATGGTATGCAGTTGGTTGAACGAACATTCGAGCATGCATGACGCACGTTTTTGTGGGTGAGAAGCGAGCGGAATGCGGATGAATTTCGCGAACGGCTACTACCCAATATGCCAATGAAGGGAATTGGCTCTAACAAAACATTAGGGCGGGGCATGGGTTGAGCAGCCACCCATTAGACGGCTGTACATCCATGGTCACACATACTACCCAATTACTACATAGTTCTGCTATAACCAGGTATACATGTCTAATTGATGGCCAGTTATCCGTTCACTTAGGTTATAATAATATAGCACTTATAATATAATCCCCCACCTGCCTCGTATTACATCCTACCTGCCTCGTTGCCATATAATGCTAAATAAAGCAATACTCCTGTCTTCTCGTAATACCAAATGGCCTAGGAGTTAAGTATTCTATCTATAATTTGGTAATCCGTAAGCCCGTAATTTAAATCGCCGTACTATCATATTAATAAATCCTTCAATAAAGTATATAATTATACGATTATATAGCAACAATAATATTCGGTATAAAGTGTTTTTATTTTTACTTTATTTTACTTCGAGTAACCTTATTTTATAAACTCTCGAACCTGCACTATGTTGCATAACCTAGGTTCAGATCTCAACCGATTGCCAACCGTCACGGCGAGCGTACTGAGGAGCTGGGACATGGCCGGCAGCAAGCAGCTATTACTCTATTGACGAGAATATCAAGACTAGAGAGGAAAGGAAGAGAGAGAGAGATAGGTACAGCGGGAGGTTGCCCCTTTAAGGGGATCCTCTGGTCAGATCTTTCCCTTATTGGGAAGTATCGGCTTCTCATGTGGGAAGGTCCGTGCAGGCCGTCACACCAACCGACTATCAACCATATATAGACTGTAACTTCTCCTACTAGTGCACCGCCCTCATGAATTCCGATGATTCCACCGAGCTGAGAGTGAAACTCAATCACAAGACAATATGACCAAATCTTCTGCCCTTTACTCCAAGCTGCCTAATGACGTATCTCCCTGTTGGTGACCATCAAAGCAGCTGAGGTCGCAAGTACAGCAAAACCCATGGAAACGCCTCGCGTGAGTCAATAATGATGGAGAGAGCTCTCTGGTAGCTTATGATCACTTACAATGGCTATACTCGAGTCCATCAATGTACGACTGCACGACGGCTCGAGAAACCCTCTGCGGCGCCTCGTCGATATAGTCAACGCGAGACAACGCTTCTTTGAGTATCTGTGGGAAGCATCAGCATCTCAGGTAGCACATCATGAGGCTTTCAAGGGAGCGAACCTTCTTAATACCGACCTCATCAAATCCCAGGTCAAGAAGTCGTAGCGTCAAGTCTTGGGGCATGACCAGTGACATGACAGTGTTCGAGGCAGCCATGCCTAGGATAGATCCCACCGGGATTGCTAGGTACAATCCAGACACGGCGGCCGCTTTGTCGGAGGGGTCGATCGCTACCTGGAGTAGGATAAAGACCGCGGAGACACATACGCCAGTCCCAAAGCCCCTGTGGAATGTTAGACAGAAGATTAACCAAATAACGGCGGCGAACACTCACCCTGGCGTGATATAAAGTGACTCCGCCCAGTTGGTGTTCCCATTCCATCTCAATACCATGAACAGGTAGCTGGTAAAGGCTATGACGCCAGCAAACGCCAAGGGAGCCTTGTAGCGACCAGTCCTGAAGCATTTTTAGGTCCGTCGGAACATCGTAAAAAACGCCCTCGCCTTGGGGGTTGCCACTAACCTCTGAATCCACCAACCAGTCATTATACCGCCGACTGTGTAGCCAATGACGGCCGGCATCAGATGCGCACCTGCAATCGTGCTTGATGACCGTCGCGTAACTTGGAAGTATAGGGGTACCGAGAACATCATCTGCAGCGGTCAATTCCCATATTCGGTCCTTTTGAGGGGTTCGGTCCTTTCATCCGGAGCTTGTGACTTACGGCAACTTGAGCAGCTGTCTGAAAGATATTGATCACATAGCTGAGCACAACGTCCTTCTGTCTCAGCAGCCGCAAGGGAAAGATCGGTTCTTTAGCCCATCGTGCTTCTGTGATGACGAACATTCCAAGCAGGAGAATCCCGCCCACGAACAGAGCTGAGACTGCGGGATGTGTCCACGGTATCTTCTGTCCGGCGATTTTCAGGGGCAATAGCAAGGCCAGGAGCCCACTGCCAAGGAATGCAGCACCAAGGAAGTCGATTCTTGCCAACCTACTTCCTGTTCGTCCGTCACCTTCACTACACCCTTGGGGAGGGACGCCAAGGTTCGGAAGTATAAACCAGCATACCACCATCGCGATAACGAAAATAGGTATCTGTCCTAGGAACGACCTGTAGACACATGTCAGTCTTCGTCACAATCAAGAATTATCTACCGAATTGACTGACCATCGCCAACCGATCGTGTCAGCCAGTAGACCCCCCAGAGGCCTGCCAATACTGCGGCCGACTGTGGCCACAACATTGGTGTAACTCTGTCAGAAGGCCACATCTCGTAGAGGGGCGAGATCTGGTCAGCAATCAGTAACACATTAAGCACAGCCGCATGGTGCGGAGACATTCCAGATGGTCTTACCTGCTACTATAACAGCGGCCAGTACCATCATTCCTGCGCCTCCCGAGCCGGAGATTAGTCGGCCGAGAATGACTTGCCACATCGACTTGCCAAACCCTCTTCGAAAAGTCTGCCGTCAGTACGGTGACTCTCGAGCCTCGAGGTGTTGATGCCAGGGGTGAGTCTCTCACATCAAGGCGCTAGGCCATGTCAGTAGTAAATATCGACAGGAGTACACGCAAGACGACTCACCATCCCGATGCAAAGAGCGCATAACAGAGCAGCAAGATGGCTTTACGTCCATATATGTCACTCAGCTTTCCATACTGCGGCGAGCATATTTAGCACCCCGGTTTCGCGGCCAAGAACACGCAAGGCTTCTTACAAGCGACTGCGTAGCTGCACCAGCAAGCATGAAGCTGATGAAGAGCCAGCTCGAATTCTCAAGATCGTTGAATTCAGACGCGATGACTGGATGCGTGGCGATGACAAGTGAGACGTCGGCGCTCGACGTGAAGACTCCTGGGTAATGGGAACTTAGTTGGCACGCCGTAAAAGCACCGAGTCCTCGGTGACTGCCTCCTTACCTATAAGTAGGGCGACCACCACACGGGCAATGAAGCCATTGCTGTAATTTGGGGGCAGTGGCTCATTTTCTGTTCGAGTTTGCCCCTGCTCTTCGTCGCATCCTGTTTGATGCCCAATACTTCCGCTAACAGCATAATTATTCGACGATGTGCTGACAGTAGATGGCGAGGGGCTATTGAGCGCAGAATCGACGCTGAGATCTTCGGGGCTCAATAGCCGGGTCGTCTCGTCGATGAGGATCTTTGGGAGCCCTGTATCTGGCATTTTACGTATGAAAAGACCATTTGCCTGGTTCGACTCTTCGAGTGACCGCTGTTCATTCAGTTCTTTAGCAATCTATTCTCTGGGGTGGAGAAGTTACATATGGATGGTCCCCTGCAGTGTACCATCGCGCTGTGTACCTAGATAAGGTGGCAGAGATGTTACGGTGGATGCAGGGCAACTGAGCGGTGTGACTTAAGCGGCAGGCAAGGAGTGGTGCCATTCGAGCTATCATGGCGTCACATGCAGCCGCAGGGGAGCATTCCACAGCGCCATATGAGCCCCTATCGTACTCCACTGCTGTTTCCGACCTTCAAAAGGGGGCATTACGCCTTTGGGTATGATCGGGCGAGCCATCCGACTGGCAATCGAAAATTTTCAAAGAGCACGATCGCCTTGGATCAATTAGACGCAGGAGATTGGCGGAAAGAAGCTTAAATGTGATAGCGGACATACCGGAGTAAGCTGACAGACGAGCATGCTGCAGCAAAGATGGGGGTGTAAGCTGACGACGACACGTCAAGAGTGTATATCATTCTGACTTGATATCGACCTCACATAAAGCCACTCATGTCCATTGCCTGCCACAAGCTGTTCCTTCAGTTGACATCACTTTGTCGAATTCAAACTTGTCCTAGGACTATAGGACTAATGAGATAGCATGGCTGGAATCCTTCGATACGTCGACTACCAACATCGAGACAAGTTGCCTTGAATATGGGTCAACACTTCATACACGACCGGTGTGACCAACCCATACGTCACATAGGCGAGGTGTCTATGCAGACTCCAAAGGGGAAAATATGATCTCCTTGCGGTTCATGGAACATACCCTAACAAAGAGGGTTCCTATGTAGCGAATCCCTGGCCGCCATCCGGATCAGGTAGCTAGCTCAAAGAGAGCCAAAGTATACAGTGAACATCGCGCTCGCTTACCCAAAGTTGAAAGACAATATGGACAAAGAACAACATATCCACACCTATGACTAGAAAGTTATGTCTTAATTTCTTAGACCAACGAGCCTAGCGAGACCAGACATAATCGCCAAATATGTCGTCTGCATTTAAGCAGGCGAGTCTCGGCGAGTTGGTCGAGGCGTGCAAAGTCACCGCCTCTCGCACACGCAAGACCCTCTCTGCCTGTCGAAAGCACCCCTGCCAAGAGAGGTTGAAAGAGCTCAACGTCGTTCCCATTCTTCGGTCATATTTAGACCAGATCCGAGGCTGGGCCGGCGGCATTTCATCGCGGATGAAGGGGAAGGACGTCCCACCGAGGTCTCCGGAAGACTACGCCAAGATCGCCATCTGCATCTCGAATGCAAACTCAGCACTGGATTGGATGGGGAAGCACTAGTGCGATGGCAAAAAAGAGGAAATGCTTCAAGGAAGCCCCGACACCTTCCGGATCCGCATACACTACCCTACCGACGCGACATCCTCCTTTGGTATTTCGATTGCGATTGCCGGAGACTCTTTGGCTTCCTACTTTTCTTCTTCACCGAGTGTATAGCTTTTGAAATCTTGGACAAGTTCCAAACAGCGCCTCAGTGGTGGGGGAATGGTTGGCTTCCGCAATTGGTGAGCGTCCTGGTAACCTATGTTATGGTACTCGCCTATCTTCCTTGGAAGTATCAGGTCCTTCTTGTTACGGTTCAGGTGGTTACGCACTTGGAGTGCTCATCAGTCGAGACTCTGCACCATCGAGCCAAGCTTGCATGAGAGTATGCCCGGGCCATTTGAGACCCAGTAGAAGGCGCTGGCCTATGCATTCAATACCACAGAATTGGGTAGCTTTTAAAGACGTGTCAAGAAGAGGGGCAGGCTGAGACCTTCCCATAGCAATCATTTGAAATGCAAGTTACATAGAATTGCGTCCAAAGAATTGAACTATTGTAATTGTCGAATTCGACCTCTAAGACCCTTGCTGCCCGGTATCCTGCTTGGCTGGAAATGATCACCCTTCTAAAGTTGAAACCCATGTGTAGAACGAGCGTATCTCTCACTCTGTATCCCTTCGACGCTAACGTGAACTCATCTGTCCATAACCGTATACTGTTACACACGAAGCTGGTCCCTGACGTCTCCATACCCATTCAGCATCTGCGCGACACGCTCTACACTCCGGGGCTTGAAGTCGCAAGGAAACGGCAACGGCTCCAAGATAACGTGAGCGTTGGTGGCCTCAGAGTCGAGCTCCATGACTTTCCCAGTCTTAGGGCATGTCTTCTGGCTCAGGTTGAACCCCCAGAGCACGGCAGCGCCCGTCACGAACATCTCGTCGTCAACGATGTGCTGACCCATGCATGTCCTGCGACCCCAGCCAAATGTGTGCATGCCGACGCCTTCGCGGAAGTTGGGATACCGGGTGAGCGGCTCCTGGTACGTTGGCCACGACTTCTCGAGGTATCTATCAGGGTGGAAGTTCTCGGGATCTGGGTATCGAGAAGCCACACGGTTCATACTCCTGTGGACATTATAAGTATCACTGTCCGGAAGCAAACGATAGAGTTAGAGAACTCACCATTCGCAAGCCAAGACGATGGTACCCTTTGCGATCTTCTCGCCCATGAACTCGTCATCCTGTTCACATTGGTGAGGAACACCTGCGCATCACTGTTAGCAGGATTTCCCCCAAGGGTAAGGTTGCAGAACCTACCAAGAGGCACGCCCGACCGCCATCGGAGAGTCTCTTTCAAGCACGCACGCACGGTAGGCAGATCGGCGAAGTCCGCCGTGGTGGGCATTCGATTACCGCACACCCGGTCGATTTCATCCTGGGCTGTTCTCTGCCACTCGGGATGCAGCATCATGGCCATGAGGAAGAATTGCAGGGGGCCACAGATTGTGATAACGCCGACCAGGTTCTGGAAGCCCAACATGCAGCTGGCGAACTCTTCCGTTGCGTGGTCTTGCTCGAGGTTGGGGTTACCCTTCGCTTGTATGCCCTTGAAGTACCTGTAGGACCACGTGTCGACTGGGAGCTCTCCGCGAAGATACCGCTGCTTGGCGACCTGGAGGGAATTGAGCCACCAGGCTCTTTGCTGGTCTTCCCGCGCCCGCTCGAACTTCTTCCAGGGGTTAAGTGCCCAGGGTATGGACCAGAGTGGTGTCATCGTGTTGACGACTGGTCCGGAGACCGACATCTGTGTGAGGGTTCGATCGGCGCTGTCCCCGTTCTCCTTGCCCTGTGAGGCATCATCCCAAGCAAGGCGACTCATGATACGTCCACAGTGCTCTCTGGTGTTGGCGTGGAACTTCTCTGGCTCGAGCATGAGGACGACGAGGTATCGCTTGACTTCGTTCTCTATTACACCGTAGAAGTGGTGTCGGTGGAAGTCGGTCATGGCAGCATGTACCCACTTGCGCTGTTCTTTCCAGTAATCTTCGATTTGGAGTCAGCTTGGGTCCAGACAGCGACCTGTTGGTAGAGGTACTTACCCTGACGATCCATCAACGCCAAGTACCCGGGGCTGGTCTTGTGGTCGAAGAGGGCTCTGATCTGAGGGCGACCAGCGTAGATGTTTCCCCGTTTTACGAGAAGCTCCTCAGCAATGTGCTCGTCTGAGATGATGATGAACTGCTGGCCCAGCATGCTTGTTCGGTAGATTGGTCCATGTTTGTCGGCCCACTCCTTGAATTTTTTCCACATGCAGAATCGGTCCAAGTCATGAACTCGCCCGATGACAGGGAACTGCTTGGGCCCAGGAAGGCCAGCTTTGGACGCCTTGCTTTTCTTCCTCCAGGATAGAAGCTGCTGAAGAGCAGAGAACAGAAGACTCGGCACTGCCAAGTACAAGATGAGCAGACGAACGCTCTCCATGATGCTGGTGTGTAGTTTTGTTGTCTAATAACATTCGTTGAAGCGTGGTACAGTGGATAGAAAGTGTTCAACGAAACCATGACCGAGTTGACAGCTTTCTCGTACTTATAGCGGCCACATGACTGGTGACCCCTTGGCAAGCATCGATTCCGATAATGTGCTACCTTGTCACTGGGGCAATGTGTCTTCGCCGGATCGTGTGTCACAGACCACGGCGTGGTGATCACAAGCCCTGAGGCATAACGTGCATTGCCGTCATTGGCAATCAAGGCAATAACTTGCGCATTCCAGAATCCTCATCCCCAACGGCGTCCCGGAGAATATAGATAGATCTAGGGATGTTCCATGATCATCGTGAACTGGAGGGGTGGGACCTAAGGCGGTTGGTCCCCTGGTCATCGTGGACGGGGGCAGTTTTCCTCCTTCGTCCTAGGCAGTGAGGCGCGGTAGAAGCCATAGTGAAGATCTGCCAATAGCACCCAGCCCCTTCCTCTGGTACACGAGGAAAGGAACACACCCTAGCATATCGCTTTCCAGGACTGCGGCTCACGACCAACATGTCGTGCAATGTCAGCGCTAGATGACCCTGTCGCCAACGTGGACAACAGCCAATGGTGGGTGGCTGTCAGATTCTGGCAGTTTTATATCCCGTGGGGATGTCCGGCCTTGCATGGTGTGGCGCGGTGATCGTCCCCCCCTTATTGGATACCGTTGCAGCTAGGTGCATATGCCATCAGCGTAGGGCTTGAGGGCTGATTGGTACCTATTCATAAGTCGGGAGATCTCAGTGCTGCCTTGTGCGAGAATCGGAACTCTATACAAAATCCATTGGTTCGCGAAACACGGCCTCGGAATACTAAGCACGTATTCTCGGCCGTAGACCACTCAACGAAGAATCGAATCCTGGTTCTCGACTTGTGGCGCATCTGAGGGACCATTAACAAAACATGCATCCCAGTCTCGGTCTTGAATAATCCTATTCTGATCACCGGCGGCGATGAGACGGAATACCCACGTCTCGGGTAACCATCCTGCGCCCCTTCAAGCGGGGTGTGGTATTCTTGATATGTCAGCCTTCTGTTGGTTCATAGGCTTTCGTGTCTGTTGGAAGAATGAATACTGGAGAGTTAGGGGCTCTTGAACAGAGCCTGCTCAGGAGTCTATGGCTGTCGGTGTAACGGCTAAGTACTTTGAGTATTGAATCTTGAGCCTTTTGATGAGTTCTTACAAGATGGGCGCCGCCCCGCGAAGGGGCACACCCTGACCTGTAACAGCTAAACATATGTGGAACACGAAGGACAGCAAGTCGGCGCCTCTCGGAAGCGAAACGAATCAACAATTATCTTACATCATCCACAACAATTGCTATTGGCCGGTCGGTGGTCAATCCTCAGCTGAGCTCAGCCTACAGTTGGAGCTTATGCCAACTCCCCGTAATACCTCGCTGGACTGTCAATGCTGGCCGCCAACCATGTTCTTGATGGCGTACTGGCGTAGTCCGTAGCTGAACGAACGGATTTTATTATCATGATCGTATGTAAGGCGTACGGACTTCTCGGCAGCTGCCAGATTCACCAGATGGAGGAGTATCACCACGGTCTTCCTCGTTATCGCGTGCAAAGAAAGCCCGGACTGAACGGCGCCAGCCATTTCCATATTGCACATTCACAATGCTATCGACCAATCGGTCCAAGTCGCAAGCGACCAGCTTCCCTCAACGTGGAGCTGCAGCCGAAGCGGAGCCGCTGATCTTGTATAGTGGCAGATCGCAGAATCGCAGGATCTATGGTCACACTGCCGAAAGCAATGACTGTTGCAGATCGCGATATATCTCCCTTACGTCTCTAACACAGACTTCATCATATGGTAATGACTCATGGTTACTGTTCGAGACCAGTAAAGTCACTTGAATACAGGCAGCCTTGTCATTGCACCTTATGTTGGCTTACAAGGGGGCCAACTAGCATTTCGCCAACAACCGATACTGGCCACTCAAGGAATTCTGTAAATTTGATACATCTGGTAAAATGGTCTAATAGTTAAGATGAAACCAATTCCACCTGACTATCAATGCCTAATAATGATCACCTCTTTCCGGAAAACATGCGGCCTACCAAGGGAAATCATCACCAAGACTCACCAGATATGCTGGATGATGCAGTTCTCGGGTGCTGACAGGTGTACCAGTTTACAGACAAGAATTTGGTAAGAGTGCGACTCGGCCTCTCGGTTCATTGGAGCCGGTAGACTTTCCTGTCTTGACCCGGTGGCCTAATATGCAAAAAGGGGTAAGTTGATTCGCATGATCTACAGTCCGCTGCTCAGAGATCCTTGATATCTTCCACCGAAGATCTGCACCACATAGGTTACGGAACGCCATACAACAGTCCGACTGGCGTAGATCCAAGGTGGCTTCTTATGCCGAATAAGCCAGCTCAGCAGTACTCTTTGGGTTTCACGGATTCCCACCTGTGCGAGCTTCCAGTTTGGGAACAAATGTTTCCTAGCAGTAATAACACCACACAGCCCACAGAATGGGCTATAAGTCCTGTTTATGGCTCATAACTATCAACGGAGGCACCCGCAGCGACACCTGCGCAGTTTTCTGAAAGCGGAGCCCTTGGTGTAGCTCTGGATACTCTCTGATCAAGGTGCCTCTAAAAACATACTCGCTTGAGAAAGAGACAGGCTTGTCCAAGATGAGTCTCTTGAATCGGCCCATAGTTAAGCTGTCCCAGATGTCTTTATTCGACCTGGGCCCTCTAATGTAACGTGAGATGTTATTTATACAACACCACGCTGGAGATAACACGCATTGATTGGGCATCCATTGAGTCAAGTATTAGCAATCCGTCTGTATCTTCAGTCAAGACGAGCTAACCTTCCAGCTTCCCGGGTGATCCATATGATCAAGACACATTTGCACCTGGGCTTGAGGTCCCTTTCTTCCCAAGCGAAACCTCGATCATTAACATGTATCGCCAAGGCCAAGCGTCTCAATCTGGGATGTCAATGCCTCTTCGTGACTTCATCACTACTGCTGGAGTAATCCATTCCCACATTATCAAGTCCAACAGAACTTCAGAACTCCCCCTTGCAGTGCACCCGGGGTCAGACTTCGTACGATGTCGTGTTTTTCCTCAGTAGAGGTCGACGACCAACTCGACATGCACATCCATGTGGTGATCATTGAATAGCTGGACAAGGGCATCTCGAACGGCATCGGCGTGTGGAACATTCACATGCACGTGCCACGCAGAAGCAGCTCTGAAAGCCGCCAGGGTCATAAAGCCGATGTGGTGCGGAGTCGCCTGGACCTGCGCGTGTCGTCGAAAACGAGGACGGGGATTATTGTGGTCGATGGCGCTAGGGATACTGTCAACCACGAGGGAGACCTCCTTCAGCCGCTTCATGCGAGCCAGCAGATCAAGGTCAGGCTGCTGAAGGTCCCGGCTCCGCAAGGGGAGCTCTAGTGCGAGCTTGCGGACCCAGAAAATCCAGTGCTGGTTGTCGATGAGCGATGTAGGGCCGGCTGTGATGGGGTTGTAGAGGAACCGAAACCAATCTCTTGTATGCTGTTGCGTTCGTCGTCTTCCCCGAAGTCGTCGGAATGCGTAGTCCGAGTGGTCAAAGTGGAATACATCGCGGTCGTAGTTGACCACAACAATCGCAGGGCATACAGGAACTGTTGTGCCTCTGCGGAACATGCTCTGGACTCTGATTGCGGAGTAAGGTGGATGAATCGTGCTCACAATTTTCACCTTGCCTGTGAGTCGGATCTTCTGGTGGGGTGGCAAGTCAGTCTCCTGGCCAGGGACCGCCGCGGTATCGACTGAGAGTCTGCTCTCCTCATCGATGGCGACGTAAGTACGACGAGATGACTGGAGAGAAAAGCAATGTCGCAGTATCGGCTGAGTATCATTGTAGTATGACCAGACCAAGAGCTGAATCTCAGCTGGTAGTTTGCGGAACGGGTGAAACTGGCCGATGGACTCCATCTCGGCTGTGGGACCTGTCAGTGGAATAAAAGACAGAGGACTCAGCTTGGGAGAAGATCATTAGTCAAGGTGACTGATGTACGTACCTTAGTCTCTGACTGGGGCGAATTGAACTGAACAGCAGCTAGTCAAGTTGTTGGTCTTGACCTGTAGCAGTTGTCCGGGTGGGCGTTGGTTGGAAGCAGACCTGGACGGGTATCTAGCTAGGTGCCGGTTTAATATTCTCGCCTCGCATTGTTGAAGAGGCAGCTTTGCTAAGTACCTCAGTCGGAACAGCGACAGGTGCTTGTTGATCCTACTGCCCCCTCAGTGATAGAATGCTGCTAAGGTATGCCATGTTGTCCGGTCTGGTGAAATTGAGGCCCCCCTTTCTTTCCTCCCCCATATACCCTTCAAGCTCCTGGTTATACAAGTTCTGAAACGAATCCTTTCTTGGCTGGGTCTTTTATCGATAAACCCCGAACATCATGTAGCCTGTAGTTGCTTTGTTTGCGTGATTATACAACGACAACGATGAGACTATAGTCTTTGTGCAAGAAAGGACTTGATCGGCTTTCCTGGCTTTCCCTCTTGTAAACTGTTGAAGATAGGAGCATTTTGATTCGCGATGTAGGGGATTGAAGTGTTGTTGTCGGCGAACAAGCAGTCTACCCCTTTGAACCCCCGAGAAAGCATAGAAGCCAAGATAATATAATCAAATCCAAAGGCGGCTCGACCTTGCCTTTCTTACCGCAATCTTATCGCTTCCCAAAATGCTCCATCGTCACTGACAGTGTCCAAGGCCCCCCGTAGTCTTCTCGAACATTGACTTCTGTGGACTTCGAGTTTAATGTATGACAGGGGCCAGAGCGCTGGACCCGGGCCCCTTTCCCTCCGCCCGACTCTGAATGCTCACTCTACTCGTCACGAATGCGGGGTCCGCATGCCTCCTGAGTTTGCTGCTCGTCCTATTGGGTGTGGTGAGGTGCCAAGTGTCCTGGAGTCAGGGCTCCCCGCATTCAAAACGCTACCAAGAGATGCCGGCATCGAGATATGCGGAGATTCCTCGCCATGTGGGCATAGTCGGGCAGCACTAAACCTAATACTCACGCTAGATGTGGTTGTTGGAACTACACATAAGGGTTAGACGACGTCAAGCACCTACTGCGAAGTACGAACAATCTCTCATCTCGTGATCGTTCTGTTTGACCATCCAGATACCATCTTTCCACTATGGCAGCCCCTTTTGAGAAGACGGAGGCGATCGAAATTGACGATGCCCACGATGAGATTGGTCGGATTGATGCCCTAGCCACGGCTCCTGGGACCACGCTCGAATCGTTTGCCCATCTCGACCAGAAGAAGATACTGAGAAAGGTGCGCGAACATGCCGATACACTCAAGCAAGCTGAGTGGGCACTGACTCACCCTCAGATGGATATGCGTTTGATCCCAATGCTGGCGCTTCTCTACCTGCTCTCGTTTCTCGACCGCGGCAACATCGGGAACGCCAAGATAGAGGGCCTCCAAGAGGACCTGGGGATGACTGCAGACCAGTACAACTGGTGCCTCACCGTATTCTTCTTTACATATGCGGCATTCGAAGTACCCAGCAATCTACTGCTCAAGCGCCTGCGTCCGAGCCGTTGGCTCCCTCTCATTATGGTGGCTTGGGGTACGGTGATGACGTTGATGGGGATCGTGCAGAGCTACGGAGGCTTGGTAGCTGCGAGATTGTTTCTTGGTGTCGCTGAGGCCGGTCTTTATCCTGGATGTGCTGTAAGTAGCAACCCGGTTGCCTTCGGGCATTGGATATGGTAAACTGACATTGAGCACAGTACTACTTGACAATGTGGTATGCGACCACGTTTGAGGTGTTGTTTAACGGCTGACTTGATACATACAGGTACTGTCGACACGAGATCCAGCTGCGTCAAGCCATGTTCTTCAGCGCTGCCTCCATCGCAGGAGCCTTTAGTGGTCTCCTAGCCTTTGCGATCGCCAAGATGGATGGGGTTGGTAACCTGGAAGGATGGCGATGGATCTTCATTCTGGAAGGCATCGTCACGGTCAGTGAATCTCAACACCATATGAAGAAGGGTCCAAGCTGACTGTGTCAGGTCATCGTTGCCATCGCGGCCTTCTTTATCCTTCACGACTTCCCCGAGACTGCAACCTTCCTCACAGAAGAGGAGCGAGCGTTCGTAGTCTTCCGTTTGAAGTATCAAGGCCAGATTCGAAGCGAGGAAGCGGGACGCGCACAGGTCGCCCAAGCTGAAGAGTTCCAGTGGAAATACGTCTGGGCAGCATTCAAAGACTGGCAGATTTGGGTTAATCTTTTCTTGTATTGGGGTGTAAGTGAATTGCCTCGGTTCATCTTCCGTCCCTACCGTCCGTCACACCCTCGCTAAGTCAGTGACAAGATCGTATGCCCGCTGTACGGCATCAGTTTGTTCCTTCCAACGATCATCAGAAACCTAGGCTATTCTTCGAGCACTGCTCAGCTCATGACCGTTCCGATCTACATCACCGCCGCTGTTCTTGCAGTCATCTCCGCTTATCTGTCGGATCGCGCCGGGAGACGTAGCCCTTTCGTGATTGGGTTCCTTCTGTTGATGATCATTGGGTTTGCAATGTGAGTAGAGAACGAGATCTGATAGGCGTATGGCACGGGGTTCTGACAGGTGGAAGGTGTATTTCCTCATCGAACCCTCGAGTGGTCTACGGCGGCGTGTTCGTGGTAACCTGCGGAATCTACCCGGCCTTCCCGGGTATGATCACCTGGCTATCCAATAACCTCGCAGGCAGCTACAAGAGAAGTGCCGGCATGGCTATTCAGATCGGCGTGGGCAACCTCGGCGGTGCGATGGCTTCCAACTTCTACCGCCAGAAGGACTCTCCCAGGTACATTCTTGGTCACGCTTTGGAGCTAGGGTTCATAAGCACCGGTATCGTCGCGGCGTTCATCTTGATCGCGGGATATGCTGCTATCAACAAGAAGAGGTACAAATCATTACAAAATGGAGGGGAGGCACAGTTCTCCCCCGAAGAGCTGTCCGCACAAGGCGATAAGGCGGTCACATTTACGTACATGTACTGAGCGTAATCTCAAGGGGTGGACGAAGGATGAGGAAGCGTTAGGGAATGCCTGGCCTCCGACTCTTGACTCTTACCCAGAAGCGGTGAGGCTTGACTATATAAAACACATTCCTATCGTAGGTAGTTTCGGCCGTGGCGCCCGATCCGGCTTGTGTGAGACGCGATACCGGGGCAGTATGATGCCATCTCTCGGCCCTGCAAGCTCACGGGGAAGTGGTCACGAAAGCGACCAGCCACTTCCCCGCACCCTTCAAGTCATGTCCCATCCAACGTCAGATAGAACCGCGTGCGTCGAATGACAAGCTATGCAATGCTTCCTGCCTCGCGATCTTCCCATTACAGAGGCTCTGCCGATGATACGAGTGGGTGCCGGCTTGTGAAACACCAAAGTATCCAATGAGCACCGCCGCCTCGATCACACAATAAGTGTTGTGGCATCATCCAACTTCCACATGCGAAATCAAGCCCGAGCTGGCTGCCATCCATTCCGAACATTGAGCCATTATGAAAAGGCTCCATACCATGCAGCCAGGCGGCATACGTAATGTAGTGGAGGAAATGTCAAATGTAGAAATCAGTTCGCGTGTCTGGCGGGCTAGGAAATTCCTCCACACCGCACGCGATGGCAGGGATTGACCTGACGATCTCCATCGCCAATCTCATCTGGGGTCTTTTCCAGAGTTGCGCCGAAGATCCGATCTTCACTCATATAAACGGCATTCGCTCACAGCTTTCTGCCGACAGCCTTGCTCTTTGAATCATCACGCGCTGTTCTGCTTCGCTACGTCCTCGACCACGATGCATACATATTTCCTCGTGGCACTGCTGCCTTGTCTGGCACTCGCCATGCCCCAAGCCGATCCCGCGCCCCTTGCAAAGCGATCCATCACCTGCCTCAAAGTGGGCGCCACGGCAACAGCAAAGTGGACCAACAGCGCCGGCCAGAGCTGTACCTTCACGGGCGTCGTCGGCAGCAACTACGGCACAAACAGTGCCGGCGGCGAGTATGTCGCGACAGTATCCCGATCAACATATTCCAACTAATAGTCTTCACAGTTACTCATGCAACGGTCGCTGCGGTGCAGGCTGCACTGGCACTGCGCTCGGCAATGTCTATGCTCAGGACTGCTTTTCGCATGATATCTGCTCGTACTTCGAAAATGCCACTGGTGGCTCCAGGTAAGTCAGCCGATTCGAGGACAAAGGGTGGATGTGATCTTTCTGACACGCGTAACTAGCGATCCCAACTGTGGCGCCGCGTACGATGCCGCGGTTGACGACACCGTTGGGGGTGTGCTCGCTGGCTGTTCCCAGACCAATCCGACGAATGCAGCGAAAGCGCCGACGACGATGCCAGTCTGCTCGTGAGAAGAATTTTGCTCGCAGGGTGGTCAACTTCTTCTGGACCCTTGCCCAGTTACCACAATACCGAAAGGTGCAAGGGGGTGAATTCAGTGCTGATGTAGTTCGTCATGCGAATCGGAGGGACAACAAGACGTTATGAGACACGGGCATGACCCCTGCACTGAGAGCGGTTTTTTTACTACATCTAGCGTACGCGAATTCGAAGCAATCCTGTCAGCCGCAACTTGTTACTTTGATCGAGCGAAGGTTGAGTGGAAGGCCAAGCAACGGGCCAGGGTCTGGTTGCACTACCACTTGCCTTTCAAGGTATCACGGCAATAGGGGATCTCGGTCTAAGAGCAAGCTATATTGAGAACTAGTATTGAAATGTATAAGAGCGAAAATACTGCTATGCCTTAGGCCAGACTGTCTTCATCCGAACTATCTACGAATTCCCTCGCTGTCAGTGCCGGCAGCCCGCGAGGCCAAGGATCTACGTCCCCAAAATCTTCGTCAAAACGCAACGACAACTCGAAATCAAAGTACTTCTTTTTAGGCAAAGGGATCCCGTGGGTTTGCTTCACAAGGACGACAAGGCACGCTGCCAACTGCCATTGGTCTGTGATAGCGCAGATCTGAGCATCGTGGATTGCGCAATATGTCCTTAGCCGCAATTAACGATTGGAATTACCGTAAGTCCAGATGCGCTCATGTGTTCCAGATATCCCACGAACGAATTATCGAGGAGCTTGATGCCGTAATCATAGGATCTAGGACAGTGGCAGCGGCGGAGGCGGACCTGGCTGCTTACCCTGAAATCGAAGAGCGTAATCTCGACGGTGCATTCAGAGTTGGGAATTTTGAAGACAAGAACCTGGTGTCTCAGCCATCCCTCATCTGCTTGGCATACAATGTCCTTGCGTATAACGTTGGAAAAGAGTAGGTTCAGCATAATGCTCTTGTCTGTGTTACGCTTCTTAGCGTTCCTTGGTGGTAGCGAATGATGATATGGATGGTTCTGCATTGCTCTTGAATCAGGGGTCTCGGGCGTTTATGGTAGATCATGATCCCCAGATAAGGAGATGCATGTTGCGTCGTCAACAATAGGCACAATCAAAAGAGGTAGAAACCTGTGTGTGCATAGAACACCATTGTATTGGGGAAAGGGCTCAAACAGTACTAATAATATACTTTTAGGATAAGCAGCTATCAGATTTGAACACGTAGCAACTGAAGATCGCGGCATTCAAACGTTTCGGTGCTTCCCGGCCGGGAAACATTGATCTCGCCGCAATACGATGGAGCCTGAAGTCCAGACAAAGGAAAGCTAATGCGAAGGGATGTTGAACGAACCGAAGTAGGATCTCAACTCGGCCGCATGATATCAGGATGTGGAATGCACTGTATGTTAGGCATGGGGAAGACTCCTTGTCTACGAAGTCTAGATAAGAACCGTTCGGGAGATTCTCGCTCACACACAAAGGAACTTGGATACGATCAAAAGAATGTATATAAGTGAAAGCCCATACAGCACTCCCTGTAACGTGCCGATACAGGGGGGCAGCTCTGTTACAAACAAAGGTCATGTCCATGGGAAGAAAGGCATTGTTCGGCACCTGGTCAAAGTTAGAAACATATCGACCAATCCTAGATCTTGTCGAATAGCACTTATTTAAGTAGAAAAGACCAGCATATTCGCGTGTTTCCCCGATACGATCTCGTCAGCCCCAGCCAAAGTTCTTGTCCAAACTTCACAGCACCAAACCTCACTCTCGAACTGGCTAACTCATCTCAGTCAGTTGCAATGGCGCATTCACCACTCTTCCGCACTTTGATGCGGTCTACTCTGGACACCCGGTGTGTCACCCTTACTGATTATGAGTTAGACACTGGAGAACATTGCACTGACAACGACCGACGAGTCGTGTTTGAAGCGAGTGGCTGGACCAACTCCCGCCCATCATACGAGGACGGATCAGCAGAGAAGTCTCTGCAAAAGCAAGCTGCAGGAGACTTCGCAGATAAGATCATACGAGACACTCTGCAAGAGAGCTCGAACAACAGATCTCAGCATTACATGGCAATGCGCGCCATGTTTGAAGAGGTGCTTCCTCTGAGCGACGCTAGGATCCGACTCGCCATAGCTAATACTGGTTTCGCTCACTGGCAATCTCCAACGATTATCGAATGTCTGAGATCCGAGGACGACCGCTCCGAGGTTGTGACCTGTGGCCGGGTAAGTTTGGGCGAGCGAGGAATCATTGACAGAAGACTGCTACATACAGAACTCTCGCCAGCGTTTGTGCCCAAGCCCCATGTCATCAACGAGAGAAAGCGACTGGAGGGCAAGTATACCCGGTTTGCTGCTTTTGTCGCTGAGCAGAGGTCGGTACCTTTCAAGCAGCGGATCCTTCTCCCAGGCTCACGACTCGAGACTTCGGATGATGGGTTCCTACCGGACCGGAGTGTTTTCTCTACTACCGAACTAAGTGATTCAGAAGATGAGACCGAGGGGAGTGTAGCTGCCCATGATATCGAGCGTACTGAAGACACGGAAAGGTCCACGAAACTGTACGACTGCGTTGTTCACGATCAGAAGCAGCTGAACGAGCAGGCCCGAAACCTATTCAGTCTGCTGCTGAAGAGATTGCCTCGTGTAGAGTGTCCTTCATGGCACTCAGTCGCCGGAGCAGCGGCTGATGATGCTAGGTTAAGATCGTACGAGACCTATGACTTCATGTTACCCTTTCCATTACCTGAAGACACTGGCGATGAAGTTGAAGTTCTGGCTTCGAAAGATGCGCTTTTCGTCGAGGAACGTTACCGATATATGCATAGCAGGGTCTACGGGGACAAAGCAAGTGATTGCGAGTTGGTTCGTGCTGTGCAAAGGCTGGAAGGCTTTGGGCATGCACATGGAGCATTAAGTACCTGAATACTAGGTAGTCTGGAGTGCTTCGCTGCCAGGTACACCGGTCCTAGAATAGTATTTGCTTTAATACCGAGTGACAGAAGCAGCGTTGAGCATTAGACACATAATTGATGACTTGTAAGTAATCCTGTGGCGTTTCAAATCCAATGGTAGGGTGAAGGTCTTCGACAGTTACTGTACCGGGTACCGTTCTAGCTGTGCCTTCAGATAAGTCCCGGCCCAAAGAATGCACTCGCTTTCGACGCCTGGCTGCTGTATTGGCCTCCACACGATTCCATGACCTCCCGCTTCCAACCGCATCACGTCAATCGTCCATGTCTACTGGGGAACGAAAGTCAAAGGCCGCGGTTGACCCCACAAGTCGCACGGGTTGAACCTCCAAGCACCATTGCCGGAAGCAAACCAGTACTTGACCGCGTAAAGTACGACGCCCGGCAGGGGAGGAAACGTATTCCCCCCTTCACACGTCTTATCCGCGCATCCAAGTACGCAAGGGAACACGTCGTACTGGGTATCATTAGATCGCGACCTCGGGGCCAAGGATGGGTGAAACTTACTAGCATCCCCAGGTTACCATTTGCCTTGGCGACCTTCTCAGCTTGATCCCAAACTTGCCTCAATCCCGCGCTGTCCAGGTTCCCCATGCCCAAGATTTCATCAATCTCGGCGTACAGATGATCGGTCAGATCCTTGCTGAACGAGTCGATGATGTCCTTCATGCCACCCGGCGCGTCCCTGCGGTAGTCACCTGGTTCCGTCGACGAGACATACGCCAACAGTTTCTCGAGCCCATCGTGGAACAGCTCATGTTGGTGCAGGGCGTCGTCCATCATGAAAGAGTCCCCGCTGAGCTTCTTCAGGTCCGGGAATATGTACGTTTCCTCGACAGAATGGTGTTGTGCGAGCATCTTTGCCCATGACTGGGTGTAGAAGAGGAGGTCATTGACGTCCTGGGCGTTGTAACTCGGGTCTGTTGAATCAGGTACATGGGGAGCTTGCTGGATGATCGCGTTCAGCCCGCGTATGATAACGTTGTGCGAGTGAGTCATCTCGGACGCGCAGTGCACGTAGGCATGGTGGTCCTGAACGGCGGTCAGCCGGTGCTCGTGATTTGGCCCGACCTGTAGGCGAAACTCACATCTAGACGCTTCGACGGGGTCGCGATCAGCTTGAACGGCTCGTCCGCCCAAGGCGCGTCAGAAGGTTTTGTCGTCATGGCGTAGGATTAGTGCAGCATCTCTGGACTATGACAGGGTGAAGTTGGAATTGGGCGAAAGAAGGATGATGAGAGATTCAAAAGACTGAGCAGTGAGGACCTGTTTTCTACGTCCTGGTTCAAGTTCAGCTGAGTTTAGTTGAGTCTAGCGTTTGCCACTATCCTCAGGTTTCATCGAGCTGGAACGCGCTAATATCCCCAGACCGTGTTATTCCCAATCCCTTGAATGATGTTTGTTGGTAGTTGGTCCCAACACCGCCAGTTACACTGACCCGCCATAAGTCTCCGAGCATCCCCGCATTTACACCAAAATGCCCTACATTTACGCTTTTATAACTCAAGACTTAAAGCTTTTTAAAATGAGAAATTATAAGAAACTAATATTTGAAAATGCTGAAGTTTTCGTAACTAATTTCTAAATATTTATTTTCTTAGCGACTGAAATATTAAGAAATAGATATATAAAAGTAAATTTTAGAATCTTAAATCTTAAATCTTAATAAAGCTATAAAAATGTTTAAAAAATCGTATAAGTCGTAATAAAGTTATATAATATTAAATGACATGTAATACACGTACAAGACGAAAAACCTTATGTGATAGATTTTCAAAAAAATAGATATGTTAGAAAGTTATTTTTATCGAAAATTTAACCTTTAATAAAATAACATTTACGACTTTTATCTTTGAGATGTCAAAGTTTTTAAATAAACCATTTTAATATTCCAGTAAATTTAACTATACATACTATAAGTACTTAAGTTGTATCTATTTTACTCGATTTATCACGATCGCGTAAAGTTGGGGTGTTTTGGTGTAAAACAGGGATGCTCGGAGACTTACCGGTATGGCCGGGGAGTGTACCATGCTGGGGCGCCCAACACCCTCGTTGCTGACCAACCAACGTCCAGGTCGTGTCCACACCAACCCACCTCGCCCAAAGAATAGCCATAATGCATTGTCTACCTTGAGCTTTGACGAAACCACATAAAGAGATCTCCCACGGCCCAGCAGCAGACAAACAATATTTTCTTCCAATCACTCCGCAAACTGTCCTTAGGGAGATCTCGCACCAAGCGCCTTCCAGGTGGTCAGTAGACAATGCCTTTGTGCCGGACTACATGCTTATAAGTACTAGGCCGGTATGACTACAACTCAAAACCAGTTCCCCGATTCCCAGACCGCACTCATCCATCATCATCAAATTACACAGATTAACCCCTTGAACCTATCCCCGTAAGAACCAGTAAGTCATCCTCACCCCCATCACGACAACACAACACCCGAACCCAAACCCACCCCGCCCCGTCCCAGGCCATCCAGCACCATGGCCCGCCCCCTCCTCCTCCTCGAAGCCCTCTGCGCCCTAATCTGGTTCGTCGAGTTCGCGACCTTCGCCCTGCTGTCGTGCTTCATGTACCTGGAGGTCTCGCGGCGGATTTACCGCGGCGCAAGCCCGATGCCGGCGTTCCTAATGGGGCTGTGTGTCGCGGCATGGCTGGCGGTCGCCTCGGGCGTGGCTAGTATGTCGGTCTTGGAGCTGCTGCCGGTGCCGGAGGGGGATTTGGCTTGGGTGGAAGAGCTGTATGTATTATAGGTAGGTGAAGGGTTAGGTACCTAGTTGCTGGTTGTTGAAGAATTGATTTGAAGTAAGTTGGCTGTTTTGGCTTTGTTGAATGAGAATACATAACTTACCTGACGTTTTTGGAAAAGTGCATCTTACATTTGCGTGTGACGAGTGGCTTCCGCATCCATGGTACTAGCAATGTAATACCGAGTTCGTATTTTCGTGATTTCCAAGCGCCTGGGGTCCTTAGCATGGCGGCGTTGGAAATCGAATGCATCTAGATCGCCGTCACGTCTTCTTGCCCGCACGCGCTCATCGAGCACGCCCCTGAATGCCCTTAGTCTCCTCCCAGCTTGGCCCGTACTGCTCATGGTTCCCGAGGAATAGAAACATCCTTCTGAGCTGGGCTAACTGCCTGTCGAAAAAGACGAGGCATGCTTTTGTGTCCTTCACGCACTCGATGGCGCTGCGAGGAGGGAAGGTAAGGGTTGCTAGGTACGGCGATTTAAAACATATGCTCAAAGGACCTCAGCTCGACGCTCAAGTCCAGGGCATTTAAGAAGTCAAGCCGCCTAACCCCTATATCATCTACAGAAAGGTCTCCGTCTTCGTGTTAGCTGGGACCAAACGACATAGACATAGCTCTATACTTCACACGAAGGTAGTCATCTCACCCTCTACGTTCAGATCTCGCAGACGCACAGTGTTCATTCACTACAATCCTGAGTACCGTCGTCAAACGGAAGAATACAATACAAGGAGAATCCTAATCTACCATTTACAAGCCCTACTGGTATATCCACCACCGCCTTTCCGACGTCCATTTTGAACAAGTACCATCATAAAAGCCTTTATACTTGAAAGCTTGTAATACCCACCATTGGGCATATGCAGCAGACCGTGCAATAGGGTACGGGCAAGTGGAAACGTATCACCGCCATCATTCATAGACTGGATAGCGAGTCGCCCCTCATGACCCTCATGGTGCTAGCACTAGGGCTGCCGCATCCGGGGTGCGCAAGCGTAGTCGTTGCGCTCAGCTCGCTGCCCGCGTCGTCGCGCGGCCCCGCCTTGCGCGTGATGCGGCGCTCCAGCTCGAAGGCGCGCTCGCGCTCGCTACGCACGGCGTCGGCCGTGTTCTGGCCGCGGGGGATGCCGCGGAAGCGGTCGATCCTGGAGCGGACCTCCTCGCGCAGCGCGACGGAGCTGGTCGAGAAGAAGATGACGGCGTTCCACGTTCCCTGCAGCGGCAGGACGACGGCGCTCGCGAGATTGAGCGGGTAGCTGTAGCTCCCGGGAAAGAGCAGGTCGTGCACGCGGTTGATGCTGCTCGGCGTCCACGTCACGAACACGCTGATGGCGAAGACGAACGAGGTGCGCAGGTACGCCAGCTTGACGGGGTCCATGTTGGCGAACCTGCCGGACCAGCGGTTCCAGCCGCCGCGTATGCGACCGAAGAACCCTTCCTTGGGCATGGGATCGGCGGTTATGCGCGTGACGGTTGTGTGGTACGGGTTCGGGGAGGTTGCCGGGCTGGTCGGTCCGTCGAAGTCGAAGTGTTCCTCTATGGGTCCGTCAAACCAGTTTACCGGCCCTGCTGCGTGCCGTGCTGCTGTCGCGGGTTCGGTTGACGAATTTATCGTCGTTACCTGTACGACTTCACGGTTGATGGTGCCCATAACTGCCGCGTTCGCGAAGAGGTCCTGCGGATTCTAGTTAGCCCAATATACTCGGCATATGTACGCAGTGTGTACTCTACTGACCTTCTCGCCCGAGTCCTTCCGTCCTGGCGGGTCACGTAAAGGCGAAGGGTTACTCAGCGACAGGTTACGAAGCTGGTTACGTTGCTTGAAGACATAGTAGCCGACCGCGATATAGATGCACGTGGACAGGCCAACGCAGACCCAGATGGGCAGGTAGTACGTGTATATGCGCAGGTCGCGGCCGTTCTTGCCGATCCAGCACCAGATCTAGTTGCATGTCAGTTGACAATATTCGCAGAAGGAATTGAAGGTAAGCCAGTGAGTCGCGCTTACTGTCGCATCGCCGTACACGTCCACCCCATCGCTGTTTCGGGCAACTAGCAGCCACAGCGAAGGAATGAAGGGGATGCCGTAGCAGACGATGAAGTACGCCCACCAGTATCGAAGGAAGCTCTTGGGGTTGGCAGAGAAGAAGAAGACCATGTAGACATTGACGGCCATAGCAAAAGACCACCACGGATCTGATTGCATAAACCTGTTTCCGGTGTTAGTCGATGGGGGCCACCGTTGTTCCTGCCCGCAAGGGGCACCCGGCTCAGCTAGCCTGGTCGCAGTGGACTTACAGTTCAAACATGAAGGCCTGAGCCTGACACAAGTCGCTGGTAGGGCCTTTCTGGACACCCGAGTATCCTATCAAGCAGGCGATGCTGGCTCCCAGGTTGGCGATGGATGCGAAAACGATGAAGGTGTTGGGGACGGTACGCAGGCGCTTCGAGGCCGCAAAGGCGACGAAGATCAGAAGCACTCCTGCAACCGACATGGCCGCTCCCAGACGCTCGAATATGACAATGGTATCGATCTGCCCTTGAGGCCACTGGTAGATGGCGGGGTCCTTCTCATCGGGGCCGCCTAGGAATTCTGAATCGGGCACCATGTTGGCGGTTGGGCTGTGGTGGCTGGAATCCGTAACTTATTGACTTGAATAAATGTGTGGAATCCAAAAAGGTCGTGCGTAGTATTGAAGGTGGTGTTTCTAGGAATATCGAGCCTTCCTGAGATATCCAGGTTATGGGGTAGAGTGAGAAAAGGGCGATGCAATCACCCGGCTACATCAGCGCGCCTGGGCGAACCAGCAGAGGGGCACTGAATCGAGATGACGAAGGCCGAGATCAGTGTACCATGAGCTGTCACTGCACCTAAATTGGAACAGATCACAATCGTCGGCTCGGTATGTCTTTGCTGTAGTCGTCGCAGGATCTCGAAGAATAAGGTTGTGCGGTGGGGTCTTGCCGGTGTGTAACGAGGGACGAACGTCTGCTTGGTGATGCACCTGACGTAGATAGGTAGATGAGTGTGAACGAGTGTCGTCGGGGGTTACCCAGTTCACTGTCGTGTTGATGAATAGCTGCCGATTTGTTCCGCAGTCTCTCAGGTGGATTGGAAGGAATGGACAGAGCCACGATAGATGTGTAGGTGGGCCACGGTCTGAATGTGATGAAAGCGCAGCTGTGTTCTTGATTAGGTACCTGGGGAGGCTGGACAATCTAGGGAGACGTGTGAAAAAGGTGCGAGGGGATATCAGAATATTAGATGAACGCGTGCAGGGTCCAATGAGTGAGAGTAGGTGATGTGCGTTGCTTGTTGTTTGTATTAGGCGTGTCGGAGCAGTGCGCTGACTGAAGGTGTTGTAATGGCGAGACGCGGGCACGGATCTCGAGGACGATTCAGTCTCGTGAACGGAATAATGGCATCAATAAGCTCGTCACGCATGTAGCCAGCCGCGTCGCCGGTTTTTCCTGGTCACATATCAGTCGCCGCGAAGCCGCACTGGGACAATCTGCGTAGGCTTTTGGGATGGCAAAAATGGATTGGACGGGTAAATGGATGTATGGGGTGGGCAGATGAAGGTGTGCGAGGTCCAGTTAGACGGTGAGGTTCACTGATAGGGTGCACGATCAGATTGGGTGACTGCATGTCCAAGAGTCAAGACGCGTGCTCTAGCTCCGAGATACGACTACGATAAGTACCTTACCTACCTAGTTACCTAGGTACTAGATTCGATATCCCTGAAGTTTGTGAGCTTCCGATTGCTTCTCATTCAAGCTGCAGCACATTGTTACGCAGCTTGGGTGTTGTTTTCCGACTACCGTTGAGAGCAGTGTGCAGTGTGCAGAGGATGGCCGAGCTCAAGGCACCTGGTACTTGGAAGACCACGACATTATCTACTTACTTAAGTAGCATTGTTTGATCCATGGCCTGTCAAAAAGATTCTGGGGAAAGTCCCCTAGAAAAGTCACGATGCAACATGTCGTCTACCAAGGAGTGCGATAGCCAGGGGCTCTGGGAGGCTCTCCAAGATGAGAATACCCCCTGACGACGTCGCCTCGCATACAATACAACCTTACCAATGGCCAATGCACTCCAAATATCCAGTACCATGTACATGTAGGTGGGAATTGAGTTGCCATCCAAAACATGGGGGGACTGGGAGGAGTGAAGGATGGTTGACGGGTGCCCTGTCAAGCCACAAGGCCCAGCAGCCGACGACATCAACCCCGGCCCATGCGGGTACTGGATGGACACCTGATTAATTGCTTGTTCTCGTTCACTCACTGATCGCCGCATGGAATAATGATGGGATGAGAATGGCCAAAGAAACCAGCCTCGATCTTCAGCGCCCATTGCCGGTTCCGGGGTGTATGTCGGCATCTCAAGTGTGTGCCCTCCCACGTGGGCCCCTCAGGCTTCGGCACGGGTATGTCACCTCCGCCTGCGCGGCTGTGATGTGATTCGACGATAAGTCTTGGGGCAAACTGTCAAGTGCACTTGGCGCATCTGGTTGTCTATGGTCCATTTGTTTTCCTAACTTGGTAGGCGTTTGCTTCGAGGGCACCGCGGGGTGCTCGGTTTGCGGACGTCTTATGGATACAAAGTTCGGCGACAAGGAGGGAGCGCATGACTGCAACAGCCGAGAGACAGCCCGGCGAGAGAGGTAAACAGCTGCTATGACTCACGACATCCAATGTCTCGCTGCAGGCGAGCGAGGGGATAGGGCAATAAGGCAATGGGGGGGAGGGGAGGAATATCCGCGGCTGGGTAGCCACAGTGCTTTGTGGCACGCGCATCTATTTTTTGCTACACGACATGACGCGCGAAGTATTGCGTTCCGGCAGCACTGGCCCAGTGATCACTCGCGCCAGTGGTTATAAGGCATGTCGATAGTCTGGTATGCGCCCAGGCTGTCTATAGCCGACTCGAGAAAAAGCGTGCCCAACCAGGATGCTTTAAAACCCACGTCTTGTTCGCTGCATTGTCTCGATTCGGCCGCATCGCCGCTAGACAGTGAGTTGTCCGTGCTGCCGGGCGGCCGCCTACTTCAATCGCTATGGGCGTCTGCATGGGTGACAAGGAATAACAGCGGAAAGATCGAGTAAGTAAGTGTCATTGTTCTGGACGCGACTGGTTGACTGGTTGGAAGCCAGGTGCCGTCGTCCCATCCTGTAGATCGATGCACTGAGCCTTCAGCGACAGCAGCAGCGAGTGCTTGGCAACCGGGGCTCGGAATAGGATTCATTCAGGTTGCAATCGCATCGAGACAGACCCAAACGGAGAGGCCGGCTTGGAAAGAGAAGCAATGCGTCTATCAAACCCTCAATTTCCAGATTCGTCTCCGTTTGCAAGACTGGCAGACTGGAAAAGGGGGGCGGCGGGCGGAAGTCGACGCGTGGTGTGTGGAGGTGGCTGACCCGCTGCCGCCCCCCGCACTCCCCTCCCGTGCTGGGGAAGTTTATGGTAGCGCTCAGACATTGCCGTTTGCGGCGGGAGGCGCTGAAGATTAGTGATGTGATTGGCTGTCGACGTTCTCGCCAGCGCGTCTGCCGGCCGTAAGCGGGCGAGTCAATCCCCGCTAAGAGCACGCCCTCCTGACTGCCCAACTCGAGTAGACAGACGGACGGCATGCGGGCACGCCTGGCAAAGTTCAGACAATGAATTACAGAGTGAGAGTCCAGATATATGTTTGCAACTGCTCACTGGAAGAGAAGTTCTGAATATATTGGATAAGCACCACGAACTGCCATCCTGCTCCCCGGACCACATGTTCGCGAGGTAAGTGGATGTCTCATATCAATAAACGTGTGTAGCACTCCTCGGGTCATGTCGCGGAAGACAAGCACGACCTTGTGGCCTATCCGGCCCGGATTTGGAGTCGCCTGATCCAGGCCAATCTCCAGGCCAGCCAACAGTCGAGTCCTTCTCGCGCATGTTGCCAAGAGGCTCGTATTGCGCCGATCGAAGCAATATCCTACCCGTACACTGCGAAACCCGGAGCAATTTATTCCACCCGTAAACTCCGGGACCCGAAGCAAGTAATCTAGTAACGTAGAGATGAGCACCTGTATAGGGGGTCTGTTGCTGTTAGGAATCGTTCATCTCAGACGTCAGGGGCGACAAGCATCACCCCTGAAACGAAGGAGGTGGATGTCAACGGAACAGATTAAAACATAAAACATTATTCGATTCATCAAAACTCCATCTAATAACTAAGTACGTATGGCGAAACATAAACTTCAACCGACGCATAAGCAGAAGTGAAATAGTTATGTTGGTAGAAGGGGAGATATATGTACTATGTTGCGTGTGCGTCTGGCCCGTCGCGGAGTTTGTCTCCAAAAAACCCACTGCCTCTCCCATTCTCCAAGACAGCATCAGTCCGTCCGCGGGCAAGTAAGTAGCTAAACTGGGTGGACAAAAGTCTCCGTACACCCCACCACTAATCTCCGACCATCAAAACCACGCAAATCACGATGGTATTTCGATCTTTTAGAGACGAATTGAGCGGCAGTCGCGCGCCGAACGGGGAGTTCACTCGCGATGCTCGCTCTGCGATTGTGGCGGCGAGAGTGCTGGGGCAGGGCCGCAAGGAGGTTGCCGACGCGTTCAAAACCACGCGCCCTGCCACCATCACTGAGACTGTCAAGCGCTTTGAGACCACCACCACCACAAAATCTGCTCCCAGAAGTGGTCGACCAAGTGCTCTAAATACTCGCAAATGTGCCCGTACTATTCAGGCAGCGAGGGACTTCCCCAGGGCCTCGTGACAAAAGATCCGAAACAAGAGCTTCGTCCGATCGTCACCCGAAGCGTGTAGACTGACGAGGCCGCCGTCCTTCATCGGATGTGCACGCTGCGTGAAGCGTTCCCGGCCCATGAAGCCGCGTCTGGGGTTAGAGTCCTCCACTCCAGCAAACTACCTATGGCTCAAAACTCACTCCAAGCCCTATCCCCGTCTCAGACGGAATGCCACCAGACCGAAATCACGTAATAGCTATCGGCTTCTTAGTCCTCCGCCTCCGCGTCTCCGAAGAATTTCCAGCTTCGCTTCTCGGGGCGCTTAGTGCCTGTCTTGACACCAGTAGCCGGAGGCGTGGGCATGGCTGTAGCTATAGCCTGAGCTATATCCCCCGCGACCGTGTTCGGATACCTCGGCGTCCCCTGACTAACCGGCGACGGCAGAACTGCGTCGCTCGTCACACCACTCTGCACACCACTCTGCGCACTCGGCGGGCTCCCCACCCCCGAGCCCGCCTGCGCCTGCCACGAGCTCACGACCTCCACGGGCGAGGGCAGCGACGCCAAGTTCTCCGCCGTCAGCATGCCCGGGCCATTGCTGTTGTTGCTGTTCGGCGGGGCGTCATGTATCGCCTATGCAACAGCATCCCGATGGCCTCGTCGCCCTCCGCCGCCTCGTTGCCCAGGTACCTATACGACGCTGCCGGCTTTTGGGCGCCCCGCTCGGCTGCTGTCAGCACCTCCTCCAGGGAGGGCATCTCCACGGGATCTTTGACGAAGCAGCGCGCGACGAGGTCGCGCAGCTCTGGGTCCAGCGTGGGGTAGTTGATGTTGGTGTTGCTGCCGTCGGGCGCGGGCACGATTTTGGAGGCGCGGGTCTTGAATCCCTGGTGGGTGACTTCGTCGTCTAGTTCTTTGTCGCCTGTGCCTTTCTTGCCTTTTATCAGTGTGTAGATAACCTGCGGTGGTGAGGATATATGTCAGTCGCTGGGGTCTGGTGAGAGATAGTAAAGGCAGGCAGGTGGGTTTAGCTTGGAATGGGGTGGGATTTCAGCGGAAAATGGTACGGCCCAGAGGGACAGGCAAGTGGGATAGACACAGGTTGGGGGACGCAGGATATTAGAAAACATGAGATCCCATAGGGCTCTGTCACCGTCACGTACCTTTGCGCTATCGCGGAGGTTGTAGTTCCCGTACTCGACAGGCACCTCGTGAATGTTGCCGAAGTCGATAAACTTCAGGGGTGGTATCAGATCATGCTCGCCGAAGCCGTCGCCGGTGTCGCCGACCAGAACTGTTCACTCCGGTCAACTATCTCACTTACCTACTCAACACGGTCACGTTGAGACTTACCGTTTCCCATGTGCAGGTCGCCATGATTCCATAGCTCCTGCTCCCTGCCCCTTTCTATCGTCTCCAGCTGTTTAGGTGCACCGCTCGGCGCGTTCGGCGGATACGCCAGCGCGACGGAAGCTCGTACCACTACATACCGTGAAGCCGTGTTATCAACACCATCCTATATCTTATCATCACCCAAGAAATAAGAACGGACGGCACTCACGACACAAGAAGAATGATCACAACAACCGATTCGGCAGCACCTCGTCCAGCTTGACTGCTCTAGTGAACAGCCTCTGCAGGTCGTGATTTTCCAGGTACTCCATCACCAGAACGGGCCCGTCAAGGCCTTCCAGATATGCCGGCGTCCTCTCCTGCTCCTGCGTTCCCCACGACGTGACGCGGCCGTAGGTTGGAGGCCAAGCGGCCCGGCGCCGCTGGATGCGACGTACCCGGCGATATGGAGGGCGCCCCTGAGTATCTATGGCAATAGTCAGCAAGCATCATTCACCCACCCACATCATGGCCCTCTCCCATATCAACTCGGTGGAGGTTTAAAAATACGCACCCTCAATCCACGAATCTCTCTCCTGAGAACTTCCATCCCACCCTCGCCCTGCGCGCGCTTGACAGCCAGCCTTATCGCAGGCCCGACCGCAGGCCGATGGATGATACGAAACGCGACGCTGAAAGCGCCATACCCCGGAATGCTCTCGAATTCAAAGCGGCGGTCGGCGAGCCGGGCGAAGTGGAACCGGGCCTCATCTGCGAGGGCCGCGATATTGTTGGCCGCGGCGCGCTTGTCGAAGTGCAGCTCCTCGAAGCTGTCATCTGAACCTCCCGCATTCATCACTTGTGTGGTAGGTTATCAGTGGTTACTTAGTCTCTTGGGGTTCCTGGTATGCAGCCGTCGCTGGAATTCGAGGCATCTCCGTTTTCGTCTTGTGTTTTACCCGCGTGCACAAGCACACAAAGCACGGAACGGGGAGAGGAGACGAGTATGCGCTTCCGGCGTTGACAAAGCCGTGGAGCTGTCGGCATTCTGATTGAACAAGCGCACAATCACACTATGTTTATGTCTTTCATAGAACGGCCGTTTCTAGAACATGGAACACGGGCATTCAGCCGCGGCAATCGTCACCAAGCGTGGGATAGGGGAGTGTGAGACGGGAGGACAGGACAATGTGTTGAGGCACTTACAACTTGTCAACCAAACTCTACTTCAATAGCAATGGAATATCGCCGATTTCTCATTACGCGGTGCAAACCGTCCAGGCCAAAATCTAGTTCGAAAGCGAGTATATATAAGCTGATCATCAGCGACCTCGCAGCCTCCAGGATTAATGCCATATATCCTTCCCGGCGTCTAGTTGGGCAGCTAGCATGTATTTCCGGTGAGGGTGTTCTGTAATGCGACAGACAACGCGTTTCAAAATCCGCAACACCATCAGTAAATCCCGTAACGCTAAACAGTGTAGAAGAAATCCGGCCTGGCGTCGCCCAGCTTGTCGGTTTCCGCTGAAGTCTTCCCTTCGACACGATGATCGCGCTTGCCTTCTTTCCTTTTCTTGTTTTCGATGCGGAGCAATGTTGTCATTAGCAGGCTGCCGCCGAAGAGGAAGATTGTCATGTAGGCGAGGACCACCGCGTGGCCTTCGATGAACCGAGGTGAGTGGAAGTAAATGTTGGAGCTGACGATGCCGTTCAAGTTGCCCCAGCCGATGACGAAGCCAAGAACAACTCCGCGCTTGTATACACCTTCGGTGTTGTTCGCCATCCAACTGATTGTGTTCGAAATACATGGGTAGATGCCAGCCGCACCGAGGAAGACACCCGCATACTGGATCGCTGGATCGGTGGAGGCGATCAACATGGCGAAGCCAACAACGCCAACCAAACTGACGCAGATATTGCATAACCCGCGCTGTTGTGTTCGATCGGCCACAAATCCGATGACGACGGTAAGTACAGCAGCTGCGGCGTAGGGAGGCACGCTCAGCAGTTGGGTTCGGATAGTCGTGTTGCTCCAACCAGAGGTTTGAAGGATGGTAGGTAGGAATAGTGAGAAGGCGTAAAGCGGCATGTCGCAGCCCATGTATATGACCATTCCCAGCCACATCTTCCAGTCCTTAAGGCCAGCAATAAGGTAGCTGGTCTTCCATTCCTCATGCTCGGCCGAAGACTGCTGGTCCAGCTTCAGTCGACGAACGACTCGAGCACGATCATCGTCAGTTAAGAAACGAGCGTCATCAGGGAAATCATGAACCATCCAGAAAGACGCGAAGCCGAAGACAACAGTCAGCAATCCCTCCAGGACAAAGATCCACTGCCAGCCTCGGAGACCACCAATACCATCCATCTGTTCAATCGCAGCTGCGAGAAGGCCACCGAAAGAGCCAGCCAAGGCAGCTGCCGAGAAGAAGATTGCCTGTGTGCTCGGTCAGGATAAGGAAGCAAACATGTGACAGTGAATTAGTGTACTTACAGCTCGAACACCCAATTCGGATCGCTTGTACCAGCATGAAAGGTAATAGTTGATTCCCGGGAAGAGACCAGCCTCTGCCAGGCCAAGAAACCAACGGGCAGCCAGAAGCCCAGAGTAGTTGTAAGTGAAGCCCATGCCGGTCATAGAGCAGCCCCAAAGAATCCTGACGTGCCACAACGTCAGTTTGCTACCCTCGGCTGAGATCCGACTATCACCGTTACAACTTACATGATGATCGGGATAAAAACGGAAGGCCGCAGCTTCTTCAGGAGGACATTGGTCAATGGCTCGAATACCGAGTACGAGACGAAGAATATGGTGAGAGTCGCATTGTATTGTCCGGGAAGCTTCAGGTGCAAATCGTCGGCCAAGCCGGCGACCTTTGCATTTCCGATGTTGGTGCGGTCCAGGAAGGCGAGGAGGTACAGGATGCAGAGCTAGAAGTCGGGCACATTAGTAAGGGGGATGACCAACAGGGAAAATGGTGCAACAGGAACTTGACTGGCTGCATGCGTACCCAAGGAATCAGCATGAAATCCAGTCTCCGAAGCAGCTTGCGATCCTGATTAGTGGTTAGCCGTGCCTTCTTCCGCATCACAGTACGACGCAACACGGCAGCTCCGACACGCTGCCTGCAGCTGGATTGATGCTTACAACTTTCTTTATCTCCTCCTCGCTTAGATGCGCGTCTGGATCAGCTGGTATCCCTTGTATGGCGTCGACATGGCTGCCGTCCTCGAGCTGCGAGTCTCGAGAGGTAGAATGCTTCTCGACGTCACTCATGATGGAACTTTGTTTTGTGCGCGGCACGACTTGCAACGTCGGTGACTGATGGAGTCCTTCCGGGTCCCTTGACTGTGGGCAGAGAGGGCCGCGACAGAGTGGCGTCAAGCTGAAGCCGACAGCTGATAGAGTTGGAGATCGTTCCTGCCAATTTGGGTTTGACGCTGTGGTGGCAGTATGGTCTGGTGTAGAAGCAGACCGGCGTCGACCGAGTATATATCTCACATGACAAGAAGATCAAGTGAAAATGGAGAATTAAGGACAAAGAAAGACAAGAAGGTTCCCAAGTGGAAGGTGGACTGGGGTATGCGGAACTATTATTGAAGAAGGTGGGAGTCTGGAGCATGGGGAGAGGTGTGAACGGGGAAGATCGGCTGTTAATAAGACAGTCAGATTTGGAGCGTGACCCTCTCCCGTGGCATGCCTGGGCTGAACTCGGGAAGTCGAGGCCGGGGACAGTGCACCGTCACGTTTAGGACGGTGTAGGACGGGCAGACAGCACGCAGCAGACAACAGACAGCAGACAAATCACAGCGTTAGAGACGACAACTTGAACTACTAGAAGTCCACAACATACATCTACTCTTCAGCTTTACACAGTAAGAAGAGCCTGTGAGGTGCCATGTGGACTGCCGCCACGGTACTGATTGCTGCTCTGTTTTCCCTTGCGTCCCGTACCCGCGTGATATCTCCTCAGGTCTCAGGTTTGCCATGTTTAGTATCCCCTTGAGATCCATCTGTGCCCCAGGTCTAAGCTGCGCCTCCACGCCTCCCATGCTGCTAATTTCACTATCCGTTTGGCTTTTCAGCTGTAGCTCGACGCGAGATTTGATTTGCTCTGAAGGAAAAGCTTAGACCTGGGGCAGGGGATATTCATCAGTCAGCTCGACTTTATAGACACGCATCTACCAATTCACCCCCGTGAAAGCGATAGAAGACACCCTTTGAATGAAGATATCGATTCCCCTGTGAAGAGACTTGGGGTGTGACTCTTTATAGTTCTGGCCTGGGTACTCCGCAACAATGACTGCTGCCACTGTAAATAAGTCATTACACAGCTAAAAAGGACATTTGTGTCTCCTACCACGTTTACTGGGCACAATCATGGTGCTTGTTACATGCCACAGGTGCTATGATGTCAAGGGAACCCGGCGACAAACTTCCTTTGGGAGGGGTGTTGGCATGTTAATGGCATTAATGACTCTGTTGGCCGAGATGTAGCTCGTTCACTGAATCATATTCTGCATTAGCTGGCCAACCAAAAGAACAGAGCCCTGACATACCGCCTAAGATTGGCCAGTGAGCCTCTCTCTGTCTAGTCACTGGGCTGCAAGTATTGTAGTTTATCTAAGCATCTTGATGAAAGACGGAACCACATACGATGCTTGGTGATTCATGTCTCTCGGTAGTTTATGACATCTGTGCTCGACTCGACACACCTATGCGGCCGAAATGGGTCTATATGGTTCAAGACAAGTCTCTCAACGGCCCGCGATATCTGAAGGCTCTCACCGACAACCAGCTGCCATCACACGATCCACGTTTGATACACTGACGTGTCTTAGATCCCACGTTCTACAGGTGCCTGCCGTGTCTCTTTGCCCTACCTGTCACTTATATTGAGGGGCACAGGCAGGCGTGGTCGTGTTCCTCTTGTAAGCACAGTCAGAAGCCTATTGAAACCGACCTGGTCGAGCTGCTTGCTTCAGCTTTGCTCTAGTTTTCTCTGTGGTACATTCATGTTGCTCCTCTTGGGAACCAGGCAGGCTGCTTGCTGGTGCAAGTGTGATGATATCCTGGCTGTGGGTAATCCATATTGAATCGGCATGCGGAAGCGAACATTGAACTAAGAGCTCCATCTTCCCCAGCTTCTTTGGCATCCTTATTCCGACAGGGAGAGCGGGTGGCTGGCTCTAGTGCGAAAGCTCATTAGCAGGGGAGCTACCCCGCCCTGTCCGCACGGAAAGAACCCCCACAGGTCCCCGTCCTTCTCCAAATGCAATGGCGGGTTAGCATCGTGGTCGAGTGTCGAGGTCATGGAGCCTACGTGGACCTCCACTACCATGTACTGTAAGCTCCTCAGATGCCTCTCTCTTCCAACTCCCGAGGTCGTATTATCGTCATATCGTCATCCAGATCACCATGACCAAGCACGGCTGTTCGCTGCTGGGACAAGAGCCGGCTAGATGATAAGTCCATCTCGTACTGGCACTGCAGCATCATCTTTCCTGTCACATCATTCATCGCCTGATCTCTGAGGCAATCGGTCCCGACGCCATGGGTCTTTGCACTGCGTGGATGAAGACACCCAATCCACGCAACCCTACCTCAACCACATATGCAAGCGGCACAGCTCAAGGTAGGCATCCCTGACATTCTTCGCTCCATGCGTGTTGTACCATGACAGATTTTCATCCTAGCCCTGGCTGATTCGCTGTCGACCCTATCCTGCATTCTCTGTTAAAGCTTCTGGATCTTCCTAGCCTTCCATGATATACATCTCCTCCAGGGATATTAAGTAGGACAGGTCTGCAGCTGATGTAGGCTTCCGTTGATACTAATCACCAGAACGGCTTCATTGGGTTCCGGGACACTCCAATGAACCTCCCCAGTCCTTACTGGGTAGGGAGACGCCGGCTTACCATCGGAGGAACAACCACATCATTCTTCTAATTTGTATACTGCAGCTTGCCTACGGGCGCGATGTTCGGCTACGGGCGCGATGTTCGGCTACCATTTCGACCAACACCCCGCGCGGTGAATTACGAGTCTCGACAGACCTCTTTGGATTCGCCTTCGCATCTGCGTTTTCCGGGTACTGAGCTGGTCTGCGGACGACAGTGAGCGATGAACCACGGCACTGGCTAGTTTTTGGGGAAGGGTGGAGATAGATGCCGGGCACCAGCAGCATAATATTTCAAATCATGGGAGTTTCGCAACATTGAACGAATACCATTGCATCACTACCCTCGAGAGGCCAGGCTGTAGAAGGCATGGTCCTGGCTTGATATGCCTTTACGGGATGCCAAGTAACATCGACAAGTGTAATCGTCGCTGACCGCTTGAAGCAAGTCAGGCGGATGGGCCATTTACCGGGTTTTGCGCCATCTTCACGTCCTGCAGACGTGGACTGTTGTGGTTGACGAGCACGTGTTGCTGCCGTGGAGGCTCGGAGTCACCATCCAGATGGGTAAGGGATAGGGCCTGGATTGACGGGTGTCTGCGTTTTCATGTCGGGTTCCGCAATAACGTTCATATCCGGTCATTCATATCCGGTGGACAGGAGAAGCATCCTGGAGCCATAGTGCACTCCTTTACCGCTGGTGCCGGAACAAGATCGCAACATCCGTCAACCTCAACTACTGGTGGTGCTCCGTGGAATATGTCCTTACTCGAAAAGCCCTGTCGGGCCGGTGAATCTGATCAGGGAATGAGAGAATGCAGCAAGCTTCAAGGGAAGAACGTCTATGGCAACTGATTGACAGCATTAATAGGAGTCAACCACACCCCGGAGAGATGTCTCGGGCTAGACGAGCCTGCGTCGTACAACTAACACTGGTCAGCTTCGCAGGGGGTTTCAGCTGCTCGGCAGCAATCAGCAGCTGCAATGGCTGGAAATAGCAAGACATGTCCCTTACACACTGCGCAAAGCGTCACGAGTAACGAGCAAATAGTTTTGAATTGTAGCGAAGAGCACTTGGCAATCAGAGGTGATTATCCTAAAGAGCACCCGCTAAGAGACAATCGGAACTGAGCGTTGTGTTTCTCTCGGGTCTTATCCGGGCGCCGATCACGTGGAGACAGACACCAGTGTTTACCGAATGCGCCGGCTTTTGGCCCGAATAGCTTCCTGCCGACCCAAAGGTGCCACGACGAGAGCGATAACGAGAATCTGACAACTGCTTATTCTTGACGACGGACCCAAAAACTCCTTTGAAACCTCTCCGGTTTGACGACCCCAAAAATTTATATAGGTACAGCTTGAATGAGTCGTTGATAGACAAGACACCAAACTGTTCTTCAAGAAACCCCGCCATCTCCCGCAGCGGAGCTCTCGCTCCTTCACCTTCGGCCGATTCCGCAGAACACCCCGGACAATGACCAAGACTGTCTGCATCGTAGGTATGTATTCGCCTGTTTCTTCAAACTCGGAGAAGCCCATTGGCTCACTTCCGGCCTAGGTGCCGGCCCTTCTGGGCTTGTGGCGGCGAAAACCCTGCTGCACGACGTTGCGCCTGGGTCGTTCAATGTGACCATCTTCGATGCCCAGACCCGGATAGGAGGTCTTTGGCCCACGCGCAAAGACGACAACGCTGGACAGGTCCATCCGCTCATGGCGACCAACCAGAGCAAGCATCTTATCCAGTTCAGCGACCTGGCATGGCGGGACTCTGATCCGGAGTTTCCCAGGGCATGGCAGGTTGGCCAGTACCTGGAGCGATACATGAAGGAATACGGAGGCGCTGATATACGGCTTGGCCACAAAGTCGTGGATACCGAACTACAGGACAGTGGTTCTTGGAAGGTGCGGACAGAGTCTGACAAGGGCTCTGAGACGAGCGTCTTCGACTACCTGCTCGTGACTACCGGGTTCTTTGGAAAGCCGATATGGCCAGATAACATACCGAAAGAGGGCGAAGTGCCGATCATCCACAGCAGCAAGTACCGGGACATCAAGAGCCTCTTGCCGGAGTCGGGTAGTGGCGGGGACAAGATCCTGATCGTTGGCGGCCAGATGTCCGGGGTTGAGATTGCTGGCACCGTTGCGACTCACCTGTCGTCTATCACCCATGCTCCAGGAGACAAGGCCATCCCAAAGTCGAAGCGATATTCTATCCACCATGTTGTCCCGCGGCCTTCGTGGGTATTTCCACTCTACACGTTAGCAAAGGTGAGCTTTTCTGACATCAGTCTCAATCACGTGTGATGGTTGACATGATGGGTAGCCTGATGCACCGGCACCTCCGTTCCTGCCCGTCGACATGATATCACAAAACCTAGCCGTAAAGCCCCAGCCACTCAAGAACACCGTAGGGCACATCAGCGTCGACAGAGCACGTGTGGTGAACTCGGCCTTGCAGTCCATGCTCGGTACAGACCAGTCCGAATTCTCGGCAGAAACGAAGCTGGATGGTGACTACCTGGACCAGCAGCCCTTCATAGCTGTGAGCCCCTACTACATGGACTTCGTTCGTTCGGGCCTCATTAAACTGCACAAGGGCAAGCTCTCCTCCCTATCCGGCACCACGGCCATTCTGTCATCCCAGGCCGACAATGGCGAGAGAATCCCCGATATCGCTGCCGTGATCCTAGCCACGGGCTTCGATCCCTCCCCCTCCCTCGCCTTCCTGCCCCAGTCCGTCCTCGATACCCTCTCCCACTCCCCATCGCACCCCAACCTGCCCCTCGCACTCGCCTTCCACAGCACGCACCATGCCTCCTTACCGACTCTCGGCTTCGTCGGCTTCTACCGCGCGCCGTACTGGGGCATCATGGAAATGCAGGCGCGCCTCATCGCTGCCCTCTGGACCGCAGGCCTAACCCCCGAGAAACCGCCCCCGCCCGCTCTCCAGGCCGCCCTGCAAGCCGACGACACCATCGCCCGCACGCTCGCCCTCCGCGACGACCCGCGGTGCTCGCAGTTCCCGATGGGCGACTACGCCTTCCTAATGACCGACTTCGCGCGCGCCGTAGACCTCACCATCTCCCCGCCCGTCGGCGAGACGCCCCCTCTCGCTAACGGCAAGCCCATGGACATCCTGACGCCGGCGCGGTACCTCGCCCCCACGGCCTCGGAGGCGCAGCGCGCGCAGGCGCGGCAGAGTCTGGAGAGCACGCACAGCACGGCGCTCGCGGGTCTCAGTGGTGGCCGGTTCGTCGCGGGCGCCGTGTTCCGCTCGCTGCTCGGCGAGTGGCGCCTCGAGCGCGAAATAGTGTCGCGGCTGCCGAGCCACCCAAGCGGGCGGTTCGTGGGGACGGGGCGGTTCCTGCTGCGCGAGGGGACGGCCGACGGGCGCGAACAAAGCGGCGAAGACGGCGAGACTGGGACGAAGGAGAACATGAAGGACTGGGGCCTCGAGTGCCTCTACGTCGAGGACGGCGACTTCACCGCCAGCGGCACGGGGCTGCGGTTCCGCGCGACGCGGCGGTACGTGTGGCGGTACGACGAGGCCGCCGACCGGCTGGGCGTGTGGTTCGCGCGCACCGACGACGCGGCGCGCGCCGACTACCTGTTCCACGAGCTAGAATTCCAGGTCCCCGCGACCCCCACGACGACGCCCAACGAGGGCGGGGGCGAGCAGCGGAACGGCTGCTGGCGCGCCCGCGCGAGCCATCTGTGCGTCGAGGACTTGTACGATGTGCAGTACGAGTTTGCGTTCAGGGCTGTGAACCTGCGGCAGTGGAGGCTGGGATATACGGTGCGCGGGCCGAAGAAGGACTATAGTATCGAGGGCGTTTATACTAGGGATACCTTGTAGACTGATAGATCGAGAATTGTGAGGGTGTGGGTGCTGGATAGAGATATGGATACAGTAGATGGGCCTCTCACGCAAGGGGTGAGATATAGGGCGTATACCATTTATAAACAAGACAACTCGAAGCCAATATGTTTCAGCGGGAGGGTATCGTCTATTCGTAAAGTCATGCCTATCGTGGGCTGGATTGTCTATCGTAAGCTCTGTGTCTCACTCGCCAAGGAGAAGAGCTGGTCTAGTGCTGCCGTTTAGTAGTCACCGTGTTCTTTACAGCGCTATCCATCGTATCCCTTTGTGCCCTTCACCATCACCATCGCCATCACTTACGGCCCGTAATCCTGAACTTCTAGATCCGAATAGGAACCGAGTCCTTACTAGCCAGCGTCCCGCCTCCCTGCGGGACCAGCGAGTTCTTGCACTCGCGAGCATGCACGAAGTCCGCCAGGTTGCGCACCGTGCAGTCGGCGATCTCGCGCAGCGCCTCCTCGGTGAAGAAGGCCTGGTGTCCGCACACCAGCACATTGTGGAACGTCGTCAGACGCATGAGCTCGTCATCGTCGATGATGGTGCCGCTGTGATCGTTGTAGAAGAGCGCGCCCTCGCCCTCGTACACGTCCAGCGCCAGGCCGCCCAGGTGTCTCCGCTTCAGCGCGGCGATGACGGCGCGCGTGTCGATCAGGCCGCCGCGCGACGTGTTGACCAGCATGGCGCCCTCTTTCATCTGCGCGAGCGACTCCGCGTTCAGCAGGTGCCGCGTCTGCGGCGTGAGCGGGCAGTGCAGGCTCACGACGTCGGCTTGGCAGAGTAATGTCTCCAGCTCCGGCACGTACGCGCCATGCTTCTTGAACTCGTCGTTCGGGTAGGGGTCGAAGGCGACGACCTTGCAGCCGAAGCCGGCGGACATGATGCGTGCGAACGAGACGCCGATCTTGCCCGTGCCCACGACGCCTACCGTCTTGCCGTGCAGGGTCCGTCCCAGGAGACCGTCGAGCGCGAAGTTGGCCTCGCGTGTGCGGTTGTATGCCTTGTGCGTGTTGCGGTTGAGCGTCTGGATCAGGGCGACGGCGAATTCGGCGACGGCCTCGGGGGAGTAGGACGGCACGTTGGCGACGAAGAGGCCGAGGCGCTCGGCGGCGGCCAGGTCGACGTTGTTGTAGCCGGCGCAGCGCAGGAGGATGGCGCGGACGCCGCTCGCGTGGAGGGAGGAGAGGACATCGGCGTTGAGGCTGTCGTTGACGAAGACGCAGACGGCCGTGGCGCCCGCGGCGAGAGGGACGGTCTCGGGGGAGAGTGCAAATTCGTGGTAGGTGATATCGATGCCAGCGGAGTTGTCGATCTCCGAGGCGCAAGCGTTGGTGAGGTAGGTCTTGTCGTAGGGTTTGGCGGAGAAGACGGCGAGCTTCATCGTGAACGATATTGGGCAGGGATCTGTCGTCTTAGGATAGGATGTAGGTGGACAGATACAAATTGGGCCGAAGGGTCAGGACTGTGCTCATTGATACGATGTCGAGCTCAGTTTGCAGGTATGACCAAAAGATTAGTGAAGGAAACGACAAGTTCTACCTTATTGTTTGTCGAGTTACATATGACACGAGTTCAGATACAGACCACACAACTTCACCTCTTGCAGGCGGTGCTTGTCAGAAAGAGTTGCCATCTCACCAGGCGGAGGCGCTGATTCTCTGATCCGACGCAGGAAACTTGGCAGCTGAAGCATTTTGTGGCCTCGATTCCCATGCCTAATAAGAGCCAACGGACTTCTCGACATTCTAGCGAGACAAGGACTCACGACAGGGGTAAACACGCATTACCGGCTTGTCGAACCGACTTCAGCAAGTGTACGGTGCCAGGGTGCGTTGCTGCAAACCTCCCGAGGTGGTCGATGGAAGGTGCTGTTCTGCCATGACGGTAAAGTAGGAGCCACAGCGCTTCAATCATCACATTCCCCAGCAGCCGGCAGACGGCTCCATCGGAGCGGTGCCAGCTGTTCCATCGTCGGCACTAATCGTTTTCGCTCCTCCTTTCGGGACCGGCGGGGGATTCTATCTGCACAGTCCAAACTCTGTTCAACATGGTCAACCTAACCGACACGATGCTCGGAAGAAGTCATTATTGCTCCATGATCAGTGCTGCTGGATGTTACTCGAGGGGCAGCCGTGTCCTGCACCAGCCAGCAAGCCAGCCAGCCAGGCAAAGGTCGAAGTGAGAATCATCACGAGTAGCTCACATCGAGTCGAGCTGCAACACTGCAACACCAAGACATGCAGAAAGCTTGATTCTACTTGGCAAACATCGCATCTCACCTCAGCATGCCCATCATCACGGCCTTCTACTCAGGGCAGTTGTTCCTGAACCGGCATCAGAGACCTGCACGCGACGTCATGCTTGCCATTGGATGCCGACTCCAACTGCATCTGCATCATCAACAGCGCATTTTCATCCCCAATCTGGCAGGTCGTGATTGACCCCGCCGCACAAATACATGGGAGCTCGAGATATCGCCAGCCTTTTGTGTGACTTTGGAGTGTTATGGTTGGTGAAGCTGCTGCGGTGCCACTGGCAAAGGGGGAGGTAGACTTTGAGCGGTCAAGACACTAAGCACGAGGAAAATACATATGTGCTCATCCTGCGGGGCACCCTTGCGGTCTCCGTGGCGTTATTGGGGTACTTTTGAGTATAAATATGAAGAATGCGGCTGGTTTCCGATTTTTATCTTTCGCGAATATCCTCTACAACGCAAATCACGGTCAACATGTGGCTGTACTCTCCAACACTGCTGGTGGGCGCTCTAGTCCTGGATCGCTGCCAGGCCTGCTTACACGAGCACGACTTCACGAGGTCTCTTGTCAAGAGACAGAACACCCCCCTATCGCCATTGACGCCAGACGAGCAAGTTTTGGTTGATGCTGTTTCAAACACGACAATCGACCAATGGTCGTACTACTACACTCATGGATATCACCTCGCTGGGACGAATTTGAGCATGGCTCAGTGGACTGCCGACAGATGGGGTGAGAACGGCTTCGACTCCAGCGTGGTCTCATACTACGTCTTCCTGAACTACCCGGTCAACAAGTCTCTGAGCCTCACATATGCCAATGGGAGTGTGTTCCAACCTTCCCTCGAGGAGGCAGTGTTGGACGTGGATGAGACGACTAGCTACCCAAACCGCGTACCGACTTTTCACGGCTACTCAGCGAGCGGGAGTGCCGAGGCAGAGTACGTCTATGTCGGCCGAGGCCAGCAGGTGGATTTCGACCGATTAAAAGAGCTTGGAGTTCCCCTCGAAGGCAAGATCGCTCTTGCGCGGTATGGAGGGCCCTTCAGGGGCTTGAAAGTCAAGAACGCCCAGGAGAGCGGCATGATCGGTGCAGTTATTTTTACAGACACGCAAGACGACGGAAATGTGACCGAAGCAAACGGGTATGCTGCCTACCCTGATGGACCAGCACGTAACCCAAGCTCTGTTCAGCGTGGCAGCGTCCAATTTCTGTCAACGTACCCAGGAGACCCGACGACCCCTGGCTACCCTTCAAAGGAAGACTCGCCTCGGGCAGACAGACATCAAGTCATGCCACGGATCCCGTCTATCCCCATCTCCTACGTTGATGCCATTCCAATCCTTGCCGCGCTTGACGGGTACGGGACCGACGGCGAGGCGGTGAATCGCACCAGATGGGTTGGCGCATTGAATGTATCATACAGCACGGGGCCTGCACCTGGCGCCAAGATCAGTATGAGCAACCTGATGGATGACGTGTATACGCCTATATGGAACTCCATCGGCATCATTAACGGCACGAATTCAGACGAGACAATTATTATCGGAAACCATCGAGACGCATGGATCGTTGGGGGTGCTGCCGATCCCAATAGCGGCAGCTCCATCATGGTCGAACTATCGAAAGCATTCGGCAAGCTGCTTGCGCAAGGGTGGAAGCCATCGCGAAACATCGTCTTGGCCTCCTGGGACGCAGAAGAATACGGGCTCGTGGGCTCGACAGAGTGGGTAGAAGAGTACATCCCGTGGCTTACCGAGACAGCCGTTTCGTATCTCAACATCGACGTTGGCGCTTCTGGGCCGTTCCCCTATATCGACGCTACACCGGAACTGCACACCATCGCGACAGATGTAATGAAGAAGGTCAACTGGATGGACACGAACCGCAACATGTACAATGTCTGGTACGAATATGCCGGAGGTTCAATCGGAGTCCTGGGAAGTGGCAGTGACTATACCGCCTTCGTCCATAACGGCGTCGGCGCTGTAAGTAGAGCCTGGTCTGTATTACCACTGGCCGTCATGAGAGACTGACTGCGACTAGATCGATATGAGTTCGAACCCTGGTGACACCGACCCAGTCTATCACTACCACAGCAATTTCGATTCATACCACTGGATGACAACCTACGGCGACCCGGGTTTTCTAGCTCACAAGTCGATGACCCACGTATGCCTGCATCCTAAATAAGGTATATTCAGGCACAACTGACTAACGGCTCTGCAGTACCTCGCACTTTTGGCCTATAACCTCGCCGGTCCAGAGCGGATCCAGTTCAACCTCCCAAACTGGGCTAAGCAGATGGACACATACTACGACGACCTGATGTTGACGATCAACTCCACCTCAGACACCTTGGACACCTCCGCTCTCCGCAGCGCACTAGACGAATTCGCATCGAGCACGACACAAGTCCAAGCTCTCGACGACCAAGCAGTGGCCGCCCAAGACGCGGCATTAACCAGGCTTGTAAACCACAAGTACCGCGACTTCCAGCGCGGTTTCGTCTCCCAAGGAGGCTTGCCCAACAGGGAGTTCTATAAACATATTATCTTTGCCCCCGGATTAGACACGGGTTTGTCTCCACTACTCGATACCCTCCTGAAAGGTCCTGGCTAATGAATTTCAGGGTACGCACCCACGACGTTCCCGGGAATAACGGAGGCGTTTGAAGCTGGCAACCTTACCCTTGCGGCTGAGTATGTGCGGAAGACGGTAGATGCGATCTTGGTGGCGGCGAATATCCTCAAGACTTAGTTATCGGTTGTCGGGACAGCATTCGTTAACATAGGTAGATACTAAAAGAGCAGTATTTTGCCCCGTGCGCCTTGGCCGAGACTGAAATCTCGAGAATCAGCCATACGAAAGTTCTAGATCTCTGGTGGATGTACCATCCCCCCCATAGAAGTCGGACACCCCCACTAGTCGGCCAGCCAAATTGTGGGGTCACCACCAAAACACGCCCTTATTCACCCACCCACGAATGAAGCTATTCAAATCAGAGATTTATGGCAATATTATCATTCGAAAGTGCTGAAGCCGTTTACTCGTATAATCGTGCGGGCACCCGAATGACTCGCCCCGAACGGGTGTGCCTAGGTTCCTGTACAGCCTCCAAAACCTCCTCTTCAGCCGAGTCTTCGTCTTCGTCCTCTGAATCCTCTGAATCCACAACTATAACTTCTGCTTCACCCGTAAGGGCACCAGGAGTGATAGTACCACCCGTAATTAGTATCTGCGTGACTGTTCTGAATTTATTGTTAATATTAGGGACCTTCTTCCGCTTTTTAGGCCGTGCCCGCTCCAGTTCAGCCTCCAGAGCCTTGATCTTCCTATCCTTGATCACAAGCTCGGTCGCCTTAGCCTCGAACGCATTCGTTATCTTCCTATACTTCAGCCTGGTTCCGGGAGATCTTTTTTTGCCGAAATCTATGATCTGGCGGCTCGTAGTAGGCGTCCGCTGGTCTTCTGGTTCAGAGCTTTCAGGGGTATCAAGCTCAGGGGTCTTCCTCTTGTCTAGCCGTTCTCTGAGCATATATAGTGCCAATCTGCGGTCTTTCGAAACTCGTTGATGAACCACTGCACTTGGAGGTCCTTTCCCTTGAATATAATACCTGGTTTGAGGATTTTTCCAGTTGCTGAGATGGTCTCGAGGAAGGAGGTCCAGTTACGGCCCTGTGGGCTCTTCAGGAAGGCTTTCTTGGTAGCAGAACTATCCAAAACTAGGGAATCGATGCCTATGAATCTAATGAGATTCTTTGGGGAATTAAAGGGGTAGATATAAAAACCAAAACCCGCCATAATGCTGCCCTTATCGACGTTATAGGTGTTCTTTGGCTTCACCTAGCCGTAATCTTTAAGAATTTTAAAGAACCAGTTAACTGACTTGGGCGTGAACCCCTTGAAGCGTGCTGCTTCCATTCTTTTGTCGACTTTCGTCTTGATTTCGGGGTTGCGGCGCTTGAAGGCTGCCATGAAGGTGTCTCCTAGGGGGCCCTCATCTCCCTTCTTCTTCAACAGCTTCTTGACGATCTCACGAACCAGGAAGTGTGAAGGGGCTAACCGAGATTTTCCTGTAGTAGAATCCACTTGATTATAGTCTTTTTCTGGGCAGGGGATAGTCTCTGTTGCTGTGTGTGGGCTTTGGTTCTGGTAGCCTTGCCGTTGAGACGATCAGACAGCGTTTGGTGCGGAATACCATGTTTTTGACCGGCTTTTTGCACAGATAGGCCCTTATCTGTGATATTTAAGATGGCCGATGCCATCTGATCCTCCGTATATGAATAAGGAGGCATTTTGGGCGATTATACGATGCTGCAGTGCATACAGAACGAGGCTTCAGGAGAGCCATGAAAATCTTTATTTGGGGTATCAAAAGCGGGGTAATAGCTCCTCAATGATGTAAACTGTGAGGGGTAAATTTAGCATTGGGAAAAACCTCAAGATCAGGGCTATCTAGAGCACTAAATACATTGTGAATAGCCTCAATATCAGGCTGAATCTGTATAAGTGAACATGTGGGAGTTTTGGTGGTGATGGTGGGGTTTGGCTGGCCGACTAGTGGGGGTGGCCGACTTCTATGGGGGGGATGGTACCAGTGTGAGGAGACTAGATGAATTCATCCCGCACCACGAAGTGTTCGGCCAAAGTTTATCGGAAATAGCATAGGCGAGATCTGGGAAACGGCAGACCGGCAGCGAGTAGCCCAACGGTCGCTTCAACTTTGCTGCCACTTGCAGTTATGGCCCGCACCGAAAGATGTGTCCAAGTGCTCCTCGGGATGCGGGGAGCGGAGAACAGAAGTTATGACCTCCAGCTTGCGTGGTTGGGGTCGAGGAGGATGGTTTGGGATTCTTGGTCTGGCCGTAACTTAAACCTCATTTCTTGCATCAATAGGGCGCGCAGCCTTCTCTACGATCCCACTCTCTGTCGCGAATACATGTTTCGCACGGCGGGATGACAATAGCTGGGCATGGGCCGGGGGCCTTCGCGACCATGTGGTACGTATAGAAGCATCCCGTCAGAAGACCCTGAGCCTTGGTTTCGAGAACAAGCTTTGATGTTCCCTTTCCTTCATCATTCAGAAGATGGTCGTACGGGTTTATTGACAGTATGTTAATTACACGCATGGTGTTGACCGCGGCGGCGATGGTCTTCGTAGGCCTCCGCTCATATTGCCGTCTGATGATTGTTCGGGCCTACGGCATGGAAGACCATGTATACAACTTGGCTTTTGTAAGGGACTACTCATTACCCCTATCCCATTCCACCCTCTCCATCAGCGGCGCCCTATTTTACGAGTGACAACCACTGACGATGGATCGGGTTTCGCAGATATTCCTCCTCTGCTACACCATCTTCATGACCATCGCGGGGCAATACGGGTTCGGCCAGAGCGAATCGGCCATCAGTCGCGAGGCCCTGTCGAAAGCCATGATCTTCGAGTCGGTCGGCCAGACATTTTCCGTCGTCGCCATGGTTACTGCCAAGTGCTCGCTTGGTCTGTTCTATCTGCGCCTGCTGAGCAGGACGTGGCATAGAGCTGTCATATGGGGGTCGATGCTCTGGATCGCCTGCGCGACCATCGTGAGTGTGCTAGTTTTCTGGCTGGATTGCACGCCGCCGGCGTACTTTTGGGACGACACCATTCCGTGGGGTCAATGTCGCATTGACCCCGTCCCGGTCGCGTACGTACTTGCCGGTAAGCGTATCCAGACTTCAACCCCCTCCTATCTTCACTGTGGGACAAGGGCGCCAACTGGGCTTTACGCTGACCAGGTCCATGATAGTCTCCTGTGTGGTCATAGACTTCGTGTTCGCCGTCCTCCCTTGGATCTTCATCTGGAAACTCCAGATCAACATCCGGGAGAAGATAGTTTTCCTCGTGAGCATGAGTCTTGGTGCCACGTGAGTCTTGGGTTGCACTGGAGTCTCGTTCTCGTGAAATCCTCTTGCAGGCAGCGTATCGGCTAACTAGCAATGCTTTAACAGTGCTGGCGCATGTGGCATAAAGCGAACACTTGAACTGCCCGAGCTCGAGGGCTTCAGTAATTACCTCGGTGAGTCAGGAGTCAGAGCTATAACTACGTGATCTTGACTAATACGCACATCCAGACGACACCGTTGGCCTCTTCATCTGGTCAGCCGCGGAAACCGCGGTGACCATGATCTGCATAGGCATACCGCTATGTCGACCTCTTTGTAGGAACTTCCTCGACAGGTTTATCCTGCCAGATAATCGGGGATTCTCAAGACACGGGGCGAAGCCGTATGCCCTATACTCGATAGGCGGTCGCACGTTGCATCCACACTGCCAAAGCAGAGGAGGTCGAAGTCGGGAAGCTGCCAGAGACCAGGACAGGGGAAGTGTGTCTGAGGGAAAGATAGGACTAGGTGGTCTTTATACCGAGACCTACGCCCTGTGTGATAACGTGTGGAGTAAATCTTCGGATGCGGAGATGGGGTGTGACGAAGCACAGGAAGAGGGTAAGAGTCACACATGTGGTGCTGGAGCCCAAATGATTTGCATCACGGAGGAGTTCTTTGTCACGAGTTCATCGCCAACAACATTGACGCCGCTCAGCTTTCCTTCCGCCACGCACCTGAACTAGGTGTCTTACTTTGACAGGCAGCCCAAATATATGCAGATTTGCCATTGATTGTCGTATATTGACTTGGTTCCATTTCCAGGAGGTCTTCCGTCGTATGCAAAGTACTCACATAAGCCAATAGCTGTGGTGACTTGGAGCGGCCCTCCAAACCGAGCGATGCCCCGTTCTCCATTTCTTTTTCATGACTCTCTCTCGACCGTAACTACAGTCGTCCGGATGATCCCGCCATTGCCGCCACGCTCGCCTTCGTTCTTCATATGCAGCGGCTCCAAACTCCGAGGCAATATTCTCTCCTCGCTCGTAGAACCCTCCGTTGTGTTCTTGTAGAACCCCGACTTCGCCGTGGTGGCATGGTTCCCACCACCGTCTGCCAGCCAGAGCGTGCTTTTGTCGCTACCTGCGTCATCGTCGCCGTCAACAGCTCGACTGCTGAACTTCTGGTTGTTCTTGGCACCTGGCCGAGATCCCGTGCCACCGGTGCCGCCGATCGTCACGAGACCAATGCTTCTGGGCGCTTTGCGGGCTCCATAGCCGCTGCCGCTCTTATAGTGAGGTCCAGAACCGCTCGAACTCAGCTTGAGCATTCGGCGGAATAGGGGCTTCAAAGAGGCTGCGCAAGCAGCGATGATGCCGACTTGGAGCTGGAGGCTATCAGGGTGAAACGTCAGTATGCTTGTTTCGGCTAGAGAACAGTGCCCGGATGGGATATTAACTCACAATCCCCAAAACTGTACACTTTGCATACTAGGAGCGTGTCAGTCAGCAAGTTGTCTCGTGTTCTTCCGAAGCAAGGGTAAACGTACAAGGTCTTATCTTTCTGCGTGCCGTAAGCAATCTGGTAGACAGCTTTGACGATTCCCATGGCGACAGCCATGTAACCAAGACTTAATATCCCGATCACCGACATTTTCGTCCGGCGGTTCATCTTCAGACGCCAGATAACAGGCACGGGCAGAGTGGCCAATGCTACATCAGTGATGATGTTGAACACTAGTCAATGTCGTCGTTAGTTTCAACTTGCAAGACAGTGAACTGCCATGCGTTGGCTGAACTCACCCGTGTTTGACAAGCCGCCTTTGACCAACGTGGTAATGGGTGCGCAATGAGGCTTCAGGGACTTGTCCCAATACCCAGCCATTGGTTGACAGAACAACAAGAAAGTCAGACTGCCACTAATGAAGAAGCAGACGTTTGAAACTAAATATGTCAGTCACGGCAGTCTCGGCCAATACATAGCGTCTCAGGTTGAAGACGAATCGGGGACCGACATACAGATGATAAAATACAACGACCACTTGTACCACTTGCTGAAGGCCAGTCGTAGAAGGCTGAGGGAAATCGAAACCTTGAGGAACATGAGGGAGGCAGTCGCTGATATGATGGTTTGCCAGAACGCTGCATGTTGGAATTGTACGAAGTCAACCGTAGGTATCGTGTCTAGGTGGCGGCCCAATCCGTGGTAGGACTGGAAGATGAAAACCGACCAACCTCCAATGGCGCAGATCTGAGAGCACGACGATTAGCCCGCGGAAATCTCCAAGTTACGCGGCTTCCATTGGGAGTGAACTCACCGCGCACAGAAGCATAAATGCATCGTCCCAGCCCTGCGCACGGGTACTCCATACTTTGACGTAAAGTCGAAGCCCGGCGCAGACCAGTGCAAGGGCGTGTAACGCTGTCGTGACACCAACAATCCAGGCCGCGTTGCTCTCCTTAGCGTACGCCGGATCAACCGGCGACGCGGTGGTGGAAGCGGCGGTGCTCATCTCAGCTCTTCCACAGTCGCATCCGATCGGATAGGTTGTCGTGATCACTACACAGTAGTAATTGAAATGACGAGCATGAGCGTCCCGAGAGCTCGAGGACAGCCGGTGTTACTCGAACACTGCAGATCACTTCTTAACATAGAGATCTCGAAGTCTGCTGTCAGTACCCCTCCCAGCCTACAAGGGCTCGGTGCGCCAGATTGGCAGGATGGCTGATTCTCTGGAACCTCTGGTTCTGGCCCTTCTGTCCCAAACGGTTCGAACCGACACTCCACACATCCAAGCAGGGGCGGCATGTCCTTCGCTTTTGCGACAGATTCCCCGTTCGCCGCCCGACGGTACATTATTTCAGGGGTTGACCTGTACGCGAGGTTTCGACATTCACTAGCAGCAAGTCTGTCTGCTCTTGGGTTTGACCAGCATCTGATGGTAAACGACGGTACGGGTCGATCTATGCTGAATAGCGCAGGCTTCTATTGGCATGCACCGTGTCTCCGGAGCCTACAGAAACGACTGCGTCTCTTTCATGTCGAATGAAGTGGCAAGACGAGAAGCACAATTGGGGATATCGGTTGGGAGCTATTGATCGGTCCTTGCCATGATGGAGTTGTCCGCTATCGCTACCAGTCCAGTCTGAACCGCGACATTGCTGCGCTTTGACAATTGGATGGGGCTCTGCTTCCATCGCGGTGGAAGAGCCGTAGAAGAAAAAATGTCCGGATAAGATGGTGACAGCAAGTCGGGAATCCACCGGCTCGAAACAGTGGAAAGCAGCCGGTTGGTGGGCTGAGCAGCTGGGATCTTCTTAACATGTTACTCGAACCTGTCGTCGGTCGGGTATGCGACCGCATAAGCGTACGAGCTCGACCCATGATACATATGGAATATGAACCTTTTAGATAAGCCAACCTTGCGATTCGTCCCTGTGATTTGTAGGATTCTATCCTGGGAATGGATGTAGTCTAGACTACAAGAGACCCCTTGAAATAACGTACCGTGGGGCCGGTTACTAACAGGGTTTTAATGTCGTATCTCTTAACACGATAAGTTACTCTGACTTTTTGTTTTAACAAGAAGAAACGTGAACTATTTTTCGCACGGAAAAAATATGAGCCCTATGTACTGGTACTTGGCAGGGCTCCCTGTCGAGCCCGGCCCCACGGCACATAATCTTAGGGGATCACCTGTACTGGTCTCCCTTGCAATCGGAATCCCTACCGGACATCGGCCCTGCTGGCTGGACAGGGAAACTTGGCCCGAAATGGAGCTAAATAGGGGCTCTTTGAAGACATGGGCACGGTTGGGGGAACACACTCGAGAGTCGACATTGGCCCCTCCGCCCCTCCACTGTCCAGAAGGTTGTCTGTGGGAAGGAATTCTATCTGGATGCAAGACGCCTCACCGAGCGAATGCTGGCCCAGCACAGGAAGCTTATCACCCGGTACAATCGGATATCTTTTCACGGATCAGCGTATCTCCCCAACCAATCACTTGGCGAACCACGAACTCGTGGCATCCATGGATGTTGCTGATCGTGTCCCCCACACGGGTTCTCGGCCGAAACACCATCTCGATAACGCGTTCTCACGACATCGACTTGCACGGCATGGCTTCTAGATCTTGTCTGTCTCAAGTGGAACGGATATTAGATTAAAGTCGAGGCCTTTCAGCGCAGGGGAGATGATATTATGCATACGCGGCGCGCATGGCTGCCCGCGACCTGTCTACTCAGTTGAGGATAGGCGTGGCAGGGGTGAAATGAGGCGACATGCGGTGCGTCTTGGCTACATGATTCTGCATGCGAGCCGAGATAGTATAAAGCCATTGTGCGCGCGCATGACAAGGTTAAATATCCTGTCGTCACACTGCTGCCGCCACACTCCCCTCGTCAAGTTAGCCTAGACACTTGTCTCATCTTGTGTCATCTCGGCGCAGTGCTCCTACACTCCTTGGGTGTGTCCGTTCGGTACCATGCTTTCCCTCTCCGCTTCCATGGCTTTGTCGTCAAGTCTCAGTCTGTTGCTGCCCGCGCTACTGCTGCCGCTCGCAGGGGCTGCCTCCATCGACGCCAGTGCTGCCAGCTTCATCGTCAACAAGGATGTCGTGATCCTCGGTGGCGGCGCAAGTGGCGCTCATGCAGCCGTCCGACTCCGAGAGGACTACGGCAAAAGCGTCATCGTCGTTGAGAACCAGGCCCAACTGGTCAGCTCCCCAGCCTTTCCTCCCTCTCTTTACCTGCTCAGGGAATGTGCATGAACCGCGTCTCGCAATGCCACCGTCTACGAGATGAGCTGCCGGCTAACCATCTACTCTCCAGGGTGGCCATGTTGAAACATACGAAGACCCGGTTACTGGCAAGCCCTATGACTTTGGCGTGAACTCGTACACCGAATATGGGAATAGCAAAGAGTTCTTCGCGCGTTTCAACGTGAGCATAGAGGTGCCCGCGCGCCTGACTCTCAATACCACATATGGTACGTATATCAACATACCGTCACAAGACCCTGGTCCTTGGTTTCGAGAACAAGCTTCGTGGTTCCCTTTCCTTCTCCATCTAAAGATGGTCTACCTGGAATTATTAGCACGATGTTAACGTACACGCAGTTGACTTCGAGTCCGGCAACGAGCTGGATGGGTACGTGAGTCCAGCCTCGGCGGACGTCACCGCCGGTCTGAACAAGTACCTGACCATCTGCGAGCAATACGAGGACATCCTCCTGCCTTCCTACGCCAACTTCCCCACCGAGAATATCCCGGAGGACCTGCTCATCCCCTTTTCCGATTTCATCACGAAGTATGAGCTCGAGGTCATAGTGCCCCGCATCTTCCAGGTCACCGGTATCGGCCTCGGAAACATGGCCAGCGAGCTCACTATCTACGTGATGCAAACGTTCGGCGCGCCGATCACCCGCTCTCTCCTGGGTCTCACCGATTCATTCGTACCAGTCTCGAGAAGAAACCAGGACCTGTACGACAACATCGCTGACCTACTGGGTGACGATGTCATGTACTCGGCGACCACCATCAACTCTTCCCGCGCCGACAATGCCACTGTCCAGCTTCTGGTCCGCGGCAGCGACTCCAAGCTGACCCTCATCAACGCCAAGAAGCTGCTGATCTCGTTCTCGCCGACCATGGAGAACCTGAAACCCTTCCTCATCGACACCAAGGAGCGCGACGTCTTCTCGGCGTGGGGCCTCTCGCACGTCTACGCCGGCATTGTCAACAGCGCCGACCTGCCCATCAACTACTCGCTGGTGAACTACCCCGAGTCGGCCGTCCCCACCAACTACCTCGAGCTGCCCACGACGCCGCTCGTCGGCCGATACGAGTATCTAGGCGGCGACAACTTCCGCGTCTTGGCAACCGGCGACCAGAACTCCACCACCACCAGCGAGAGCGCGCAGTCGCTGGTGCACAGCGTCTTCCGCAAGCTACAGGCCGGGGTGATCAAGCAACTGTCAGGGACGACCGGCAACGCAAGCCTCGAGTTCGCCGCATGGACCGAGCACCTCGGCATCTCTGCCCATCTGCCCGTCGAGGTGATCGAGGGCGGCTTCTACCGCGACCTGTATGCGCTCCAGGGCTACCGCTCCACGTTCTACACCGGAGGGGCTTTCGCTGCCGACTTCAGCACTTTGCTGTGGGAATACAATGACCAGTACTTGCTGCCCAAACTGTTGGCTGCGCTGTGAGGAGTCAACTCGCGGCAACATTTATATAGTTTATAATAGTACATACAGCTTTGTCTTGGGTACAATATCCCAGCGTCGCTCTGCTCACATCAGGATCCAAAACGATACTTCTCTGACACGGGACTCTCCGAGCAACCCCTAGCTCATAGCTGCCGCTCCTTTTGGGTTCCCAGGCGTGAGTGCACCTCACGGGGCTGCCTTCATTCGGGAAGCCCAACGAGCCATGAACTGGTCCTAGAATCTGGGGTTGAAATTCAGATCCTGGCGCAATTGCCATTGGTGCCATCGACTATGACGCTTGCGACCTTGAACATGAGGGGTGCTGAGATGAGCTTTCGCTCAACAGGAACACATCAACACCCAAAAAGTTCCAGGATCACGCCGCCACGATACTCGATACTCGTTTCCATTCACACACCGCAGGTGCGGGTGTGAGGCCAAGGCGCTACTGGAGTGCCAGGACGCCTCGATCCTAGAGGATGTATTGCCACACGATCTATGAATCGTATCTCTTCGGACTCTTCTATGTATTTACCTAGGATCAGCGGAAGTCGACCACTTGCCGGCAGGTTCTCGGCCGGCATTGGCTTGGTGGCGCCTTATCCGTGGGAAGAACCACTCTCCTAGGGCTCCTTCAGCTGAAGCTGCGCCGTCGCGTCACGCGTGAACGATATTGCCCTCGCAGTGTTGAATACCATGTCACATGGTGTTCATATGATAACCAGCTAAGACATGTTTACAGTTGACTTAAGGTTTGTTTAGGGGCCGAGCTCCCTGCCGAGCTACCCCTCAGGGCATCAACAGCACTAAGAATGCTGGCTTCTGATTGGTCCAAACAACAGGTGTCTGTTGTGGTTATCTGGTCACTCTGAGGGATCACATGGGATTGTATGGCTATATAACAGGGGGCTTCACCCCCATCCCAGAGGACTTCTTCTTCTTCCTTTTAATATTAGAACACTTAAATATTCAACACACAGGAACCCCGTCTTCAACTACTACCCATCCATTCTGGGCCGCAAACGCGCATCAGTCAACCCAGTTGCAGTGTTAGTTCCATGGCCTACTTAGCCCGAACGATGCTATTCTCTTCCTTCTTGGTCCATCCTTGCGAGCTGATCTCGATTCCCAGCGCTCGATGCAACCCAACTACGATAACCATCGGGGCTACCTACAGAGGTACGACACTATCAAACGTCTCTGTGTCTATCAAGAACTTTATTTCTAGTATCTTGTACTAAAAATTTCACTTGAAGCTGGAGTCTTTGGGACTAGGTCCTCCACCAATTTGTATATTAGTCGGGCGAGATACGCTCTGACTATGCTCCCTGCGATGATATCTCGAGTTCGTCCTTTGTCTAGCGGCACGATCGTGGATGACACCACTGCCTCTCCAAAATCGGCAGTTGTAGTCGTTCCTCCAAGTTCATTAGTGGACGCCAACTTCAACCACTGACACCGTGCCGAGCTCTCCTCTTGCACGGCCCGACCATGGGGGCGTTCCCGCCAGTCGTACGTCAACTTCGTGAACCCTGGCCGTGTCTGCCAACCAATGTCGAACGCGGGGCTCAGCCAGTCCAGCATCGGCGGGCTCGCCAGGGTCTTCCACACCAACGACCATTCGGCCAGTATCCAGTCGCATCGACTCGCTGCCCAGCGCACCGGGCTGCTCAGGCTTTGACGAAAAGTCCTTCGACCGGTCGACCACATTGGAAATTGCAACGGCTTCTGCTGTGCGGCCGAGAGACTGCCATGGAAGGAGTCTCTTGAAGTCATGGGATGCTTCACTGTTGTTGGAGGAACCATTTTGATCCTTGGCATCCTAGGCTTTCTGATGTTTCTCTGGTTCGGAGGCGGTTCCGCTCCAGATGCTGCATCGGCCACGTGGGTTTGGCGTTCTATCGTGCTCAAGGGATGGGTTACTCAGGTGAGTACTTGAGACTGCGCCGGGTTCTGAATGGTGACTTGGCATGCGTGCCGGACTTCGCGAACTGCTCTCAAGAATTCAAGTGGCTGACTCGCGCTTATGTGGTGACTCTGAGTGATCTCGTTCTTCACTTGGCCGAGGTAGCTCAAGCAACAATCTGTACGTCAATGCTTGCTGCGCTGGTCCTCGAGGCTGTACGTTCGAAAGTCCCAAGTGGCCATTCTTTTGGTAATGAGAGGTATCAACGACGGGCCTTTCACACTGTTCAAGACGATTCTGTCGTCGAAGCTTCCGGGACTCATCTTCCATCCCTACACGATCTTGGCTGTCATACTCTGTCTAGAGTCCATGGCTCTGCTGTTTACGTCGACCATCCTGGTCGCGGACCTGCACCACGTCTCCGTCGTCGGGAATGTCGGGCCGGTCAAGGTGAAAAGGATGCTCGCCGAAGACACCGTCCAGGCTTTCAACGCGATCCCAAACCCATTATACTCCCTCTTTGGGGAGGTTCCGTCGGAGTCGGACTTTGGTGTGGACTCACGGGGGCTAAGCATTGCTGGCGTCAAGAGGCGTGCGTTTCTCCCGTTCCGCAACAGCCAGAACCGGACTGCTGTGCGCACCTACCATGGGAATGCAGACGTGATGGGGTCCAACGTGGCTTGCATGAGACTCCGCCCCAGCTGGCCCTTCTGTATGTGGTTCGGATGGCTGCTCCGAAGTCGGCTTCAAATGCAATCCGCCAGGGGGCTACGCCGAAGACGAGCCCTGGGTGTCGACCATGTGCTTCGTCGATGCCGTGGGAGGGCTCCCGGCGTGGCCAATAGTGAACGGGTCAGGTTGGGAGACCAACGAGCAACCATGGGCGGAAAACGCAACGATACATCTCGTTTTCCAACACGAACATGCATACCCTCAACTGGACTTCTATGGCCAATGGGACGATCGATTCTGCCAATGGCATTGACCATGATGAGTGGAAGTCTTTCGAGGTCATGCCAGAGAGGTTCATCAATGTTTCAATATGTTTCTCCTCCTGGAACATTAAACACTCGCTTGTGGATATGACGGCTCCGGGACATGTAGAAGAACCGGTTGCGGAGACATCGTCAAGGTGCTTGGCAACATTTCTGATATTCGGACGTATCTTGGTGTCGATCCATCTCATCAGGGCCATGATGAAAGAGGTCAGTATTCTCGTTTCATACAACTTTCGTCGGCATCGTACTCTCAACAGCTTACCTGTGACGTGTCCGCTGACTCCGGAATGTTCTAGGTATACTCACAATCAATGATGTACAAGATCCAGACGTCGAAACAGGGGATTTAACGAATCGCAAGTGGCTGAACACGGTCGCCCTTGAGAGAAGCTTGTACAGTATCATGACCGGACAGACCCAAAATATGACCTTCAGTGGGTGCATAGAATGCTTACTCTACTTCGACTTGGTCGTCAACGATGAGATCACAACGATCTACAGGGACACGCTGGACCCTACTCGCCGAGCCGTTCTCTCCCTACAGACGTACACCTGGCTGCTTGCCGGAAGCATCTACGACTCGTACCTCAAAGCGTTCGTGGGCACGGAGGAGGTGCAGGTCTCCACCATGCAAACAGTCAACACGCTCATATGTACCGAGTACGGCTGTGGGGGGCTGATCTCGGTCGCCACCCTGTTGCTGGTGCACGTGGCCCTCGTCATCGTGATCACGCTGCTTTTCGTGACGCGGATCCGGTACTCGAGACAGTCCCACGTCTGGCACACCGTGTCCCAGCTGCTCTCCGGCGAGTTGAAGGAGAGCCTCAACTAGCACCAAGGATGAGGATGTGACCAAGGCGCTTCGAGTTGATGATATGGATGCTTTGGTCAGGCTTGAAAGCTTCGAGGATGGCAGTTGGATTGAAGTGGTACGATTTCCAGACGTCCAAAGAGAGCGCGGTGGACCAAGCCGGTCTTCGAGGCTGAAGAGTGTTTTGAGATCTGGGTGGTCAGTTGCAAGGGATTGATAGAGTTGTACATAAGTGTTGCCAACCTTACCTGCTGCACTTCCGCCCACTCAAGTGAGATTCAAAAATAATCCACGGCGTCATGAATCCTTCTCAAATCCTCTTCTAGACCCTTCCTCCACAGGTGCCCATGACACACGGTGGGGCATTGGTGACATCGGCAAAGGTGAGAGTGGCAAAAGGAGCGCAGAGGTCAGTTGGTTATACACCTGAGACCTACCTGGCCAAAGGGTCAGAGTTATCTGGCCACTCGGCTGGCTAAGATTTTAAATTGTCATGACCTATATTATACCATGGAGGTTAAATCGGTAACTGAATCCACCTGGTTCTAATAATCCCTTGACCTTCCTGTTAGTGGGATCTCATGGATGATCCTCTTCCTTCGTGTCGACGGGTGTCCTCTTATTACGCCAAGTGGTACTGGAGGATTCGATGTTTCTTTATTCGTCTCTGTCTTTCCTTCGGTGCCTAAAAACACCACTATTCATGATTGGTAGGTCGTCGCGACTGGTGACGATGTGGCTGCCGGGGCTTCTATACTCGCCTCGTGGAGTGGAGAGGATTACACGGTTGTGAGACTCCTCAATGATCCAGCCAGGACACAGCCATTCTCTTGCGACCAGTGGAGAGCTTGTACAGCCCTTAAGCTCTATCCATAATTCCTGTATACCTGCTGCCTGGAACCCACCCCCCTATTATTAGCACGTGCAAGGCTGAAGAAATATGACCAAGCCCCCCTGCGTTGCCATGCCACTCAGACAGTGAATATGACGAGTTCATCAGCTACCTATCGGAAAGGCCGTACCATCTACCACACTTATAGAAACATCAACTTATTATTGTCATTTCTCTATGTATTGAGCGGCAAGACCCGAGACCCCATAACATAATCAGCGTACGGCTACAGCAACCTGTACTATGCATGTGGTACCCATTAGGACGTGTATATATGAAGACGTGCTGGACGATGGTTAGGTCGAAATCAACTTGCTGATTACCTATCAACTTCACTCTCCTCACAAACGATAACTTCCACCTCTAGTCTATCCCATTATCCAGCGTTTTGACGTCCCTTCGAATACCGGTATCAAGTCCTTTTCAAGCACAGTAACTACTCAGCTTCCCATCCAAACCATCGACGATGCACCTCGCCACCGTTGCAAGCGTCTCAACGACTCTTCTGAGCTTTATGGCTGTCCCTGTCATCAACGCCAGGCAGCTACCGAGAGACGGCATGAGCGACCCGACCCCTATCTCTGCACGCGGTGTTGACTGGGACAACACGGACGAGCCTTACGAGGTCTTCCTCACCATCTGCATGTGCGAATGCTACGAAAAGATGATACCACCCTCAGACCGCCTTGCTCGGGTTTGGGACAGGTGCTGGAAGAACTGCGTGGCTAGGCTGCCTAGCGACCGCGACCGCAACGATGCAATCGATTGGTATGGAAAGGCGATCAAGGAGGAGGCTGATGTTAGGGAGCCGTTCCCTCCCGAGTCGGGCTGCAGGGAAGCCGAAGCGGTGAAGGCGAAGACGCAGAAAAAGGCAGGAAAAAAGATCGACATGCACCTCGCATACGGCGATTTCTACAGAAAATAGTGGTGTTCAACCAAGGTCGAACGGGTACAGCCCTCATCATCACCGGGATGAGATAGATCATAGATATAAGCGGCGTTTATGTTTAGGTCAAAAGACATACATTCATTTAACAATCATAGGTTCACTTGAAACAGCGGGAGAACCGTGTGACCTCAACCTCGTGTCCTTGGCTTAGCGAAAGTTACATTCTTCTTGAGGCGGTGCATCGTGGAGGGTGGTAACAGCCGCCGAATTGGCATCGAGCGGGCAGATATCCGATGCGGGGTCGGGAGTCGGGACAGCGTTTAGCCAGCGTCATGAGGTAAACCATGTGTGGAGTAACTTATGTGTTACTTTGAACATTAACCTGATGCTTTGCACCTTGTCTAGGACTTCAAAGGCATACACTAGTGTCACTGAAACGTGCCGTGAAATCACGACTGAGTGGGAGTAAGCGTCGGCCACCCAATACCAATATCCTCGTCATCTTACGATCGCCACCAGGGCGAAGGAGAGTATGCAGTCACCCACAATGAGCGACGCGGCGCCACGAGAGGCCACCAACTCAGAAGGCCCGTCATCCAAGAAATCGAGAGCCGAAAACGCGGTCGAGCCGCACATCCTCGCGAAATACCACCCGGATCTTATCGACTATGTCCAGAAAATGATCGCATCCGGCGCAGCGCAACACGAGGTCCCGATCGAGGAACTCCGGGCGAACCCCTCCAAGTACGCGCCGCCGTGGAGCAAGGACGTCACGGGCTGGGAGAGGGTCGCCGACGACGAGGTCGTTTCGGAGGACGGGGCTAAGGTTCCGGTCAAGATCTACCATCCGGATCCCTCACGGTTCGGGGATGGTCCTTATGGTGCCCACTTGAACTTTCATGGTAGGTATCGGACTTTGGGCGCCTTGCTTGAGGAACGTCTTGCTGACGCGGGATCCAGGGGGTGGGTTTGTCCTTGGTGACTTGACCACGGAGTCACAGTTATGCCTGAGCAGTGAGTAGCTCCCAGAGCGCTTGGGCTATCGCCTTTGTTGTCACCCCTGAGATACAACTGGAGCCCAAATCTCAGATTTACTCTTTTAATAGTGGTTATTGACTCTGTTTATGTAGTGAGAGATGGTGCTGGAGTTGTAGTGATTGACGTAAACTATCGCCATTGCCCGGGTAAGCCTTCATCTGGACCAACGTCTCTTACGACTGGCTAATGAATCCATCCACGCAGAGACGTTCTGGGGCCAGTGTATACAAGACGCTTGGGCGGCACTGAAATGGGTGAGAAGCTTCCATCCTATGAACATGTGCATTCTGTTTCTAACCCCCAGTAGACTCGAGACTCGGCAAGTAGGTTGAATATCAACCCCAACTCGGTCTCCATTGGCGGCATCTCAGCCGGCGGCCACATCTCCATCATACTGCAGCATCTGGCCAGAGATGGCGGTATACCACTGAAGCTCTGTCTGGCCACGGTGCCCCCGTCGACTGCGGGATTGCAATACGAAGACTACACCGAGTCGCCGTTCCCGTCCTTCTCGGAGTTCGCACACGGTCCAATCCTCCCGTGGAAGCGCATCCACTTCTTCGGTAAACATTGTTTCCCCAGAGACAAGCTTGAGGAGTACCGGAATGCGTGGCCGAATTGGTGGTTCGCGCCTCTGGATGCCGATAACTGGAGTGGCCTGTGTCCGACCTTCATCAGGACGGCCGAGTGCGACCCCCTGCGAGACGAGGGCGAGGCGTATGGGCTGCAGCTTGTGTCTGGGGGGACCAAGGTCTGCTTTAAGCGCTACCTGGGGTGTCCGCATCTGTTCATGTACTTCGACTGGTTCGCGGTGAAGAAGCAGTACGATTTGGATTCCATTGCGGCGCTGAGGGAAGCACATGGGACACGTTGATCCAATATCATAATCATGATAGTACTTTATTTATATACAGAGGGGCTATATCTCATTTTTTGGTACAAGAGACCAAGCAGCATTGACCTAGAACGTCGAAGTATACAGAAGCATAAGTTACGGCACACTACCAAGGCCCATTCTCCTGTTCGGCCCTGTCGCGTCCCTGTTCACAACAGTTGGCTTTTCAACCCCTCGAGTCTGGAGACCGGCCAGTCCTCGAGTGTTTTGGACCCCCATCCTGGACGGTATACTCAGTAGTTACGAGTATCTTATTCTCACTGGCCATCTTCTTCGGTGGTCCCGCGTGGTCCTTGGTCGCAGAGGCAGTGTGGGCGGTGCTTATCTGGTACCCCATGCCCATCTCTTGGTCCGGGAGGTCGAGCGAGCTTTCCTTGCCGCTTGACGAGCTCCGCCCCTGCTCGTCGACAATGATCTGCTCCTTCGACCCCCACCTCGTCTCGGGGATGGAGTACTGGTCTTTGTTGCGGGTGTTGTTGGTTGTTCGCTTGTTGACGCTCTCGAGTCGGTAGCCGTTGCTGTTGCTGGTGACCCTGGAGCGGCTGGCGCTGCGGCCTTTGTCGATGATGCCCTTGAAGATCGGGTAGATCATGGGCATGTTGGTGAGGACGACGGAGACGAAGCTTTCCCGGACGGACCAGTAACCGGACTGGGCTGGATCGATGTCTCCCAACTGCATGAAATAGTTAGCTCAATTCTTTCCAGTGGCCTCGAGCCGTACTCTGCAGTGACTCCGGGACGTCGTCCGGTTGCATTCGTGGCAGGAATGGAGTGTTTGGGAGGATCCGCAGAGCTACTCACAGTCAAGATAGAGACACAACGAAGAATGCCGAACGCCATCTCGAGCAAGCCACCGCTGAACATGATGAGGAGAGCGAACTTCTTCCGAGGAGGTAGACGAGAGTTCCAGACTATCTAAATCGGGGTAATGATCAGTTCTGACACCTCAAAGGGGTGGCAGACATCTCGACTAACCGGCAGTGGAATGGCCATCAGGTAGAAATCAGTGAGCGTGTTCATTATCATCACGAAGATGGTCTGGATCGAGGAGATCGCCGGCATGCAAAAATCTGGCACAACTGTGAGCGGACTTCATAGGACCTCGTGACGGGCTGCGGTACTCACTGCCAGGCGAAGGGTTGATCTGCCATTGTTTCTCGAATGGAATGCACTTCAGGAAAGCTGCGAAGATCAGAAAGGGTCAGAAGAGTATAGACATAGTCGCACCCACCAATAAGTAGGCATGCCACGTAGGTTGTGGAGACCATGATGATCCCCCACTTGATCCTCCATCGCATGTTGTGGACGCCTTCTCTGCAGTTCGAAGTCTCGGTCAGTATACGAAGATTTCTTTCGAGGGGGTCGGCCAGTCTCTTACGTCAACCTCGCGTAATAGACGAGCCAGCATGCCTTCAGTAGCCATAGAAGAGTGGTGTAGAGAAGAAGACCGGTGATGTGGGTTTTCGAGCCGTTCACACGCAGTAACCACTCTGCACTTTCCGGGTCGAGGGCAGCTCGTTGTTCGTCGGTCATCGCGTTGTTCGCCAGCCCCTTCCAATATGCAACCACCAGGTAAGCCATCACGGATTCCGCAGAGTATACAAGCTGGAATGCATGTTAGCTGAGCGCATGGGCGCAAACCGAAGAAGGAATCCGGAGAATTCGTTCCGAGTCGGGAATGGGTTGGAGCGACTTACCACCGCCAGAAACATGATGAAGTCATCCCAAGCGAGACCGCGCACTCCCACTGTCGCTACCTTGCTGTAGTAGCGGAGAGCCACAACAAGATAGGCCGTCCCCTGGAGTCCCCATACCTCGGCGATAAACTTCATAGCAGCAGCCGCTGCTGCTGGGTCTGCTGCGTCTGCCATCTTGAATGGTGATGGTCCTTGGCAGAAATGTCGATGAGTGGAGAGAATGAAAACACGACTTCTCCCCTCCAGCTTCGGGGGGTTCACCGAATGGTTATATGCCAGCCCAAGTACGTGTTTCCCGCGTTCTCCAGCAGTAGTGCCGATCTGTTGCCAAAAATGAGATTTAGTTTCGCAGTACTACAGTTTCGTTCAGGGCTGAAACGAGAAGGCTTAGTCCCTGATGAACAACTACCGGTTCTTTTCCCCCTATACAGGCCCCCAGTGCATCTTGGGGTCATCCATTCGTTATCACATCATTCCTCATGTTGTAATATCTGCAACACACGGACCCCATGTCCAGAGATTGTTTTTCGAGGCGAAGTTGGGCTTCATGCAGAAAGGGGACACGAAACAGACTTCCCGGTCGTCAAGGGACTGGTAAGTCGATCCCTGCACTTACATAAAAGAAGAGTTCCCCTTGACTTTCTGGACATGCATGAGCCTGCATACCGGTACCAACCACCTGTAACATGCGCCGTATTTCTGCAGCGCAATTTCACAGATACGGCGATTGGCGATGGATGGGCAGTAAAAGCGCCGAGTCCCCAGTCAGGCTCCAGGTCTCCTCGGCACAAGTTGCCTGCATCGACGGCCTGAAAATCGTACCGTACCACGATTTGCTTGTTCCGCCACATATGATGGGAGACTTTTTCCCGTTCCGCCCTGATTCGCTGTCGGTGGCGAAACAAACCGGGGAAGAGATCATGTCGTGCAAGATTATGCAGGGTCTATGTTAAGCATGTTTTTCACGTGCGGAATACGAGAAGCTAAATGGCGGAATAAATGAGGCTCGCGAAGAGCAGCTGTCAGAATCTCATAACCGATAACTAATATTTCCGCGCACGACATCACGATTCACAGTCGTGCACGCCAGCATCTCCCCAGCCCGCCAAGGACTGGCATGTCCACCTGCCTGCCCGCGCTCAGTCTTATACCATGGGTTGAAAACCTATCGACGTTTTGCAGTATCGCAGCCGGCAGGGAGATACGGCCACTTCAGGCAAGGATGAGAGTCCCCCTCGTTTCTTTTGCGGGATCATCATCCATGCGTGAGCAGTGATTAACTTCTACAGCGGCTCTATCCATCCTAGCCTGTCCTAGCGGATCAGGATTGAACTCCAGGATACTCCAGGATTACCAGAGTGCCCCTCGCGTACAGCTGTCCTAGGACGTCGACAGTCGTCGGTCAGTGATAAGGTAAGCCCTGGGATCCTGGCAAGGGGCGCTCCCGCGGCTTGGGGCCGGGTGGGCCTCTACATATGCATGACCAGGCTTCTCAAGGGGTCCATGCGCAGAATTGTCATATGTCACTCACATATCAATATTGACCGTTGACCGTTGCCCAATCGTCGGTAGTGTTGGGCCTATTTTACTTTTGCTTCTCTAAATACTGTCCATGGAATACCAGTATCCTGTCTTAGTGGCTGGAATAGTGTAAGTATTGGCCACTCATATGTAATGAAATCTTTTTTTTTTGAGCTAGCCCCTGGTATTAAAGCCACGCACCCTGGCACCCAGCCCAAGCTTGCCAAGACGTCAATGCTCATGACTCGTGTATTCTTGCATGCGGCACGGCCCCAGCCTGGGTAGAGAGGCACAGTCCCTCGCTGACCCCTCATTCAACCAGGAATCGCCAAGGCCATGTCCGATTCATCGTCAGTGGACCGTGGGACAGACAGACTGTGGGACGGGGGATAACAGGCTCTCGAAACCAATACCAAAAGTTGCACCGGGGGAGTTCTCAGTCATATGCCAATACTCCACTCAATACTTGTGCCAAGTCTGTGTATTCCCTGTGTATGGTTGCAGTCGACTTCCTGGGACCAGGGTTGATGGAAGGCTCCTACCCGATCCTTGATCCCTGCTGCCTTAGCCAGCTGCGGTTGGTTGTTGTGACATGGCATTCTCTCCGCCGTTCGTCCCCGCAGACCGTTCGCCGTAACGGTACTGCATGCGGTAGCGTTCCCCCCCTTTTGGGGCCAGGGATGAGCCGCGAGAGTGTGGTCGGCAGAGGGTCTAACCGATCACTTTCTGGGTAGGAAGCATGTTGTAACAGTGCAGAGGAGCATCAGTGCAACATCTCCGCATGCATCTCGCAGGTTTTCCTATTTCAAGGGGCCTGGTTGAGTTGAGGCGAACTGGTCAAGCTGCAGGTCACCTTTTCTTTTTACCATCATCATCATCTTAATTCTCAGATAAACTCGGACGCATCGATCACTCCAATACCAATACCCTTGAAGGCCTGACAAAATGGCTGTGAACGGACACGCTGTGAACGGAGACGCCGGTACTCCGGAATCTAATGTCGATGTGTACGTATCCGATGACCCTGTGCCTGCACCGCTGTCACGTTTTGGAAGGTCTCACATGCTGACGGCCGTTGCAGTCTCATCATCGGGGCTGGTCCCGCGGGGTAAGTGAACGCCCAACCCGGCCCGGCCTTTCTTGTTCATGATCATGATGTCTCACCACGCTGGCCTTGTAGGCTGATGGCCGCCGCCTGGATGGCGCACTGCGGCGTCAAGGCGCGCATAGTCGACAAGAGAGGCACTAAGGTCTTCTGCGGCCAGGCCGACGGGCTCCAGGTCCGCAGCCTGGAGATCCTCGAGAGTCTGGGCTTTGCAGACCGCGTGTGGAAGGAGGCGAACCATATGATCGAGATCTGCATGTGGGTGAGTATTATCTCCGTGCATTGGACAAGAGGCTTCCCTCTCCTGACGAAGTCGCATCGCAGAATCCTGGATCCGATGGTATCATCCGCCGTTCAGACCGCATCCCAGATACTATCGTTGGGCTCTCCAGGTTCCAGCAGATCGTGCTGAACCAGGGTCGCATGGAACGGTTCTTCCTCGACAATATCGCCAAGCACTCGAAGAACACGATACAGGTCGAGCGTGGAGTCCTCCCCGAGTCTCTGGAGATTGACGAGTCCAAGGTCGAGGACGACTCTGCCTATCCCGTCACCGTGAAGCTTCGTCACCTCACGGAGGAGGAGGCCACGCCGGCGCAGCAGATTAGCGCAAGCAAGGTCTCAGATGGCTTGTTCCGAAGCAATCTCGTCAAGGAAGATGACGAGGACGACCTGATCCGCAAGAGTCAGTCGAGGCCTGGCACGGGCGAGGTCGTCCACGCCAAATATGTCATCGGCTGTGATGGTGCACGTAGCTGGACTCGGCGGGCCCTGGGATTTGAGCTGCAAGGTGAAGCAACTGACTTCATCTGGGGAGTGAGTAAGTGAACTCCGGTCGCTTATTTTCACCTCGGGTTACTCCGGGCATCTTCGAAGGTCGCAAACGACACATGGCTCAAGAGTCGCTAACCTGACTTCACAGTGGACATCATCCCGATCACCGACTTCCGTAAGTTCCAGAAGTAGCCCTGCCCCTGAGCTTCCTAACCTGACAACTGTGTCCAGCGGATATCCGAATGAGGTGCGCGATTCACTCAGCCGAGAACGGCAGTCTCATGGTGATCCCACGAGAGAACAAGCTGGTCCGGCTGTACATCCAGCTGAAGGAGGTGGTGCCCGACGAGTCCGGCCGTGCCGACCGGTCCAAGATCACACCCGAGATCATCTTCGCCGCCGCACAGAAGATCCTTAGTCCTTACAAGATCGATTATGAGTACTGCGACTGGTGGACAGCCTACCAGGTAAACTAACCAAACCACCTACCCAGCTTCACCCCGTGTCAGCCGTTTCTCGTGACGTAGTTACTGACCACGGGACCCCAGATCGGCCAACGAGTCGGAACCAACTTCGATGCGCACGAGCGCGTCTTCCTGGCCGGAGACGCCGTGCACACCCACTCGCCCAAGGCCGGCCAGGGCATGAACGTCTCGATGCAGGACTGCTACAACCTCGGCTGGAAGGTCGCGCTCGTCGCGCGCGGCATCGCCAAGCGGAACATCCTCAGCACGTACCAGAGCGAGCGACGCCGCGTCGCCCAGGACCTGATCGACTTCGACCATCGCTTCAGCAGACTGTTCTCGGGCCGACCGGCCAAGGACGTGATGGACGCTGAAGGCGTGAGCAGTAAGCCAATGTTTCTTTCCACTTCCACTTCCACCCTCTACTCTCCGACCTCGCATAGTCGCGAGGCAAGAATTCTCAAGCCACAACACCTCTTTGGCCAATGATGACGGCCACTGACTCGCACGTAAAACCTGCAGTGGAAGTCTTCAAAGACGCCTTCGAAAAGGGCAACCTCTTCGCCTCGGGCCTATCCGTGAACTACGGCCCCAGCCCCCTCGTCCTCAAAGCCGGCGACGCATCCGCCCAAGGCGACGGCAGCAAGGTCGTCGCCGCCCCAAGCACCAGCGGCGACGCCTTCGCCAAGGCGCAAGCCCTCGCACCAGGCCTGCCCGTCGGCATGCGCTTCAACAGCTACAAGGTCCTCGACCAGGCCTCCGCGCGCCCGTGGCACTTCCAAGAAAAACTCAAGGCAGACGGCCGCTTCCGCATCATACTATTCGCGGGCAACGTGCTCAGCGCCTCCCAAAAGCCGCGCGTCGACCGCTTCTGCGAGCGCCTGAACGCGCCGGACGCGTTCCTGCGCGCCGTGACGCCCAAGGACGCGCCAATCGACAGTGTGATCGAGGTGCTGACCGTGCACGCCGCAAAGCGCACCGAGACGGAGCTGCTGCGGGACTTCCCAGAGATCCTGCACCCGTTTGACAAGCACACGGGCTGGGACTACGACAAGGTCTTCGTGGATGATGTGAGCTACCATGAGGGCTTCGGTAATGCGTACGGGAATTATGGCATCGATAAGGAGCGTGGGTGTGTGGTCGTGGCTAGGCCCGATCAGTATGTTGGCTATGTTGGCGAGCTGGAGGACTTTGATGCGCTGCAGAAGTACTTTGAGGGCTTCTTGGTGTTCCCGTCGGCAGCAGCTTCCTAGGTAGGCTTTAGGCCTGTTGATAGGAGCACGTATAGATTCACGGAATAACGAGCGCGTATGACTTGCAGTTTCGATACTAGATGTAGACATTGCCGTTCAATCTTCATGGTCATATGGGCTATGTACAATGCTATTGACGCTGCTAGTAGCAGTTGAAAATGTCGAATACCCAACGTAGAAGACAACTCCTTTCAATGATACATGAACCCGTCCCAAAGACTGTCGCTAGATATATATATATATATGTGTGACTAAATGAATTCTTCCCAAAGACCGTCGCTAGATACCCGTATGTGACTAATAAACAAACTTGAAGTAAACCTCATCATAGCACTCGCGCTCCGCATCCGACATCTGCGCGCGCGCCGCCTCCCTCCTCCGGTTCTTCAGCACCAGCAGCCCAGTCCCAAGCGTGACCAGCACGAGCCCCAACACCGTGAAGCCCAGGCCGGTCGAGAAGCCCGTCGGGTAACGCGGGCGCTCGGTGGTGATGAAAACGTTGCTGCTGACAAAGTTGGCGCAGTTGCCAAAGCCGACCATCCACGCCATGCCGACGGCCAGATACTTGCGGCCGCGAAGATTTGCGCTCAGCCACGCCATTAATAGCGGCATCTGGGGAAAAGTGCCCATGGACATGAAGAAGAGCGCGAGGTAGCGCACGCCGGCGGGCTGCGCGTACACGCGCATGATGATCCAGCCCACAAGCTGCAGCGTGATGCAGCCGAATATGAAGGGCGCGCGCCGGTTCAGGCGCGAAGCCAGCCACGTGACGACGAATGAGGCCACGATGCCGGAGGCCCACACGGGCATGGTGAAGAGCTGCGCCGTCGTCGCCGTCCAGCCCAGCTCGGTGAGGATGGTCGGCGAGAAGGCGGCCACGGACGACGCCGTCACGTCGCAGCAGAAGAACACAGCCGTAAATAGGTGGATGCGCCAGTCGACCAGCACCTTCCAGACAGACACGGCGGTGTCGACGGCCGACCCCTTGGTCTCGGCGCCGCGCGACGCCTCCAGCTGCGCGATCAGCCGGTCGCGCTCCGCCGCGCGCAGGAACCAGCCCTGGGCATGCTGCGGGAAGTTTGGGCACCCCAAGATCACGAAGACGGAGATGAAAACGGTCATCAGGCCTTCGATGATGAAGATCCACCGCCAGCCCTCGTACCCGCCCACACCCTCGAGGTTGACGATGGCATAGGCGAGCAGGCCCGAGAAGAAGGGGCCCAGGAGCGCAAAGTTGAAGAACCAGGCGAAGCGCACGGCGGCTTGCCGCTTCGTGTAATACATCGATATCATGTAGGTGGCACCTGCGGGCAGCGATGCCTCGAAGACGCCCATGAGGAAGCGGAGGGCTAGAAGGCCTCCGTAGGTCCTTGTGAGGCCCTGGCACATGCCGAGAATGCCCTGTGATCCCAGACGTCAGCTAGAGCGCTTCCGCTGGATTTACTGTTTGTCATACCAAGAGGAGCATCTGGCCGCCCAGAAAGAGGCCCGGCCGGATCTTGTTCAGATTCAGAATCAGGTTCGCCGGGACCTCAGCCAGCACGAACGGGATATAGAAGATGGACAAGGCGACATTGTAGCCGTTGCTGGGCATATTCAACGACATCTCAAGCCCATTGGGCTTTCCGATGCCCAGGGCCCGGGCATTGGCGATGTTCGTCCGGTCCAGGAACAGGAGCATGTACAAGAGGCCCATGATGGGGATCAGGACGGCGTCCCTCCGCCATAGCAGGGCGCGGTCGAGCTTCGGGTCTTCGGCGAGGAAGGCGGGCGACTCGTTCGTGCTGTTGACCGACCCGTCGCTCTTCTCGGTCAGCTTCAGGTCCTCGACCGGCACGGGCTTGAGGATTTCGGCCATGGCTGGTGAACGATGCTAGCTTTTTCGGGCTCGTCGGGGGCGCGCGAAAATGTCGCGGGGGTGGAGTTGCGCTCAAGTCAGGGCCCGTCGTGGGGAGACTTGGGGAAAGCGGGAGGGTTGGAGGCGGAGGGAGGCGGAGGAGGGGCCCAGCGAAGACCCGCGTCCAGATGCCTACCTAGCAGTAGGTTGCAGGCTCCTGGCGTGCCTCGATCGTGCGATCTTGAAGCGACGGATGCAGTTGGGTAACGACAATACTGAGAGAGGGTGGGTGGTCACTGGTAAGGACAATGGCAGGATTGACCATCGAGCCAACATGGTTGCCTCCGCGTTGCAGATGCCGTCACTCGTCTCAATTGCCATTGGCGAGTCATGCTCGTGTTGGAGTATCTGGCGGCCTGCCTGTCAAATGAGAAAAAGCTGATCTTCGCTAGAGACTGCCCCAGACGGCGGAAGCTCGTGTGGGCCCCCCTTACTAGTAACTTACCCTGTTTCTCACCCTGACCCTGGCAGCCTGGCCGCGTGGCTGGCCCGACTGGCTGGGTGCGGTAGCCTGTAGGATTTCGTGGGCGTATTGTGCGTGCGGACCAACCTGATACGTGAGGAGATGCGCGTATGCACGAGATAGATGGCCGGTTCGCCAGACGGATACTGACGTTTCCAATGGTAACCACTGCCGCTTGGGCATGAAGGGGAGCTTACTACACTTGTAGAAGACAGTCGTTGTCTTGCACTGACTCTACCCAAGGTAGCTAGGTATGACATGACAGACGGCGATAGGACGTAGCCTCCTGTACCACGAATCTCGACTGACATTTGGCGGACCTGCTGTGTCACGAGGTACAATAGGGGGCGCCGGCGCCGACCCGGACACAGGATGCGGGCCGGCCAGACACGGTAAGCCCTGTGAGACGCCAGGCCCAAGGCCCCAGGCGAGAAGCTGGCTCGGAGAGATAATCACACGCAGTCTGCAGACGAGGAGGATACTGAAAGCAGATATATCCCCGAATCCGACGGCCAGAGGGCACCAAACTTCCAAAGCCATGCGCCAATACCAGGCAGGCCAGATGCGTGCTGTGAACCGCATGCGAAAGGCGAAAGCCCAGTCACTGTGTGAGGTGTTGTCCAAGCGAGTGACAAAGTGGTTGTATGTAAGAATGATGGAGATCTGGCACTGTGACAGATAGTAGAAATGCCCCATTGAGTCTGAGACTCTGAGTACTGTACAGCCCCACAGATGCCGCACCACTGACGGCCCACCCCCACGTGCCCCAGTATGTATCGGAAGCGAGCTTCCGACCTGCATTCACCCGTGCGTAAAGTTGGAGAGGCCAAGCTTTGTAGCACTGCAACACAAAACCACATCGCGGGATGCACCAGCCAGTGAGACGACGCGTATCGCCAGCTCCGGACCAGCTCCGGACCAGCTCCGAAATACCCATATCTGGGCCTCCGAAGCAAGGTGGGAAGATGCGGTGCGACCCGACAGCAACAACGGAGGAATGCCTATCTCACCTCAGGTACTGCAGAGAGACGGATTGAGGGAAAGACAGACAGACCTTGCAGAGTGGCCTTGATGTATGCCTGCCTACAGTTCTGGTAACCAGTAACAAGCGATTCACGTGTATTTGTCACCCATCCATCTGTCCATCCATCCATCCAACCAGCTTAGGTATCACGGGCATATCACCATGGCACCGACCGCAGTCCAAGCTCCCGTCAGCTACGTGTCGCCGCGGGCTCGCTTCGGGCTCATCGTGTAAGTGGCACTCAGCGACGCGACTACTACATATGACTTACCGAAGTATCTACAACCCGCCTCACAGGCCCGCGACCAACACCGTCGTCGAAGCCGAGTTCGCGCGCATGCTCGTGCCCGGCGTGTCCTGGCACAGCGGACGCATCGCCATTGCGAACCCATCACTCAAGGACGACGCGACCATGGTCGCGTTCCTAGAATCACTCCGCACGACCATCGGCGACGCCGTCCGAAGCGTGGGCATGTGTCTGCCGACATACCTAGTAATGGGCATGAGCGCCGAGACGTTCTGGGGCGGCCTTTCCGGCGCAGCAGAATTCGAGCGCTTCATGGCCTCCACGTCCGGCGGGCTGGGCGTCACAACAGGTGCGCTGGCCGCGCGGGCCGCGCTGGACGCTTACGGCGCGCGCCGCATCGGCATCATCACGCCGTACCAGGCCGTTGGCGACGCGCAGGTCGTCGATTTCTTCACGGCTGTCGGGTACGACGTGCACATGATCCACGGGCTGCGGTGCGAGACGGCCACGGCGATCGCCGAGGTCGCACCTGAGACGATTAAGGAGGCGTTCCGACGGGTCGACGCGCTGGGCGTGGATGCCCTGATGCAGGCGGGCACGAACCTGCCGGCGGCGGTGGCGGCGGCGGAGATCGAGCGGGAGTTGGGGAAGCCGGTTATTGCTATTAATACGGCGACGGTGTGGCATGCGTACAGGACGAATGGCATCATGGACAAGGTCACGGGCTTTGGATCTCTGCTCGAGGAGCACTAGATTAAATGGTCTTGAGTGACAGCAGCATATATATGCCACTATATAATATGTCAATGCCACGTTTGATATTTGGCATCCTTTTGGTAGGGGGTTTTTCCTGTTGGCGTGCTCGTCAATTGGTGGTGAACTGTTACACTAGATTAGAAATCAGTGATTAGACATCAATGTTATTGTGACTGCCGTTTCCAACTTTCAGTACGTGTTCAGGCAGGGTGGTTGGACCAAGTGACGTCTGCTGCGCTGTTGCGTGGCATCGCGAAGAGGGGTGGTGCATACGGCGTCCGAGGGATGGTAAGGTAAAGCCTCGTATGTGACGTCTCTGCCACGGCAGCCCTGTGTTGTGACGCTAAGCAAAGCACGTTTGTCTCTGAAAGTAGCAGACTGCATACCTAGGAAGGCTGCATTGATGGATGTTGTCTCAACTTCGGCAGTTGGCCGCTATGGATATTCTCCGCCATCGCTTCCTGGAGCAATGATGGAGTCGGGTCAGCGCGTACGAGACTTGACCACGTGGTATAGACTTGACTCCATCTCTGTCCAACGGCTTGTGTGAATTTGTCTACCAAATAGCAGTTGAAAGGGACAATGGCATATGAATTCCACGATGGACCACATTCGGCTCATTGCTCTCAAGGGCGGCCTTGACATTCGCGATGGGCCAGTAGGTGATACATGGATCCAGGTCAGAAATTGTGGAAGTAGGAAAACAACGCAGTCTTCTCTCGCAAAGGCGCCCCTAGGTATTCGCAAGTCGCAGATTCCGAAGCATAGCAGCTCTATCATGACGCTATTCGTGGATATCTCCCCCAAAGATGCTCTGATAACGCTACCGCCAGAACATGCGAGAACCAATCGTAAAACACGCAGTGAAAAATACCCCCTCTCAGAAATCCCAGACAGACGGGGACCTAGATGACGGGCGGAGCTTCGGTCAACCACGAGCCCGACGCAGCCATTGCCTCCATTTCAGCCCTACGCCAGACACAGCCTTCTTCGGGTTACCATCTAGCAATGGGTGGTGGTGGTGCTGCCGCTCCAGTACTGACCTTGAGAAATCGTCCTCGGCCCTATTGAGATCGGCCATGAGGTCGTGTTGCCATATCCAGTGCAGCCTGCCGTTGGCGTTCTCGACGATCCTGTCCATGTCGTCCCCGATCTCTTCATCGAGCCACATGTATATGGTCCCTGCGTCGAAACTGGTCAAGGTCACCTTCTGAGCTCGGGGTCGCCGCATGGCGTCGTACGTCTGGAAGGCGGCTGGGAGTTGGCTTGGGTCCTTGACGAGAGAAAGTAGGTGCGCGAGGACGACTGCGTCCTCTAGCCCCTGACCCGCTCCGGCGGCTTGACTGGGGCTGGAGGCATGCGCGACGTCGCCAAGCAGGCATACTCGACCGTTGTAGTAAGTTGACGTCTTGGGATGGTGCCACGTAGGCCAGCGTAGCGGTTTGGCGTAGTCCAGTAGCTTTATGAGTCTAGCATCGTAGCCTGGCAGGTCCGCGATCATCTCCTCCTTCGTGCAAGGTATTGTCGTGTCTCCGTGTGTCCAGGGTTTTGAGTCGGCGATAAAGAAGACGAAGTTTTCTTCCCGACCCTGTGAGATGGGGTAGATGGCGACTCCCGTTCCCTTCGCCATGAACCATTTTGCATCGCCCGCGTGGTTTCCCAGGATCTCCTTCGCCTCTGCCATTGGAATGATACCGCGGTAGACATACGTGCCACAGTAGGTCGGGGCAACCTCTCCGGGTGCGATATCGCCCAAGACTGCCTGTCGAGTCAATCCCTTGACCCCGTCGCAGCCGATGACGGCGTCGACCGTTATATTTTGCCCATCCTGGAACGTGACGGCGACCTTGTCCCCAGTCTGCTGGATGGACTTGGCTCGTTTCCCAAACTTGACTGTGCCCTCGGGGATGAAGCTCTCCATGATCTCCAGCAAGTCCTTGCGGTGGGCGCTGCTCCGCGTGAAGTACGGCGCGCCAACTAGTCCGCGGGTCCAGCCCCTCTTCTCGCCGAAGCCGTCCTCGGCGTAGAGCGCGTCAAAGACGCTGTGCGCGAACTCGGGTCTCTCGTTAGCGGTCTTGGCTTTATTGTATTCCTCCCGGAAGCGAGTATCGATGAGGTCGATGGCGTCCAGAGCGTTGGGACCCAGGCCAATGCCGGCCCCAACGGTAGAGTACTTGTCGGCTGCCTCGTAAATGGTCACCGGTACCTTGCGTTTGATGAGACCGATGGCAAGAGCCAACCCACCAATGCCGGCACCAAGGATGGCAATAGTGGGGGATCTCTGTCCTGGCTCCATCGTCATCTACTGCTGTCCAAGGAGCAAATCCGAATGGCTTTGCAGTCTGGCGTGAACTTGAGCGCCACCTAGACAGATGTCTTAGCGGATCCTAGGAACAACACCTGGCGGGTTGCACAGGGGAACATGACGACAAGCCTGCCGGCTGTTTTAACTTACCTTCTTGTAAAGTCGCTAGTGAGACTTGACAGAGACAGTCGGGATTCACGTTTTTGGCCGGAGAAACCACAGAACTCGAAGGAGAGAAAAGTACTGTCAGTGGTATCTGAATACCGCCGTCCGTGGGCTAACCACGCCCGCGTGTCGGCTCCCTGAGCCCGGGAACAAAAGAATCGGTCCCGTCTGCCGTCGACCGGAGCCGCATCGTTTGTAGGAGAGCGGCAGAGGGGCTCCGATAGTCTGGCTGATAACCCCAATGCCTTGAGCACTCGTCGTTGTCTTTCGCATGCCATGCTCCTCCAGATACCAGGGTTAATTCATTGTTCCACGGGCAGGATATGGAAAGCAGATCGCACGTAGCGATAGTGGCTGGTGGAGTGCAGTGGCTGTCCAGTGTCCACTACATGTGGTTGATATGTTACACAAACAGTGACAACTTACAAGCCCTAGCGGGAGCGAGATCCCGATGGGGTGGCACTGGAGTTCCGAGTGGCACTGGAGTGGCACTGAAGCGGGGATGGATCACGGGGATGGATGATGGATTCGGTGGCAGATCAACAAGTGATAAACATGTAGATTTTCCCCAGACTGCCGATGATCCCTTTGAAAGGTCTTAGTAAACCTCTGGAGGTCTCGAGGCGACATTGAAGTGCTCCGTCTATGCATGCAAGTGTTTCATGCAGCGTGGTCTCGCTTACTGTTGCCCGACGACTGGATAGAGTACACGCACATGCCGTTGAAATCATGAAATGGCGTGAGATCGACCGTGGAGACTATCAGTGCCGGAGAGTGATGATGTCCTGCTTTAAAGCGTGAGGCCTGGAACGGTTGGTTGTGGTACCCAAAGGGGCTGGATGCAGTGACGTGGGCGAGGTCCATCTCCAAAAGCTCCAGTCCCCCCAGTCCCCGGCTTTCCCACGACAAACTTCGGTTACAACTTACAAGCATTGGCTCCGTCGAATCTATCGCATGCTGGTTGGCTGTTCTATCTTTATCTCCGTACTCATCGCCAGGCGCCCAGGCTACCGCTAGCATGACTCTTGTTCTGCAACAATCATCTGATAAAGCCAAGTTGAACTGTTCGCCCGAAGCTTGTTTCTCTTGGAGAAGCTCTAGCATACTAGGATAGGTATGGTGCGGTAGAGTCCGACAGCACCTGGAGTTATTCCCGGTAGTGCCGGTTGGTGTCGATGGTAGCCCCGGCCGTCTTCCCTAGACAGGTTTGATGCCATCTTAACGACTACCAGCTAGTCTAGCTCGATATATCAGGATATATAAGCTAACTGTCGTTGGGATGGATGATGGAGTTGAGACTGAGGGTCTTTTTCGTCCTGTTTCCGTAAGTTAGATGAGATGAGGGTCTGGGGTCTAACATTATGAAACCCTTGAAATACTTCGGATAATCAGTAACTTTAAAACTAAACCTCCGTCCCGTAAAACTAAACCCTCCTAACCGCATTCGGAAGCCATCCCAACTAATAATTGGCTGCGTACCGCCTATCACATCGCAAGTACTTTAGTTTGGGTGCGTTTCGCACTAAACTAGAGGTACAGAGCATGATTTTGCCTGGTAATAGGGCTAGGGTTGGGGTTAGTGGTTAGGGTTCGCCAGGGGTTTAGGGGGCGGTGCGAGCCCCCCATCTGTAAATGTGTCCTTGTGTGCGCCGTGATAATGGTGATGGTGAGGTGTTAAAGTGCAGGTGGTGGTGTTGATGGTGATAGTGGTGAGAATTAGTGGAGCGGATGATGAATGCACACGCTCTGATTGGCTGGTTTGGGGGGTTTTAGTTCTAAGGAACTGGGGGTTTAGTTTTAAAGATACTGTCGGACAATAATGATAACTTCGTGGGGGTCACGGGGGCGGTGGTGCCGGGCCAAGTGCACAAACCCCGGGACCCCTAGCACTATTACCCCCTGCCCGCTGCTCTCACCTCTTCCCGGTAGATCCCAGTCTCCGGGTCTTCCCCTCGTCAGCTCTTGGAACTTTTGGGCCTTGGCCAATGCCCCCAAATCGATCACGCTGATGTTCTCTATTGCCTCACTTCTTTTTGGTGAGAGGCAAGAACTACCCGCGCAGTCTCCTAGGCTTTTCGTGAGCATTTCTCGACCGATGGACGAGGACATTGAAGCTACCTTACTAGAGGACCAATCTACCGGGAGATTAATAAGCCGCCAAGTGAGCCGAAGCCAACGACTTCGCTGCATCCATCATCGGCTTTATCCCCGATCACTTTCCTGGTACAGCTTGAGGCCAGCAGTCCATTCTCCACATGTTAACTTGAACGTCTGTGTAGGGTGTGAACGGGCAGAACCTTTGTCGAACGGGCACACCTGTTCCTCCGCGTGTCTCCCCAGCTGGGACTCCGCGGCAATCGGCCTGTCTAGCCCGATCCATCAGCCCAACAGGGAGGCTCCCATCAGCCTAACCCATCTCACAGACGGCTTGCGATCGAACAAGGTTCCTGCAAGATTCCCGAATTCCTGAAATATCTCGCCGTCTCCATGCCCACGCCCGGACTTTGAGAGCCAAGGGTATTGCTGTCGGACAACGAGACTCGCATTGGAGAACCGGGGTTTCTCTTACTGATCCTCCTGCTGCTCCAGCTTTTCCACATTCGCCTCCGTTTCGGCTGCCTCGTTCCGAGGCTTCCCAGGGAATCTGATGAGACTTTGCCATCGGCAGGCCTCCGAGCACAGCTCCGACGACTCACCGAATCAACTGTCCCCTATCACGGTTTGTGTAGACACTGGGCCGCGATTCCCACATCCCCGCAAGAGGAGCCTGCATCGATCCGGAGCAGTCGATCCCGAGTCCGACGGCTTCTTTGTGCGTCTTCCGTGGCAAAGCTTTGCTAGGCGAGCCCTTGCTGGCCGCTTCGTTCGTACGGTGCCGATTATCTCTCTTGGTCTTGTCATTATTTAGTTATGTCTTACATGGACGCCACCGGCTCCTCCCCAGACACGGTAGACACCGGTCACGGTAAATCGCCGAATGCTTCCGTGTCGGAACAATCGGCAGCACATCGGAAGCCTGGGAAACGGGATCGCGTCGCTCTGGCTTGTCAAAGGTTGGTCTTCTCCTAGCCTTCAAGCTGATTGCCGGTCGGCTAACGGAACCTGCAGGTGTAAGACGCGGAAGCAGAAAGTGAGTGTGAACCGCCTAGGCCCGACCAGGCACATGTGCAGCATTACCTTTACAGTACTTAGTCTGACCTGCGTGCCTCGTAGTGTGATGGCCAACGACCAGCGTGCGCTTCTTGTGCTCGGCTGTCGTTGAAGTGCGGTGAGTCGCTCTTATGACAACGGCTGGCAGTTACATTCTGACGGCGTCTTGGTGGTTGAAGTCTACATCGTCCCTCTGGTTCCAGCTGCTGGCGAGAAGAAGATATACATCAGAGCCCTCGAGCAACGGGTCGCCGAATTAGAGTCATATCTCGCCTCGCTCGGTCACATGGGCACAGGTACCGACCATCTTGGACGCCCGGCGCAAGCATCATCGTCACACCAGCACGCCATTGCATCCGGCAATCAGTCGGGCCAGCCAATATCGCAGGGCCAACAAACCTCTGATGACGATGATGACAACGATATTCTTGTTGCTGTCAGGGACTTGTCTCTCTCGGCCTCGGGCCATTACGTAGGCGCTTCGTCCAATATCACGATAGGCCGCGTGCTCAGCTCCGTCGTGCACAGTCAGCGGGCTGCAAACCCCTTTGTGTACGACGAACAGGTCGCACAGGGCGATGATGACCCAGCGCCCAAAAGCGTATATTCAACGAGCCAAGGAGATGTGATGGGGGTCCCATTTCTAAGCCCAAGTGTAGCTACAAGACTGCTGCAGGGTTGGTTTAGGCACATTGCCACGAGATATCCAGTGATCCATTCAGCACGGTTGATGGAGCTTCACAACAACAGAGACAGTTTGACGGACGACTTCGGCCGCGCAATTCTCCATATTATTTATGCCGTCAGTGGAAGATGGCTTGAGTCGGCTGGAGAGATGGGCCACTTTTTCAGTGACCAACACTACGATCTCGCCTTTGCTCACATGGACTCTATCTTGCGGCTAAGGGATTCTCGGGCAGTCGATTATCTTCTACTCATGGCACTTTATTGTACGAGAGCTCCGAGAGATCCGGGCGCGTGGACGTACGTGGGAGCTGCGATGAAATTGTGCATCGAACTGGGCCTACACCGCCGACCAAGAAGACCTCAACTCAGCGTCGAAGGCGAGATGAACAAGCGCCGGTTTTGGACGGCCTACTTCTTGGACAGGGACGTTTCGATCGCCATCGGACGTCCCCCATGTATATCAGATCATGATATTGACGCAGAGCTTCCATTTGACATCAACGAGGACACTCTCGACATCGAAATCATTCGGCAAGCGTCGATGCGGGTCGGCAATGCACCATTGAACCCTCCGACCACCCTGACGTCTTTCATTCACCGCACGAGGCTCAAGCTGATCGAGTCGGAGATCCAGCATGTCATTTACAGAGTCGATCGTCCTAACAAAGTGCCGGACACCACGATCAACATGTTCATCGACCGGCTCAGCGCTTGGCAAGATGCGATCCCCTACGACGCCAGGAATTACGTCCACCGCCAAGACGTAGCTTATGACGGCCTCGAGTTCTACACAATTCATTATCATCGCTGTGTCCGGTTCTTGCTATTCCCGCAATTAGCAGAGATTCCCCTTAACATGCGGTACTTGCGGCTCTGCTCGGATGCTTCTGCAGGCATCATCACCGACTATCGAAGATTGCATACCGTCTTTCCTGTTGGCTTCTCAGCATTGTCGATCCAGTCCGTTTTCTTGGCCGGTAAACACCCTCACGATCATGCATCCGCTTATATAATGGTTGCTAACTGCTGAACAGGTCTAACCCTGATATATTGTGCCTGGCTGGCCCCGGTCAATTTCCTGAGCGTTGAGGGTCCGTTGACAGACTGTCAGTTGCTCCTATACATAGTCACGGAGCGTTATCCTTCTGCCCGGAAGTATCGTGACGTCTTTGAGCGGATTAGGTCATCTATTCTTAGTATGATTGCGCAAGGCAAGCACCAGCCTCGGAACCCTGTCCGTATCGAACCCAACATTCAGGACGATTTTCCGACCCCACCAGCTCAATGGGGTAATGGCGCGGGCGACGAATACAATTACATGATCACGACTATGACTGGAAATGCGGCGACGTCTCAGTTCGATCTGGGCATAGATCCAGCAACAATCGACTTGGTCGGCCGACATGCGGGTCAATCTGTCACAGGCATGGGTCAGTTTCAGACTGCCTGGCCGGGAATGACGTCCCAAGGCATGTCCCAAGGCATGTCTCAAGACATGCCCCAGGATATGCCCCAAGACATGAATGACATGGGTGCCATGGGCGGTATGTTCCGATAATTATACGATCCTTTGCTTTATTGGACTGCATTCGTTGGGCATGAAAGGCGAATTTGGACACGGGAATACCATTTGTATCTACTTGCTGGTCTCAAAGAAGTGCAACTCTGATAGAAGGGTCACTACTCGATTTTTGGTATATATTGGGGTGTATAGGGAATCAGCTCCAGTCAGTGTTGCTGCGCGGCGGGTCACGGATATAGCTTGGGATGGGAACGGTTTCAGTCGGATCTCACGTTGTATATAGGTACTGGAGGCAGTCATCGCGGGCCGGTAGCCTTCGGAGTAGGTTAATGGAGGAGACACAAAAGTCCATGGCCTCGACTGCGTAGGTTCAAATAGAGAGAACGTCACAATCTGTAGCCACCGTTGTGCCTATTCGCTGCTTCGAGGTCGCCTCATCCATCACCACTCTTTCCATTTCCCCCGTTGACGGGCCAGGTGACCTGTTGCCATAACCAACCACCGTATGGACAAGGGAGTCCGCGGCGGCCGTGCTACATCATGGCAGATTTATTGATAAGAGAGTTGTAAACATCAAGAATATATTAATACGAAATTTGTCACAGTCACATGTTCGTCCGGAGTTGCACAAGGGAACACAACATTATTTATTACACAACACCAAACTGCGTTGCCCTGCAAGAACGGCAACACCGGAGCTCTATGAGGTAATCCCCGAAAGCTACAATATGAGGCAGTATTAAGTCCCTTACTTACAACACGCATGTACGTGCTTGGAGATTAGTTGTGAACGCAGCTCGTTTCCTAGTTTTATGTTATCCGTAAGCGGCGTCCATTCGTTGTATGGCACCGGCATCCGATACCATTTAACCGATGGCCCCGCCGCCCGTGCCGCCCGCGCCGCATAGAGACCGCACCAATGAATCACCAGAAAGAGAGGATCATATATGGGGAGAACAAGCCCACGGCTCTCATCATCCATCAGTCTCGAATACAGCAGCATAACCCCGCCTCCACTGCAATATTAACCCCAACATGGCCGCCAACCCGCCCGAGCTCAACATCCCCGCGTCGACGTCGACGGTCGACGTCTCCATCATCGACACGACGGGCAGCATCCGAGGCGTCGCCGCAAGCCGCTTCATCGAGCCCAAGATCCCGGGCCACGACTGGCTCGCGGTGCCGTGCCTCGCCTTCCTGATCCAGCACAGGAAGCTCAAGCGGTCGCTCGTCTTCGACCTGGGCCTCAAGCAGCGCGCCGCCGACTGGCCGCCGCCGCTGGCCGAGGCCCTGGCGAAGACGGGGGCGACGTTCAACGTGCCGAAGAACGTGCGCCAGATCCTCGACGAGGGCAGCGTCGACACGAAGGGTATCGAGGCCGTCGTGTGGTCGCACCATCACTTCGACCACACGGGCGAGCCGGCCACCTTCGAGCCCGCCACCGCGCTGATCGTCGGCCCCGGGTCCAAGGAGCACGTCTTCCCCGGCTGGCCCGCGAACCCCCGCGCCGCGTTCCGCGAGTCCGACTACGCGGGCCGCGAGGTGCGGGAGCTGGACTTTAGCGAGACCGCCGACGGCACTCTGAAGATCGGCCGGTTCGGCGCGCTGGACTACTTTGGGGACGGCTCGTTCTACCTCCTCGACTCGCCGGGCCACGCCATTGGCCACATCTGCGGCCTGGCGCGCGTGACGGGCAGCCTCGACAGCTTCATCCTGATGGGCGGCGACGCGGTGCACCACGGCGGCGAGCTGCGGCCGCACGCGTGGCACCCACTACCATCATCCATTTCGCCGCACCCGTTCAACTCCCTCTCATCAACGCCGTGCCCGGGCGAGCTGTTCGAGCCATTATTACCGAACGGCACGGACCAGCCTTTTATATCCCGTCCTCTGCCAAGGCGCCGTCAGGCTCAGCGGCGCACCACGATGTGCCGGAAATGATCGAGTCGATCCGCAAGCTGCAGGAGGTCGACGCGCATAATAATGTTCTTGTCGTGCCCGCGCACGAGATGGCCATGATGAGCGTCGTGGACTTCTTCCCCAAGAAGGCGAACGATTTTGTGGAGAAGGGCTGGGTGCACAAGACGCGGTGGGTCTTCTTGGGCGATTTTGCGAAGGCTGTTGGGTATGAGGGCAAGATCCCGGTTGAGGGAATGGGAGAATGGGGTCCGTGAGTTGTGATACGTGTGTAGCGCTGTACAGTGTGATATGGCACGTACGGTAGCATTTTCATCGCAAATATTTGAAGAATGCCCTTGTGCGACGTGGCTAGAGAGAGCTATATAGACATGAAAGGCCCCATCCTCCTTTAATAGTCAACCTAGTTCGGTTCCTGTTTTTACAGAGTCAAGTAAGCTGATCGGCCAAAAGTCTTATACCTTCCCTTCAACAGTCTCCGCGCGCTTTTCAACATCGTCCGAGCTATGCCGGCTGTGGGTATTTGCCGTAGCAGCTTCGCCTACGACGACCTCGCCGTCCACCAGTTCGAAGTCAAGCTGCACCCCCAGCCCGGGCGGTGGGAAAATCGTATTCAAGAGAAAATACAGCACACCAGAGACAGCATAGCCAAAGAAGAAGGAGATCTGGTACAAGTGGTACCAACCGTCCGAGACAGCCGGGCCGCCCACGGCCATGACGAAGCCGGGCAGCGTCCACACCATGCCGAGGAAGTAGGCGACGAACGCCCGCCAGTTCAGCCCGTGCCAGAACCAGTAGATGCCGTCCGGGGTGTACAGGTCAGGGATGACCCACCTGCACTTCCGCACGACCCAGAAGTCGATGACGAGGATAGATGCTGCCGGGCTCAGGAAGACGCCGAACGACGAGAGCACCGTGATGAAGGTGCTGGCTTGAGTGAGAAAGCGCCATGGTTGGGCAAGGACGCCCAGAATGGAGAAGATGATAGACCCCCGACGGCGCGACACCCAGCGCGGCAGCAGCATCGCGACGTCCATGCCCTGTTGGCAAATTAGAGTCAGTAATTACTCCTTTGGGACGTTTTGCCGAAATAAAATGAAATCTTTATGCGTGGCTCGGGAGCAAAGGCTCTTGACACAGGCTAGAAGAGGGAATTCGCGCCAAGGACATGACCATATGGGGTAATAAGAGATTCAAGAATGTACATACGGAGCTGACGCAGTTCTGCGTGTAGTTGATGAAGACGGTCACGCTCAGCAAGCCCAGGCCGGCGAAGAAGGTGCCGGCGCGGCAGGCGGCCGTGTAGGAGCTCTGCTGGACAAATTGCAGCATGATGACCGGGTTCCACTGCACCTCACCGTACAGCTGCGCCGTGGCCGACGTGGTGATGATGCCGATCAGAGCCACGAGGGTCACGGTCAGGGGCAGGGCGGTCAGCTGCGCGAGGGTCGGCGCGTGTCGGGACTTGGCGTAGCGCGTCCAGTCGCTCACGCGGTCGCTGCCTCCGGTATACGTCCCCGCGATCGACGTGATGCCCTGGACCATCAGATACCCGACCTGCGAGGACGGCACACTAACAGCCGGCGCGACGAGGTCGCCCGCGCCTCCGTTGGCATGCACGGCCCAGGCCATGATGCCCAGGAGCGTCGCGCTCGACACCACCAGGTTCGCGACGAGGTAGCGCTGGACGACGTGCGGCGGAATAAAATAGATGACGGGAAAGTACAACAAAATAAACAGCACGAGGCCGACGAGCTGGGGCGTCGTGATGCCGGCGCCCGCGGGCAGCGTGTTGGCCAACGTCAAAAAGCTGGGGAAGATGGCGTTCAGGATGATGACGAAGGCCTGCCCGCCAAAGTACATCTGCGTGCCGTAGAAGACGAACGACTGGAACACGTTGAGCATTACCACGAAGTATGACCCCCAGAGCCCGAAGGAGGCCCGGGCGAGCGCGCCGTAGCCGAGGTGGTGGATTGCGCCGGCGGCGCCGTTGATGTAGGCGCTGAGGGAGGCGATCACGCAGCCGATGACCTGGGGAAGCTTTCTGTCAGGCCATGTTCATGGCATAATCGAAACGAAACGAGACGTGACTTGACTTGACTTGACTTGACTTGACTTGACTTGACTTGACTTGACTTGTTGTTTAAGACGAATTACTTACAACCACCGCGCATGCCTGTCCGGCAGTGAGCCCGATGCCGATCAGACTACTGCCAATCGTCCAGGATGACAACGAGATGCCGCATGTTCCCCAATAGGCGTAGAACGCCAGCCAGCCGTAGGTGCGCTTGTCATGAGGAATAGGGTAGACGTCCTTGTTCCCCCACCGGCTTGTTTTGATAGATTCGAACTCGTCGTCGGTGGGCTTGACCTCGAGCTGCTTGAGGATCTCCGAGGCGCCCATTGTCGAGTTGTTCATCCACTACGCGTGGCCAGCAACGCAGGAGGATTCCGTGATGAGATTATGACAAGTCGGTATCGAAGATCAAGGTCGAGCAGCTGGCTTGGCAACTTGAGAAGGCATCGCATGCTGCGAGAGAGGTTGATGAAATTCGGGGTATATGCCTCGTTGACAGCTGAGGTCCTGAAGCAGGGTCTATCTGTGTAACACCACTCTGCAGGCCTGCCTCATTCGAGTCAGTGAGGCAGGCCTGTAGAGTTGGAGTCCGAGTACGCTGGCTGCTCATTGCTCATTACTCATTGCTCATGCAGCTGGCTTGTCATGGTTTCGACTGTAATCGTCCTCGCCGGCACGGCAAGACCACTCCTTCGCTATGCTTCAGATAACAGGTAACAGAGCCATGGTCACGTAGACGGGCCGAAACCCCATCACCCCACGGATCTGTTACCTACCACCAGCTCAATGGCTACGGTGCTTACTGTGTAGAGTGACCCCACAATATACGGTTCGTTGAAGCTTTCCCGTGCCACGTTTCTTCGGACCGGTCAAGTCAAGATTGTGGGTAGCATTCTACTGATGCAATGCCACGATGCCTTGGCAGCCATCGGGACGCCCTTCCCGATGGTGCTGCCGGGTGGCGCACCTGCAGGTCGGGGTAGTGCTTTATTTGGTGGGTAAGTTGAGGCGTGTTACTGTAGACGAGTAATATCAAGACGAACAGGGGAGAGAGATAGGAAGTCCGTTGCGGTCAGGGGTTATTCCCGCAGATAGCCGCCAAGGAACTTACTTGCAGTAGAATGATTACTCCCGCGGCTTCCACCCACACTGTCGGGACACGCCAAGTTACGGTAATCGGACAGGGATTGGGTGACGAAGTGAAGTTGTTGGCGATCTACATCGAGGAGGGATCACAACGCTCACCACAAGGGGCTTGAGCAGTTCGTCGGTAGGAGTTGAAGTGACTTCTAGATGGCTGAGCTGTTTGACTTCATCGTTGTGGGAGGTGCGTCAATATCCAACCAACCGCTGGGAGAGCCGTCCTAAACGGAGCTGACCATTGGAACCTGCAGCCGGGCCGGCGGGCTGCGTCATCGCATCCAGGCTCGCAAAGACTCCCGCAAAGCCATCGGTGCTTCTCGTGGAGGCCGGTGGCGCCAATGAGAACATGGCGAATTTATCTGGAGCCGAGCGGTTTGAGATCGCGTTCCGCGAAGGGTCGCCCTTGAACTGGTTCTACAAGACCGAACCCCAGGTGAAAGGTCAGGTGATCGACTATTCGAGGGGAAAGGGGCTGGGTGGGAGCACAGCTATCAACTTCTGCGGCTGGGTCGTTGGCGCGGATGACGACTACGATGAGTGGGCGAGGTTGGTCGGCGATGAAGCTTTTGCATGGAAGCATGTCAAGCAGTGTCTCAAGAAGATCGAGAACTTCCACAACGATGTCCCGCAGAAATACAGAAAGTGGTTCAAGCCGAAAGACGAAGGTGAGTTTTATTAAACTGCCTACTTCCCAGCCTGCTGAATAAGATGCGCAGATCACGGGATAGGGGGCGCCGTTGACATCTCGTATCAGGCTGAGTGGCTTGACATCTGCGATGACTTGTTCATTGCAGCTGAGCAGACACCAGGGTTTGGCATCAATACAGATGTCAATGCTGGCAATCCCATAGGAATGGGTATTGGCACAGCCTGCATCTATAGTGGCATTCGAGTCACCTCGTCGAGCGCATATCTCCAGGAGGTAACCTCGAACCTGACAATCACGACGAATCAGCAAGTGGAGAAGGTCATTGTCGAGGGAGGCGTAGCCACAGGAATCAAGACAATCGACGGCAGCATATTCAGGGCAAAGAATGATGTCGTGTTATGTGCCGGTGCACTGAACAGTCCTCACATCCTCCTCCTATCGGGCATCGGGCCCAAAGAACAGCTGGAGCAGCACGGGGTGGCGCAGGTGAAACAGATGCCAGAGGTTGGTCAGAACCTGCAGGATCACTGCTTCGGCATGGCAGGTATCGTGGTGAAGAAGAAATGTGATCAGAACTTCAAGCAGTCGCCGACCCCCATGGGCTGGTTCAAGGTTCCAGCGACGCTCAGCTCGGACGAGTTCAAGGAGCTGCCCACCGCGATGCAGGAATACCTAAACCGGCCCAACGTGCCGAATTGGGAGTTTGCGACCGTGAGTGTTCGACTTTGTCTCGTAGTCGAAGGGAGGCTGATGTGGATCTAGTTGACCCCTTTCTTCGAAGGAACACCGCTTGAACCGGACGAGGAGGTTTTCTCGGGCATATGCATGATGATGAACCCTCAGTCCAGGGGCACGGTCACACTAAAGTCTTCGGATCCCAAAGATGCACCCCTTATTGACCCCAAATTCTTGACGCATCCATTCGATAAGCTCAATGCCATCGAATCGATGCGGGAGATGCTCAGGTACATGCAGACGCCAATATGGAAGGACAAGACCACGCGGACGCTTGGGTGGCCGAGAGACGACACAGACGAGGCTGTCTGGGTATGTCTCCTTTCCTCGTAACAAGTTGCTGAACAACTGACCCCTTATAGGAAGCATACTCTTCGAATCTGAGGAGTTCATGGCACATGTGCGGCACGGTCCGCATGGGCCTTGATGACGCCTCCTGCGTTGACTCGTCGTTCAGGGTCTATGGGATTGGCCGCCTTCGCGTCGCGGATATGAGCGTCTGTCCGCTGATACCAAATAACCACTCACAGACGACGGCCTACGTGATCGGGGAGCTTGCTGCTGAGAAGCTCGTTGCTGAGCATGGATTGGATAGTTCTTGAATAGGTAACTACATGTACGTAGCCTCAGGGCGTCAGTACCTGGGTTTGAACCATATATACTCTGAAATGGTCTGAAAAGCATCACAAGGTTGCTGCCTCATCCTTCCAATGTTCTCGGGGTTAGGGTTAGGGTTGACAAGTGCCCATCAATGAGATAGTGGCGGCAGACCCCGCCTCATGCCCCTACCCCTCCCTCCTACAATGTTCAGCCGGTACGTAACTGGCACTTGCATACTGCTATCTGCAGCACCGGGTAGACCTTACCGACCCGTCTTGCAGTATGCCGGCCATGCAGCGATATCCATTTGAGAGCTGTCGGTCCGGCGCCGGAGGGCCAAGGGACGACCGAGGACTGCCGAAGACGAACTTCATAACTGGTCATCGATTCCACCCAAGCCCCCATCCCAGAGGAGGGGCTAGAATGTAGAAGGTCAAGACAACGGGAGCTTGATAAGCTTCTGCATACTGCATGAGCACGTAACCTAGCAATCTGCGTGTAACTTATACAAAGCCGGCTAAGACTACCCTTTTAAGGATACTCCTACCGACACCTCGGCTGTGGCTTCACTGTCGTTGACCTCACTCATGATGGCGCCTCTTGATGTCAAGAACTTCATCAACGGCGAGGTGAGAAAGAAATCCCAGTGAAGACACACTGCCCTGGAAAGCTAACATCCTACAGTTTGTCAACTCCAGCGACGAGAAGACCTTTGACCTGTTCTCACCCTACTCAGGAGATTTAGTCGCGAAAGGTGAGTAAGCTTCCATCTCATCGCGAGCTCATGGGCTGACTTGAGATCGCATAGCCGTAGAATCCACCGCTGAGGATGTCGACAAGGCCGTCGATGCCGCCAAGGCTGCCTTCCCAGCATGGTCGGCCATGTCCCCGTCGCAGCGCGGCAAGCCGCTCGCCAAGCTGGCGCAGATGATCACCGACGCGGACGAGGAGCTCGCCAAGCTAGACGCGCTCTCGCTAGGACGTCCGGTCAGCACATGGTTCGACGGCTACTATGCCGCAATGCACTTCCGGTACTTCGCCGAGGCAGCGTATCCCGTGGGAACGTCGAGCCTGAACACGCCGGGCTTCATAAACGTCTCGCTCCGGCAACCGTACGGCGTGTGCGCCGCTATTATCCCGTGGAACAGCCCGCTGGTCTTCTACAGCAAAAAGCTGGCCCCCGCGCTGGCCGCCGGAAACACAGTGATCCTGAAGACGAGCGAGAAAGCGCCGCTGTCGTCGGACAAGGTGACGCAGATGCTCAACGAGGCGGGCTTCCCGCCGGGCGTGGTCAACGTGGTGCACGGCCACGGCGCCGTCGCCGGCGGCGCCATCAGCAGCCACATGGGGATCCGGGCGCTGTCCTTCACGGGATCGTTGCGGACGGGGCGGCTAATCCAGAAATCGGCTGCCGACTCCAACCTAAAGCACCTGATCTTCGAGCTGGGTGGCAAGTCGCCTGCCATCATCTTCGACGACGCCGACCTCGGGCGAGCCGCGCGCGAGACCCAGCACAGCATCATGTGGCATTCTGGCCAGACCTGCATGGCCAACTCGCGCATCTACGTGCAGAAGGGTGTTGCTGACGATTTCATCTCGGCGTTCAACTCGCTGGCGGCCGCGCGCAAGCTGGGTGATCCGACGCTGAAGGAGACGGACAGCGGGCCGCAGGCAGACAAGACGCAGTTTGAGACGGTGCTGAAGTACATAGAGGAAGGGAAGAAGACTGGGAAGATGGTGGAGCCGGATACAAAGCTGCCAGCTGATCATGCGGATTTGTTCGTCGGGCCTGCGGTCTTCCTGCAGCAACCTGAGGACAGCAAGGTCATGAAGGAGGAGATCTTCGGACCGGTGGTCTGCATCAACACCTTCGAGACGGAGGAGGAGGCGCTGAAGATTGCGAACGACACTGAGTTTGGGCTCTACGCGGCGGTTTATACCAAGGACCTCGACCGTGCTATGCGGGTCGCCAAGGGCCTCGAGTCCGGCATGGTGGGCGTCAACTGCACGTCGCCGACGGGGGCTTGGGACATGCCTTTCGGTGGCTACAAGGGCAGTGGTGTTGGACGGGAAAGCTTCCTGCTTAGTATGGATGACTGGCTGGAACAGAAGGCGGTGTACATTAGGGTTGGGGGCTTGGAGAGCTCAGGGGCGGTCAGTAGCACTCTTGGCAGGTAGGACACGGCATTTTTATTGAACACATTCATTTCATGGAAACATTCGGACATGGTATATCCTCTTCACATCACTAGTATGAGCTATTCGCAAGCCATCTAGGCTTCAACCACTATCAATGCTTTCTCGAAGCATTGAATGGCTGCGGTTGCCTACGGTGCTTCTTCGAATCTGGTACACTCCCCGGCCATAAGTCTCCGAGCATCCCTGTTTTACACCAAAACACCCTAACTTTACGCTATCGTGATAAATCGAGTAAAATAGATACAACTTAAGTACTTATAGTACTTATAGTACTTATAGTTAAATTTGATGGAATATTAAAATGGCTTATTTAAAAACTCTGATATCTTAAAGATAAAGGTCGTAAATATTACTTTTTTAATGTCACGGCGAGCATACTGGGAAGCTGGGACATGGCCTGCAGCAAGCAGCTATTACTCTATTGACGAGAATATCAAGACTAGAGAGGAAAGGAAGAGAGAGAGAGAGAGATAGGTACAGTGGGAGGTTGCCCCTTTAAGGGGATCCTCTGGTCAGATCCTTCCTCTATTGGGAAGTATCCGCTTGTCATGTGGGAAGGTCTGTGCAGGCCGTCACAATTAAAGGTTGAATTTTCGATAAAAATAACTTTTTAAGATATTTAATTCCAAAAAAATCTATTATATAAGCTTTCTCGTTTTACATGTATGTTACATGTTATTTAAAATTATATAACTTTATTACTACTTATACAATTTTTTAATCAATTTTTTATAGCTTTATTAAGATTTAATTTTTTAATTTTCAAACTTTATTTCTATATATCTATTGTGATGGTTCCACCATCCATCAGGTCTAGCGAAGGTCCCCATGGTTCCCGGGTCACGTGACTGAGCACGTGACTGATCGGACGATAGGTTGATTCATGCCCTGGTAGGTCTGGTGGGGGACGACTGCCCACATCTAGCTGCCCACTAATTTGGGTGCATCTCCAGATCTTTCTTTTCCTTCAACCAGAGTTCGTTATACGTCAATAGTTGATAAGGGTCCCTGTATCCTTGCAATACATTTACGGAACCGTGACATCTATTTCTTACTATTTTAGTAGTTATGAAAATAAATATTTAGAAATTAGTTACAAAAACTTCAGCATCTTCAAATATTAGTTCCTTATAATATCTCATTTTAAAAAGCTTTAGGTCTTTAGTTATAAACAGCGTAAAGGTAGGGCATTTTGGTGTAAATGCGGGGATGCTCGGAGACTTATGGCGGGTCAGTGTAACACTGGTTCTGTCTCAAACCACTTTCAAGGCAAGGCCTGCCAGAATCATCGAATGGAAACTTAGGCACCTGCTTCCACGTGAAATAACCCCAGATGATCATTTGTTACTGTATGCGGTGGTAATCCTAAGTGCGAGCCTATGACTCTGGTCCATCACCCTCGACTCTCGTTGCCACAGAGGACTCAGAAGGTGCCTCATCAGGTTCCAGTAAGGAAGGCAACGACTGACTCCAGAAGATGCTAGAGGCTATACGTCGTCATCAGACACAACCTACAACCCTTCTCAACGTCCCAAGCTTCTGTCTTCTAACTCCCCACCCCCCCTTCAAGCGCCCGAGTTAGCTTCTCAGTCACACTCCACCACCAACTCCCTGACCTTATCCCCTCTTTGACAGCCAAGATGCGAACCCCCCGAACCTTCCACCTCTTCCCGCGCCTCCCGCCCGAGCTTCGCGCCCTCATATGGACCTTCCACAAGAACAGCCGCGGCATCCGACACCACCTCGTCGAGTCGGAGCATGGCCGGCACTACGCCGCCATCGACATCGAGGTCGACACGTACGCACGCACCATCCTCACCGAGGCCAAGACGCATGCGCACTGGGACGGCGGCGGCCGTCCGAAGGGTCTGGAGGGTGACGCCAAGGTCCGCTTCGTCGGCGACAACTACGTGTCCGAGGTCGAGGACTTCGCCAAGTCGGTCGTCACGGCGCGGCACCCGCAACTCTGGCGCCGCAAGATCTCGCTCTATGTCCGTTTTAATTATAAGTGGGACGTGCTGTTCCTCGCCGGTCGTACCTCGTGTTTTAGTCCGCTGTTCTCGCTCAGCTTGATGCGGGTTGCCGGCCGGCTGCCGGACCTTGTCGCTGGCACTGGCGGGCATTGGTTCGTTAATGTGCAGCACTTGGCGCTTCAGCTGCAGCGGACGGGGACGGGTAGTACCCCGGGGACGGGGACGATGGCTGGCGAGCTTGATGCCGTGCTTCCTCGCATGCCCATGCTGAAGGATGTGTTTCTCGTCGTGTATCGCGACCCGATGTGTCACTGGGGGCCGCCGCGGCGGTGGACCGTGTTCAAGAGGGCCATGCTGGACGGGCAGAACTTCTTGCCGGTTGCTGAGTTCATCGCTCGCCATCCCGATGGGGACCGGGTTGGCACGTTTTGCGAGTGCGACTTGGATGATGGCGAGGCCAAGGGTATCAAATCAAGTCTGCAGCGAAGTCTTCCGGCCAGTGTGTCGGTCACAGTCGTGGCTGATCCGTACTAGCCTGCTGGGAATGGTTGCGAAGGGGTAGGCACTTCGGTCCAGTTGCCAGGCCCACGAGAGGTTTGCTCATGCTTCTAGACTCTGTCGACATTGTCGACATGAACTTTTCTTGAACCATCTTTTCGCTTCTCGACGCAACGTAAGCCTTCATCTATCCAGTAACTTAGCTTGATACTGTCTGTTTGGTGCTCATCGACCTTCTCAAGATTCATTCTTACTGTGATATCAAGTTTGTGTATTCGACATCAAACCACCCCGAAATGCTGCGCGGTCGCCCTACCTACAGGGAGATGTTGTCGGAAACCAATAAACCCAGGAACGAAGTTGAGCGACCGGGTACTACATGAAGACGGCTTGGTCTACGCTGGACATAAACCCATCGTGAGGTCGATCGGTATGAGGTCCACGGTTCTAGTGAAAGTACGCTTTCTCCACCCCGCGCGTGGGTGGTGTGCCAAAGTCATTTTTCTCTATCTTTGCCTGGCGGCCTCCCATCCAAGACAAAGCTGATATCGGTAATTATATATACGAATTTTGCATAGGCGCAGCTTACTGATTAGATAATCTATTCCCATGCGCCCCTTTAAGCGTCGCTTATCCCCAATCTTATACTGCCAAGATCTTAGGATTTAATCCTATCCTTTCTCCTGTCATGGAGTGATTTGCTCATTCGCGGATGTTTTCAGCCGCAGTGGGTTGACAAGGGGGCTGCTTATGTCTGACTGCATAAGTGTTGTCGATACAGGGTTTCCAGCAGTGCGATTTGCAAGATTAGAACCACCGTGGGGCATGCCCCAGACTAACAATTCTATCCATGAGGATCGCCTTTCGACACTTAAGAAAGGTCAGACTGAGACGCTCGTTCACTCCCAGTTGGGTTTCCTCTATACTCTTCACGCAAGATACTCACTTGCACGGTGCTTTTATAGCTCGTGTTCTTGATTACTAAGTTGGAGACTCAAACTACTTCTTGAGACATATCATCTTGTATTTACCATTTTCTATATGAGTGCCGACGTAGCCAAGTGTTACTGGCCGGACGGGTCAGAAGATGCGGGATCCCAACCATGCAATTCCACCGAGGGCGGCCAAGTGAGCGCGTGCTGCCAGCTTAGCGGATCAGCTTGCACAACCTCCGGCCTTTGCATGGCTTCGGGGGGTTATTGATGGAGGGGCGGCTGTACCGACTAGTCGTGGCGATCTCCCAGCTGCCCAGGCTATTGCACTGATTGTAAGTCTGTCCCATATGGCGCTCTGTCTTATCCAAAGATGACTAACATCGTTCAGCGCGTAAAGACCGATACACGAACTTGTACCCGTGTCTGCCTGGTGCATACGACCATGAACACACTCTATGCTGTCAAACATCGGAGACTTCGTCAACGGATCCGGACAGCAATTGCTATGCAGATAACTTCACGGCCAGTCTCGGATCGCTCTTCTCGCCCACATACATGCTTGAAATCGCCAGCGCTACCAGCGCACCGGTTCCGCCACCTCTGGAGTATTGACCCCGACGGCGTCGTCACAGACAACACAGCCGGCCGAGTCCACTGCAGGCTTCATCTCAGCCGGAGCCTTCGCCGGCAGCACCGTCGGTGCCGCCGCAGGGATCGGTCTTATTGGTTTTTCTGTGGTTATGTGGCGAGAGAGGAAGTGGAGAAAGGTGGCCTCTGATCTGAGAGCTGAGAAGGATGCCTTTGCAAAGCAAGCTGAGTCTGGTTCTGAGCCAGGTTCTGGAGCTGGATCTGGGTTCGTTGCTGGACCCGGCTCTGGGTTTGGGCCGTCGGGCTCCGCGGTTGGTTCTGCCCCAGCTGAACGGTATTACCAAGGTGGTCATCAGGCAGAAGGCCTGGGCATATCGCCAGCAGCCGTCGACAACAGGGCCGTATCGGCAGGAGCCGTTCTTCCTGCACAGGCAGCCGAAGTCTCTTCTTTCAACTACCCTATGCCGCAGCTGGAGGACACTCAACTAGAAGGCCCTCAGCAAGACGAGAATGGCAGGAAGTATCGCATAGCCTGACAGAAGAATATGGGGCTGACCACAGCGGTGTTAGGCAGGGTGAGGCTGCAGCTATCGTCGAGTAGCGGTTACAGGCGCAAGCCTCCATGGTACTTGATGCAATGAAGGTGCTCAATGAATTTTTTTTTTTTCCCCTCCATCGCGAGACGCCTTGACTCCGGGGCAGGTTCGATCAACCAGTCGTAAGATACAATGTGTGGAAATCAGGGGTTCAGATGGGGTGGATGATAGGCAAAGCCCCTTTCACTGCTGTATCCAAAGTCTCCCTTTCCTCTATCACCTGCTCCCAGCTCAGCCCACACCTGACAGGCACCACAATTATCACACGCGCGTCAACTGCTACCAGCTGCACCACAATCGCTCTTCTAGGCAGGCGGTGTGACTACCGGGGGTCGGGCAGAATCCTGACCAGCAGCGGGGCACGGCACTTGACCTCCCAAATTCCCAATCATGCTCTCGGTGATCGTGCCTCCTCCCGACTTCAGGCTACGCTTCCATTGTCGCGCGTTGGTTGGCCGGATTTACAGCTCTGACGTTGGCGGCAACTTGGTTGTTGTTGTTGTTGTTGTTGTCCATCTCCGTCAACCCTGCAAGCTTCCAAGCCTATAAAGCCTCGAATCCACCACTCCGGTTCGAAATCCTTCAAGCATGCTGGTCCGGTAAACCTACTTAGTACCTAGTCTAACAACTACGATGGATCAACCTCTACCGACACTCCTTTCCCCCCGGCTCGCCCGCACCAAGCCTACCTCTACTCCACCACATCACGTCCTTGCATCATCAAGCTCCAGCACCAGCTGGACATCCTATCTCCCATCCTTCAACCCTTCCCCTGCAGAGTCGCGACCACGCCGCGAGGGGCTCTTCAGCTCATTCCGCAAGTCCACCAAACAAGCAGTACCTGCACTAGCCGATGAGCGAACAGGCTTTCGCAATCCATGGCCATCGTGGCACAAGCCAACGCAGAAAGAGACATGGGACAATCTAGAATGGGGAGAAGATGTGGATCCGTGTATCGAGCTGGTTGCTGGTGCTCTTGAGACACCTCCAACTGCACCTAGCACGGGACCAACGAGGAAAGGTAGTAAGGGCAAGACTGTGCTTCGGAAGAGGCCAAAGGAGCTCAGGAAACCAGGGAATAAGACGCAGCAAGCTGCCGCACTACTCAAAGTCGTGAAGACGGACTTTACGTTTGATGCCTCAACGAAGAATGCGAAAGTGACATGGTTGGGTCACGCAGGCATGCTCGTACAATTGCCGTCACTGTCACAAGAAGGAGGCCGGCCGCTACGATGTGTCTTCGACCCTATCTTCTCGCAACGCGCTTCTCCAACACAGAGTGCGGGCCCTACACGACACTATCCCACACCATGTCAAGTCGAAGAGCTGCCTATGATAGATGCTTTCTTCCTGTCCCATTCCCATTTTGATCATCTCGACTACGACACAGTCATGGCCATATGGCGAAACAACAAGGAAACAATCCGCTTCCTTGTACCGCTAGGCAATAAGAAGTGGTTCGTGGAGTCTGGGATCCCAGATGAGCGAGTACACGAATTAGATTGGTGGGATGCTATCTATCTTTCACCGCAACCGGGAGCTACAGAGACACAATGCTTGAAAGTTGTCTGCACGCCATCACAGCATCAGTCAGGTCGCACAGGGCTGGATACTGACACGACATTGTGGTCATCATGGTTCCTCGAGCATCCCATGCCCGGTGAGTCTCCACCGTATCGTGTCTTCTTCGCTGGGGACACCGGCTACCAGTTCCACGCCTCGCCACAATGGCCACCATCACCCCCTACTTCCACGAGCACAACCTCCTCGCCAGCCAAAGAACCAACCTCGGTAAGTAGCGGAAGCAGAAACGACCCCAACTACCCATCCTATCCACCCTGCCCAGCATTTCAAGACATCGTAAACGCACATGGTTCGCCAGATCTGCTCCTCCTTCCCATCTGGGTAGGTGGCACTTACGACTTTGTCCGCTCGTGGGCTCCTCTCTCGGACGCCCTCAATCCAATCCCACGTCATAAGCTAGGCCTGACCGCGGCGAACCATATGCCACCGTGGGACGCTGTCCGTGTTTTGCGGTTGATGACGGAAGGTAGAGATATGGGTGAGGGAGAAGTTGGGGGCAGAAACCCAATAGCTGTGGCGATGCATTGGGGCACTTTTATCACTGAGCCGGTGGAGGTACTGAAGACATTAGGACAGCTACAGTGGGCTTGTGAACAGCAGGGTGTGACTTATGCAAGGGAGTTACAGGCTGAAGAAGGACAGCAGAAGACGACCTTTTTGGCTCTAAATCATGGCCAGAGTGTTGATCTATAGGTGCGGCTTCATTCAACCCAGCCAGTATAACTCTATATATTTGTATATTTGCTTACAGCGTTTAGCAGTTGCTCATCATAATCCACGCGCAACCTCACGGGCAGGACTCTCAGACCCGTCGATTTCTCGTTCAGCTGACGGGCTTGCCCTATGAATTACATGGCGGAACCAACGTCTCCCTGGATAGCGCTCTCGTCTGGATGATCTCGCGCTTCAGGAAGGTTGGTCACGATACCCTCATTAGGTCGACTGTGCATGATTATACGGTCCTCAAGTGCCAGAGTAACTTCAGGGGCAGTAGGTCTAGGCAATAGATGCTGCATTAACGTGTCTTCCGCCTCGTACAGTCGACTGTGATCAGGACGAAGCCGCCCCTAAGAGCTTTCTGTGCGGAGAGAAACTCTGGTACTGGCGGCTGGCTTGCTGAAATAGCATTAGACATGCCCCAAGGATACAGACCTGTTACACATTACCAGATCACGACTCCGAGGCTGGTATTAATCAGCTGCTGGAGCAGTACTACGAGGAAGAACGTCTACTACCTCCACATTCCTGTATAGCGAGAGTGGAATCGCCGTGGGATATGTCGCATCCACAGCTAGAACGATATGCAAACCAGACACAATGGAAGACCATAGGCCGCATGGCTGATGTCTGTGTCGTCAGAGGCGTCGAGGCGCCATCGTCTGCCACGATGGACCAGCTGCCGCTGGATGTGAATGCGACACAAGCCAAGATCTTCATGAAGGTCGTGAAGCAAGTTGCGAAAGAGGCTGAAGTGATTGCAAACATTACTCACCGATACATTCGAACTATCCTTCTAGAGAGGAGTCATTGGATCATTGTGGCACTGGCGTGAAATTTGATATTCCCATACAACTGCTGCCACTGATCACCCATGAGTCCACGAGGTACGAGGAGGGCACAACTAAACAAAATATACATCGTCATTTCAGAAATTATTGCCCTGAATATGTGACAAATCATATGTGAGGCCTATCGTTGACAAAGTACCTGCAAGTTGGGTTAATCCACGATCTTGGAGCTTTGTGGACGAAGAACCACACTGCTCAGCTCAAATTCAGCCACACAAAACATATTGAGAAGCAAACCCAGCATGGTATATATAATATCGGATCTTCCATCTCGAGAAGACAATCAACAAGATCCAATCCCCGACACCAGAACAGACTCACTACACTACACTCAGCTCATCTTACGACACTGGAACACATCCCATCCCATCACCATGGCAGAGACAGAAAACACCCCAGACAACACCCCGGAGTCTCCATCCACTCAACTGCCATCCCCGATACGAGGTGGCATCTAGCACCACCATCTCGGGGACGCGCGACATGTCAAGGTGACCAGATGGAGAGGCGAAATCCGAATCAATATCCGCGAGTACTACTGGGACAATGGGCGCCTGCAGCCCGGGAAGAAGGGGATTTCACTCACGGTGGCTCAGTACAGGGTCTTGCAGGCCTTCTTGCCTCTCATCGACGAGGATATCCGGGGTGCATAGAGGACTTCTGGCTGGGCACGCTGTGATCGGGACAAGAAAGCAAGCTCGGGTGAAGGGGCAGCGGTGGAATTGGGACTTGCGCGACTTTGACCACTAAGAATGTTCTAGCTGGCAATGATACAATGATCGTACCGTATAACCGAGAGCATTGGCTTCATGATCATTGGCAGGATCTACGACTCCATGTATGATATATGATACAGAGTGAAAACAATGTAATCCTGAATGATCGCAGTTCCTTAGGCGCTCTCATAGTCCACGCCACGACCATGTCCAAGACCTTTGTCACCTAGGTACGATGGAATACAGTTATGGAACTGACCTGTCGAAGCCAGCCTTCATTAAACATGTAGTGCCATGTGCTCGATTGCTTGAGAAGAAGCTCCTAACGTGACAGCATGGCCAGGTCGGCGTGAAGTAGGTGTCCTGGTGTCTTGTGAATATATCGCAGTTGGACAAGGCTACAGTGGATTCAGGGGGTGGTTCCCCTTCTCAGGAGTAATAATACAGTTGGAGGTCGAGGCTAGCCTGTACTGGCTTAGCGTGGAGATGTACCCCTACTGTTGCAGAAAGATCCACTCACCTGCATTGGATGGATGTCGACACCTTTCCAAATCGCCATTGACACGAAACTTGAATCCCTCCTGGCGAAAATTTCCAACACCTGTTCGCAGCCAGCCTCGACTTATATTCACACCTGTGGCTCTTTCTATCTATTGGGGTTCTGCGTTCGACAGCAGTCTCTGTCGTGTCGCTAGATCAACCCCACAACCGTATCCTCTGCTGGTAGCACTAAAGCACTTGCGACGATGAGGCTTCCCGTTCTCTCCATTGGCCTCCTGGCCCTCCTTACTCCTTTGGCATCCGCATGGTCAAAAGAAGGTACGTGCCGGCCTCGATTCCAGTCCCTCTTGAAGTCTCGTCTATGCGCTCGTACTAACTGGTCGACTCACAGATCGTGAGATCTTCCGCGTCCGCGACGAGCTTTCCGCCCACGAAGGTCCCGAAATCTCCTTCTACGACTTTCTGGGAGTCACGCCATCTGCGAGTCAGGATGAGATCAACAAGGCCTATAAGAAGAGGACAAAACTATTGCATCCAGACAAGGTCAAGCAGCAGCTGACTGCCGAGCGTGCGAAGCAAAAGTCCAAGACCGGCAAGAAGAAGCCCGGTGTGACTGTTACCAAGCCTCCCACCCAACCCGAGATCAAGACAGCCATTAAAGAGGCTGGCGAGCGCCAGGCGCGTCTCTCCATCGTTACGAACGTCCTCCGTGGCCCGGGTCGTGCTCGATACGACCACTTCATAGCGAACGGCTTCCCCACCTGGAAGGGTACGGAATACTATTACAGCCGCTACAGGCCCGGCCTGGGAACTGTTCTGTTTGGCTGTCTGCTTGTGGGAGGGGGCCTCTTTCACTACGTCGCACTGTACATGAGCTGGAAGAGGCAGCGCGAGTTCGTCGAGCGATACATCAAGTTTGCGCGACATGCTGCTTGGGGCGACAACCTGGGCATCCCCGGCGTGGATGCTGCTGCCCCTGCACCTCCGCCTCATACCCCTCCTGCTGCTGATGACGACCAGCCTCCGATGCCGGTGAACCGCAAGCAACGGCGCATGCAAGAGCAGGAAGCGCGCAAGAAGTCTGCGAAGGACGGCAAACGCAGCAACCGTGGTCGCGGCCGTGCTGGACAGCAAGCAAGCGGAAGTGCTACACCAGTGCCTCAGCCTCAGGGCTCTGGCCCGTCCGGCGCAAAGAAGAGAATCGTAGCTGAGAACGGAAAGGTACTTGTTGTCGACTCTCTGGGTGATGTGTATTTGGAGCAGCAGGATGCCGATGGAAACACGGGAGAGTTCCTTCTTGACGTGAGTACCTCAAGATCGCTCAACGAATCGGAATAATGCTAACATTCAATAGCCTGACGAGCTGCAAAAGCCTACAATCAGAGACACCGCGCTCTTCAAGCTGCCTGGATGGGCCTATGCTGCTACTGTCGGCAAAGTGCTGGGACAATCTAAGGCTACCGATAGCTCTGACGATGAAGCCGGCGGCAGCGACGAGGAGCTTGTCGACGATGACGAGGACTCTGACCAGCCGCAGCGCACGCCCTCAACTGACTCGGCTGACGACTTTGAGATACTTGAGAAGAGTGTCGAAGACCTCCCCAAACCAAAGACCACTGGTAGCCAGGCACAGGACAGTAGTAAAGCGAAGAGACGCAACAAGAAGAGGTGATTATTATCACGTTAGGTGTCATTGCGGGTGGTATGGCGATACCACGCAGCCAAGAAGTCCAGCTTGGCCAGCCACTCTTTGACCATGCCGAGTAGCGACATTATAGATCTATACGGGAATATGCGCCCCTTTACCGCGACATTTGATCATACCTGCACAGTGATATTGTCTCTCCACAGAAGATGATGCTTGCGTTAACCGCGAAGCAGACGGTGAAAGCTTTTTACTTGCTCGAGCCTCGCATCGAAGCAGCAGCTGCACCATCATGTAGCACCAAAAGAAACAGCGAGACCCCGGATACCCCAAGAAGCTCGAATCAGCCAGCTCTGGAAGTGCAGGTTTTAACATCCCTAGTAGGTACGTTGCAACATAAGGTGCAAGCAGAAGTGATGGGTAGAGAGGGAGGCACGTCGTGGGAAAACAACAGGCAAGAGCTAATTATATCTCCCGGTCTCGTCCCCTTCGTCTTATGATAACGCCTGGGCGTTGAATCGGACAGGGAGGCGTGTGGGCTGAGTAGGTGAAGCCACCACATGCACATCACGTTCTTCGCACTCCTCCGAGCCCTTCTAATTCGTCCGGCAGATGATTATATGCAGGTAATGCAACTTCACAGCCCCCCGCGCTGACACCACCATGCCTTCGCTGTTTAAGCTCCCCCTTCGAAGATGCTTCTTTCACTTCTACCGCAACTGGCATCGTCCTTCTTGACTGCCTGACGCGCCGATACGACAGTCTCCACGGCATCATGGACTGGCACGATAGCGCATGTCGTCGCTTGGATCTCTATTCGACTGGCGGAGTCCAAAGTTGTCTACGCTGCGGCTCATTCGCGGAGTCCACCAAGCTACCCCTCCTGCCGCCCATCAAGCAACGCTCTGAGATCCGGTTGTTGCGCATGTTATGCGGTGCGTTCGAAGAAGCCATACGCTGCGTGGTCTCCCCAAGACCTGTCCATACAAGACCTGACCTCAAGGCCGGAGTATGAGGCTATTTCCTATACTTGGGCCGACGAAAATGGGGACGACAGCCCCTGCGGAATCATATACATTTATGGCTAGCCTTTACGAGTAACTCGTAACTGCGAAATGGCACTACGACGGACGCGCGGGAGATACCAATCCCGTCTTCTATGGATAGACGCTGTATGTATCGACCAGAAAAAAATCGACGAACGTGGGCATCAGGTCCAGCTGATGCCTCAAATATATTCTGGAGCGAATTGTGTCTTTATCTATATTGAGGAGGCAGCAGACGACAGCGGCTACTTCCTCGATACCCTAAATAGTGGTAATCCGTCAAGCAATGCAGAGCGGCTTCTCAGGCTTTTCAACCAAGCAGAAAACTGCATGTTCCGTTGACGCTATTTTCGACGCGTATGGGTGCTTCAAGAGGTCGCTTTAGCTAGGAGAGCAACACTAATCTGTGGAGATCGGTCTATATCGTGGACTTATCTCAAGGATTATATTGATCAGAAGTATCAGGGTGACCCTGCCAAAACTCCGCTACTACTGCGTCTCGATTTTCACTTCTACGCCGACCCAGAGAGAGCACTGCATCTGCTTGACCTGGCGCGGGAGAGCAACGCCAACGCTCCTCGCGACAAGGTGTTCGCTGTAAGGGGCCTTGCCATTGATCTCTCGCAGAACGGCATTGTGGCAGACTACAATCTGCGCGTTGAACAGGTGTACACCCAACTCGCGCTGCATCTATCATCTCGTTATGGATGGACTGCAATACTGCTAAGAGCAGATACTGATCACCGGAAGATTGCGACACTTCCATCATGGGTTCCTGACTGGAGCAACTACGTATACACTAGCCCCGATGCAAGTATGTCCGAACAGACGTTTCTCAAAAGAGGTTCCGAGCGAGAAGTCTCGGTCTTCCATCTTCCAACCGCACGCTATAACCCATCCGAACGATCGCTGACCTTGAGCGTCACGAAACCCGGTTACATGAAAGAGGATGAGATCTTACTTTTCGATTATCGCTCGCTCGGCTTCGCCGGGATCGACAAGTACTTCGCCATTCCGTATGATTGCATGTCACCCTTCACATTTCCATACTCTGTCGCACTCACCATGTTCAATCTCCCTATCACAATCTTGAGAACCGAATCTGGCGCCATCTCGGACACTACTCCTAGTAGTCACCTAGAAATAACCACCCTACATAAACATCGGCCTTGGAGCAAATATAATCTAATGGCTCTGGTACCCGCGGATGCCCTTGCGGGAGTCTTCACCCGCAAAAGCTTTCGGGACGTCCTGATACTGCTGCGCTCTTTGATCTCCGTACCCAACGACTTGCTGCAGGATTGGCCGGAGGTGGCCGACTACCTGCATTTCCGAGAAACCGGGGAGTCGCTTTCGGGAGTCTTATATATCCCTCCCCTTGAGGGCCCGCCCCTAGTCGCTCGTGCAATAAAGTCTTTAGGGCCTGCTGCGGACGAACTGGAGTCCCTCTGGCTGAACACCATCGCTCCGGTGCATGAAGTTGATTGGAAGAGGGCGGATGAGTTTCAAAGGCTTAGGGATTCGGGGGCCGAAGGTCTGCTGCTGGCGTTAAATGATGCGCTTTGGAGGATATTCGTGAGATATTTCCTGCTCCGCGTAGTCGAGGTAATACTTGTATAAGCCATATTTCACATATGTACTTCAAGATCACTAGGGTAGTAGCCGCGAGCTCAGTGGGTTGGGTCTCTGTGCTTGATGTTATGCCCTGGCTTATTTCCTTATATTACGCTGACAGGCGAGGACATCACCCGCCTTAAATGGACAAGTGGACTTCTTGTATTGCCTCACTGGGGACCTCTGGTATCTATGTTCGTTGCTACCGTACTCTAGATGCTCTATCAAGCATACAGCGTCTATGGTACGAGGCCTATCAAGACCAAGCGTCGAGTTACTGCCTTCTCTGACAGGCACACCTCAAGAGCTGTTTACTCTAGAATAAGCGCCACTGCGAGGTACTTTCGCTGTGTGACTACACCCTCAAGAGCAATATTCCAGTTCGATTCAATGTTGTCGAAGCTCACTACGGAGCTTTTAACACGCGATTTTTTGGCCTCAAGTTCCTCTTTGAGACGACATTTTTCGAACGGGCACAAGGCCTACAAGTAATGCAGGGAGTTGATATCAACACAAACTCGCCTCACCACACCAAGTACAGGCGACCAAGCGCTATCAAGAAGGTCATCCACGGGTAAGGCTGGAACGTCAAGGTATGTCGTCCTTGACCAACTGCCCTCCTTCTCGCCCCCCTTTCAACGCGCTAATGGTACGTCTGCTGCTATCTATTCCTCTTTACCTACCGTCCTCAGCACGAAGTCTCTCAAGGCATTGCCTGTCATTTCGGCGAAATTTCAGCAAGAAATGTGAACGGCTTTCATTTATCTTGGGCGTGCGAAAATGGCCCAGCAGCCTGTCGGACACAATAAATCAAGGCCTCTGTGGCCCTGGGTTATATCCAGTAAGCGAGTGCTAGACGCATTGCATTGGGAAATAGTGTGTAGCGGTATGACGCTTCATCGACCCGAATCAGGGGCGATCGTAAGGATAATCTGCTCATACGTCCCGGAGACGACTGGTCAGACCTAGTAGTGTCAGGCCGGCAGAACCGCAGTTGCGCGAAGAGCAATACGTAAACCACGAGTACTTACCTCTTTTAGGTTGTGGGCCAAGGTATGATCTCGAACCTCCCACGGCTTCGTGGTTAGAGGCTGTATATGATCCAGGTAGCGATCTTCGATGCCAGCGGCGTGAGAGGCACTTGCGTCCATCTTTCGCGTTCCAACTTGGCTTCGACGAGTTGGTATTCGGGCCAGGCATGTTCACTTAAACTTCAGGCGTAACTCAGTCTGGCAGTTAAAGAAATCGTTGTCTGAAGCGTGCTTTGTGTTCAAATGGGCAGTCTCACAAGAAGATTCCACGGATGTCATGTCATGTGCGGTCGGTGGGGAGGCCACCAGGCTGGACATGCATGCTCTTGGATATACCACTGGACAGCACAATGAGGCTGCTATGGGAACACCAAGGAACATCTCAAAAAGCTCTGTGTAGTAGTCTCTACCCCAAGGATAAGCTGGACAGCTCTGAAGTTCCCAACATCGAAATAGCTCTCAGCACTTCATACTGTCTGGCGTTCGGTTACGCCGCTCACGCTTAGTGCTGCCCTGATTAGAAGGGGTTGCAGTCAGACACGATGAATGATAGAGGAGTGAAGAGGACAGTACCGCCTTTTCTAAGCAACACTTAAACCACGCACATGGACCACTTGTTGTTCTCAGTGGCTTCAAGAACGCGGGGAAGACTCGCCAATCAAGACGCGCTGGAATACGCGAGGCGTCCGCAGGTTTTTCAGCCCACGATGCCACACATCCTTCCTTCCACATCAGCAACAGCAATTCATCACAACGTGCACCACTTTCGGCCTTCTTTTACTGTGCAATACAAGCTATCGTTCAATCTTGCCAAGACTGGTGTTTTATATGATGGCGTACGAGACCGCGGCGAGCGCCTGTAGGCCGCGGAAAGCGTGGAAGGAGTCATTGGTTACCCAATCCTTCGACGCCACCCGCGACTGTCGAGACCTTAACCGAATCCTCGAGACGGTCAATCAGGACAAGAGTTTCAACTTTTGTGCTGCAGATACGTCGGTAGTCATCGACTATATCAACAAGAGCCTCATCATGCCGAAAGCCAGCAATCAACCCAAGCCCTGCGAGATCCAGCTATGGTGGTTCGGCGGCCCCGGAGTCGGCGAGGCGTTTTGTCGGAATGCGACCGACATTGCGGTCCAGGTGTACAAGACCAGGAACTTTACATTCGATAAGGCACAGCCGTACGAGAGCGTTATCCAAGCCCCGCGGGCATATTGCCATGAGCATCTGGAGGCGGAACTGGCCTCCATTGGCAATCCTGATATCGCTGGTACCGGGGCAAGTGACACTGCTGAACCCGGCGGTCCTTGACGACCGCTGACACTAAAGACCAGGTACTGACATCCTACGGTATCGAGTTGGCCCTCTTGCTACTCTTTGTCACCATGTCTTATACCAACAAACGTGTCCTTGGAAGTTTCGGTCCACTCGCAGACAGCGTCCGCGATGCGTTTTGGGACTTCTGGGGAGCCGCGACCCTCCTCATCTTCGCCGTCGTCGCAGCCGCTCTCGTCACTTTCCGGGACTACCAGTCCACGTCGAACACCATTCAAACCGACTTCGGGTATACCCACTTCTACGAGTATCAGCTCCTGGTATTAGCGTGTTCCTTGTCGCTGCTGCCGGCCTTGGTGCTGCAGACGATGGCATCGGAACACCTCCCCATTCATCAACCCAGCCATAAAGGGAGGTGGAAAATCTGGGCTACTTGGCTGACGCCGCTGGTGCTCTCCATCTCTGTGTTGCCACGATGTGGGTGATATGGTACCGCGGAGTCAGGGACCAGGACAATCCTGTCCACATCGTGTTCGGGGGCCTCGGGGACTTCGACGTTAGCAGCTTCCTCTACCGGAAGTCCCGGGCTTACACACTGGCGACGTGTATCCTGATGACGGTTCTGCCTGTCCTCGGGGTGCTTCCCGCATTGGTTGGTCGGTTTCTGTCTGTCCTCGGGGTGCTTTCCGCATTGATTGGTCGGTTTCTGCCTGTCCTAGGGGTGCTTTCCGCATTGATTGATCGACTTAAGGTCAGCTGGGCTCTCAAATATTCCGAGAGAATACTTGGAAGAACGTTTCGCGTCCTTGGCCTGGCTATGGCTGCGGTACAGTTCTTCGTGATCTGTTACATACGCGCGCAGGCTAGCAAGGATGCCCGTGGTCAGAACCCGGAAGTCGGGTTCACTTTTGGTCAGGTCCTGGCTCTAACCGCGTGGGTTCCTCTACTGTATAAGCTCTTCGTTGAGGCACTTGGGCTATGGTAGATTGAAAGATGAAGGATGGCTTGTATGGTTTCAAGACCAGGTGAAGAGTTTGCTACAAGGTGTTATTGATTATTGTATTATAGTGTACTATAGAGCAGGTCGATATTGTATAGTTCTCATTGTACTTATACCCACACGCACAGTTAGTTAGACGTATGTTCCTACCGTAGCGGGGAGATGTGAGGAGATGGGGCTGTCACTATTCTCTCATGTTTTATTTGTCCTGGATCTCAACGCCTTTATGCACTGGCTTAAGATAAAGACCACCCATAACCCCCTTATTGAGGCTTCCACGACGCTACCTTCCCTCCGAGCTTTTTACGACCTCTTCCAGGCCTCCTCGGCATTTGAACTTAGATAAGGTAGTCCCAGGCCATAACCTCCGGCGTCATACCGCCGCCCACGCTTCTGCTTCATGTTGCTCAGTCTCGATATCAAGTGTTGCGTCGCCACTGATGGCTCACGGTCATACAATACCAGTATGGTGACCAGTTGGTGTGCCCGCCAGTCTACTAGTCACCGTGATCAGGCCGACGTCTCATTTGATCTTCGCTCGGTCATGATACTGTGTGAAATTGAGCCGCACGCTAATAATTTACAGCATCGCCCAGTCTAGACCATCTCGCGGCATCGAACAGTACGAAAACCTCAAATGATATCGAGATTCTCACGGGATGTCTAACCATGCGTCATGGAGACCTGTTCCCGTAGGCGAAAGGGAAACGAGGCACACAGAGAGTGCGTGTACCATAAACGGGTAACTCGTGACCAAGATGAAGAAAGTTGATAACCAAATTACAGCGCTCCTTCCCAGAGTTATTGCTCTGCTATCTATCTAGGTACACGTTTTGGATGAACCCTCTGCGGCACGCTCATCGGAAAACACACGTTTTGGTAGAAACCTCAAGCAGCTACAGGCCATCAATGGTATACGTGCACTCGATCTTGTTGGAGTTCGCGATGCCTCGGCAAACACAATACCACCACCCCCCATATGCCGAGTAGAATGGTTGATGTTCTACGCCGCAGTCCACAAGTAATCCATGATTGTTTGAGTCCAGCTTGATGAGGCAGGTTAATTAGATGAGGTAGCTCCAGTACGTTCTCGATTGAGGTATAGAGCAGAGAGGCGCGACTTACAATGGCGGAGTGCCCGTTGTACGAGCCGCAATAGGCGCACCAGGGTTGCTCCCCTATATAGGCCACATTGCCGTTGCAGCCCCTTTGGGAGACAGGACTGCCGAGGGACGTAGAGGCATGGAGAAAGACAAGCGCGAGGGCGGCTGAGAAGTGCATGGCGATGGCTGATGGAGGTGGGTAGAACGTGTGGCACTTTGACTAGCAGTGGTGGTTGCTAGAGATGTACGTATGGGATGAAGGATTGGGAGCGGATGCTTCTCGAAGTGAGGAAGAATTCCGAACCTTTGAGCGGGAATCGTACTGCCTAATATACTATTGTCAAACCACCGAGGCTGCTATCATCATCGTACATGCCGTGGCATTCGTGCCAAGCGAGATTTGAGGCGTCCTGCTTGGGAATACTCAAAGACTGAGATCAGACCATGCTCAAACGTGGGTGAGGTAAGGGAATGACAAGTAAAGGGGGAAAGGCAGTGGAGGGGAGGGCACACGAGAAGATAAGATGAGGAGAAGGCAAGTACTTGATCGATACTATGCATCGCGCTTTGTATTACTCTGTATAGATGAGTAGGTAGTACCCCTCGAGACCCCGTCACGATGCTAGGTGTAAGGGATAGTCCACGTTGGTGAATCTAATCTCCCTTGCATTTGCGGGAGCTGTACTTGTGTAGGAGTTGTGGAAGATCACACTTTCAGATTCCCTGCGCTGTGAGCCGGCTGGATGGGTTCCGTATCCTTGGTAACCATCTGTTTCCAATTAATATCCGCGACAGCTATGATGAACAAGAGTCAGCACAATGCTATGACACGCCCAGGCTTGACTTAGGTGCAGACTGTTGGGTTACCGGTAAATTAGGTGCCGTGGACGAATGACCACAGCCTTTGAGCCAAAGCCAACAAGACACGCAGCCAAGCCGGATCGTCGTGGAGTTCAAGAGAACTCTTAGTCTAACAGAGTGTCGTGAGCACCATCAAGGCAGCCGAACTATATGATGAACTCATATATTGCAGTAACAGTGAGTCAAAGCTTGTCAGTAGAGGAAGCAGAGCTTTTGGGAGTTGATCATCTGAGAATGATAGTTACCTCATAACGAATTATGGCCATTCGATATGGGGAAGGTGCCACCAGGTACCACTCGCCTTTAGAAAGGGAGCCACGATTCGAAAAACTTATCGATCTAGTCGACGAGTCAAGCAGGCCAAATAACATGGAATGGAACGGCAAGAGACCCATGAGAATGCGAGTTGTTTAGGCCTTGTTATGAACCACAGCATTATGCTAGGAGAGATCTTGTCACGGGACTAGACAGCCCTACAGAATTGACCCCTATATATATCGGACTATGTCTTCTAGCTATAGCTTTATAGTTCCTTTTCTTCTTTACGTACGACAAGATTACAGAGTTCATTTCGGAGTCACCAGCAGCTGGACCGTGACAGTTCCACGATGATGGTATGCGGCAATACGCAAAGAACAGGCACATAGATCGATCGAGACAACACTCTAAGGCCCTCCCACCCGCGTGTACAACTGGCTAGGAATATACTTGAGCCACCCACAGATAACATGGCATGGTGTATTTGCAGTACCGACTGAAGTTACTCAGCCCCATTGCCTCCATTCCTTCGAATAATTACATCTGTAAGTTATAGGCAGACTATGCAACAGCTTTAAACCAACGGGCTGAACAATGCCACTGGCACACTAAAAGACCACAAGAAAGCTCTATACAATGACTTGACGCTATAAATCTTTGCTTTAAGTGCCCGTCTCACTTAGCGGTTTGCAAGACTGTTCGCATTTAGGTACTATGACGAAGCGGGCACCGAACAGAGAAATGAGCGCATCGCAATACTCTCGGAAGGGCCGCAGCAGTCAGAGGCATTTAGCGGGTGGAAGAGATGCACCAGAATCAACATAAGAATATCTTTTGATTGGTTACTACTAATACTAGGGTACTTATTTCACTGTGATCTATCTTGGATCTTTCTCTTTCTTTTGTGCTGTGGGCGACAACGCGATGCCCGATGAGCTTACCGTACCAAATGGGATGGGATCTGCGTCTTTGGGGTTGGGCGGGGATCAGGGCCAGGAAAACCAACGTACCTCACAAGTCCCGTCATCAGGCGGCTTAGTGGAGCAGAGGACCTTTGGGGTAAATGCGTTAGCTAGGCCTTACGAGCAGAGAAGGGCCGGGGAATGATGCTGTGGTAGAAACACTATGGAAAACACCCTCGACTCCCTCCCATGACATGACTTCCTGGTATGTGCAAAACCCTTTCTGATGACCCCATGTCCAGTTTCTCTCATCGGCTTCCTGCTGCCTCCTGAAGAGACGTCATGGATGCCGCCCTCTCGTCGATTCGTATGCTGCCAACCACACCAAACAAGCCGCTCCAATACATCGATCCCCCAAGGCATCTATCTACCGAATCTAACATTCCTCGACTGGCTATGGCGAGTACGCCGGTCTGATTTGTTCTGGCACAATGTATGTACAGGTTCAGAATTCCATACCGCCCATCTGGTATGCTCCATACTGGTCTTCCATGGTCCGCTGCTGGCTCGCCCACTTGTCGTTGTACACCGGATCTGTCGCCGGACGGTATGTGGGAGCAGAGCCGAAGTGGTTGTAGACGTCCTTGGGCCGCGACATGGCATCCTCGTACTGCTGTTTCGCCGAATCCTCATAGTCTCGTCGAGCCAGAGCTTCGTACCCGGACATCATATAAGGCTCGACGCAAGAAGTTGGTACCCAGTGTCCTTCGGCGGTTTGAACCGGGGTGAGAGGCGTGCCGTCCATGCTCATGACCATTGAGTTCTTCTGCTCTTCTTCCGCCAGCCGCTGTTCGTATCGGAGTTGTGCCAGAAGCTCCTCGTTCTCGACCGACGTGTTGTGCCAAGCGACACCTGGGTTGTTCTGCGTGTTCGTCGGAGGACAGATTCGCCACAGCTCGATCAGACGCATTTTCTGAGTATCTTCAGCAAGCTTAAAGAGCTCTAGCTGTGCTGAGGAGAGCCCCGACGGATCAACGCCATGCTGGCTTAGGATCATCTCAGCAGCTGGCTGTTGTGTTTGGGGCGGTTCTGATGATGGACGCTGCGGCTCGACAAGAGGCTCATCGTGTTGCGCGACATGGGCGGAGTGATGGTAATGTTGAGTGATGGAATATCTGATCGGTTCCGGCTCCGTTGCTTGGGGTCTTGGCTGCTCCTGGGGTGCTTCCTGGACTGGCTGCGGCTGGAATGTCAAGTTGCGAGAGAAGAGCGCAGCGAGGTCATCGCTCGCCTGCATATTCTGTTGAGGGTTGAACATGATCTGACAATGAGTAGGGTCAGACGAGTGTCGAGGGTGAGGGAGGGAGGGAAAGGGTGTGACTCACCGCGACTGAATCTGGGACAAGAAACACTTGACAATTGGCACACTGATACCCTGTTGCTCTCCTGCTGGCCTGCGGTAGTATGTCTGAGGCAGGAGTCTCGCGTAAGAAGGCTGCGTTCGGGTAGCGGGAACGGGTTCGTTGATCAAAATATGGGGAAGGAAGGCGAAGCTGCGGCAGCGAGGAGCTGTAACAATTCTGTCTCTTATATTGACTATGCTATGTACTTCAGATGCCCTAGACAGTTGGTGGGTGCTGGACAAGGAAACGAGGAGGATGGGGGGACGATGGGCCTTTTCGATGCCTTGTGTTCAAGGTCAAAGGGCAAGCAGGCAAGGTCAAGGAGCGGTGGGCGAGTGGTCAAGGTTTGGACAGTAGTCGATGACACTAGAGCCCGAGGAGAGTCCGTTTGAGCGGCGTGTGGGGGAAGATCAGACGGGAGACGGGTCAGACAAAGAGAACGGGGCTTGGTCCGGTTGTTGTGGGATTGTCGGCAACATATGGTCGTAATAATGGCCAAGAAATAAAGCGAGGTATTCACGTTCGGCGGTGGTTTGAAAGCGAAACTGTCGATGTGGCCAAGAGATGAAAGGGTGAGAAGAAGGGACCTCAGTGATGATGTCGGGTGTGATGATGGAGATGATGGAGGGGCAGAGGGGTCGAAGATGGGAGATGACAACATGCAAAATCGTCCCAAATTCCCCAGCCCAATCAAGATGGAGGGGCTAAATCAGTGTAAAACCTTGGGGCACTGGGCGCTTACCGTAGTGGGACCTCGGGCCGCTGGGCTGGAACCTAGCGCCGCCCTGTCGGCGCCCAATCTTCCCATTCGGGGCTAGGTTCTCAGACTCTCAGATTCTCAGATCATCCCAGCTTCATGTTGTCCAGCTTGTGCACTTGAACCGGGAATTCAACACCTCGACAACTGTCACTCTGCAGATGCCAACGCCGACCATGCAGTTGTTGTACCTACCGGAATTATCTGTTATATCGTCCTTCCACCCAATAGTGCCATGACACACACCTGACAGTATACCGTCTCCTTTGATGTCATGTCGTGTTTGTGCGTCGCGTTGCATGGGCCTGGGCAAGCATCGAGTCCAGGGACCAATCGGCTGACTATACCACATGCATCACGGGAGTGGCAGCTATCCCCTTTTCTCAACAAGGCGCCAACACGGCCTGAACACGATCTTTCGAATACCACATTAGGATCTTGTTCTGGAAGCCCTGTCATTTCTATGCATGTCCTCGCAAGCTCCACAGGCCTGGGCGGGAGTCAGAGCTGTCCTCTCGTACCTACTTGAATTGTGGCTTGGCCTACTGAATTGAATCTCGAGTCTCTGGATCAGAGTTCCTACTAGATGGGACACCATCTGAAGCAACATTCACGTGCTCCTTCCAGGACCACGTTGGCCTGAGAAACTCGCCACCTCCTTTCGATTCCTATCAAAGCTTCTCATTACCTGTTTCTGGGCGCCGTGCCAGCACGAGGAACATGTTTTGCAGATGGGCAGCCGTCATTCGTGATAGCGACTAGCAAGCTACAATGTCGAATAGTTGCGTACGTACAGTATGCCTCGCAGCTATCTGTCTTTCGCCCGAGTTCCAGGAGGGAGCAAGACCGTCCATCGCCCCCAAGGTATTCTTCTACTTGTGGCGTAGCCGACGGCCCTCAGCCTTCCGCGGCTTGAGTTGGAGCCGAAGCTGAAATGGAGCCATCCCTGTTGGTTGGTTGCCTGGGCCTCGTGGCTTTCGTCACTCGCTGTATATGACAAATCAAAAACACTGCTACATCGTGGGCTCCTTTACCAACCCTTCGTTGGCCCAACTCCGAAAGCGCGGAAGTCGTCTGATTCAACGAGGGCGTGCTCGTGTGCGTGGTTCTTGCCTAGACATACGGGGTGTCGTATAATGCCTAACAATCAGGGCCTTATTGAGATGATTGACCTTTGCATATCTCTCGATTCTCGAGGACCTCGCAGCCACGTTTCCGAACCTGCCATAGCACAAGCAAAATGGAGTGCCCAAAGGACCAACCTCAGCCGTATCGCCCGCTAGACATCAAAAAGAAAGACATACGAGTTCTGCGGCTTCTTGGCTCCGCAGACCCAGAAAGGTCTATCGTATGCCAGCTCGACCATACTTCGCTCCTCGAAACCGAGCCATCATACGCCACAATTTCTTATGTATGGGGCGACCCTGCCCTTCGAGGTCCAATCTTGCTCGGCCGAACCATAACTCACATACCCATGAGTGCCGTGCAAGTCTTACGCCGTCTCCGCCCGCTGGAGAAGGGCAAGGCTATTCGCCTCTGGATAGATGCAGTGTGCATCAACCAAGATGATATCGAGGAGAAAGGGCAGCAAGTGGCGATGATGGGCGGAATCTACAGCAAAGGTCTGGGGAACATCATCTATCTAGGCGAAGAGACTCGGATCGGCCGGCGTTCTTTCAGCGATAGAAGAAGTGTATAGCGGGATTGGCGACGCGACCGAGAATTTCGAGAAGTTCAGAGAGATCGCTGAGGGTAGTACGCGGGTGTCAGTGGCCGCGATCAAAGAGCATGCAATGGCTTTGATAGATCTTTATTCGAGAGACTGGTTCTCGTGAGTCTTGCCTACTTCCAAACGCCGATGGCGGGTACGGTCGATCTGTACTAAACAGGATATAGCCGCTCATGGGTCGTCCAAGAAGCCGCCCTGCCTCCCAAGAACATCTGCATATTGGGTAGCACAAAGCTTCCGCTCCAGAAAGCCCTCCTGATCGCATACTGGCTCATTAGTGCAGCTGGAGGCAGCAGCCACATTCTACGTGCTCAGCACCTAAGGACAGCCTGCTTCATGCATCAAATCATTGACAAAGAATACGGACTCTTCAGTCAGCGTTTCACACGTGGCCAAGTACTCTCAGCAGAAACCATGTTCTCTACCATCCTGGACATGACGAAAAGGCATCAGGTTTCCAACCATCGGGATAAGATCTATTCGATATTGGGCATGGTGCCGTGGCCGCAGGGCATCATACCACCGCTACTCCAGCCAAACTACTCTAAATCCGTCCGCGACGTCTTCCGGGATGCTACACGGTACATCCTGCAAGACCCACGGCAGGGTCTTCATCCTCTGAAGTCGGTGGCACATCTCAGCAATCCTCGCATCTGCGACACGGGTCTCCCGTCATGGGTGCCGAACTGGCATCATGTAATGGAACTCTCTGCTGACCCGCCGCGCCCTTGGGCGGACTTCCTGTGTGCGCACGGGCGCACGCAAGCTGCGGTGAGCCCGGTAACAGCAATGGATCCAGACGTTTTGGAAGTAAAGGGGATCACGGTGGCCACCATCTCATCCATTGGCGATGAATTGCGTGGTGAAGACTTTGTCAGGGAAACAGAAGGGCTGCGGCTTCGTAAGCTCCTTGCTGACACCATAAAGGCCATATCTCCTAGCTGCAAGGACTTCGACGTGAAGACAGCAGATGGGCAACATGAGCTCGCCTTCTTCCTGCTCGCGGGCTGGCCGCAGAAGTATTGGACCAAAGAGCAGACATTAGAACACTTCCATGCCTACTTAGAATACGTCGCGGAACACAAGCGGCCGCCACCGATGCCTCCGTCATTGCCAACGGACCATGATAACAGGATGCAACTGGCGTCAGAGTTCCTGGGCAAACTCTATCGGGCTTGGAGAGGCTGGCGGCCATTCTACACCGCCCCAGGCCGGCCCGGCATCGGCAGGTTGATAGTGAAGCCAGGCGACGCGATGATCTTGTTATATGGCTGCGATGTACCCCTTGTGCTGCGAGCTTGTGGCCAGTACCATCAATACATTGGTGATGCATATGTACTCAGGATCATGAACGGGCAAGCAGTGCGCCATCACCAAGCCGAAGGAAAGAACAGCGAGACCTTTCGACTGCGATAGGTCGGACGTGAGTGACCCGGATGTCGGGGTGTGGGAAGATGGCACGTTAGACGTCTTCTCCGCGCAGATGCCGTCAGAGAGGCCCGACGACCAGCGACGGAGGAAGAAAAGGAAACCTCTACAGGAGCGAAGCCAGTCGGAAGCCAGTCGGAAGCCAGTCGGAAGCCAACCGGCAGAGTCCGCGAAGAGAGTCAAGAGACCCGGAGAAGCCTACTGTCCGCTTACCTAGTCAGGCATTCACTTCACCCTCGGCACATGATGCAGCACATCTCAGTTTGTCGACCGACGCCTCTGCCGATTTCGAAGACACCCAAATGGCGAAGGAACTCACTGCTATCAAATTCGATCGTGCACAGCCTCGTTTACCCAACTCTTCGGTGGTGCAGGAGGCTAACGCGGCGAAGCAAGGATTCGAAGCCCAGAGCACTTTACGGACACTCACGTTTCAAATACATCCACGTACGCCAATGAGGCGCGGAAGTTAGGTAGGCCTACCTCTCAGCGTTACCTTGCTGCCATGCTACCATCGCGTCGTTTTTGCTTCGCCTTGACCAAATAGGCCGCTTTCTCCGCAATCGCATACACCGTATTGCACAGGTGCTTCGCAGGCACAATGTGCATAATACTCGAGTGCACCACACTCAAATGCTCAACCCCATAGAACACCAACTCCAGGCTCATAACACCACCGTCCTCCAGCGGCATCATCGGACACGCACAACTCGGATGCGCGAACGAAGGAGACAGCACACCCGCCTTGAAGATCCCGAGTATCTCATCTCGATGCCAATCGCCGTCTTACCGCGGAAGAGCACCCTGTTCACCGTCGTGGCCGTCATCAGGGGGAGATTGGTCCGATTGACCACAGGATCATAGTAAACCGTTCTGGCATCGCTCCTCGTCTCAGTCGTCGGGTCCTGGCTATTCGGGACCCAAAAGATGCCTACGCCTGAGCCGTCCCCTCCATCTGTAGGATAAGGGATGGCAGGCAGTGAAGAAATACGGTTCTTCCGGCCATTCGAAGGGAGCGATACTGGCGTGCACTGGACCATCCGTGCCCAGGCCGAGGCGTTCCAGGTGTAGTTGTACCGCGCCGCGATTTCCGGAGTGGGTGGCGTGAGATTGGTTGACTTGATGAAGTACGGTAGCATGCCATCCCAGCCCCATTCTGAGACCTCGCTGTCAGTAAGTGGGACATGATATCTGCCTTCGTCCAGGCATACCAGGGTTGCCTAGCTCCCACATATCACAGTCCGAAGCGCTGGCCCGATCGAAGTACATTCCGTTGACTACACTGCCGCCTCCCACAGTCGCCGCCGCGAATACTGGCGCAGGCGCATTGTTTAAGTGCACTAGAGGCGTCGAGGTGATGTCGTAAAGGTCTCGGAAGTTGTTGGAGCCCGCGAAATATGGGATCAGTACTGTCTGGTTGTTGTCGAGGTAGCCGTATTCCACCACGAGCACGCTGACGCTTGGGTCTTCTGTGAGGCGGTTGGCTACCGTCAAACCTGCCGTTCGTCCCCAACAATGATATAGTCGTAAGTATCATTAGCTGCACGTACGTGAGGATGGTGCTTGAATCCGGCCATTGCTGGTGCTGATAGCGCTTCTGCAACACCTAGCAGAGCAGTGTAGGCCAGCGCCCATATAGACTTCGAGCACAGCATTATTCAACAAACGAAAGTTGGAGTCGAAGAAGACAGTGGTCTACTTGCACTCGAGAGCTCGAGGGTGTTAAGTTTTTCAAATACCGACAATACCGGCGCCACTAGATATATTGCCGACGGCAAAGTCTCATATGAGCCAAGTTTTCTGCAAGCCACAAGTTTCATGCGGAGAAACAGGTTGCATCGCAGCAATTATCGGCGGTGGCAAGGCGGATATAAGCGACCCCCAGGCCCGGATCTGAAGACCATGTTGCCTACCAAGCTGCGATGAGGAGCTTGACCGTGAGTGCGTGATGCCTCATACCGGCCACATATAAGATCGATCTAGGTAATCGATGCTTGCAAACACCATCGTAAGAGGAAAGATAAAGGCGAAGGTCGTACAGTACGTATTAAGATATCTAACATACTTGCGAGTCTTTAACAGCAGCGCACTCACCCGCCCAGAAGGAACGTGCCGTAAAAGAAAAAAGGAGGGTTTGTTTAATGATCGTCTCCGCTCGGTAGACATGCGTGGAACAAAAAGTTTGATATGTGACAAGTGAGGGATTCGAACCCTCGCCTCTTGCGAGAGTAGAATGCTTGTTTCCCATGCACAAAGCTTTGTTCTGCTTGAGTCTACCGCCTTAGACCGCTCGGCCAACTTGCCAATGAGATTTTTCGATTATATCGGGGCCTCAGTAAGCGGCGCTGAAGCTCTAGCAAAGCCCCACAATCAGTGGGGCAATCCCATGTCATCTCTCAATCCACGCTTGCTTGGCCTCAACTTCTATTTAGGCTCGGGGCGCCCAGGGCCACATTGAACGCTCCTCAGACGGGCCCCTACCTCAAATCAACGACCAACAATCCAAAATTGCAGCGACAGCCCACCAAGAAATTTCAAATCACTGGGAGCTCGGCCAACCCACTGCGCCGCGCCATATCGCGGTCCCAGTGGCCGGGTTTAAGCCTAATAGGCGATGTTCGGGGAGACGGTGCAGCGCAGAGAAGACAAGGTCAGATGATGACAGACGGACAGCGCAAGCAACCTCGCGCGGAAAGTTAAGGTTGAGAAGGACATGATGCTTGATAAGGTAGGAAACGTCTCGAGAAGAGATGTACTTCCGATGCAGCCGTGTGAGCGCTGTTGGCAAAATGGGACATTGGGTTTACGAGTGTACCTAAGCGAAAAAGGCTACCTCAGCCATGGGTTGGTTCTAGCAAGCGTATGAACTCTGTCAAAGACCAGATCGGCTGGCACATGTTAGTAACTACCATCTTGTCGCGGATCTCTATCGCCTTTGGTGTTTACCGGACTCTGAATAAATGTCCCCTTCATGGTTCTATTGAAGCTGCAACCACGCCCGACTGAGAAGCTGTCGTGCAGAGAGAGGGGAGATGTTAACACCTCGCCATATGCAATCTCCAGGGCCTTCTCCAAGCAAGAATCCGGCTGACAAGCAATTACTGATGACGATCTGTTTGATGAGGTATGCGATGCTGTCTAACGAGCAGACATATGCCCTTGTGGAGGATGTCGCGGAGCAGGAGATTAGTTAGCAATGGCTGGGATAAATCGGGGATGACTACAACGACGACGGCGACGACGTCACAGCTCACTTGTATATGTTTCATCATATAAATACACAATTTGAGACCGGAAGCTGATGGCACATGAATCGATTCACTGGTCTTTGACCCACGTGTTTGAACTCCCCTGTCGAGTCGTCGCAGCTGGTTGTTGTACGATAGGAAGTATATTTTTTGTCCCGCCTGCTTACAGTTTACCCAGTTCGTAGTCATTTCAATCTTGCACCTTACTTCTGAGCTTAGTGAAGATTGGACAATCTATCTTTTCTTGCCTACATGCCTGCCCATCTATACTTTGGCGAGATCTTCCTACTCTGCTCTTGGCCAAATGCCCCCAGCAGATCAGTAGGCTCAACAGAGGTACCCCCAATCCGTAATAGCACCAGACCATGACCCGTTGTAAGATATGTTGCTCGATACACAACGACCTATAATCCACGAAAGGGAATTCAATCCAAGGCCGAAGTGAAGAAGGCCAAGTGTTCCTCATGACAGCTAGCACATCCATGTTTTGATCGTCTGCGGATTGTATTGAGAACCCAAATTTGCAACTTTCAGGGGTAACAGAATGCTGGCTGACACGGGATCCCATCGGTTCTGATGCTAGCCACCTCGACCTCACTGGAATATTGCCTATGGGACATCTACGCAGCTCACAGAATTGATGTCCTGGCGCCATGATCTGCTCAATCCGCAGCAACCCCAGCAGCTCGTTGCCATTAGCTTACATCACGAACAGGATGTTTGTGTCTAAGTTCCTTAGTATGTGCGCATATATCGATCGTGGTAGGGCTACTAACCGAGCGGGTGACTACACGAAAGCTGAGGCTTCTGCGAGTACTTGGTCTGCAAGACATCCCGAATGCTGTTGAGGAGCTCCACGTAGCTCTGCTTGGGGTCCTGCTTGATAGCTGTGATGAAGGCCCACGACATGGCACCAGTAGCCTGCGATGCAATGGTAGCATCGGCCGAAGTCTGATCGTCTTTGCTACCGGACCACATGATGACGTCAGCCGGCGAGGTTTTGGTTTTGATGGTCTTCTTGTAACCGTCGTCGCCTCGGTAAGCGGTCTTGGCGAAGCCGAAGATGGCCTTAGCAACTCCGGCAGTGTCGCCCTTGGCATAGGAAGAGAATGCACTGAGCAGACCTTGGCCGGCTTCTGCGGCCAGGTTGGGCTCTTTCAGAACACCCTTGGTCGAGTAGATGTAGGGGAGATCGAGGACAGAGCCAGAGTGACAGCTATCGAATATGGCTGTCAGTCGCACACCTGCGACAAGGGGCCTAACGACGACGTCGTGAAGCTGGTCGTCAACAATGTGGCCGGCTTGCTTGTAGTCGACGGGGTAGATGACCTCGTCCGAGCCATCCTCCTCGTCTCCGTCCGTGTCCTCAGTCTGTCCGCCGTGGCCGGAGTAATGCAGGAACAGAGAATCGTTGGGCCTGGCTCCGGATACCAACCACTCCATAGCGCGGATGATGTTGGCTTTGGTTGGTTGCATGATTGGGTCACGCTGGTCGTCGGTGAGAATAATCATATCCTCCCTCTTATACCCGTATCTCTCCATCAGGAAGACAGAGACGTTCTTAGTGTCATTGATGCATCCCCGAAGCTCGCCGTCTTGGCCGAAATAGTTGATACCGATCAGCAAGGCTTTGCGCTTACCAGTACTTTCGCAAATTAGAGTCAGTAATTACTCCTTTTCCATGAGGAACAGAGAGTCGGAATGCGTGTCTCGGGAGCAAGGGCTCTTGACACAGGCCAGAAGAGGAAATTCGCCCTGAGACACGGCCAGAAGGGATAATAGGGAACTCTAAAATGTACGTACCAATTGGAGTACTGAAAGGTATAGCCATCCGGTGCTCCATGGCCGAATCCCTGTGGGGCCGAGGGCGGAGGCGGCCCAGCCCGATGTTGCCCCCCGTAGCCCTGGACGGGAGGGCCGTTCAAAGGATATCCGTACTGGTCCAGGCCCTGGGGTGGCGGGTGCGAGGGGGCTGGGAAGCGGTTTGAACCCTGGTGATGCGACGGGGGAGGGCCGCCTTGTGGAGGATACTGATTATAGCCTTGTTGCTGGTAACCCTGTTGATGGGGAGGTGGTCCTCCCGGGGGTCCGTACTGACCATAACCATGTTGCTGCGGAGGCGGTGGTCCTCCCGGAGGTCCATACTGGTCGTACCCGTGTTGCTGCTGCGGTGGGTATTGATTGTATCCTTGTTGCGGAGGGGGAGGTTGATAGCCACCCGGGTAGCCCCCTCCGTATCCCCCTCCATAGCCCTGATCGTGTCCTCCCCAGCCAGACATGCTTCGTAAGGTAGAAAGATTGGAGTGTATTTTGAGGCTTACAGTGAGGAGAGACAGACTGCTAGCAAGAGACCGAAGCGAGGTGAAGCAATGGGGATCAACGTGCTTTGTATCACTCAGGTGGTGGGAAGAGGAAGATGTCTGCGGCTGACGTGTGTTGACTGCGGTGATGCGAACAGAGGCGGGAGGCGGGGGGCGATGCAGGTGGGGGAAACTCAGGGTCGTGGGTTTCCAGGGGGCTGCAGGTGGCTTGGCGCCATCCAATTTAGGGCTGATCAGTGATCTGTTTGCAGCATTGGCGTGGGCGTTGGCGCTGAGGCAAACGACGCGACAGCGCTAATGCATGCCGAGCATGGCGCGGGTATTTCTAAACCCAGGCCTGCGACAGTCACTGGCCCGATTTGTGGTCACTCAAGAGTGTAGATGTGGTATATGACTGCCTATTATGTACCTACCTACCTGAGAAAGGACAAATAACGAAGTAACGAGATGAAGGGACCAATGTCTCTACAAGCAAACACTTTCATGAGCCTTTCGGTTGACGTGATCCGAAGAGGCCCATGAGATATGCTGCACGTTTCAGCTGTGCAAGGGTTTAGGTCTGGTCTCTGAGCTGCTTGTACCGGTAGCTCTTTACCCGATTGTCTGGTGTACAACTCACATGCAATGATTACAATCTTGGCGACCATCGCCCATCCATTCATGTTTGTCGTTGTAGGTGGGTGTTGGTGGCACCCCATCTCATTCATTAGGTTGTGCTCACCCCCGTCTTGCAACCCCTCATAAAGCACTGCCCCTCAATTCCCTATCTCAAGTCTCAACGCAGCTTTCAACCAGAAGACAAGGAGAGTTACCCTGTCCGTCACCATGTCGTTCTTCAACAAGCTCACGAGCAGGCTGGACGACCTGAACCTCGGCGGCGACAAGAGAGAGGAGTCACAGGCCTCATGTAAGTTATGATTGCCCCTCGCCATATACTTCGTGGCCGTCTGTCAATCTTTGGATACTCATCAACTTCACCACAGCACAAAGAGGCTACCCGCCACCTTCTCAGCAATACGGAGGCGGTTACCAAGAGCAGAGCCATCAATCTTACAGCAGTCCTCCGCCGCCTCAGCCATCTGGAGGCTACGGGGGCCAGCAGTACAGCAGCCCTCCGCCAGCCGCCTCGGGCGGACCCCTATACTCTCCGCCGTCGGACAAGCCGCCTATCCCCCGGGGATGGGTACCTCAGTTTGACCAGCAGTACCAGCGCTGGTACTACTACGAAGAATCCACAGGTCATTCCCATTGGGAGGCGCCCGCATCTAGTTACGGCACCAGTGGCGGCGACCGCGGATGGGGCTCTCAAGGCGGCGACGCTGGCTACTCCTCGCACGATGCAGGCTATGGAGGAGGACAGGGCGGCTATGACCAGCGCTCGAGTGGAGGCTACGCCGACTACGCAGAAGGCGGCCAGGAGAGGAAGAAGAAGGACCACAGCGGCATGATGTATGCGGCCGGTGGTCTTGCCGTTGGCGCGGTCGGCGGTGCCTTGCTGGCAGATGCTCTGGGTGAGTTGCCTTGAGCTGCACCCTCGCTGCCGTTTTCGAACTCCCGAAGAAAGCGAATACATATACTAAGTCCCGTATAGATGACTCCGACGAGGAGCGCCACCAAGCACCTCCGCCCGTACAGTACAAAGAGTATGGCGCCCCAGCCGCTGCTCCCGTGTACGAGCCAGAGTACAACGCGGAAGGCGAATACGTCAGCGGGAGTGACCGCGGGTCCGTCGCATCGGCACGAGAGGACTACGAAGAGGCGGCTGCCGCAGCTGCCGACTCTGATGCCAGCAGTAGTGAGCAGGAGGATCTGCAGGAGGCTAGAGAGGAGTACGAGGAGGAGTACGAGGAGGCTTATGAGGACTAGAATAATGCTTGAGCTTGGCGTTCTGGTCATGTTACTCCGTTTGGGGTTCTGCTTGAGTGCAAGTAGACTAGACGGATAAATTCCGTGTTGCCGCACCCCTTGACAGTGTACCAAGTCTTGTGGTTCTAGCTACACTCAGTCCTTACGAGTCTCCTTACGTGCCATGTTAATGAGGGTTTACACCACCCGTAGAAATCTCGAAGTATTGGAATAAGCATATAGGAATAAGCAGCTCTAGTTCGGTATGCTATTTTCAACGCTTATTCCAGTGTGCTTATTCCGACTCGAAATATATGTGGACAGGTGGTGTACGGAGACTTCTGAGGGCTCAGTGCAACTAATGCTCAAGAGACCGTACCTTTTGTCATTGACGGATCTTTCAATTGGGCAATAACGATCAATCATCGGTTGATGAACTGTTGATAAACGGTCGGAACATTACTTTGACGTTTAAATCCCCGGCCGCGGAAATCAGAGCCAAATTCGCATTCCGCAATGTTACTCAGGACAACATGTGGCTCCCGACCAAGACGCCGGACACGGGCTCGAGCCAACAACAAGGACGGCAGAAGAAGACGCGCGCCAATGCTTCGTGGTAGGAGGACGAGCTACGTAGCAACGATATGTGGAAGAAGATCGCCAGTGAGCGTGCGAGGGGCAGCTGGTCGCCGGTTCTCTTCGTGGTACAAGAGGTCCGGGACGGCAAGCGGGTGGTGGAAGACGAGCTTATCCTCATCTGGCATGCTGCTGACAAGGTATGGTTTACCGACGATATGGATGGGGATGTGAGGTCGGCGGTGCACTGGGCGCCTCAAGAAATCGACATAGTGGCGAGAACAGCCGTTCTCAAGTCTGCAATGAGGGACGGGTCTCCCTGAGCTCTGTGTAGCTCCGTGTAGTGCTTGGTGAGAGGTACGGAAAGTGTATCTAACATCTCTAGAGGAAGTGAGTCTACTCGGCCGACCCTGGCACGAAATCAAAAGACTGCCATGGCATTCGGCGGCGAGCCAACCAAGCCGGGTATGTTCAACGGTACAGATGTGAGCATGAAGCTGTAGCGTCCCGACTTCTCGCAGTGTGTCGACAGCGCTTTGAGGTCCCACAGCTCACCGATCGGCATACCGAACAATGAGAGTAGCCAGGGGTGCAGATCTGTCAACTCAATTAGTAGGAGTCTCGGTCCGCCGCGAGGATGGTAAAAAGGGGTTCCTTACACAAGTCATTTGGGCTGCCCACCGTGCCGTCCTCCTTGAGCGGCATGAGGGCCTCGAATGCAATAGCGTCCCCAGCCACGGCCGCAAAGTGCTTATTCCACAGCCACTTGGCGGACTCGGCAACCCCGTGCATGCCCGACTGCGTTCCATCCTGCAGCTTCGCGAAGTCTTCCGGCGTCGGAGCCTGCAGCACCTCAGTGAGCCCCGTGCGGACGATCAGGACGTCGCCATGCTGGAACTCGACTCCCTGATCCTTCGCCACCGTCTCGACCTCCTCCACCGTGATGCGATGCCCATCCAGGGGATGGAAAACGGCCTCTTCGCCTGTCTTGCCCCCAGTGCGAGCCTTCTTCTCCGCCCACGCCTTGAAGTCGATCAAGACCCCTCGTGCGACGAGCCCGCCAGCAGCATGCCAGTGGTCCAATGTCGGCATCGAATTAGCCGCCGTGGTCGGCGCGTCTAGTGCCTCCTTCGTGACGGCGATGCCATTGTAAGCCAGCCCGGACGGCTGGTGCTGCCAGTGGACAAGACTATCCCACTGGCTGCTCATCTGCGTGTTGAAGTGCAGCTCGTCGTCCCAGCCCGTGCCCTCGGATAGACCGGACTCCTTCAGCGTCATCTGCTTGTGCGTAGGTGCCGCCCTCCCAGGCACCGGGAACGGCATGGCGTTGAGAGGCCAGCTGGAGGGGACATGGTGAGCAGAGAGAGTAGTTGCCGAGCCCTCCGGACCGGGATAGCAACTCACTTGAGCGAGATGGAGACGCCATCTCGTGCCTCGGCGCAGGCGGCCTTTCGGACGGCTGGCGTCAGAAGGTTCAGGGTCCCGAGGAGGTCCTTCTCGCCACCTTGGTCGAAGATGCCCCATGCACACCCTTGGGGCATATCCTTCACCTTCGGCAGACTGTCAAAGTCGGGTAAGCGCACAGTATCCATCTCTGCGGTCGAGTAGAAGTGTCTTGAAGACAATACGGGCTGACGCCTCAAGACTGACTCGGGGGTTTCGTTTCAAGCTGAATGCACAGCTATCGCATATAGCAGATCGCAAACATAGAAGAAAGGCTTGTCCATTCTAAGTTCTATGTGCAATGGAGCTTGGAGCTCCCCCCTATAAAAGAAGGAGCTGGGTGGGGACAAACCCCTGTCCCTGCGTCTGGTCACGTGCACAACCTTGCGGTCGGCAATCGCGGATACAACCAAGGTATGATGACAGCTGCCGGCTAAAGCGGGTCTGTTCTTCGTCGGGGATACATCATCACATCATACATGCAGCCCGTCGTGCAATCTACTGTAAGCTACACCGCTACGCTGCCCTTACATGGAATATGCAGGGCCAGCACAGCCCGCCAGCAAGCTGACAACGGCTGTAACCGTTGCAGGTTACCAACGGCCGGGGCGTTACATGTCGGTACCTTTGCCGACGCAACTGGTGGGGTGGTAATCCACATACGGGGCCCGCATGCCGGGCAGTCAGGCAGTCAGCATCGTTCTGGATAATTGTAACTTAGGTATTATAGGTAAGACGGGATGATGTATTAGAAGGTCGCCGAGAGCGAGAGCGAGGAAGGTAAAGTTCCCCATCTCGGGGACCTTCCAGGCTTCTCCGTTAAAAATCCCGGGAGCAGTCCCCTAGAAGCCCCCGCACCCCCACACCTTGTTCCCGGGGAGTTACACTTCCACATCAGGAAGGAGCGACACATATAAAGGAGGCGTTGGACACAAGACCTTGGGATGACCACCGTCTCCGCTCCTCCGGACTCGACAAGACTCACCTCTTGGAACACACCTTAGAACACATCCACCATGAACGACCCCGCCGCAGTCCAGCAAAAATACGTGGCCGAGGCGCAGAAGCGCGCGCGCAAGGAAGGCGTCGCCCAGTACGAGGTGCTGTCGCAAAGCGACTCGGACCGCCTGCGCCACCTCGTCGACGACATCTGGGCCGACCACGCCGCCCTGGATGCCCTGCCCTCTCCCATCGGCCCCGATGACCGCCCCAAGTTCCTGATCGTCGGGGCCGGCATTGCCGGGCTAGTGAGCGCAGTCCGCCTCATCGAGCAGGGCTTCAGCGCCGACGAGATCAGGCTCGTCGAGACGGCGGGTGGCGTCGGTGGCACGTGGTACTGGAACCGCTACCCGGGCCTGCACTGCGATGTCGAGAGTTACATATACATGCCCCTGCTCGAGGAGCTGGGCGTGATGCCCTCGCGCAAGTACGCCTCGGGTGTGGAGATCCGCTCCCACCTCAACGCGATCGCGAAGAAGTACCGTCTGGACGACAAGGTGCTTTTCCGGAGCCACGTGGACAAGCTGGAATGGGACGACGCAGCACACCTCTGGAAGGTCGACCTCACGACGGGGAGAGGCCCCCGGGGCCAGGAGATGACTTCTACGACGGTCAAGTCCGACTTCGTGATCTTGACTTCCGGGCTGCTGGCTAAGCCGCAGATACCCAAGCTCGGTGGTGTCGGGCTGGGGGGCTTCAAGGGCGACATCTTCCACACCTCGCTGTGGAACTACGACGTCACCGGCGGCTCGTCAGAGGAGACTTTCCCGGACCTGTCGAAGCTGAAGGATAAAAGGGTTGGCATCATCGGCACGGGTGCAACCGCCATCCAGGCGGTGCCGTGTCTAGCCAAGTACGCAAAGGAGCTGTATGTGTTCCAGAGAACCCCGAGCGGAGTGTACAGCCGCGGACAGAAAGAGACCGACCCTGCCGAGTGGAAGACTATCACCTCGCAGCCTGGCTGGCAAGTCGCGCGGATGGACAATTTCGCGGGGGTAATAACCAAAGCCAACCCGCCCGGCACGCTGGACATGGTTGACGACGAGTGGTCCAAGCAGCCAGCGTACGCAGCCCTCGTGGGCGACGCGCAGAACGCCGCCGTCGCGCCGGAGAAGATCCCGGACCTCATCGCGCACTACCAATCGCTAGACGCCGAGAACGGCGCGCGGCTGCGCAAGCGCATCGCCGACATCGTCGAGGACAAGGCCACGGCGGAGAAGCTGACGCCGTGGTACCCGGCCTGGTGCAAGCGGCCGACGTTCAGCGACACGTACCTGCAGACGTTCAACAGCCCCGCCGTGCACCTCGTCGACACGGACGGCAAGGGCGTCGACAGCGTGACGCCCGAGGCGCTCGCCGCTGGCGGCACGGAATACCCGCTGGACGTCATCGTGATGAGCACGGGCTACCGTGCCCCGCCCCTGGACGGGGGCGACCCGGCCCTCCGCGCCGGCATCAAGGTGCTCGGCCGGAACGGCGTGGACATGACGGAGAAGTTCGCGGCGCAGATGGCTACGCTGTACGGCGTGGCCACCAAAGGATTTCCGAACCTGTTCTGGCTGGGCCCCTCGCAGGCGGGCGTTGAGGCGAATTTTCAGCATGCCATTGACACGCAATGCAGGCTGAATGCGTACATCATCGCCAAGGGACACGACAAGGTGGGCGGGAAGACGACGAACGGTGTGGTCGTTGAGGTCGAGAGCACCGCCCAGGAGGCATGGAGCAGTAAGTAGCACACACCCACTTCCTTGCCTTCACCCGTCCAATCCCTGTGCTTTCCCGGCTCGAGACCGGGTTGCCGGGCTTGTCTTGCCTGTTTATGCCGGACCTCCTGGTTCAAGATTTGACCCCAAACAGGGTTTGGGAAGAATGAGTTACTGACCCAAGGTGGTACAGTGCGCATCATGCAAGGTGCGGCGCGGTTCGCGAGCCTGATGGTCTGCACGCCGAGTTACATCAACGCCGAGGTGGCGCCCGGCATGGGGCCGCAGAAGAGCCAGGAGGAGATGATGAACGGGGCCCGCCGTGCCCCCTGGGGCGGAGGCCTTGTTACGTTCAAGCGGGAGCTGAGTCGCTGGCGCGAGGAGGGGGATCTCAGTGGCATTGCCGTCAGTGCTGCGTGAAAGCCGGGTCGCATTTGGCTTGTGTGATGGTGGATTCTCGACGTTTTTGGCAAGCGTGTTGGGCATTTGAACCAAGGTCTGTGGTCAAACCAAAAAATCTGTTGATCTAAAAATCCGGGTATACTTTTAAGTGAAAGCACCATAACTCCTAGCCACCCTCGTCAACATGTGCTCGTAGTAGTGTACACAAGAAACTGCATATAAGTCATGAGCCGGGCACCGAAACGTCGGGCATGGATAAATTCCTCCTGTTCTCGCGCTTTTTATACAGCAGACCGCAGACGTTGCATAGTAAGCCCCGACCGCCCGGGCCCGGTCGCCACTGGGGTGTTTCCGTCCGATCGCAAATGTCGCATCGAGACGAGCCGGCTTGTCGCTTTGGTGGCAGTGTTAGCAGAACCAACCAACCGTATACCTACTACCCAGCCGCCAGCTGAGTAGGTTGTTAGGTATGGACGACCGCACCCACCTTCTGCCCGCGTGGAGCCTGATCCCCCCTTTGGCCACCACGCTCCCTCACCTTGCCGGACACGACACGTTTCCGCACCGATATGACCTCGGCCAAGCTCGCCGATATCTTCCTCGAGAGGTCCAGCATCGCGAAGAGGTCGTCGTCGCTCGACGGCATGTCGTGGGCCGAGCTCGACTGGTAGCCCTCGAGCGTGTCGTAGTGCTCTGGGAAGCTCTCGACCAGGCGGAGTAGCTCTCGTGTGTCTTGTTGGACCTGTTTGGTTGTATGGAAGGTTTCAGCAGACCTGACGAGAGCGAAAAGGGCGAAAGGGGCCGTGGGCTATGGACTGACGTTCTGCATATTGTTGCTCTCCTGGAGCTGCCGCAACGGAAACTTGCGGTCGGTGCCCTCAGGCATGGTCGCGTTCTGGCGGGGCAGCGGCCGCGGAACACCCCCGTCGCGAGGGGATGAGTCTGCCCCTATCCCCTTGACGGATGTATCTGGGCCGTGGGAGCGAGGAAGCATTGACGGTGATGTGGGCCGCGGAGCGCGGTTGGGGGTTGCTGTTAACAACTGGACTAGACGGGATGGCGGACGCAAATGGGGGGATGATATCACGGAGACGGAGACGGAGACGGAGTCAGTGGGAGAGTCGAGCGATTGATGGTCCCGATCAAGTGCGGGAGGAATGTGACGATGATGTAAGTGGTGGTTTATGGCAATCTGGGCTGGATGGGAAAGTGAAGATGGGAAATCCCATCCAATTGGATGGGGGCCTACCAATCCGGAATGATCTCCGTGAGGGTACTATGATGTCACACAATCTCCACCTTTCGTGCTCATGCTGCGAATCTGATTGGGTAGACAGCTACCTGACAGCACATGGCTGCATTTGCCATTTTACAGTGGACTCTCACTCTCACGATGGACATCTTCACCCATCTTCTTGCAATCGAGTCCTCCTCAACATGTTCTCCGTTGAGTCACTCGAGAAAGTATCTTGCTCCCATGTCACGAAGCATCATGGTGGACTGGAAAAGTACCAAAAACTTTTCATTCTCCCCTCCAAAATCTAAGTCTAAGACTCTAAGCTACCGCTAGGTCAAGGTCCTTGCTCCGGCTCCGGACACATCCCCGGATGATGCTAACCCTGACATACTCCACACCGCCTTACAATCCTCCAGCAACCATGGCCTCATCAGGCCTGACAAAGCTAGTATGCCCCAATCTGGGCGACAGCACGGTCCAGAACATCGTAGATGAGCGAGTCCTTCTCGACAAAGATTCCGCCAACACTGACACCTGGGTGGAGCGTCACGTCCTCAGCGCCGGTATCGTGTGACATACCAGGCATGCTCTGGCGAGTTTCGACAACGGGACCGGCGCCCCGTTTGCCGTGATTGTTGTGGTTGCCGACGCGGTCTTCGATGCAATGGCCAACAAGGACACCGGGGACCTCGGGGAAGATCACGACGCCAAACTCGCCGACACCGCCGTAAACTCGGCCATGAGCCTGGGTCGTCGGGACCCAGCCGGTACTGGTCGACTTCATGTTGTTGAGATCGGGCAAGGCCTCAGCATCGACAACCACAGTAGACGAATGAGAGGCCAGCTCGAACTCGGATTGGGGCTTCTCGATGCTGGCGATACCCTCGGCGCCCAGGGCGAAGATGTGGCCGACGCCGAGGCGGGTTGCAGTAGCTGCGTACTCGGCGGCAAAGTCCTCATGGGCGGAGAGGTCCTTGGCAGGCTCGGTGGTGTACTCGTACGCCGTCATCTTCTTGCCGTCGGGCGTGGTCCGGAAGTAGAGGCCTCGGAGACCGCTGACCTTCTTGGGGTCGCGGGCGTGCTGATGATGAAGTCAGGGGTCTTGCCGCCCTTGACTTTCTCGTATACCATGACCTGGCCCTCGGGCACGTCGAAGTCTATCGCATGCAATCGTTAGATGACGAGTGACTAGGGCATGGGGAGTTGGCATAGGGGCTTGCTGTCCAGATGTCCTGGATACTCAATGACCCCAGGGCCTAGGAAGAAACAACTGTATGGAGAATGGCAAATATGGACAACTTACGCTTGTGGACCAAGTGAATGGAGAAGGTGTCGGAGAGGCCCCGGGCCGAGATCAAGTTGAGAAGCTCGGTGTGGGCAGCACGGTGCTTCAGAGGCTCGAGCTTGCACACATCGATGAGAGCCAGGGCATTGTAGGTAGCCGCTGGCGTGAAGGCCTCGACGAGGTTGGCATTGTTAAGGGGTCCGAGAGTACTGGCAGACATGGCGAAGGTTGTTGAGTTCTCGTGTTGATGATCGTGTTGATGATCGTGTAAGATGTTGGAGCTTTTCAGAGAGGGTGCTGGAGTCTGGTGGATGGTGTTGTGATGGTGTCTTGGTAAAGAAGGAGCCAGGAAGGGCTTCGCTGCCGCCGTATTTATGCTCTTCCAGAAGAGTGTACGACCTTTGGGTACTTCTTCATGTCGTCGTATCTTGACCGTCGATGACTTCCTTCGGTGCAACCCCGAAGTGTCACCGGGTCAGGTCGATGGTCACTCGAAACTTGACTAATCACGCATGCATGCTATCTGATTGTTAGTATTACCTTAAGATCTCGACAGGAACAACCGGGCCCGACCAAGACAGCAGAAAGCAAACACTAACCACATGTTGTACAGGAGTAGTGAGTGTATACTGTGATCGAACTGCGTTTCACATTTTGGCAGCAACACCATTCTACTCTACCACCTGACGATACATCGCCATATTTACCTCCCGGAGCTTCGAGCAATCCGAAGTCAGACAGTCAGCGTGAAGCATCACATCACCATACGCATGTGTTTGCCTCGCACAATGCGGTACACTGAACCCTCACAAGTCTCCGCACACCACCAGTCCAGCAAAAAACGATAAATGTATTGTAATTGGAATAAGCACACTGGAATAAGTGTCACTGATGTTAGACGATACTTTCAATGCTTATTCCAGTATGCTTATTCCAGTACTTCAATTATTTACGGGTGTTGTCGAGTTTTATCAACATTGATGCTCGTACGGAGACTTTTGAGGGCCGGGTGTACGAACAGGCTCACCCTTCGAGCACGGGAAGGAGTAGAGCTCCGGCCTGAGCTCATACATGCGGTGAATATACCTACCTTACGACCTGCCTCCTCCGAGATTCTGGACCCATCCATCCAACACGTGTGTGAATGTGACGCATTCGGAATCATCATTGTTTCAACTGGTGCTGACAGACCCCGAACTCCCACAACTAGTGCTTGATGTGACCGCACACACACGACACAATCGACATCCTCATCGACATCCTCGGTCTCACGGATAGACGCAACGCCAATATCAGACAGCACCCGAGTCCGGGTTTTCCGAAGGGTCTTAGTCGGAAGCTTTGAGTTCGGCCCCATGGGATATAGAACCGAGCTCCTACCTCGGCAATGTTGGTGACCGCCTACCACGAGACATGTCTGGACCTTAGCCTTCGAATGGCTTTGCCCTAACGACCCCTTGGGGGCACTTTGAATATGTAATACCGCGGTATACACAGAGAAGTCGTATCCCCGGTCATGGATATAACTCCACACTGATGGTCTTCTCCTGGTTATCACTGCATCCCAATGTCACACTGCCTGGGTCCCCGCTCGCGATCACACGATTGCTTGGCTCAATAATCTATCCCGCGATTCAGGATTGATCCCTCTTGGGGATCGTCCGTCCCCTTATCGCATTAAAACCCACCGAGGTCGCTTGCGAGACGGCCTATCTTGAGGTGATTGACTATAAGAAGGCCTCTCGACAGGCTCGCCCGATTTTCGGGGTATCTCAGCCCACTTGCTATCTGGTGCTCGCTATTTGTTGTCTGCGATACCTCCAAGCGGTGGGCAGAACTGCGGAATCCTCTGGAACAATCGACTATACCAAGGGCAACAGACTCCAATATCCACCGGATTGCTACTCGTCACGCTGCAAGTGATTGTGTGCTCTATCGGGCTCATACTCGCCATGGTCACCTTGAAGTTGCCAGTGATCCTTGCGGCGCTGACTTTGACGAAGACTGCACACTCTCTGCCCACGAGCGTGAACGACACATCGCGTATGTTTTTGGTCTAGTATCTATAGGGCTGTTCTCATATGCATCTAACACCCCTCAGTCGTGCAGCCAGTCTATTACCCTCTCGACTTGGGTTCTATCAAGCCGCTGGGATGGTTCAAAGACCAGCTCGAGCTCGAAGCAGCGGGGTTGTCTGGGAACATGTTCGACTTCTATCGTTTCGTCCATGACTCGAAGTACATAGGCGGATCGACTGAGTACTCTGCCTTGGACGAGGCGTCGCCCTACTGGTTCAATGGCCTTGTTCCACTCGCCTTTGGACTAGGTGATGGGAGGATCCGCGGCCAGGTCAAGTATTACCTGGACTACATCTTGGACCACCAGCAAGCCGATGGATGGATCGGGTTTGAGACGACGCAAGCTACACGCGGGCTCTGGGCCCGAAGTCTGATCCTGATGGGACTGACTCAGTATGCGGAGGCCGACCCGACCCAGACGGAGCGTATCGTGGATGCCATGCATCGCTATGTCGTTCTCGCGCACAACATGCTGAAGAATAACTACACAGGTCTCCTCGTGCACGGTAATGACGCTTTCGATACCGCTGGGTGGGGTGTCGGGCGCACGCATGAGATGCACATCCCTTTGCAATGGTTGTTGGAGCGCTATCCGCGGGACAACACCGCTATCATCTGGGAGACCATGGACCTCATGATAGAGGGCGGTGTCCTTTGGGGAGCCGACTGGAGGACGTTCTGGACCGACGGGGCGTATCCCAAGGTCTACTACGATACCACCCCATACGATCTCAGCTGGGTATTCCTACATGGGGTCAATATGGCTCAGGGTACAGTTCATCCTTCGACTACCCTCATCATCACCATTCCGCTGACTTGAAGACGCCAGGATTGCGATATACCCTCTCGCTATACCGCAACACTGGCGACCCTGCACTCAAGGCACAGACACGGAAAGCGGTCGATTTATTGGCGACGTACCACCGCTCGCTCGCCGGCACCATTCTTGCCGACGAGTATATCTCGGACTTGAATCCTAGTCGGGGCGCTGAGCTGTGCATAGCAGCCGAGGTTATGTTTTCCGCTGCGTATATTCACCAGTATCTTGGGCACAACGACATCGCCGACTGGGCTGAACAGACGGCTTTCAACGCCTTCCCGGTCTCTGTTTCTGCTGATTGGTGGTCACATCAATACGTGCAGCAAGAAAACCAGGTATGCAACTTGTAGGGCTGTCGATAGCGATCCCTTCTGATGATGTGTAGCCCTGGTCGCGGAATCTTGCCACAGATGACTTGTGGTGGGATGTCAACTCGTACGGGAATGTCTTCGGGCTGGAGCCGAACTATGTAAGTTTGCCAGGCATTTTTCTGACATCACTAACAGATTAAAAGCCCTGCTGTACTGTAAATCACCCTCAGGCATATCCGAAGTTCCTCGCGAACTCCTTCGTGACGACTTCAGACGGTGGACTAGCGCACGTCTTCCTCATTCCTGGAAGCGCAGCTGTGAGCTTAGGGAAGGACGGAGCGAACACAGTGTTCGTTTCCGCCAACACGACGTACCCTTTCGGCAACACGATCACCTACACCATCTCCGCGACATCGCCATTCAGCTTTTACGTTCGCATCCCAATGTGGGCAGACTCCAACACCACCATTGATGCCATGAACGTCGCCCCCAACGACAAGGGACTACATAAAATTGAGGTTCCCGCTGGCGAAAGTACGGCATCCGTGCAGCTCTCGACATCCCCTCGTGTCGTGCCACGAGCCAACAACACAGCAGCCATCTACTACGGCGCCATCCTATACGCGCTTGCGATCGACTACGATGAGGTGTCCTTTGCGCCGATAAACTACCGCAGTGAAGAGGTACTCGTAGCGAATACCACCGACCCCCTGGGCCGGACGAAAGACTTCAGGCTCACGCCCAAGGCAGGAACGACATGGAACATCGCAATCGACCCGAGTCAGATCGAAGTCGTCCAGACGTCCTCGACGGAGAACCTAAACAACCCTATCTGGGAGCTTGGAGCACCGCCTGTAGAGCTGAGGGTGGCGGCTGTGGAGATCGACTGGCCTGTTGTGCTGGATACGGCGGCGGATCCGGGGACATTCGATGTGACGCCGAAGGGTGAGCCGTTTGCTGCTCGATTTGTGCCGTATGGGAGTAGTAAACTGCATATGGCGCTATTGCCTGTGGTCCGGTTGGATCAGGTGGACTTGCAAGTTTGAAGTGACGTCCTGGGAGGTACAATCACCCTCCATAAGTCTCCGCTCGGGAGACCTCTATCAAGTCTTGGTTAATAACGCTACTCACATTAATAGAATAAACACACTGGAATAAACAGCTTTGATCCAAAAAGGCATCTCAAGTGCTTATTCCAGAGTGCTTATACAATATATGATAATAAGATATACCCCGTCGCTTGCTGAAATAGGGGCATACGGAGACTTTTGGTAGCCCAGTGTATCATGTCAATATGGGGCCCCGGAATATATCACAACACCCCGTTGGACTATAATGCGCGTTTCGTTCCAAGTGATAGCGCCAGTTCCATGCAGTTTATTTCATCCATTACATCGCCCAGCAGCCGCAATGACCGCCATCCTGTCGGGGAATCGTCCAGGACGCCGCAACACGATAGTCAGCAGGGAACACGATCTACGCAGCAAGGGACTGGCGGCGGAGCATGACGTAGCATCTGGTGATGATTAATTCGGCGAACTGGCACACCTACTCTTCCCCATACTGTTATCTCAGGGATGAGGACTGGGCTATACGTCGGTTGCGGATGCTAGAGTGCATTGAGTATGTGTGATTGACTACGCAGATTCCGACAGGTTATGGGTACGTTGAATTGCCAATTGACTCGACATTCCATTGGCTATCAGCTCTATGAAAGTTTCGTTGGCCATGAAAGGAAGTCGCCGAGGGTACGTACCTAGTCAAGGTGACTAGATACGTGGAGTCAGTGAATCGCCGCGTCAATTCCAGGGGCAAGACTTGGAAGAACACATATTTTGAGAATCGACAATACCCGGCGTCAGCAATCTGCATCTCCGGCCGTGTTCTGTACCATACCCTTAGTGATTCACATGTCGATGGGAGCAGGCTCAAAGGAATTTGGGAAATATATCCTAGCTCTGATATTCACTTGCGGTAAGTAATCCGCCCTGGCCTACGACAGGCCCGGTAATGCTCCAGCATGAACTAGTGTGTCCCTTCATCGGACAGGGGACACCAGCATGGGCCAAATGTTGCCATCATCCACATCACTTCCCAAACCACATCACTTCCCAAACCATTCGGGTGAGATTGACGGAGATCCAAGTTTTCGGAATGCATGCACTACGGGCCTACGGCTGTGAAGCCTCATGCGCCACTACTGCCCGTGGAACCGGAGATTTGAAGCTATCACAAAGAAAACGTGTCACATAACGGCCTAATACTCGAGTGACACTGCATGTTTGGCATTGAGGTACACATTACGAACGCCGCAGATATCCGGACCCGCAGGCGACATACGTGATACCTGTGCCCAACCGCACCTGAGGCCAGTCTGATGTGCTGTGACCACATCACAATTTCGCCGCAATTCCTCCCGTCTCACGTCATCTTCAGCAGCTGAGTGGACCACTTCAATGGGAACAGTCCTGGATATGCGCGTAGATAGTAAAGACCAACATGAATGTCAAGACACCTTCCCCTGTGTACATGGGATCCGGCCTTATCTTGGCAGTTGTTGGGGTGGTACTAACCAGGCCGTCAGTATAGCATGGTACCACAGTCTTGCTTTTCGCGGCCTCACTTTGAGCCATGTCGAGAAGGGACCAGAGTTGCACTGCATACGCAGTCGGCTGATCAGCTGTGCTGATCGAATGTGAGTGACAGAAGAAGCCTTCCACAGCTTACAAGACAGAGTTCAGGCCCTCTAGTCTACTTCACTCTACTACTTTCTTCATGATCCTGATGCCGCCCTCACTTTCCGCCATGGCCTCTGAGACTATCACCTGTTGGGCAGACGGATATCGAGTTGGGGCGAATTATACAATCACCCGCGAGGAATATGTGTGCGACAAGCACTTCCTCAACTGTGATTGTTCATCGTTGTTGGCGAATCCAGACATAGCAGGAATAGGGGTGAGTTGACTGCATCTGGCCTCGTCGCAGAAATCTAAACCCAAAGTATAGGTTGTGTCGGCTTTCTGGTCTCAGCGACTGCGACCATCTTAGCCACTGTGTTATGTTTGTTGTTATCGCGTTCCGGCGATGACACAACGATCAATCCTATCGATAAATTCTTCCGAACCGTTTGCAACGACGTACGATCAGTCATCGGTCCACGACGCGCAGACCTCATCGGTCATATCTTGTATGACCTTGTGCTATGTCTGCGTGACCAGCAACTGGTTACCGGCCTTGCTCTTCTGGCAGCGGGTTTGAAGAAGCTCTACGAATCCGATATCACGGTATATCATTTTAGCATTGTCACCGACCTAGTCTGGTTCGCCGCGAACACTCATCTCCTCACCTTTCTGGTCGTCCCCTCTTTTGACTACAGTGTCAAGTTACCTCCAAACACCCAACATACTTCATCGCGGTCGAAGCGCAGGCCCATTGCAAGCTTGCCACATTTGATACGAGCAGTGCTAATGTGTGTTGTTGGAGCCATTCTTCTGTACATATCGTATGTAGCCGCATACCAAGATTGGTACGCAGTCTACAACTGCCAAACGACTTGTACATTGCCATATCCCATGGGCGGCGGTGCTTTAAGTTGGACGATAGTGAGCTGCGTGCTGGTTGGTTTCGACTATCCGATTGCGATCTTCACGCTCTGGCGCTCTGGGCGGGAATATTGGATGAGCAACTGGCGTCATCGTTTGATTGATGACAGGCACCTGGGATCTTCAGCACCGACGCCATCACAAAGTCGACATCGTGGAAATTCCATCATCGGACGCCTCAGTGCATCTTTGGTGTTCTTTTGGTACATCTTCGCCTCGAAAACCATTTCGTTATTTTTCCTTTTCATCTGGAATGCACTCGGTTATTTCGCGGACAGGGCTGTCGGCCGTGGCATGATGGAACAATCAGAACGAAGCCGCGAGGACGAGTTGGATTTCGGACAATTGGTTCCATTGTTCTTGCTTCTACTGCTCGTTGTATAGTTCTTTGACTCATGTGCAGGTAAGAACCCTTCCTTTGTCGCTCCTCTGAAGATGGCCCGACTAACGATGGACAACAGCGCGAACTGCTGAGCAAGAAGACTGAGATAACTCGGACGCTCGTCATACGACTCACCTCGTACAATTCGGAGCTACATACTAGGATGATACGGATAGTAGCATTTACCCAGCGGTTCACATCTTCAGAGTCTACAATCCGGCTCAATATACACTGCAAATGAAATATCCTCATACAATGCCGTCCTAAAGCCTTTAAATCAGCGTAGAAAAACTGGCGAGTAACGAATTAATGCGGTAGTAATACCTGAGCCTATCCGCGAAGGCTCCAGCTCTCTATGATCCCATCTCTTTGCTGTAGTCACGAACAAACAATACCTGCGCAGCTACTAAGCTATTGTTCCAACAATGGCTTTATTCTCTGGCATCCGGTGAAAGACTATTCAGCGCTCTATACTATGTAGTATGGTTCATGGCTTACTTTGCGAACGGTTTCTTTTACGAATCTGGTTCCTCCATGCCACTGAAATAGTCCCTATCATGTTGAGTGGCATATATATATATATTGAATTCGGCCCTCGCTTCCGTATTTGCCTTACACAGCAAACTTCCCAGATCTACTGCAAACGAAGGCCCGAAATTCCGGCATTTTCCACCTTCTAATCGGCTTATCAAATTCGGCCTACGCTTCCGTATTTCCTCACACAGCAAACTTCATATTGCAAGCGAAGGCCCGAAAATTCGGAATTCTTGACCTTCCCATCAGCCTGTCAAATTTGTAACATCTCCCACCTTCAACGATGGCTGCAGCCCTGTTTTTGATCGAGAGTTATCTCTACGATTTTACCGAGCGTATCATGTCGCAGAGGTATGCTAAGGCCTATAGGTCGTTCCCTATTCCTACTCCAGAAGAGCGCCTTCACAATGTGTCCGACGTCTCGCTGATCGTGCCCGCTATCAACTGGGACGAGTCATTTACCGACTGTATCGCCACGTGGCTCTCTAACAACCCCCTGGAGATCACCATCGTCACCATCGAGAGCCACGCAGCTGCTGCTCGTGCCCTCGTCGCCGCTGATGCAATCACAAGTGCGACCATCGACACTACGATCCAAGTTCTGGTTCTTGACCACGCCAACAAGCGAGACCAGCTAGTTTTGGCTATCAATGCCGCCCAGGGTAACATCATCGCGCTGGTCGACGACGACACCTACTGAAAAACTGAAAGCGTGCTCATCCACCTCTTAGCCCCCTTCCAACAGACAGACGTCGGTATCGTCGGCGGGCCTATCGCATCGCACGTCCCCGAGGAACGCCAAGACCCCGCCGTGATCACCCCATGGGAAGTTGCGGCCCTGCGCATCCGACAACGCCGAGGAACCGCCATGCACACCTTCTTCGCCGCCGACGGCTCCACAAACTTCACGCTTCCAGGCTGTACGATGCTTCTCCGTGCCGAGATCCTCAAGGACGCCGTGTTGCAGAGGGAGTTCACCAACGACAACTGGATGGGCGTCCGACAGGACACGGGCGACGATAGCTTTATCACCAGCTACGTCCTTTTCCAGCACCTGCTGCATCATCATGGCGAGGAGAACCCCAGGCAGTGGAAGCTCGGAATGCAACTAATCCCCGAGGCCGGGGTCCACACGGGTATCGCGACCAACTCTACTAAGTTCGCGTCGCAGATGAAGCGGTGGAGTAGATCAGGGCTCAGGTTCCGCCTGACGTGTCTGTTCTACACGCTCGGGCTTCGGCTCTTCTGGAAGTCCTACCCCTACATGGTGCGAAAAATGGCCGAAGGGATGATGACTCCCGTACTGACTGTTCTCTGGTTCACCGCATGGTTCATAACCCTTCGCAACCACCCCATTTTCGCGTGCCTTGTCGCTTTACGGTACATATGGATCCTTGCGGTTGGGATTAAGGGTTTTGATAGGCAGTTCCCCTACTGTCGACGATCGATCTGGGCTGCTGTCATCGCTGACAGGTTGTACTTGGTAACTGACTGGTATTGCTGGCTAACACGCAACACAGAGAACTGGGACTCAAGGGCCAATGTAGATAATCCAGCTCAGTGCGAATTGGAAATATCCAAAAGGTGAGTCGCATGTCGCAGGTCGTAGATGGTAGGTTATGTTTTATTATGTTTTCGAATAGACCCAACTGGTTCTCTGAACAATACATTGATACACTGAACCCTCATAAGTCCCCGTACACTCCTCATCCACCAAGTGAGAGGTAAGTTCATAATAAATAGAATAAGCGTCGTAGAATGACTTTGTAACTATGGAGTTTCCTCTTTACTGTGAAGTGCCTCAAATACAACTGTGGTAACAGGATCGGTTGTCTGCTCATCTTCCGCGTCTTAGGCGATGAGAAAGAGATAACACTGACCGGGAAGTCGAGGCTGGCAAACTCGAGCGGGCAGTCCGCTTTCCAAGAACTGTCCCTTCTTGCGGGTTGCGAAAGCCACGCCGAAATGACGAGGAAAGCTGGAGCATGGCAGAGTATAACGACGCCGCTAAGAAGGCAGTGACGGGGAACACGATCTTAACCCGAGGAGAGTGTGGTCTCGAACGCAGGGAAAAGTGTCCGGAATGTCGCCGAAGTGCGAGTGATAGTCTCCGCTGTCCTGATGTCGGGCACTACGTATAAAGCGCAGACTTACTGACATATTTCCAATCCCTGACGTCTTCCATATACATATACGGACCTACTCAATTGAAACGAACCAGCCGCCATGCAACACTTACAAATCCTCATCGTGGGCGCCACAGGCCAACAAAGCACAGCGACCATCGCAGCCCTCCTCAAAGCCACCACCAAGCAGAAAAGCCCAGCAAGCCCAGCATTCAGCATCCTGACCCTCACACACTCCGCCGCTTCCCCGAAGGCCATCGCACTAAAGCAGAAGTTCCCAGAGGTCACGTTCGTCGAAGGCTCGACCCGAGCCCCCGAGCCGCTATTCTCCGCGCACCCGGACATCACATCCATATTCCTCGTCACCGTCCCGCCGGACGAGGAGCCGCATTTCGCGAGCAAGCACAACATCGAGCTGCACCTGCGCTCTGCCACTGCCAATGCCACGGCCACGGCGCGAAGTTCGAAGACGCGGTGGACGATCCTCCGCCCGACGGGCTTCATGGACAACTACGGCGCGCCCACGGCCTTCGGCAGGACGATGGCTGCGCTCTGGGCCACCATGCTCCCGGACCGCGCCATTCAGCTCGTCAGCGTGCGGGATATCGGCTTGTTCGCGGCTAAGGCCTTGCTGCACCCCGACGCGTGGGCGGGCCGGGCCGTGGGGCTCGCGGGCGACGAGCTGACCTTCGACCAGGCGAGAGAGGTGTATAGGCGCACGATGGGGCACGAGATGCCCCGGACATGGACGGTGGTGGGAAGGGTGGTGAGGTGGGCTGTTGCGGAGGCGGGCGATAGTATGAAGTGGTTTGAGGATGTGGGTTTTGGGGTCGACATCGCGAAGTTGAGGGCAGAGGAGCCCGACCTATTGGATTTCGGCGGTTGGCTGGAGTATTCGAAGGAATGTCAAAACGGACAACCAGTCTCGCTTAGGTGATTCTCGAGGCTGCCTCCTACGTAGTTTTGCTTGCCAGGATCATCATGTTCCGTGGACTTATCGTGTAATCAAACAGAGGCAGTACGCCGACATCTGCCGTCTCGTGCTCCTGCAGATAGAAACATCGGTCGAGGGCGATAGCCGATTCCACAACCCTGCAAAGCAACGTAGACAAAGTCCACAGGATACCAGTCTCTCTCATCCTCGTCCGATACTTTTCTTGGTACGAACCAATGTCTTCGTCTGTGATGTCCGACCCCATCTTCAAGCCGAGACTCCCGGCCGCTCTCTTCGTGTAGCTTTCGAAACTTTCCAGATCCCCGGTTCGGATACCCCATACTGGTCGAGCTCCGGCAGTGGATATTCCCTTGTCGTAGAGCATCTTCTCGAGAACAGCGCGATACCAGTACTTCCGAACGAACCTGGAGTCCGGGTTGGGCACCCAGTTTGTCGGCGCTTGACATCCCGTGACCAGCGCTGAGGCAGAGAGTGCCAGGTTGCGGCGACGCATGTGTTGCGATATGGGGAATCCATTCGGGCAGGACGGGCTGCGAGGCGTGATGTGGTTATAGCAGCATCCCACGACTGTTAGCCGGGCTATGCACGGAACCCTGGTGAAGAGGCGGACCATGTGCTCGGAGAGAGACCCGCAGGCATGAAGCCCGGTGAGGAGACATGGTTCCCCTCCAGCCCAGGCTTGGATTTCCGAGCCGAGGCTACCACTGCCGTCGACGAAGCGAACGAGGTGTGTTATCTCTTTGCCTTCTGCTAGGCCTGCCGACCTGGCGGCAGCTTTCGAACCGTCGATTTGCTTCGCGCTCCCATCCACGGCAAGGACTCTGAGTCCGCATACAGAGGCGAGAGTCGTGGCCAGGTAGCCCTGACCGCTTCCGATGTCGATAACTCGCTTGATGTTGTTGGTCCTGCAGGTGTGCTGAATGAAGCGAGCAGCTACCTGGACCTCGGCGAGCTTCTTCGTCACCTTGATGCGGCTGATTGTCGCCCGTGGGAGTTCGACGTGCTCCATCTCTCTCGGGAGGACCAGCTGATCTCGGTCGAGACTGATGTTACGTATGCGCTCGAGCCAGCGGGTCAAACTCTCTGGTCGGCCTGGTAAATCTACCTTCCTTGCTTCTGGATCCTTATGGAGGCTTTTGATCAGATCGTCTTGCGCATCCCTCAGACTGGTCAGCGACTCCCACCATTGTGTCCATTCGGCAGGCAGCTTGTCCCAAGCGTCAGAGATGAATGCATCATTGACGTGTATGCCGCCTGTGATTTGCACTGAGAGCGGCTCCTGCAAGAAGGCCACGAGCTCGTCTGCGTACCTGGAGACGTCCGAGTAGCGTGTTGGTAGACTTACCATGCTGTGATACGTCTAGCGACTTGGCCAGCACAGGAGCTGCTGGCGGCGTGGAAAAGTCCCGAGGGAGAGGCAAGTGTTTTACGGGTGGGTTCCTTGCGCGATATCTAGTGTCTGGGCAAGATCCGCGTCGACGGGCCCGCGTCAGAGTGGGCTGATAGCCTCGTTAACAATTTTTCTCGTGGAAGCGATTATCATGGACAGTCATGAGCGGGAGGGTGGCATGTCTGGGATGTCTCGAATGAAGGCGTGAGTTAGGAGAGAACGCAAAACTTTGAACCCGGAAAGGCAAGCCGGTGTGGGACGGCACTATCCGAAATACTGCGACACCAACCACCCGACCGTCCGGCCCATGATCATGTTTTCTGAGGTAATGGTATAGTACCGAATGGTGTCAACGAAGGCCCATAGTTGGGGCTTTGGCACCAGATAGACGAGGGCCATGAACGATTGAGGAATCTTACCTATTGGAATCCCATCGTACATTCATGAACGGAATTCACTGGAGGGGCCGTGGTAATAGCCTCCATGACCCTACCAAGCAACTACATCACTCTACTTCGCAAATCTACAGCTCATTTTCCCATAAAACGGTCACCAACTGAAACCATATCGAGTGGTCTGTTAGCCATTCGCATGATCCGTTTGGCGGTCGTACATGTGTCGTGGAACGACGTCAGAGAACTTGCATTATGGTGCGGCTAGTTGAGCCAACGCATCTCTGCGTGCACGCTTCGACGGGCGGACAGTCCGCCGGAGAATGCGGTTTCTCGTCAGAGTAGTCGCCATTGACGAGCATAGATAGAAGAGGTGGCGGTGTGGGAGTAAGGCTCGCAGCGGCGTGCCTGGCCTCGGGGTGCGCCGGCGCGCCGCAAGAGTGTCGAGGCGTTTCTGGTCAACGTAGAGACAGTTGACGAACCGCGGCAGCCCGTATCTTTCTAACTCGGTTGATCAAGCCCCTTCTCACATTAGTACTCGGCTCTGCCTTCATGTCATGCCCGATGGGTCTCATCTTCTATCCTTTCAATCCAGAGCAGCCATCTCGTAGACAGCAGTACAATACACGGTCCCCTCATTTGACAGCTCGGCCTTGGGTACGCCATCAGTCTCGTTCATGGTAGGATGCAGCAACGCAGGAGATCCAGTCGAAGCTGTCTTGTTCATCAGACCATCTGCTGCTTTCCGCTTGGAGCGGCGCACCTTCCACAGCACTAGGAATGCGACGGGGATGGCGGCGACTGCACCACAACTATTCCGGCCATGGCGCCTGGCGAGATGCCGTTGTCGCCGTCGGTGCTGGTGCTACTGACGGCTTCCGAGGAGTTGGATGATGTGGGCGCCGCCGATGTGGTCGCCGCCGACGTGGCCCAACTTTGGCTGAATATGAAGAAGTTACTGTCGCGGTCCTTGGAGCCCGAAACACCAGTCGTCCGTTCATTCGTATCTAAGCACCGCCACTTGAGCGGATAACAGGCGATTTGTTAACATTCGTAACTTGGTTGACTCCCAGACGCACTGCTCCATCCGGCAGTGCTGCTCCGGACTCTCCACAACCGTCCGTCTTGTCCAACGAGTAGCCGACCTGGCCTTCCTCACAGCAGAACAAGCCCTGGTTATCAAACATGACCTAGGAGGCATTCGGGCACTTTGGCTCGAGTAGCTCAGATACACAGTTCGTACCTGAGGGGCAACTCCCCGTGTTGTATTGAACGGGACATTCTGTGCCGGCCGGGCAATACGCCGGGAATGGTGCCCTCGTCTCGCCGCAGTCGGTCTCGGCTGGCGACGACAAGCAGGAGCCGTTGCGGCGGTGAAACGTGTGTGTATGGGTGTATATTGGTATGTGGGTGAGGGTTGGAGAACCCAAGCCAGATGGGCAGAGGCTGCACAAACTTACAGTGTGTGCAGCCCTTATCTAATCTATCAAGCTAGTTACAGTGGGTCTCTCCAGCCACCACATCTACCACCCCTGGTGACGTGTGTCAAAGGGTTTGTCAGATGTTGGATCACAGATATGGTGTCCTTAGGTGCAGGACACGCTAGCGGGCTGCCAGGGGACCAGCGGATCCACCCTGGCATGGTGCAGTATGGTATTTAGCTGTAGATTAGCCCTGCCGAGCATACTTGAGAATGACAACAACGTTTGCAGCGACCGCTCACACCCCCAAGGCTTGTGACCCTTCTAGAATCTCACAGGGTTTATTAAATTAAAACAATTTACAGCGTTTTATTTTTAACACAGGTTAATAAGAGGACCTACTGTAAGTGAGTGCCTTGGCTAATTAAAGTGCAGCTAGATAGATAAGATAAAAAAGCTGCAACTATATAATAAGTGCAGCCCTCACCTAGCTAGCTAGATAACCAACCTACGCACAATAATATATTTAACTCTTATACTTACTCGCTTTAATTTTAATAAACTTAGCGTATAATACGAGGGCTTGGGTTTTTATTATCTTTTAAAGTATTTAAATTTAGCTCTTCCTTTCGGTTAAAGAGCTTAAAAAATAAAAATAAATCGTGGTAAACGAAAAAAAACATGTATTGTGAGGTGGTGCTGTGCCTGTATGAGGCGGAGAAGGCTGAGTCGGCTTGTTCCAGCAGACACCCTCAATCCCGTCACGTCCCGATCTCGGTTGTCTTGTAAGAACCCGTCCCCAGGTCTCCAGAGCGCTTCAGGATATCGATGTCTGCGCCAGTACGCAGGACAGCAACCGCACACGCTGCCCTGCACTTCTCTTCTGTTTAACGAGCCTTACGTTGATGAAAACCACGGTTTGGAGAACCAGAGCGGCGGAACGGATCGGTGAAGGCAGGCTGTATCCACTGAACATCACGCCCTAACGCCGAACAGCAACGCACCTATGTCGACCTTTAAGTACCGCGATCGTGTTGCAGGCTATTCTAGTCCGGCGAAGGGATTTACCCTAGGCCCCCGGAGAGCCTTCTCCCAAGTCTTCTTAACGACATCCCGTAGAGGATGGAACCATACGCCCGGATCCTGGGGCTGGTCTTCATCACGGAACTCGAGGACGTAACCAGCTTCCTTCACGATTCGGCGCGACGCGTAGCAGACGTGGACCAGCGGCGTTTTCAGCGCCGTCCGGCCCAGCAACTGCTTCTTCACATCCACCCTGTGCTTCTTCGTATCGACCCTGAAAATCGAGCTCTCGACATTGAAAACGCGTGGCCCGGGAAGTGCTAGTTTCCAGATCATCTCGCGGAGTTCGAGGGCAGATCGGTAAAAGTCAGTCCGGCCGGACTGATAGGGACGTGCTCCGGCTTTTTCGCTGCTTCGTGGGGTGTACTGTCGGAGCATGGGCTTGCTAAGGAGGCCGGCCGCCTGGTCTCAATGGCTTGAGTCCCAAGCGCGCGCTCGGAGTGTGATACTGCGTAATGCAACTTCTCCATCGCTTTGACCGTCGAGGCTGGTGAGTGTTCCGTCAACGTTGGTGAGGCAGGCATGGACCGTGTGGCACTGTGAAATTTAGGATTAGTCTGTATTGGAAGGGAAGAAGGATACCTGATGGGGTACCATCCTACTTAGATAGGTGGGAAAGGTACCTCTGAAGCTACATGTGATCCCAACAGGATGACAACATAATACTGCTCACAACAAGGCTAAATACGCCACTGAGCACGTATTCTGACAGCCACAGGTGGAGGGTGCAGGTAGCAATTTGCGGATAACAGCGTGGCCCGGAACGCGAGCCCGCTAGGTGCATATGTGGCTTCATCCGCTAGCATTCATTATGAATATTTCATGTTTTTGGTCAACTCCCTCTGCCCAGTGCCAGCCGCAGGTAAACTCTCTGAACTCTCTCAGTCCTACTCTCCTCAGCACCCGGGTTCAGATACCAAGCAGTTGGTGACCGTGGCGTCGGGCATCAGAAGCTTTTATGCCGGAAGAGAAGCGACCTATAGAGGCTGTGTCGGTACGAACCCAGGAGGCCGACCACGAGCTCAATGATTACACGAGCGCAGAGCCGGGCACTGGGCAGTCTTACGAACCAGCGTTGGCAGCGTCAAAGCCCTAGCGACAGCGATACAGCTTTCTTGATATCCGGCCGGGGGGGTGGGGGCGGGGATCTCAGCCGGTTCTCCGCAGCCCCTATTGCCAACCATTTCCAAGTTGAATGTGGATATAGCTCATACCATTTGCGGTTGCATAGATAAGGAAGAAAAATCCCATAGCCCCGAAATGTGTCCCTCATACACCTCCAAATGCAACAACCTCAAAATGCCCGCCCGCTTTGTGCATGTCCAAAAACAATGGGATATCCAGATCAACAATGAAGAAAACTTCAAAGGGTATCACTTAACGATAGTACCAAGTTGCTCAGGCGACAGAGCCCCTCCGGCTCTTGACAACTTGAGCTTTCCTCCTTTCATATAGTCCCATCGAAGGTACTGTCCTTTGACTGACCAGTCTCCCTCCGAGATCTTCACATCCAGATCGACCTCTTCCGGATCGTCGGATTTCTTGTAGTGTAGCCAAGGTACGTATACGACGGCATACCCTGGCTCTTTGGACTCGATTTCTAGCTCGAATTTGCCAGTGCTGACATCAAACGACATCGACTTGGGTTCACCCGTGAGCGATTCCGCGTAAGGTCGGCACCAGGCAGCTGGAGCGCGAGCACCGCGCAGGAAGGGGTGATTGGGGAAGGAGCCAGTCTCGGCACAGTAGAGAGACAAGTCCTCGCCGTTCCAATGGTCTCCCCACTTCTGGGTGTTGATAGCAGAGTACGCCCAAACCGTGAAGCTGAGAAGATGGTCATCGCACCCGCCCAAGATGGTGTCCAAGGCTTTGACCTGGCTAGAGTAGTCGCCGTCGCGGTAAGCCTTGTCGTCGTCCAGGTTGAACGGGATGCCGGTCTCTCCGATCAACGTCGGCAACTTGACATCGTGCGCCAGTTCGCCAATCTGGGCTGAGATGACCTTCCTGACGTTGCCCTTACCTACGCGGAGACCGAACATCTTGCTGCCATAGTTGCCTCGCAGCAGACCTACAACATCAGCGTTCCACCGCTCGTGCCAATGCTTTCGCATGATGGTCAGCCCGTCGTAGAAATGAGGGCTGTAGGCGATAAGGGGCTCGTCCCGCGGCGGTGGAGGGGAGAAGACGGATGGCTGGATGAACATGATGGCGTTGGGAGAATACTTTCGCATAGTCTGAGACCATCTCTGGTGAAACTCTTGCCAGTAAGAGGATATGAAAGACAGGGGTCCCCCCACCTTGTTCTCTGCTCGGGTTGCGGCGTCTGACATCTCGGGGAGGTCGTCGAAGTAGTTGGCCTTCTTCAGCTCGCCCGTGGTCACATCCCATACACCATTCAGAGCCCAGACGCAAGTGTTGAGCGGCCAAGAATCAGCCCTCTTCCACTTCCACCTGGGATCTTCTTGCTTCAGCCAACAAGAGTGCTTGGGCTTGATCTCGATGGTCCCCGTCTTATGAGGTCCTGTTTGGCCTAGCCTGTACTCGTCCACCGTCTGAGCCAGTCCCATGCCCAACCGCATGCTCTGTATGGGGGTTGGTGTGCTCCCAATCTTAGCAGTGTTGTCCCTCTCATTCTTGTTCAGGTCGTTCCAGCCGATGTACCCGGCTTCCGGCTCATTCATGCTATCGTAGGCATATGGCAGGTCACCTAGCCTCTCCGCTAGTTTGGCATATGCAGCGAAGTAGTGTTTCTGGAGGTACTCCTGAATGCTGAGCCCATCGATCTGGCATTTCGGAGCAAAGTCCCGCCCTCCGAAGAAGAGCGAAAACAGGGTGCATGCCGCAAGTCTGTTGTGGTTGGTCGTCCACATCATGTTGGGAATGGACTTCGGATCTTTCGTCTCGCTGTCCATAGGCCAATCCGCATATCGGACCGATGCGTGAGTCTCGCCAAAGTAGGCCGGGTCAAGTCCGCAGGCGTGGAGGGTCCATAGCGGCGCCCCGGACCCGCCTGCAAATCTGGACCACAGGTCTTGGTGAGGATTGATGATGACTTTGAAGCCATGTTCGTTACATAGCTGCGCTAGCTTGACGACATGTTCGATATACTTTTCGTCGTATATACCAGGACCGGAGTGTTCTAGGGCCTCCCAGACGACAGGCACACGCAGGACGTTGAAGCCTAGGTAACGCAGTTTGTGAAGGTGATGAGGTGCGTCCTCGAGCTTGAGCGGGGTGTCGACATACGTACACTCCGACGCGATCTCGCTGGCCAGGAACTCGAGGTGATAAGAGGGCTGTTCGTACGGAAACTTACCATCGGCAAGGTTGACACCTCGCAAGATGATGGTCCGGCCGGCTTCTTGGAAGTGCATCGCGTAATTGGGTGTGAACACGGATCGGGATTGGTATTGTGATGACAAGGTAACATCATCGGGCGCTGGCGAAAGCTAAAGTGCCTAGGTAATTACTAATATAAGCGACGAGGGCTGCATGACGTCAGTAGGAAGAGGAAGACATTTCCACAACTCCAGCCTGTTATTAAGGGGGGTCTCGCCTAGTTCATGTTGCCGCGTACCTAGCCGCCAGCCGACCTCACTACTACCTTACCTACTAGTAATCGGTGACTTCCGACATAGAGGGAGCATAAAGTAGCGCTTGGTAGCTAGACCAGCTTGAACGTCTTGATCGGCTTTCCAGCTGCCTCGTGCTCCCGCACCGCCTCTCCGTTCATGATCCCGTGCACGTAGCAGTGTCCGACAAGCTGGTACTCCAATGCCTCGTCATCTCTCGGGACCTGGCCGCCGGGCAAGTCCACCGGGCGCAAAACGTACGGTACACCGTCGCCGAAGAGGACAGCGACAACGTCACCTTCCCGCGAGAACTGAGGGCCTATACCCAGGCGCCGCGAATCCAAAACGAACAGACGACGATTGACGCAAGTACCGGGAAACAGTCTGCTGGCGAGTCTGCTTTCCGCGCTGAGCTTGCTCCATCTCAGCAGAGCGGACGCCCTATCGTTCGGCATGTAATCTCCAGCCGCATCGATGAGTTCGATCATCAGTCGGCGGGTTTGGAGATCTGTGCTCAAATGTTGGCGGCATGTTATGGTCGCAAATATGTCATTCGGGAGGTCCGGGCTTTTCAGATGGCGCTCTGCGAACCGTTTGCACAGCCACGGGAAAGGAAGCACGTCGATGGCCTCGTATGTCGACGTTCCCGACGGTGGGACTGTATCGCTTAGCGCCGTTATACGTCCAGCCTCGATACCGTCTACGAACAGGGTATGTCTCGTTCCGGCGCGACTCTCCTTTATGCGACAATCCACTTTCGACGGTCGCCCATCGTCGGCGGTGTGACCGGCTACGTTGATGAGGAATGGGTCACCCGCATGGCGATCGGACGAGTGATCCCAGTGAGGAACCCATGATGGAAGCTTGTTCTGCTCGGCAGGGACCAAAAGCTCGGCTCGATGAGAAACTTTTCTCAAGCTGAACAGATTCTGTTTCTGTTGGATGGCTGCCCAAGTAGCTCGAGAGTATGTCTCCTCGAGCGACATTGCATAGTCCACCTTTAGTATTACCTCTTCTTGCCGTTTGATCTGAGTTTGATAGTGCAGGCCAAGTATGCCGTAGACCTTATCTTTTGGGTCAGTGGTGCTCAGATTCTTAGCCAAGCCGAGCAAAGAATCAAGGTCCTGGGCGCGCGACCCTGGACCCAATAAGTACGTAGTGAACCCTATTCCGTTGATACACCTTTCACTGAGGTCCTTGGGAGAAGCGCCTTGCTTGTGATACATCCAAAGTGCGGCGTCGCAGATATCTAACCATGCGATCTGGATGGACCCCAGCCGGCAGGAAGCAGCTGGAGCAAGTAGGACTTCTTGGACAATCTAGACGTTCGAATCCAAGGCGTTAGCTTAAAGCGATAAGGTCAAAACTACAAGTTCCAACGGGGTTCAGATGGGCGGATGGACGCCGATAGGCCACACCTATGTCTCTGAATGCTGTCGACTGGAACCTTTCTCCACGCGAGTGTACGTACCCAGACCCTATCAAACCATGGCTTTGACCAGAGTGCATTGATAGCTGCCATGGAGCAATCTGGTGGCAGTGGTACCACCCTATTGCGGCCGTACTGTCCTGTCCGTACGAATGCTCCTTTATAATCATTGAAAAACCCCTGGTTCTCTTCGATCTCTCTCCTGATCGACTGTATTGTTCGCGCGGTATCGGCAGTGAACTCATCTTCATCGCCTAACCATATCAGCGTTTGCAAAGTGGAGGTGTATATGTCTTTCATCATAGCAACTTGGCTGTTACGTTCCGAGAGGTCGCTCTGATTGATGCATATCGCATCGACCCATAAGAGACGAGTCTGTTGTTCTTTTTGCCCGCGAAGGTTAGCCAGCACGTTGACAGCGCTCGCAGGAGCCCTTGTCCGGATACTGTTGATCTCGATCGGTCGTAAACCGGCATGTTCGCTCCAGCAGTAACTGATGGCCTCGTACTGCGGCTCGTCATCCAGGGAGACGGTAAAGAATTGACAGCTGACAATGTCACAGTCATCAGATGGACCCAGCGTCAGAAGGCGAATCTCCCTCGCTGCTGGGTTCAGAGGATGGTAGATACAGGGCGCTGAGTCCTGACTTGTTGACGGCTCCATGTGAGAAAGGATGGAGACGTGTTTATCGCATTGGGCTGCAGGTGAGATTTGTGAGATTCTCGGATAGGTGAGACTTCCTGGTAGGTAAGGCTTCCTAGTAGGTGAGGTTGGTACGCAGGTGATGTTCCTGTGCATGTGAGGTTCTCGTGTTGGTGAAAATCAAGTGATAATAAGGTTCACGTACACGCGGGCCAGATGTCCCGACAACTGCGCGGGAGATTTAATAGATGGCGCAAGAGGAAGAGGTAGGGGTAGGACTGTGGCAACTGTGGCAGTGCAAGAGTCCTAGAGCCACAGAGCCAGCCCGTAAGCAGGAGCTTGAAATCAGCGGCCGTCCCAGGGGTCGTTAACAGAAGACGTTGCCGCTTTCTGCATTCCTTGATTGCCAGTCGTTGTTCTTGGCCAATGAGCGCCCTGTACAACTGCTTGATGGTCGCACGTCTGTTCAAAAACCGTCTCTCAAAGTGCGTTAGCAAATCCCTCAGTGTTCGTCGGCGTAACTTCTTTGTGCGAAAGAGCGTGTCAGCCCTCAGGGTGGTGGGACACCACCATTTTCACATATTTGATGTTATCTGAAGCTTCTGTGGTTTGCAGACCAAACTTGCGATACGCAGAATGTTTCTATATTCGCCCTTCTTAGAGAGATCTTGACCAGCTTCATGGATAGGGGAAGGATGTGCTTGTAGTAGTTATACAGCCCTTCCCGCCACCATGGAGCCTTTGTAGGCCAGATATTCTGTGGTTGCGTAATGTGCGATGGCGGCTGGTGGCCAGTCTTGCCGACGTAGTCCTGTTCAGGCTCTATGACACAATCACCCATCGTGAAGGCTTCCTTCATATCTGCCTCTAGATTAACGCCGTTTTCAGCGAGAATCATGGATGAAGCTCACCTCCTTGGGTCCTCGGGTCGAGCTTCGTCTCCAGCATCGGCTCATAACCACGGATCGCTGGGTTCTTTTGAGCGTGAGCATCCATCTTGGTGTCCATATTCAGTGCGAAGAATCGCTTGAGTAGCTCAAAGGTTCGCTTGATTATGTCGTCTGGTATGCCATGGTTCTCAACAATCAAGAAGCCACAGTTGTGGCACGCATCGGAGATCTCCTTGGCGATGTGGTTTCTAGCCTCGGTTGATGGGGAGTCTAGATCCGACAGGTCGATGGTGGGAATAGACGTAAACCAGGAGGGAGTCCCAGAGACTTCGCGATAAGTCGCCTCTGACCCGGAGTGGAAGTAGACGTAGTTCTTATCCTGGCTCAAGTCAGTGCGACAAGGGATGTGCATGGCGAAGAGTCTCTCACCTTCAGATGCGAATCAGGCATCGGGTTGCTTAGAACGGCAGCCATCTTGGATTCGCCACGATACCCGTTCTACTAGAGTATCTGATTATCACTCGGCAGTGACCTGAATGTGTATTGGAGCATGGCCGTACGAATCCTCAAGATGGGGTTGACCCTTACCCCACTTGTGCCCCTGGGAGTGTCGTCGCTGCCTTATCATTCCGACGGCTGCTGTGGTACTATCCGATTATGTGTCGTCCCAATATCAATGCCAAGATGGTGGACATCTCCACAATGTCAGACAAATGCAAGCACCTGACCTTGAACCTTTACAGTACTAGCAAGGTCTCGATGATAAGTCGTTGCTCGGATGCTCCTATCATACTCCATATCGGTCGATGTCATCCGCGTACGTGATACTCGTGTTGGGACGCAACTGAAAGACTGTGATCTTTCCACTTCTTGATATTGACGTGCGACAAACTCAGAGCCCGAAGAGAGGAAGGACAAACTGCCCATACCATAGCAAAATTGCATTGTCGCTCAGCTACTATGCGAAGAACCTATTTGCCTCCTCTTACGGCAAAGACGTCCCAACGTTCTTCATATGGCACCCAGAGGGAACTTCCAAGAGCGTGAAGAAGCTACTGTTCAAGATCGACTTCTTCATCCTGACCTATGGGTGTCTGGCATACTTCACCAAATGGCTGGACCAAGCCAACCTCAGCAACGCCTACGTCAGCGGCATCATTGGCCCAATACCGGCCAATCTTCTACTTACCTGGATACCACTGGAACTTATCTGGGCTATCCTGACAATTGGTACCTTCGCGGTCAAGAAGCGAGCGACTTTCTCTTCGTTGACGAGATTTTACTGTTGAGCCTGGAAAAGTGACTGCTGACTTGAGATGCTGCAGTGTCAACCAGCTGTATCCAATACGGTTCATCGTTGGATTTCTCGAAGGCTCAAGCTTCGTGGGTATCCAATATGTACTCGGATCATGGTACAAGAAGACCGAAATCGGCAAGCGAACAGCGATCTTCGCATGCGCTGCATATGCTGGTACCATGATCAGTGGCTATATTCAAAGCGCTCTTCTCGCATCTCTCGACGGCCGCAACGGTGTCGCGGCTTGGAGATGGGTCTACATCATAGATGGCCTCATTACGTTCGTTGTAGCCATCTATGGGGTGATATTTTTTCCTGATACCCCTTACAATACCAAGGCTTTCTACTTTAACGAGGAGGAGAAGGCGCGCTGCGTCGAACGGCTGGAAGATGGGAGGGAGGAAACGACCAAGTTCTCCTGGGACCTCTTTACTCGCACTCTCAAGTCGTGGCAGCTTTACGTTCTTACTCTTCTCTGGATGTAAGTCCGGATGGTCGTCCATGTGGCTCCTCTCGTTACTGATTTGGCATAGGTTTTGGAACACCACCGTTGGGAAAGTCGCCAACACGGTGATGCAGCTCTACCTGAAGAACGACCCCGAACACAGCTGGACCCTCTACGAGGTCAACAACATCCCGTCTGCCATCAACGGGTGGAACAACGTCATGGTGTTACTGTTGAACGTCTACATCGACACCACCGGTTGCCGCATGAACGCCGTGGCCCTTAACCTACTGATCCTCCTCTTCGGCACCATATGCCTAGTCATCTGGGACATCCCTCTAGGCTTACGTGTTGTCGCATACATGTTAGCCGGTCTGAACGGACCACTTTCGCCTATATACTACAGCTGGGCCATTATCCTGACAGCAGGCGATGCACAGGTGCGCGCCCTGACGCTGGCTATCATGAACTCGCGCGGCGCGGCCCTTATAACTATCATCCAACAATTTCTCTACCCGGTCACAGATGCCCCCGTGTACAGTAAAGGGTTCAAAGCGAGTCTGGGCTTCTTGTGTGGCATGTGTATCTGGGTTGTCGTTGTGCGAGTGTTTGAGATGAGGGCAAAGTACAAGAAACGGGTGGTACTCGAGGCAGATAGTGGATCGATTGATCACACAGAATTGGAGGCTTCGGGTATTGCTGTCATTGATGATAAGAAGGTATGACGAGGTTCTTGGTAGACGGCGATCCCAGCGACGGGTCAGATGGAGAATGGTTGCTGCCCCTGAATAGGATATCGGTGCCAAGTTCTAGGTCACCGAGTTCCTAGCCCCCCACTGATACCCGTCGTGTTCCCCTGGGGGTCTAGCCCCCGACGGAGATGTCCGAAACTGGAGTCTGTAGATAGGAGAGGGGAGTTGGTGGCACATCGGAACATGCTTTCCGATATGCTCATAGTCTTCCGCTCACACCCACGGTGACATGGTACCACAGCGAACTTGGTCTGAGGACTGACTGTGTTGTCTTGAAAGCTGTCTATGTGTTTGATGTCATCCCGCTGCATGATACTACTGCTGCACATATTATACCCACGCGCAATGACCCCGACGACGGCAACGGAGACCATATCCGCAAATGATGATACCTCCATGACCAGACTCCGGCTATCATCCGGAAACGGACCAGTCTACCGCGCCGTCTCAAAAGCACCGCTGAGAGAGGCATACCCCTCCGAGATCCCCATCATCGACGTCTCCGGCATCTTCAGCGGCCCCGAGTCTGACCGGATGAGTGTCGCAAGCCAGATCCGAGACGCCGCCACGAATAACGGTTTCTTCTACATCAAGAACCACGGTATTCCGACCGAGGTGACAGACTGGGCGTATGAGACGCTGCTGGAGTTCTTCCGGCAGTCGGCCAAGATCAAGGAGCGTGCCAATGTGAGCCAGTCCAGGTACTACAACGGGTACAAGCCGCCGAAGTCACAGCGCATCAACCCGTTCGAGTCAGTCGATGTGCGTGAGACTTTCTCGTGGACATATGACCCAAGATACGACCCTTCGGTGCCCGATCCGGCCGCTATACCGCCGCACATCGCCAAGTATCTGCGCTGTGAGGATTTCCAGTGGGAAGCGACGGCCAATCTACCTCACCTCAAGGAGGCCATCGTCGCGTACTGGCGCGCATGCCTCTCGCTCGCAAGAGCGCTCGTGCGCGCGTTCGCGCTCTCTCTAGACTTGCCAGAAGACTCCTTCCTGGAGAAGTTCACGCACCCGGACGCCGCGCTCGCGTTGAACTACTACCCACCAATCCCAGTACCGGAAACAACCTCGTCGTCTGAGAACGGGGAGACACAGGTCTCAATCGGCTCGCACACAGACTTCCAGTTATTCACAATCCTATGGCAGGACGACAACGGCGGGCTGCAGGTGCTGAACCGCCAGGGTCAGTGGATCAACGCGAAACCCATCCCCGGGACATTTGTGGTTAACATTGCCGACTACATGGCCCGCATCACCAACGATCGGTACGTCAGCACCGTGCACAGGGCGCAGAACTGGAGCGGGAGGGAGAGGATCAGCATGCCGTTCTTCTTCGGCTTCAACCTCAACGAGAGCTGCGGGGTGCTCGACAGCTGTCTTGCCGAGGGTGAAGAGAGGAAGTACGAGGAGATAAGCTGTGAGGACTGGGTGCAGAGGAGGGCAAAGGCGATGCATACGACCGAGGATGCTAAATAATACAGGAGGACTCGATAGGGTAGAAAGAGCCCACTTAGTCCAGTCCTAAAAAGCTACATTGAATCACCAACGCCCCCGTCTCCGTTGCCATTCGATGATATATCCCGTGGCGTAATCCACTTATGCCACCTCCAATTGTAGGACTCCCCAACTAGCCAGTCCACAGAGTTGGCCCTGGCATGGCGTAGCTGGTGATGGTCACGTAGGGATTGAGATAGATGCCAGGGTCTGTGTTCTTGTAGAGATTGACACCCAAAGTTCCTGAGGGAAGAGAACTACTTCCAGAGCCAGTGACGGCAATGTTGAAGCACTGGGGATAGTTCTGTGCACCGTTGAGTGTTGAAGCTCCGTGCAGGCTATATTCGATTGTTAGCCATTTGTTGTAAACATACACGCGCAAAGCTCGTAAGCTTCGGTGAAGTCGGAGGGTTGGCTTACGCAATGATCTCATGTCTAAAGACATAGTTCCCGGCCTTGAGCGACAAGGGGACCTTGGTCGTCCATTTCCCGGCCTGGTTGATCAATGTCTGAGAAGCCCAAGTCTGGGTGGTGTAGTCAATTCCGACTGCATCGATCTTGACCCAGCTGAGGCTGGACTTGTCCGCTTTGCTGCAGTCGCCATTGCACGCCGCGACGTATGTCAGGATGGGCCCGTATGGGTGAGCCCAGTTGGCGGGCCATTGGAAGGTGATGCTGCCTCCTGCGCTGACTGTCGTGGTAAGGGCACCAGGAGCCGCGTTTTTGTGGCAGCTGATATTGGTAGTCCCGTATGCGTCGGGTGCTACGAAGCCACTGTCCAAGTTCTCTGCATACCTGTAGCTTTGTGTCAGAGTTTACAAGACATTACAGGTAATGCGAGGCAGACTTACCACGCTGCAATGTCCGGGAATGAACCTGAGTTGACCTTGTCGTAGTAATAGTCCACTAGATCAATCACACTATGAGCAATCATGCAAACGGAATGTGAGGTAAACAGGAAAGAAAAGATGAGTTTTAGAGTCGGTAATACAGATGGCCATTCTTACACAGGAATCCCTGGTTTGGTTTCCCGTCAGTGGTAAAAGTTGTCACATAGCCGTGACCTAGGGCAGATGCGGCGAACGCGAAGGCTGCGAGAAGTCCGCTCGTAAGAGGCGACATCGTTGCGGTTACATGTGCAAGGAGTGCTGCCCGTAGCATTCATTACCTCAGATAGGAAGAAAGGTTTCTTATATTTGCCAACGGTTTAGTCGCGTCATGAAACCAGAGAGACTTGGTGATCATGGCTCAGGTCTTGGCGACCAATAGCAACAGATTTCGGAGCGGTTGCGTCCGAGATGAATCTTGGTTCGCTCACTCGAAAGTGCGGTGGACGGAAGCACTCGAAAGGACGGAAGAATGTCTCCATCCGGTTGCTCCTCGATTACTTTGGCCATAGCTCGTCGGTTACACTCCGCATTGCAACCACAGAGAAATTGTTCTAGAATGGTCGGTTTCTTCAGAGGCCAGGATAACACGTGAGAGTGAGGGATAGGCGGCATTCCTCAGCTTGGTGCTTACTACAGCCATGTGGACGTTAGGCAAACAAGTGCGCGCGCTATGGATGAGCCTAGTCTTCCAGGAATTGTTTCTCTAGAAACCCTCCTGAGTACTTTGTGAGACGAGGTCTATGTGTGTGATGCTCACCCCTTTCTCCCCCATACAGCGGGTAGGTTCTCTGGCCAACCTTTTCCTTCTCGACTTCGACGTCCAGCTCTTTTCTATCACTATGTCCCATCTCCCATCGGCCATGTCCTCATCCCTCCATCTTCTCCCTCATCAAGTGAACACGATGATAAAGTCCACAGCGAGAAAACCCCATTATCGTCGCCGACGCACTATCCCACACTCTCCTTTGAAATAGACTTCTCCATGAACCTCGAAACTTCGTGCTGCTCTCTGAGATCCAGCCCAAGGCCTACAGCGAGTGTCGCCCGCGATGGGATGGTCCAGACCAACATTGACGTCCATACTAGCGAGGGCGCGTTGGATGTGCGTTCTGGCGCCTGCAATGGAACAATCGACACCGCGCTTTGGGACCCAGAGTCCCAAGTCCAGAGCCCCTTCAATTGCAGCCAAGAAGTCTTTCATGAGTCGAACCAGACCAACCGCATGCCATGGACGCGCACATCATAATTCTTTTTTTTTTCCCTGTGGTCCACCTCAGCCGTACAGCACACTGACGGGATACCCAGGATCCCAGGACGTCTGACACCTCTTCAGGATCATAGGGTCACGAAGCCAGCGGTCGCAAGCTGACCTAGCTGGCGGCGCATAGGCACAACATCCGTGATGTGCGTACGCCAGACAAGGAAAGGAGGAGGGTCTGCACTGCGTCGCATTCACTGCAAGCCAATTGAAACCTGGAAGGGGTATGACTTTGGGTCGACCCAACCAACAACTTTTTTGGCGCCGCTATTCGGCGCAATCTAAAGAGCGAGATGGCAGAGCACATGACTTCGCGGCACCAACGCGTCGCACCTGTGCGGCACAGAGGCAGAAAACCCCACTGGTGACAGGGGACGTCAACGATCCGGAGCAACTTCAACAGCGAGATACCTAGCGAAAAAGTAGGGATTAGTAGCAATAGAATACTTGCCAGCATGCAGAGAGTGCGCAGTTGGAGCAGTCACGGTAGTGATGGACAATGGCGAGAATCTCACAGAAAAGATGCGACGGCCACCTCTCAGTAGCATGTCCACGCTTCACATACCGGCTCGGTCTTCACATTGTGCCTTGGCCATGCCCATCTTGTACGCTGATCCAACAAAGTCCGGATCATCTCCCATGTCCTACACGCATATAAGGTCTCATCGCTGCCTCCATGGACGTGAGCATATGAGTCAAGCATCGACTACTGTGTGTTCTAGATCTGTTCCAGTCCCTGCATCCCATCATTAAGGTCTAAATTACAATGGACTTGACTACGCTCCCCAAGGACTTCATGGTGACATCCATTCAATACACCAAGCATGTCCACTCCGACCAATACCCGTCCATCGACCCTTCGAGACAGGAGCTCAACTTGGCTGGCAAGGTGGTGGTGATTACAGGTGCAAGTCGGGGCTTAGGTGCCAAGGTACAGTAGTTACACTCGAATCAATCTGTCTATTCCCCGATATCATACTAATCTATAGACCAACAGGCATTCGCACCTGCATTCGCCAAAGCCGGGGTGAAGGCCCTCATCCTCCTCGCCACGAACGGCGACAAGCTCAAAACAGTCGAGCAGCAGATCAAGGAGATCAACACCAACATCGAGACCTTAACCCTCACCGCCGACATCTCTGACCCTCCATCCGTATCAACAGCCTTCAAGCAGATCAAAGCCAGATTCGGCCATGCAGACATCCTGATCAACAACGCCGGAATCAACGCCGACGGCAACGGGATCCACATCTGCGACGCCGACCCAGACACCTGGTGGCGGCAATTCGAAGTCAACGCCAAGGGGACCTTCCTCGTGACACAGGCGTTCATCCGGCTTCTGCCGACCCCAAAAACGCACGCCACCCTCATCAACCTGACCTCGGCCGCTGCCTGGGCCGGAAGCCCCATGATGGCCGGGTACAACATGTCGAAGCTCGTCGCCCAGCAGCAGATCTCGGCCATCGCTGCCCTGTACCCGAACATCACGGCCGTGGTTCTGCACCCTGGGCTGTTGGAGACGGACATGCTGCCGGCTGCGATGCGGCACTTCAACTCGGAGACGCCTGAGCTGCCCGGTGGCGTGGCCGTGTGGTTGTCTCATCCTCATGCGCGGTTCTTGAGCGGACGGGTCGTGGCTGCGGTTTGGGATGTCGATGATCTGGTTGCGCGGAAAGACGAGATTGTGGCTGGTCGTGGCTGCGGTTTGGGATGTCGATGATCTGGTTGCGCGGAAAGACGAGATTGTGGCTGGTCGGGATCTGACTATCAGCCTGATGGGGAAGTTTGGACCGGGTCAGTTTGCGTGAGAAGTTACTTAGTTATTCAGGGGGCTATTGGTGTCCTCATGTACCGCGATCAATTGAGATGGTTTGATCATCCGAGTTCTACTTGACAGCTCTTGTTGCTCCGCATGCATTCAATAGATACCTAGGTAGGTACACTCAGCCCTCATAGGTCTCCGTGCGCGCCATGCTAGGAGGATTCCAAATCACACATGGAAAGTTAGAAATACAAGAGTAAGCGGAATGGAATAAGCGGAAAGGAATAAGCGGATCTGGTTTGATACACCATTCCAATGCTTATTCCATTGTGTTTATTCCAATATATGTTGAATGGCGCACAAGCCACCGTGGCGTTCAGGGAGGTGGCAGTGCACCAACAAGGCCAATAGGGCATTTTTAGGCCACCTAGCCCACAGAAGGATTTTCACAGAGAGAGAACACCCTAATGAGAATCACCAGAATATACTTTATCAACCAGATGAACCATAATACACGCTGTTCAACAATATACCGTTGGTTGCTGGACTGGGCGTGTACGGAGACATATGAGGGTTCAGTGTAGCGAGGTCGTCCTTTACTTGTAGCCAGCCTATGCGTGATCCCGGACTGACGGTATAACAACATCGCTCGTTCTATGAGTGGTAGGTTTCACCTGACTGGCTTTAATGAGGGCACTGGCCGGTAGTGCTCGCATCTAAATCAAATCTGATTTATCAGAGCAGCCTGAGGTATAAATAACATTACAATTAGGGGGAGAAAAGCTGGGACCACTCCAGAGGTCTATGGTCCGCAGCAAGTTAAGGTAGGCAGAAAGCTTCAAAATGTTGGGCCTCAGGCAACGATCCAAAAAGATCTATTGTCGCACACCAATACAGTAGAGACACAGCTGTCCCTCAGCAAGTCCTTGGGATGTGAAAAGTCTGCACTAATCGGGCAAATGCTCAGGCATCCGTGTGTATGTACATGCGTACTTGGCTATACTCAGCCCCCTCTCGCATTAACCTTGAATTCATACCTTTAGAACAGCAGTATAGTGATATGCTTTCGAGTAACCAAAGAGCTGCACCATGTACGCGTACTTCTGTTCACAGCCCCTCCAACTGTTTGTGCACTCCCAGGCACCGACTTTCCCAAAGCCTTCCTTTCAGACATTTGATTGCACTCCCATCCTTCTGTCCATCAGTGCTGATTGTGTTGTCCTCAAGGTCTGTTGTGGTGCCCAGTTGGTGCAAATGCCCCTAATGGGCCCTGTTACAGCGCACCGCCCCAACGCCACTGCGGCTTGCTTGCCATTCTACACCTTCCATACCACCCCTCAATTTACCACATCCAATCTCATCATCAACGCGACTGGTATATGTGAAGCACTGGATGACAATTTCATTCACGGATTGACGGGTCAGCAGAAACCTCGTATATCTGTTCCCTTGTAGCTACTCCCCTAGGTGTCGCAGCCCAATACCCATTGCAGGATGGGGGCTTTCTCTTCGTAATCCCTTGCAACGAGAACAATCTATTCTCCCTCCTCAATTAGCAAGCTGCAGGCGATTTCACGTAATCACATATCAATGTCACTGTCAATGTCACTGTCAATATAAATGTCCATGTCAATGTCCATGCCTATGATAAAGCCGATAATGATGATGATGATAGCGCCGAAGCTGATATTGATCACGACCATGTCGATGATGATGATGATGATGCTATCTTTGTTGATGCCCTCGCCGGAGCCCTTATTGTAGCTATTGTAAAAATTCTTGTAGAAGCCAGTGTTGATACCAGTCCCGATACCAATGTCCATCACCTAGTCGCCAACCCCCAAAGCAACCGCATGAATATCTCCAGCTTCCCTACTCGGTAGGGTTGATCAGCTTCTCGATCGCCTCGTCGCCGGGGAAGAGACCGTCCTGGACGTCGGCAGAGACCCGCGGAGCGCAGAGCCGCTTCTCGTGGCAGCAGCCACGAGCGACCCCACAGAGGATGATCTCCGGCATCATGGGACGCGGAGGCAGGGCGAGAATCTGGTTATTGCCGTAGGTCTTCTCAGCAGTGTCCCAGAAGTTCTCCTCCTCGTAGTCCTCTTTAGCGTCGCCCTCTTCTGTGCAGCCGCGCATGGTGTCGTGGATCGCCTTTCCGAGAACGGACCAGTTAACCAGGGTACCCTCGAAGCGCAGCACGGTCTTGTTGGACAGGCGGACCAGAGAGAGTTCGTGTTCCTGGTGGCACTTTTGCGCCACCTCCTTGTTTCTCTGCGAGGCCTTCTTGGAGGATTGAGGGACCGCAACGATGATCAGTTCGATGTTGCGCAGGTGAGAGAATAGCAGCGTGAGAGTTTCCTTGATTCCGGCATAAGTTTGCAGAGCTCGCCAGTCAATAGCAACGACCTCCGCAGTGAAAAAAGGCTTGAGGCCTCCGAGCTGGTGGAAGTCGAGATCCTTGAGAAGCACCGCGTTGAAGTAGAGGACGTCGTCAGTGCTCATGACTTGGCCGTTAGAGAGGGTTGAGAACGTAGAGTCCAGGGCCATCTTGACCAGCATCTGGTGCTGGTTTACCACCTCGACCTCACCATTCTTGGACGCCTCGAATTGGAGGATCTTGGGCCTCAGCTCTTCTCCGCTGATGGCCACCTCCAAGATGGTGTTTTGAAGCTCCGCAGGCATGATTTTGTTGAGTTCTCGAAGGATGTAGTCCATTGTAGCTCAAAGGGGATAGGTTATAATAGCGTAGATGGTCTGAAAGTAGCGATCTGGTGATTGGAGGATGTGGTGTTTGGAGGCTGAGTTGTTGCTCTTGGAGTGGACTGTTATGTTCAACCTGATGCGAGCCTTGAGGTTGTAGATGGGTGAAACTGTGTCTATGTGCGTGTCGGATTCAGAGACCTCGTGATTGTTGGCAAGCCTTGAGAGCAAGCTCAAAGGATGATGTTGAGGATCTGACTGCAAGCTGTCGTGAGTTTGCAACTGGGACAAGCACCGGAGGCTTCACCAATGCGTTCGAAGATGAGCTGATTCTGTGAAAGGATCCAGATCTGGGGATGTCCTTTCCGAGGATGGTGAATGTTGGTGAAGTGGTGTGAAGTTGTTCAAGCAATGGATGCCGGTATTTAAACCCCATCTGCATGGGACTATTGAAAGTCGAGTGCCTGAGGTCAGACTTATTGCGGAGACGGACGATGTCATCAGCAGTGAGGCAGACGATGTCATCGACGGGGAGGTTGACGATATCATCCACTGAGACGGTTGCCAACAGAGTGCCGAGCAAACAATCCTCGCTAGTGTACCGCATCCAGCATACTAGGCCGGACCCGCATCTGACGCTGACATTTTTTTCGAAGCTGCCACTGCCAATGCCAGTGTAGATCCAGGTCAGAGTCGTCGTCTCAAGTTTGGGGGGCTCGAAAGACTCAAAGACTTTGAGCTGGCTTCCACCGGCAACCTCCCGTAACCAGCCTTCGAGCGTCTCCTTCAACTCGAGGACCTGACGCTCTCGCGGCTGTAGTTCCTGAAAACACTGTCCTGAATGTCTTGGGCCAATTGACTCTTTTCACCGGGCCAAAGCGAATAGGGGGGTGCTCCGTCGGAGCGGGCCAGGGGCTGAGTCACAGGACAGGACCATCGTTTGGCCGGCTGCCGAAGCCCCACCCTGGGTCAGGCTCAAACAGCTGGCATAGCTTAGCCGGCACTGGCAGCCAAGCCGGTCAAAACCGTCACGAAAATCTTGACTTAAGAAACCCTTCTCTTCTTCTTTTTTTTCCTCGTGCGGCTGGCATGACTCAAAAACATTACCCGTGTTGCTCGAATCCCTTTTCCTTCACTGGAAAACACCATGGATTAATCACCGTAGCGTCAGTCATTGCCACAGAGGAATCAAAATTGCAGGCCAGTTTTCTTGCCTTTACGCGATCCATCTTCGAAAGCCTCTTGGTGCTTCTTGGACCGCGGCAGATAACGCCGGACATACCCATCCTTGATGACGATTGATCCATAGGATCCCATGGCCGAGCTGTATGGCATTGGATCGGCGTCGTCCCGACTTGTTGAGTGCTCCAGCTTCCAGTAATACAACATGTACACCTTCCAGTCTGGGCGCAAGGTTGCGGTAGAGCCTGGATTGATCCCAACATCGATACCATCTCTCAATCTGCTGGGTTGGGAACACGAAGTCCAATCTGGGCGAAGTTGATTCATGTGCCTCCAGTTATTCTCACGTGAAGTAAGGAGACGTAGTTATGGTAGTGTTATGTGCCGAGTTGCAAGGCTTCAAATACCACTACCATCATGACTGGCGGCCGAAGACAATCAGTCATTAGGTATGCAAGTAGGCATTCAAACCGCAGGGGAAGGACGTCCTTGTGGCACGACTTCCGACAAGTCGGCCGCCGGCAACTCCGTATGTTCAGGTGATGATGTATGGCTTCCGGGGAATCGTTGGGAAGATTTCATTTGAGGCCGACAAGTAATAGTGTACCCACCGCCTGGTTTTTCTCTGCGGCCGAGAACCATCACCGCAAGACGCGGCAGATTCATATCGCTTGGTGATAGAACTTACTCGCCCTGCTCATCTCCAATCTTCTCCAGCTTCCCCATCTCTCGCTTCTCGCCAGACTCGCCAATAAGTCTAACCCGGTCCAATCGCACCTTCTCGCTGTCGCCATCGACGTCCACCACGAAGATGACGAGGCTGGTGATGTTTTGGAAGCGCACAAACCGCAATCCGATGTTAGCTGTGCCGTTGGAGTTCCAGTCGTTTTCGCCGATCTCGATAGTCTGTGTGGGGTCGATGTCTTCTGCTTCGTCGAAGCCAAGGTTGTGAGGTCGGTTGGTGAACAGTTTGATCGTCTTGGGTCTCATCGGTACATCGTCGTCGTCACTGTCTGTGGGCGGCAGAGATGTGATCTGTAAACTTGCATTAGCCTCCTGTCGCGTAGTCCGATATAGGACCACCCATACCTGTAGTGTGTGGAGTTTGACGGCTGAGTTGAACGGGGTGAAGAGCAACAGCTGTTCGTCCGTGTCGCTCTCCACCCAGTCCTTCTCGTCGCTTGTGCTCTTGCCCTTGTCCAGCGCACTTGGCTTGTCCTTGCTGAAGAGCGCTCGGACCGGGAAATCTGTCTCTGCATTCAGCAATTCTAGTCCCTTTACGTCGATGCTGTCGGAGATGTCGGTGTAGCCCCGCGGCAGATCAGCGCCTCTCCATGAGGCACCTCCTGAGCTCGAGCTCGAGCCAGAGCCACCGGTACCGCTGCTGCTGCCGCCCATGTTCTCGATGTCGCTTGCCAGTTTCTCTATAACTGACTGGAGCTTTGCAGGGTCGTCTGATGCGACCTTGTATTCAACCGAGCCGCGGCGGAAGACGAGGAAGACAGGAACCTTCTTGACGTCGTATTTGGAGACAAGAGCTTTAAGCCCCTCGGTTTCGGTGTTCACCTTGGCAAATGTAGCGATTTTGCGTTTCGATAAGGAGCTCGAGAGTCGTTCGAAGAGGGGAGCCAGCTGTTTGCTTGCTTCGTTGGAGGCTGAGTAGACTATCGCGGGAGAATCAGCCAGCTGGAAGAGGGGGGATGGGAAGCTTGTGGGTCCACAAGCCACCGCCAAGCTACAGGTCTTCGGGCTTGGGGAGCATGAAGCACAGCATCCGAGAAAGCCAACAGACTGGATGATTCGTAGCTCCCGAAAACGCGCCGCGCGTCGACGTGATCTCCAATGATCATGGCGGGGGTAAGGTTTAGAGCGAATGCACTTACACTGGACAACGACCGGGACGTTCGGTGAGTCCTGCAGTAAGCTGCTAAACTGAGCAGCCGACTGTATCTCTACCGGTTTGGACATCTTGCTTGCCGAGGCCTAATTCGCCTGGGTGTTGTGGTTGAGGTTGTGGTGGAGGGAGAAGGGAGGTGTGCGATCAGTGGTTCTAGGCGCCGCTTAGATATTGGTGACGATGGAACAAGGCTGTTGCTGTGTCGCCTGCCCCGCCGGTATGGTTGATTGCGCTCAGCGGGTACGCCTAATGATAACCTTAGCGGGGCCGTCAGCAAGCCTGTCGTTTCACTCGTCGCGTCCGATAAGCGTCCGATAAGCAAAACGAAGGTCTGCATTTGACGGAGGCAAGCCTGTGGCTCCTCAACCCATTTTCCAGCCACAATGACGGATGGGTCACGGACCAGGGTACAAGGTACCTTGGAGCCCAACGGGTACCCGTTTGTACCAGATTCGTACCCAACTGGGATGATAGCTACTTCTGGGATGGGGACACCACCCATCCCTTCTTTCAATCAAGCAACTTCCAGAATACAGACCAATAGCCACCATTCGTGACCCTGGTCCTTATTCTGGATACCGCTACCACAAGGCACAAGCCTGTCAAAGGTTTCATACTTTCACGTGCTTATTATTTCCCAGCCGATACCCCCTGTTGCAATGGGATGTTGCTAATAAAACGTCAGTCTCGGCTACATCTTCTCTCACATACATCCAACTCGACTTGCGTGCCATCACTTTCGCATGTTGTCACCTTTGCGCGTGTAGTTGTCCCTCTCGTATCCCTCAGTCTCCAGATTGCTCGGCTACCTAGATACTGCCTACCAGGCAGTATCCAAGTTATACCTATCTTTCCGATAGACTATATTCTCCTCACATGCCTTCCATCACTCAATAGTCTTATCCATAATCATATCCATAATCATCGATGTCGTGATCATTGACTGCGTCCCAGTATTCGTCTTCTTCCACGTAACCTGCTGTATGAAGTGTCCATCCGTGCCTCTCCATGCTGCTTCTGATATGCAGAGGGCCATCATCATAAACCTCGAGAATAACCTCTTTGATGGATAACATGGCTCTAAAGCATGTATCGACCAGTGCAATCGCCTCAGTCGCGACCTTGAGGTGATCTAGGTTGTCGAGCCTTCGCTCCATCGAATTGGTGCTATCTAGGGACGTCGTAAGCGTGCTCCAATTGGTGCAGCGGCTCTTGATATCCATGAGGGCGACAACGCTTTCGACCTCGAGGGTAACATCACCGGGGTCAAGATAGCGGAACTGCGGAAATTCGATGATGATATGTCGGATATAGCCTGCATTATTGCTCCCAATGTGCTTGAGGAACGAAGCTATGAGCTCAGGATAGGCCTTGGTGAAATAGAAGCGATGTTGGCCGTAGAATACCGAGCTGGCTTCGTAGTGGATAAACTTGCTTGCGCCGAGCAGGCCAGTTGTGAATGTACGTTCTCGATTGTAACCCCGCGAAGGATCGATCGGCTCTTCTTGAGCCAGTACCTCCTCATATATCTTGTTCCGGAGTTCAGCGGCGAGGCTTAGGAAGCTGATCGATTCATTGGCGGGCGTGTGCTGTTGATTCTGCGTTAGCTGGGCTCAGATAGAGTCTCTCGTAGGTTGTATTCTGCAGACATTGCGTTGGTTTGGTTGGACGGCACCCGACATCTCTGTGTGTGGTAGTTGTTGCATTATTTGAGATCGCTGGCATCGGTCTAGCGTTTTTTTTTTGTCGTGAGTAAGGAGAAGGTTGGGCAGCGCTTTAAGGGTACTATCCGTGAACCGATGATCTTGGTTTTCAGCGTGACAGCGTTGTTGTTTATTGGAAAAGGTCTGTCTCCTGTCCGTGGGACGAAATCACACCTAAGTCTAGTAGTGGGGCCATGTACCACCTGACATGTAGGCTGCCTAAGACATACTGCTTACATACACAGATGGATACTGCTCACTGGTTCAGGAAAGCGGTTTCCATAGACGATGTCGGTCAGGTCCTTCCTCCTTCGCTTCTGAGCCCATCTACCCAACCCCATCGAACCAATCCGGACCGGCCTTTTCACGATCTGTATATTCGATAAGATGATCAGCAGCATCCACGAGACCATCACGTTGCAGCCATTAAGAATATTGATATTCCGACATTTATAGGCCGTATCCCTCCTATCTTGTTATTAGAAGGCACATATGGAGTGTACCTAGATCACTCACCAAGTAAGTTGCACGGACAACCAATTGGTTGGGGGAAACTAGTATTAATATCTCAAGCCGGAGAAGAACAATATATCAAGGAGAGAATGAGAAATAACATCAGTGTCAAATATAAATCCAGTAGCAGTCACAGTATGTAGTTGGAAGCACGAGAGCATTGGTTTGTGGGATGAAGATTTATATTACAGACAGACAGCGGAAGACTAAATCAAGGGAAAGGTGCCTTCCCAGGCGAATCCGGAGCTCAGTTCCTATGGTAATTATCCATTGGCAAACCTCACAGCAGACGACAAGACTCAACGACAGAAGGTATGTAGCGGTGCACCTCGTTGCCTGGTGCCCTATGTGTATCCTTGTCTACCTCTCTTCGCCTGATCTTTCCGACGCCCCTACTTAGTTGGCTTGGGAGGGGGCTTCGCCGTGCCCGTCGTGTCATAAGAACCACGTCCGGAGCCAACCAGGTCCTCGGAGGACTCTGTTGCCTTGGGCTTTGGCGGAGGCTTGCTGGTGCCGGTGGTGTCGTAGGAGCCGCGGCCCGTGTCGACAGGGGAGGAGGCGGAGGACTCGAAGACGGCCATATCTGCTGTTTATGGGGTGTTCGTAGTGTTTGTGGTGGTAGTGGGTATGTTGCTGATTCGTGTGTATGTGTGTGTGGTGGTATGGGTATGCTGCTGCTGTGTGTGTATGTGTGGGTGTGTGTGCGTGTCTGCTGGTAAAAGCTGGTGAAGCTGATGAAGCTGATGGAGCTGATGAGGAGGAGAGAAGACGGTTCAAGCTGGGTGAAGATGGGTATTATATAGAGAAGCATCGCACCATCTCGGTTCATTCCTGCATTCATGATGAAGAGAGTTGTTTAGTCAAGACAAAGCATTTCCACGTTGGCATACAATGGCATTCTTACTAGCAGGAAGGAACGATGGTCTTCTCACTGCGAGGAGCTCTGTACAATGGCTTTGTTCCGTCCAGCAGTAAAGTACGTGAACCAAGTAGCTTTTGTTCTGGCGTCGATGACGGCAAAGCTATTGTGTTGCAATGCCCCTTACCCACTATAACAATAACCCGATGTCGAATGTCTTGTCTGTGGTACTCACTTCGAACGGGACCAAAAAGAGAATCCTCACAATGTGCAGTGGGTAAGGATGACAATACGCGGAAAGGGGCATTGGGTCCTCAGATCACTTTGCCCAAGAAATTCATGCCAATTTTTAGCCGAACCCAGTTGGCAGATTAGAGAAAAGGCAAGGGGTATAGATGTCAACTAATTTCAGATATTTTGGTACGGTAATTGCGCATTCGCTTGCCATGATACCTATGTAAGCGACCGTATAACTTGAGGAGTGGTGGGGTGCGAAGGACAGAAGCAATAGCTTCATGACATCAGGTGTCAGGCAGACCTCTTTCCTCCTACCCAGATATCAGAATGACTCCATTGACTTCTTCACCACCGAAGTTGTGTTAACACTAAGATATCTTACAGAGTAAAGAGCGAGCATAGTGGACTGTATGAAGGAACAAAGCCCTACCCCGGAAAGAATGAGATGCCCCCGCACCCTTGTTATCCAAGACTCATTGTATAACCTACGAGTAGGTCTTATTTGAGGCCCATTTGTCCCTAGAGCCTCAGCCGGAAAGGGCAAGACGCCCAAGCGACTTTCCCCACCCCGTTCCTTTCAACCCTTTCTCGCCCTCTGCTCCCAGAGCCCCTTCATTGTGGTAAACCGACACCTGCAACTTGAAATGCGTCTTATTTAGACCGAAACATCCCGATCCCCGTCTACGTCGGGCCATGGTCCTGCATTCATCTCGTGTACTTCTGGATAAAAAGGTCGTGTGTGGCCTTGGGGTCCATTCTGTACGGAAGCAATGGGTCCTGCGGTGCGGTCCCAGCCCCATAGCGTGTTGCGCGCTTTGGCTGAGATTTGGGTACATAACTCAGGGGTAACGTGTTCAGGGGTAACGTCATCAGGCTCGAAAGGGGTTTCGAACCATATCACGAGACTCGGCCATACTGTTCAACGTTCGACCCTGCGTGGTTTTCGTATCGTTTTGCCTACCTCATAAGTGAGGTCACGCGCAGAGGCTCTATGAGTCGAACCGAGCCTCATGGCCACGGCTGCACATTGAACATAATGCTGTGACCATTTACAAAACCTATATGGGAGCTGCGAGGATAACACGACATTTAAGGCCACCAGCACACAATAGCACCACGTGGCTTCCAATTGTGAATACCAGAATCGGTCTTCTGATCTGCTTTCCCTATAATGTTAATATATATATATGCCTCTTCCTATCCGGTACTTCTCCAACCCACCCATCCTTTCCACCACGGCACCTACTACGCCCAATACCAGCCAGCACGGAACCAACTAAGCAAAATAACCCACGATCGACGTCACGTCATCTACCCTACTACCCTTACCTCGACGCGCAAATCGCAACACCTCTCGCCATGGAAGAAGACCCGAAGAAGAGCTACACCCGCTGCGGCATCTGCGGCATCTGCGGCAACATCCAATGTACCTGCGACGATGACCCCTCCACGTTCTGAGCATCCTGACATTCGAGGGGGGGTGGGAAACCGGCAGTAGCGGTTTGGTCATGAAATCGTCCGCGAAACCATGATATAGCACCAAAAAGCCTCGACAGCGACTGTTTTTCCCCGCGATGGCCAGCTCATGGTAAATCTAGCTGAGGGTTTGCTGCTTGTTCTTCTACGTATGGTACCCGGTGAACGAGCCGAGCTTGGGTGACCTAGGTGATGGTTCAATCAAGGCATAGATAGTAATACTTGGTGGTATGGTTACGAGAAGATATCCCCAAGAAAATGAGGGCTGTGGCGGTGACAATAAGGCTGTCGATGAGGTTACAAGTGTGCTGGATCCTTTCATTCCGGTTCCAATAAACTCTGGTGTGTGATACTACAGCTTGATTCAAATCGCATAGCTAAGAAACAGCTAACTGATAGTCTTATCATGTTCTGCAACCGAATCAGAAACCATATGGCTGTGCATGCCAATCTAGATGGGTCCAGCACGCATTAGATGTCACTCCCTCGATCCACTCCCCCTCCGTGGGATTCCCAAGCCTTCCTCTGCATGTCGTCTTATCGGCGTGAGGAGCTATTCGACGTGAGATGGCCGATAAGTAACAAGACGATGAAGTATTGTGTTGTTCATGAAAGGGCTCCGCAGCCCTATGTCGTAGGTAGTAGAAAGCGGAAACGCGGCCTTGGAAGCCAACATAAAACTTGATGCATACGTACAGCCTGCGAGTCATTTGTGGTGATCCGTCGCTCCTCAGCGGCCACAAATGCTCGCGCACGAAAGCCCGGATGCAGTCCAGCCCATTTACCGTTGTGATATCAGCCCGCGTGCATACACCCGGAACTCGTGGCAAGTCCCATCTCGGGGCGTCTATATGGAGACTCAGGTGTCGCAAGCTGAGACCTTTTGCCATAAGATACTGACGGGTTTCCTGCCAGTCACGGTGACGCAAACCGTTATATTTGGGGTCCGGAAATTTGAGTGCCAAGGAGCGAAGATGAGGGAGTGCGTTCCTGGGGACGATGTCGGTCAAGAATATGCTAACAGGGTTACGGATTTGGCCGATCCACAGGTTGTAGCTGTCGTGAAGCTGCCAGCGTTCTCGTTCTGAATCTGAACAGACCACCTCATCGTACGGGGAATGGCCCGAGAGATGGAAATGTGGCGTTTGGCCGTCTGTCGAGGACCGCTCCCTGCGTTGTAATTTGAGCCAAAATTGCCATTCAAATGCTCGGCGTCCAGTATACGTGTAGGGGCCTATGCAGAAGTGGTTCTCACTAAAGAGTACTGCATAGGCGTCTTCGGTGAAGGCTTTGCTGACAAGGAACATAGATGTCGGCACCTGCCAATGCTCGTAGGCCAGAGCCAGTGGCAAGTCCAATGAACATCCTCCTCAAAATCCGTTACAGAAGATCGGCTGGAGATAGAACAGATCATGTTCGTTCCATTGAAAGCTATTCGCAGGTGAAACCAGGTCCGTCTGACCGAGGATCTTGAGCCTTAGCTCCGTTGGAAGGCGCGTATAACATGACGTCCCCGACGAATTGGCGGGTGCTTCTCTTTAGCAGCCGGGGACTGACGGGCATCATGTGCGGCAATAACGTCAGAACCACACCCCTCGTAATTACCAGACATGAATGGGCTATCCGTTACACCCATGGCACCTCATTCACGGAGGCGTTTTGTTCATGTGGTCAGTCATGCAGAGCACTCCCGGTGAATGGCCACGTCATGAGATGGAGACAGCTGTGTTGAATGTAGAGGGTAGAGGACTTACCGCTTAACTGGGTATTGACCAGTCAATGTCCTGGCCCCTCTGAGCAGGGCCGTGTTTGCCTCGGCAATATCATCGATCACCGATCACCATCTTGCTCTTCTCTGGATGGCGCCAACTTGCTTCAAGGAGTCACGCGTATGTGTGTATGCGCCCCAACGTCGGCGTCCCCTGGGATCGTACGCTGATTGCTTCGGGTCTGGTTCCCGCCAGGCCGACGTTCTACAAAGATAAAGACATTGTGGCATATAAATAGCGGGTTCATTCATCCAGTACCCAGGCTGGAATGCAGGGTGCAGTCACTTGTTGCCTCGATGATCGGGTCCATGGTGATTGGTGTTTTGGGATCAATATCTAGGCTGAGAGTCAGTATGTACACTCAACCCTCATAAGTCTCCGTACGCGCCATGTTGGAAGAACTCCAGATCACACCTGAAAATTTGGAAATACTGGAACAAGCAGACAGGAATAAGCAGCTCATAGCTATAAAGGCATCTTCGATGCTTATCCCAGCATGCTTATATCGTTTATAATGAATGCACTCTCGCTTGGAGGGGGAAAGTGTACGGAGACTTGTGAGGGTTCAGTGTACCTCAGTGGTAATACGGGGGGTGAATCACCAGCCGGAAAGATCAAAGAAATGTGGTCAAGTCATGACCTTGGCTACCCGGTAATCCACGTGTGTTCAGGGCCTTCAAACAGAAGTGCAACGGACACGCACCAATCCCAGATGAACATCCGCCTTGGGAGAAGGTCGGTGGAAGGTCTGATGCTCCTTCTCTGACGATGACGATGGAAGTTGGGCAGGAATGAGGCGGTCGGTGGTGGCCCAAGCGTCCGAGTGAGCTGGCCCCTGCTCCGGCAGGCAGGCCCTGTAACAAAGCGCTGCAGCGGTTGGCTGGCAGCCCTGGCTAGGGGCTGCAGCAGCCTGCAAACTTTTCCCAGGCCAGACTCGACCGCCAGCTCACACCGCAGGTGCCGGACGGCTTTGGGCCTTGGAAGTGATCAGGGCTGTCAGGTAGAAAGACACAAAACACAGAGCACCTCCAGCTTGATCCCCTCTCTGCTTCCTTTTCCTCTTCCAACTCCCCCCAAAACCCTCTCCCATTGCGTATTGGAGGAGTGGTGTAGCGAGAGGAAGGAGAGACACAGACACAAGTTCAGTCTGTCTGTGGGGCATCCTGTTGCCAAAAACAGAACACCACCCACCACCCGGCGACCAGGGCAGCTCAGGGGTGGTGTCTCCAGCCTAACGCGAATCTGCTTGGTCCTACCCCCTGCGACACCCAACAAGCGAAACGTCGACGTGGTAAAAAAAAACCCCCCAAGCCGATCGTCATCCGCAAGACCAGGGGAGAAGTTACTTGTCCCGTTTGGCATTCCGACAACGACGACAACTTCATTGTCACGCACGACCTTTGTGCTGGTTTTCTGCCTATCCTTTCGCTACCGACACCGTTTCTCACCTCCTACCATTCGACTCTAATTGACCAATTAGCTGGAGAAACTAGGAATCCCACAACTGAAGTAAACGTGCACACAGTAAGCTTTGGCTCTGCCCCCTTTCAGCCAGTGGCTGCCACCCAATCTCCAATCTTATCACAGATATTGTCTTATTGGATTTAACCTTTTGAACCTGACAGATCTCTCGACTTTCAACCAACCGACCCAAACCTTGACCGGCCACGAGCCTCTACTGGTACACACAGACGCGACATAAACGATTGCCGCGGTTTTCCTCTCTTTCGACCTCACAACCGACTTGCTCCCGTTCCACCCCGTATCTCTTTACCACCTTGCGTCCGAGCTCTCCTGGGAACCACACACTCCCTCAACACAGCCGCATCACGACACATCTCAGTCTCCGCGTCTCGACACGGCACCCATTACGGCACCATGTCTCGTATCCAGATTCCCCTTGACGTCCTGACGTCGCGCCTGAACATTCAGGACCGCTTCTCGGGCTTCCGCAACACCTCGCTGTCTAGCCGCTTCGCCAACATGCGCCCCGTCAGCGAGTTTTTCGATTTCAAGCGCCTCTCCAAGCCCGCAAACTTCGGCGAGGTCCAGTCGCGTGTCAACTACAATCTAAGCACTTTCTCGAGCAACTACGCTCTGGTCTTTGTGCTTCTCAGCGTCTACGCCTTGATCACGAACCCCCTCCTGCTCTTCGATATCGTGCTTCTGGTCGCTGGTCTCTGGCTCCTGGGACGACTCGGCGGTCAAGACCTCGTCATTGGCAGCTTCCATGCCACATCCTCCCAGCTGTACACCGGTCTGCTCTGCACCTGCGGTCTTCTCTTCATCATTGCATCGCCTTTCTCCACCGTCCTGTGGCTGATTGGTGCGAGTGGCGTGGTCATCATTGGCCACGCTGCTTTTATGGACAAGCCTATCGATGAGGCTTTTTCAGGGGAGGCGGTCTAGGTGGTCGGCCGCGAGCTCCCAAACATGCGCCCCAATGGGGAAGACCATCGAGGCGCGGACAGAGGAAGTGGCCTGCGCCTGGGGAAGACGAACACGATATTTGGAATACTAGGCATCGGGTCGAGGAGTTGGACAGCGATGACACGGACACTCAAGGCGTTGGTTTGACAACTGCATCAGGTAATAGACGGTTTTTTAGTGGTCCACTTCGGTTCACAGGTGTAGATCTGGGCACCGGTGGTCGGTCGCGCAATGGTTATCCTTATCTACCTTCGGAAGACGGTGATTCGACGGAGGACGATTCCCAAGCTACTTCGGACGAGGAGCCAGAAGACGATGCACGGGTGGCCAAGGAAGATGCATTGGTGCAATCGGCCCTCGCGCGAATACGAAAAGCGCAAGCCAAAGGGAAACAAGAGGTCAAACTTAACAAGGAGGAGCTTGGTGCTCTTGAACGGAGGCGGAAACGACTACAAGCCGAAGCGGAGGCTGCGAGACAGAATGGCTCTGGAAGGCGGCATAAGGAAAAGGAGCAACGATATTCTGTCCCATTATCGCATTTTGAGCCTCCCCTTCCTGGGCGCCCAAGTGGTCCATCGGTTTCAGACGATGCCTTACCGCGCCACCCTCTGCCGTCGACTTTGGCACAGAGTCAAGGCCAGGTACGGCCTGGCCCACCAATGGGACTGTTCCCCCCTCCCAATGCCTCACGTACTCGTCCTCGCTCAGCTACATCATCATCTCAACGTCCTCAAACCGAATACAGAGGCTCGGGCTCTTCCTCACCCTTCGAGTATCAGTACGTATCATCGCCTGCTAATCAACGCCACGCTTCCGACAATGCAAGACCTTCATCTTCCCGGCTATCCCTTCCACGCGAAAACGAGTGGCGTCCTTATTCCTCACCATCTCCGAACCATGCCCGAGACCCCTTCCTGTACCAGACGGCGGGCCCGCGCGCGCCTTACCCTCCAGGCGCTGCAGCCGCAAGACGGAATGTTTCGGGGCCTTCAGACATGACATCACATGGCACTATGCCTCGCAGGGCAGCTCCTGCTGCAGCCAGGAGCAGCTCGGAGGATACGAGTGAAGAGGACGATGATACGACCAGTGATGATCATGGAAATGGCGTTCAAATTGCAGTCAACAGAAGCCGGGAGGAAGTGGTTGTCGTTGAAGCGTCACCCTCTCCTGAGCCTGAACGTCAGAGGGGAAAGAAGTCCTCAACTTCTAACTCATCACCCGTGAAAAGGAAGCCTGTGACCGGAGGGGGTAGAAGACGGAAAGGCAGATGAGGGGAGCCAAGTGACAACAGCGAACCGACCTATGACCAATATATACCATACCCGTGTAATACCAAAACATTCACGAACTTTGTTTCCTAATGATGCAATTGCGTTTCCCTTCTCATTTCACCTGTGCGAGACCCGGCAGACTGTTTCTGTGAACATAAGAATATGATTCAAATTTATACCGATCTAACCTCAAGGGTATCCTAGCGAACAAGAAATTCCAGCTTTTCTTTCGATCATCAGTCATCAGGCAGCTCTACCAAAAAGAGAACGATACGGAGAGAAGCGGAAATCCGGACCAGACCATCCAACGCCATTTACCGGCCACACTTCAAAGCAATTTCCCAACGGCTGTTCACACGACTTTTCCTCAAGAGAATATTTTCCCTATTCCACTCAAGAACCCACCACCACCCATCAACCCGCTCCCCCAACCATCGCCGCCGCCGCCGCCGCCATACTCGGTCCGCCGCCTCTCATAATGTACATCGGCCCTACCGCCGCCACCGCCCCCGAAGCCGCCGCTGGCCATGCGTACGGCCTCGCCCATGAGGCCAATGCTATCGCCCGACGCCGTTTTGGCGGCGATGCCGAGCATGCGCTCCAATCCGGGGGGAAGACGTAATCCGAAGCGGGCGAGCATGGCCGTCAGGGCGCCGCCTGTCACCAGTGGCATTATTACTAGCATGAACACTTTCATCGGGTGGCGCTTCGCGTAGTATATTAGGTCGCGGAGGAGGCGCTTGAGCTTCTTGTAGGAGCGCTGGACGAAGTTGGCGCGCGGGGAGCGCTTGTAGAAGGAGGAGGAGTTTGTGCGGCCTGCGTGGTTGTGATGTTAGCTTTGGGGTCCTGATGTTGTTTTGTTCTTCTTTTTCTCCGGGACCTGAATGCCCGGCTGGTTCCTATTCATGCAGACATCCCAGGGACGATTCCTCGTCCTCTTTCTGGGGACTACACTAGGGGACAAAAGGGGAAAAGAGACCGAACTCACCCATGCCGAAGAAGCTCCGCGTGCTGTTGTTGTTCCCCAGGCCGAAGAACGAGTTCCGCGAGCTGTTGTGCTTCTGGTAGTTGCTGTCGGCGCCGAAGATGCCGCTCAGGCTGCCGCCCGACTGCGGGTGCGAGCTGGAGTGGCGGTGCTTGCTGCGCGACCGCGACCTGGACCGCTTGCGGTGCTGCTTGTGCGAGGACGACGACTTGTGGTGCTTGTGCGATTTCTGTGAGATGACGGACCCGCCGTCCCAGCCGTCGAAGAAGCCCATGGCTACGGCTGGCTGGTTGCTGCTGTTGGAAGCTACGCCTGCTGAGAGGCTTCAGAGGTGTCGTTGAGATCGGACCGAGTCGTGTGGTATAGTCAACGGGATTTGTATACAATGTCTCAGGTGGTGGGCTCCCGGTGTAAGAGAAGTAGATACTGGTGATACTGATGATAGCCGATAGGGATAGCTCAATGGCGGACGGCGGGGAAGCTTCAAGTTTCAAATCCAAGAGGAGACAGACTGCGACTACCACCACGAACATCCACAATCCACAATCCACAAGCCCCGTTCAACTGCTTCGATGTATTTGCCGCGATGAGCAGAGTGAAAATTCAAAGAGCAGAGCTTCACAATACTAAAGAGGATTGGAACTACAAATCGCAGGAGGGGATTGGGCACGGAAATATGCAGCTCTCCTCCCGCTCCCTGTTCGAGGGCCACTCACCGACAATTGGAGTGGCTGGTCAGTGGTCGTTCCTCTTTTGGGCCCTGAGCCAATCTGTCACGCTAAGGCAGTGCTGATCTGCGCTAGACTCATTTGGTTGTAGTGCTGTTTCGGCAGGTGGGGACGGTGAGCGACAGGAAAGGCCTTTGCAGTGATTAGGTAATAAGATACAGATCAAGCCACGGTGGCTAGAACTTCTGCCAAGGTCGAGCCCTGTCCAAGGAGCGCCACAGTCATGACGTCCATCCTCAGATTATCCCTGTCCTCGCTCTAATCCTCAAGATTCACGACTCAGTACGAACTGGCTTCTTGACTTTGCGAACCATACAAACAGCCCTTCCTAAATTTATCTTTCACTATTCTACTCTCTCTACGCTCCTCCTCTACCTAGTATCCCAATATCTACCGCCAAAATGAGTACCGGTCCTCCTCCCAACTACTGTAAGTCAGCCTGGAATCCCCCTCCTTGACCGTTCGCTCGCAACCCCACTAACACCACATGATGCGCAGACAAGATCCTCGAGGTCGCTGAAACGGCAACAACAGCGCAGATCCGCGATGGATACAAGAAGTAGGCATCTCTTCTTCCCGTTCTATTCCTGGATAAAACAACTAGTATCTATCTCCTTTCAGTACTGACTCTCCTTTCCCCACAGAGCGGCCCTCAAGACGCACCCCGACAGGGTCCCCGCCGACTCGCCAGAGCGCGCCTCGCGCACGCGCAAGTTCCAGCTCGTGAACGACGCCTACTACACGCTCTCGGACGCCTCGCGCCGGCGCGAGTACGACGCACAGCGCAAGCTCTTCAGCGGCAGCACAGGCAGCTCCTTCTTCGGCGGCGGCGCCAGCAAGCCCAGCGCCTCGGCCAACAGCGGCCCCGAGTCGTACCCAGACCCCTTCGAGGAGGAGATCCCAGTCGGCGGCGACATGCCCCAGGGCGGCGCTGCGCCCGGCGCTGGCGGCTTCACCAGCTGGGCGTGGAACTACTTCACGGGCAACAGCAACGGCGCCAACACGCAGCAGGCGCGGCAGCAGGCCGAGAACGAGCAGTTCGGCGACGTCTTCGAGGAGATGCTGCGCGAGGAGGGCATGGATGAGGCGCAGAACAAGGGCAAGATGTGGAGCATGGCCGGCGGCGCCGCGGGGGGCATCCTCGGTTTTATTGCTGCCAACTTCCCCGGCGCCGTCGCGGGCGTCGTCGCCGGCAACCGCTTCGGCGCTATTCGCGACGCGCGCGGCAAGAGCGTCTACTCGGTTTTCCAGGAGCTGCCGCAGGGCGACCGCGCGCGGCTGCTGGCGCAGCTTGCTACGCGGGTCTTCAGCCATGCTGTGGGTGTGTAAGGGCGTTTGAGGTACGCAGGGGTGGGGGGTGGAGTTGGGATTGGGACAATTAGGCCATCGATGGGATGGGATGCCGCTACGAAACAAGCAAGCTTCTACCTAAGTACTTGTGCGTTATGTGGGTGGTAAGAGCTGGGTCATGGCGCTTTTAGAATTACGCGGTGTTCTCTTCCGCACTGGGACAAATATGAATGCGCGGAGTTTTCGGTCTGCTTTGGAAGGGAAGAACGCAATGGTTCAACGGGTTAGATAGATATCAGCTTTCAGTAATACAGATCATGATTACTGATTCAAGGACGAACGGCCTTCTTCCCGAGTTGCCCCTATATTATTTTGCCCCTTTGAGACTGCCCTTTTTTGCGGCGTGCCGGCACTGGATACTCGCCTCCCTACTTCGACACACGGATAATGGAAACGGGCATTCCCGGCCCCCTGAGTTGGCCAGGAATACATGCCCTATACTTTCTCGACCACGTAACGGTTACTTTTGCATGTGGTCACATACGTCCTCGCCAAGTGTAACCAGTATATCGACAAGTTCTATCAACCCGAACTCGCCGCCATTGTCTTTTCTTACTTGCTTTCACGATGGCACGGTTGCAGCCGTCGGCTTATGCGTTCTAGGCGTCGTTCATGGTCTCGACGTATTTCCATTCGCCTTGCCGTAAGTATAGCAGATACCATGATGGGCTTGATGTGCCCTTTGGGAGTGCCAGGCCTGTACTTGTCCATGGCGACGAGGAACTCGGCCTTGCCCGGACCGCGGAAGCCCGGCGTCGGGGATCCCCACCGAGGGGCGCAATGGACTCGTGGCACGAGATCGCCGAGGTGCGCGAGGTCTGACTTGAAGGCAGGGATACCAATGTCAGCATCATCAAGTGTTGTGGCACCTACGTACAGTACGATAGGAGAGAACCAGAGCCTGGACACAGAAAGAACATACTCGTTGATCCTAGCACCCTTGCCCATCATCAAGGCGCCGGCGAGGTTGAAGCGATACTCGCCGTTGGGCTCGTTCTCCCTGGCGCGCCAGTGGGCCATGAACCTGTCCCCAGTCCCACGGGCGACGAAATCCTTGATTTTGTCCATGGCGACCGGGTCGTCGGTGGTCAGAATCGCCATCGGATAAACATGCTTGGTTACCAGTGGGATCAAGGGTGAAAGGATTCCACCACCGCGAGCGCGTTGCGCTTTGCTGTGGCGCTCTCTCCAGACTACGGGTATGTCGAACGTCTTTTGCAACTGGAACAGAATCTCGACATCTCCGTCATTCTCCCAAAGGCCTGCACCAAGACGGGTTCAGCTTGTCTGCCCGGTAGGAGGACTGGAATCGACTTACGCAGCCCCCATTCGTACATGTTGGCTGGTAGGAGTAGTAGGAGTAGGCGGATGTTGGCCAGCACCAATGTGCTGACGACGTGCTGTTCGTGGGTAACCGAAGGCGAAGGGTATTCCCGATGGTGGTCCTGGGAGAACAGTCTGGCTAAAATGGGAGTAGGGAAGTAGGGACAGTTATGTACGAGTAAAATGTGCCAGAACACGTACTCAGCGGCGTATCTAGCCTTATTGTGATTGTTATAAGCAGTATATGTGACATCCTGATAGGATCACATGATAGTTTCGATGGTGCCATATTGGCGTTGGCCATGAGATTGAGGGAGGAGACGAACAGAGCTCAGCCATGGGCCACCAACAAAAAAAAGAATAATGAAAAATTGTTAATTTGCTCAAGGTTACGGCAGAGCCTGAATTGATTCCACATCATCGATACCATCTCATTCTCCTGGGTTTGGAACACGAAGACTCAGGTTGGTGACCTGCGCAAGGGCAGCGGCGCCTATATTGAGCCTGATCATCGCGTTGGTTCCAAACTAACTTCCTCGAAGTGGGTATCTGAGTAGCGAACCGAGGTCCGGAAACGGTATGGATAACGCAGACATACGGATAACCCTGCAAGAACTCAACACTCCCAGGGGCCGCCAGGCGCTTCGAGTGGCATTCATGTTCATGTTCTTTCGCAAGCTGGAGTGATAACTCGCAGTGGAATGACCAGCGGTCAGCTGGTCATTCCAGTCTATTACCCCGGGTTGTTGCTTAAGCTCGGTTATTACGCATATTATTGCTTCAACCACAGGATTCGTAGGCATCCTGCAAGGAAGGAACCAGGCCTGTACATCTGTGTGGGTCATGAGCCAGATAGCCTACGAAGGTTCAACATACATACCAAGCTTCGGACACGGCCTAACTGCTGGAGGGCTGGTCGCTGACCACCCATGACCGGCTAGGTCAAAAAGATCGTATCGACCATTAAGATACACTGGGAGCGATGTCTGCGATGCACTAACACTGCGCAATAGTATCGTCGTAGACGAGTGGTTCCATGCCCTATAAGGCAAGATCGAATTGACATTTCGATGAATAGCCTGATGTGTCGAGTCAGTACTCGTACGAGGATTATATAATAGATGGGAAGATGTGATTCTGTGTAGTCAGGTATAATTCCAAAAGTTCGCATCAAGGTCTAGCGACTCAAATACAATCTAGCATGATTTTTGGTGTGGTCATCATGCAAAGGGTTTGGGGAGGGGATATGAAAACGGGGAACTTACTAATTCGAGAGACGGGCATGTCTACTGATGCGTTTGAAGGCTGTATCAGTGTCACGCTCGCCGTCCCGTATTTGAGTCCATCTAGCATAGCATAGCTTTCCTGTATGCAGTTAGATGGCAGCGTAGCTAGCATGTATTAGACTCCTAACAACCTATTAGCAGCCGCTCAGGCATAACCCGCAGAACACCAGACGTACCGAGGTCCAGCAAAACACTCCTTCATCATTTAATATCAAGGACGAAATGGTACATGACATCAAGCTAGGTCACAGCCACGATGATGTGACCTTATCAGAAGCGATCCTCCGGTCTCTTCCACCCTGCTAACCGGGTGACTTCCCCGATAGCGGAGAGCACGTAGTCAACTATAACCTTCACCATGCCTTGCCGCTTGTTCTTTCCATTCCCACCATGCGATTGCGGTTCGGTTCCTATTGTAGGGAGGGTATTGTCGCTCGCAGACAGGCTGACGAATAATGCAAAGGGGACTAGCCATACGCACAGCCCGAAGTACGAGGCAATCTCGGTAAAGCTCGGGATATCGGGCTGGTCGTACATTGATTGCATGTAGGAGTATGATCGTTGTTGCAGGTCCGCGAAGTGTCGAAACCAGAAGTAATGGTTCACGAGGACAAGCACTGCCGCCATGTCAGCAACTCTGCTTTTTTGTTCATCGAAGATGGACGGTTGGCGGGAGGCACATACCACAAGAAGCCATGAAAAGGGGGTCTGTCAACTTGACGAATGGGAAACGTCGCATGTTTCCCAGGTAGACGACATGCGACGCGATGCCCATCAACGTGTACCAGACAGGGAAGCCATCCACAATGCAAAGAACCAGTTGAAGACCGATGATGAAGTAGATGAGTTTCGTAAGGAATTTCTTCGCGAAGACGGTATGCTCTTCGACGAGTTCGGACAGGTAATAGAGACCAGAGGCTGGATACAGACTCTATTAGCTGGATAATCTCGACGCCCGCGTGCGATGATTGCGCATCATCGATTGCGACTCTATCGCCAGGAGCCCGGGTGTTGCCATGTACGTACCGATAGCCAAGGTCAAGAAACAGAAGCCCACGATGGACCCAAGGTACCCGACAAGAGGTAAGATCCACATGTTGACGGCTATGAAAGGATCATGTCATGACAGGGTGACGACAAGTGCGGCTCGGGAAGGATGATGGAGCTGGAGTCGAACCGGAGTGCTGAATTCGAAGCTTGAAAGCTTGCAGGATCGATAGACGTGGACAACAACCAAGTCGCCGCCAACATCAGAGATGTGAATCCGGCCAACCAACGCGCGACAATGGAAGCGTGGCCTGAAGTCGGGTTCTTCGAATACCGGTACGAGACATACAGCACTTAATTAGGTTTGCATCTAACCGAGGATCGCCCGGGGTCAGATATCGATAAGAATACGTCTCCACAGAAAAGTTCAAAGCTGGGGATCGCAGTCCACCGCAGTCACAGTGAGATGAAGGCTTGAATTCTCCAGATTCTCCATGCCGTCAGAGACAGCTTGACACATACCTTAGCCCACGTCTTCCCATGGCCGCCGCGGAACTCTGATATAATAAGTTGCGACCACGGCAAGGCACACTTTGGAATAGAATAAACCCATTGCACCATGTCGCGGCCAGAGGACACACTGTAACGACCCCTCTACATACCCCACCATCCATATCGACCAGAGAGACACATCACTTACACGCAAACCCCAGGTCCGCCGACATCCACTACGATGACACCGAAGCGCGAAAGTACACAACGTCATCGCGAATTCAGAACATCCAAGCCTCGATGACGCACCGCGCACTCGAGCTGCTAGACCTACCAGGGCCATCCCTCATCCTCGACGTCGGCTGCGGCAGCGGGTTATCCGGCGAGATCCTATCCTCGATACCACCGGAAGAAGGCGGCCCGCACGCGTGGATTGGCATGGATGTGTCGGCTTCGATGCTGGACATCGCGCTGCAGCGGGATGTCGAGGGTGACCTGATGCTAGCGGACATCGGGCAGGGCGTCCCCTTTCGCGCCGGCACCTTCGACGCCGCGGTCAGCATCAGCGCCATACAGTGGCTATGCAATGCCGAAAGCAGCGAGGATTCGCCCACCGCACGGCTGTCGCGGTTCTTCGGGGGTCTGTATGCGAGTCTGAAGAGAGGCGGACGCGCCGTCTGCCAGTTCTACCCCAAGAACGACGACCAGAAGAAGATGATCACGGGCGCGGCGGTCAAGGCTGGGTTCGGCGCCGGTCTGCTGGAGGACGACCCCGAGACGAAGAACGTGAAGGTCTACCTCGTGCTCACGGTCGGCGGCGGCGCGATAGAGGGCAGCGGGGGCGACATCACGGGCGTGGTTAGGGGCATGGAAGGCGTGGATGTCCTGGACGCGCGGCGGAACCAGAAGAGCGGCAAGGGCGAGATCAAGAAGGGCAGCAAGGCGTGGATCATGAAGAAGAAGGACCAGATGGAACGGAAGGGCAAGGTCGTCAAGGCGACGTCCAAATACACGGGACGGAAGAGACGGACTGCGTGGTGAGAAGATTCGGCGGTAGAAATCCTTGCATTGCGCGGCGTTACAGGCGTTTTCGAGGTCTACGACCAGATGACGAACAACAGCTAGCTAATAATAGCTATCCCAATGTTCTTCCACCCCTACTGATAGACATAATTTTCCAATCTACCTGCAAGAACGTATCTCACATCACCTTCCCTTTCGTCGCGAGCCTCACACTATCTGTCCCAGTCATAGCCAGAAGCCCCCGAACAGCCGCACCCCAGCGATCGCCTTCACCGCGTCCTCGTACGCCTTCAGCTCATCCTCGTACGCCTTCAGCCCGTCCTCATACGCCCGCATCTCGACGATGCGCGCCTCGAGCACCTCGCGCCGACCCAGCACGATGTGCTCGATGGCGCACACGTCCCCGTCGAAGCCGACATGTCCCCGTTTTGTGGTTCTCATCTTGTCGAGTCGCGCCGAAAGGGCCGACTCCTCGCGCCGCAGCACCGACAGGCTCTGCGCTGGCGACGAAAGACCCCGGAGCTGCTCGTCGAGCGCCGTCGCGTACTGTCCTTGGTGCCAGTGCCGTAGTGAGAGGCCCAGCGTGTCTTCTTCCGTCGCGGGGAGGCTGAGGAGAACGATGGGGGTTGGGGTGTGGGTTTTGGGTGTGGTGGGTGCTGTGGGTGTGTTGTTGGTTGTTTCCTCGGCTTGCGATGGGGGTGTTGCGCTTTGTTTTGGTGTTTTGACGGCAGTGGTACTCAGGTGCTTTGCGGCGACGATTCGGTTGACATTGCTTGCGCAGAGCGTCTTGGCGACGCGGCGCGCGACGACTGGGAGGCGGAACATCTTGGTTGGTGGTTGTGTTGTGGTAGTGGGACTTTGATGACGATACAGAACGTGTGCAAGAAGGGTGTGGGAAATATTATATGCTATAAGAAATAGTCGAATGATTCAAGCTACTTTATTCTTAAACTTCTTCTGTTCCTCTGGTGCCCTGTGTGTATTGGTTGCGGTTGTAATTTGAGTTCATGGCGCAACTGGCTCTGAGCAGATTCGGGAGTCTTTCGTCCGCCTGATGCTGCTGCCCCTTAGCCCCCTTTTTGACATGTGAACCATAGCCGGTTGGGTTATGTAAATATCAGGATCTGCCCGGAATATTTCTTCACCATGAACCTCAAGTGAGTTTGTCTTCTAGAAATCACTTGAAAGGACTCGCAAGCTCGGTCTAGGTGCGTCGGGCATGGTCCATTCGGCACGTCACCCGTTCTCGAGCCTGGGAGACGTTTTGGTCTTCATCGTATGAAACTGGGCTACCTTTCTATGAAGGCAATAACTGAAGCATCTCCTACTTGTGCATAGGGCATCGTTCCAATATGGTATTATATATGAGCCATGCTGCTCCAGCATTGCTTCTTCTCGCAGGCTTTGACAGTGAACCAACTTACAACTCACCTCGATACCCAGCGTCCTCGACACCAGCACGAACACCAGCACGAACATCAGCACGAACATCAGCACGAACAGATATAAACTCACATCTGCCAACATCGCCCCGAAATTGACCTGCTTATGTCGACTTTTGCTATGAGGATCTCAACCTCTATCATCCTTGCCCTTGTGGCTCTCTCACCAGCAGCCATGGCAGGGCGTACGGCTTATGGCGTCTGTCAGGCTAGATGCGCCGGCCTTGTTATGGCATGCTATGCTGCTGCCGGTTTCACTTGGGGAACTATCTTGGCTGCTACTGCGCCTGCAAGTATTATAGCTTGCAACAAGGCCTTTGGTACTTGCCAGGCTGCTTGTTGGAATGCTGTGGGAACCAAGTTCAGATTTGGTGGGAATTCAGGCCGCGGCAATTCGGAGGAATAGTCTTGATGGGAAGAGGGAGAGGATAGTGTGAGGGGTGTCAAGGAAACGTATCCATGGGGACATACGCGAAACACGTATATAACGTTTGTTGTTTGTTTTGTATTTAACGTGGGGGGTAGCTCCTCAGTAGTGCAGACCACGCCTCCCAGAGCCTCTGCATCGCAGGGTTGTGGAGGTCTCAAGAAAATAAGTACAGTCAGTCCCGCTCACGGGCCCATCCCCGTTGTTGCGGCGAAAAAAACACGTATATAACATCAGATCGGTTACTGTAACGCAGGAGGATGTCGCATTATGGTTCCCTTTCCAGTTGCCGGTAAGCTACTTTGTAATTCCTCTTCCTACCCTGCAAACACTCTGGATAGAGAGGTAGAGCCAAAGTTGCGTTCATGTTTCGAGTCCCGTCAAAGGTGAATAGACGAGGAAAGAGTAGTACGCGAGTGGCTAATGCGACTAGATTCTGTCTGCCAAAGGACCAACGCAGAAGCAGTGGCCCCCATATGACTGCGAACGAGTGACGTTCTTTCATACAACAGCCACTCATACATCTCCCAAATGGGTGATAAAGCAGCCAGCCGAGCAATACTTTGCGAGCATTGCAGATGACAGCTTACGAGAGTCTCCTCGGGTGCCGACATGGAAAGCTGCATTATCCCGTAGTACACGCCCCTCTGACACATCACCAGTCCCCACCGCTTCCGCAAACCACGGAGCCTGATAAATCTCACATATTCTCTCATCTTCTCCATCCAGAGCCAGACACCTTGGACTTCCTTCATCGCAATCCTCCTCTGATTCACCAACATACCGACCTCGATCCGATCGTCAACTAGTACCATACCAACCTGCCACCAGTGACGAGTCTGCCCATCATGAAGATCTACCACACTGTCTCCTTCGCACTCGTTGCACTCGCGCCCGCTGTGCATGCCAGGCCGGATGTGCGGGCGTCGTAACGGCCTGTTACGGCGCGGCTGGCTTCACCTGGGGCGCAACCGCGGGGGCCTCGGCCCCGGCCACGGTCATGGCTTGCAATGCTGCTTTCGGTAGCTGCCAGGCTGCATGCTCGGTCGCTTTTCTAGCGCCGACTCTTTAAACCATTATGGTACGTGAGAGAATGTGGTGCGTAGTAGGTCTGTTCTTTGCTGATTCCTGGGGGATATTCTAGCTGGAGCCGAAAACCGGACCGACCTTTCTGGCGATTATCTTGCTCGACACTGTAAAAGGGACGGGGATGTTTAATAGACTCGGAACAAGGCGTTGTCAGGTACCTAGGTTTACATGAGGATATTGGGGAGCAGAGGTTACCCGCGAGGGTGCAGGACATTGTTTGTTTGTTTGTTTGTTTTTAACGTGGGGGGTAGCTCCTCAGTAGTGCAAACCACGCCTCCCAGAGCCTCTGCATCGCAGGGTTGTGGAGGTCTCAAGATAATAAGTACAGTCAGTCCCGCTCACAGGCCCATCCCCGTTGTTACGGCGGTATGACCTTGGGGTCATCCATCTGGTCCTTTAAGGAAGGCTATCTATCGGGGGCAGATTGGTGAAAAGAACTTGCTCTTCTCCATAAATTTTGCCCATTCTGTGCTCCTCTCCTTTAAGTATTGTAAACAAGCTGCCTTAGGCGAATGCCTAGGCAGTAGCCGATTTTTTCCCAGCCTCTTACAAAAGAAAATGTGTTGTGGTGTTTTCTTCTCACCACAGTTGCAGTGATCATTCGAGTCTGTGTGCCCAAAGCGTTCATGGTAGCTGGCAAAGTCGCCATGTCCAGATCTGGCCGCTAGAAGTCTGTGTAAAGTACTCCTCTTAAAAGATATAAGGTCTCTTTTAGTTACTGTGTGTGAGTATACTTCTTGATACTTAGATTCTGATTGGTCTTTTTACCATTAGTTGAACTCTTTCTGCCCTTTTTTTTGAGATCTCTCTTGATCCAAGAGATTGTAGGAAGGCTTGTTGTGTCTGTTTCTAGCATAGCACCCTCTTTTGCTAATGTGTCGGCAGCTTCATTGCCATCAATATCTCTGTGTCCAGGAATCCACTTGACGGTCACTCCAGGAGTGTGTGCTGTGGCAAGTTCTTGAAATCGTAGAAAAATATTCTGTGATGTCTCGGGTGGAGTCCCATTGAGCCCATCAACCACTGACGTGTTGTTCAGGCAGACATATAGCTGTTTTCTGTGTCCAATTGCCCTGGCTGCTACAAGACCTTGGAGAGCATCATAGACTTCAGCATCTACTACTTCTACTTGCAGAAGTCTACCCTTTCCCCGGTATACTTCTTGAGTAGTGTTGCCTTTCCTGATGGTGTAACCCCATCCAGTGCAGGTTGTACCTTGGTCAACCAATTGTGATCCATCTGAGTAGATGACAAGGTCAGTGTTCATATTTCTCTCCTGTAGCCATTGCTTAAAGAGCTCTATTTTTTTGTTTTTGTCTTTACGGATTGGGGGCTTCTTCCATGATGGCCTGGTTAGTATTGGTCTCTGGAAGTCAGGGACTAGCTGGAAGCTCCTTTGTAGCCTTGTTGGATCCTTGCGGGCTTGTATTTGGAGCCTGCCAACAAGAGGGTGTCTCTGGTCTATTCGTCCTAGTCGAAGGCCGTGACGTCGTCGTATTGACTCTGCAAGAACTCCAGCTGGGGGAATCTGCGATTCAAAATGTAGGATATGCCCAGGGTGTGTTTTCCAGACTGGTAAGATAGCCCTGATTGCCGTTTGTAGTACAGCATCTATTGTCCCAAGAAGCCCCTTAATGCGACATGCTGATGTCTCACCTAAGCTCCTGATTTTTTCCATTCCTGGGTACCAGGTCTCCAGGCCGTGTGTAAGAATAGGAATAATACAAGCTTTCACAGCCCTCCTGGTTGATTTTACTAGGAGTCCCTTGACTGTGTTGCATAGTCTTCAAAGGTGATTTGCTACCCTACTAGCTTTCTTGGCCCAGTGAGAAACATGAACTTTGAAGTTTAGTTTTCTATCCAGAAGGACACCTAGCCATCGCATAGAATGCTTAGCTATTTTGTTCATTGTCCTGTGGCGGACTGGAGGGTTGTTTGAGTTCTTTTTCCGCGAGAAGTGCATGATCTCAGTTTTGTCAGGGTCAAACTTAATAGCATTATTATGTCCCTATTAATTAAGCAAATGAAGGTTTTCAGAAGCCTTTGTAGCTATTTCCTCAAGGTTCTTTCCAATATAGAGAGTTGCTAGGTCGTCTGCATATCCAAAGCGTCTTCTTTTCATGCCAAGTTGGGCACAGATTGGCTCGGTATACAGCATGTAAAGGATTGGAGAGGCTGGTGAACCTTGTGGTAGCCCACAAGTGAGAGCTTTTATATCGGTCATAATACCTTCAAACCAAACTCTTGCGGACCGCTCGGACATGAATGACTGGACCCATCTTATAAGAAAGCCTGGCTAGCCCTGTTCTCTCATGCGAACCACCAGCCGTCCCTTTAGGGCAGCATCAAAGGCCCCTTTCACATCTGACGTGACTACTGTTGCAACCAGGCCTTGGTCAAAGGCCTGCTCAATATCGTGTATGAGTGCAGCTACCAGGTCAGTGGCAGAGCGCTTTGGTAGAGCTCCAAAATATTGTAGAACTAGAATCCCAAATTTGACAACAAATCAGGTAATTCTTTTCGCGATGAGTCGTTCTAGGCCTTTGCCAAGACATGACAGTAGCGATATTGGTCTGTAGGCCCTGGGATTGGAGTAGTCTTTCTTTCCTGGTTTTGGGATCATCACTACCTCAGCTGCTTTGAATGATTTAGGGTGGTATCCAATCTGTAGACAGGTCTGGAAAAGGGCTCTGATATGTTCACTAATGACTGGCCAGTAAGCTTTCAGAATCCGTACTGTGAGGGTGTCTATTCCCGGGGAGTTGCTCTTGGTTCCTAGAGTGCACCCTTCAGCCTCTTCCAGTCCGACATGGTATTCAAGGGGGATGTATGGCTTAGGTTGTATGATCTGCGCAGACCAGGGGTCG